GAGTTATTCAATCAATCCACTGGCCTCTGTCTTGAAAATCCATCTTCTCACTATCTGTTCCTTGGGCCTCCATTCAAGTGCAGACAGCGCCATCCCAATCTATTGCTCAGCATTCTGTATTACCTACAGCTCCAGTCCAAACGTTGGGATCTCATTCTGTACCAAAACCTACTCAAGTGACTGCTACTTCTTGTTTCGACAATGTAGGAAATGGCAGGAACAACTGAGCAGCTCACAAGGGGGAGATCACTCAGCACACATTGAGTCAGGCTGTAAACACCTGTAAGTTGTATTCTAGGCACCCATTGTCAGCCAAAAGATATTGAGCAACAAATACATGACTGAAACTAGAGTTGAGACCGGTAACCAGGTATGTTAATAGTCCACTCTCAGCCATAGTGTTGATTCCCTGGCTCACATATGCTTGCACACGGAATTTAGCTTTTTTGACAGCACTTGTCAGAGACCAGATCGAAACAAAGGAATGTCTCCATGGCGGAGGGCTTCAGCCTCAGCGACTTATGCCAGGAGCACTGTGCCAAGTAACACGTCCATGCCCTAACTTACTAACTGGCAACCAGAACTAAAAGGGGTAAACTCTAGTCAATTTTATTACTGGGGTGTAACCTATTTACAAGTCAAGTATATATAGTTACAGCGGGGGTGGGTGTCAGAACCGTGCGAAGGTTCGCCGAGGGTAGCCGTAGGCGACCGAGCGTTGCCCGCTAGTGATAAAGGCGTCCTACACCCGACCGAGCTTTAGCGAGGGATAAACCCCACCGATCTCGAGGCCGAGGCTACTTAGGCGAGTGAGCCGGGATTTCGGCTTCAACGACTCTAGGAGGAGCGTTGCGCCTCGTTCTCGACGCGGTCCCGATACTTAGAAGGTCGGAGGTCTCGCGGGGACAGAGGTAAGCTCTAGGGGGTAATTCTAGTTGATTTCGAACTACAGTACAGGCATTAGTTACAAGCCGTATATAAGCGCTAGGGAACTGAATAAGGAATAAGTCGCCAGATCTCGCAGAGATTGCGGGCGGAGAAAAGAAACAGGAAAACAAACAAAGAGCACGTGCTCAAGACAGCGAAGGTCAAGCGTGACCTTCGCCGCGAGATAACAAGGTGCGGCGAAACATGGAACAACGGGTCACGGCGCTCTGCGCCGCTAGGTCGTTCAACGACAAGGAGGAAAGGTGTTGTGGAGAGGTGGTGGGAAGTGGTTAGACGGCGACGGGCGGCGAGCGGAGTGTGCGGGGAGTGTTCGGGCGTGGGAGAAGGTCAGGGAGGAGGTCGTCTGGCCCTGGGGAACGCTGGGTCGTGACAGTGGGCCCATAAACGACGGGGCCGAGCAGAGCGGAGCTAATGGGGTTAAACATTAGCTGACTGAATATTACCCACAAGTCAGGTTACAGGGTTAGCGGAATGGTAGGTGATAACCCAGAAGCGGAAAGGAGGGATAGGCCCGAAGGTGGGCTTGCAGGGCAAGCGAGTGTATTGCCCAGCAGAGGCAGGAGTGCGCTAGCGGACATCGGAGCTGTCCGGAAGCCTTCGGGGCTCCATACTTAGGGAGGCGTAGGTAATAAATTGAAAAGAGGGGGTGGTGACCATCGAGGGATACCGAGGTGATTGCAGAATATGGGAGCTCCAAGGTTAGTGAAGAAGGAGCGGAGGTAGTCCGGAGAGATCAGAGGTAATGGAAGTCGATGGCTGTGGATGGATATGACAGCACTGACCAATGCCCTTGCCTATTTTGATAGATTCTCCCCATCCCCCACTTTACTGGTTGCATCTCTTCCACCTCACTTCCTCAAGTTTAATTCACCGCTCTACCCATCACATCTCTTCATTCCAACTCTCGGATTTGGGAGTCCTTTGAAAGCAAAGTCAGCCAGGAGCTGAATAATGATGATGCACATTGACCACCTTATCTTCCAGTCAACCCCCATTCCCAACAGATTTTCCATATCTAAACTGTCATTCCTTCACTCTGACTCTTGAGTTTAATTCACTGCTCTACTTATTACATCTCATCTGCCTAACTTCCTTGCCCCAATTCTCATCAATGTTTCCCAGATGTCATATCTGTACAATACCCAATCCCGATCCAACTTCCGGACCCTCCTCTCCACCACCTCTGGAGTCCTACCTTACCCCCGTCCGCTCTGATACCCACCTTCAGACATGACACCACTCCTCTCATTCCTCCTATCACCCCTCACCTACCTTACCTCTGTCTGCTCCAATACCCACCTTCGGATGTGACCCCACTCCTCTCATCACTCCTCTCACCACTCCTCTCGTCACCTCCTCTATCCACTCCTCTCATCACACTCCTCCCTCCTCCCCTCTTCTGCCAACCTCTGCCAAAGTTACAACCTTCCGCCACAGTCCCATACTGTCAGGGCATGCCCCGACATGCCCCGCCCAACCCCCACTCCGCACCGCTTCTCCCTCCTCTCCCTCTTCCTTTCTCCTTTCTTTCTCTCTTTCTTTCTCTCTCTCTTACATGGACCACTGTCAGAGACGGGATTATTGTCGGAGTCGGGCAGACTGTCAGAGTCGGAACACTGTCAGAAGGTGGATAGAAGACGGATTGGGTTCTGTCTGAGTTGAGGTCGGAGGTGATGCAGAGGTCTGTTGGAGCGCGCGTGCGGATATGCAGGCAGAAATATGCGGCGCATCCGGAAGCGCTGTTCAAGGTTAGCAGAGTGGGATCGCGGCCTCAGCGACTCAGGTGGAGCGCTGTGCCCTGAGCTTGACGTTTGGGGGAGATCCCATATTTATGGATTGACACTCACAGCGGACTTCAAACAAGACTTGCGGGCGGAGCGGACCTGTAGGAGGAGCGCGGACTCCGTGAGCATGGACTCAGAGGGGGGAAGCCCCCTTTGCAGAAGGAGAGACTCAGACCAGACAGGGGGGTACTCTAGTTGATTTCAGACTAAGGTCCCTGAAAGTATTTACAGGATATAAATAGGCAGGAGGGAAACACAGAAGGACCGGTCAGTCCGGCGCGGTCCGGCGCGGAAATAAGCGGGGATTGTCAAACTGAATGAAGGACAAGAGCCTGGGAAATGGGAGGCAATGAACTAAACAAAAGCGGATCAAGTGCCAATATTGACAGGTAATAAGAAGTGCATCAGCACATGGATCAAGTGCCAATATTGGCAAGCTAAGCGAATGAATGGATGAACAATATAGGCACTCGGCAAGGAATGAATGGTATGCTGCCGAGTGACAAGATGGCCAGAGGAAAGCGGAGGTCAGCGCGCGGCGCCGATACAAGTCCGCAAATAAGCAGGGTCGGTGCGGTGCCGACACAAGTCCGCGAAGGGACATGGAAATCAGCGTGGTGCTGACAAGTCTGCAACAGAGGGTGGTCCGTCAGTGCTGTCACAAACAAGGGCAGCATGATGGCCAGCAAGGTCAGAGGGGAGTGTTGGCCTGACCACAGGGTGTGGAGGGCAACCAGGAGTGGCAGAGGTCCAGAGGGTGTGGAGGTGGGCAGAGGTACAGATGCGGGTGGAGGTCTGGATGCAGTGCATGGTTGATAGGGCAGGGGGCCAGACATCGGATTGGGGGCTGGTTAGATTGGGTTTTGGGTTGGCAGATTTGCCTATCAGCATCGATTCGCCACTGACGGAGCCCTGGGATTTGTCGGTCGTGACAACCACCTTTCCCGCTGTTCAATGTATCACCGGCACGCATGCCCATTTCCCCTCCTGTATCTTACCATCCCTATATCGCCGCTACCACCGCCGCACTCGCCCCACACCCACAGTGGGCCCTCTCAGGATCTCCCGCAGAGGCACCTGGAGAGCCATGGCTGTGTGCGAGGGTGACGTGGTGCACCCCACATGATCAACCCCGCATGTATATAATAACAGCTGGAGTGGGAACCGAAGAAGTAGCCTTCTTCTCACATTCCCACTTCAGACTAAGTGGTCAGGGATGCTCACCCCACAACGGGATCACCACTACACACAGCCGCTATTCATCCCACCGAGTCCCGCACGCCGGGACCTCGCCGCTTTCGGAGCTGTCCCTGACAAAGAGTCCTTTTCAAGAGAGGGGAAACTTTGGTCGATAATTAACTGAGGGTTAGGTATCTACAAGCATTGTATATATATAGATACAAGAGTGAGTCCCACACCAGGACTTCGCCACTTTCCGAGCTGTCCCTGACAATTTGTAACTTTTCCGACAAGGCCAAGGTCCTCCCACTTAAGTCTCCCATTCCATTTCCGGAACCACTCCGAGTCACCACCATTCTAACAGTATACACTTGCCTACTGTGGGTAAGTGAGAAGAAGGTTAGCTTCTCACTTTCCCATAGTGGCCACAATATAAGGAAAACTTCTGGGGATACCCAGAAGTCACAAGGGGGATGAGATCCGGGGCCCGGAGCATGCGGCGCATGGAGCATGCGGCGCGGCGCGGGGCGCGCATGCGGGAAGTGCAGCGGGCGGATGCGAGTCCGGATGCGGGTCCAGGTCCGGGCTAGGTCAGGGTATGTGCCCTGACAGGGACTGAGCGACAATATCGCTAGTCCATCATTTCATCTTATACTCTAAGTCATCTTTGGTACTTGCAGCCTCAACTGCTTCACTAACGAGTTTTGACGATTCCATTACATTGTCTCATCCTTTGCGTTTGTAATACTGTATTATACATTTACAAAAGGTGAAGGCATACACGATGCGCGCACAAAACCGTACAAGGGTCGTCCATTCCGGTATCGAAATAAGTGTGACGAGGAGTGGCGGGTTCTGCCGCGTCAGACGGCATCCACCAGTTATTCTTCAAACGTGACTGATTTCCCCGAAGTTAGCACTACCTCCCTTTTATGGGTGTCACGCGTCAAACTGACCCAGTCGGTAGTTGATCATGTACATACAGTTGTATATTCCAAATCAACACTGTAATTATGAAGAAACGTATCTGATCAACTCAAAAAAGCCCAGGGCCTCTTGAACCAATCCGTGATCTGCATCCGTGTCTGTCTAATTCCCCAACTTCAAAGGCAAGGTCACTCATCCAAATCTAGTACAGCCTTCCTAGAGAACATGTCTTCCCTTCCGCCCTTCTCTCTCTTCTGCATCGTTTAATCTCTTCAAGTGCCACTTTGTGAGCGTTGCGAATGCCATTGCAGGCAATAATGCGACGATGTTGACGCTAAACGCGAGCAGATATTGAGGTGGGCCGGTGTAAAGATAGGAAGTCCAGATGTTTGTCTGACGGGAATTAAGGGATGAGTACACAGTGAATGGATTAGAGGAAAGTAGGAGCTGACGAGTAAGGTGTGACGTACTGAATTACATATCGAGTTCAGAAATGCGAATGCAGCCGCACGTTTCTCGGGTGGTTGATCAATTGTTTGCTGGAATTTGGGAAGTCACAACCAGCGTGAGCGTCAGAAGGTTCACTGGGAATGCTGTAGAGGATATAAACGCACAAAGATCCAGCTCCATGTGACAGACATTGAGGCAAAGATGGAGGCAGGAAGAAGTAGCATCGCGAAATATCTTGGTGCAACCGCTGTCGTTGACAAAATAACAGCGTGCGCTAGGGTCGCTACGGTGAGCGGGCAGATAATATGGTTGAAGCTAGATCAAACGGAGTATTCCAGTCGGTCTCTGAAAGGAAGAGAAAGAATAGTAGTAAGGACTTACCGTGTTTGTGTCTTATCCGAGTGAATGCCGTTAAGCAGCATAAAAATACAGCACAGAATGTACGGAGGTGCTGTCAAGAGGAGTGTCATGTTCCTGGGATAACCCAGGGTCTGCACAACCGCTAAAAGGATAAGTGTTACAGTCAGTCCTGTAAGACAGGTCGCATTGGAATGAGACGGACAAGGGAAGAAGTTCGTAATGGCAGAAGAGATATCTGTCGAAGGGATCAGGCTAACAATTCTACGCCAATCATCGATAAACGGGTGTCTTACAAATTCCCATCATAACCCCAAGGAACATCCACACCTTGCCATCCACAAACACCATCTGCAGCACCTCCCATATACTTATTCTACCCCTGATCTTTCCCCTCATGTTTAAGCCTACCGCGGCAGCTTCGTCAGGACTTCGAAGGGCGGCATCACGCTGGAGGCGCCATATTGCGAATTCATGTTGCTCTGGGTTGAGGTGCGAAGATGTGGAGGATGATGGAAGGTCCGGGAGGATGAGCATGCTTATCAAGGCGACTGACACCGTTACAATCCCCTCGGCTGAGATGATAAATATCGAACGGAATATGTGTGACGGTGGGAATGGTGAGGAATGGTGAGGAATGGTGAGGTTCATGCTTACTCAGGAACAACCATCGCCATCCTGCGATACCGAACGTTCCGTCCAGTCTAAGTAGGCCAATTGCCATCAGATTCCCAAATGCATTACCTATTTGGGCACCACTTTGGAGAAATGCAATGCGGAGTGCAAGCTCTTTTTTGGTGTACCACGATGAGATATAATACTATGCAACGAATACCACGCGACCAGCCCCAGTAAATTGGAGTGAAAGACATGGTCTGATGAAAGGCTTACTAAGGCTCCGGGAAAGAATGCGCTTTCAGCGAAACCCAACAGGAGCCGGCATAGCAGTAAACCGGTGAAATTCCGTGTGAGCCCAGTACACGCAGACAAAAAGCCCCAAACGACCATACAGCCGCATAAAAAATATGCGGGTCGAGCGATGCGTGAAAGGATTATATTCGAGGGGACTTGCATGGATACTTTGTTGGGAATCATCGCTCTGGGTGAGAAACCCGAACAGGTTCGAAGCAGCGGCACCTACTATACCCAATGTAGAGAATAGAAATGCTTGTGGAGATGGCACGAATCAGTCACCGCAAGTAGTGCACATGCACGATTAAGGAAAAAGTGTACCAAGTGTCGTACTGTTTCTCTGTCAGCCCTAGGTCATTTTCGAGATTTGCAAGTCTTGCAGAAGCTATATTATTCTAGTCGAAGGCGATCCGTTAATCATGTTATACTGGAACTTCAGGAGTGCCCGAGTGGTATAGAATATCACGCACTCTATCAAGTTTAGAATGTAAATAAGAACTAAAAGGGGCAAGAGTTGCATATCGATCCCCCTCACGACATCGCGCTCGAAAGAAGATAGACGCCGCTGGGACCATGATTCAAACGGCGATAGGGAGAGTTCAGAAACAGGTTGAAGGAAAGGTGTCGTCTCGGTATATGATGTTTCTGTTGAGTCGCGTTGGGAAGGGGTGCTTTTTGTTTGGGGTTGAAATTTGGCCAGATTCAAAGGCACGCCCAGGAAATGGACGAGCAAATTAGCCCAATTCGCACAAACGGAGCAGCGCGTTGAGTACCCACTGATCGGATAAATCCATGAGGGATCCAAAATGCCCAAATTATCAGATGCAAGGGTGGTAACGGAGGCCAAAGTTGTAGCGTGAGGTGCCTGAGGCTTCCAAATATGATGCAATAAGCTGCTAGCCACACGCCAAATTAAGCTGAGTAATTGTTATGAACGCACACGTCCTGATTAACGCACGACTTCCAGAAAACTTCTGCGCGTTCCTTTGCCGTCCAGCTTTGAGATGTCAATTCAATTTGTTTGGCAATTGCATAGGCTCCATCAGGATTGCTAAGCAGGTGACCAGCCTCTGGATCAGAAGGCTTCAACGAATTGCCCGAAGCCTTATTTCACCCTAAGTACTAAGTTGCCTCCATCGGCAGATCGGATGGCGATGGTTCCGTGTGTGTTCTGGGCTTAGGCAGGACCCCCTCCTGCGTCCGGGTGGGACTCGAGTCACACTTTACAGGTGATGGTTCTGTCTCATCACTCATGATCGCATGGCAAAGCAGCAGCGCTAGTCTCTAATGTAGCGCACAGCGAGTTACATAAGTATAGGGATTATCAGGACGGTAGAATGATGAGGGCCAGTTGGTAGTGTCGAGGATGCATGTCATGTAGAAAAATAATAAGGGACAGAGGCTGCGGGCCGCCACCGTCCCCCATGGCGATTCGGTGGGGAGTGCGGCATAGCGGCGAAGGGATTGGTGTATCAACCATCACTACATACAAACATGCCTTGACGGTGAGGGAAGAATGAAGAATGGATGTGGATATGCGTGATAATGAGGATGACGGATGGTTGGGATTATAACGGTGCACGGACAGAAGGCAATAATTTAAAAGAGATTAAGAGGATGCAAAAAGATAAAAAGGAACACGGACAGGAGAATTGCGAATCCACGTCGCTCTGGATCGAGGCGCGAAGATGTGGGGACGAAGGCACAGAAGGATGAGCATGCTTATAAAGGCTACTGACACCGTTGCAGCTCACTCGATTAAAATAACAATATCCGAACGTGTATGTGATAGTGAGGATAATCAAATTTCAAACTTACTAAGAAACAACCGTCGCCATCGTATGATGCCAAACATTCCATCCAATCTGAGCAGGCCGATTGCTATCAGACTCCCGAACGCGTCACCTATTTGGGCACCACCATGGAGAAATGCTGTGCGGAGTGCAAGATCCTCTTTGGTATACCATGATGAGATGTAATAAAGATCACGCAGCCCAGTGAGAGACACGGTCTGATGAAAAGGCACCTGGAAAGAATGCGCTTTCCACGAAACCCAAGAGGAGCCGACAGAGTAGACCGGTGTGAGGCCGGTGCAGGCAGACAAAAGGTCCCAGACGACCATGCAACCACATAAAAAATGTGCGGGTCGAGTGGTACGCGAAAGGATCACATTCGAGGGTACTTGCACGGATACCTTGTTGAGAATTGTTGCTTGGGTGAGGATGCTGAACAGGTCAGAAATAGAGGTACCAACGTAGAGCCTGAGAATAAACATGCTCGTGGGGTTGGTACGAGTCAGTCGCCGCCAGCAGCGCGCATGCACAATTAGAGCAAGGACTTACCAAGTGTCGTACTGTTTCCCTGTCAGCCCCAGGTCACTTTCGAGGTTTCCAAGTCTTGCAGAAGCTATATTACTTTGGTGGGAAGAGGGAGTTCATTGAACATGTTATACCTTTGACAACTTCGGGAGTGCGCAAGTGGTACAGAAGATCACACACTCGACCAAAGATATTTGAAACACAAATGAGACCTGTAAGGGGTATGAATCGCATGTCGATCCTTTTTTCACGACAGCTCGAAAAAAGATAAACGCCGCTGAAACATGGTTCGAATGGCGACGTCGAGAGATCAAGTGGAGAGGTGTTGTCTCTGTAGTTGATGGTTCTGTTGGTTCATTTCAAGATACTCTTTTTTATTTGAGGTTGAAATCTGGTGGTAGGCCAGATCCAAAGGCAGATCCGCGAAGTGGGTGAGCAAATCAGCCCGATTCACAATGCATACGCAAATTGGCCAGAATGGAGCGGCAAGGCGAGTGCTCACTAACAGGAGGAATCCAAATAATGAGGTACATCCAAATCGGGGGCGGTAACGCAGATCAAAATTACAGCGTGAAATAGGGCTCAATAAGGTACTGACCACACACCAAATCACGCCAATTGCAAGTAGCTGTAGCGAAAGCACGCGTCCTGATCGATTAACGCACAGTTTCCAGAAAACTTGATCTCGTTTAGAAACCTTCGATACATTTCTGCTGGTGGAGAGGAGATGGAGTTGTTCATCTTAGGCTCCTCGTGCATGGAAGCGCCAAGGGCACTGCGGAATAAATTACCGGCGTAAACACTACTAGTGTCACTTGTGTTGACGTCACTTGTTTCCCTAAAACCGGATCACCTTAAACATCGTAATACCCGGTATGTCCATAACAATTAAAGGACAGATCCATCAACTGGTATTGTAAACAGGTACAGTCGTGTCAATTAAGAATGGAAGTAGGCAGCAGTATACGGATTGTTTCAAGAATCGTGTTCAAGACCAAATTACGTGCTCAAACCGCTATGAATCATCTCCCCACACCTGGTGCAATACACTTCCCTGTCAATGAGGCAGCACAGCATCCCGACGGGGAAGAAGACGATCGCACTAAGTAAGCCCACTATTCCCCAGTATGTCGGCCCCGGAATATGGTGCCCCTCTTGAAGACAAATCATCGCAGGGTGATCCGGAGGAAGGTGCGTGGAAACCACATCACCCGTTTCAGGGTTCTGGAAGTGATAAAGGGTCTGAGTCGGATAGGGGGATACGGCTTGGTATCGGGGTTGGGCTTTTGCGCTAGGGTGTGGAGGTCCCGGTGGAGAGGGGTAACGCAACGCTGCTCGCTCATTGTATGGGAAGAGCAAAGAGGTCTGCTTAGGGGTAGTGGATACATGCTGAGGAGAGGTGGATGAGACATTCAAAGCGCCAGTGTCCCCGATCTCTCGTGAAGAAGGGCCCGCAGTGGGTTGCGACGAAAGGATGTTGGATGGCCCTGAAATGGTTAATGCCATGAGCACACCCCAACGCGTGAGGCCCAGTCTACCCACCTCTCGAAGGAATCTCTTCGTTCGTAGCAAGTTGGTATGAAGGAGGTGGTCCAGTGGGCGCAGGAGGTGTAACTGACGTGTCGAGTGGATTCCCTTTGGCCATGATTAACCAAAACGTGTGGGAAATCGAGAGTCGAGAGTCGAAAGTGGAAGAGATTCTGCTGAGCAATCAGCTAGAGTGTTAGGCAGGTGACCAGCCTCTCTTTAGCGGAAAGAGATAGGAGTGCTGCGGTCGCAGTGCACAGTAAACAGATTGTAAAAAGCGATGAAGGGCCGGCACTACCCCTGTAAGTCAAGGAAACTGTCTCGATCCCTTGTAAATATGACAACCTACCAGTTTGATCATTGATGTGCGCTCTTTGGAGCGCAGCCACTGGCACTGATGATCAACTCGGCCAACTCCTCCGCTTGAGCACGTGCCTCGAACCCGAAGTAACCCCAGGAAGGTTGGCCAACGGCCTCTAGTCGAGACGGATGCCAAAGGAGGGCAATTTGGTGCCCTTCAACGCGTCAGCAGACAAATCAAGTACGTGGCTCTTTTATTGGAAGCTACCAGTGCTCTTAGTTACTCTGTCTTGCAGACACGAATGGGGCACATCACAAAGCAGCGAGCGTCTTCCGTCCGCCAACCAGCGAAATAGCCAACGCGAATGGCGTGCGGAGACCGAGTTCAGGGAGTAACGCGACATGTATGCTTTGCTCTATCGTCTATTATTATTCAGCAATCTGAGCGCCCACGCTGCAGCCATTATTTCTCAACAGCCCTCATTGCCGGGATCACACAAACGTTCATTCTCTGAGGCTCATCTGAATCGCCCAAAGAAGAAGCCTCGACTTGACCGTCAACCTTCCGCTTTCGTGACAGGCTCATCCCGTCCAGTTCCACTTGCAGCTTCAACCTCGTCTAAGCCATCCGTGTCCAATACAGCTACACCAGGGAAATCCCCTGGTGTCTCAGCATTAGGTAAGTCCTCGAATGGCATAGAAAATTTGCGTACACATTCCAACGGTTCGGCAACCAGCTTCCATCATCACCGATTCGGACTCCGAGATCGAGATTCTGGAACCACTAAATCGATTCCCTTCAGGGAAATCTATTCCACAGAAGAGACCTAGCACAGGCCCTGAAATCATTGAGATATCGTCGTCCGACTCGGAACCGCCTTCCAAGAGCACGAAACAGCCGATAATTCGTAAAAAGCGGCCCCCGAAAGTCAAAGAAAATGAAACCCCCCACAAAACGCCAAAGAAGAGTGTGCCTCCGATTGCCCCCGTAGCAACGAAACAAGCCCGGCCATCGTCCAGCCTCGCAACCCCAAATACTTCCGGTTCTACCACAGCCAAACCGGTGCTATCACATTCCGCCACCGCACCACCTCCTGTTGGACGCACGGTGGCTACTCCCATGAGCCAAGCTGAAGAAGGCTTGAGCCGGGTCCGCCAGTTAATTTCGGACTTCATCAGTGTCCGTTCTGTAAATGTTCCAGATACTAGTGACACTGTATCACCGAAGGTGCCTAACAGCACACCTCATGGGAATCCCTTGCCGTTCCCTGCGAGTTCCCGAGCTGACAAGGGAAAGCAAAGAGATCCTGGCGAGAATGTGGGTGATTGTGATAGAGGCAATACATCCCACCTGAACTGGTTCGTTCCCAGACCGGTTTTATTGAGCGTTCCGGCCTAAGGAAAGTAGCAGAGAGGGAAGTTATCGTGAGTTTCTCATATTTTGTGTCCTGAATAGTGTCTAAGGTGAACCTGCAGGACGTTGACGCGCAATCCCTCGAAACGAGGAAAAAAAGAAAGAGAAAGAGAAAGAAATTTCCCATACTCGTCCTCCGCGAAGTAAGTAACTTCCCCGTTCAAATGCCTGCTAGAAGATGCTCAATGCTTGAGTCAGGGAAAGCTCCCCTCAACGTCAGTTGGCTTGAAGAAACCCCTCTTCATTGAACCATCCGTAGGCTATATTCCCTCACTTCATTCCGCACTTAAACGACTCTGGTGCTAGGCTTCGTCTGAACTCTCCTCTCACACCTCCGAACCAATTGTCAGGAACCCCTCAAATCATAAAAATGATTTTGCCACCGAGCGACTTGTAACCAAGCCAAAGAAAAAGGATCAGCAGCAATCAGCCATTGATCAAGTATTTACTTCTTGTAGGGATTTCTCTAGTTTTGGGTGGGCTAATGTGTTATTAACAGCTCCAGGCAGTTCAATCCCCTCCACCTATTTTACACTCAAAATCTTTATCACTTGCGTCAAATGAAAAAGAGCCTTCTGCCATTGCACCCACTCTCATATGTCAAAGTATCTCAGGTAATAAGACGTCGCCATGCGTCAAGTTGGCAGGCAAGTGGCAGTTCGCTCCGTCTTTACTTCACTCTGACATTTTTAAAAATTCAGAGGGGGAAACCGGCAACTCGAATTCCAGTGCCAAGCCGAAGTCTTTTGCTAAGTCCACTGGAAACGGGCAGGACTCAGGTGAAGCAGAAGATATCTGTGACCTGAGGGCGTGATCTGAATTTTTGGATAGCATCTACCTTTCCTAGTGCATGGCGTTCCGCGGCAACATCGAATTCAAGCCCTGCGCCATCTTCAGGGACAGATGCGACCGGTATGATTGATGGGTTGCCTTCGCCTCTTCCTGTAAACTCAATGTCTTCATATAGAAGATCTCGTTGGTGCTTTCGCGAGTCAAGAGGAAGACACGGGTCTTGGCACACCTTTAAGTAGTGACCACCCTCCAACCGCCGCTGCACCATCCTCAGGGACAGATGCGGCCGGTATAGTTGGTGGGTTGCCCCCGCCCCTTCCTATAAATTGTTCTCAAAGTCTTTATATAGAAAACCCCCTCGGTGCTTCTGCGAGTCGAAACGAAGACGTGGCTTTTGGTGCATCTTCAAATAGCGGCCCCACTTTCCAAGGCATGCATATTCAATAGATTCTTAATGTTTGCTGATGTTATCGCCCAGGACCTGCCCGCAAGTCCGTTACTTCATCCAATGATCCCAATGTTAATCAAGTGCGTTGAAATGCTCCGAGAGAATGCGGGTTGTGTATGACTGTTAATTAGCCCCCCATTGGGAAAAGGAAGATGGCGTCCATTGATGCTGGGTCCTCTGCTACAAAGGACGTCCTTCAGACTTCACCCCCGAAGCCGGAGCTGCCATCGACTGATGTGCAGAATAAGCAGGCTTGCAAGGTTTTGATAGACACAAAATGCTCGGGTGAGCAAGACGAAGAGGAGGTATCTGTCTTCGCGAAACCTCTATCAAGTTCAGCGTGTGCGATATCCCCCACAGTGTCATCAAGCATGGAACTACCAAATCCGCAACATCTGCAAAACCGTAAGGGATGTTTCTCTCGCTCTGACTTATGCTAAGCTTATACATTCATAAGTCCCGACGTCATCCCAGAAGGAAACCCCAGCTAGTGCCCGTTCATCACTTATTGTCACAAATCACATTTCGTCGGGAATAAAAGAGACACCGCCGGGCTCTGTCGGGTCCACGCGAATTACTCGACAACTTTCTCCAGATCCTACCACGGCGTCGGACAACATAGTAGCATCTGCGGCGGGTGTTTCATCATCTGAAATTGTTTCTAAGGAATTCCCCTCATCGAACAAGAAGCCTCTTGTTAATGGGACTGGGACTGGTGTGCTTGATTCGTGTCCAGCTCCTTTCGCTTGATTAAATCGAGGTTTTAGTCCTACTTGCACCCTCTGGGCGTTGTCCTCCACATGTCCCCACCCCCCAACCCTGGAGCAATACGGTATGTCGTTGGCATGAGTTAGCAGAACATCCCTGACTTTATCTGCAGATCAAGCTGAAGACACCAGATATGCCGAGTTTTTCCAGTGAAAACACTTCACTGGTTGAGCCACCGAAGATCCCTAAGCGGTCTGAAACGCCCCAGAATTCAACAAATCCGGACCTCGACTCCGTAAGTGGTGGTTGCGCCCCTAAGTTTGTTGTCCGTCACTAACATCAGTAACTAGACTCCCCTCTTGCGCCTAAAAAGCTTGAACTCGCACTTGAGGATTCCCCTTGAACCATCCGCGGCCGTTGCATCTTCATCCGGTCTCCACTCACTCAGGCTAAATGAATTGTCCCCCACCGCGTCAACATTGGGTGTGCACCGGCCTGGGCCCGTGTCTCCGACGTCTTCTGTTCCGCGAGCTCGCAAGTCAACATCAAAGGCTTTGATGAAAATCTTGGCTTCACCTACTTCTCTCGTGTCTCGGTCACAATTTACGCATAGGGCATCGCCCTCTTTTGGGCAAGCAGACACAGAACGTGAGAAGGAAAGGGAAGAAGGCTGGCAACGACGGCTGGATCTGATACGCCATTCGCAGCGTTTTGTGCCCGATCATCCACATATTGCATGGTGGTTGGTGGGCCAAGATGAGAAGCTTCATTATAAGTGGAAGATTGCCTTTGAAGATATGATGGCATTGGCGTGCGATTTTGAAGATCCTAGAGCACCCCCAGTCAAGATCTTCAATGAAGTGGATCCACATGTGGAGCCTCATCCAAAGTTCGAATTTCTTTGGACGAATAAAGTCATCCTTGGCCAAGATGTGCCCAAGTCGTCACGCGAAAATCTCAAAGGTTGTGGTTGCTTTGGTAAATGTGATCCGCAATCCAGGAGCTGCTTCTGCGTCAAACGTCAGATGAAGAACTGCCCGGAACTGAAGTCCCAACCTGGCTTTGCGTATGACCTGGATGAGACCTTGAAATGGGTCGATTATCCGGTGGTTTTCGAGTGTAATGATGAGTGCGACTGCGACCCAGATTGTCCAAATAGGGCATGTATTTCATTTACCCGTCCAAAATACAAGAATCTGATTTTCCATAAAGGTCGTCCAACGGGGCCGAAGGGCCCGCATAAGCATCAAGAAGACGAAGAATAAGGGCTGGGGTTAGTTTCTTTCGATTCCCTCCTCATAATTCAGCCTCGAACCGATAATCGTAGGGGTATTTGCTCAAGAACACATTAAGGAGCATCAATTCATTGGCATCTACTCTGGGGAACTGATCACGGAGAATGAGGCCGAGGCGCGTGGAATGTATGTGAAAAATTGTAGTCGTCTGTTGTCTCTCCATCTGAAGCCCGCTCCTGCAGCATGTATGGTGACCTTGGGCGCACGTATCTCTTTGATCTGGACTTTGAGAGTGTCCACATGATTAAAGAAAGACTTGCCCAGGAAGCGAGCGAGGCAGCGGAGCGAGCAACACGCAGTAATCATAAGGTGAAGAAGCAACGTGCTGCCGGATCGCCGAGCAGAACTCCACTTCAAGAAGATTCCGGGAGCAGTTCCGGGACAAGAGTCAACAGTGAATATACGGTAGACGCCTTCTACGTTGGAAATGTGAGTGATTGTGAATTCGATTTCCGGCTCATTTTTTCTAAATCCAGACTCTCCCATCGCAGCATACTCGATACCTGGCACGTATATTCTCGCTTCTCTTCACCTTGACCTATGCTGATTGCGTGCCCGACCAGAATCACTCGTGTAGCCCCAATTGTTTCCCCGTTCCGGTCTTCATCCAGGAATCTGACTTAGTCAAGCCTCTCATTTGTCTCTTCACTATTCAGGAAGTTCATCCTCACGAAGAACTTACGTTCTCGTATTTTGGGGAAGCGACAAGGGTGAGCAGAGTCATTGCCCTTGCTAATTTTCCCCTTACATTAAGTCACATGTTAGGCTCTCCAGTCTGGTGACGAAGACCAGCGATCGGGGAGAGTCTTTGTGAAATGTGAATGCGGCGCAGACCAATGCATCGGAATAATGTTTGGGTAGGTATCAGTCTGTGAAATGCTTGTGTTCTAAGACTCCCCAAATTATGTGCGCTTATGCATGTACGAAGATGGTGACTCCGGACACTTTAATTATATAATGTACATGTAGTCGCAAGTATTTTGATAATCATAGACTTTTGGGCCATGAGAACCTGACGCAAGCCCCGGTGGCAGGAAAAAGACCCGAAGCCATCAGAAGCTGGCTATCGGGCCTCAAACTGCACCACTGCGAAAAGTCAGTTTGAGACTGAGAAAATTTAGCGCAATGGACTGACTTCGTTTTGTCCGCTTCTTGTACATGATGCGGTGCCCACATTCTCTGCAACGAATGGGCTCTCGCGGCCGAATCTCCGTTCGTGCGCCACAATCTGCACAAGGTGTCAAAAGCTCCATGAGATTCATCTCCGATGTTGCACATGATGATAAATCACTCACCAGCACAGAGATACTCTAAATCTGCGATTCTTGGTGGATTGATGACATTCCCACCGACATCAGCGTTGTTGTTGTAAGCTGGCGTCTGACTCATGGTTCTTGCTAATCGAGAAAGGCTTTTGGCTCCGACTGCTTCAGGAAGGTCGTCACGTGCAATCACCTCCACTCGACACAGAATTGCGACATCGGATGGACCCTTCAAATACATTTCAGCTTAACTGTCTCGCTAGGCCACCTATATACCCCCCCTCCCCTATCTTTTCTTATATAGAGCTCCCTCTGTAACGGTTCCAGTGTCTATCGTCAGAGGGCTAAACAACACTCGAACTGTTACTCGTAGATTCACTTCTCACTTCTCTGGAATCCGTGGTCAAGACAAAGATCATGTTAATGGCTACCTCTACACTTCCAGCCCCAGAGGCTGCTGCTCGAGCACTCTCTGTCGTACTGGGTTGGACTTACTTCTTCGCTTGGAGTTTCTCCTTCTACCCTCAGGTGAGGCAGTCTTTGCTCTTCGGGGTTCACGTTGCGGTAAAACTGACGTCGGAGATTCTATCTCCGGCACTGTTAGATCCTCCTCAACTATCGCCGGAAATTCGTTGGGGGTCTTTCCATAGACTTTGCTACCCTCAATGTGATGGGCCACAGTGAGTGTCGCGTAATGCTTCTAAGTCAAGGTGGTTGACACCTCGTTGTAGCATGTTATTCCATTTATTCTTCCGCGTTTCTCTTCAGCCCAGGAGTACGCGAGGAATATCGCAGACGACACGATGGGCACAATCCAAGTGTTCAGCTCAACGATGTTGCATTTGCACTACACGTAAGTATCCTGGATCATGCTTTGAAGTGTGGGGTTGACATTTGTCGGATTACGCCATAGGCAGCCACTCTTGCGTCTATTACACTCATCCAAACATGGATCTATCCAAGAGAAATCGGACAACGTCTATCCACTGCCAACCGTTTCGTTGTCGCCATCGCTCTTTTTATGTTCACAACCCATGTCTTCTCCATCACTCTGGGCACAGAGCCGATCATTGATTTCTTATATATTCTGTCCTACTTTAAACTATATGTCTCAGTGGCGAAGTATGTCCCTCAGGTGAGTTTTCCGGCAACATGGAGCATAAGCATAAAAACTGATGAACGGCATTGGAAGGTTTGGGACAACTACCGACGCAAATCCACAATAGGTTGGTCCATTGGCAATATCCTATTGGACTTGACTGGAGGATCGTTATCCCTGTGAGTAGCAGCCCATGTTTGGCCCCTCGCGGTGTTGTGCCCCTATTCATGCTGCACATTCTTCACCTCAGCATCCAGCTCTTCATTGATGCAAGTGCGGATCATGATTGGGCGGCTGTTACTGGGAACCCTGTGAAATTGTATGTTACCTTCCGAACACACGCATCAATCGATCTAATGCATGCTCCCTTTTTTATCCACAGTGGTCTCTCGATCCTCACCATCATCTTCGACATGGTATTCGTAATTCAGCACTACGCACTATATACAACCCGAAAGGATTTCGCCATGGAAGATAAGGAAGGACTCACGAAGTCCGATCTTGAAGCCCAGGCTGCAGCGAACATGAACGAGAGAACGCGTCTGTTATCGAGCTAAGGTGCACGCCGATATGTATAATTTAGCTATATACCTGTTCACGACCTAGTTATGATAATATACAAGCCTATTTCTTTACATGCATGCAGACCATCCTCAACCAATGGCGGTCCTCATGGGCGTCGGAATGTCGTTGCCCTACACACTAAAACGCCGCAACGGAGACGAGAGCAGTCTACCCCGAAGGAGTGAGCTCCGAATAGACTCTCGACCGAGAAGAGAAGTTAATGCTAACCAGAAGGGGAATTCCTCATCGATAATAGCCGGATAGATAAGATGTCGGAGAGATAAAAGATACCGGTGAATGCCTTGTTACATTATATAATCACACTCCTACCAAGATAACTTCTCCTCTTTCAGTCCAACGCCTAAACGCTCAGGGTCACTCATATGAATAGCATGCGGGCTGCATCCAAGTTTTAATATTAAGAGGAGATCTAATCGCATGAAACAGTTAGATTAAACGGCTTATCTCTTGCTTATCCATCGTAGTTAGTGTATCAACCAACAAGAACGTGCTAGTTCGCTGGACCTTTGAATGGACTTCATGTCGCATGGGTACATTAAACGGTTTTTGGGGATGAGATGCTTATGTGCTTCAAGCGCCAGGCAACTGGAATGATTGCCGGTAGTGATGGGGATATGTCCACGGGGCTGTGAGTCGTATCGTATCATATCTAAGCATTGCACCTGCGGGAGTGTGGAACATATTGGAAAGCGTCATGCGTCGTTCGGCTTTTCTTTCCATTGTTATCCCGCCGTCTGCTGGATCCTGAAATTAGCAGCTCGAACAGGCCGGGAGTCACCCAGAAGAACGAAGCCGAGCGACCGCGACACGCGTACTTTCCAATAAACTTGCTCAGTGACTCCGAGTCAACGATCAACCCCAAAAATAATATCTCTTATCTATTGCGTGATTGTACCAACAGATGGCGTCGACAGGGCGGTAATTAAGAGTGGTAGACCTGCTGACGCGAATCTGAGTGGTCAAATAGGCTTTCCCTTCATGCACCGATGGAAGATATGAACCGGGTTGCGAGTTCTTCTATGTCGGGAACCACCGCGTGATCACGCAAGCGGAATTGGTACGCCCATGGACGATAAATGTATTTCCTACAGCATTGCACAACGTTGAACTGGTAAGTGAACCCAGTAGACTGGAAACCAACCACACCACTGATGGATTCGCCAAAACGCAACTATATTAAGCATCTGGTAGCGTTAACTTAATTTTAAGGCAATTATCAAATCAAGATGGACTTATATAGCTCGTGCATGTGAGAGTGTATCGTGCAAAGACACGCATACATAATTGGCGCAACAACTCAAGTCCCCACGCTTGTAATGGCCAATTATCAAGACCGACCTCAGACAGGGGAAGAGGGATAAATGCTGGATGACAAAGCACTGAAAGATATACCCACCCAGTCTGAAAGGACTGTTCAAAAGTTTAAAGGGAAGATATCGAGTAATATAATCATGGTTTAGATCGCTCAAAATGTTTGCAGCTTGTTGTGAGTGAGTGAAGATTGGGCTGCATCCATCTCACCGACTCCAGTGAGGTGGCTGCATACAACATCATCCCAGATCTCAGACGGAGCTGCATGTATAACGACATGCAACGTACATTGAGGTTGTGAAAATCCACCGGCTAGATACTGCGGGATGTGCATAGGAGCAGGAGGATAGGCAAGGTGCATAGTTGGTCTAGTGAATGGCCTGGAGGGAGTGGGGGGTGGGGGTGGGCGAGGGCGACCAGGTCTTCCATGTTTGGTATCGGTTGCACCATAAGTGTCAATTCTCAATTAATTAATTAATTAAAGGATCCGCACGCATGGAATCGTTTGGCCTTACTAGAGCTGTGCAAGTACTAATCGTTTGTATAGATATATGCGTTGTCCCTCCTAGAAGACGAAGGCGAGTAGGCACATCGCACGCTGTATCAGGAGGCCCGGTGAAGGGAATATCCAACGGAAAGACGAATGTGCGCCACTCGCATATTATTACTGCACTGCACACACGCACCGACCATTCCAACTCCAACTATGCATACCCTCGACATTATAGATCATACACCGCTCTCACTCATTGGGCTAGTGTCCCTGGCCGCAGGCTTTTACTATATTGCTTGATTCAAATTGGCATCGCAATTACGGATACCCATTTGTCATAAGGCGATGTTCCTTTCCAAGAGATCAGCCCCGAGCGTCAAGGACACATCCCAACTAGATGCGCCACGGCCAAAACAGGAGGTCTCACAAGGAGGTTCGTGTGTCCGCACGATGAACACGTGTTTTCCCCAATCCAACTGGAAGAAGAATCGAAGTTTCGAATGACCAACATGCACATATATATATATACGCCAACACCACTGAACAGATCCTCGCGCGTTGTGACACCAGTCGATCGAATAGCTGATTGGACCATTAACTGACTGGCTTCTGATCATTTCCGCATAGTTTATGCGTAACGGCAGTCCCATTTCAAGTCTGTAAAATGAATCGCTGAGAAGCCCCAAGATGGAGGTGTCTCAGGAATTCTGAACTCGCCTAGATGCTGCGCTGCGGACCAACATGAATAACATGAATGGTATACCGAACCGGTCGTTGGGCGGAAGAGGATAAAGGGGCTAGGGGGGTCCGAGGCCAGATCGAAATGCAGATATTAAATGCAACGTGCATACATGCGTGTTTTTCTTTTTTTCTTTTGCACATCCGTGCTCTTCTCATGCACAGAGTTGGAATAACGATGTAAATGGCTAGCGAGTAGCAGCCGATCTACCTCATTGCGGCAGTGGGTACCGTCACCGCCGAATGGACGCAGCTAACTGTTACTGGGGGTTGAAGGGGAGGGGGAGTTCTGCATGTGGAAGAGAGAGAAGAATCCTGTGCGCAATTGAGACGAGGAGTCGGAGACCGAGTTCGCGATGCTGTAACATACTCATGAAGGAGATGATTATGAATATTCATTGTACCTTGTGCAGGGGTGCGGGGTGGTACCACAACGTCCGGTACGTGCTACCGTATTGAAACAATGCAGTATCATGGATTGAGAGGCTGCAGTTCTTGCCTATTTTACCCTAGTTTTCTGGTCGAACTCCTGGCAATAACACCGTGAAGATAAAATAGGTGGCCCTGCTCCTCCCTATCGGTCCCGAGCCCAGTTTACTTAGATACCAATGGATGTGAGGGAGAGAATCGGGATCGGCGAATGGCCTCCGTGTTACTACAGACCAAAAGGGATCGCTGTGTGTTCGCACAAGCACAAGTAGTAATGGTCCCACTACTGTACTAGTAAGGGGGGAATGATACGAATATTTATCCGATTCATCGGTACAATCTCGCCCGAATAATAATAATAATAATGTTGATTCCAACTTGAAGGATATACCATAATGGCAGAACCCCTTGTAAGTAATCAAGTTGTTCCGGAGACGTCAAATGTCGAAGTTATACGTCTCCGGCAACTCGGCTCGATAATGAGAAAACCTCCTTTTTTTCATTCATTCCTCTTGGCTAGTCGCCTTCGCAAATACCTGAAAGCGAAGAGAGCCGGGTAGAATGCGCATAGGGAGATATCGAGAGGACATATTCCCACCCATACTTAATATAAGGCTGGGAAGTTATATATCATTCCTTTCTCACAAGGTGTGGCAGAAACAGAAATGCTAAAATAGTCGCTCTATGATCGACAGTCCGACGGCGAGAAGCCCGAACGGCAAAGTGGTTGGAGTGAGAGAAGAAGGTTCCGCGTTCCAGTTTTTTTGAGTTGTTGCTGAATGACCTTTTTGACAAGCGATATGCAAAAAAGCTGAGAACCATATATCGGAAAACGGGTTTACCGGGTCAACCGCAACCGGAAAACACTATAGTGTGGTGGGTGCTTCAGCCACATATTATATACTACTTTGACCATGTAAAGTAGGCCAAGCTAGTACAGAAAGGGTGGGGGGAGGGGAGTAAATGGAATGGCATGCTTGAACGATTGGGCCCTTGTGAAAGGGTATCATTGTTATCCCGTTGACCCGACCTGGTAGCGAGCCGAGGTTCCCTGGAGAACAACGGTGTATGCGTATCGGAGAGGGGGGGGGAGGATAAACGTTTTGGTGGGGGGGGCGCCCCTAGCTAAGGAACTCGGTGTATGGACTTACCATGGTGCCGCACGGCACCGTGGGAAGTACTATTCACCACCCATGAAATCCGCGGCGGCCAGTGCGGGGGGAAGGGGTGGGGAACCATCATGATGGGGTTACAATGCGGGGGGTTCCGGAGGCGGCCAGTGTAGAAAAAGTCCGACATCTCCAGGGCGTTTGGAGTAGTGACAATGAGGATGGGTGCGTGCCGCAGGCCCTCTCAGCTCTTGCGCGCTGGATGGAATGGCAAACGTCATTCGTCATTCTAGAATTCAAACAGCCGAGTATCCACATCATTCATCCAGGCCAGGCTTTTCATGGTGCATTATAGCACTATAGTATGTAAACTGGGATCGACGACTTCTGCCAGTTGCTTTGGAAGCGATTTATAAATTGCACGATGATACAATTTAATGTAAGCCCTTGGTCCTTGGATAAAAGATCGACAAATCGACATCGGTCAACATGACCACCAGGGGGAAAGGGGGGGGAATCAATTGTCGCGTCGCACTAGCGACACATGATGGTGTGTTAGCATCGTGTATTGCATACGGTTGGCGTCGTCACCAAAGCGATCAGGCGGTCAAGCGGTCGGACGAAGGGGGGTTACCACGAGACGATGACTTCAACTGTCGTCATTTTTGTTTCCACCGCACTCATGGCTAGAACCAGCCAGCCAGCCAGCCACCTAGCTACATATACCCAAAGAGATAAAAAGCGAGAGATGCAGATCTGATTTTTTATTTTTTATTTCATATTGATTTTGATCGTCCGGCGTTACGCCCGGGCTGGCACTCCATTGGCTAGCGCGTTAACACAAGGCAGAGATCGTAATGTTATAGTGGTGACACAAGGAAGTCAGATCCCACATGATATATATGGAGGACCAATTCATGAACGGCGGCAGTAGTAGCTAGCGAGATCAGGCGTGCGGAAACAGCATGTACAAGCAAGACTCAAGGCCTTAACCCCCGATCCATTTGTATTCTCTACACATTCGTTTCTATGCAGATAACGAGGCGAACGAACGCCTACGGGAGGCAAGGTGCCCATGTATATATATACCAAGGATGGAAAAAATCCCTCGCCTAGACTGTGTATGACCGAGGGGGATATATATTGGTGTTTTGAGCGCGCATCACTAGTACTTCTGTATCAGCTCGTGACGGTATCGCCGAACCAGCGGTTGAAAGCCCAAGCTAGGGAGTTTCGTGTGCGAAACAAAGGAAAGGAAATGTATACATAGCGTGCGGCCCCAACTTGACTCAAGGCCTTAACCCCCGATCATTGTGTATTCTCTACAACACACACCCCATTCGTTTCTATGCAGATAACGAGGCGAACGAACGCCTACGGGAGGCAAGGTTGCCCATGTACATATATATGCCATGGATGGAAAAAATCCCTCGCCTAGACTATGTATGACCGAGAGGGATATATATTGGTGTTTTGAGCGCGCATCACTAGTACTTGCACGGGGCTTCTGTAGCAGCTCGTGACGATATCGCCGAACAGCCCAAGCTAGATCGAGTTTCGTGTGCGTGCGAAGAAAGGAAAGGGAAATGTATACATAGCGTGCGGCCCCCCCGTACCAAGCCCAAAAATGGATTGCGTAGATGAGCCATGCATGGCCCCATGCAAAAAGAAAAGATCGGCCACTGGGCAGAAGCGTTGCAATCACTCCATCATGCAATAATATTACTTGTAACCTCCATCCCAGGTTCGTTTTATGAACATTGGAGCAACAACTAAAGGAAACTGGCCGCAAGTCCGCGCAAGAGCCTAGCTATAGCAAAATATATCCATCATGCAATATGTATGATGGCCCACTTGAACGAAGAATTGATTCAGTTTCCTTGGCTTTTTTGGATTGTCTTGCCCCCCCTGCAAGAGCTGATGCGTAATGACCGCGTGTGCTATTGGCTGTCAGATCATTTTTTATGTATGTAGTATAGTAGGATGGCAACACCGATAGATAACGTGTTTGTTTGTTGCAGGGGCAACAGAACACGGTTAGGCGCGCTAGAGATGATGATCGAGACATGCATGGTTAAGGGTATTCGGTGACAGGGCTGGTTGTTGGGCCCCTTGTAACCCCGAGAATTGTCCCGGGTGCTCTAGCGCTGGTTATCAAATCGGAGCTTGAATATATGGCCCGAGACTGTTGTTGTTACGGATCAACAATCTGCAACGACAAGTGTAGGGGGGGCAGGAATATAATCCAAATTGACATGTTCTAGAAGACCGCTGCGTCCAATGTTGCGGAAAATGTTTTCTGCCTGCTGCAAGTACTTTTGTTGGGGGAGCTATAAGAAAATCTCCAACGTAAAGTACTTGGAAATACTCCCGAAAACGCGAAACGGGCCACGAGTACTTGACTGGATCTGATCGGGAATCGATCGAGATGAAGAACTATGGGTGCAAAGAGTGAAGCTCGAAAAAAACAAAAAAAAAACAGCAAGGTCACAAGTCGTTGGAGATGTTTGCAATTATGTACTGACGAAAGAGGGAGGATTCAAAAAGAAAAGAAAAGAAAAGAAGAGAAAAGAAAGTAGAGGATAAAGATATCAAGCAACTATCGGATAATATGATGTTGAAGCAGGAGTAACTGCTTATTTCACGAGCGTTTGCGCCCAGTCTGCTTCTTGGGCGCTTAAGCCCTGCAGGCAGCCGACAAGTTGTTTCACTTGTGCTCAAACCCCAGATCGATAACGTGATCACACACTTAGGTGCTTGTGCACGGCCTGATAGTGAGACGCGATAGGTGAGATAAGAACGAGCTAAGAGTATTGTGCTGGGACCAAGCAAGTGAAAAGAGTCATTGTCGTCAAGTGAACGCGCGGCAATATGAATAGAAAAACTCCTGTTCGAAAGAGCCGAATTCAATGGATAAACCCAAGAGTTACCGGGAACGGCAAGTGGAGCTGTTGTCAAGGCAAAATCACTATAACCATACCGAGTTATCAATACCCGGAAAGCCTTAGCAACGCGCTCCCTCTGGGGTTCATATATCAACCGATTAACCCGATATTGCATCCCCCATTTGGGGGGGGGGGGGGGATTGGGATGCCGTAAGCGATTATGTACTCAAGACAAGGTAATTTATCCTCGTATCGAGGAGAGGGCGCGTTCAGCAGTCCCCATCAACAAAAAAAAAATGATCCGTCATAAGTAACACAGGCACCGAGCCCAGTAAGTAAGGAACGGGCGACAACGTTGTCTGATATAACTTCTGCAATATATGTAACCGAGGGAAGGCCGAGCCAGGACTGGCGGCAACGGTAATAAGAGGTGCCGTGAAGCGGACAACTCACTCATTTTTGATGAAAGAATATGAGGAAATCTACAACACGATTTGTCGGGGGGATATATCTTTATCCATTGCTCTTCTGGTTTGTGTGGAGGTTACTTGGGTGAATTGAATGATACAAAGCTGTCTTGAAGTTAAACTTTTGGGTGAACTGGAACGGGTTCATTGACATGATAATATTGATCATAAGCTTGCCATATTACTTACTTACATGTACAGCGGTGAAATACCCTTTACTTATATGTAATTGACCATCATGCCGAGCTAGTGAATCGATGGGCTTTCATGTGTGCCAGGGAGGAGGGATCAACACCAGTTGTCTCTCTCCTTTCATGGCAAGGAACGAACACTTTTTTTTCCTTGAGACATTTCGCCAGCGCGCTAGTGTCTGGCAACCCAAACCTACATAACTAAACCCCGTAACTTGGCACCCCCCCCACTTAGGTCCATTTCCGGTCGTAATTTGGTGCGTGTAATAATCTTGTTGCTGATTCGGTCGGGGGTGTAATTAGCATTACAATTCAGCAGCCATTTTTAAGCAACGCCCTTGAGCAGTCAAACTAGCAACGAGAACAGGAGAACAACCCAAAGATTTAAGGGCGCAAAGAGATCTTGCACGGAGAGAGATGAGAGAATGATGGAAAAATTGGTTTCTATCACTCTTGTCGGATCCAAGTTCAACAGCAATGAACATGAGATATTCCAGTATTTCAAATTCTCGTTTGCTCAAAGAGTTCAACTCGATCACATTCAACAAAATTGCATAACTCATCAAGGGGATGTCGAAGGACAGCTAGCTAGGTGCAAGTACATAACAATCTGCCCCCATGGTTTCAGCTGCAAGAGCGGGCGCCGTGTCACGGGTTAGTGCATGGTCGGTCGAAGAGAACCCTTCTGGGAAACTAGGGCAGGCAGGAGTTGAGCGCGAGGCTTGCATTGTCTGAGAAGAAGATCTATTCCCCCCCCGGCCCAGACTGAATTCCAAAAGAATAAAGATCCCGTTTGGGTCGTCCAGGTTCCGACGCGCCTTTGTACGGGAATGGCTGACTTACATATTCCTCGTTTCCTTGGTGATCTCCGGAATAGGGCAGCAAAAAGTATGCCCAAAAACCTCTTGCGTGAAATTGCAAAAAAGAGGTGGATTAAACATCCTTCGCATGTCTGGCAGCACAAATACGACGGCATATTCTTCCTTCTTTTTTTTTTTTTGCCATCCGCAACCTCTTTAGAGAGTGAGTGTGCAAACATCTCACTCTTTGACGACGAGGGTGCTTGCTGCTCAGTCCTACATAACTGACCACCAACGCCCAACTCGGCCCCACGCCCTAATATTCATCCATCTCCCTCGCCCCCCTACTCTCGGCCTCAAACTATAAACCTTTCCCCGAAAAATTTACCTATCAACGATTACAGCCACGCACGCGTTCAGAACTTGGTCCTTGGACTCACATCCGCTTGCTGTCATCGCAACCAAAAAAACTTGTAGCGTGTGTGTGTGTGTGTGTGTGTCTCCCATAGCCACCGAGTCGTCACCACGACCATCCCCACTTTACATCAAGCGATTTGTGTTATATCCCTCAACAGTTACCGCCGTTCTCCTTAATACTACCATAACATCATCACTCGCCCCTCCCCTTCCCCTTTGAATTTGTCCTTCTGCTAGCACGTTGCTATCTTTTCGCAACCTCCTCCTTCCCTCTATATCTATCCCATCCTATCCCTTCCGCCTTTACACTTTTCCCTCGATCCTTCAGCAATGACATCTCTCCCATCATTCGTAGAGCTGCTCAACTCATTAGGCTTGTCGGATTCCCCTCCAGTTGAGAGAGAGAGAGATAGAGATCGCGCCCATCTTGTCCCGCATCTGTCAAGGCAATATTCAAGACGCCACCATGTCCACCACCAGCACCACCAGCACCACCACTCTCGCCATAGTTCCTCTTCTGGAGCAAGTAGCATCGCGTCTTCCGATGTCTCCCCATCTATCACACATCGTCATACTACCGCTTTACCACCTCGTACGGAACGTGGACTGGTGGGTGCGCTTGCGCCGGAGGTACGACTCTCCGGGAGGCAACATCGGAGGTTTTCGCCTTATTCCCATTCGGCATCGTCTTCCGTACGTACGCTTCCCTTTTCTTTTTTCCTGCTGACTACCCTACTCTGACGTTGTTCTCTTCTCTTCTCTTCTCTTCTCTTCCTGACATTGCCCTCTGAATACCTGCTTTGAACTTTGCTATTTTCCAAATTCCAATCGCTCGATGTATTGTCGATGGCGCGTCGTCCTCATGGCCACGGGCTTCGTCGGGTAAAAAAAAAACAGATATTCGCTCGAAGGGGATCACTACCCACATTGACCATCCCGACCCTCATCGATGCCCCGACACAATTCCTTCAGGTACCAAGGGTGAGAGTCCTGCTTGCGTTCTTTCTACCACCCATGATCTGACGGCGCTTATCCATTCAATATCGTTGTTCCGTTCATGTCCGATTTGCCTTTTTTTCTTCCGTTGGTCCGTGTGCGACTTGAAATGCGAACGACGATGGCAAACCTTGCTGGAACATCATGGCTTAACTTTGTGCGGCAATTTCCATATCACCATATCAATTCCGCGGGGGGGTCCTCAATTCAATTTCAAATTGCCGTTTTTGTTTTTTTGGCAATTGGACTTTTGCTCGCAACCGCAAAATATTCGCCACAAATCGCCGATCTTTCAAATCCCCCTCCTTTCTTCCCCTGTTTCCGTTCTCTCTACTTTACATATGACATGACATGACATGACAAGACGGCCACCTGTTCGTCATTTACTTTCGAGCGCCGTTCAGAATCATTACCATCTCCATTCGACCCACCACCATCACCGCTTGCATCTTTATCCGAAAACAACTACTCTGCGAGAAGAACAACATCCCCTTTATCCCAACGCGACGAGCTTAGCGTACCATCACTATCATCACCATCACCTTCCTTGCCCCTCTCGCCTCTTTCGCCATCTCGGCCATCTAAACAACAATCATCATCATCATCTCCTCCGTCTCCGCCTTCCAACAAGCCGCCACCACCACCGCCGCTGCTATCATCATCACCATCATCAATACTATTATCCGAAAAGCGACAGGAGCAATTATCGCAGCAACCGCAGAATCAACAACAGCAACAACGACGACAACATCAACGTCGTCTGGTCCCACGCAAACGTCTTTCCATTTCTATCGAGAAGGCTCAAACCGGGTGTAACGATGTTGCTGGATGGGGTCGTACACCACCGATATGCAATTTATTACGTAAATCCCCTACGACACCCGGTAGCGTGACGGTTCATTCTGATTCCACCGCCACTCCCAACACGGCCGCTACGACGGCGAGCGGGTATGGGAATAGCGATGGGCCGTTAACTCCAAGTAGCGCTTCATCACCTGGGAATACCACTGCTGCTTATGTCCACAGCGGCGGGCTGAAGAACGCGGGAGGAATGTCGATACCGACTATTCCTCCTGTGTTATCTCCCTATTCTCCAACTTTCCACCTTTATAGTAGTAATTACGCTCATGCTAGGGAGAGAGGAGATCATCATGCGAGTCCTCGAAGTCCGTTTCCTCTGAGCGCTGGTACTGGTACTGGTACTGGGAACTCACCGCATCACTTGACCATCCCACCTGCAGTAGTAGTCGTACCCCGAAGTGGAAGGGGTGCGACGGTTTCGATATCGAAAAAGTTGAGAGGTGGTGGTGGTGGTATTGGGTTTTCTTCCAGCGATCGTCATATGGGGAGGGAAATCATTCCTGATGGTCCGATAAGCACTCCTTTGGTGAATGTATCGAACGGAACTGGAGCATGGAGGACTTTGCGATAGGGAAAGACCGAGAGGGTTCTTTTCGCGTTGGGGTTACGGACCCCCTCCGTACCGGAGTACTCTCTTTGTTAAGTTTAATGGAAGTTGGAAGGCCCGGGGAGGATTCGTGTGCGCTTGCTTAACTTTCGCCTCTCGCCGCCCTAGTATATCGTTGTTTTTTTTTTGCCGCCCTGGTACTTGTGCGTCCTCCTAGTGATGATGAGTTTGAACGTTCCGTTGCTACCATGCTAGTGGTGCGCAAATTTGCGCAGTTTATTCTTTTTTTTTTTTTTTTTTTTGGAGATCACATTTCTTTTTCTGCCTGACTGCTTACTGGAGGTATCTTCCGTCATGTTTGATCGGTTGAGCGAATTTGCGTATTTTCCCCCGTTGTCATTTCGTATCGTTTTTGGTGACGTTTGGTTTAGAGGCAGAGCTTCTACCCCAATTGCAATATGTACGTTTACCTAGCTCGATCATTCCCCCACACCGCGCGTCCAAACTTTCTCGATCTCAACTTCTCGGATTCTCTTTTTCTCATCGTTCGCGGTCTCAAGCTCACTTTTGTCCTTCATTCCTAACTCTTTTTTCTTATTCTCATTCTCATTTCGTGCATGCAGTTCATCTCTCAATTGCTTTTCCTTTTGTCTTCCACCCCTTCTAAATGCTGTATCCTCGTGGACTCTCTCTCACTTTCAATTTTATCATTTCGTCACCATCTCAAGTTAGCCAGCCCCTTCTATCACTCCCCCTCCCCCCTATCACATTATCACACTGACCAATTCCCCATTCACATGCCAAAGTGGGCTCCCTTGTCAAATTTAAATGTAGGCATTCCCTGGTACATACTCATTTCCTGTGCAGGGACAAATATATTCATTTGCATGTTCCGTTCCAATTGGTTTTCTTCCTTGCACGATGATCAACTCTCATCTCTTTCAGTCTACGCCGTGGTCATCTCGCGTCTCTCCCTTGCTGTTCGACCCTAGCTTGAACCCGCATTTCCACTCAAAGCACCTTTTACTCTTTAATCTCCTGGGATCACTCGCATTTACACTCCCTAGACTCATTCCTTCTTCTCTGGTTCCGCCACTTCCTAAATCAACATTCCTGCCCCCAGACTGATTTACTGGAGTGTTACATCATCACAGTTTCGGAGATATTCTACATATATTCTCGTTCGTTCGCGGTGAACCGGCCTTTTGATAAAATTTTCCGGTAATGCTCCTGTATGTGCGTTTCCGTGAAGTCCGCTTCCCTAAGTTTCGTTCGCCTAATATCGGTTAGCTCCACCAAAAGCCTAGGGCCCCCCCTTAAGCCTTATTTGGCTGCCCAGGTAGTCTTCTGGCCCAATGCTGAGTTTTCTTCATTCACGCAGTTATCCAACATAGCAAATTGGGGGGTTAACGTTCTCCTTTGTCATTATTGGATAAGTGGCTTTGTATTGAAGACTAGAACTGATCCTGGACGGGTTTGAGTGTGGCGTGCGAGGCGAGCTGTCCAGTAAAAAGGATTGCAATGGGCGCTTCTGATGTGTCATTTTGCAATGCACTGGACCGTTGACCCTTCGGAAAAGGGGTTAAACCCGCACAAACCTCTTGAGCCCATGGACCTTTGAAGAGCGAATACATATGAACGGAAAGCGGGAAGACATTGATGCTCCTCGGCTGGGACGGACATTCGAATTGGAAAACACTAGCTAGGCTAATCATGCTCTTCTTCAGTTTCCCCAGGACATGATTTCTCCATATCCTCCTTATCGTCATACTGTGTCCCACACCAGAAACAATAGGCATACTCAGACCGAAGGTATGAAAGCACTTTGTCAAGTCTGCCCTGGGCCTGAGATTCATCCAATGGACATAATGGAATCGTGCGTGCACAGCAAGGGAAAAAAAAGGGGGGGGTGGGGGATGGGGGATGGGGGGATTGGGATAAGCGAGGTGCAATCACAACGAGTCAACAAGTCTGTTTTGATTGAATGACTTACCGGCATACTGAGGAACTCTCTTGCCTCCGCCACTTCGTCTTCTGAGAAGTCGAGACTTTCCGTTTCCTTGTCCACTCCTTGCTCTTCGTCATCCAATGTCTTCCTCGCCTGTTTCCCCCCGGTAGAGGATGAGCTGATTCCGAAGGCGAATGCCTCTGTCAGCTCGTCCGGGTCGTCCTCCATCTCACCGTGTAAGCGGGGAAGCCGTGGCTGAAGCGCATCTTTCTTCATCTGTTCCCGAAGTCGAGCCACTTCGGATTCATGCCCTTTTAGTTTTTGGGGAGGGAGAAAGTCATCGTCCGGATCTACGCCAGCGGTAGGAGATCGTGCGTCTTGTAGAATTTCGATACTGAATTCAGCAGGTATCTGAGCAGAAAATGTTCCGCCAGATTGTTGAGTTCGTTCTAATGCTTGCAATAACTCGGGCGGACATGAATTTGGGTTGAGGGGATTTAGCCAGAGGATATTAAACTAAACCGGATCATGTAAGGTCAAAATGTGAGCAAAGGATGATCGTTACCTTCAGTCCGGCCTTCTCGTCAAGGGAAACGCAAGTACGAGTGGCAACAGTAAGACGCGCTTCAGCTCTTTTTTCCTCGAATTCGCGCCGGGTTCGTTCTCTGAAGGCTTCGGCAGTTTCTTTCTCAGTTTCCGCAAGCTTGGTCATCTTAGCAGCTCGTATGGCGGGGGTGTCATCCAACTGAGCAGCACGCTTCTGCCCTAAACCCAAACCTCTCCTCCCTAATGAAGAATCGTGTTACTCATATCGCAGCGATCCAAGGGGACCATTGCGATCGTGAAAGCTTACCGTCCCATATAGAGATGCGGAGTGGCTCAATACGATGATCATCAGCGGCAGACCCGATACCGCCACGATGCTCTTCAGCGAGGCCACCTGGATCGCCTTCCGCAACCCTATCATTACTCTTATTAGCATCATTCACCGTTGGTGAGTCGGCTTTGCGTCCCAAACCCTCTCCCTCCTTGTAACCCATCTTCACCATCATACTCAAAGCTTTACTGCCACCCAAGCCCATTTTCTCCTCCTCCCTAGCCCTCTCAAACAAGCTAGTACTCAAGCCCTCCTGGATACGCGCTTTGGCTGAATACTTCTTTTGTTTTTCTCGGTTCTCAGCATCTTTCGCTTCAGCTGCACGTCGTGCCTCGTTCCTCAGCCGAGAGTAGGATTTATGGCTGCGAGAAGTCTCTGCTTCCACTAGGAACTTGGGTGAGAGATAGTCATCTTCGTCATCGCTCATGAGAGTGACCAGATCGTGGCTGTACAACAGCAGGTTCACTTGTGCTGACGTAATACCGATAGGTCAGAGACCTTTTGCACGTGCAATGACTAATTAGACTAAGCCGTGATTGAACACTCATCTCACTACTACAGTAGTTCAGTTGTGCTATCGAACAGAAGCATCGCAAGTGGAGTTGAGACTTATTACGTTTCTTCGCTGACATTCCCTCCTCCCGTATATGTACCTCAAGCGCTACAACATCATCTTTGCCATGCTAGCATAGGCTTCGCCAAGAAGTCCTAGATTGTGAGAGGGTGATGGTACCAGCGTGTTGGATGTGGGAAGGTGGCTCACTCATTGTCCTGAATGTCATAGTCATGACGGAATCTCAGGGAGGGACGAGAACAGTGGAGTTGCAGGCAGACAAGATTTTTAGTATGCGTTAGCGAGACTGTCAGGTTGAAAGATGGATCGGTCCTCCTGGACTGTCCATCCATATGGTGAGTTCGCAGGCGTCTGGGGGAAGGGAGTTGGCAAGCCCAAGCTAGTAGGATGGCTATATATGCGTCGTGTGTTATTCATTTGCTTCATTCTGAGTATGTGACCGCAGAGTGCAGGCTGCTCGTGAAAAGGGCCAAAGACAGTCTGGGAGTAATCCACTTATTCATTGCGCCCTTCGGCAGTAATGATTGAGAGATGCATGACACATGGTGTATAGGTTTACGCGCTGCAACACACGCACTCTGGTCTGAATAGAATCGAAACCCGGACGTCAGTGAGCCAGCAAAAGGATCCATTTTGTCAAAACCACTACAATCGCCAATAAACATAAGATCTAGTCCAGCAGCAGTAAGGTTTCTTGAGCGATGCAGTAGCTTGATGAACCATGATGCAGGGGGTTACAGGGGAACAATAAAGGGGTTAGCTAAACACCCATTGAACGGGAGACGAGTTCTTGGAAATGGTACGAGCTAGCCCCGGGACCATGCGTACAGCCGACTCGAACACCCAACGGAAAAGTGAGCCAGACTGAGTCAGGGAACAGAGGGTAGGAGCAATTGAACGATGAGCGCGAACGCTGCGTACAGAATTGAGAAATCGATTCGATGGGACTGGGAAAGGAAATTTCTTCAAAGTTTATGGAATCTGTTAAAGCAGCGATCAGGAGTGAGCAAATTAAAGGAGGTCGGTGCAAGAGTTTGATTTCAGCAGCAGTTTTTGCACGCGTCAACGAATCCTGGATGAAAGGCAATCTTTAGGCAGCGACAGTCTCTTCCTGATAATTAGCGGGAGCGCCCTCAGCAGCATGCTCGGCGGCGTCGGGAGGGTTGCTGATGGCGACTTTGACAGCAATCTCGCGATCGTTAATCAGCTTGCCGGAAAGAAGTTCGACAGCCCTCTTTTGATTCTCCTCATTTTCAACATCGACAAACCCGTAGCCCTTGCTCCTCCTAGGATGACCGAGCCTCCTCATGACGACACGAGCAGAGGCGACGCTAATGCCCTCATCTGTGAAGATCTTGGCAAGAGCGCTGTCATCGATGTCGAAGGCAAGATTAGCAACGAATAGAACCGACTTAGAAGGTTCACCAGAAGGCGCTTCACCCTCGGGGCGTGGCGGACGGGGTCGGCGTACGCGCCTTGGCTTCTTTGGCTTATCGCCTTTTTCAGTGGCCACGGGAGTTTCACCATCAGCGACATCAGGTGCAGCACCTTGATTCTCAGTAGCGGGTGGAGCAGCATCGCCATTGGCGGCCTTCGGCTTCCGATGACTCTTGCGCTGCATGAGATTCAAATTCAGACCCAAGACACGCTGGAAGTATGGCTTTACTAACATGTTTTCGATGCTTCTTTTTGGGTTTTTCGGCGCCCTCAGCGCCTTCAGCACTCTCAGCAGGAGCATCAACGGGTTTCTCGCCGGCCTCACCATTGGCCTCTGCCTCTGTCACTTCACCAAGAGGCGCCTTGCTGCCGCGTCTTCCAGACCTCTTCTTCGGCTTCCTTTCAGACCTTTCCCTGTCTTTGTCTTCAACAGGTTTAGCAGCCTCAACGATGACAGTACGACCATCGAGCTCCTTCCTGTTCAACTCAACAACAGCCTTCTCAACAGCGGCCTCACTTTTGACAGTTACAAAGCCGTAGCCCGCAGAACGCAGTCCACGTGTAATGATATGAGTGGAGATACTGTGGTGCCGGAAGGAGATCAAAACTGCGTGAGTAATAATCGCTCGTGATACGGAGACGAGAAAGGGGACTGACATGTCATCAGCGACTGGAGCAAAGAAGTTTTTCAATCCCTCATCTGTAGTCGCGTACGCAAGATTACCGGCGAAGACCTGAGCATTTACTCTCATCAGTCCGAGGTAGTGACACGTCGCAAAATGATCAGGGTACCTTGAAGCCAGGTTCTTGAGTGATTCCTTCGTGCGCGGGCGCATTGGCGCCGTCGTTGGAAGCTGAGACGGGTTCTGCGGACATTGAAGCGCGATTCAGGAGACGAGGGATCGATTGCAAGGGGAACGTGGAGCGGTTGAGCGCTTTGAATCTGGGAATGCAACCCTCAGTTGACTAGGGGACTTTCTTTGAAACTGTGATGGTCGGAAGGAGGAAGATTTACTTCCGAGAGAGATTATATAAGCATCCCTTGCGCGGAGTAAACGAAGTTTAATAAATGCGCCAGTCTGGAAAATTCCAAAGGTCAAAGCTAGGTCGGAGAGAATATGTATTGCTCGCGGCACAATATTAGCGACAATGTCACCCATTTACACCAGAAAATTAACTAAAAGTTGCATTACTGGCAAAAAGAACCCGCATGGCCGGCAAGGACGGTGATGGGTCCGAGTCGGCATACGTGGTTATGCAGGGATCAGCGCGGGGATAAAAGGCGAGAAGCCTCAAGTGTTCCACAAAACAGAGTGTGCATCAGTGATCGCTGATCACCCTTAGAATTTTCTGACTTTGTAAGGATGTGACCCTCGCGACGGATAGGCAGGTGACCTAACGGGACGGAGATGCTGGTAAATACACAAGAAATGACAAGTTTACAATGTCAACGGGAATAGAAGCCCCCGTGTAGCTCGACACCAGCACCTCTATTGTCGATGATCGATTCTGTCATCGAGGAAGCCAGCGGATACGCGGAACCTTATAGCGCCGTGATACAAGCGGGATGGGTGGAGGTCGAACCAGTCAAGGCATGAATCTCGTCGCCACTGAACACCTAAGTAGAGCAAAAAATGGGGATAGATGCCTTCAGCGTGAAAAGTAGACTTACAGGCCAATGACCCTTACGACAGGACGTGCGTAGGCAACGCGGCAGCGACGATAACTTCCAACGCAGAAGTCGTACCTGAAAACAGAGGAGTGCTCAGATAGGAGCTGATAGGCTGCCAGTTGCAGAGCATGCGAAGTATCCACTTCCCATGTCACCGATATCGCGAAAATAAGTTCGAGGATGTGGAATAGTGCTCGTGTCTCGATGCTGCCTACAAGTGCTCACCGAGTATATGCTGTACCGGCGGCTATGAAAATGCAGAATCATTAGCGGGTGTACGTAACCAACTCTGGGGGTATTAGGCAAGAACTAGACAGTAATGCCGCACGCAGGGACTAACGCGACATCTCGTTAAGATAGGCACTCACAGAAACATGTCCATTTGTTGGTGACAAATGCCCCATGACAAAATACCCCACCGAACCAGAGTCAGTAGCCTCGGGGGAATTGGAGTAAGCACAGGTCTTCTGGCAAGATCACCTCACTTTTCGATGAGCTAGGATGAAGCACGAAAGGAGAAATCCCGCCTTAATTTGGAAATAACTGTGATAACGGAGGAAGCTAAGACTCTGATAGATAGTAGTTCGTAACATTGATACGATGCACACGGAGGTGGACTTGATGCCTGTTGAATACAGCTGATGGTCATCTGCGGACACAAAGAGAAGCACGAGGGCATGAGGAATTGACGTCATGATCCTATTTCAAAGTGTTTGAAAAGACGAGCTTGGAACAACGACCATCATTTTCTATAAGTAAAACCCCTTCACTAAGTCATGACCCCAGTAGGATCAAAGGGCCAGCCGTAGACCTCTAGTGCGGCGCGAGGGAGCGGTTGAGCCTGGAGGATATATCATCGTTGGGAAGGGTATGTTGACGATGGGGTGACCAGGATGACTCCAGGATTGGCCCCATGATAATCGACAATAGGAGCATCGGAGGATGGTTATAGATTCGAGGCATAGCATATCATGTATCGTGAGCAAGGGGGCTGAGTGCTGCTGAACCACCGGCTGCCGGCACTAGGCATTTTCTCTACCTTGATGGTTTTCGGGTAACGGTGGAACTCTGTGTGCGGTTTTGATTTTCTCGTTGCTGGTGGATAAGTTTTTTGAAGCGGCTTGGACTGGTTCGCGGAGACAGAGCTATGTCTTAATGGAAATAGTACCGCCTCCAAATCTGGTGATGAGAGGCACTGCAGCTCACCGATGGCGAATCCCATCGCAGTTGGTTGCTACGCAAGCTCTCGCGAGAGCGCCGGCTACCGATTCAATTTATGTAAGTATGTATTCCACATACACAACGTCATACTGGTGGTGATAATAGCAGGTGTAAGAACACTGCTCAGCGAAATGCCGTCCAGTGGCGTTTGAGTTCACTGTCTCAGAGACTAGACTCTGCGGATAATTAGTCGAGCCGAATCCCCCCGAGACCTGAAACAGTATTTGAAAGGCGTCAGGCGAGCGGGCTTTCTCGTGGTAGCGTAGCACATCCCACTCGTGGCTCAAGTGTGAAGGTGTCCCCCTTCCTTTTCCGGAAATCTGAATTTCAATCTCGGTCTTGCACAGCCGCTCGTGCGGGCACTGTGACGATATCGGGAGCCCTGTAGTCAGTGAAAACACCCGCTTGCTCTTTCTGTGGCATCCGTCTTACTCCGGAAGTCATGGAAAGCGGTGCCCAGGACACAGAAAACGTCTCTCCTGGTCCATCAACAATAATACCCACGACTGAGATCGATGCTGACGATGCTGTGCCACTGGGAGGGACGATAAGCGCTGTCTTCCGAGGCACCTGGAATGGGATCAAGGTCGCGATAAAACGGTTTTCGAATGATACTACCCCTGAGGCAAGTAAATGCATCAACTGTTTCGCGCCCTTTGACCCCCTGATGGCTCATCACTTAGGCTTTACACTCGCGGATCGGATCATGGACGAGCGCCAAACACGCCAACATCCTCCGCGTTTTTGGAGCATCACCCCATGATGCCGATCCCCTCTACATCGTCACGGAATTGCATGAGAACGGGAACATCTCACAGTTCCTTGCTCAAAACCCCACAGCGGATAAACCTCAACTGGTACGTTTGCAACAAATATATGTCAGCATTCCGGGCTCATTTGGGGCCCAACCGGCATGGCAGCTGCTCCAGGCCGCTTTAGGTATGCAGTTCTTACACGGGGTAGGTCATTTGCATCCCGTTTCTCAAATGCCTATCTTATTTCGTTCCCAGTGCGGCATGGTCCATGGCAGTTTGAAACCTTCAAACATACTTGTTAACGATGATGGACATGCATTGGTTGCTGACTGCGGGATCAATGAGATCATTCGCAGCGCAAACCCATGCGCTCACCATTACTTCAGCCCAGAAGCATGGAAAGGAGTATGCGTAGTCTTCTTTGGGATAATCGCCCCAGCATCTAATACGTATGTTCGTAGACAACATCTCGAGCCTCTGATGTGTTCGCGTTTGCCATGTGCGTTTTCGATGTGTGTATTTCCTCTCGTCAATTCCGGGGTTCTGGCTAACTGAGTATTCCTTATTCGAACTCACAGGTCCTTGCCGGAAAACGGCCTTGGGGAACGCTCCAAGACGACCGAATATACCACCTCGTTGTGAAGGAGAACGAGCGTCCTGATCGCCCGGAGCGGGACGTCTGGGATAATGAACCTATCTCTGATCAGATTTGGGAAATTTTGGAGGATGCATGGGTGAAAGACGCCAGGGCTCGCCCTGATTTTGTCAAAATTATTTCATTATGGCCCGGAGCCACCGCACCAGCTGAGCCGTCTTCCCCTCCCCCCCAACCGCCTTCCCAGTTGCTAGGACCACCTCGTAAGCCTTTAGCGAGTCTAGGGTCCCCTCATCTCTTACCTTTGATGCTTCCTAGACCTGAACACTTCCGCAGCCCGGCAGCTCGACATTTTCGGCCGCTCTGGGAGCGAAGAGTCAATCCACACAGCTTTGCCGCTATATGAGCGCGTTGCTTCGGGGTCACATATGAGCCATATACCGGGTCACCCGCCTGTCCCAGTACAGGGCTCTCGGCAACGTGCGTCCGGACGTGGCTTTGGTCTTCCGCGTTTGCCACCACCACCGCCCCTCAACCTTTCAGCTCATCGACCAAGCTCCACTTCTTCCGTCGATGCACAACAGCAGTACCTACGCTCGTCCCCGCAGCCTATGGAGCAATTTGTTGTGGCCCAAAGTCCTCCTCGGAGTATAGGTTCGGACGAGCTTTCCGCGAACTCGTTACCTGGTGATGTGTACTTCGACCAAAGTGCCGGAACATTCCCAACGCCTCTGTGGTCTGGATTCTCTTCGCCCCCAGCTACAGCACAGATGTTCACGGGTGCTTCAAACCCAGCGCGCATGAGTCGAGCTTCGTCAAGATCTGGCTCGGATACTGGGAGTAGTCATTCTGGCGGCTGGGGGAATGCTTCTGCTCGGACAACGTCGATGCGAGGACCACCCTGTGAGCTGTTTTCTCCGAACACCTAACTCGCTTGTCTGACTGCCTACTCTCGTTGGTTTGGATCCTACAGACTCGCAACCTTATGATGCAAATTCTTCACCTCCGTCCATCCCCCGCAGAGTTACGCTGCGGCCAGGTTTCGGGACCATTGAAGAGGTTGACCTTGCTCAGAATATGGAGGCTTTGCACATGTCAGATCAGTATCTCAGCCGGATGAACACAACGACCGTTCGATCGGGGACTGATGGAGTCCCTGAGACGAACCAACAATTAAATCTCGGGGCTTCTTGGAGGGACTCATTGCAAGGATACCCGTCCGAAACATCTGGTGTGTCCACTCTTGGAGGTAACAGCGTGTTCCGTGATTTGTCCACAGCTCAATACTTAATCTGGGTATGTTAGGAACGAGTGCTTTTCATCTCGCTGGAGCATTTAACACAGAGCTCAACCAAGATGGCGACTTCTCCATTCTCAACGATTACATGGCGCGAATACAACAGATGGCTTCTAATTCTGACAAGGATACGCAAAGACTCATTACGGCTGGTGTTGTACAGGATCTCATAACGCTACTCCGAAGGAGGGCCACGGATTATGGGGGACTCGAGATTGTCTTAGTAACGCTTGGGACCATGGCGTATATTGATTTTTTCCTTCTCGTCATGCGATGTTTGCTCACGTTTGTCTGTGTAGGCACGATTCTGTGAGCGCAAACATGATATTTCGAGTCGGTGCCACGCAGAATCTTATGGAGCTTATTAACGGCTCCCTCTCCGACGACGTCGCTGCCGGAGCAGTTTGGTGTATTTCTCGAATCTGCAGGACTAAAGAGGTGGCCGATGAGCTCATCAAGCGGGGTGTTGTTCAGCTTCTTACTGAGAAGGGTCTTCTACACGGCACTCATCTCACTTCTCGCCTATCAGCCTGGTGTCTAGGGACACTGGTTCGCTGCGACAGCCAAGCAGAAGCCATGGCATCGCGAGGTCTCATCCAAATAAGTGTCGATCACCTCATTAGCAAAGCTTCCTCTCCCAACGTCATCTCAGAGGATATCTGTGCGGCAACATTCCTCATTGCCCGCTTGGCACGAACGATAAAACTCTCGAAGGCACTCACGAAAGCAGGATGCGTTAGGCCACTCGTTCATGCCCTGAGCACGTCAGAAGACCCTGACGTACTGAATTGGAGCTCCCGCGCAATTGGCTGTTTAATGCGTCCCAACAGCCTTGACATGGCGAAGGCCTTGCTTGAAGCCGGGTCTGCGGCTGGCCTTGCTCGCCTACCGCGCGTCTTACCCCAGAACCAGATCGAGCCTTTGGCATCCTTCGCATTTGCAATCCAACGTTTTGTATGTGCGGAATGGGGCGGCGGAACGCGGAAAGCACTGGTCGAGGCGGGAGTGGTGGACTCCCTTTTGTCTGCCTTGAGGACCGCCGCTGATGTCCCCGCGCCGCACGTGCATATTGAGCTTGCGCGCGCCGTCACTTTCCTGTGTGACATTGGCGGCGGTGATGTCAGGAAGGAAATCATTAGAGCTGGCGGAGTCGATATCCTGAAACAAGTAGGCCAAAATGCCAAATCAGAGGTTGCTAAGGTGTGCAGTGTCGCCGTCACCTCTGTCACCGGGAACCTATGGGCTCGTAATGCTGGTGAGTAAAAAAAATTCAATTGCCACACACTGGAAAACATGATTTTGTTCCTACAGCCGTATCAAAAACTGCTTTAAAACATGATTGGAGTGGTGGATGCCCGGACTACCTTCCACCACAACCCCACTTCTCCCAAGTGGTCATTGACGCGTCTGAAGGCATACCGTGAAACTTATATGGGAACGCGTCTTTGGATTGTTCCGTTGCTTGATTTTAGTGACCTCCATGTGTATGTGTCGTCTGGCGTATGTTGCGCTTAAAGTGCTGGGATCATGTAGTGTTGTTACTTCAATTATTTAGATTGAAATGAAAGTGAATACCACCAACGGTCGATCCGAGCGGGGCGAATGCCCGCCTGTTCCAAGACACTCCGAATGGCCAAACCAAAGATTCCAGGTTCTTTCTACGATGATTCCTTTCAATGTTTGGCGGCGACGGAACCTCCAGCGCGCGGCAAAGGTCCGATCCCTTCCGTGATTGATTGCGCCGCTCGTTCCCTTATTCTCCTCTTGAAGTGCAACGTGACTTAGAAATGGGGGTTCTATTGGAGCTCGTTGTGTGGGGAAGCATGGCAAAGCCTGACAATGTCTCTATAACATTGGAGTCTATGAGATACCCAGATAGTCAAAAAATCAATGGGCATGATAACACTCTCGTCCAAGGATGGCAGGGTGGGGTCTCTGGGTAATAGCCGAGAGAATTCTAGTATGAAATTCAACACATTCCGTGTTGGCAGCGAAAAAAAGGGGGCACTTCGAGCGGACCATCTCCAAAGAATATTACTTACATCCAAAGTAGAAAGAATGATACAGTCTCATACGTAATGGTTGGCCAGCAGTGGATATCCGTGGCGCGCGGAAGTTGTGTTACATGGCATATGCCTTTGATGACTGATCTGGGAAAAGACTTCTTGACCAGGATGTCCCCTATGATCTCTAGCTAGCTAGGTTGTTGAGAATAGTATATTATGGCCGACGAACAACTTGTTAGGCAGCGAATTCGGCGACAAGAATCAGAATGGCGTGCAGTCATGCGCATGTCACTGACAGCTGTCTTCCTAGTTGATTTTGGACCGCATTCTTCCTGTTATCGTGGCGTGGCCAGACGAATTAATAGAGCCACAACGGATGGCCATTGTGCGTGCGTAAGCTAAAGCGACATGCGCCAGAATCGGATCTACATATGTCTGATCGATAGCACTAGATGCAGTTGTTGCTGTACATGACTCAAAGGCTTACACACATATGAGCAGCGGCCAGTGTTCCGTCCTAACAGAGGATTTGGACGTGGGTGGGCTGTCCGTGTAATATGATACAAAGGCTGGACTGGTTAATTAGGTTATTCTTTCATCACTGAATTGCAATCATTTGCATCGCCTACGCCACAATTCGAAGTTCAATTCAAAATGTCTCTAGTTGCACGGAAGGAACGCAGTCCATCACACCCCGACTATCGGGGAGACTGATGCTGGTTGTTGAAAGGACAGCCTCGCCACCGGTATACTTTGCTTTCCGCCCTCAGGCTCTTGCTAATGTGCTATGGACGTCGCCACTCGGAATGGTTCAGACACTGTTCCTGCTCTGCCCAGAATCATAACGGCAATCCATATAGTCGAAGATGACAGTGCTCCGGTCGGAAGAGCTGCTGGCTCAGCTTTCCCTGGGAGCTGGATCGGTGTCAAAGTCATGGTCAAGCGTTTTCCGCGTCATACGGCTCCCGATGTGAGTAAGATCAGCATGCATAGCTGGGCACCAATCGCTTAGCGCTCCTACCTGGTGGGCGTTCCGCTAGAAATTATACTCGCGTATTGCTGCATGGTCGAACCTGCAACACGCGAACCTTCTTACAGTCTTTGGTGCATCATCCGACAACACCGACCCCATGTTCATGATTACGGAACTTCAGGAGAATGGGAACATTTCACAATATCTCGCTAAAAAACCTCGCGCAAACAGGACTAGACTTGTGCGTCTCCCGAGGGATTAGGACTATCTGAAGCTGACTTGTTCTTTTAATTTGCAATGCAACAGCTTTTGGACGTCGCATTTGGCATGCAGTTTCTTCACGAGGTCTGAGCCCCTTTGTCTCTCCATCTCTGCCATTTCACAGGATATATCGGTTTTTTTTTTAAATAATTACAGAATGGAATCATTCACGGCAGCTTGAAACCTTCGAACATTCTTATCACCGACAACGGGGAGTCCTGCATCGCAGACTGCGGCATGATCATGGCTGTGCCGAGTGCGGACACCTTTTCTCATCATTACTACAGCCCGGAAATGTGGGAAGGTGTGAGTGGCCTCTTCGCTAACGAAGTTCCTGGGCTTTAAGACTCACGCAATGTGTGATAGATGATTACTCCTTACTCAGATGTGTACGCATTTGGCATGTGTATGTTTGATGTAAGAATCGATCTAGCTTCAACACCGCGTTTTAGTGCCTAAACATTAACGTGTTAGGTCCTCACGTCTGAACGGCCCTGGGGAAATCTACCTTACGACCGTATTCGCCAGCTCGTGGTGGAACAGGACAAGCGTCCAAATCGCCCGGAAGGGGAAGCGTGGGACATCCGAACAATTCCAGATGACATTTGGAACCTTCTCAGGCGAGCGTGGGTGAGAGTGGAGAGGGCGCGTCCAGGCTTCGCCGAGATAATATCTACTTGGCCGGCTGGGTTGCCTCCATCGCCTTTTGTCCCTGAATCATTTACAAATACGGCGCTTCCAATGTTTTCTGGGACTCCGCATCCACAAGTGCAGCCCATATCCCCTCTCAGCATCTCACAGAAACATAACACCCCGGGCCGGACACGTGCGAACCTTGTTGATCGGGGGAGACACGCCTTTCCAACAAAGTTATCGGGTACAGCATCGAAGGGGCAGTCCACTGGTCCGCTCCTTCTTAACATGACGCCGACGCCTCGCCCCTTGGATCTTCGCAGTAGCTCGAGTTCAGACCGTCTTCTGAGCGAAGCAAACTCTGTCATTGCATCGAGTCATCGTCGAGAGAATTCCGCTGGTCCATTTGATAATTTCTCTCTGAGATACATGTCAAGACATCGTGAGTCTGCTATCCTTGTCCCCATCATGCACTACGATGCCCATGGTTCTCATTTCTGGTCAATCGGACAGACATCGGTCCCCAGGCTAGCCTCCAGTCATCGAGCCACGAAGGCTCTCCTCTTGTGGGAGAGATCAGCAGACGCAAACCAAAACCTCGCCTCGCACCCCTGGTGATCTCCAATGAACAGTTCGGCCGGGGGCGGTTGCCGAATCCCCCGGGTCGGCATGCTGAATCCAACCAGGAGAATCGCTCACAAGGGACGGACTCTCACGCTCTGGGAATGGGGGGACGTAGCAACTCAGTTCCCGCATATTTGCACTCTGTCCCGTTTGTGTCAGGTGAGACTGTTTCATGAATTTGAGTGCCCGTTGATGTTGATGATGTACCCAGCTGGAGGTGCCTCTGAACTCGCTGCAGCTCTCCACGCTGAGATCCTCAGGTTTGGAGACTTCGCAAAGTTGAGCGACATTTTGCTTCGAATGCAGAAAATAGCGTTGGAATTGGAAGAAGATGCTCGAACACTTGCCAGCGCAAGCGTCTTCCACAACCTCATGGCTCTTCTGAACAATGTACGACGTGTAGATCACAATGGCCGCACAATCATCTTAGTGACTCTTGGAGCCTTAGCGTGCGTAGGAGATATCACACTATAGGTTTCACCGCATCTGGATTAACGATCTTAACTATAGACATGACACTGCTAGCGCAAATTTAATGACACGATTTGGTGTCACGCAAAAGGTCATAGAACTCCTCACCAACTCGCAGTCTGATGATATAGGTGGAGCAGCTTGGTGCCTTTCTCGCATTTGCAGAAGTAATGAGTTGGCGGACAACATCCTAATCAAGCCGAACCTCATCGAGTCCATCGTGAAAAAAGGCCTACTGAGTGACGTGCCTCGCACCTCCCGTCTCTCTGCTTGGCTACTTGGTGGCCTTGTTCGCACAGACGCGCATGCAGATGCAATGGCAGCAAGTGGTCTTATCCAAATTAGCGTTGACAATCTCGTCCGCAAGACCTCATCGCCAAATATCGTTCCGGAGGACATCTGTGCAGCGACATATCTGGTGGCTCGCCTGTCGCGATCCATCAAACTCTCAAAGTTGCTAGCGAGGGCGGGATGTGTCAGGCAACTGGCGAATTCTCTTCAGACTTCTGTTGATCCTGACGTGTTGAACTGGAGTGCACGGGCCATAGGTTGCCTTATGCGTCCCAATAGCCTCGATTTGGCTAATATACTTCTGGAGGCTGGGTCAGCAGAGGGGCTTGCTCGCCTACCACGAGTCTTGCCAGACGACGAAGTTGAGCCGTTAGTGTCGTTTGCGTTCACCATCCAGCGATTTGTTTGTGCGGAATGGGGGGGAGGCACACGCAAGATCCTTGTTGAGGCGGGTGTAATAGATTCCCTTCTTTCTGCCTTGAGGAGCGCGTCGGACGTACCAGCACCCCATGTACACATTGAGCTTGTGCGTGCGATCTCGTTTTTATGTGACATTGGAGGTGGGGAGGTCAGAAAAGAGATTGTCAGGGCAGGTGGAGTGGAAATTCTGCGGGAAGTGGCGGAAAGCGCGCAACCAGAGGTTGCGAAGGTATGCGATATCGCCGTGACTTCCGTCACTGGCAAAATATGGTCTCGTCATGTTGGTGGGTGACATGTGATTGATGACTAGGTTCGATCTGTATCTGACATACATTCCTCTCCTTCAATAGCCGTGTCGAAGACTGCTTTGAAGCATGACTGGAGCGGTGGATGTCCAGACTATCTTCCACCACCACCATTGTTTGGAAGAAACATCTACGGAGCGCTAGAAGATATGTGGTAATTCATGTCCTATCCAATCTCGCTATAATGAATCCTGTACCCGAATAATCCTATACTTCGGTTAAGTAATCCAAATTAGTTTTGTTCCAGAAGTCCTTTGGATTCAGTTGAACTTGGAGTCGGCTGACCCATACAAATCACGCTTTCGGGCATGGGTTGGACTACCGTAGTCCATAGTTACCAATTTGACGCGGCCCAGCCATGCGGTGAATTTCTCAACCGACCACACATGGATTTCTATCATTTGATATCAAGTAAATGAAGCGTCGCAAATGCGGCGCGATAGCATTAGATTGATTACCACACCAAAAAGAAGTTAAGGAATCAGGAACACTGCTGAATGGATTTACAACAACTGAAAGACCAGAATAGGTGAGTCCAACCCCGTGTTTTCCCGTTAACGCGTTAGTTCGTAACCTTTCAGATGAAGATTGGCCTTTTCGGACAAGTGAATCTACAAAGTGACACCATTAGATGATTGGTCTCTACGGAGACGTCGAACGTACGTATAATTCGATGCCACAGACGTGGAGTATGAACGCTATCCACAGGCCTGCAGCCATTGCCAGCCGGAAGGCAGCGCCATAATTGATAGGTTCTTCGTTCACAGAGGCATGAACTCCGACGAATACAGAGCCGAGGAACTGCCCCGATTGCTGGGCAACAGTGCAAGAGGGGTACTGAGATAACGTAGATGGTGCGAGAGCCAGGATCTCAGCACAACTGAATAACTGTAGGTCGAGGATGTCCTGGTAAATGAATGATTTCAGTCATGGAGAGGGATGTGCCTACGGCATAATATGTCCCAATATCACTTATAATTCTGCGAGCCGCCAACATGATAATGCGTGCGGTGATGACAACACCCAGCAATGAGGCAAAACCTAACACAAAAAAACATGTTTCGAGCTATATGGGACCCTAGTAAAGACCGACTCACGAAGCATCCACTTCCGATGCTGTCTGACATCACGAACCCAGACCATCCCAAGCGTGGCGGAAATGAGGACTAAAAGCCCCAAGAGATAGAAGAGTACTTGTGTGTCAGGCGCACCCCCAATGGTGCGTCGGGCGATGACAAAACCGGACCCTATGCTTGCAGGCAGAATGGCGAGAATGATGTAGCCATTTATGCTATGCAAGACTAATGTCCTCTGGAAACATTGTGGTCAGGTCGTAAGGTAGAATCAAACCCGAAGGAGGTGGCATACCCTGCGGAGCACAGGCAAGAATTCAAAAATAGTTCCCCAAGCCAAGACTGTAAAGTTTCTATCCTCAGCTCATGCTGCAAGGTATGAAGCTCTCAGGCGACCCACAGAAGGACGAGTAAACATGAGCGATGAGAGCCCCCCGGATCGGTGGCCGGCCGGCCCAGAACCACTCGCCTGTGGGTTATATTTAGATGGATCGGTCCATGCTCAAACGAGAAAGATTGCCAACCTGGGGGAAGGTGCCTCTTCTGGTTTGACGCTCTGGGATCCAACATGAAAGATCGTGCCAATACGAATCCAATAAGTGCGCCCCCAAATACAATGACTTTAGGGACACTTGAGCGAGCGTTCGTTACGGAAAAAGGGAGATGACCTACAGAGAGTCAGGCTCCATCTCTCCTTAAAGCCTAGCAAATAGCTAATTGTCATGTAACCCCGCGAAAAGATGCCTGTGGCACCAACTACAACTATGGATCAATTAGTATTGAGGCATACCCAGCACGTCAGCATCAGCTCACCATGCGAATGCTCAGCCTGGTCGGGGGATTGGGGCTCTTCCTCTTTCTTCTCGGATTCCTCGGCAATGGGGTCGTATGGCTGATATGGAGCGACGGGGAAACCGCTCGTCGTGCTGGGACGCAGGACAGAAGCAGAGGTAGAAACTGAATGCGCATCGCTTGTCGATACTGCAGACTTTGGAGCCTCTGACGATGGGGATGACATCTTGGCCTGGTGGGAGGGGACAAGTGTAAGGCACGGGAAGACGATCCCATTATTTAAATATGTATATATGTAGTGCTTTCTTTGACTCCATATAATCAAGCACTACTCCATATTTGGCTGCACTGTCGCTTACGCCCGTGAGGAATTTTGCCACGTTGATCGAGCGGTTCTGATCGGGATAGGCGGAGGATGAACCAAATATGATATGAAAACGTTTCTGGAATGGTGGACAGCAAGTCCAGATACCAAACGCGAAGTGTGAGGGGAAGAGCGCCTTCGAGGATTGGAGCTGATCGGCAATTAGGGAAATACATTATGATGGTTCCACGGCGTGGTTCAAAGGCATCGCAGTACGCCTCCTGCCTGGGTGACTCTATCATTAACCAGTTCAGTAAGCGCCCTGGCCGAGCCTGTGAACCCCCCAAACCAAAATGGGAGGACGGAGTAATCCATTCGGCCTGGCGAGAGCGGGAGCCGCGGTGGCGTCCTCATTTGTTACGTAACCATGGGCTCAATTGGGTATACAATGCAAACAGTGCAACACCCAGTTTCCGAAAAGGTCAAACACAGGAGATGCACCGGGCTTCCAGCTCCCTAGTTCGTATTTGCGGTCAGACCCACTGCTGTGGACAGTGATGGGGTCCTACCAGACTTCAAATCGTACTCCTAGAGTCATACCGAGAACTCATATCGCCGAAGATGACCAGTTGCCCGAAGTCCATCCCACCTCACTCTCCCATGGCACTTGGTTTGGGGTTAGGGTCTCAATAAAACAGTTTCCGAATAATACAGCTCATGAGGCGAGTAAAATCCCGCTCTCATGGTTTTGACACAGTCGCAAATACCTGCATTGTTCCAATCGTCCCAGAAATTATGCCCTCTTGTCACAATGTGGTCAAATGCAAAACATGCTAACATCCTCACTGCGTTTGGGATATCTCCCAGTGATGCTAGCCCTTTATTTGTGGTTACAGAGCATCTGGAAAATGGGGACATATCTCAGTATATTTCCCGAAATCCAAACGCAGACCGGACTAGGCTTGTGCGTCTTATCGAAACCGTACAATGGCGTTAGGGTCTTAAGATCGGTTCTATATAGCTTCTAGAAGTTGCACTAGGCATGCAGTATCTCCACGAGGTCAGAAAAATCTCTTCTGTTGTTCGTGTCTTCTGATCGCTTACGCCATTCTTCCTTCATCAGAATGGAATTGTTCACGGGGGTCTGAAGCCTTCGAATATCCTCGTTAATGAGAACGGGCAATCATGCGTTGCTGACTGTGGCTTGAACATGGCTGCACCCAGTGCCAATCCCTATTCTCACCATTATTACAGCCCAGCGGCTTGGAAGGCTGTGAGTGGCCTTGGAACAGCGTCTACCCTTTGGGCACCCACTCTGTAACCTATAGATTTTCACGCGCCCTTCAGATGTATATGCGTTTGCCATGTGTGCGTTCGACGTGAGCGTCCCATCCCCCTTTGCTCTCGATCCCGTTGCCTGAGCACGCTTTGGCTAGGTGCTTACGAGTACACGTCCATGGGGGAATTTGGAATATGACCGCATCTATCAGCTCGTAATAGAAGAGGATGAACGACCAGATCGACCCGAACCAGACGTAGATGGCAATGTGCTTATTCCTGACAATATATGGAGCCTCCTAACCAAAGCGTGGGCGAAAGAAGAGAGGGCTCGTCCGGACTTTGCTAGCCTTGCATCTGCGTGGCCAGTTATTGATGTGGCGGATGAGTCTTGTTCACATAGCAATGGAGTATCAGCACGGCAAATTCATGAAGATCCCCCTTTAACAAGTGCTTCGGGTTTGAGGGGCGTTACATCTCTTCACTTTTCCCCCACTTCAACTTCTAGTCAAGGTCCTAGGCCAATGCCACCGAACGAAAATCCTTCTAGAACGACTGCGCGTCGGCATTTCAGCGAGGGGAACATCACTCCGCACCGACCTGCTACCTCGCCGAGACCCTCTAATCCACGTCGCGTTGTTTCAGAAAGGGTTGCACCAACGCACAACAGATCAAGTAAGACCATAACTCCCTTTTGCCCATGAGCCCATCTGCCAATTCCGCTAATTCACTGTCGGATTATGTATAATCAGCCTCAAATGCTGCACTCCAATCGTTCGGTCAAGCTATTTCACGTACGGGACAATTCTACCGCCGTCCCAATACCGCGAACGGGACTGGCCTTGTTCCGGTTTCCGAGTCAATGGAACCTCAGCCCATCGAGCCGCAGCTGACACCATACACGACGAGTCGACGGAACACTGCGGGGGGGAGCTCGCGTGGGACAAGCTCCAGAAGTGCAGGATCGGTTGACGGTGGGACCCCGAGGAGTCGGTCTGACTCACACCCGACCTCTCTTGCCAAAGGTGCGCAGAACCGACGATTCGGGACACTCCCCTTTTGCTGATACTGGTGGATGATTAGGAAACAGTCCATTAGAGATCGTGGAAGAGTTTAACGCCGAGCTTAATAATAACAATGGGGACTCGACAAGACTGAATGACTTACTAATTCAAATGCAAGGGATAGCAACCTCATCGGACAAGAATGCTCATATGCTGGCCACTGCCACTGTTGTGGATAGCCTAATCACTCTTCTTCGACAGCGTTCTAGCGATCAGGGCGATCATACCATTGTTTTGATAACCCTTGGAGTTTTAGCGTGCGTGATACTATGATACCCCCCTTCACATAATGAATGTTATTGTCCCCAATAGGTACGATACCGTTAGTGCAAATATGATGACTCGTGTTGGTGTGACGAAAGCGATAATGGAACTCCTCACTACAACACTCTCTGACGATATGGACGGAGCCATCTGGTGTCTCTCGCGCATTTGTAGGAGCAAAGAGATAGTGGACATGCTCTTCCAGCCAGCCATCATCGATTTGGTGTCCCAGAAAGGTTTATTGGGCAGCATGCGCCGTACATCGCGTCTCTCGGCCTGCTTCCTTGGCGGGCTCATTCTCACAGATGAACAGGCAGATGAATTATCAGACAGAGGCCTTGTCGAAATTAGCGTCATTAATCTCATTAGAAAGGCTTCCTTACCCAATGCGCTTCCGGAGGACATCTGTGCTGCCACGTTCCTCGTTGCTCGTCTGGCGCGATCGATCAAGATCTCGAAGGCGCTAGCGAAGGCTGGATGCGTGGGACCGCTAGTCCATGCGCTTCTCAGCTCTGTTGAACCTGACGTATTGCATTGGAGCGCTCGGGCAGTTGGCTGTCTTATGCGCCCCAACAGTCTTGAGATGGCAAATGTTCTGCTCGGAGCTGGGTGCGCAGCAGGTCTTGCTCGCTTACCCCGGGTGTTGCCGGAAGACCAGGTCGAGCCGCTGGCATCGTTTGCATTTGCAATACAGAGATTTGTTTGCGCAGAGTGGGGCGGCGGTACGCGCAAAGCGCTGGTCGATGCTGGTGTCATTGATTCGTTGCTTTCGGCGCTGAGGACTGCTGCAAATGTACCTGCTCCACATGTTCACGTTGAGCTGGCACACGCTGTCGTTTTTCTATGCGATATTGGTGGAGGGGATGTCAGGAAAGAGATCGTTAGGGCGGGCGGAGTCAACATTTTGAAACATGTAGCCGAAACTGCTTCCCCGGAGGTCGCGGAGGTCTGCAATGCAGCCGTCACTTCGTTGACGGGAAATATCTTTTCTCGCAATCTGAGTGAGTGATTCGAGCCACTCAAATGCTAGCATCGTGGCTAATTGCAATGTCGGGGTCCTTGTAGCCGTGACAAAGACCGCTTTAAGACACGATTGGAGTGGTGGATGTCCAGTCTACTTGCTACCCCGAACTACCTTTGGTTGCTCATTATAGACCTGTATTCTCTGGATATATTTTCATTCTTTCGCCGGGAACAAAAGACGACATGGTTGACTCAGACTCGAGAGTTCTGATTGTTTTGTGCAGTGGCTATGCATCAATATTCGCGGTTTGAACCCGACTGATGCCTTCCCGATCATGCCCATATCGGCGAAGGAGAACACAGGTATGACTGCAGACCTCGATCTAGGCTCAACACCTCATGGGCAAGCCAAAAGGCATCCTCGGATTAGCGGAGTTCGTGAAGAAATCCCATTGGAGATGCAATTGATTCATTAGAGATTCTTACATTAGCCTCCAACGCAGACACACTCATGGATGATCCCCTCGTGCATGGGCAGACCCAAGGGAATCACAAAGCCTGCGAAATTCAGGCCTCCTCCCGGGAAGCGGACAAACGGGCAAACAATGGAGAAGAGACGAATGGGATTCACACTACACTAGATACACATAAAGACCACAAACCCCGACGACGTCACACCAACCCGAAGTTCACAAATCCGGCAGAAACACACCCGATTCATAAGTGTATTAGCCGGGACAGCCGCACTGCCACGTCATAATGAGCCCGCGGGACAACAAAATAGCGAATGACACCGTTGCTCCGCTACCCGACAAATGGCCCCCCCGGCACCATGAGCCCCGAGGATCACCCTACCTGGCGCTATCCACCCGTACCACATAATCTGTTGATGATTCCCTCACTGCACGCCACAGTGTACTGAAAAAAATACTACATATGTGACTACAATGCCACATGGCAACAAAAGAGACTATGGCTCATTTGCGGAGAATTACGGATGGTTGGAAGCAACAACCAACTGATTGAAATTTCGCGAGTGTTGCCTTGGCAGCTTGATCATTTGATTGTTTTTCCTTAAATCTCAACCACTCTCATAACCGCTACCTCTCATCGCTCTCAAGCTCCTTGTCTTGTCTCTCTTTTCGTTCCCGTCGACGTTCTTTTCAGTAGCTACGTTCACTAAACATCCCTCGCCAACTTCTCATTCAATAGTGCGATTTTTCCTGAATTGTTGTCAACGTGAAAGAGATCTGATCACGTCCTTTTCTTCAGACTCGATGGCCGTCCTCAGCCATCTCATCACGGTTATTGCACTTTTCACTGCTACGTTCTTGTCGTCTGCGCCTGGAAGCGCGAACGCTTTGTCAGTTGATACCCATGGCAACCTTCGCGTGCGAGGGCATGGACAATTGCATCATGACCATGGTGTACGCTTGGCTGAGAAGGATTACGAGCAAGGCTTGGACCGTCGTACTTCAGCCGGTAAACGGAGGCGTTGCAAGAAGAGACCCATAACGTCCACCACGTCTATGTCTCAGATAACCTCAACTTCAGAGATGCATTCGACCACTCCGAGGCCTCAACCGGTTGGGCCAACCACGTCTACTCCCACGGCGACCTCCACTTACACTCCTCAGCCCCCTGCAAATGGCAACAAAAAAGTTGGTCTCGCATGGGCCGGCAATGACGATAAATTGCTTAAGTATTTTGTCACTGACAAGACGCAATAGTAAGCACGTTTCTTTTTCTCCAGCTTCCAATGAGTCTGGAGAGCAAATTACCGTCTTGTAGCGTGTATACATGGAGCGCCTCGTGTCCAGATCATTACGAAACCACTGGCTTGAACTGTGCACGTATGCTATGGAGTCACAAGAACCTCGAGGACTTCAAGAATCTCCGTCAGAGCCCGGGAACGAACACTCTTATGGGGATGAACGAGGTCAATATCCCCTCCCAGGCTAACCTGTCACCAAAAAACGCCAGTGATCTGTGGAACCAGGAGATTCGCTGGCTCGGCAAGCACGGATATACGCTTGTTTCGCCATCTTGCACTTGTCAAGAGAACGCTATTCAGTGGTTCCAGGACTTCTTTGCGGCGTGTGGTGGCAATGAAAACTGTGGTGTACGGAATCTATTTTCATACTTGATCCGCTCCTTCCATACTGAGTGTTTCGTTGACGGATAGGTTGACTACCTCGCCATTCATTGCTACCTGACCAGCACCGCTGACTTCATGTATTGGGTTGAAAGGTTCTGGAACACCTTCCATATTAAGCTCTGGGTTTCTGAGTGGGCTTGTGCTGTATGTTCATCCCAGTTTTATTTTGCATTTCGTTACAACTTGTTTTCACAGGGCTTCGGTCCCGGGGGGTACGGGAAATGCTCTGGGGATGTCTGGAAGTTCGTAACGACCATGGTTGATTTCCTCGATAAGACTGACTATGTGGCAGCTCACTTCCCCTTCGGTGCGACTTTCTTTCAGTTTGTATGACGATGCTGGGTGCTGACTTTTTTCGTAGGCTTTCTTCCTTCGTTGTACAACGTCGATCCTGGTGACAAGCTTATTGATGACAAAGGTTACCCGAATGCTCTCGGAAGCTACATCCTAAACCACTAGGCACTTTTAATCTGCGCTCTCTTGACTCGACCTCGTTTACTACTGGATTCAGTCGAGGATATATGTATCTTTTGCTGCAATACTTAGTCATTGCTCTTCCTCATTTTCTTCGTTTTGATTTCTTTCTAACTCCTTGCTGTTGTCACAGCTTCATTAACGCAGATTTTGGTTGTTTTCCCATTTAAAATCATGCTGAATTAACTTGAACCACGTTTACTACGGTACCTCATTCATTATGCAAGAACACAGATGGAGAAGTCACATAGCATCCTGTGACTTAACGTCAGCCCAACAGGTCCGAGCACGTTCGGAAAATCCCCTATTAACGTTTATTTTAAACACCATCCAGCAGCCAATGAGAAGGCATTGGTCAGACATCGCAATGTTAGATGAGACACGTTTTTGACAATTTCGATGCAGTGGGAAGCATTTATTTAGAATTGTCAAAGACGTGGTTCGGGTACGTGTTTAGACAGACAGTGACGCTGAACTGAGGCAATAAAATGCGACAGTGTGACTCCATGCGGAGCAAGCGCGATGCAAGGATAAAGGGAAACTCAAGTGCAGACAAGTGGTCTGAAGCGCACGCATAAGTTTCTAGCCTTGTTACAGCCTACCAGTCCAAGTGCTGAGGAAGCGGAAGGGAAGTTTCGTCACATGCACATGATGACACGAACACGCATGAAGGTGAACATCTGCAAAATCTCATCAGGGCTGCAATCAACGCAGGACAATGCAGCACCAGTCAGGTTGCGAATGACCACCATGATTAGCAGTGTGAAATAAGAATATTGAACCAAGACGCCAAAGAAAATTATCAAGCCAAACTCCAAGCGTTTAAACGTCAAAAAAGTTTTTTTGATCGATGCCGCAGTTTTCCGACATTGTGCCTCCCACACACACTTGGACTGACGAATTTCGATAGCAGTTTTCAGCTATTCCCTTTGCGCAGTAACTTCGAAATAGACATGAGCATCCCAACTGCGTTGAAAACCCTCTTGAAACTCCGAGGTCCTAATCCCCTGCCCAACCCTGGCTTAGAGAAGCTTGCTCCAATCTTCTTGACGACTCTGAAAGAAGCTTCTGCACATAAGGCTGAGAATGGGTGGCTTGCAGTTGCTGTGAGTGATGCTTACCCACTGTTGTGCTTCCTATGAAGTGGAAGAGTCTACTTTGGCCAGCAGACCCAGCCTAGCGTGCATGGGGTTTCCCTAAGGGTTCATGGGATACCGTAGGGCCCAGAAATATGTTTTTTCATTCTGTTCCATTCTGTTACTCTGTTTCACGTACCCAGCGTTATCGGGATATGGCAGATCACTTTTGCTGGTGCCCTACTTTTCATTAAAATCGTCCCGTTATCGAGCCTCTCGTGGTGATGGATCCTTCTCCTGCTGCAGCCATCCGTTCGCTTCTTTTTGTCGGGCGCTCTTCTTCAACGCCGATTAAATCTTGTTCAATCGACATGCCACAATCACCCACCTTACAGAACATGCATTTGGCTTGCCAATCTTCTCTCCTTTACTATCATGTGCAATACAGCACATTTTTACTAAAACTAAATCTGATTGTAACTCACAGACGGCCACATTCCTTGCGGCCAATTCCCCGTCCGTTGTTGGGGATTTGTATAGATTTGCTTCTCACAAAATGGACTGCAATGGCACGGCAGGCTCTGGGTCCCCGACCTCGGTATCATTACCATCTACCGAGCCTTTCCCTCTCAAAGAAAGAACCCGAAGAGCAGCGCAGATGCGTGAAGCTGGGTTAAAGTCTGTTGTTTTCGTGGGAGTCCCAAAGGTTCGTATTCATGGTCCCCTTTTCGTCTTTGCCATTACATACCATCAGAATTATTGCCTTTCTTGCTACTTCCTGCTGTGGAGGGTATCCAGTATGGTTACAGCACCTTATCAGGATGCAGAATGTCTGCCACAATGTTTCCATTGACAGCATAAATTGCTCAATGACTTGCAGGGTCTCAGTGCCTTCAAATATTAGCGCCCATCCTGCTGAATCAAATTCAAACGTGCTCCATGCTCACCTACGAATCGTCTGTAGGTTATCAATTCGCTCGCTGCACTCACGGAGAGTCTTGAAGATGATGTCAAAGCCGCGTTGACCACAATTCCCCACAGGTAAACTTTTCTGCAATATATTCTCCTTTAGGTTTAGTCTCACATTTCATTCTCAACTCCCTCCGTCTTTCTGAATTTGTGCCTCGTGCATGCTCAATATGAACAACTAACAAACTCAAATCCATTTGATCTATCATGAACGAACTCTACCCACTTTGTAGGACTCTCTTGAACGAGTCTTTAGGCATGGAAAAGGTAGCGGCGCGCGGACATAAGCTCTTTGAATCGATATATCACCCTCACACATTGAAGCTACTCGCAAAACTGGGAAAGTACCATCCTGATTTTCCAGGTGGGCCACTTCATTACCTCCTGCAAAGTTGCCATGCAATGTTTGGCGTATCATGCTAGGGCTGCCGCTACTGTAATCTCGCCCCGGCGGCTAGCCGCTCCTCCGTGCATCTTCGCGATCACATTTCCCTTGGCTGCTAGACAATACTTCCGCCACCTGCCTAATACTGTATCGTCTGGCTGATCTGGCATCCTTTAAATCTCTAGGTCATATAATTACATATGAATATGGATCTTTGCTCTCTGACCCAGTGGGGTGGAGCAGCAGAGCGGAGGCGGTGATTAACCGAGCCTTGACCTCGGCGGTCGGTGTAGCGTGTCTTCGAGCCAGTGGAGGAGTTGGGCCCCAGCTGACAAGTCATGTGTATGGGCTTCTAAAAGCGAGGGATTTTGGCGAGGAGCTTAGTGAAGGGGATCAATGGCTCGCATCTGCTGACGGAGCTACATGGGTCCTTGGTGTTGTTGACCGCCTCGTGGATTCCCTTCATGTGCCTGACACACTGGAGCAGAACGGGGCCAGCCAAAGAAGCGAATAATAAGAGATATCGCGCATGAATGATACGCGGGAGTAACCCTATCGTTTCAGTGTCCCAACAGGTTGATCGTGTATGGATCCCTCATGCGTTGTAAAACAGGTGAGCCAATGCAGCAATTCTGCACGATTAGGGTTCCGGGTCATCGATACCACGCGATCAGAGACATGCACGTAAAGCAAGTACCCGGGACGACTAAGATGCGATGTGGAAGATCCACAGAAAGAAAAAAAAAACATACAAATCTAACCACGCTTTATTGTTCACATGAACAAAGGGAACAAAGATGGGCGGCGTTATTGTTTGGAGAGTCCCGCGATTGTCATTAGCCAGCTTTTTCTGTTCCACTTACCCAAACCCAGATGCTGGCCTGCAAGGGTGCGTGTACAAATTGAGTAAGCACGTGTAAATTATTTTCAGTCTCACGATGAGGCATGGGCGTGCAGACAGCTTGGGCTCATCCCCGATCAAAGGTCGAGAACCAGCTGAACCCAACGGTTTCTGGTTACGGTGACTAGTCGATCACTATTGCTACCTTGATCAATCATCAAAATGGCAGAGGGGTCCAGGGAGGGGAAAAGCCTCTCCTTGCCTTCCAGAAACGGGGTCATGGACATTCATAGATCGGGAACTGCGTCGCTGGCACGGCGGACACGTGCTAGCCATGTCTCGGAACTAGTACTAGTGACAGTTTGGAAAGGACGGGATCAAATCATTTGTCCCACAAGCTACTTAGCCCACACTAAAGGGTTTTGGAAGCGCTTAACGGATCCGCATCAGGGACTCCTTCCGATAGCGGCTGAGGTCGGACGGTGTATTTTGTGCAGTCAAAAATTGCCCAGTTCATGTTGGGTTGATGATCGAACCTTTTGTAATTGTAAGAAGGCAAAAAAAACAAACTGATCAATTTGGGGTAGAAGAACTCATGTTGAATGGGTTACATATAGTTGACTTGGTACAGTGAAATCATCAAATTGAAGCGGGTATTTCTGTAATAGTTGGTCTGAAGACCGCCCACAGAAAGATGGCCGTGAAGCGATTAAAAAAACATGGACAAAATTGGACCGACAAAAAAAATTGATATACAAGGCAGCCCAGTGCGCTGGAATGGCTCTGGTAAGCACTGACCCAATTGAAGTCCGAAATATCGCAAGCTTACTATAAGAATGAAGATAGACCAATGAACCTCAAAGACTAATCTATTTCATCGAATGACCATGCGATGAAGCATGATAGACAGGACAACGAGATCCATCATCGGCTAGACACAGGTCGTGCAAATTTGTCAACAGGTGTGCTTGGACAAAGAATAGAACCCGGGCATACAGGGTGGGTGACAGTCCGACTGCCAGCATTGCTGAAGAAATGCAATTCGCCATCGGTTGTGACGACTTCGCCGATGTCCCACCTTCTCGGGGGGACCTTTCGATAGAGAGCGATGACGATGCCATTAGGATCATACAACTATGGCCGTCCAACTCGTGAGACCTTGAACAGAAAATTATTGAAGTGTTCAATAACTGACTAGTATTTCCCCAGGAGTTGTAGTCGATTGAGTCCACGTGTATTCATAACCGTCGGGTCCAGTCCAACATCTGTGATCCCCTGTCAATAAACTAAAACTTAAGGGCTTAGACTTTTGACAGGACGTACGACGAGGCTGGACCGTTTCGACGAACGAGATCTGCCATAGGGATGGAGGATCGTCCTAAACATTTTGTGAGATCGAATGAATTAGATCGGCTCATGACGATTTGGGGCAACGGTGCTCACCGATGAGTGCACGACCCAGATCGCCATCCGCATTCCACTCGAAACGCGCTACACGCTCTTGTTTGGTCTCACTGATGGCTCTCCAGATGGTGGTTACGGTCTTTTTCCTCTCTAGAGCGGTCTCAAAGCGGTAGAGGACACCCCATGAGGTGAAGAGGGAGGAGTCGCGGGGACTGCCCGCGCTCCAAGACATGACGAGCAACTCGGAGACTGGGAATGGTGGCATGTTGAACGTAAAGGCAGTAACAAGGAGAGATGAAGGGGAGAATAAGAGAAGACGTGGATCCCGAGGAAAGCAGTGGGCGGGATTTTTATAGGTCAGAATGGAAGCGACGCCTTGAGTATGACTTTTCCCAGCTGGCAGAGCAAGATTTGGAAATGATAAGAATGGACCAGACAGGATTCACGAACAATCCTACCGAACAAATTCTTCCATATTGGGGCCCGGTTTTATAAATCCCTGTCCATGCTGCAAGTGTGAAGTCGGTTCCGTAAAGTTGAGAACATGAAATGTCCTCGTGTTGAGAAGCCTGGACAGAAACGGGGAGGGCAGTTTAGGAATCGCTAATAGCCGTCCAGCATGCGTCGCATCCCGGAATAATTGTGCAAGCACATCAACCATCTGTTGACACACAGGCGCGCGCTACTGGATGGTACCAACTTCGAATCTCACATGACGCGTGACGGACGCGACACGTTGCGTCCTCCGGAACCTCCCTACGGCTCAACACCGGGACGGCATTACTTTGGTAAGGGTTGCTCTCTTGTGGGAGGACTTATCCCCTTGCACCTAGAAGGTCACACGCAGTCGAAAGAACACGGGAAAAAACCCAAGTTCTAGAGAAAGCTGATCTTTTTCATCCCGCAAATCGTCGATCCTTGAAAGGCCCACGCCGCGCCGAGTTGCTAGGGAAAAACAAAGAAAAAAAAAAGAGAAGAAAATCAAACATCTGAGCTTCCGCCTCGCTTCGGTGTCGAGGTCCTGCACGCCCGCACCAGCTTGATTTCTAATGATCCCAGGCACCGTATGCATGTGCATCGTGAATGGTAGTTAGACGCATTGAGCATCCTCCTGGCTCAGAGGGGTATCCCACATTTGGTCCATCCCCCACTCGGTTAAGGTGTTAAAATTGCTGTATTCCATTCTCTAGTCTAGATCGCCCCCTCCGAATTGGCCACCTCTTATGTTATGGCTTGAGGTTCATTATGCTCTCATTTAGCAAGTCGAGTGCACAAGTGCTCAATCGGCCCGATCTTACTGAGCAAGCAGAGTCTTCTCCTTCGCTTAATTGGAATTCGCAGCTGGTCCTTTGATTATGAACTCTGGTCACCACGAGTTCCCATATACTCCGACATGAGGAGGAAGCGTGGCGTTACTTGTTTTCATTTAATGATGCCCCAATTCTCTTATTCGAAATACTCAAGGTGGCTGCGCCTCGGACCTCGTATTCTCCACATGATAACATCATTCTGGCCAACCTACTCCGTGATCGCAGCTCTTACGAGGGGCGTTCTGTCTACAAGGGTATCTAGCTAATATCTTACCACACCCGTGGGTCTGTGATCATCTCTGATTGTTTCGAATCCCACAGGCCCTATCATTAATGTTGTGAGGGCCCCGCCTGGCAGTCCGTGGAGAATGAGGATTGTATTCACACTGTTTTTCTCTTCCCGCGCATCACAGAATGCCCTTCATATTCTCACTTGATATCGTCCAAGAAAGCGTCTGGTGCTCCGTTCTGGCCACGAGGGCAACATCCTAGGACATCCCTACCGCTTAAAGACTCCCATCCTCCGCTTCGCCGCATCAGCAGCTAGCTCGAGCGTCATCACAGTGTGACGATCTTCTTGCCTGATACTCAGTTGAAGAAGAGACTGGCCGTGGAGAATCACTGAATGTATGTATTCAATTGAGACAAGACCAGAAGCAATACGTTGGGCAGTCACTGATTATTGAAGCAGCTCCTTCATAGCACACAGTGCCATTTCCGGTGCGGCACAACCATTTAGATCACACCCGTTGTCGAGCATCAAGAGACGCCAAACATCTCCTGAAGCCCGTGATCACCAGTGTTTCCCGCATGCACCGCGCGTCACCCACGACGAAGGCGGGCCATCTGTCCTTCATTCGATCAATTTCCGCGAAACAGGACGCTACAAAAGGAAAATTGATCTTGATTAAGCACCCTTTAATTGGGATCCATGGTACACGTGCTACTCACACGCAAATGGTATTATCGGGTCAAAGAGAGGAATAGGCGCATGTTCAAGGAATCACCTGTATCCCGAGCGCTTTTGCGGTCCCAATAATCATTCGTGCAATGCTTTCCAGTGGGAGTTGGCTCAAGTGTGCATCAGTCTGCTTTATTTTTGCAATTTCATACACATGCTTGAGACTGATGGTAGCGAGGATCTGGCTTGGATGTGCAGGTCCCTTCTCAATCCCAGTGACCTTCTTTAGCAGGTACGACGTCGTTGGAGTTTTTGTCACGAACGCAAACGTGCGGTCAGGTTGAACAATTATCGTGGTTGGGATCGGCGTTCCGGGGGAGATGTGTGCCGTACGAGCGTTAAACTCCTTGCAGAAATCCATGGATTTTACACCTTTCGCACCAAGCGCCGGGCCAACTGGGGGCGTAGGTGCCGCCTTACCCGCTCCCACAATAAGGCGCTACACACCATGGCGCGATAGCTGTGTCAGCGTCTTCCTTTTTGCCGAGTATTGGTTAAAGATACACACCACAAGCGAGGGTTTGGGAACGCCTGCCATGGACTCAGCAGTTTGAATTCAAGATTTGCTTCCGGCCGGCTAGGCGCTTGTTGACACTGTTACCAACAACGATGTTAAAATCGCTTCTGGCCTTGGCGAGTGCCAGCTTTGTTTTATCTGCGTCAGTATCATATGATCCCCAGCTTGCGCTCAAGTACGTAGCTCAGGAGGAATTACTCAAGGCCGTCCCCGAAGGTGAGTGGCATGCGCGACGCGTGTTGTCCAATCGCTCGTCTGACCGCCTCCGTCGCGTGTGAATCGCATTGGGATGCTCTCCCTTTGTTCCCCTATTACTTCATATGTCAAGGCTTCAATCTTGATCTTGACGCGAAGCGACTCGTTCAATTTGCTCCCAACGAGGAGCCAGTGTGGGTAACTGAGCGAGAAAAGGCAAGGATCGCGTTTGACTTACATACGGCTCGTTTTAATCGTTTTTTTTTGTAGATCATTGCGAAAGCAAGCTCCGTCAACTTCTTCGACATGTGAGGATCTCTTAATGACATTTCAGCGTTTCCCTAAACTCAGATTCTAGAACTGATTCTCCAGACTATGCTCCGGGGGACCTTGAGCAGTCCGCTGCTGGTGTAGAGAGTAGGAATGATATTGTGGTGCTTTTGACCAAACCTCAATGTGAATTCCAGTTGCCACCTACAATGCGTCGAAGCGGATCAAGTCCACTATCAAGTTACTATCGACCAAGGGCCCGAGGGCTAATTTGAGGAAGTTCACAAGTTTTAGGACGCGATGTTTGTGTCCCTTCCAGCACTGAATGCAGCAAATGTTGATCACGCCGCTAGATTACCGCTCCCTGACGGGCCGCGAAAGCCAGCTATGGCTGTTATCCAAGATCAATGAGGTAACATCAACTCCTTTCTCATACAATGCTGTACTCAGGAATTCGAAAGGTTACCTCGAAGACGGCTTCGGATGAACTGCAAACTCGCATCACTGTCAACGAGTTTGAGCATCCCTGGGGCCAAAATTCGATCGTAAGAGCGCGGATTGCATCGCTCTGAGCCTTCTTACGATTGTAGGCCCTCAGATCGTCAGGATAAGGGGGACATCCATGTCAAAAGATACTGGCTCCGTCATCATTAGCGCACACCAGGATAGGTGATCCGTTCACATCCGAATTGTTGCTGTAGAAACTAACCGCTTCCAGCACAAATTTCCTTCCGTTCTTACCAGCCCCTGGCGCTGATGATGATGGTCAGTGTCCGCCGATGCCGCCACAATGAATTTCAAATCGATATTTCCGCAGGGTCTGGCACAGTTACGATTTTGGAGACTTACAGGGTATTGTTAGCCGCAAATTTTACCCCTATCCATGACGTGGAATGGCATTTCTATTCCGCCGTAAGTGAATTCGTGGTTATACCTTGTTGTTACCAAGCATTCGGGTATCCCTTGCCTTGCAGGAGGAAGGTGGGCTTCTTGGCTCTCAAGCGGTAGTGAACGATTACGTGTCGCAAGGGGCGAAGGTCAAGAGTCAGCTGCAGGTATGGATTCCGCTTCACTAATGCAAGCTACTCGGAATGCAAAGTACTCACATCATTCAGTTTGACATGACTGCTTGGGTAAAACAAGGGACCAAGGAAGTAGTGGGCGTCATTACGGACTTTGTTAATCCCAAGTGAGCGAGCCAAACGCGTTTATTAATTCAAACCCTTGGGATCTTGACACGGTTTTTTGCCTCATGTCAGACTCACCTCGTTGATTGAAGACCTCATTGATACGTATCTAGATATCCCTTGGGTCGAGACTAAATGTGGGTATGCCTGCTCTGATCATGCCAGCTGGAATAAGGCTGGTATCCCCTCGGCATTCGGTATCGAATCAGCATTCGAAGATTCGAACAAGAATATCCACTCCACGAACGAGTACGCATTTCCTGAATAATCCGCCGTACCAAAATAACGGGCTTTTTCCCCTTAGCCGGCTGGACATCTCTCCAGAATTCAGCTTCGATCACATGCTGGAGTTCTCTAAGCTTGGGGTGGCGTATGTTGCTACTCTTGCAGGGTGGGCTTGAGTCCCCCTGCACAATCACCAATCAATCGTATCAGGGATTCTTCTGTATTAGAAAACTTCTCCCGTGTTCAACAAACGATCTATCGTGAATGCGGTCGATGCGGTTAGTGGCGCTCTAGAAGCTGTAAACTATCCTATTTCATAGCAGTGGTCCAGAATACTCGCTTTTATCAGGACACACGTTCATTGTGCTTCTGCAGCCGAACGTCCCACTTGCTTTGTGACCACTACAGTGACTGCTAAGACAATGCGCATCTTTTATTCTTCCAGCTTTTTGTAAGGTCATTACTCGTAACCCCAGCGTGGTAGCCGTGCGCCCACCAACAACCGAATAGCTAATTTTGACGTTCATGGGCTTCGGCCACATTAGCCTCGATAGGAATGGCGCCATTCCTGTCTTCTACACTTCATATTGCAAGAAGGTTCATCCAAACGCACCTTGTAAGGGGGATCTTGAGCTCACACATCGGTACATACGTTTGTGGAAATTGGAAACGGCCAGTTCATAGATAAGCAATAAATATTGCGCATACAGACGAAGCCCAAAATAATTCTACATTTTCCAATTCTGAATTAGGGGAATCAGGGGAATATTGTGCAATCGATCTATGGAGTTGCAAATAGCTTTGAATGTCACTGTTCATCTCCCAGATGCTGCCTCCATGATCGTGCCACGGCTTAAGCAGTAATCTATGTGCGCATTGAGCTCGTCATTGTCGACCACAAGCTCCTTACTGCAGATGGGACACTGCAGCGGACTGCGAGGGGCCTCGGAATGATCCACGGTTTGGGTACGATTGCGCTTGTTCCGGGCGTTTGGAGATGTCAATGCTTGAGGTTGAGCAGTGGTAGAGGGTTGGAATTTGGCCAATCCCCCATCATAGTTACCTCTGACTGCGTCGCGAAGTCGTGTCAGGGAGATGGGCTCGTTTCCTTCTGCAATATCACTGTCGCCGATTGAATTCAGCATCAGAGGCCTCTCCGTAGCCGCGTCAGCGCCAGGATTGGTGTGAGAAATAAGCTGCGTTCCCCCCGTCTTTGAGAAAAGTAAAGCTTCTTCCTCTCGCTTACGCCGATCCCATCTAGAAGGCCCCTCAGGGGCATTCCCAAGTTCCCAGCCTATGCAATCGTCTTCCATCGCTGACGTGTCAGCCTCAAAGTTGCTCGCCAACGTGGCCTCTGCTGCGAAACCATGGTTCGTCGGCTCCGCGCCACTCCCATCACTCAACCGTTTCCGCTTTTTGAAGTTTGGACTAGACACTAGAAACTACGGCATCGGTGAACTTGGATTATTCTAAAAGAACCAATTTCAAAGCAGAAGAGCAACCTTGTCTATCACACCTTCGTGAAGCCGGAGATCCTTGAGCATTGTGAGGCGTAGGCCAATCAGACGTAGCTTTGATATGGACGGGAACTCCTTCAAAAATAGTTCTTTCCCAGCGGCGAAGATATCGGCTTTTGATGTGATGAACCGAGACAGCGATTTCGCGCGTGTAAATGCTAAATGAATTTTAATGCATCAGGTACCACCATGACTGGACAAAGGGACGCTGTACTCTGAAAGGTGTCCAACTTGTATTTCAGCGTGACCGTCCGCCCTGCCCATCCAGTTCGAGCCAAATCTTCCTCTAGGTCCTCTGCTATGCCCTCCAGCTTAGCTAATAAAGCGTCCTTGTCGGCATCCGGGCTAAAAGTCCTATCAATTTGTAATTATTGCATTGTTCCTGAATGTTGCCTGCCTGAATCCCCCACCTTTCAACTCCTACACTCTTGCGGTCTTCTCTGACTGGTGGCTCTACGATATTGGAGCCGATACCCAAGTGTGCATTCAATAGATACGATATCCCCCCTGGGAGGTGCTTGTCCATACTAAGGAGCATCGCTCGATGCTTGCAAACATCCCCACAAGTATTAATTCCCAGAGAGGTTAAGATCCGCTCTGTCACTCGCCCAATGCCGGGTATCTGCAGGGAAAATCGCATTGATAGAGTAATATTAAGGTTGGCCAGTATGTACCTTCCGCATGGGCAGGTCATGCATGAATTTGATGATGTCGTCTGCATTCCTTGGGAGTGTGAATTGTCCGTTGGGCTTGTTGCGATCCGAGCATATCTGCAAATCGTGTTGAAAGCGCGGATACTTGTAATGATTATAGTTGTCATGCTTACTTTCGCGAGCATGCGGTTTGCCGCGATACCTGCACTGCAAGTAAGCTGAGTTTCACGGTGAACGTCGGCTCGCATTTGTTCCACACATTCTTCCGGCGTCATGTTATGAAGATCGCAGTAATCATTGAGCCTAATGACCGAAAATATATCGGTGGGCAAGTGGTTGAGAAATCAAGACTGACGTTAGGTACGCTTCATCAGCACCTGTGCCACGATGAGTTCCGTATCATGGGGGATTCGAATAGGATGCTTACCCATAATACACATGTCTGGATCATACTTCCCCAAAACATCCATGACTTCTTTTGACTGCGTAAGTGTCACAGGTAAGGACGAGAAAATATCGATAAGAAAAGTGAACGTGCTTTCTGGGCGTATCTCTCGAAATGCGAGGGGACAATGATGAGGTGTGGGCAAAGTTTCTTTGCGACGAATGCTGGTAAAGATGCGGGCTTTCAATTACAATAATTCGGAATGAAATCGCCACGAAGTTTGGCACTTACTGGCCATGCCTGACCTACATCCATATTTTCGAGCCTCATAGCTGGCAGTCGTAAGCACGCCTTGGCTGACGCCGAATGCTTTCCCCACTGTCACGGCCGAATGTTAAATTCTGTGCATGACGAAGATTCTGACACTGGAACTAGCCTAGGCTTGGGTCATCCAGACTTTCCACACTAGCATAGAATGCATCGAGGTCAACATGGCATATTATTTTTGACACATCCCTTGTTGCCTCCATGGCAGATATCTAAGCCCTGTAAGCCGGATGGAGACTTGATATGAACTATGTGCCCGCCCCTCACCATTTTGTCCACAGTGGACTCTGCATTACCTGAATGGTCGGTTAGACCTATCACATTTCCGATTCGAAAGCAGAACAATCTTACGAATGTCCATAATGCTCATCACGCTGTCCCGTTCCGCAAGCAGCTTCCCAATTTTTTCAGTCAACATTCCATCCTTCCGTTTGGCCTCCTGAGGCTCAACTTCAGAATCCTATACTCGGGCGATAAGTACCAGTAAACGTCACTTGAAAGAATCTTGAATTCTTCGAAGCCTCAGCGATTATACGATTGACTGGATCGCGTCAATGTCACACAGACGAGAGGGATTCCGGAACAAGACATACTCTCAGATTGATCCCTTGCGAGTCCAGCCTTTCCCGACGAGGGGCCAGCCATGGCATTGATGAGACTCTGCTTCATAGAAGTGTCCAACCCGTTTCGGTCCCGGAGTGACCACTAGTACTCTCACGCAATCACGGGATACGTCACGAGACTTCCAGAACCTCATCACCCATCAGTAGTCACCATGTCGAACTATCCAGTAGCCCCCCTTCATACTCAGCACCAAACCCCAACAAGAAGTACGGCGCTGCCAATGAGACCACTGAACCACTTTTGGACCCCGCACTTGCTTCGTCATCCAATCCAAACGCCTATTATGCGCAGGGTGGTGGGGTAGCTGACTTTGATTATGGCGTCAGTGTCTGGGACTCCTCCCCTGAGATCAAAAATGGTACGTACATTCGATCGAACTTTGTCTGGGCATCTACGCTTATGCACCACCTTCAGCCTTCATTCAAAAGGTATGCGCGCAAGCCCTGGTCCGCAGCGCCCCCTGACTGACAATCCCATCCAGGTATACAGTATCCTCTTCGTGCAGATTGTAGGTGATGTTATGTTTCTTCTGGAGTCCATTACTGATATGGCCTGTAGCTGGGAACCTGCATCGTTGCGGGCGCACTCTCTCAAAGCCGCGGTACCATTGAATGGGTTCAGGCCAAGTGAGTCGGAGGGAGTCAATAGCCTTTCGTTCAGCAGTAACCACTTTGTTGCAGTCCTTGGGCATTTTATGTGCCTCTCTTTGCCACTTTGATTAACCTTGGGTTCCTATGGTACAAGAGACACAGCCACCGTGAGTTCAACCATCCCTTCTGCCCAAACTAGTGCCCAAATGTCCTTCTACCCACAGCAACGAACTACATTCTTTTGGGAACGTTTACCTTACTCGAATCGTTTGCTATCGGAGTGGCAATTTCGTTCTTCGACACTGTAATTGTCCTTCAAGCCCTGTGAGTGATGTAGTTTTCTCCTTCGTAACCTCTGCCTCACACACAAACGAATCTAGACTTATTACGCTTGGTGTCTTCCTTGGATTGACCCTATTTACAATCCAATCCAAGTACGATTTCAGTGGGATGGGTAAGAAGCTATCCCTTGACCGTTGACAAACATTCTTACACAATTTCGTGCAACAGGCCCATTCTTGTTTGCGGGGCTCCTGGTGATGATATTCTCTGGGCTCGTATCGCTGTTCCTCCCATTCAATCAAACAGCAGATTTGTGAGCCATAGTCCCTTTTGGTATCGGCTGACCACTAACACCGTTATTCGGCAGGATCTACTCCATATGCGGAGCCCTACTCTTCAGTGGTTATGTTGTTTATGATACATATGTTATCACGAAGCGGCTCAGCCCTGATGAGTACATAATGGGTGCAATCTCCCTCTACCTTGACTTTATCAACCTCTTCCTCTATATCCTCCGCGTGCTCAATAACGTGAACCGCGACTAAGTGACTTTGGGCACCGGTTCAGGAATGGAATTGTGTTTTCTGCCGTAGAACTAGGCCTAACTTGGTGAACGGACTGGTTGCATTGGAATGTATTCTCGTTGCTGTTGTTGGCAATAATTATCACTTGAGTTTGGGCACCGTCCCTGCTATCGGATCAAGATGTAGGTCTCGGCACATGAAACAGTACAAGATAACTTTCTAAAAATACCAAGCTACCTCAGTCCAGTCAATGTGCACTGAGGGAGAAAAAGAAAAGTTTGGGCAAAGTTTATATATGAGCATGAGAATGGACAACCAAAAGCGAAGGCGAGAAACCAGAAACGAGGCGAACATAAACATGATCCTTGGGGAGAGGCCCCCCGGGTTCGCCCTTGGTGCAACTGCAATAATAATGTGTAGATACTGACAGCACTCGAGTATAAGTAGTACTTTGCATCTATAATTAATCTCTCAAGCGACGCAAGCTCAGTTAATTAGGTGCACCAACACCAACACGTGAGCTTCCATGTGTCACGCGATATTCGTGTTTCACGCAACTCAGCCCTACCTACATGCCATACAGAGAAGACTTCTGGAATAGCTAACAGGATCATGTGGATATTGCGTGCTGCTTTCGACGATGCAGATGGCGAAGATACTAGTGCGCACGCATAATCCGGTGCCGGGATGATTTGCACTAATTCGCCCAGTTGGTTCAAACATTTTACAGAGGAAAAATTATTGTTACCTGGAGTCGAGTATGCCTACGGGAGGAGAAGAGGGCCCGGTGATCCTGACAACAAACTCTTTACGAAGAGCAAAGTAATATCTAGGACGGAAGGGTTCTTCATTGTTTCCGAACTACCCGTGAGTGGCGTTCCTTGACGTGTCTGACGGAGAAGGGTTCTCCTTGCTCCGGCGGTATATTTCGTTTCGTTTTAGCTCGAGCTCAAACTTATGCGCATATTTTGCCTCAAGGAAAGTCTCGGTTCCGACTCTGCGCTTACATATCGCAAGAGCGAGGCTAAGAATAAGGTAGTGCCTTTGAGGGATGGTGCTCCCATAGAAGAAGACCCCGATCATCCTAAGGAATATTTATTGGCCGATGGAGACAAACTCGAAAAGGGGATGGTCATCTCGTAAGGGTGCTGGTATTTCACTCATCCTTGTCTTACAGTCCCCAAGAATCAGAAATCTTCCGATACATGCCTTCATTGCCGCTTCATCTGTTTCAAGGGACGCCGCTCAAGATTTATCCCAACGAGCCACAAAATTTGGTGTTCGCGTAGCTCGAAGTTGGTCCGAGTTCACAACCCATTACATCATAGACCGCTTCCCTGACGTGTCCGGCGCCCTCTCCCTGGAGCCTCGAACTAAACAGAGAAGAAAGGGGTTAAATATCGATACTTCCTTCAAAGAAAAGCCCTCGCTGCAATGGGTCTGTGGGCTTCTAGCAGAGTCTCAAACTCATTTCATCAAAGTCTCGTGGCTCGAAGCCTTCGTTCGAAAGGGAGAGCTACCCCGTGGTAGTAGGAATTATGAGGAGAAATACGACCCACCGAATGAGCAGGACTACCTTCCTGACGGCCCGAACCCTGAGCTGTGGGTATGGAAAGAGAAGCGCGTTAAGATGTTCAAGCAAATGACCTTCTTTGTCGTCTATCATGGCATAACGGTAAGACTCCGTGCGTATTACTGTCTGTGCATTAAGGCTGGTCACCAGGTGGATAAAACATTTGAAACACTAATCAAAATTGGCGGTGGGAACGTCCATTCGTACAGCATCTCTTCGGACAAAGCCATCCCCTCCGCTGAAAAATGGGCCCAAATTATCCAAAAAACTACGAAAAGGAAATCCGGGGGGAATGACTCCGGCTCGCCTCTTGTTGTTTTAGTGGGGCTGCAAAAAGAGGTCCTGGAGACTTATGAAGATTGGAGATATCTGTACCTGGAGGGCGCTAAGATGTGAGTCCCATTCCCATCATGTTTGGTTCCTCAATAACTAGCGCCATGTGTGCTTAGGATGGATATGCAATTTGTGTACGATACGGATGTTATTTTGGCTATCTTGAAGAGCGACATTGCATACATTGACTGCTCCATCGATTTTGAAGCTCCCGAACAGGAGGACGCCCGTCTACCCATGCAATATGCATCCTCCTACACGCCCCCCGTGGTAGATTCGGTTCCCCCAAAGCGGCCCATCCCCTCCAATGCTGGACAAGATTCCCCCACTCCAGCAGGGCCGTCCCCTCTGGACCTCTCCCATGCATCTTCGAGCGTGGACAAAATCACCGAAGTCCCTGGACAATCTGCCATTCAAGAAGCCTCTGGCGATACTCTGTCGCGACTTTTGGTAAATTCCCTTCCTCCAGTTGTCTTTGCTATTGTTGTTGATACTATTATACTCTTTAAGCCGCCTAGAAGAAGGAACCGTACCGTAGCTCCCCTAGGTGCAGCCCTCTTTGGGTTAGATGACGACAGCACTATTATCGAGGAAAGTCCAAAGATAGAAATTTCTACTTCACCTCCACCTAGCCCCCAACCCAACAAGTGAAGGAAATAGAGCCCTCTTCTCATCTTCAGCGACCCAAACGTAAAGCTGCGATCAAGCAGCCGGCGGCGTTCATGGACCTATTTGGAATAGGCGAAGAGCAGGCTATGGCTACTTCTACGGTTGCAGAACCATCCTACAAGAAATTTCAACGTGATTTCGAATCGAATCTCTTCGATTCTCAGCCAGGCGATCCACTACCGGACATCGATGATAACGAGCCCAACTCAGGAGCTGCATCTACTGGGATGGAACACATGTCCTCCGCACAACCGAGTTTCACTCCACTGCCTGGAAGTCAAAGTGACTCACAGTTGATGCCTCAGGAATTATTTTCAGCCTCCGGGCATGCTCAGGAGTCAGAATCCAAAAGTCGCGGAAAGCGCAAGGCATCTGACAAAGGTGACACAGACATGCAGGATGCAAATGTTATGGGCTCGAGACCCAGGAAACGTCAAGCTATGGTGGAGCCGGAACTTGTCGGACCAAAGGATGCAGCCATGTCATCTCACCAAACGGTAGCTGTCAGGGATGAATCCCAAACTACCAAGAAAACACGAGGTGGCGCGGCTGAGAACGGCGTGGACACTGATTCACAATTCCTACATGCCATGGCTACGACGAAGAGGGGAAAACGCACCGAAGACGAGTTCGATCGGGAATTCAATAACCTCCGAATATCGAAACCGAGAAACGGCGATGAAGTCAATATCGAGAGAGAGAGACGCCGACGCGAGGAACTTGAGGCTTTTGAAGAAATGGAAAAGGATTTCAATGTGCACGGAAACTTCATGGTTGTTATCGAAAGTGACGATTTGTTCCGGAAGGATGGTGGGAAGCAACCTACTGTCCCAAGTCTTGAAAATAACATGCCGAACTTCAAGAAATTTAAAAAGGTTCGGTCTCTCTTGCCTTATTCTACGTTTTGTCTAATAGCTGAGCCACAGAAAGTTCCACCGCGACGGGCCGCGATGGTGGAGATCGTTCCAGACAAAACAATGGACTATGGTCAAGGAAAAGGCAAGATTGACGCCCTGTTTAGGCTGTGTCGCATCTCATTCCTGTTCAAGGGTATTGGGAGAAAGAGAAGTCTCCAATAGCTCCATTAGAAGAGAGCTATCCACCATTGAGACCTCAAGCAAGGCGGGGTCGTAGTGGCGTTTCCCGTCCCCAGGGCCCCCGTCGTCCTTTGCGTGTGGAGGATTCTGCGAGCGACGCAGAAAACCACTCTGACGTATCCTTGCCCAAGCGCCTAACAGGCAAGGGTGGCGCACGGGCCAAACAAGCCCCGAAGGAGTACGAACCAAATGATTCTGATTTGAACTTTTCCGACGTAGACACCAGACTCCCTGGCACTCTGCGCAGTTCGGGCCGAGCCCGACGGAAACCGCCGCCTGCCGCGGACGACGAAGACGAGCTCGAAGACTTCGGTGATGTTCTGGATGCTATTGGACCTGACGTCAGTGATTTAAACGAGTCGCTTCAAAGTCAGACCATTAAGTCTAGTGCTCCAACCGCAAAACGGCCTCCTGCAGCTTCACCTCCAAAAGCACCGCCAGTGCCGTCGATGCGGGTTACGAGAAGTGCTAGCCAAGCTCCTAGTGAAGACCCTGCTGCGAGTCAGGTAACGACCCGGTCAACTCGCGCCACCACCAGGAAACGGCCTAGAGTAATGCAGGACTCGGATTCGGACGGAGCTGGTTTTCACGGTTTCTCAGTGTCGTCCAAGCGCTCAAAGAGATAAGAATGGAATATTGTGTTTCGGCGTGATGTGTTGCGCGGCGATATGATCTGTTTGTATAGCATTCTGATGCACACCGGCCGTGGTGCCATCGGATCACAACCTCAACGCTCGCGTGAAATTGAATTCGGACTGTAAAACTTTAAAGCCAAATATGAGGACAGGTTGTGTTCCCACCCTCGGCGTCTTGGTTCAAGGTTCTGGGTCTACTTCTTCCGATGAAGAAAGAACATTCGGACGTTAAATCACCACCCCCACATCACTTGGAGGAATCCCTACGGTCCTGAACCATCAATCATAATGATCGCTGGATCACCGCGGTTGTTACGGAAAGTTTCGATGCCAACTATCGACCTCCCAGACATAGAAAGCGCTCGCCACGAGAGAATGATCCCCCTTGTGCTATCCTTGCTTTTTTGATTCCCTTCTTTCCTTTCTCCTTGCTGGCCGGTTCCAGCACCTTATTTTCTTCGTTTGGCGCTGGTAAGAGGACGTCCCTGGGGCCGTTCGTTATGATGTCTTGACTCTTTCATTTGCCGTGCAGCGTTCGATCTTATTTCCAGCGCCTCTTTTTTTGATCAGTCCTTCGTACATTCTCTGCCCTTGGCACCATCATGACCACCACCAGTGTTTTCAAGAGCACAGACAACTTAATAACAATCGTATGTCCCGCAGTTGCTGTTGAAGCTTGCTTTTGACATGGGGAACTTGCGCGTCAGAGGCTTGGGCGGACACTTGACATGCCGCCCCTACCATTCGAGCTGAATGGGATAGTGGCGCAAGAAACCTGGGAGTATCGAGTTCGCGAGACGAACAAATTATTCCTCAGGTCCAGCAAGCCAATCTTTGAGCGTATTTGGTTTGGCATTGCGTTTACGTAAGGCTCGCGACCCGTTCTTTGCCTTGACTGAGAAATGTTTGTTTCCGCAGTGCAATGGTTGTACTGCCTGCAGCGCTTTACGGCGTCTTCTGGGATATGATTACACCTAGGGTATTCGGGCCACATTGGACAATGAAGATTTCCGTTACCGTTTTGATGATGACGATAGAGTATGGAAGTATCGTTGGGAAGTGAGGGGAATCACTATTGGTATTCTGGTCGCCACCGTCTTGGTCTTCTGGGGGCCACTGGTTGCATGGAAATGTTACGTCAGTCACCAGCTACATCCCCGTCCGTTTCCCACTTTTGCTAAAGATACCATGCCTTTTTCCAAAGGGTACCAAAAAAGCTAAAGCTATGGCTCGCCAATGGAACGAAGCGGATGCAGCTGCCCCCACAGAGAACAATTTCAGGCCTATATGGAGCGTGCGCGCCCCTAACCTACTGAGCTCATATGGAGTGAGCAATCTCTCATTTAGCATTCGAATCACTTATGGTCTTCCCAGTCCCTCACAGTGACCGCACCCCCAGCGACGGTCATTGTCTCTAATTTCGACCCTCAAATGCAGACCTCTTTGCCTTCATACCTCATTCAGCAACCTACTCAGCCTTCGGGGTATTCTTTTCCGTATTATAGTATCGACCAAGCACCGGTTTTGGATGACAAGACGAATCCTGGGCCTATGGAGCACAGTCCACAGCCCAGGAGTCAAGGGCCGGCAGGCGAACGGGAGAGGAATGAGTCAGTGCGGCGGGATGACTTTGAAGAAGTCAAAGTCTGAGTTAACAAGCGGCGCTCGGAGTTTGTGGAGGGAATGGATGCGGGGCGTTTGTACAATGGCAGACAGTCCTTCGTTAAATTTTAAACCTGCTATCACACTGCTGAGGTAGAGCATTCCATAAACCCCTAATCGTTATCACAGAACCATCATAACTGATGGGCAAGATTAGTAGTCACGTATAGAGAACACCTTCGGAAGAGCTAGATGTACTCGAAGAAGATAGTGTTTGGCCAAGAGAGCGATGGGTAGATACAATGGAAGAGACTACCCGATGAGGTCAGCAACTCAGTACATTGTCAGGGGGTTGCAGACTCGGTAAGTAAAAGACTAGGGCATGGATGAATGAATATCAAGACAATGTCGCAGTATCCATGGATGGGTATCATTAGGGGAGTGAGAGTAGGCAATGCGTAGGCTTGCTAATGAAGAAACGTGAATTGTCGCTATACTTGCTGTATCTGTGGCTAAAAGAAAGAGGAAATTGGAACGCTACAAGAAGTTCATCACAAAAACAATATGGCAGGTTTAATGGGCCACAGGGACTTATGATAAGCGTACTAGATCGGCGAATAATGATAGTTAGGAGGCTAAGTTCGGGATACAGCCAGTGCAACCCGATCAAGATTCAGGAGGTTGAGACGAAGAAGATGTTTGGTAACGGCCCGGAACAGGTTGGGCATCCGGGGTGGCTGCCTTTTCGGCAAAGAAAAAGCGGATCACTCGTGACGCTTTGTCTGTCGGTAGAGGGGACACGGCGATCACCCTGCTCCAAGGTCCTGGCATTGATGCCGCGAGGGATGGCGGAGGTACAGTATCATTCGAAGAGTGATTGCGCTGCCCAGGGAGGTAATCTGGTGAGATGCTAGGGGATGTTGGCTGGGATGAATGAGCTCTCTCCCTCTCCTTTTCTGAGGCAGAAGAGGTGGGTGCAGGTGCATGAATATCGGCTAGCGGCGAAGCTTCTTGCTGCAGGATAGCTGAGAGGACCGTCGATGATATCTGCGAAAGAAGTTCCTTGTCAAAGCTATCGGAACGAGGGGGATCTCTTGACTCCGGAGTGGGTCCCACTCTTTCCGAGACCTGTTTTCCGTCACCAAGAACACTCCGTAAAGCACCATCCAAGAAAGGATATTCAAGTGAATGTGCGAGGGACTTCGAGAGTCGACTTGAGGAATGTAGATTAGGTAGGGTCCCAAGGGTAACAACCCGGCAAAATCGCCAAGCTTACGCAACAAAAATATCCAGTGATCCCTCGAACGCTTCACGCGCCTCTTGGACATCGCGTGATTTCGACCCAAGGCTAGATAGCCTTTCCTGGCCAGAACGCGCTCCCACATTGCCTCCCTGACGGCAAGTACACCTGAAGTTCTAATTAATTGCTCTTCTTCCTTCGCATTTTCATTTAGGATACCCACCCATTGCTGATGTGAATAAATTAAATGCAAGTTCTCCGTAGTCCATGAACAGTGGTGGTGTATTTTGTAGATTGTTTGGCATATCCGTCACAGGATCTAGCGACTTCCGTTCGGTGTGGTTTACAGCTTCATCACCAGCCTCCCTGTTCCGCAGAGGGCCTAGCTTCCTTGACTGGGGTTGGCTCTCGCTCTTTGATGGATAGCCAGGGGTGGCGTCGAACAAAGGGACAGCTGATTGATCTGTGGGGGGGCTCAACTGCGAAGATGTAACTGGATAGGCTCTTAGATCTGACGAATACTCTCCCTCAGGAATCCGATGTACTGGATCGCACGTTTGTTTCGAAGATTGGGATAGGTTGGGAGCAGGAAGGGATGAATAGATGTCGGGGAATGGTACATAGATTCGAGCCGGGATGGTGGTGTATTGGAAATAAATATTCAGGTAATACGGAATTATCCTTGTGGGGATAAGGCTTATGTTCCTAATGTGTTGACCGCAGTGAGTACCGCACGATTCACTGAATTAGAAGATTATACCTCTCCAAGTAAACCTCCTTAAAGAGAGATTCAAGATTGTCTTCGTCATACTCTGTATCTTCTTCGTAAGAAGGCGGGGATTGTGGAGGAGGGGTCAATGAAGAGGACTGTGGGCCCTACTGACATCACTACGTGAGCTACGATCCGACGAAGAGTCTGAGGTAAGCGGTTCCAAACTCGGGATGCGGGGGAATATTACGTCTACAGGAAGTCAGCGTTGGTGGCGCGGGGCGGAAAGCAACACCGACCCTCCTCCACATATTCCACAATTCCACTTGGTGCGAGAACCCGGCTCACTTCCTGTGTCTCAAATGAATCCCAAAGCTTCCCGATCGGATAGAAAACGGGTACCTGAAAGAAAGCATCCCACGACAGTTCTGGAACGCCTTTGGCAATAAATCGGATAACGATATGATCAAATTCGCCGTTTTCAAATGGCCAAGGTGTCTTCAAACTTCGGCACGAGGATCAGAACCAATCGGTGCATAGGTACAGAATTGACGCACAAATTCCCAAGTACCCAGGAGATACGCGAACCGATGGGGTCATCAAGCAATTCAACATCCGGCTGGTAGGGCAGAGATCGAAGCCAACGAAGCTCGTCTCTGGCCACCTCTTTGCTGCCTCGATTATCCATACTATTCATCTGTATGAGGAGACATTGTTGTTGGGGGAAATCGCGGCCTCACTTACTTCCGGTTCCTGGAAGATGAAAATAAGAGGGCTTGACTTCCTCGAGGCGATTCACATACATACCGCAACCGATATCAAGCAAGCGGACGGGGTTAGATCCCGGTCTATCACCGTAGCCGAGCCGCCCAGTCGCCCAGTGCTGCTGGATGACATTGAAGACATCACTTGTGCCACTCATCAGTAAGACACTTCGCCCACAAGGTGCACCCTCACCAATCGAGAATGAAACGATCGTAGCACAAAGGATAGGGTGCATCTGTGACATTATACGGATGGTGTTTACTGTCGTGCTTGAAGATAAAGGAGAATCCCCCAAAGTTGGAGCGAGGGCCCCCGTCGTTGAACGAATGAGTGGACGCGCTGGAAGCTACAGAAGAAGCGTAGTCATCGTAGTCGGAGAGCGAACTGTGGCGTCATGGGGCGCTGTAAGATGAAGCCGGCGCTAAAACCTATGGATTATACGGCGCTTACCTGCCTGGTCTGTCGCTAGACGCGTCTGACATGCCCACCACAGCGAATAAAGCCCTCTCTTACGAGAGCAACGGCGTTCAACACGAGAGGGGCTATGGCTGTAGTTAGAGTGTTTATAAAGCGGGATGGTTGTCCAGCACCATCATATTATTGGCGCATTGAGTGAACGGAAGCAAGTTTCAGCATGTTGATGACGGCCAACTTAGGAAACATGGAATGCGAGGTTATATCTTCACATCAGCCCTGGACAAAGCACGGGCCATAGATCATCCCTGTATTCTGAGTTGAAATGGCTCCTTTGTGTGGCGTCTGCAGGCGAGACAGTTCAAAGTACTCATGCCCAGATTGCCAATTGAAATAGTCTGTAAAACTTTCGCCATCATGCTCGGTGTCATCAATGAGGCTGTTTAGTTGTTCTCTAGCTTGTTTCAAAGATCACCGGCCTGCATGTCGATCAGCATCTTCGACTGATGTTGCTAGATCTTCAAGTCTGCGACTCCCAGACCAAGCCGCGGACGTGCCGCTAAAACCATTGTCTTCACTGAGATGGCCCTTTGTTCCTGAGGCGCCTTCATTTCAGGATCCCCTATCAGGGAATGACCCTCAACCACTAAAACTATCTCAATTTGAAGCGATCGGTACGTCAAGTACACAATGAATAATTCATGTCAACATTGACATTGGTGCTAGCCACATCCAATGCAGTTAGAGACGCACTAGCTTCCAACGAGCGTTTGCATGGCCTTCTTCGAGTGTTGGATAGTATGTCTCCCAACGAAAGAAATGCCCGAATGAGGCATTTACTGGGGTTAGGGGATGCGGGTCAATTGGATCCAAACAAGTTGACTGAAACCGAGAAAGAGGATGCTGAATCATTCTCCATCTTTGTTGCAGTGATTCAAGATTGTATTTCTGGCGTTGACCAGGATGGAGAGAAGTACGACGGGTTACAATGGGCTTCATGAATGTTCATTTGGCATGCAACACAGTGAATCCAGCTTGCCCGCGCCGGCCGTTATGTATTGGAATGTCACACGGCCCTTTCTGCAGAAATGAACGCCATCATGAGGGATGGTTGTTCCAGACCAAGGGTCATCATGAAGATGTGGTGGTAATGTCTGGGCCGCACTTGATGAGATCATCGATTGAGTAAAAGAGAACAATGTCATGAGTGTATAATGAGATGATACAATGCTACAGAAAGTACTCGGGCATCTGCATGGAAGTATCATACGTACATGAGCATAAGGTAAATATGAAGTAACAAGGATATATCATCACCTTGATGGGAGCAGTGGGTAGTGGTTGATTACTCGGTCCATCTACTTGATTTTCGGGCGCAGCCTCAAATACATTAAAATGAACCGATTCCTCCGGGCCAATCTCCAGTATGCTCGCTGAATTTCCGCATCTATAGCAGTAATTTGGCGCCGACCATACCGTGGATAGCCTATTATCAAACAGGACACTAAATCCTTCCATACATAGCTGGTGTGCCCGGAGGATATGATTCATGTGATTGATTTCGAGAAATTTCCGCACAACGCCCGACCCAAATGTGTAGCCCGCCCCTCTAGGATTAAAAAAAGTGCGGAAATCTGTGTGGGTACGGCACGCCAATAAACATACCTTGGGGATATGGCAAAATCCTCTTTATCAGGATCCGGGTCAGACCATACGAGGTCAGCCATCGGCCCCTCGTGGGGTATTTCTTGTTGCCCTTTCGTCAGGCTTCTGTTACACGACAACACACCATAGCATACCTCGAAACCGATCCACAACTTTGATCTGATCTATCGAATGTATTGAGGGTGATAGACCTGCGAAGTGGTCAGAGGATGCTGTTCAGATCCCCCAATGGTCCGACATCACCTCCATGCACACAGAATATCCGGTCTTCGATGACCACGGATAATGTCAGGAAATCGAACATGTCTGTAAAGTACGTCCACACAGACGCCGAACCATACTTCCGTACACATTCCGTGTAGAATCCGTAAGACTGCAATTGGATTTCTCAGCACTCTGCACAATCGCAGCGTTCTGAAGGCACCCCTACCTGCGTGACCGCCCTTGATTCATGGTTCCCTCGTATCAGTTGGACTCGGTCGGGTATCTTAGTTTAAGACAAGTTAATAAGGATATAGTTTCGACGCTGAATAAGCCACGATCCACGTAGTCCCCTCCGTAAATATGGTCAGTGCGTTGAATGACCGAAAAGTATGGAGTGAAAAACATACCAAGAAACAAGTAGTTGGTGTCTGGGACAAACCCCCCTATCCGAAATATTTCAATTAAATCATAAAACTGCCTTTGGTTCAAGGATCTTGGGGTTAGAGCGTATCTATGGGCACAGGAGGAAGCACATCGTTAAACTCACCCATGTATATCACCGACAACAGTAACAGGAGACTGAACATGAACGACATTGCTTTCGCGCATTAACACCTCCTTTGTCTTTTCGCATATTTCTTTTATGAGCGTTTCGTGGAGGACTTGCTTTCGAAGTAACTGGGCGATGCATTGGTCAAGGTCAAAACCCATGCGTTCAAAGTATGATCGGGGTACGTGAGCGTGTCTAGCAGTAGATCAGGTGACGACAGAGTCTTATTCAATGGCGAAATGGGGACCAAGAGTCGAGGGGCGCTTAGGAGTCGTCGACGTCGATTCACCTATGGCGCGTTTGGAGTTTGAATTAGCTGGCAAAGTCCGGTCCCTTTCGCTGTCAACAAGCGTCAATAGCAATTCCCGATGGCACCCGTCCCGATATCTTCGGTGAGTAATCTCATCTTTTAGCGCAGTGAACCGATCGCAATGAAAGATTGTTTCACACAGTACACACCATCCTCGGAGTACTTAAACCACGGCTTTCCGTGCCAGTCTCCCTCACTCCTTGCGAGCAGCGCTCAGAATGTCCTATCCAACTGAACAGACGCTCTTCTTCTCGTCGCCCGTATGTGAAACCCACGTCACCTCCGACTCATACGTTTTAGGCTCCAAAGGATCTTATGTATGTAATTGCGTAGGAATTTGCTGTTGTTGGTGCCTCCACCGTAAAGGAGAAGTATGGCACCCGGGTCCTCAAGTGGTACATCGATCGCAATAAGACCGTTACTCCAGTCCACCCAGTGAGTACACTTCCAATATTTTGGAACTTCCTCCAAGACTGGTGTGTAACTCGATTATGATAGAAAGAGGAAGTTTTGGAAGGAATCAACACTGTGAAAACTTTGAGTGAATTACCTCACCCAGCAAGCACTTCTGTCAGCATCGTCACGCCCCCCAAAGTAAGTGGCATGCGCTTTCGCGCATTTTTGCTTAGTGAATGTATTATACTTTAGGTCACCCTTCGCCTTCTCGAGGAAGGAAAGAAGCTCGGAATCCCGGCCTTCTGGTTGCAACCTGGCGCAGAAGACGATGCGGTCCGGCAGTACATTGAGGAGGGCGGTCTTTCCTCGAAAGTTGTCCTCGGTGGACCTTGTGTTCTCGTCGACGGCGACGGTGTCACTCGTTCGTTGCTTTGAAACCGTTCATCCCTTTCCGTCCCGTTCGAGCGCCAAGGAATTGGACAATAAGTAGAATATGACGCACCGAATTACAATAAAATTCAGAAACGCAATTGCAGCCGCTTGGGTATAAGTTGAGGATGCAGTGGAGGATTCACATACGGGAACGAATACGTTTTCAGTGAAACCCAAGATAAAGAGGCCAGTACAGACGGTCCCAGACGACCTATAAGCGCATTAAAAATACGTGGGTCGATCGATGTGCGAAGTGTTATATTTGAGGGCGCTTGCATTTGATACTTTGAGAACCGCCACACCGGGTAAGAACATTGAACAAATCAAGGGCCTATTATTTCCAAGGCGCTTGTGTAGTTGCAGGAATCAATTTCCTCAAGGTGTATACATACACGATCGAGGCAAGAGCTGGTAAACCAATTGCCATACTGTTCCTCCATCTTGAAATCCCCCAGATACTAATAAAGAGAAGAAACTAGCTCATCGAGCTATATCTTCGAGGATTTCGGGAGTGCACGAGTGGTGTGAAAATATTACACACTCTATTGAAGAAGTCAGAAACATGAGTGGCGTGTCGGTTCTTTCGACAACACTTTCTAAAGATAGTTGCTGGGATCGCGGTTCAGATGGCGACATGGAAAGCTCAAGAGCGGGTTGGAGAGAATGATGCTCATCCCGAGGGTTGTTTGAGACCCAGCATAACGTGAGAACGATCATGTTTTTCTCGATCACCCGAACTTTACCTACCGATGAGATGTCGCTACCAACTGCCTGTTGAAATTCGGGAAGACTTCACGTGGGAACCAAGCCGTGCAGCGGCTTTTCTGTGCTATGATGGCGGGCTGTTCTCATACGATGAGGTCAGTAAAGTTAGTTTCCATTCACGAAGAGGGTGGCCGATGTTGTCACTTCGATCCTCGTGCCAGGGGCTTTCCTCTGTGTTTAATACACTGAAGGCCGACGTCTCTGAGAATGTTCATGTAGTACCTACATAAAGTCCCCATGGTGGTGGTGACCCATATGAAGACAGAGACTCCGATATTCTGGAGCCTCCGATTCGCGTGTATCTCGATGGTAATGAATCAGTGGCATTACTTCAGACTTCCAAAGTACCCATTCCCTGTCCTCTCTCTCTCTTCGTGCTGTACACAGAAAATAGTCGCTAAACGGCGAGTTTCTGAAATCAAACGAAACTCCGGAGAGGACGGAAGCCCGGAAACATCACTCTCCACCCCTTCACAGGTGAGGCTTGCATAGCTCTGTCTCATTGCATCTTTTTGCTCTTTGGGCATGACGCTAGGCCCAGAACTGCAACAGATCCCGCTCGATATTGTGCCGAATGGTCCTCTTTTTGATCTCTATTGCAATTGCCTTCCTTAGACATGGGGATTGAATGCCCCAGAAAATTGGTGAATAACGAGGCGAGAGAGTACTGGCGAAGGTCGGGAAGGAAGCCTCCAAGTATGACAGAAGGCGTGATGATGGGGTGGCCAAACGAGGTGTTAATGCACCCGCAACGGGTGGTGACGGGTGACAGGTATTGGGGTGAATGAGAAGATCAAACCTTGGATGCTCTCCTGGGGCATGAGAAAAAAGGAGGAGGATCCCGAAGGGGACATCGAGGTAGAGCGAGAAAGGCCGGAGCGCATGCAATGGCAAGAATGAAGTTAGGGAAGGTTCGCTGGAAAATGCGCTTGAATGCGAAAGGCTCTGTATGCATCCTGTTTCGGATACTGATGACGAGAAGCCCGGTGATTCTGGGTAGGAGTCCTCGGCTGATTTCGACTAATCCATCGATAAAGTTTGCCTCTAGAACGGGTGTCAGCAAAGGACTCGTTGTCAGCAACTTAGGTATCCTGATGCAAGCTGAGGACTTCATGAATGAGGGGTGCATTTCGGACATCTGTGTCTGATTCCATGATAAGAGTATACTGTTGGACAATCCATCCCCCTGAACTACATGGTAAGCGAATTAGGATGTATTGAAGAGTGTCAGCGCCATGCATGGCGCATATCCCAGGCTGACAGTAGGACCCCATACATATTTGCAAAGATAATCCAGATAGAATAACGATGTCAGCTCGATTGTCCAGCGGCAACCCAGGTAACCCCATCCTCACTGTGCCTAGCCGCATCGTCTTCACCCTCACCTTCATCTCCACTACTAAGCCCTTCGGCAACCCATTCACTTTCCTCCGTCGGAGGAGGTCCAATTCTCGCCCCTTTAGATCTTAAATACGCCAATACCTCATTTCCATGTCTCCATCCTTTCGGTCCATCAACAGCCAAGAAAGTTCCATCATCTTTGGAGTCTTCCTCCGCCAAAGGGCTGAAATCCGAAGCGGAATTGAATCGTTCGGCAAGATGCACTGAGGCTCTAACACGACCATTTGAACGTTCCACGTCTCCAAGGAAAGATGCGAGGGATTGTATTGCCTTCAAACGCGCACGAAGAACGTGCCGGATGAGATGCCGAGATGAAGGGCGTTTCCTCCTTTTAGGTGCAGGACCTAGCACAACCTTCGCTTTCTTGGGTGCTGGGGGTTGGGACGGATCAGACCCTGAATCTCCCGCTGCTGGAGGTTTTTTTTCTTTGTACTGGTCAAGCCAGGGATTCGGTGGTGGTGGTTCCACTTTTGTGTACGCCTTGAGAGCGGTCAGGGAAAGATCCCATTTCCTTGGACCCCAAACACCGATCAGGATGCGCCATGCCGCCAGGACCCGCTTCCCACTGAACAACTTAATTCAGAAAAAAGAAGGACGAGACGTAAATCGAAGAAATGGCGTACTGTTCATAATTATCATCAATCATCCGCACATGATATACCGCAAAAGCCCAAATCGTCAAAGCCGAAATAAGGAATCCAACGTAGCTCATTTTCAATAAAGCCCACAAGAAGATAAAGATGAGAGAGTATATTAAAACAAGTGCCAGCAAGCCAAAAACAATCTTATAACTTCAAATTAGTGTCATGTTTATCGTGCGCCTGGGTCTCGGCAGGACGAACCTTATTCTGAGCCTGGGTCTCTTCTTCATCCTCAGCGAGACTCGCTCCAAATTTCCCCATTGCGTATGCAGGAAGATGGGCCAGTAGAGGTATAAGGAAGAACGGGAGTCTAAGTATACTAGCAATAGAATCCTTGATGAGGACCCATAGGGTTGAAATTCGGAGAGATAGAGGGGCAGAAACGTTTGGATCGAGGGAACGCGGGAGGGGAAGTTGAGACAACGAGGAATTAGTGAGCTTGGAACTTTCGAGTAGTGAGTAATATGTGAGGAGGTCCTCCTTGACGCTTTCCAGATTAGGGGAAGGGCTCGGCGGATTAAGTAAATCAACGAGACTATTTAACAATCCCATAAGTAGCTGGAGAAATCCTTCTCGCAAAAAAAAAAAACACGTCCATACGTTTGATATACATCTATCCAGTCCTCCAGCCTTATGGATTTTTCGTCTTGCCAGAGTATGCGAAGCGCCATCTTAGCAGCATAGAGTGTATCCCTACATGGCAGGGCAACACGATTCAGTACATTAGAACGACGTCAGAGTGTTGCAGCGCACCAGTTCTTCGCATTGATAGTCGTCTGTACTAAGGAAGTCCCAATATCCCTTGTCAAACTCTTGACAGCTCTCTTAGCGACACTTTCATCTCCAGACAAAAATTGTCGCGCATACTCCGCGACCTTGATAGGTTTTCCATACTCTACGACGACAGAGCTTCGATATCGTGACTTGTCCGTGTAGACGATACTGGCGGGTACAATCACTAAATCTTCTTGAGGTGGGACTTTCTGTCCTTCAGGACCTTGGAGCCACTTGAAGTATTCGAGAGCAGTCCACGAAACCCCATCCTTGACCTGCATGATACGAGGTTCTGTATAACTCGTCCCTACATGCATAAAATAAAGGCACCAGCGTAGATAATTGAGCGTTAGAGTTAACTCGACGACATGAGCGAACCTTCAGGGAAGATAGCAACAACTTCCCCAACAGCCAGAGCTTCAAAGGTGCCCCGGAACAGGACTTGATTATCCCTCTGCTTGCGATCAACAGGGATATTCCCTGCATTCATAAGGACGTATTTCGCAACAGGGTGTCCAAATAGTGTCGACTTTGCCCAATAATGAAGTAAGCGCCCATGAGGGAATGTCATAGCTAAGTAATACGATATTTCCATTTCATAAGCATCCATCAGAAATGATTCTTGCGAAGGAAGACGCACACAATACAGCCGGATCCACGATCATGTTGTGATGCGTCGAGGAACTTTGCCGCCAGAGGAATCAACGGCCTCATCAAGAGATATGCGAAGGGGCAACTCACACTATCACTGGACCAGTTCTGGGGACGTTTTCCTCTCCAATCACTTCAATCTCGTCGAAAAAGCTATTTATTGCCCATCTCGCAATTTCGAGTATAATCTTGTGCGTCTTCCCAAACGGCATCACGAGAAGCAAAATCAACCCTGGTACTTGGCAGTCAAACAGCAACGAAAAATAGGTGAAAACAAGGAGGTGAAGCCGAGGAGAGATGCGTGCTTAAGGCACAAATTTGAATTCCACGCTACGTCGCTAAGGAGCTGCACAGGACCGGCTAACCCCGGCTTCAAGCGCCTTCAATTCAATAGGCTTGTTGGTGTGCGAAGCAAGCACACACCGCCTTTGGGGGAATCGCTCCACGCTCTCGCTGTTTTGTTTGTAGATTGGGTCTGCATCGTTGCATGTACGTAACACGCACCAATGTGCGCTCCATGACACGAACGTTGTTTCTTCCCAAGTGCACAGTGCAAAGGGTGTACCCAACTCCTCTGAAATAAATGACCTAATTTTATATGAGTTTCCCCCGTGCACGCGTTGGCGGCCGATCCGGGCCATAACAGTAAGGAGCTCTCTCCTTTGGCGAGGGGGAAAGCTTTCCATATTTCCCCTTTCCTTCAATTTTGTCTTGTTCCTTTGCCAAATAAGCTTACATAATCGCCTAGCCTTTCATCTTTCAGTTTCATTGACGACACGCAAGGAAGTTAGGTTTCTGTGTGTTTCGCAGACAGATCTTGTGTAGCACCTGTTTTGTAGCATTTTATCCTCTTAGCCACAGATATACGCGCCGGGGGGAAAGTAGGGGACATTGGCGATCCGGAAAACGAGGATTAGAGTCGCGTTATTAGTAAATTTCTGACGCTGAAACCGCTGAAATTACGTGTTCCTATTTCCTTTTTGGACCTTCTACGTTACGTTTTGTACGTCATTCGCTTTCCTCTTATGTGTCAGTCACGTTTTCTTTCGCTTCTCCTTGCCACCATAGTCGCTGAAAGCGCTAGAAACTGTTTGTATAGACACCGCTATGCTCTCAGTCGCCCCTGCCCATTTTTCCCGCTGCATCGTGGCCACGTCGCCATTTTTGAATTTCACTTGTTCATTTTTCACGCAACAACACTCCCTCTGAGCATGGAATGCACTCACAGGAGAACTCAAAGTTCCTGGTGCCAATCTTCTGGATCTCCCTTTATTGTAACTGGTATCCTACATGGACACGCTTTCCGGAACATGTACGACGCTTGTGGCAACATGTGCGCATACCCATTTCTCCATCGTCTCTTTGCATTTCGATTGGGGCCGGGGCACAGTGCAATGCCAGATTCGGCCCTGTACTCTGGACCATATTCCGCAACGAACGCGCAATATCTCCACTCCCGCATCCATTTCCATCTGTGCTGGCACTCCCATTTGATGAGGCCACATGTCACCATCCACCGCAGTGCACCCGAGTATTTGCTGTGAATACCTGTTAGGCCACCCATGCTCTTTTTAATTTTTGCTAATACCGAAAACCTTGTTTTCTTCCTCTTTGCGTGCTATCCCCCCATTACTGTGTCCAATAAATTATATGACAATGATTTGGACAACAATACAAGTGATGTGGTGCAGAGTCCAACGAGCGAAGTGAGCACTCTAGTAACAATGGTGATGCTGGTTGGATAGTTCTAATCGCCTCCCATTCTTGCTGCTGCATAGGAAGCCGAGAAGTGGCGGGTTACTTTTCTACTTTTTGTGGGAATGATCCATGTACATAGGAAACATATTACTATATCCCTTTGGGCTCAGCGTATGAACAAAGTAGGAGACGTTCTACGCCATGCGTTAAAATTTAGGAGGCCGGGATCCCTAACACCAGGTGTAAGATTCAGTGTCAACGATTCTCGACATTACATAGTGACGTCAAGGCCGCGGCATCGATATCAGTGCTTCGAATGATCACAAGTTACGAGATCCGATTATTGTCTTGGACAATCCTCGTCAGGCCATCATCATCTTACCATTAGGGGATGTCAGAAGATTCTGAAGATCCCTCTATGAGTCTGCTTATATGGTGTCATAAATAGGGAGGGACAGAGTTCAGGTGTCTATGGGAAATATGATAGTCTAACTGTTGTAGATGAAGGATATGATAGCGGAAGTGCTAAACGAGATGCCAGCATGCATATACCAAAAAATAAAATAAAATAGGCACAGGAAACAAGTCAATGTTGTTAAGCCATGGCAGTCCCTGAAACGGATAGCCTTCGCTGTCGGGTGTGAAGTATTGGGAGATGATGGCGGACTGAATACTCGCAATCTTGTAAGAACGTTTAAGAGTGCGCTATCAGTTGGAGATGTGATTACCATAGGAACACTGATCGAGAAGCAAGCGTGAATCAAGCGATGTGCTAGCGTTACCAAGAAACCTGGTGGGATGATGCGCGATGGCACAGGGAGAGAGATGGTCGGTGGGAACATTCCGGAGATGCAGGGTATTACGTCGAGCGGTCTAATTAGCATGAGTGAAAATCGTGATTCGTGAGAAATTTTTCGGCTTGATTTTGCTTCACTAGAGTCTTAACGCATCTTCTTGGACTTCCCCGCTCGGATTTTGGTCCCAGCGGCGAGGATCTTCTTATGTAGTTGTCCATTTGCATGTTGCTTCTCGAATTCGTCAACCGTGCCTATCGCCTTGCCGCCGACAAGTACGATAGGCACCGATTTTGAGCGCGTAAGCCGATACATGAGTCTCCTTAGTCGTTCACCATCAGCTGTTCAAACGAAATGGAAGGAAATAAGTAATGTCGGAGAAAAACGTCCGTATTGTTCACGTACATCGCAAGTCAACGTCCATTTCGATGGGTAACGGTGAAAGATCAAGATCCTCTAAGATAGCTTTGACTGTCTTCGATGCAGGTTGACGCGACTGTGAATCATGCGGTCAGAGGTGCATGAGTAGCAACAGCTGGCGGCTTCCCACGGAACGCACCTCTGAGATCACAACAACTGGGTTGGCAGCCCAGGTATCAGCAACTAGCGATTTGACTTCTTCCCGTGCCCGTGGACTACGTGTGTTAAACTCAAGAATGAGCTGCGGGTCCACTGGTATTGTTGGGTCAATGGAGACGGGGATCATTGCATTGGCGCCCAGGTTCGTGAGGTACGCCATAACTGCACCAAGCTCTTCCGCATGGGTAAGCTTGAGTGGAGGGCCAAGGGGCCTGCTATTGCTGGGATCTATGTCAACGTGGTGTGCTGGTGGAAGTGCCTTTGGTGGCATTGATGGGCGCTCCTTGTCATGAACTCGTGATTGTGGAGGGCGTGTTCTAAACGTATTAAGGCCAGGGATAGTATCATGGGCGAAGGGTGAAGGAGCGAGGTATGGTCGAACGAGGGCGACGAACCCAAGGGCAGACACGAGGAGGAGAATGAGTGTGGCACGCATTTTGCGCCGCATTAGGGAAGGCGTCGAAACATTCATGGGTGACGGTGCTGAATCGTCTTCCGCAACAGGGCTTAATTGAGGGGAAATACGTGCCTGTTTTTCCCACTGGCCTAGTGCAGATGCGATAGAAGAAGCCTTTCTGTGATGCATGGTTTATGTTGCGACTTTGAATCTGTGGTTTGACCAGAAACGGAACAATTTGCTTCCGCTATTGACTTTCTAAATCCCTCACAAATCCATTGCTCGCGGTCCGATACGTTTGAACACCGGGCTGCCCAACACTCCTGCGTATGCTGGCCGCTCTTTATTTCGTATTCCCTACTAGGATCCGTGACGTACGCTGACCTGACCAAGCTAAGAGGTAAAGTTACAATCACAAACGTCATGATGGTCACATTGCAACACTGATGCTGGTACCGTGGTGGAGTGCTCTCGCGAGGTCTGAGGCGAACGACATCGAATACACGTGGAAATCGCTAGGAGAACCAGCCTCTATTAGGTGACACATATGATATTCGGAACGGGCACTCGGTCATTATATATGCGTAATTTCGAAAGGCTTATCGCGATAAGAAGGCCTGCAGGACTCCAGCCACTATGACTTTGTAAGTGACTTCCCACCAGCGACTGCTTTTCTCTCGGGTGCCCATTATGCGCCATGGACGACAATATGCCCATCTCTCAACATCGTTAGCAGTTGGCCAGACTCATACAATGACTGAACATCATCAAATCCACCGATCGATTTCGATCGGAGGAGAATATTAGGGAACGTAGCCCGACCTGTCAATCGGGAGAGTTCATTCTTCACAATGTCTGTATCCTCTTTTAAGGCAGCGGGTTTGTAGCGGGTCCAAAGGGTTATCACACGTCATCGACGCTCGAGTGTTTAACCAACGTACCTCTGAGATCTACCTCGATCACAAGCGGCTTGGGTTGAGTGTCCAACTTGGCGAATAACTCCTTGGCCCGCGTTGAGAATCTTTCCCCGTTCGTATACGTAGGGACAATATTTGTGTATGCGGATCAGAGGAGCGGCGGGTAAACCAGCCGACAATGGCAATATAGAACTCACGGACAGTATGTCTAGGGAAGGATTGTCTTATGTAAGAGGCCCAATGCATAATCGCTTAAGAGGATAAGTGGTACCTTACTGAAAATGACAACCGGGGCAACAGTGTCAATGGCACGAATCTTCTCTTTCCACACATTCGCATCTCTTCGTGTCGTTTTTCCGAATGTATACGGAAGATGGCCATCCCTTGGATCCAAAGAGCGCCCAGGGAATGAGGACGTAAAATAAACAAGACCCCGAAGCTGAGCGATGCAAACACGGAACAGCAATTATCCAAGCGCAAGCGTCCAGGGCAAAGGTTAAATGGCCAGGGATATCATAAGACGTTGAGAATGTTGGAGAAGTACGCCATACCTCATCAGTAGTCGTCCAATCACGGTCTCGATAGTATTTCCTATAAAAATCCGTGGGCGATGACGAAGAACCACTCCAAAGGGACAACACCCATACGACACTGAAGAAGCCAAAGACGACACATATGTGTGTTGTGCATAGGGTGCGACGCCTTCTCCAGGGCCCTTTTAGCATCATTCCGCCGCTAAGTTGTTGAAAGGCCCAGTGATCAGGCGGTCGGACAAGATGACAGTAGATCCTTAAAATAGAAGGGATTGACACAAATAGATGTAAATACAGGCTCCGAGGTCCGACGTAAACCCTGGCAGTACTCTAGCCTGTAGCCCTGCCGTAGCCACCGAACTCAATGCCACGTGATTTCCCTCTTGGCACGTCGGCGTTGTTGATGGATTCCGCGACTTTCCGACAGTCAGGGAGGAACCTCCGATCCAGGAAGGGCCGAAATTGAGGGAAAAAATATATTTCGGCTACTCCGTGGCGGGTCCTACCTTTTTTTTCTCCACGACTCAATTGTCCTATGCACAGGGTCCCTTATCGTGAGCAGTCCAGATACAAGTGAGCTTTTTATAGGTCTAAAGTTATGAGTAGCCATTCGATCTGCAATATTACTTGACATAAAAATACATTCAAAAATTAATGAAGGTGACAAGCGTGTCTTGCACCCAGGACTTTATGGACTTTCTGTCATCAACATCTGTCTCACCCGCACTGTCGGCGAACGTACTGGTCCAGGCAGGGACTCCACCCTCTATGACTTCGTAACAATATATAGACCCACCTCCCAACGTGTTGGAAGAGACCGAAGCGGTCGACTACTTACTCTGCCAAACACCATCAAATCGATGGCCTTCTCTGTTATCCAATCTCGCTTCCCCCTCGCGTTTCTCAATTCCGCATCTCGGTATTCGCTTGACTCAAGCGCTGCAGACTGGAGAACTAGCTCAAGGAGAAGATACTGTTTTTCAGGGAATGCCAGTTCTTTTCCCGGACTAAATCTCAAGTAGGGTAATTTGTTTGCGTCCTTCACATGAGATCAATTTACCTTGCGCAAGGTTACTTAGTGCTCCCATCCTTCCATGTCTCACTCTCCGATAATGATTTAACCAAGTCATGACAATCTATCAAAACAATAGTACACTGAAAGCGTCACGTCAATTGGGGCTCCATCCTATCTCGGCGTATGATTGTTTTCAGCGGTTTGTCATCGAGTGATCGCAACACTGTCCTGACGAATGGGATTCCAAGCAGTCCATGATTGGGAACTATGGGCCATGGGTGATTCTTGATGACGGTCGCGCCAGGTATTCATCCACCTGGAAAGATGCCTCCAAATCACCATGGAGTATCGAATAAGACCATCGACCATTTGTCAAGTGCTTGCAGAAATCTCAGAAGAATAAGATAACCGCAAAGAAGTGCGTTGGCGACGATCAACAAAACCAGACATCCTGTAGCGTACGAAGCAAGGGGTATCGAACGCATGACATTCAAAACATATGGTTTTAGTTCGTAAGTATGCCTAAAAGTCGTGGACATAACTATTGGCATAACGTGTAAAGACGGGGGGATACAACTGACTCACAGGTTTGCTGTGCTCAAAAGGCCAAAGGGACCTTCAACTTTCTTATGCCAGACTTCATCGCCACTACTGTCCGCAGTACTAGCGCTCACAAGGATTATCCTATGGGTGCTTGGGCTGCAAATCAGGAGCGGGACATTCGGAAATATCCTTATTCAACTGTAAGTAAAAAATGATCATGTTTGCGTGTTTATTTATGCTGATGATTTTTTTTAGGATATGAGCATCAACCCCTCTACCTACAAGACGTTGGACAAGCCTGGTTACTGGGGCGTTCATGCCATTGGCGAAGTTTGGGCAGAGGTCCTCTGGGTTATCGAGCAGGAATTCATTAGAGAAGCACGGATTTGCGGACACTCTTCCCACCCCAGCCCGATGAGAATGGCGACATCCCAGAGGGAGATTTCTATCACAAGCAGGAGTACAGGGCCAAAAGCACCAAGAAGCCTTTGGTACGGTAACCCTTTGTTCTTGCAGCTCGTGATCAACGCTATGAAGTTGCAGCCTTGCCGTCCTTCGTGCGTTTGCTCCTCGTTATCACTGATGAGGCTCATGCTATTTGGTTAACAGTAGATTCTTCGATGCTCGTGATGCTATCCTCCAGGCTGACCGAATCCTTACCGGAGGCAAGAACCAGTGTGAGCTTTGGATTGGATTCAGTCAGCGTGAATTGGTATGTTGCTATCATTACGCGATAACATATCCGTGTACTAAGTCTGGTCTACCATAGGGTCCTGATGCAATCATTATTGGCTCCACTCCTTGGGGTGGAAATGTTCGCATTGATGTGAGTTCGCAAAATTTAGCTCATTAATGATCGCTCAACATCCTTCCTTTCAAGGATTTCGACATTCTCCTGGTGTTTGCAACAAGTAGAGGCGCAAGACTCAATCGGCGATGGATACAAGATGTCGAATTATACATACATCACAGTACTACCATGGGTCGTCTAGAGCTTCTTTAAACTATTGGTACTACCATTCTATGTGGCACTTCAGCGTCTTACAAATTTCTGTGTGGATCCTCATTATCCGTGTACATTAGGTCATCTGGGTTGGGTTGGTTTCATGTTGTCAGCACCACAGTGTGCTGTCATTGCATGCTGTTTTGCGTCCGCAGAATGCGGTTAAATGAATTTGGATCGTTGCATTCCTACTGCTACGGATCTAGCTCGCTGCAAGTCCGAACCAGTTTTTGCTTGTGTAAACAGTACTGGTCAAAGCCAGACGCGCGAACTTCCGTGTCTTGATTGGTTTCGAACGCAGCTCAATCGTCAAGCTCTCGTTCTGTGGTAAGAAAACTCAATGAGGAACAGATTGAGGGTGTTCGTGCACCTTACGTTATTCAGATCCTTGGCGCCAACACCATGCGCAACTTACTAACAATCAACATGTCAATTAGGGACCGGTCAAGCCTAACAAGATAGTACGGGCACGAGGGCCAGAGTGATGCGAGTACCTTGAAGGGAACTCGTTGGACATGACAGCGAGGGGTTTATTCGAACTAGCACGTTCATGCGATTAGTTTATTGTATATACTGTTCAAATCAGGGCATCGTTGTTAATCGGTTAGTTCTAATTCTTGTACCCCACCCCGTAACCAATCCACATCATCATCTTCAAATATGAAGCGTGGTGCTGTCAATCTTTGAAGCGGCCTTGACTCTGCCTGGCGATCTGCCAGATGAGCTCTGATCAGGAGTCGAAGGTCAATTATGTCCTGAGGGTCCCGTTCAAAAGCCCTCCAAATAAAAATATCAAGGTCCGTGAGGCCAGGGAGATTGTCGTGTTCCAGGTGTGATGAATGAGGCCATAATGTCTTTAGGACATAGAATATGGTTTTCATCCCACCCCTTAAGGTGACGGATTTAATCGTTGGCGTGTTCATCATCTATGGCAGACGCGAGAGATAGGTATTGAAGTAGAATTCATCGAAGCGTTTACTCACAAAATGCTGGACCGCATGTAGGCGCACGGGCGGCCCACCCAGGGAAAAATAATCGTCAGCAGTGACATCAACGAGATCCAGGCCATTCATGTAGTCATCCATGTCCCACAGATCCAACGTTATGCATTGGAGACGAGGCATCCCGTAGCGAGCAAGAAATGCTGCCACGGAAAAGTTTAACGAGTTGACAACAAGGGTACGGAGAGGTCAATTCCTCCAGATTGTCACAGGCATTGATAAACTTAGAAAACTCAAAGCCCTCAGCATTAATAAATGCGAGGCCAAGAGTTACGAGTTTTTCTAGCTGAGCAGTAGACAATGGGACGAAGAGACCTTCAAGGCACAGGTGACGAAGTGACTCAAGACATGTCAGACTTGCGGTAAAAACCTTGGAGCGTCTCACACTACCAGGCGCCAGCAGGGTCAGCCGCTCTATAGACCTCCAATCCAGCACTCCTCTTTCTTCCCAGAAAGTGGCCCCGTCGGATGAGGATGCTTTCAAACGATCTTCGAGGTCCACTGGCAAATACAGTGTGGTTATCCGGCTCTGAGTGTCGGCGCTTTCCAGACCGGTGATATTCACATTGACGAGTTTTCGCCCATGAACTTCTAGAGGGAGGCCTTTAGAATAGCGAGCGTATGGCGCGTAGGAAGCATGACTACATGGCTCCAGTCGCACCACAGTCCATATTAAGGGGTATGATTGAGCTGCCTGTCTCCATGCTGAACAGACTTGGCTGAGGGTGATGGAGGAGGGAAGATATTCATGATTGATATGTCCTAAATACTCCCCTGGCTGAATGGCATACAAGAAAATCTGTTGCAAAACTTCCATTGGAAGAGCGGCTACGGGTTGGAGAAAATTCTGAAATATGGCCCGTAGAGAACGCTCAATGGTGCCGATCTGTTGAGCGAGGGCATAAATGGATTCATAATCCGTATCCATGCGTTCCAGGGCATCCTCGATTGTTTTTCGGCGCGAACTGCGGGCTGCAGCATCGTATGCGAGATAGACAGGTGCAACACTGGGTTCGTAATCGAGAGCATATCCCTGCAATGTGTTCGCATCTTTGGACATGCGATGAAGCAGATTAGCGAGCATCAGTTCTGGCATGTAGGATTTGGGAAATACTTAGGAGAACGATACCGTGGGACGTTGGGGAGTTCAATCAAGCTGCCAAATCGAGGACCCTTGAAGCACAGCTTTCCATGTCATGTCACTTCGCACTGAAGCTAAGACTTTTAAGTGACAGTAGTGGTTGACTGGTGCTATGACGCCCGACCTTGGGTTATGTTGCTGCTGTCTTGTCTTTTGGTTAGCATAGCTTTTCTTTCTTCCGGTTTCAGGCATATCGGTAGGTGCATCAATCGCGCCTTGCAGATGTGTCACCCTCCAGCGTGCCTCGATCTTATGCAGTAGAACCGCGACTGCAGAGGCTGCCAGAACAGTGGCGCCAGAACGGGTCCGACGCCCGGCCACAAATATCACTTTCCAAGTAGTCCATGCCAGCGCTAGACTGGTCATCGCAAAACTACGATTTTTCAAACCATTATTCCCGGAACACCGTGGTATTTTGGCCACTAGGACGACACAGTACTAGAACGAGATAAGAGATGTGCTCGACCCAACCATCGTCTTAGTCCCGCTCGGCATCTGCACTGCGATTCCTTCTATCACCGAAATCAAACTGGGAACAACATCCTTCAATGCCGTAATGAAAGCCTGTCCAATGCTAATACCTCAACCTATTCTCAGCATCCAAACGATTTTCCCAATACTCCCCGCTAACCATGCAACGAGACTCCCCCAGAACCACAGACCAAGTCGGATACCTCCCACGGTCTTGGATACCTTTTTAAAGACGTCCCTTTCTCCATCGTTATTATTATTATAGTTGGTGGCAGTATGATCGTAATAATAATAATAATTTGGTGCATTAGTCGCACTTCGTTTCGAGAGCGGCACGAGAAAGTGAAGGGCTCGCTGAAGGGTTAATGAAATTCGGCGGAAGTAGAGTATGAGGAGCGTTCGTGCCAAGTCACGCTTCCGACGTCGACCGTGCGATAAACGAGGTATCAAGTTGGTAGAAGAAGAGGTGAAATGGACCGGGTAGCCGAAGAATGAGTTGTAGGGTGAACGGGATGGGATAGGTATTGGTGGAGGCAAAACTGAAGATGGAGAGTCTGATGGTGTAGCTGTTGATGATGGCAAGGTGGGAGAGGGTGCCAGGTCAACGCGCTTCTTGGTTGCTCTCGTGTATGACGTAGATGTCACCGCTGTACTAGATGAAGCTAGTGACGAATCGTCGTCCGACGAGGAGTCATCCGGCAACTCTGAAACGTAGCTCCCCATAAGGACGTCGCGTTCCTCATCGAGAGCAGGTAATTCTCCCCCGTATTCTACGCAGGAAATATGTTATGAAACAGCATTGATCAGCCCTCCAGGTCAGAAATAGTTGGGGTAGGGACTTTAAAAGTTCTGATTGCTTCGGGAAGAATACACGTGCTATTGCTCGTTCGGGGAGTACTCGTCTGAGGTGATGATTTGGTTGTGTGTTGAATTAGAAATAGGGTGGTCAGCCGAGTAGAATCGTGGGCGAAGGGATGGATATACAAACTTGAGGATGGACCACGTTCCATTGAACGCCCATGAGAAATTTAAGAACGTAACACCCGGCGCACATCCCAGGGAAATGAACATTAGGGACGCTGCGAAACGGTCACCATGTCCATAGGCTGGAAACCATACATCTGAGTGATGTTCCAAAAACCCACGCGAAGGATGGCGAATAACATACCACATCTCAAATAGCCAAACTCTGCAAATCAATAATCACCACAAATTGCAAAACCCTCTTCCCTCCCGTCACACCGCTTTGATGAAACAAATCGGCAATATGTAACCTAGCAAGTCCGTGCATCGAAAGAACTTGGTTTTTTCGTCCTTCCACAGTCTGCCCTGAGAAATATCAGCGGAAGGGGCAAAGCCGTGAGATTATGAAAAAATGGTAGTGAATAAACAAATGTATGCTGCGAAAACGGCGCAGTGGGAAGTTTATGGAGACCATTTTTGATGTATACATAATACCCCTATAAATATGCAGGAAGACCGCAGCGCGCTATACCCCCTTGACGGACTTGGGACGGTACTGAATGGCTCATTAGTTTTCGCGGTTCTACGCCGTGCTGATTGTGGAAATGTGTGATCCTGGTCATGGAACTTACCACATGTTATTGTGGCCCACAGCGGTGCCGCTACACCGAAGACACAAATGAGCCTCACAATGCAAAGAGTGATTCTAATGTCCACACGTCTGACACCGTTGATCATATTTGAACGCGTGTGACTCACTGGAGCGCCGTCATCGCCATCGAGAGGAATATTGTAGGGGAAGGGAACACCAGGAAGTCAGCAACGAGGGATCCTCAAGATGAACACGGTGAGCGAAGTGTTGCCTTGGATGGAGATGCTATGTGCTCAAGCGACCCCCAGTCAAGCAGTGGGCTAAGGAAGAACTCAAATGGCCTAGTATAAACGACTCTACATATATGTTTCGAAGCATTAATATCCCGTGGCGCAGGACTATCGAGAGGATATTCGATTCCTTGTATCGAAAGACTAGAACGCTTCAGGGCTAGGGTGTGACCCAACCCAGACAATGTAGACCCACACGATGTTCCTTGTGAAGCCCAGAGCTTGATCGTCTGGTCCTGGAGTGGCGTCGGTAGTTCTGAAAGAGAGATCCTACCCGGACTACCTGTGGAAGGGTGCAGTCCTGGTCGATTGACAATCAGTGGTTAGCAAACAAACTGTCAGTCAGAGTATCGCCAGTTGGGGAAACTTCGTGGGTATTCTAAGAGCATGCTGTTTCCGCCAGCGAGCGCGACGAATACGGGTTGAACTGTGCTCGCCAATAGGTCAACGTGAACCGCAAACACCTTATTATTCCCCTGAACCCGGGTCAATTCTGGTGATGTAGAGTGAGCCGCAACACTAGGCGATGGCCCACAGGCATGGACGTATGTGGTCGGCCTATATGCAGGAACCATCCTTACGGCGGAGGTCAATCTCGACCGCGTTTCCCAAAAACACTCTCCTTCAGGTAGGGAGGACTTGAAACAATGGGTGCCACGAGGCAATAAATTATTGATGGCGCAAGCGCGTTGGGTTCAAGTCCATGTCGAGTGGCGTGCTGACATCTGTGCTGCGTGGGAATAGCCGGAACGGGGCCACTTAGTGTCTCACTTCACGGAACCATTAATTGGTCGGTGCACACATGATTCTCTTCCAAGATCGGAATGGGACGCCGATCGCAATCAATCCGCCTCATGTCAACCGCTGGCTTGCTGATATGTTACCAATTGGCGGTGACGCAATCCTGATGAGAGTTGCGAGGCGGACTGTTCCCCATCGCGCGGGCCGTACTTGCAAGAACGCCAGCGACTCTTAGGGGATCAGTAGAAGAATCCACGGGTGCGCAGTGCGCGGGTCCCGGTTTCATCGATCAGGTGGGTTCTGCACCTCATCCTAGGGATGCTCAGCAGTGAACAAGGCATTTCGCAGCAGGATAAGAATTAGATATTAGTTTCATGCGTGAGACTACGATAAAATGGGAGCGGGTAAACAAACGGATGCCGCGAAAACGGCGCAAGTTTATGGGGACCATAGATAATGCCCCCTTTACGGTATAAATATGCAGGAAGCCTGCAGCGCGCTATACCCCCTTGATGGACTTGGAGTGGCTCATTAGTCCGCTGCTCTACTCCGTGCCAATTGGGACTCGAGGAGCCGGTTCGAGTCATCACCGGCTGCACACGCGCTGGTGTTCTTGCCTGCTTTTGGTCACTGTCACTCGTTGGTTCGGAAGTCTGGCGGTGAGATGAACGGGGTGATGAGACGATGGGGAGTGCTGGGTATTGTGACTCTACGCTTACCGAACCGATTTTCAGGTGGAGACCCTAATAAAAGAATCTCCCCATTCTGGACGTCCGAGTCAGTCGTTGGCCTTTCAGTGGCAGTCATCAAGTAGAAAACGTACGTTGGACCCGTCATGAACGGGAGAACCATTACCGGGAACATCTACATCCCCACTCTGTGGAGATATAGGACTAAGGGCTATGCCCTCGTCGGGACTGCCCCGTGGTGTAATGCGGAGGACCAATATTAGAAATGATAAATAATGTACCTGCATAGGCAACATCAGATTTCCGCATGTTTCCGCGTGTATTAATGTCGAACATAAAGGAATACTAACCGGTCCTGACAAAGCCGACATCAAATCCATGACAAGTGGATTGGGCTAGTGGTAAAGGATGGAAATAAGCCGGTCCGCGAGCTCTTGTCAGATGATGTCTCACCCAAAAGAGGAGGAGAAATCCTCTTGAGAGTTGTACCGGGAGAACGAGGAGGAAAACAAGAATCTTGAGAGTTATTTAATACAGTGTGGCGTTTGGAAAGTGACAAGTATAAGCCTTTACGTACACAACGCTGCCTCCATTTGAATAATGTTTGCTTCAACATATCATCAGAAGATGGTTGTCGCAGCCCTCTGCTAATAATTCGCCGTTGTTCTACATGCCAGAGGAGGAAGAGAGTGGTGGCGAAACTTATGAGCAGGCAGACGGTGTCTGTGAACATGGCTATCGCCATTATACGATTTCGTCGTTGATTGTGTGAACTGACGGCGGGGGGACGGGAACTGTAGTATGAGATCATCACGATGAGTAAAGCAAAAAAAAAACTTACGGCCCTTGGTCCGCTAAAATCACTCCATATATAGACAGTGCTGTTGAAGGTGTTAAGCGAAGGGAACGTGTGAGACACAATAGCGCCCACCAGACTCAGCTCCACAGAGAAAAATTGTGACCACCAAACAAAATAAGACAGTTGGGCGGGTAAATCGGCGGCAGCTCACGCATTCACAGATTGACCGTAAGGCTCTGGCCGTCTACAGCATTAGACTCTAGAGTGGATGATGAAATGGCGAAGACCTTGCCTGAAGCTTAGGAATACTGAGGGCAAACACAATCAGAGTGGGAACATAGTCAATGGTCAGAATCATACTACTCACAGTGAAATCCGCTGATTGTTGGAGCAGAGACTAAAAGAATGCAGCTTCGGAGTATCTTTGCAGCCATTTCGTCAACCGAATTGTCTGGAACATAGGTCGAGGTAATGACCGAAGCCTCAATATTCTGGTACAACAGCATACTGACAGGTCCAGAGATGTTTGGTTATGAGAAGCTCCCCACTAACTGTGTGAGAATGAATGTATATCAATTGATGTGATCCTGGTCATGGAACTCACCAATTTGTACCACATGCAGCGGCATGAGTAAAATAGCAAAAATGACGAAACCCCGCAGAGCGGGACGGTGGTTCGGTGAATATATAATGGTCCACAGAAGTGCCGTTGGGGCACCGGAAATACAAGTGAGGATAGTGAGCCCCACAATGCAAAGAGCGATGCTAATGTCCACACGTCAGACACGGTTGATCATCGTATTTGAACCCGTGTGACTCACTGGCCTGCCGCCATCATCATCGAGAGGAATATTGTAGGGGAAGGGAAGTCAGCAACAAGGGATCCTCAAGGCGAACACGGTGAGCAAAGTGTTGCCTCGGATGCAAATGCTATGTGCTGAAGCGACCCCGGTCAAGCATCCTTCGAAGCTCATCACGCAATTTCTTTTCTGCCACACCAATTGGCGCTGCTCACACGATCCTGCGCTGGCGTGTGGCGTGTGGCGTGTGGCGTGTGGCATGCCTCTTGAATGGATTTATCACGAACCCCGGAATGGGTTGTTTCTGCCACTTGGACATCCAGAAGATCAGGACTGGGCATTCCAAGTCCACGAAGTAAACGGGTTGCGCGAGAACAAGCACTATTCACCTCGTCAAAATGTCTTCACCCGATTGATTTTCCCCCTACACCAGTGACGCTGCGGTACTATATTTCAGATCAGCAGTAGAGGAGCGCGCACGCGATATCTGGCCTGTAGGTCTCCCATGTACAGTCGAAGCGAGCGGCATTCATGAACCCAAAGATGTGATGTTGGATAGAAGAAATTAGCAGGAGCGACGAAAACATTTACGGGGTATGTATTTCCTCCATCGTTTAGTATTTGGATTGATACTGTCAAGTCTCGACCTCTTTAGCCAAGATCCCGTGCATGCTAACGCACAACACATTTCAGCGTGTATCGTTACGCGCTGGTATGCCCGAAGAAATCAAGGTTCGCGTCACTGTACATTTCGCACAACGTCAGCTAAAGAGGTAAGTAGGCGCAATGCCTACTTCTAAGCGCGACCCACAGGAAGACGCTGCTAACTCTCAGTTTGTTGACAGGATTCAGGCGTCGACAGCGTTAGATAGGAATCCATCCTCGGCCGAAGGTGCGCAATGTGGCTTTGATTTTAATTACAGTGAGTAGGTGATGTGGCCCAACAGTACGGTGATAACATTGGAGTCTGGACTTGATACTACAGGGATCGGTACAGACGTCTAATATGCTGGATAGAAAGGGTATACGGGAATTACTCGAGAGAGGTGTAGCTGAGAAGGGTACTGAGCGCTGCTGAACAATCAGGCTAATTCGACAAATCGGCTCGATGATCCCAACGTTTCGAGCTGGAGTAGGAAGACTCAGCCTATACAGCTAGGACATCAAGGTTTCCAGAATTCCATGGCGCATACAGTATGAGGCGCTGCGATTGGTCCGTTCGGAATGCAGTGTTGCGTTTGGTCTAGGCCGGATTGCCAGGGGCACCACTTCAAACAAACAGATGAGTCATTGACAACATTTTGGATGTGAGCGAGCTTTCTCTCATCATTCTAATCGACGGAACCTTAAAGTCCGCAGAGATAATCAGGCATGACAGTAGGCTGGAGCAGCCTCTATAGATAGAGCATGACAGAACAATTACTACCCGCGCGGCATTCTGAATGCCAGCCCTCGGCGAACGCCGCTTTCAGTTCCCAGTCATCCCTTGTGCCTTGCTGGCTTGCACGCATCCCTGTAGTCTTTTTTCCGGGCTGCTTATGGCTCTTCCCTTTTTGGCTACGACGATCCACTTTATCAGGCTGTTGAGTCTTGGTTATCGTTCTTTGTTATTGCACAATTCTTGCAAGTAATACCCACTAGAAGCACCGGCTGTCTGTAAACTTATATTATCCGGAGAGAAAGTTTTCCAGGAGGTATTACTACTGCATTCGAGACCTCAACACCGTTTCCTCTCACCTAACAGATCAATTTCCTCCAAACTCGCGTCGACATTTCATCATATGAACCCTTGTCTCGGCGCAGTTCCACACTGACACATAAGCACTGCTGATGCACCATGCACTTAAACTTACTCTCTTTGGTGGTTCTCTCAGTCTTGGACCTCGTCTTCAGGCTTATGCGTTAACCACACTGGATTCCGCCTCCCGCATCTTGCACCTTGCCGAGACTTTCGCTGCATTTTACTGCCACATAAAAAAGCTTTCATCAATTTTACATACGACGAACAGCGTTGACGTAGTCAGACCACCTGAGTATGCTAGGACGTACGACACATCGGTGTAAGGACTCGGGTTAGCCCGACGTTTCCGGAGTATCTATAACCGTATCATAAGGCATACGGCAAGCGTGGCAGGTCGGTCCATTTCGAGCATGCATTACGATCTGAGCCCGACACACTTGGCAAAGAACATGGCCGCATGGTGCGCCAGTCGTTGGGGCTCTGTGTCCATTTCTTCGAAACATATAGGGCACTCCAACGTATTGACCGGTCGTCTCTCCAACTTTGTACCAAACCGGAACGGTGCCCTGACCATTGCATTCACGCATTTGAAGCCCGAACATGTCCTCCTACCTTTCAATCACTATGGTAAAGTTGGGTTGTGATTCTGTCAATGCTCCATATCATGTATGAAAAATGATCAAAATGAATGTTGATACAATCGAGGTTGCAATTGGGGGGCGCTTGCATTCATCAATTCTTATACGAATATCGGTGTAAACACCATTGTGGCGGCGCCGAAGCGCCGCCCCCGATCGATTTAGCGCAAGGTCCGACTTGCCAGAGGACCGAAATGGCAAGCTTCCGAACCGACCTCTTATGGAGTATGCCGGGGTCCTGGTCTGACTCTTAATATTAATCTTGCTCGGCGTCAAGGGACCACGCTTCCAACATTTCCATTCATCAGCGCGCTGGACACGGCTGCACTCGTTTTGTTACACGTTTTTTTTTGACGACTTACGACTATTCACGAATACACGCAACGGAAATGGCACCACATTTCGATGAGTTTGACGCGCTCAACGATGTGTTTCTGGTCGAAGGAATTCCAGGCTACCAGTCCGCTCTTCCCACTCGCGTGAAGTATACACCCCGCTCTGCGATGTTGCGTGAACTTATGGCACCAAATGTGATTGGGTCTTCAACCCTTCTTAATCCAGGCCCCAGTCCACATGACTCTCATAATGTGTGTATCACATTCCTGGCATTTCATCGGAATTGCGCCTGCTCATATACCTATCACCAACGACAGAACACTGCCCTTGTCTTGGTCATAGTCTGCAGTATCCTTTGTGGGGCTCTCCTCCTCGGGGTTGTGAGCACTTGCTATATCGGCTACAGAGGGCGCCGTGCCCGAGCTCGCCAGATGCGTGCTGCTAGAGATCGTCTTGCTCGTGCTAGTTTCAAGTCTCGCGGATCAGACCCGCCTTGCCATGTTTCTGTGCTTCCCGATCCTAGAAGCGAGTGGATACGTCTAGGACTTGATTCGCCTATCCTGGGAAGTTCAAAGAAGGGGGCTCAAGTGGTGGACAATGCATTGAATGGGACACTTCCTCCTCTCAAAATCCAATTGCAGCAAAGTAATGAAGATCAGAAGAGGATATTGAAGCACTCATTCTCCCCGCCTGTTCCTTCCCCCTTAGCTTCGCGGCCTGTCTGGATCGCATCGGATAGCAATTGGGGATGTACATTTGGAAGGGACCCCATCAACAACGAAAGATCAGAGAAAACTGGCCATATGATCTCCCTCCTTGAAAAGTCTCCACAACTTGATGGCGTCGCTTCAATGGGCATCGATGATTCTCCTACTTTAGATTCATGCCCTTCAACAGCTAAACTCCCAGCCCTTTTTCCTGACATCCTATCCAACTTTACTCTCGGGTGTGAAGAGAAGGAGCCTCCTTTGGCTCACAGAGACAGTCCTTCCCTTGACAGCGTGACCTATGATTCTGGCGAGGATTCCACCTCCAGTGAAACTGGTAGTACTCAGCTTACATCTAAATCGACTTTCATTCGTACCGCCGAATCTACAGAAATTGATGCACTGTTGAAGGAAGTTGCGCCTTGGGATCATCTTGACTCGGACGGCGGCGTTCACACATTCGGGAGTGCCTCTTCAACCACATATTCCCTCAGGTCATCTGCATCGCTTCCCTCAGTTCTTCCATCTTCAACTTCACTCGCTACTGCCAAAAGTCGTCTTAGTGTACCTATCTCCACCTCCTCGTCTTCTTTAAACACCAGTACAAGCACGCCTCTGGGTTCTATGCCTTCTCGCTCGTCCATGAACCTTTTGCAAGATTTCCCTCTTCCCCCTCCGACTATCATAGTTACTACCCCTTCTATGGCATCTCTTGCGACTAAAAAGAGGGCAGCACACGATAGTGGAGCATTTACAGATGAATGGGATGGAACAGATGAAGAGGCTTCAGAAGATGAGGAGCGTGTTGTTTCGATAGATTCGAAGATAGTGGAGGCTACTGTCGTCGCGTTGAAGACCGTATTTGGGGAAGGTAAACCGAAAGTCGGGGGGAATGCCACGTATGTGAATGGCGCCAAAGGAAAGGAGAACAAACCGATTGAACGGAGTGGCGTTGGTGGCAGGATTCAGACTCCGAGATTGAAACATGGGAGATCCTCTTCCACCCCTCGTCAGTCGGAAAGGAATTCCTCGTCGGCATCTAAACGCTCGTCTATTCCTCTACTGTTCAAACCAAGGGAATAAGTTGCCCACAGTTGTAGGTGTGCAATTCATGGTGTGGTCGTGTAAATTTACATAGGTTACGAGCCGTCCATTTTTTAATCCTTGATTTGTTGTACTTTTTACCTGCGATCTTAATGATGTCTATCATAAGTGCAGTTTCATGGACTATCGTGCCCAAGAACAAACGGATATTGGGGCACCACTGTGAGGCTTGCCCCTTTCAATGCATGGAAACGTTGGATACTAATACAGGATTTTGAAGATGAATTATTCACAACATACCTTGTGAAGTAAGATTGCAAACAATGCACAGCTAAGAGTGTGGGAGGAAGAAATGAGACGGAGCATGACTTTGAGAGAGCTTATCACGTCAGCGGAGGGGTTCATTTTACGTAATTCCGGCAGTGATCACCTGTTGCGTGAAGTCGTTCAACCCTGACTATTCGCTGCAGGCCGTTGAGAGTGAATGTCCTGAGCTGGACAGGAGATATTCTATGTTTTTTCTGCTGAATGGATATCGACGATTTCGGTGACGAGTTCGATGACTTTCAACTCGATGCAGAATCACTCAAGGTACTCCAGGACACTGAAGATCGCTACACACTCTACTCTCAATCTTCAGCACACCCTGCTGTGAAAAGGGAGCAAACATATCAGCCTATTCCTCGTTCGAAACCGCCCCCTTCTTCTAAATCTACTCGTCCTCTCATTAAACGTGAAGGGGAAGATGACTCACTCCCCGATGTGTCCGTCAACAATGACGGGACGTATTCCTTTCAACCTACCCAAAAATCCGTTAGGCAGCCCCCGCCGTCAACCAGGGTAACTACAGGCCTTTTCCCCCAAGCGCCGGAAACTTCACTACCAAAATCATCGACGCCCCCACAGCGTCCCCGTGGCTCCTTTGTGCCACCGGCCAATGCAGGCGCTTTCACGCGCTCCATTGCACCATTACCTAAATACCGTGATTCTGCATCTACATCAGACCCTCAACTTCCCAATGACGCGAAAATTGATGCCTCGACTCCAAGGGCTCCAGTTCCGGATCGTCACCAGACGACAATAGATCCTTCAAGACCACCACCAGCGCCTCATGTTAAGCGTTCAGGTGTTGATACTACCCAAGCATCGCGTATTGCTGCGTCAGAGCATTCTAACGCTGCGATGGAGCAAATGCGGAAAGAGATGGAACTGGTATAGCATTTTTCATCTCATAATTGTTCACTTCACGCGACTAACGTCTCGTTTATAGCTTCGCGCAGAAAAGGAGACAATGGAGAAGTCGTTGAAAGATGCAAAGAACGCGACACTTGTGCGCGACGGAGAGATCGCTACTTTACGAAGGACAATGGAAAAGGTTAACGTATCCGCTGTTGTAATCTTGACCCTCCTTTTTGACGTCTTTTACAGCAAACTGCAGTGCATACAGAGACTCTAGACAAGATTCGTGCGGAGAAATCGTCTATTGAGAATAAGAAGGCTGTGATGGAAGCGGAACTGAATGCAGAGATGGAGCGCCTGAAGAGCAAGCTTATATTCAAGGTATGTGTGTGACTCCGCTATTTTCCACCGAGTTGTAAGGCCTTTTTCCTAGCAACAAGAAATTGAAACGGCTTCCATGCGATATCTGAATGGCCCTCCATCGACTGCTCGCAAACATCGCAATGTACCGCCGTCTCAACTGCAAACGCCCGTTCAACCACGGACTTCGTCCAGTCGAGGAAATGTAGATGTGTCGCCTTCCATAGGAAGGTTTACAACTCCGATGCATCGTCGGGTCCTGCCTATAGAAAAGAGTGACGCCAAGAAAGAAAGTGAGTTTTGCAGACTAAATATTTGTACAGTAGCGATTTGACATGACTGTCAGATTCACCGTTCCCGGGTTTTCTTGACTCGTTCCAGTCTCGCGGAGTCAAAAAATCACCGAGCAAGAAGCCAGTTGGAGCTCTGGTGGCAGATGATGATCGCCCGCCCATGCCTAGATCATCCCAAGAGTACCTTGGTTCAGATGACCCCTTCCAGGACCATCTGACTGCTCCGGTGCAAGACGAAGATATGGAGGACTCAGTTTCCCAATCTCCTAGAGAAGCACCAGTGAGATGGGGCACAAACTGGCCCGAGGAGGTATGGTATTATCCGTCCAGGCTAACAATTAATGACGTTGCATCTCGTAGTTACATAATTTGGTATTTACTCACTGTTCACTGCTCCCAGGATCGAGGACACCACAAGTCACTATTCAAATCCTACTATCAGCAGCCATTCCCACAGACGACGGGGTGTCGCGCTATAACCGATACGTCAAGGCATGCGGAGATCTGTTCACGTCTTTTGGCACCATTGGAAGCCATGCTTCTCGGGACCCGAACCCGGAGGAAGATGGTCAATATCAGCATTTGGTTAGAGACGTTGGGGCCAGCCTTTTAGGTATGGCCTATGTCTTCCTCGAAACGAATATGGTATGTTGGATTGATGAGCCACAACTGAGTTCCAGATGGTGACTTGTTGAATTCCACTTCAGGTTTTAAACATTCAATGCCTCTTACGACTGTTGCAGACTGTCGTCTATGCCCTCCCTTCCTTTCGCGAATATTTGCTCACGACCCCCCTGTCGCCCGATGAACCGCGAGCGCTGCATGAAGTACTCTGCGTCTATTTGCGGGAACATCCCGAACAGGACATCCCCCTTCAATCTCCATACGGAATTGAAGGGGAAGGCTTCACGGCCGATGTGCTCGGGGTGCTCGATGCTCTGTTATGGACAGTTCCAAACTCGCGCATTGTCAAGTGAGATCGCTGAATTGCTTGCTTCCATTAGACACTGAATATTGTTCTTGGCTCAGTCTTGAATGCTTCACAAGCGACGTGACACTACTTTCGAATCTCTTACAGCCATCGCAACCCCACTGGCTCATTCTAAAGACAACGAGACTCCTGGTGTTTTTATCGGCCCGTAAGCTTCCGACTCCTTTTCCCTGGCGCACCCCGATCTTTTGCCTTTTTGGATGTAGACGTCCAACTTGTTCCTTCACTAATTGAGAGGTCCAAGAATAAGCCATCAGGCCCCTCTCATCATGTCGATGCAATGCTGCGGTACATACATAAAATTGACACCGACATATCACTAAAGAGCGTGCGTTGTTTCCGCGGCACGTAGGTGCCAGCTGGGCCTAATCTTCATATTTTACTTAGGGTTGCGACCTAATTCACACCATCTTAATCTTTCTCACAAATATATGTGTTCTGCATGGTAAAGTGGAAGCCATGCGTACCAACTTCCCGAACCTCGTTCCGTCACTCCTTTTGTGCCTTACGGAAATATCTAATCGATTCTGGCGTGATGACGAAGAGACGCGCACAGGATCTGAAGGAGATATGGATGCGTGAGTTTCCCGAAGATAATTTTTCTGCTTCACATGCTGAGAAAGGATCCTTTAGGTTGATAAACATCCTTATTCCAAGTCTTAACCTTTTTCACTATCTTTTCTACGGAATAGAATTCGATTCTCATTCCTTGGCGGTTGACTTGCGTAATGTGCTACTTCAAGCATCTATACTGCCCCCGTTTAACGGAATTGATCATTTGTACATCGTGACGATGGCCCGGCTGGGATACGCAGATGTTCCCGATTGGCTTGGCCCGCAAAGAATTCTCGTTGTCGAAAATATTCAAGGTATGGGCCTTTAAATCAGTGGATATCATGCAATTTGACGCACAATCTGAATATCCAGCTGTTGCGCGAGAGTTGCTCGAGATCTTCGTTGATGGTCCAGAGGGTGATCTTGTGGTCTCCACTTACGACCCCGATGACTTTGTCCCAAGTCAGAAGCAAGATGAAACACAGGAAGAAACGCTGGAGGACAGTTTTGGTGACATCATGGACCTTGATCCTTAAGCACACAATTTTCTATACGCTTGCTATTTTCCAAGTGGTTCAATAGGGGTATATTTTATCTCGTTCTCCTTTTTGCACTATCTTTATTGCTGTACTTTATTTCACATGTATCCTTTACGATTATACACCTTCAAGCAACAAAGGCGCAACCAGTGCACTTAGCCAAGATCGAAAGTCGTACTAAATAGCAAAGGAAAAGCAGTAAAAGGAACGAAGGGGAGCAGAACAACATAAAATTATGCGCTCGGCGCAGTATCTGTATAAGCCATCGTGCCACCCGCTTCTGCTAATCTTCTTGCTCTGAAAGCCTGCAAGATGACATCCATCAATACCCAGGTCCATATGTTGGAAGGAGAACGGCGCGTACCTTCCTGTATTTGGTCCTCTCCCAAGTGACGACTCCCACAACGATAATTCCGATGACCGACACACTGGCGAAGACACCTAATCCTATGGGCAGCACGGAGACAGTGCGCCCCGGAACAGAAAGTTGTCCAGCTGTTGCAGTGCCAATTGAAGTGGAGGTTGATGTCCGTGTTGAGAACGTAGTAGTAGGGTTTGTCGTTCTAGCACTGGTAATAGTCCTACTCTGTGACAGGCTTTGCGGTGCTTCGGTACTGGTGGGAACGGAGGAAGAGGAGCTAGTCGTGACTGAAATGGGCAGGATAGGTCCGGTTAAGGAGGGGAAAGAGATAGAACTCAGTTCCTGTACAAAATAAATCGGATGCCATGGTTAATAACAAACACAGATCGAAGTGAGGCGTAAGGTGAGAACATGATCGACATGTCGTGGTGGAGGAAAGACTGGGGGATGAAGTGACGGAATCGGTGCTCACTGGTGTTGAGGTTAAAGATGGGTCTGGAGGAAGTGTAGTCGAACTGGGTCGGTGAAGTGGAGCTCGGTTGTGTATCTGACATTGTCGCCGTCGTCGTCGTCATTGTCCCAGCGTCACAGGACTGTTCCACAAGCACCATTTCTTGACCAACCGCAGTGACAGGAGTCAGCGTGATCGTACACCGTTGAACGAAAGTGTTCCCAGCACTTCGGATATTCAGACTTGAACACTAAACATACATATAGATTGACATTCGCTACGTACCTATTGGTGGACGTGACGGTCGTCTGGAATGTCGTCGGTCCGTCCTGGCGAGGGATGAGCTCAGAAATGCTCACGAGATGAGGCGCAGCGTACGCGGCCGGCACAAAGATCAAAATCGAGAAACACAAGGTAAACAGGCGAGTAAGGGAGAAGACAGAGATGTGCATAATGGCGCCCGGCGCTTCCTGTTCCTGCAGGCAGACGAAAGAGCGTCAAGGCTTGCTTGGGAGAAAAGTAAAGGAAGGGAAACCAGCGGCCAAGCAAAACCTTCAACCTCGCCGCCCTGATGAACGGTCCGGCAAGTTTCCAAGACACCTTGTTGCCGCTTTTGTGTTAAACCTACATCACTAGTCGCGAGGACGACGGAGATAAAACAATGCATAACTAATATGGCAATGCAATATAAAGGTAAAAGTAATAATGATGATGTAATAGTAAAGTGTGTTATCTCATCCCCCTTCAACCGCTTTGTAGAGTTTTCCATCCCGAATGGCTCTCTTCCGTCGATTCCTTGTCTGAGAGGATGCCCATGCAACAAGTTTCGCCAAAGGAGCCCAACTCTCGAATGCAGAACATAATCCAGTGTTGGTAACGACTGCGATCAGAATAGCAATCCGGGCGGGTAACGGAATGAGCATAATCTCCAGGACAGAGGCGAAGAACTTGGGTGGCGCTAACAAAATGAGCGTACTGAAAGCTGTTAGTAAAGCAATCGAGATCATCAAGAGTGCTGAGATGATCGGTCAGGTTAGTCGTGATTTGACGCTGAAAAAACTACCTACCATTCGTCTGCATAGGAAGTCGATAAGGTGGACCAATGCTGAAGACTGCCGCGACGAGAATGTACTGGAAGGATGAGAGCAAGAACAGCACAGTATTCTCGTAGTTGAGTGTCTCCAGACTATCGTTGCTTGTGTCAGGGATTGGGGGTGAATACCTGAGGGTTCATATGTTCAGTCAGGAACCTAAGGGCGCGCTGAAGAGAGCACCGACCATGGTTGGGATCGAACCCAGAAGAAAACCCATAATTGAAAACAACTTGTGACGAGGAGCTGGCCTATGATGCTCGAAAGCACCTTCTTTGATATCAACGATGCAGTCGGGGCTTGAGGGTGAATTCGAGGAAACGGGTGCGTCCTTCCCACTGCCGCAGGTCATGAGAAGGCAGGAACATCCTAGGAGTGATGATGACTTACTGGTTACCGCAATGGGGATGATGATGAAAAGGTCTATGTAGAGAAACTAGAAGCACTTCAGTAATCCTAAGTAGAACTTTGTAATGGATCGTTACCTGGAAGTCCCCCAAAGAGGATGCAAACGAGTATAACAGAGTAATCGTTGTGAATTGAATGAGAGAGTAAAGTGCCCTGCAAAAAAATATTAGATGCATCCCCTTTCATCACACGCGGCACTTACATATACTTGAAACAGCTGAAGCTAGTTACCAAGGCGGCACGACCCTCTTTGATAACCTCAAGGACGCAAGTGATGTCTGGAGTCTGACTAGTGAAGGGAGCAGCAACAGAGGCTTCAGCCTCAGATAAGGAGAGACCAACATCGGCTGCCTTCAGTGCGCCGCAATCATTTGCACCATCGCCGCAAAACGCGACGGTGTACCCAAGTGATTGCAACCGACTGACCAATTCGTGTTTCTCGTCCGGAGACATACGTGCGAATATCTGGGCTTTGACGAACATCTACTTGCTAATTGTATTAGGTGTGAAGATGGAAAATGTTGTCGAACGTACTCTTTGCAGAGTCTCAAGAGGTGCATTGTTGATCATCCAGCGAAACACATCTCCAGGAATGGCTAATGTATAGTCTTGATACTCGATTGAATCAGCATTAACGGCGTCATGCGGTGGTGGCAGCGGTTTTAAACTATAGCTGTCCAGTTTGAGCACCTCATCATCCACATTCGACCACATTAGCATGGCATCAGGTGTCTGGGCATCTCCAGCACTGATGAATGTCGGGAAGAACACATGTGTCGATTGGCTGATGATTCCGCATTCGCGTGCAACGCTGATGGCCGTTCTGTGGTTGTCACCAGTTGCCATGCGTATAGCAATATGTGCGCCGCGAAGGGTCTGGATAGCTGGCGCTGTTCCGGGCTTAAGCTTGTTCTCGAAGATGATGAGGCCCAGGAAATGAAGACCCGCTTCTGCCTGCTCACTGAGGAACATTCAGCTGCTAAAGCGGACAGTAAGTGAAGAAGACTCACCGTTTCATACGTTGGGCCTTGAGCCATGACAAGCCCTCAACAGTTTTGCCAGCCATGGCAATGACACGGTACCCATTCTTCGTGTAATAGTTGAGGAGATCATCATAATCGCGGGGAACTTATAAAAATGATTATGTTAGTTCCTGGAGGAGCACCAATCCGCACTACAGCGTACAGGTCACAGGGTCGCAAATTTCGCTCATCACCTCAGGGGCGCCCTTCACGTATATCTCCATACTCGTACTCTTTAATCGCTTGACGATCACACTCATACGGCGGAGTGAGGAAACAAAATCAAAAATGCGGATAACGCCCAGTTCCAAGAAGTGCGCGTGCTATGAGTGAAGTCAGGCACCGTGAAAGAGATCTGATGCTTTGCCTCCTTACTCGAGCCCCGGCCCTCAGTGCATCCTCCAAGCGAAATTCTGCACTACCCGGAGGTCGAACAATAGCCTGGACGAGCGCGGCTGGACGAGGACGAGTATCATTGCCACTAGATTTGCTTGCGCCGAGCTTCCCTTCTTCAATAGTCCAAGATGCGAACTCGAACATTTTCACGTCGAGAGGATCCCCCATGATGACCCCATCGATGACTTTGAGGGAATGACAAGTTGCTAGTGCGTGAAGGAAATTGGTTTTCCCAGTGTTGCTGCTGGTTGGTAAGTCATTAATGTCGGTCAGGAGCTCGCCAAACATATCCCCTGTACGATCTGCGGAGCGCACACCCAGGATATCCAGGCCGTCTTCCGTCAGCGTGCCAGTCTTATCGAAGCACGCCACATTGATCTTCCCCGCGACATTGACTCTGTTAGGGGATATACAGAAGATTCCTAATTTTCGCAAGCGGCCCACAGCGAAACTCGTACCAATGGATAGAGTGGCGGGAAGAGCAGGTGGAACTACGACAGTTATTAGATCTAAAGCACGCAAGATCATGGTGTGCCATTTGACCTGGTGCGGTATTAGCAAACTGGCGAACAAAGCATGAGACAACACTCACGCCCAGTTTGATGAATTGTATGGTGCTGGCTAGAAAACCGAGGGCAGCGATGCAAGCGAGAAACGCAATAAACCGCAAGGAATCACGGTAGAATTCAAAGTCCATCGGCTTGGGAAAGAGCATGGACCTGATGAGCGACCCTTTCGTTGTGTTATAACCTAGCAAGTTGCATGGATTAAGATATGGTGAATTGCGAGCACGATAGTAAATACCGGTGCGCGCAACGACAGCCAAGGCTTGTTCTCCCTCCGGCCCAGACATAACACCGCGTGCTCTGACGACTCTGGTCCCAGTGTACAAAAATCCTTTAGCTAAGTCAGCAGCAACTTCGCCACCCTCCCTCCAGTGAAGAAGATCCTGATCTTTAATAGGAACCTTTCCAATTGGGACACTCTCGCCAGTTAGCATTGACTCGTTCACGATAGCGTCGCCTGAGAGGAGGAAGAAGTCCGCAGGAAACGTGGTCAAGTTCTCGGCCATGATGTTCACAAGGTCCCCAGGAACAAGCTCGGTGGACGACCTCACCGACCCTGAGCAAGCAATCAGTGACAAAGAACCAGCGTTTCAACCATGTACCGACATTGCCCATCCAAAAAAACCTGCACAGGACACGAGAATCGAGACAACTCGCGCATACGCTCCACTGTCTATTTAAATCAGTAAAACGGAGGGAGGGCAACTTTTTGTACGAAGCACCTTCTTCGTTTCGACCAGTGTTGTAATGATGCTGAAACATGAAATAAGAGCGATACAAAACGCATAGTAATAATAGTCATCGAGGCACCACAAGACGATGCTTATTGCTTGGAACACATAGAATGGATTTAGGGCCTAGAGAGTATGCAATCACGATGGAACTAACGAAATCTCGAAGAAAAAACACACCTCTTCTATGAGGAGCTTGAACGTTGACTTTCCCTCAAGGTCAATGATGTTTGGACCGAAAAGTAGTGAACGCTGAAGGCGAGTTTTGGCAGGGAGTCCCGCCCTGACTGCTGTCGTCGAGGTGGCATCGGGATCACGCCAGTTCCTATTGCCATCGGATTAGGCACAAAGATAGAAATGGTTCACTGCATACGAGCAAACCTCAGCATCCGAAAGAGTCCCGTGGAGTGATCCAGTACGAAACGCAGATGTCGAAATTCCACCAACCGCAGCCTGTTTGGTTGGTTGGAAGGCCGGTGTGCATCCCCATTGGTCCAGGATCCATTGACGGACAGAGGCGGGTGAACCGATGGAGGCGCAGAGGGCCCTGAAGTGTTACTACCGCGACTGCGGGATGCTGAACTAGTTCTTGAAGGAGGGAAAATAGCCTCTAATGGCAATGGAAAATTAGGTTTGTGGAGCTTCTCAATGAATACGTCTCTATACGGTGTCTCGGGCCAGCTTAACACAAGTTTTCAGACCAGTCAGACCAATTCTTACCTCTATAACAATGACACCATCCGAATCGTCGCCGAGAAATTCAAATGACTTATCTCTGGTCGCCCATCGAATCCAAACGGAGTTGTTCCAAAATCCAATAAGACCAAGAGCGCCCAAAGTAGCAAAGCAACCGACAGTCCAGAGCCAAGACTTCCATTGTATGATCTCTCGCCCAATAAACAGAACAGTCATGTCGTCATCCTCAATGTAGATGGTTTGTCGACATGGAGGCCCAGAGGCAAGTGAATCGGCCTCGAAGTGATGGAAGCTATCAAAGTCTTCGCCCATATCGACGCGTGTCTCTCCGAAAAACGGACCAGGGCCACCCCTGATGATAGGCAGTGACGAGGTTGGAGATGGAGGCCGAGAAAAATTGCTTCTGGCATACAGCGAATCCTCCTCGATCCTGCTTGATGTCACAGATACTTCACTTGCATACCGGTCCTCTTCGTCCTCATCCACATCTTCTCCCGACGAATAACCCCACCGCTCTGTACCGTCATCATTGTCGGAGTCGGATTCAGGAGAAGAATCATGGCGATGCTCCACACCCTTCTTCCTGGAGGCGCTTGAGGCAAGAGAGGAGCGGCGCGATCCAGAAATGGACCGACTTTCGAGTGGTTCTTGGGGAGCATGAATGGAGCCTCGGGAAAACATGCCAGCCAGACTCCAAAACATGGTGGAGCTTTGTGAAGTTGACGCAGGATATGATTGCTCGCGTTGCAGTTTGGGTTGCCTGGTCGACCTTGAGGCATGAGAGTGTATGGATCGATGTCCATCATGGCTGGCTGTGTGCTCATCATCAGAGGTGCTCCTCTCATCGTCGAGAAATTCATCCGCAGCACTGTCCTGCGAATCCTTCCGGCGCCCAGTAAATGAAGCTGAACCCCCCTCTCGACTGACGCTGGGGCGTCTGGAGGAATAGTACTTATTCCTGCTCGAAGTGCTTGTACGCCTATCTCGGGTCCACGTTATGACTCGGTCATGGTGCATAGAGGTGACACTACTAGGAATAGCGCCGGCGCCATAGCCATCAAATATCGCAGTACTTGTATGTTCGCTATCCTCTGCTCCATAACTAGAGCCTACTTGAGAATCCCGACGAGTTCGTGACATTGAGAATGACCCCTGTGCGAGGACGTCATTAATCTCGGACGGGCTAGTGCCATCTGCATAGTCAAAGTGTCCCCCGTCGGGAGGAGAGGACATCTAGAGGACTTCCTAGAACTTCCGGTTCAGTCTTGTGTCTTGTTGAAAGCACGCAAGCCTTAGCTATGAAATTTAAAATTCAATTCAGTCACATGGTAGGGCTCCTTCGAGTATGTGCGCTTTTAGCTTGTATTTAGCGTAAACAGAGGGATTGGGCACGCGCCTACCTTGTACTTTGTCTGTGTTTCTGAGCGGAGTCGGACAAATTCATTGTTGCCATTGTTGCTATTGCTCCAGTCAGGGAACACAAATAATTCTAGACGAGTCTGACAATTTTATTCTGATACAGAAGACTAGCATGGTTGCATGTTGAGAGGCTCACGCCATATTACACAGGAGTGGACACTTCAAATACGGCTCGAGTAGTGCTGGGAGTGACTGCTTTGAGCGTGGAACAAGGGAGCGATATATGGGTGTCATGAGGCCCCCGAAGGCTCACCACCATCCGCAAGTGCATCAAGGCGGGAAGCATCCTCAGGCTGATGTGAACAGAAGGTAAACGACACGCCTAAAAGTACAGATCCCCCCACGTACCTCGTTAATAGCCGCGATATAGTCGATTCCTAGCTCATAGGTCCCTGAAATTTTTGCCCTACCACCCAAGACCGAAATGCCAATGGACCGTATCCTATGACGAGACATGTTCTGCCCGCTCGGCGCATCATCCACACTGGCGAGTTCAAACGAGTTGAACGGTATCTATAAAGATGCTGAGTTAGAAGCCAACTGCTTGATGCAAGTTGATGAATACCAAAACTGTCTCCCATACGCCGTTGGGTGATTGATCTTCTTTATTGAGGTACAAGCGATGCTGCCACAAGTCTGGAGGATCCGGACCTTCGGTTTGAACATTCACAAAATATGCGGTCCGCGTTCGAGGGTCTCCGGCTGCCCTTACACGCAGGGCAAGGTAGTTGTGGAGCTCGAGGTCATCAGTAATGGCCCCAAATAATGAAGTCCGAGCCTAAAAAGAGAATCCGTCGTCGTGCTAAACATCGAACAATAAATAAACCGTACCCACTCTATTTCGGAAGCCAGCATATCCACCGACAACCGACCCATCTTTCAGTCTCGGCACGTTCGTGCTTACAACTCCAGAGAACCTCCCTCTCCCATCTTCCGGCGAGATATCGAGCATTGCAGTCGAAGAACCGCCAAGGTCTGAATCACACCCAGTAACATGCTGACCTATCTCTTGTGGAGAACGATACCTAAACAAAAGTTTGGGTTCTCCAGACCGGAAAGCTCCCGACATGCTGATAACTGACAAAACGGATATATATTCTTTGCTTTCTTACCAGGAACTCCAGAACATGACGCACCACTTGCCGAATTGTCCCGAAGCACACGGGCTGAGCGTTCAATGAACGATCTCCACGGCGTGGACATGATTGTAACTGGAGTCACCAAAAGTTGCCTGCGTCTGCGAGCGTGGGAAAACTAAAGTGACTAGTCGTTCTGTGGCCCATTGGCTGCTCAGCTTCCTGATCCCATACCCCTTGGCTTTATATTCTGAAATAGCTGCTCCCTTCAACCTCCTGCCATTTGGCTGGCCGTTCGGACTGGAACAAACGTTGTCCTTGACCCACACCATCCATTCAATGTCGGAAAGGACAAAGCGCGGCCATTTCAAACAGCCATACTGGCATCTACATGTAGTGAAGAGTCTGACGTTCAAGCGGAGAAGTGATGAGAGATTGGACAGACGGAAATGTTCGACTTTATCATCATGAACGGTATGTAGGTGGCCTCACTTTAACCACTTGCTTGGCCTCTCCAGAAGAGTCCTCCCATTTAAGCGATACTAACTCTCCACGAATTACGCACTTCTCCTTATATTGCGATGCATCACGTTGCACTCTTCTTACTGTTGTAATCGCTGGCGTCGCTACAATTGTTGTCGATGCTGTTACCGTGAAGAAGGTGAGTACTTGACGATGACCCCCGACTGGGGCCAGTTCCTAATGTGAGTCCACCTGATTACCCCTCTGCGACTCTGCCCGATGAAAATGCCATTTGGGGCGGAAAAGATGGTCCACCCTCCAAATACATAGCGTGCTTCCCCGATCCTTATTGCTCTACTTCCACCAACAGAAGACAGGCTTTGGTACTGATCCTCCTGTAAGAACATCGTGGATGCTGCTTTAACGTACGGGATCAGCACAAATAATGAGGGGACTAACGCAAGGGTTGAAAAGGGCCAGAATTTTAGCAGGGCAAGTATGGGAGAAGGAAAAGGCTCGATCGAGAGCTCAGAGAAATATTTCTAATAATGACACAACGTTTAATCTGCTGTATAAATGTTTGTCAAATGTTTTGTTACTCTGACAAATGATCCACGCGTATTATTTTGTAAACCAGTTGTTCAATTGATATCCAGCTGAAGGCACGTCGACTAGTAGATTTAAGAATGAAGCAATGTAAGAAAGAACTGGAAACTATCAAAGATAGGACCTCCGAACACGGACCTAGATCCGACCAATTAGCAGCTGGCGCCACAGGGCCCACAATAGAAAGCCCCAGTTCAAGGTCTTGGACATGTCCGAGGGACTACTGGGTCAAAATGCAGAGCCATCGATGAATGCTTTTCATGAATAACTCATCATTTGAATCGCGCAACGAGGGAGACGGCGCCGCATGCAACAGGCGACAGACTGAGAAAAGTGTATAGGAGAAAATATGATGAGTCTGAAACTGGTTCGGAATCGACCACCTAGAGGGGACATCTATAAAATAGCAGTGCGGGTGTGGTGAAATTGGCCCAGGCGTACAATTGAACGCAGGCAAAATAATTAGCATCAGACCTCGAGTCAAGGAGGCTGGAGCGAAAGAGAAACTAACAGTAGAGCAGAGGGGGATAGCGAGAGGCAGTAGTTTGGCACGGAGACGACGCTAAGAAGGAAAAACGGTTTGTGCCAATTAGCCCTATATAAGGGATGCCATAACGGGAGGCCAACCACCACAAAAGTAGGAACCGAGGCATCACAATTGGTCGAGGGAGGCACCAATAGGTGGGGATATTATAAAGCAGGATCAGGGCAAGCGTTTATGGAAGAAATTGAGGGTTGGCATCCACGAATTCAATGATCATCTTACGAAGGAGGCATGTTTTGTTCTCGTTCTCAGTTGTATATAGCAAGATGAAGCCCCCCCCGGATAACGTATTCGGGGTACCGGTATCGGGTGGCGGAAAGAGTACTTAAGACTGAACGAAGGATGGGAGCACTACCCTCGTTGCTTCATACGGTCCTACACTTCTCCCAACTCCCATCCAGACTGTTTCTGGGGAGTCCAGAGGCAGGGGGAGCGACTTCATGACCGACAGGGTGAGCATGAAGTAGTGAACATCCGATGGATATGAGCTTCTCCACAGTCATCGCTGCCAGAAAAGCAAGAGGCATCCTGCCTGGTCAGGCAGCGAACGGACTTCTTCCCGGGCTCCGCGGGCGGTTTCGGTCGGTCGGTCGGCCTTGGCCTTTTGCCCGAGTGAGACCAGCCTCAGGTACAGTATTATTGTCTGAACCGACGAGATCGGAATTTTGACGAAAGGCTGCTTTCACTGGACTCGCAACCTAGGCAGGACCCAGTTTCTATATTGGATGAAAGTTTCGGTGCCTCGAGATACGTATATACCGATTAGAGAGCCAAAGCATACGAACGTCTTGTCCACTCTTCCCACGACTTCAACCCGACAGTCATACCCTTTTCAGCTAACGTCTGAACATACGAAACCTTCCCAAGTAATACAGGTTCAGCCCCCTGGCTGAAGTGAAATACCATTAACATGGAGATCACGACCATCATCAGGTGGAGGGTATTTCTATCGCTTTTGTACATTATACCGACCACTCTGAGAATACTGCTGTCCCATTACAGACTCCAGACAGTCTCACAGCCTTTGTCGGACAGAAGCTCAAACAGGAAATCGCCGTGAAATCGGGCAAGTCTAACAAAAACGTAGTCATCCGCACGGTTCCAGATGCAAAGAAACGGACAAGGGAAGGGCCATCTTTCGTGAAATTGCCAGTAGGCTGAGTTATGATTTTGGAGGGTACCTGCCCTCGAACCAATGTGAGTTCGCAGCCTTACTTAGATCCAGCAGATATGACAGCTGTAGAAGGTACGCAGAACATTACAAACACGTGTGGAGCTTACCTAAGTGTAATCCAAGGCCTGAGCTTGACAGGTATAAAATCGTGAGGAGTTTGGAGGTGTGGTAGTTATGGCGGTGGGCTCAGTGGCAACAAATCCTCGCACGGAAACGACGCTCAGCGGAGCAAAAAAAAATCCTGAACAATACTCATGTACTATGTACAAATCCAACACAAGATCCCAAAAACAAGAACAAGCAGCAGATTAACTAGGAAGGAATGGGTCAATTCTTCGATCATGGTGCAGCAGCGGACTTCACAACCAGAACAAACAACTCGCTAACAAAGATTTACCTTGCCGTATGAATGAGGTGCTCTCTGGGATCGCTTGTGCCGAGTTCTTGGCATCTTCCTTGATGAGGTCAGCAAGCTAGCAAGAAATTCGTTGGTGCAATCCTCATGATTTCAAAGTGAAACACAAAACCTTCTCAGCCATGCCGTAAATCGTTGTCTGTGGGTGGGCAGAGATGTGCTTCAGCGACGCCACGGATCAGTGCGTGGACCAAGGGTTGGGGAATATACGTGGGCTTACGAAAGGGAAGATGGACGCGTCCACGATCCGGAGGTTTGACGTTCCATAAACTTTTAACCTCGAATTTACAACACCACCATCCTCTTGAGGCAACATTGCAGCAGTCCCAGCCTGACAGCACATAAACATAGCGCAAATTTCATGACGAAAATCAACACTCACAGGATGATAGACAGGCTCCAATACGCTCTTCACATGAGTTTTCACTTCATTATCATCCAGCTCCTCATCCCAAGCTGGCTCCACAAATGCCTTTGTCAGGCTCTTCAATGGCTCCTCTGAGTGTAGCTTCCGAGTGAAGCGCACGCCATGAGCGAGGATCTCGAGGTCGACATTGTTCGAGAGGTACTTGGGGTCAACCACAGGTTTAGAAAGCGGATCAGATGAGGATATGTGAACAGTTCCAAAGGAAAGTGGGTGCATCAGGGCAACAAGGACTGCATTGTAGTGGGAACCTGATTTCGGCGTTTTGCCTGGGGCTGGAAAGAATCCAGGATATGTGATGACCCTGATTCAACACGTCAGAGAAAATGAACCAACATCCGCTGGAAGCACGCACTCGAGTTGTGGGTGTTTCTCATCATCGAACCACTTTTCGAGCAGCTCAAGTCGTCTCTTTTGGCCACTTTGCTTGGCACTCTCCTTTGCATCCCGAATAGATGTCTTCATGCGTTCGACGTCCTCGGCAGGGGCGAAAGCCCGGACAGGCAAGAAAGCAAAAGCAGAGTGTGTGCTTGCTAGCAAACCCTCCTGCCTTTCACTATGTGTGCGGAGCGACAATATGTGGTCATCAGAAAGGCGGAAGAGAGGAAGAGACCATACTAAGCGTCGATCTCCTTCAGACTTCGTTCTTCATCTCGGAGGACATCCAACGTCTCCAGCTCGTTGCTGACTTCAATCGTGGAGGTTGTATATATATGGTCCTGGTTACTCACACGGAAAAATTAGCTTCGAACAGGCACGCGAATGAGTGGAAGCATTAACGAACCTGCAAGTTATCTCCCACACCCGGAAGTTCAATTCTAAGGGGGATACCAAACTTCTCTAAAATGGCCCTATCACCAATACCTAATGATTCCGGGGGGATCGGCGAGAGGTCGGCTCTTAAGATTTGCCATACCAGCAGCAACGGTACCGGCAAAGGAAACTCACCGGATAATTCAAGCAGTTGGGGTGTCATAAAAGTGCCCGCAGAGAGAACGACCTCCTTCTTAGCTTTGGCTATAAGTTTGACCTTGTTCTCTTCGCCACCGATTGCAGAAACGAACTCCACCCCCTTCGCTTCGTACTCGTCGCTTCCATCCCGCTTCTCGAGTATCACTCTCGTAGCTTGAGCATTCAAGAGCACGGAGAGGTTTGTTCGAGAGGCATTTGGAGCAAAGTAAGCAGGCGCGGAGTAGGAACGTGTTTTCGTGACAGGATCAATAGAGCCAAGAATTGAATACGAGCCCGTGTTGTCACCGTTGCTCTGGCGGAGAATTAAGATCGATAAGTGGGATCCAACAAGGTGCATAGATACGCACGGAGTCGGGGTTGGGTTTGATGCCCAAGGCCTCCAACGATTTGAAGAGAGGTTCAGTGAGACCACTTGTCCATGTACTGTGCGACAATTTGAGCTGCAAGGAAGCGAATAAAAACACATATCAGCTGCATTACCAAGTAGATCAAGACAAGTCGCGCACCGGACCCGAGTCGCCATGGACTCCTTCCTCAAGCTTAGCATTGTACTTATCCCCAAATTCGGGGTCACTTGGTGCAACGGTTTCCGACTTCGTGAAAAACATATGAGTGTAATCGTCAAAATTATTTCACACAAGGTGGAGGTAAGTATACCTTCTTCATGTACTTCAGGAAGGACTCCCAATTCCATCCTTCGTTCCCGATAGTCTCGAAAGCTACGGAAAGTTGGGATGAGGGACTCCCAAGGGGGCATAGCCACCGACAACATACCGTCATACTCTTCCTTGGTCGCTCTGCATAGCAGAGTAATAATTCCATTACCGAGTATTCAACAGGAAACACGAAATCCACGAACCGACCCTACGTCCGACGAATGACTCTTTAGAGTGGCAAATAAATGGAGGGAGCAACCACACTCACCGTAGCCATGAAGTTTAGAGCACTTGTGCCGCCGAGGAGCTTTCCACTGGAATGGAGGCGGTAAGCAAAGTTAGGGACTACTTTGTCGAATGCGAGACACGTATACAGACCGTGGGTGGAAGATAGGTCGACCAAGAACATTCTCTTGTGGGACAGTAAGGAATCTGTGTAAAACCCCAGACCATTAGCTCCACCACATTCAAGCCTTCTGACATCTTGCTCCAACTCACGCCCAATCAAAGTTTGGATTGCCTAATGATCTGCCAAAGAAACCTGTACACAGTAGAGGCACAGCCAGCTTCGTTCAATAAGCTCGTAGGAAACCCGCGCTGGCATACCAGGCACATTAATGAGGGGCTCATCAGGAAAGTAGCCGCCAGCTTCGATAACACCAACGGTCACAGTGGGATCCTCACTCAGTCTATATGTTCCCCCAACAAAGATTAATAAAATCCCCAGTCAGTAACTTGGTTCGCTGATAACCATGCCGAAGCCGATAGAACCAGGGCTCACCTCGAAGCAACGACGAGACCTGCTGTGCCACCTCCCACTACCAAGTAGTCATATTCGGCGTGAGAAAACGCTTCAGGGGTAGCAAATACGGGCTCTTGAGCCATCGAAATACGGCCAGTTGTGCAGAGATGACGTTGGAAGCGGTGACCTGATTAACGCAACAGCGAGTGTGAAGAGAAGCAAGCACAGATATGAGCTTAAGGGGCAGGCCGAGGATGAAAGGCCCGTGGGTAGTCGTCAGCCTAAAAGGAAAGAAAGATAGGAGAGATAAAGCGATGAGGTATCTGGCTGTGGCCAAAGAATTGAACGAGTATGCAGTCTAAAAAAAGGCAATGAAACGGGCGCGTTTGATCCTTTGGGCAGGAGAGTGAGACTGCATATATATATGGCCTCTTCTATACTCTTAACAACAGCCTCCCCTCAAAAAGAAGCCAATCAAAGGAGGGTATGAGAACGAAATTGCCGTTGGAATTTGTTTTTCCAGGGATCTGTCAGGCTGAATGTCTAGATGTTAAGTATTAATGGCCGTGCGCGGATTAGGAACTTTGGTATGTAGACGCCCTTTCAGACCACAAAGGAAAGCATGGACTGCCTCGTGGGCCTTTATAAAGTCGGGTTGCCAAAACAAACGGATGTGTCCACTTCGGGCCGCTCATGATGAGAACTCCAGGACGATGGGACAAAACCGCAATTCAAATATCTCTGGTTCCACATCTTGCCTGCAACGTCACGTATACATACGTGAATCAAAGGCACAGGGATCGCTGCTACTCCCTAAAGAGCGTTCCTTTCTTTCCTGCTCTTGAAACACCAGAAACGATCACACCAATAGGGGTCTCTCATGGTCAAATTCCAGTTCATAACAAGCCAGCTGATATCGCGGTAACCTTGTTGGGTGTGCGGTTTGCCCTCACCTCAGGGTTATTTCGATATTCCATCTCCCCACCCAACACGCAGCCCGTGATTATCTGGTCATGACAGATCACGATCGCCAACAGCTGCGGTGAACCCAAATCATCCCCTCACTCATCAGCCGGTGGTTCAATATATCCTTCGCCTAATCATCACTGCTGCAAGTGTCTATCCAATACATTTCAGGGATTTTTGCTCACCATGCATAGCCGGAGAAGCGTTCTAGTAAGCCTCCTATCAATGCAGAACTTCCTAGCTAAGCCCGCTGGTGTAGGGTGGTAGTAAGAATGAATCATAAATGTCACACTTTCTCTGCGGGTATCGCTATGTGTCAGGAAGTCCGAAATGGTTTGAGCCCTCGCTTCGCAGCGTTTACATCAACTGGTACCGAAGCTCGCCGTACCCGAAAGAAGCAGAAGACCCCCACTCAAGTCTGATATCTACTTCTGATTGGCCCTTCACACTTGAAACGTGTCCCTACTGATTGCCACCTCAAGCCTATTCTCCTTGGGCTTCTCTCCGGCCGGCGCTGGTATTGGTATGAGAATCGATGGTAGCCTAGTAGCCGGCTAGGTAGACTTCGGCGATCCCACTGAACCATCTTCCGCTATCAACCTGCAAGCGCCCTCCCGGTCAACGCGCCCAACCCTGTTATGTTCCACAAGTATCTTCAGACTCTGCCTCACCTATACCCAACCCGCATTGCTCCTGCACGGAACCCGTGCCTGAACTGCACGTATTGCGACGGCGAGAGAACAGAATGGGCCCTTCAGTCTCACTTCTACCATTCGTTGGTTTATAACCAATAGATCAATAGATGCTTCAGCCGATCACTGATACGCACCCTCACCACCTCCATGACCGTCCAAGACGTGTCGGAAGGGAAGAACATTCCGCACAACTATATACATTGTTGCCACGGATCTTGTGTCACTCTCAACGAGTCTGACTTTCGCCAAAGAAAAGAAAACAGAACAACCCTTATTGCTCCGTTAAACCCATCATATAGCCTTCGCATCCGGTACGACGACTTGTGCGACCTCCGTGCCTCTCGGTTCACCGCCGTTGATAATCTGATCCCCCGCCAAAATAATAATTCTAGCAATCCAACATACATATTGCACTTCTTGCTGTAATTGTATAATTAATGCTAGTGTCTTACTCATCATGACCATTACTTAAGTGCTGTATTTCACACCCCCTCAACCCGGCAGCCCGTCCAGTGATAGATACAGGCGGACATCATACTCGGAACGGTGTCGCTCGTACTCCGTGGAGATATTCGTTTCCCACGGATATATTCTTTCGACGGCCAGCTCCGGGTTGCAATCGATGCCTCCACCACCCTCCACAGTCTCGATCATTCCAGGCCCATTGAGAGCCTCATGATAAATGCTTGCATATACTATGATTCTATATATTATTACAGAACCCTCCTATATCCATGCATGATACGTACAGTGGGCGACACCAAGACGAAGTAACTCACAAAGATGTTGTTAACCAGGGGCAAGATCAAACATGCCAAAAAGTAAACCAAAGAGGGGGGAGGAAGGGAAACGGTGAAACGCAGATACAAAATCCAGTCCAGTTACTTTTTCTTAAAAAAAAAAAACAGACTTGATGGTGATGGGCATGCAAACATCGGAGTTGTAGTGGCTGGTTGGTATATGTAATAGAGGAGAGAATCAAAGAGCAAAACGGTGAGGGCTCCAAGAATCGAAAGTAAGATACCAAGATGAAATATAGCAGCGAGCAAGTGAGGAAGCAGTGTTTGTTGATTGCGAGGTGGATGAGGATGATTGAGACGAAATAGGTGAGCTGAAGCGTGAACAATGAGTGTAGGGGTTCGGCATGAGTAAATTAGGAGTCGAATGCGAGTAGAGATGGTACCGTATATGATAGTCGAGGAGGAAGAGAAAGGTGTTAGAGAGGTAGAATGTACCAAGGCAGGGAGAATATTTTGCTTCGCTCAAACCTGCCCAAAATACTTGACACTGCCCTCGCTAGCTTCCTTTCCAGTGTCATCTGTGCTCTCCTCGCTGTAAGGTAGTTGCCCGATCTTGATATCGTTCATTGCGATTCCACTCTCCTCGTCAATGTTCATCTGGGTTCCATTGACCGTCCTGTCCCTCACATCTCCGTGTGTCTCTAACGTTTTCATGATCTGGACTGCGCCCCTTGATACCCGTGACGTCTTTGCAACGGCTCCAATCGTCGAAGTGCCACCCCATGCATTCCCATTTGCCGAGTATTCAACATTGGATCCTCGAGAAGAATGGAACATAGGGTTGCGAGAATTAAGGGTCGCTACTAGGGTGTTGGTGTAGAGCTTCGCGAGGGCAAGAGCGGGGATCATATCTGAATTTGAACACACGAAAAAGGATACGATTAGTCCCATAAAATGAAGCGAACGGAACTAGACGTACGAAGATTATTTTCCTTCCACCTGAGATAAAAAATAAGTTCAAGAGTGGCCGCAGCAGCCGTCACGGCACCGGTTTCGATGGTCATTCTTGTAAGCCTGTTGATCACGGTATCCGTTCCCTCGAAACCAGTCGCAGACTTCCTGAGCTGTAAAAGTATTAGCCGGTCATGGAATTGAACCGAGGATCATCAGGGATGAGAATGGCTTACGAGGTACACCATGAACCCGGCAATGAGCACATCACAGGCAGCACTCCCCGCAAGCCAAATTGTTGCCGGCGTGGTCAACGACGAAATTTTGGTTACGTCGTTAATGATCGAGAACCAAACGCCGCAAATGGCTGCACAAACACCTTGCATGACCGCAATCTATCGATAATCCGAAAAGAGGGAGGGAAGGGTTCCATTCAAACCACGTGAGAGGAATCGAGAACGGGGTCGGGTCCGAGTGTGAAATTCCAAAATTAGTAATCCATTCAATGATAACTCGACAAGGAAAAAAAACAAAGGGTTGCAAGAAGCAGCGCAAATACTCACGGCGGATATGAACAGAGAAACGAGCCATCTCTCGCTGAGCTTCCAGATTCTCCAAGAGAAGAACATTTGCACAGTGCAGGAGACTATCCCTGAGATGAGGGGGACGGCTATCCACGACCAACCGGGCTTGATCAGAGCCTCAGGATCGCCCCAGCCCTTAGCGAGGAAATGCCACGCGTTGTCTATTGAAAGAGGGTTACTCGTCAGGAGAAGAGGTTACGGATATCGGCAAAGTGGATTGCCGTGCGGGAAACATACGCGTTGTCAATGCCTAGGCGAGAAGATGACAATTTCAACAGTCCGTTCCAAACAATAACAACAACAAGAGTGAACATACGGTTTGTAGGGTGTCAATGAAGAAAAGTGTGTACACGAGTATTTTGATCCATCGGCTGTCTTTGGGGAACGAAACGTAATACACATCTGAATGAAGTCGAAGAAGTCAACCAGCCGCAACACGGTTTGGAATACGCCGCTGCTCGTCACTTACAGACTTGCATACACAAAACACCAAACAAGCCCCAGTTAAACAAATATCCAAGCAGCTATTGTGAGGCCGCTTGAGTATGGGTCAAACCAAATGGAGAACGTGTCACTGACCAGAGGACCAGCCAAGACATCAATATCAGGGGGAACACCGTCAATGTAGGCGAGCTTTTCGATAACGCGGAAAGAGGACATTTCAGGCAGAGAGTGATGTGTGAAAAGAGGGGCGTTCGTTGAGGATCCAAATACTGCAGAAAAGGCGCCACATTGTCAGCAAAAGAGAGTTGAGGATGACAGGGAGAACGCACATAATGCGGGAGGTCAGTAAGTGGAAGGGGAATCCGTCGGGGAGAGGCCAACTTCATCGAGTGCTTGCATGGTGCTATTTATTCCTGAAAGCAAAAGGCTGGTGGGAAGACTAAGCTGGAAAGTTTGTATTGGACATCTGCATCCGATCCGAGCTAACCGAAAAGGCAAGTGAGTTGGGGCTGGAAGCAGAGCTTCCTGTTCTGGCACAAAGGTCTCCTCACACCTATTTCTGCCCCTCTCCTTTTCTTAGGGTTCGTTCAACTGTAGGAATTCTTTCTCTTTCTTATATTCGCTTACTAACTGTAAGGAACCCTCTTTCTTGACGACAGATCCATCTGACAGACAGATTGAGATCTGGGTGCCGTCGGATGGGGATCAAAGGCAAACGCTAGTTTATGAAACGATCAACGAATTTAACAGCATTTTTCTGCATCCTGTCAGAGAGATCCATATATATCCCCCCTTTTTTTTTTCTTTCACCGCTCGATCAGGATTGAGACGCAACGCGGGCGAAACAACGTCTGTGCCCCTAGTTGGTAATTGCATTGTTACCTCGCACTCAACGCCCCCCCGTCTTTTTGATCATTATGATATTCGTTGCTACTATCACTGCTCTCGCTCTTGTCATGTACGTACCTGATGACATCCGTTCAGTTAATTCCCACTTGTAAATATATCATATGTAGTAGCTTCTCGTCTATCGTCTTCTCTCAACTCAGATCGACGTTGCACTGCGATAAATTCTGCAATTAATTTTGAAGGTCGATCAAGTCATACGCCAACATATTGTCCTTTCTATGCGTCACATTCTGCGCCACTGCGATATGGGCGCTGATGTTATCATCTCACCTCATTGGACAATGCACTAGTTCGACATTCGCCAACACCCTGGAAGGGCAGATATAAACCTTCCATTCTCACGAGTCATGCCATACGCCAATCCAGGCTAAGGTCTAGGCAGGTTCTATCATCAGACACAAAGAACAGCAGTACCGGCGGAGACGACATGATCGTACGCGTTGTTATAATAATATTCAACGAATGGGACTTGCGTGCCGACATGCATGGCTGATGACAATATCTTACCGCTGTTAAAATCTTTTTCATCCAGGAAATTTGATGGGGCTTGTGGCTAGCGCTGCGTTGCCTCGGGTATCACATTGACCGCCCGGACAACTTCCCAGTGTACAAGTCACCAAAGACGCACTCATTTCGACTAAGTAATGGAAATGACTGCTCAAGCTTTCCGATCGGGATCGGACAATTTTCTCGACCGCGCGTTGATGAGCGACCATCAATGGAATCGCGATGACCCGGTGGTGTGCGTTGACCTCAAGGCCTGGAAGTTATGCACCGGATAATGTTTTCCTGTCTTGAGGCTCAATCGCCTGAAGTTCGAGACCCTTTTCCAATAACTCGTCGTAAGTATGTACACACGTACCGACAAAACGATGATAACAAGTACGAGATCGGGCTCTGTATCAAAGATCTCTAAGATTCAGAGGCAGCATCTTACTACTTGGCTTTCGTTCAGTCGCACTGATGCATAGGGCACCCCAGGAACAAGATACCTGGCATCAACCCTGTGTTCAAGAAGAATCTCCTCCTCCCCCTCCTTCCCACCCGAATTGTCACTTGTTGGTACTTGCACACGCACATGAGATGATAGAAGCATCGACTCGAGAGTACCATTAATCATGCATATCAGGGAATGAACGACCAACATATTGACGCTAGCTGAATGCATGCAGGACAGGGATGATCCTTCACATAGCTCTAGGCGGCACAAATAGCACTCGCATGCTGCCGCGATCCGATGATCAACCCTGGAAAACCCCAGAGAAGCTCCCAAAGCTCAGTTTGCAATCAAAGAACTCCCGCTTATCCAGGTATCTAACACTTTGGCCAACGATGATCACTTTTATATATCATCTAAACTGCCTGGGTCGCTACACATGTTCTACGCACTCCCTGATCAGCTAGGTTTCTCTATGACTGGGACAGTGATTTGATATCTGCATTTTCCCCTGCGACAAATGCTTCATGTCTAAGTTGCACCGCTCGGTTCCTGTCGTCACCTCCACACAGTCATTACAATTTACTATCATATGCTTCTTGGACTCATTGGTCATTGGCTAAGGCCAAGGAGATCCGTCTTCCCCACCAGCCGCGTGCGCATCACCCTACCTGCAGATGACCGAAAGTCCTATCCGGAATCTCATTTCCGACATGCAGTTCAGGCTGTATGTTCATTGCCTCCCTCTTCTCCGATGCGCCGTGACTCGATAATGGCATATTGTAGAACCTTCAACCCTGAAGGGCCCGGTGCTTTCGTGTGCCTCAAACTCATTCACCTGTGGGTGTCGTCAATTCAGAACATCATCGACTCCTAATCGGATACCCATCGATACTTTCAAGTGTCGTCTTATAATAGAGTAGAAACGATGGAAGCCATCGGCTCTTCTCTCTTTGGAGAAGATAATTTGGCCTGCAAAAGTATAACTTATGTAACTCATTACCACAACTAGCAGTAGACATAGCTTCGGGCTAGCTATTACCAGCAGCTTCCTTGCGTGCCCTAGGGAAAGGGAGTTGGTGGATATCGAATCCCTAAGGTCCTGTCCGAATTGTCATCTATCCAACTACAGGGTCCTATGGGTCTGCCCCCCACGAGCCCTGGACATTTTGAAGTGGTATCGGTGTCGTTCCTTCCGCGCTTTTAGGGTCGAGGTGGGGCCGTACAGTACGGGGCAGCACGAGTGTCTCGGCGCACTATTACCGCTTTCCCAAGCCTCTCAGCTCAGGGCTGGTAGTCTCGATATACGAACCCCATGGTTGCTGTTCCCCTCAACGCCATATATCGCGTTGCCGACTAGCTCAGAACGATGTTGATTCTTCCTTGCTAACGAAAATCGCTTGGTCTTCATTTCGTCGCCGTTTATCTTTTTTGCCATCAAGGAAATTCTGGGTTTCCATGAACCCTCTCCACAAATGATGTGGTTACAGTGACACCAAAAGCTGTCTTAATTCGTCGTTTAGCATCTCCTGCAGCTACCACAGCTGGCCTCTGGGGTTTTCGTCATTCGAGTGCCACCCTTTGTGGGAATTTACCTATCAGAGTCACGGCATACGACCGGCGCCAAGCTCGAATTGTGCCCAGTGCCCTGGGGGTTCGAATTAAAAGTGGGGAACTGAGGTCAGCCGTGTAGTAACCTTGGCTCCCTTGGTATCTTCTTGCCTAGCTTGCTGCGAACTTGGCATGGTCGTTGAATTTGCATTTCTATCTCCGCCACCTATCTTTCATAACCAGAGCAAGACACCGATCCTTTATCTGAGGCCCACCGCGCAGCCCACAAAGATGAAATTATCGTAAGGGGGGGGGGTGCCTTTCACACCCAATCCATCTTTCATTTCTTTTTTTGGTAAAAACTCTCTTACCAGCTCTCGAGACACACAGGCTTTGGCAATACTCGAATTGGCAATGTCCTGGAAAATGGCAGGTTGAAACCTTAACTCGTTATTGGCATACGCTTGCACTTGTTCACGTCAGCTGAGCCCGCGGCGATTTGATATTTCAAAATCACTGCGGAGCTGGTGCGTTCGGGCGCGCCGTTCAGGCACCAACTCTGCATTCGGAGTCAACACATTCTGGTACGCCGCGCTATTTAACGCAGTCACCCCCTGCGTCTGTCCGTGCGAGTATGTACTATGCAGTCATTGGATAATAATAGCCCGGATCATGCCCCGCACCTACGAGGGTATAATAACTTTTCCGAGTTGGCCGGTCCGTGAGGTATTAATCGCTTAACGTCGCCTCTCGACTGAAACGAGTTCGGGAAGTTTTTTTCTTCTCAGTCCCATGACTATCTCATCACTAGGCAGTTGAGGAAGTTTGTGCACGCAATTCGATAAGCTCTAAGTGCGATCTCGCCCGTATACTAGTTCGACCCACAACCCTCAAACCATGGGAAAAAAAAACGAGAGCAGCTGGCCTTCAGACCAGATGGATGAATGACCATCCCAGATCTCTTTATATAATTTAGCTAGTGTTCATCTGCCATGCACTACTGACAACGGCCCAAAAATGTATCGAGAATTCCGCATGAGTATTTCTTGCCTGATCATTGAATTGGCAGAGATTGGAACGATTGATTCTGATCAACAGAGGCCCAGGCAACACGTCGTCAGATATGCACGCCGCAGCTAGGTACCGAGCCCTCAAATCGCTTCAACCTTTTTTCCATGCTCCATAATGACAATACACCCGAACACCCGAACACCCACACCCACACATCCCTGTATATTCCTTTCTTCCATTTCGGACCAATGAGGGAATGCTTCCAACGGCCCGGCTGTCCATGTCCATGCATGCATGCGACCGAACGGTTGTTACGCCGCGCAAGCGCACGAGGCGGATTTCAACGGTTGTGGGTCCGTCCACCTTGTCGTCTCCAGCACAGCCAAATGATAATCAGTGCAGCTGCTCTCGGCCCAATAACATACATATGATCCGAGTCGCTTGAATAATATAAGACGAGTCAACTGAAGGGCAGTTGAATGAGTAAGACCAATATTATCATTATGATTAACTAAGTACTATAAGTACATCGGGGCTATGCTACATGTAGAGCGACGCACGGACGCGTTGAAGAGGCGGTGTCGGGGTGAGTGTGCGCGTTTGTATCACGTACATATGGGTACTTGCATGTTGCCGAGGCAGCATCATGCATGGTTTGAATTCCAACATAGCACCGACGTGAGTATGGCGCGAAGCGCGATATATTGCTTCCTCCACATCCAACCTGAGGCTCAAATCCTTTGATCTTACGGCATCGTATCCAACCATATCTATAGATGCCTTCCAGAACGCTCTCAGCGCCGTTCATCTTTTCCGCTGGGACGACGTTCTGGACCTGGAGAGGGCCGTCTATGGATAATCTACATTACTCCTGAATCGGCGGTCATAGATTCGTACAAGGCTCCGGTGCTTTATCCGAGTCCTCGTTTGGGCCAATGGCGCCCTTGTAACTAGTATCATAGTGACCAGCATACCCGCTGCTCTCACTTTGACCTAAAATGTTGGGCTTTACATATAAAGCAATGCTCACCCGTTACAGTGGGTCAACTTTTATAGATTCCGCTAGCACAAGAGCTTCTCTTTGGGTGCATGTCCCAGCACGATAACACATGTCTCCCCATCTCATGAATTGTGTGTGAGCTGCAAGTGCTGTGCATGGATCAATCATGTGTATCAACCTAGTACGTACTGTCCGTCCCAGTCTACATGCATGAAGAGCCTCCATATGTACAGTGGCGCAAGCAATCCTAGCTAGACATCTAATTGTCCTGAGAATATCGATACCATTCAAGAGAATGCCCCACAAGACGTACGAAAAGTCCGGCCACTAGTTAGCAGAAATACATAGCGAAGCCCAGAGGGAACCAGATGTATTCGGATTAAAGGTTTACAGAACAGGCAAATGCAGTTGACGATGACGAAAGCAGATGTTTTGGGTCGACAGAGAATGCATGTTTTGGTGGGATGAAGGAAAATTGCAATAAGAGAGAAGCGCCACGACGAGATTAGAGATAGAGAAACACAAAGGAAGAGGATGTGGCCATTGCAGGGCCTGGTATATCTGTTGTTAAGAAACAGATCAGATTGGTGACAAGCAACGCTTGTTGGAAACCTACCCGAAAAAATTGTCATAGTAGTATAGTCGTCATATTCTCCCGTTTACTCGTGACACATTAATACTTTTTGGTTCGGTGTCTGCTCCGCGCCGTGTCACCTGCAAATGACTCAGTACAGCTGGCACCAAGCTGTTCTGAAGGCATGTTGTGACGAGGTCTTGTCCAATCATTGGCGCAATGATTTGACCAGGCTCTGGCCCATTGGCAGAGGCCGGCGCTGCGGAAGAGTTGGAAAGTGTACGTGAACCCGGACCAACTAGCGCTTTCCGCAGCGACTGCATAGCCAAAATCCTTGACGCACGTTGCACGATGGCCTCTGCACTTGATCCTGACTGATTCACTCGTGATGAGTTGGGCTGAGAGCCGGATTGGACAGCGGCCTCGGACGCGAATCGTTTCAAGGACGCACCCCATTCAGAGCACTCCTCGTCTCCGCTGAAGTTGAATTTGTACCTCCTTTTCACACCTTCGGAGGTTGTAAAACCAACCGTGAGCGTATTTTGCATGAACGATCGCTCGACCCGGATAGAAGTCTTCAGAGGCATGGAATATTTGGCTGCATTAGCGCCCGTGCGTACGATAACCATATCCTTTGTGCCAAGCGTCGTCCCAGTCACAATACACGACACCTCGCAGGTGCGACTAAACTCCAAGATCGGCGGATCAAAGAAGAGATCTTGGCCATGAAGGTGGACGCGCAGGTGCGGATCCGGATTCGGGATGCGGAACACCACGGGGTGGGACGAGACGCGAGTCGTCAGTGTTCCGGGGAGGCCAGAGGGGAGAATGTCGCAGGGTATCTCTCTAACATGCTCGGCGCGGTCCAAAGCTTGCACGAGCCCTTCGTTTCGGATAGATATATAAATCTTCTGTAGTAGGTCGTCCGTGACGAGGCGGTGTGGGTCTAGGAGACGGAAAGCGTAGAGGAAGTCTCTTGCGGAGATTTGGCTGCCGCCAGGCGTTGCCGGGCGGTTAGTACCAGAGTTATCAGAGGGGGTTTCGGGTGAAGTGCGCCATCCAGCTGTACGATCGCCAGCACAAGCCTGGCAGAGAGATCTCGATCGAAGGTAACAATGCCTTTATTCGCCTCAAACCAACGTGTCGCAAACGATGTGAGAAGATGCTCTGAAGAACTTGTTTCTGATGGCAATCGCAGGGAAAGGAGGAATGCTCGTAACGCCATGTCAATTCTCATGCCCTTGAATGCGAAACGATCTAGAAATGCTCGAAGAATGGCTTTGTTGGAGCGTCGAGACATGTAAGATCCCATCACTCGTGGATCGAGGTGATCGACTTTATACAGCAGGGTACCAACAATGCTGGGTCTTTGGAGAGTTGCGCCTGCTCTAGACATCGATTGATCGCGTCATCTGGGTTTATTGGGAATTGCTTGGTGAGAGACTCAATTGAGGCCAGTTGCATGAAGTCCCCCAATTTCATTTCCGAGTCTAGTTGGACGGTGAGCTGAGAAAGCTCCAAGATATTGCGTACGACGAGTAAGCGGTCGAGGATGGGGCGATCGGCATCTTCATCACTGAACTTTGCGATAACCAAGAGATCGTTGAACAGAAGTAGCACACGGTTCTTGACCTCATTTGGGCTTACTATCTGTCGCACGATAGCGAAATGAACGAGATGCCTTGGAGGGTCACCGAATGCACTGACGCCACTGGATGAAGTTGGATCATTCAGCAATGAATCCATTCTTCCCAGTACAAAAGGAGCATTCGATGGCCGAGGGGACGGAACAGGTGCACTGGGAGGGGAGGGTTTTGGTGCCTGTGATGAAAGGGGACTGGACTGCTGTGGATGACTCGAGGGTGTGGTGGGGCGGGGGATCGATGTCGAGGAGGTGGTAGACGAATATGAGTGCGTGTGGCCATTTGTATTGATCAGGGGAGTTGTCGGACTTTGAGCGGGGGATTTAAGCGGGGGTACAGAGTGGTTGGACGCAGTGCTGATGGTATATGATGGAGAGCTGGGATCAGTGGTCGGAGTGCCGGCCATCTTCCGTAGGAGCTCCATGGCTTTCCGTCGTGAGCTTGCCCGGGGAGTTGCACTGCTTGTACGGTCAATCTCTCGCTCAGTTCCGGGGTCAGCCCCAACGTTATCCAGGAGGTCAGTCAATGATGGTTTCCGTCTTCCCGCTTGGCGAACTGTGCCTGTGTCAGAAATATGTCCGTTTGAGGCCCCCGAATGTGAGTGCTGTAATTTCCCTTCCTTCTTGCGCTGCGTGAGCCACCGTAAAGCAGCCTCTTTTGTCTGTGGAAGATTTGACTGCTTCGTGGAAGGGGTAGGTGGCATGCTGGAGGAAATGTCGAAGAATCCAGGGGTGATGCGGCCACCCTCATGGTCAGTGTCTTCCACATCCGTGTATGTACCAGTGTTCTCTCCACTTCTTCGGTATCGAGCTATGAGGCGTGAATCCGAAGACTGATGTGCTAGACCAGGCTCAGGGGTATTCACTCGGGTTGCTGGAACTGTCCCAGGAATTAATGTAGGATCGTTGGTGGTATTAGCATTACCTTTGAGGCGACGTTGTTCCTGCTCTAGCTGTATAAGACCTGGAAGGGGTGTTAGCTTGGGATTAGCATACCAAGCCAACCCAGCGGGAGATATTGGCGGAACTGGCGATAGACCTTCTCGAGGGGGAGGAACATTGCCTGTTGTTAATGCTACCCTTGAACCAGCAGCAGTGTGGGCTGGCGGTTGAGGAAGCTGAGAAGCACCATTATCAGTTTTTACGCTGGCCCCACTTTCCCGGCTGGCACCGGTTTCTGTCTTCTCATCCTTCCTGGCTCGCGCGAAACTATTGGAACGGGATCGACGTCCTGTCAAGGCATTGCGCATTCTGTCCCATCTCGATGTTGTCCCTCCGCTTTCTCTTTTTTTGTGGGAAGGTGAGCGTTCGATGCGATGCGACGATTCCCGGTCAGTAAACCCTTCTTTATCAGTGTGGATCTCCTCGAAGTCGGTGTAGGTCTCCGAGACTCCACGCTCGAGCCGCACTGGTGGTGAGACTGGCGCCGGCGGAGCAAGAGATGAGGAAGATGCGAGACTAGTGCGGTTCACGGCGGGGGTGTCTGCTCTCGAGGATGGCTTTTCGCTGGCCGATGCATTCGAAAAAGTGACATCTGATTTGGGTGTTTCAGGTGGAGCAGAAGGAGATGTTTCCCTTGACGGGTTCCCTTCGTCCGCATCGGAGTTAGGAAACGGTATCTGTGATACCGTGAGATCCTCTTGAGATGCTGGTTGCGGAGGTGGAGCGGATTTTGGCCCAAGTTCAGGATCAGGATCATGTGTTATTTCGACTGTATCTGTCTCTTGCGGCAGTATAGATGGAATCTGATCATCGATATCCTCCTCGTCACTAATCAGACGCTGCGTTGGTTGCGAAGTCTGTTGTTTGGTGGCCTCGGAGAGATTCAGATTTATGCCTAAGTAACATATTAGTAGAATATAGCGGTATGAAAAAGCAATATAACCTAGATCATCTCCAACCCAGCTGACGTTTGAATCCAATCTGTTGGGGACTGGCTTGCGATCTCTTGTTTCCTCTGGGTACAAATAGACCACTTTTTCTCCATCTTCGTCTTCATCTCGTAAGCCTTTCTCCTTCTCCCTGACAGGAGTAGTAGCTGGACTGATGGTGACCGGAAAGGTGTCCTGAGGGTAGGGGGATTTCTGACCTTCCCCTGAAGAAAGACAGGGACTCGTTCTGTGTTGCTATGTGTAGAAGTAGAAGAAATAGTGGAGGGGATTTCGGACAGGGGAGGATATCTTGAAGCGGGTTGTGCTCGCGACGAGGAAGAACGCAACCCATTCCCGGCTCTGGGGTTCACAGCGGAGGAGCCATTGAGGGGCGTGTCATCATCATCATCGTCATCATTTTCTTCAATGACCAGGCCCCGGACCGGTAGTCCTCGACTTGGATGCAGGTCATAGGGGTGGATAACCTCACCATTGAGTCTCGTCTCGTGCTGGCGTTCGACACCGGGTGGAGGTAAAAAGGACTGCGACAAGGGAGGTGAGTTCGATGGTGAAGGTGGTTCGCGATCATCGATGACAGCATTTGATATTGTGGGGCTGGGATGCTTGGAAACTTGTTCGGAAGATGAGGAATCCAGCGCTTGAGGGGGATCATCCCCGCCACTCGTCACTTCGCTTTCGCCGGATTCTTTTAGCGGAGTTCGATTCCCTAGACGTTTGAACATGGCATTTCTTGCAGCTGATCGCTCTACTCCCGTAACAGTGTTACTCCTTGAAAGCATATGCTGAAGACCAAGTCCAGGCGATGGCGTATCTTGACCACCAGTTAGTTTGCTCATTGCTGCCGCACGAGCGCTATTTGACCGAATCAAACCGGCCTCAACTCATCGAGGGAGGGAGGGGGTGATGTGGGTGTATGGAGGAAGTGGTGTGGGGATGGTGACGGAAAAAAAGCTCGGTTGTGGAATTGAAGGGTGGTGAAGTGTGATGGGATCGGGGACGCAAGGACAGGAAAAAACGGGACTGGGGGAAGCCGTTCCTCGGGAGATGAGTCGGATGGGCGTAGAAATTCGGAAGTGGACGCCCCTTTGAAATCTTTCGACCCACGGGATCTCGATCTCGATCTCGACCTTGAACGTCCTCGACGTTTATTTTTGAAGGGGTGTCACGACCACTTGGAGGAGGCTCCTCCTCGGTTACAGTGGTATTGCTTGTCGTCGGCAGTTCCTCCGCCGGGGCGGCGATAGGGACGATAGTGGGCGATGCCTCCCATTGGGGTTGCTGTTCCCCGTCGCTTACTGTCTCATCAGATTGAGACACAGGTTGATTGATTGGTGCGGGGTTGTTACTTTTGTCTCCTTCACTAACAGCGTCATCATGCATCGGCGGCCGACGGCCATCCTTCATTCGAGGCAGGCTGGCGGCTCGCTTAAGCTTGGCGACAGCGACAGCACGAACATCAGCAGCACTAGGCTCGGTCATTTGCCGGGGTCCGAAAATCCAGGGTGACGATGATGCTGAGGATGAGTGTTGATAAAGCTATCGGCCTAGAGATGTGTAGCCAAAATTTCAAAGAAGCATTGAGCACACCAGTGCCTTGACCACAGTTCCATCACTCACCAAGGGGGAGAGATGCGTAGTCCTCCAAAAGAGCGGTGCTATAGCCAGTGTATGCGGGGTATGACAAGGCGACTTAACAGACGAAACCTGAGCTCAGAGTAGTGAACTGCGTAAGCCGATTGGAGAGCCCTGGGGCAGACACTAAGTGGGGAAGGGCCAGAGGCCGGTCGACGTGCGCAACAGCGGCCGACGTGCGCCCCAATCAGTGAGAAGGTATCTGTATGTACCTCGTGCGGTACCGTCGCGGGCGTGCAGTAAGTGATGTTTCTCAAGCCTCGTTGCAAGGACCACTGCTCTTTTTGGTATATCCAAACAACCATCAACAAGGCATCTGTTTCCACACAACACTTCCCTGGATAGACAAGCGATCGCCCGATACAACGCCGTCAGGAGAAAAACGAGGGAGCTTTCTGTTGCCAATTCGTTGTTTGGTTTCCTTCAAAGTACAATTGGGAAGGGAATCATCCAGGAAGTTTGTGGGCACATATATCTGGGACTTCTAAACTCAATCGTTGTACCAGTACGAACGAGGCAGGTGCAACGTCCGGTCACATGTCAATTCTGGTAGCAGTACTGGGTGCAGTTTTGCTTTTCATTTCATCGGCAAATGTCTAATAAATTCTGTGACAAAAGTGATAAGCCGCTGAGAGACAGGATACCATATTTGGAATGCCGTTACATAATTACAACACTCTGAAAACCAATGAGTCAGCCAGTTCGGTACACCTGGCACGAGGAAAAGGTTATACCAAGGGCTGGCCAGTATGGATGTCGAAGATCACTGACGTGATGCTTATAGCTAACAGACCACCAGCAGACAACTCCGACCGCTCTGAGGATGGAGATTGACTGGCGCTTGGCTTGACTACTGTTCAATCACTGAATCTATTATTATGCACTTTGGAACCTGAAGATAGTGTATTTGGAGGCCAGGCCTGAGTGTGCTTATGTAAGCATCACAATGTCGACCGCCAGAATCCGAGTTGCCTATTTAGGTGGAGTAAATGTTCGTTCTGCTGAGTCCGGAATCATTCGCCGATTCCGAGGCCAACAAAGGCCAGCTGAATGGCATATCACCTTATCAAAGGTTTCATTGAGCATCTCACAAGAAAAGAGGAGTTTTTTGTGATTATTGTGGGTAAGGTATGATCATCATGTAGCTACGAAACATCCTCAACTCCGCCTCAAGGTCTGGACAATGCTGGAAAGACTGTATGTGCCATAATGTTTCCAAGCCAGAAACCAGAATGACGCGATGAAAGGGAAGACGTTCCTCGAGAAAATCAAGTCTATGTATAACAAAACGCCACCTTTGCCATCAGACAAAATCGCTCCGACGATAGGACAAAACAGGGAGTATGCGTTCGAACCGCCATACATTGCCATCCTGACTTTTTGGTTTAGTTGGGAAAATTGTCCTTCCCTCTAGCATCTTGCAGTTTTGGGATCTCGGCGGCCAACGCGATATACGCAATATCTGGGAGAGATATTATGATGAGTGCCATGCTGTCGTCTACGTAGTCGACGCTTCAGATGTCGAACGAATGTCGGAAGGATGGGAAATTTTCGGTACGTCTGGTTATCGAACCTCGCCCCTCCGTCGTACCGGAACTAAGGATGTGAAGATGCTGTCCTCAACCACCCGCGAATTATGGGGTTGCCCTTGCTTCTTCTTGCTAATAAGCAGGACCTGCCTGACAGCTTCTCCGTTGAGGCCATAAGAGCAAACTATGAAGAATGGTGGCAACTAAGGAACGCGGAGGAAGCTCATCGACTAGGTGGCCGTCAGATAGAACGAAGAATGGCTAGTCTCAACGTCATGGGTGTGTCGGCTATCGAAGGGTATGTAGGCGTGACGGCTTTGGTTCTTCATTGATTGTTCCTATGCAGGACCGGAATCCGGGAAGCTGTAGATTGGTTGTTTCTGAGAGTGCAGAACGCTAGAAGGTGAGTAAATAGTTAGTGGGTGTCCATGGTTTCCCAGCTTACATCTCATTTCAGCGGATGAAAGAAAATCCTCACAACTTTGATTCTGGGGCCAGAACATTGCGCAGGGCCGCGTCCAAAATCTGGATCGGCACCACAAGTGCGTTAGCTCTACTACAATAAATACAACGTTTGTAAATGATAGGGTCTTGTTTAATTTCGACCGGATTGTGTGCATCTGAAAAGCTGGCCCCCCGCTGCCGACAGGGGCGATTCGCCAGATCTGAGATTGATCGCGCATAACCTCGGGCTTTGCATTGGTATCGGTACCGAGCGGATAACAACCATCAACAGCAAGATTAGGTTACATATTTGTTTGGCCACTAATTCTTTGTGTAGCATATGTACCGTCCTCATAGACACGAGGACTTTGACGCGTTTAATGATCGTTATGGGCTCGAAGGTGAGGATAATGACGACGATCAGACGTCGTCAACTGTGGATGTTTCGTCCGTGAGCTCAAGGTGGGAGTGAGTTGCGCAATCATCTCTTTGATCCCGGATATACCCTTTGACTCACACCAGCCGCAAGAGGACCAGCTACAAGACTTGAAACGACAACTGTAAAGGGGAATCCCCCACAACCTCTGCCCCTGGAGAGACTGTCACCCCGCAGGTCTTTACCCCATCTCGGAGCCTTCAAAAAAGGCTCCCATTCGCCAGCATCAGCCAGTACGGAACCAGGAGAAATGAAATCCGGGCTTCCTCTGCATCTACCTCCAGTCCTTTAAAACGAACTGCCCAACAAGCTGGCATCGACGCTGCAAGCAGCGAAGATATTCACTTGGTAGCTAAGGGCTCCGGGAAGCGCCCCAAAGCCGGAGCTTCACAATCAGCCATAGAAACTTCGAAACCTTCTCTCGTTGTGTCCCAATCCCGCTCGAAGTCTGAATCTCGCCTTGCCAAACCAAAGAAACTTACCCCTGCACAATTAACCAAGCAAAAGCTGGCTGAAACTTCGAAATTTACCCAGGAACAGTATATCGAGTACGTTGACGCCAGTGGGCCCGTGCGAGGCGGGAAGCCTTCAAACGCGTTGAAGGGTATGGTGATCCTGTACTTGGCCTTGGCAAATACAAAAGGCTTCGCCACTGAGGAAACCCGCGGTAAAATCGATTTTGTGCGTATTTTGCATTATCTGTACTACACGCTCACCATACCCACATCCCTGGTGCAGATGGTGAAAAACGGTGGGAAGGTCGTACCCGATCTAGGCGACCAAGTCACCCACGTCGTTTCGGAACTTGACGAGAAACTCACAACGCAGCGGCTCGGTTTCAAGGCAGTCAACGATGTACCGAAAAGTTTGCCTATTCTGCACTATAAATGGATTACCAAAGTTGTTAATGTAAGTCGTACCTTTCCGTCCTTGCACAGCTGAACTCGAAGTTGTCATGGTTTGTTCAGACTGGAATTAAATCAGACTTAATCGCAAGCGATAAATTTTATACACGCTTTATATCACGTACTGTTGTAAGGCAACGGTCTGAGACCATGAATGCAAGCAGGCGCAGCAGTATCAGCATAAGGTGCTTTAAATCGTGATGTCTTTCCCAACACTAATCCCCTTTCCCTAGAACTAATCCTGGTTCAGATAGCGATGATTCGCATCATCGACCAGATTCTGATGAAGAGGATGCAACTAGTGACAAAGGCGAGGGACCTTCCGATTCTAAAAAATTGGAACAGCGGGTAGGAAACTTTTCTACCTTGCCTCCACCAATGGCCAACAAGGACCTGGATCACTGGGTCACGTTAGCGAAGGAGTACAGAGATTTAGATGATATGGTATGATAGTTTCCTTTCCTGGTGCTTTGTTCCACTCAAGAATGCATTGCGTTTGATGCAGCTGGAAAACGACTCGGACGAGGATGTGGACACAAGAGGGGACAATTCAGTGGAAGATGATCGTTCGGAGAACCCTCCTGATGTGGCCCCAAGGGACATTAAATATGCATGCGATGACAAAAATGGGAGCAAGGTTAATCTGAATGCTGACATCACTGAACAAGTAAGCGCTCCTTTGTCAGCCAGCACGAGTTAAGAGTCGACCCCATCTCATTCCAGCTTGCGAGATTGGTAAAAATATACGATGCAACAGGGGATCGGTGGAAAGCGATGCAGACAACACGAGGCAAGCGTTGTGCGCCGGTTTGGACACAGGATTTCTGTCTCAAAATGGTTACCGTTTATTATGCAGCAATCGCATCTATTCGAAGACATCCAACTAGGCTCAAGTCAGGAAAGGAAGCACTTAAGTTACGATTTGTCGGGCAAAGGATGGCGGAGAAGATTGACGTGAGTCGAAAACGCCTATGACGAACAGATAACACCGACTGTGAAACATTAGGACGTGATTAAGACCGGAAATATGAGGCGCCTGCAGTATGAGGAGTCCACTGAGTCCGCAATTGTCACGAAACTATTTATGGGTATTTATGGTGTCGGTATGACCACCGCTCGAGATTGGTACAGTCGTGGCATGAGGACCCTTGACGACTTGTCAGGAAGTCATCGTAGAATTGTATTAACACCTGCTCAACAGGTATGTATCATAAAACCCTAGCCCAAATGATATTGACCCGCAATTGTCGTAGATTGGTCTCAAGTACTATACTGGTGCGCGACGAATGTTGCTCGACGTTAGATTTTTTCCGCCAGCTAATCGGAAAATGTCAGATCTCGCTGAAAGAATGCCCAGGAGTGAAGCAAAAGCTATCTTCGATGCGATCAAAGCTATAGGCAAGTATGGGGATTTTCACCGGCCTACCACACTAACTGTAGTCCTAAACAGCAATAGGGATCGACCCATCCCTCGAGCTCACGATTATGGGAAGCTATAGACGGTAGATAGCACTCTAGTATCGCATAGAAACAGATGCGCTGACCGCCCCTGCAGGGGTCAAGAAACCTGCGGTGATATCGACATTCTTTTAACTCGACCAACCATTGATGGACGCAGCCATTCAGGTGAGTTGGTGCATGGGCACTTGTTCTCGCATTCTTATTCCAAGAGATTGTAGGGGTTCTACGGAAACTGTTGCCCAAGCTTCGTGCTGCTGGAGTATTGACAGAGGACCTCAGCTACCCGAGTGATCTAGATGATGAAGAGGCGAAGTACATGGGTTTGTGCCGATTGGGGCATGAAGGGAAAATGAGGCGTATAGGTGCGTTTTTGCTGGTATAAGACTCGTCAAGTTTGGTGTCAGCCCACAGCGCATTCCTAGATATCCTCACCATCCCATACCATCAGCGTGGTGCCGCATTGATATATTTCGTAAGTTCCCCATTCAATTTCATTCACACTGCGACTGGCTAATCCCGAAACAAATCCCAAGACGGGCGATGATGTCGTGAGTTTGTTCTTTTCCATTGAAGTCAATGGCATCATTTGTGTGCGTTAGTTCAATCGGAGCCTACGTCTGAAGGCGCGACATGATGGGTACTCACTCAATCAACGTGGCTTATTCACTGGGGTGACAAGAGACCCAAAAACGAAAGTGAAGCTGAGCAACGGTGAGAATTGCCATTGTGATGATTTGTCATAACATTTATCTACGCTCCTACAGGAATTATAATTGCCTCTGAGACAGAGCGCGAGATATTCAACATTCTCAAGGTACCTTGGCAAGAACCCCATCAACGAAGACGTGCCACATGAGCTACACTAATGTCTCACTTTCGACTGATTGTGATTGCCTGGAACATGATTGCAACCACTTTTTCTATGCAACACCGGTATAGTTTGTACAAGTCGGATGGCATCAGATGCCCTATGACACATATGAAACACGAATTGCTCATGTCTTATCCACGCCTCCTACCAGCTTACCCTGTACCCACACTCTTCTGATATTGCGATCATCCCCGCAAAAGAAGAATCTTTCAAGCATGATCTTAAAGTCCTCTTTCTTTCCCGCCTCGTGCCAAATGGCGGGGTTGGCTTTGCTAGTGGGTTTAGAGAGAGAAATGAAAAGTGCATCAAACTCCTTGCCCACAACAAACGATCCAACGCGATCAGAAAGGTTGCACAGAGACGCCCCGCCGAGCGTAGCAAGATATAAAAGTGTGGGGACTGAAAGCCCCTGTGGGTCCCTAAAGCTCGGTTTCTTGGAGTCAGGATTATCCATCATGGCGCGAACTTTGCTCGCAATGCTGGCATGGCGAATTTCGTTGAGAATGGATGGCGCAAAACCACCTGAGACGTCCGTCCCCAGACCCACCTATGCAAAAGGGAGGGTACGTCGGCTGTTGTGGAAGTATGACGGGAAGCGGGCTAACTTTAATGCCTTTGTCAAGCCACTTCCCTACGCTCGCCACTCCACTTCGTAGGTTGAAGTTGCTTCCCGCACAATGGCTCAATCCTGCTTTACGAGCAACGATTAGATCCAACTCTCCTTCGCTCAAATGGACCCCATGTGCAAGGATAGTTCGATGATCCAGCAAATCGAAATGATCATAGACTGATGTGTAAGTATGTTTGTCTTTGGGGTGCGACGGAGGTAAGCAATCCGACGGGGGATTGAGATGCTCGAACAACTTCAATGTGTCGGAAACTTCGGCAGTATTCTCAGAGAGATGAGTTTGAAGAGGGATGGGGGGCCGTCTTTACGTTGAAGAGACTCGGCGAAGAGCTTCCCCATGGCTGAAAGGAGCTCGTCTGTGCAGCTAATCGCAAATCGGGGCGTGATGATCGGCTGGACTAAGGGAAAATATCCCGGTTTGGCGATTTCCGAGGGAGAATCTAGTTTGGAAATATGTTCTATCAGGTCTCGAGTACCACAAATGGACTTTTCTACGCTCTCTTCGATGTAGTTAGACGGGCTGTTGCGATCCATGTTGCATTTCTGGAACGTCCCAAGTCAAAAGGCTGGATTGAGAAACGGTCCCTCACTCACACCGATAAATGCACGCTGTCCTGAGGGACAGTAAGCATAACAGCATAACATTCGGTGTGTATTGATAAAGTGCATGCCTTTTTGGTGTGCAATGTCTGCCAGTACCTTGGATGACTCAGTGTGCAGAGTAGCATAGTAGCAAGATGTTGTTGTCTAACAAAAGGAAGGTTGGATATAAATCACGGTTACGAGGCGCGACTTACCCCGACGTTCAGAGTACGAGAAATCACGGATTCGTAGGCTACCTTGGCATAATTCACATCTGAAAATCGCGCCTCTGTTGGAAAAGTAATGCACTCTAGCCAATCCAATAACTGATATTCTTGTCCCCTGCATAGATTTAGGCATTATTGATTCAAGGCAGAGTGAAGGTTGGGGATGGCGATCACCTTCCCAAATTCGGGAACTGTGGGGCATGCTGAGGGGAGATAACAAGGTTGGTACGCATGAGTACGACTTGGGGGACGTACTGTATGCGTGTCTATGAAGCCGGGCATGATCCACTCTCCCTCGGAAGTCCGGACAATCTCGACCTCGGATATGTCCCAGCCATGGCTGAGGCTCGATTCGGCAATCGCGCTGGGAGGAACATTTTCTTCTACCCAAACGATTACTCCATCACCGGAAACGGCTACTAATGCATGTTCGAGCACTTGCAATTCCCGCGCTGACAATGAATGGATGAATACGCCATAGTAAATCGTTGGGATCAACTAGATATTTTCGGTTCATCAACGAGGAGCTCGACGACGTGGACTGCCACATTCTGACCTTTCCGGCCATATACTTCGGTGACAAGAGTATCGAATCTGGCTGAGCGGCAGCTCAATCCATTTGGGCAACAGGACTGCCTTATCTGGTCAGCTGTTACGGCAACTTCCATCGGATCCCCTCTTTTCCTCTCACCACAACCACCACCAGTTGCGATCGTCCCAACGTTCGTTGTGACAGGCCGGCCACACCTGACGACTAAGGGTGTTGCGTCTTGCGGGCCTGTTTTAGATCTCCGCCTTGGGCGTCTCTGTGTGCGAAGTTGAACTTCCCTCTTTGTCTCCATCGGAAATGGCGTATACCACGGGAACACTGGCTATCAATGTTTGATGGGATGTCATTCGTTGGGCAGTGTGATACTCAGGGTTATACTATACTCACTGGTATTTCACAAGGTGTAGATTTTTGTATCGCAATCAATCACCACTTACCTTCCACTGCATCACCCCTTTGTTTCAGGCCGTCTCTCTCAGCACTCTTTAATGCAGCTGCGTGTTCCACAAAACACGTGCACTTCACTCGCATCTTGAACGTGACAGCGAACCCTTGTTTTAAGTTGCACGTTTGTCACGTCATGCCTCGCTTCTCCATTTCACTCTAATCATCCCTGACCTGTCCCCGAGTGACCCGGCGCCTATTCTGAGCTATGTAAGGTCAGAATTCCGGCGCCTCTAATTTTACCCCTTGCCATACCGTTCTAGTAACAAGAACGTACTCATGTGTGCATTGTGACCTCTGGTTGCAACACAACGAATCACATAAGGAGGCACGCAGTCACGCTTGACATCATGGCGGATTTTCCTGGAGTCCCGCAGTTAGGTACTCCTCAATGGGCTACCGATACGCTCGTTTTGGCGGTAGGACCTGTTGTAAGCTTCGTCAAACTCCCTTTTTCTTGTTAGATATCACGGTTTTGCTTTTCTGGGACGTTCTTCATCGGTGATACCCGTCCCGTTAGGGTACTTGAGGTTTTTCGCGAGGGGGTTAATCGCTGTAAGGATTGTATCGTGGCCCAGCTCGAGCCATTTCGTACTTTCTTATCTAAAGGTCCCAGGATCACCGCCTGTCATTGGTTGCTTCTAGTGACAACATGATCTACCATCCTGGAACCAATATTCTGGCATCCCGAAGATCACTATTTCACCAATATCTATCCTTGTGCATTCCATATGCATTGATGACACTGCTGAGCTGTTTTCACCCCGCGCCCGTTCACCTGTTTAACTCTCTAACTGTCCTCGGTTTTGTGTGTTTAGGAGGTTGTTTTGAGTTTGGAGCCTAGCTCTGCATGTCCTTCCTCCTTCCCTGTACTTTGTATATACGTCTATCCTTTTCTCAATCAATTTCTGCTTCATTACCTCCTTTCAGTTTTTGTTACCGGAGCCAGACCTCGTCTAAGACTTCGTTTTAACGGTCGCGCATAATGACCACTAGCTCCCAGTGGACCTAATGGGCCGCACGCGGGAGCAAATCGCTCATTTGCGTGCCAGCTGCAAGCTGATTGCACCTCCTGACTTTCAACTTCTCAAAGCTTGCTGTCACTCCGGTCCAATATGCCCTCTACTGAGGCTGACGCAAATAAAGTACGCTGGTGGTCGTTCTATCGCATGGAATCACACGTTTTGAGCGTATCTTGGTTTACAACAGCAAGCGCTGCTTGACACTCTCCGCGCGAAAAAACCGCTCGGCACAGCTGCCTCCACTAACGCGAAACAGGAAGCACACACAAATCCCCCTTCTCGAGCGAGAGATGCCACCGGACTGCTGATATCGAGGCACTTTGCCGGGCCAAGCAGCGCTTTTCACACAAACAGGCCCTCAGGGAAAGTGTTGGTGCCGAATTCAAGTCCTATTGCACCAAGCACTCGACCTTCGAGTGAATATGTTCCTAAGATGGGCCACCATGGTGGTTCTCCTGGGCCATCCGCGTCGACTACGTCGCTTGTCTTTCGGGGGAAGCTGATGCAGCAAGAGATTCGGTCACTTGGACGAAAACCGGCGCTTGTACCTCCCTCCGCCACCGCGTCTTCATCGCGTTCCAGCTCAGTGAGGCGAAGAGATGATGAAGATACCAGTGATTCGGAAGCTCGTCCACGTAAAAGGGCAAATAACACGAGTTCTTCGTCGCCAGTTGATTTCGATCCCCTTTCATCACCGATCCATGGCCCAGGTGTAGGCGCCGTTAAGTTTGGCGTCAAGGAAATGCAAATCGACAGTTCTCCTCTGCAGCCCAACGGCCGATCTAGCCCTGGTAAGCCGCGCAGAAGGCTTGTAAGAGGCAGGCGTATTTCGTCAGACGATGAAGAATCCACGCCGTCGCCTCTCATTTCACCTAAAGTCGAGAACCAGGAAATCAAGAGGACTGAAGCAAAACCCCCAATCCCCCCGCGCACTGGCCCAATTACCGTCGTCCGCGTAACTGAAGTTCCCGTTCGCATCGATAAAGTGAAGGAACAGACTGTTCCATTCACTCGTCCCACAAGTCTGCCCACAACCACAATTAAATCCCACACAAAACCAACATCACCCACCAAACCCCAACTTAAACCTAAACCTAAACTAGTAGACATAGATAGTGGCAGCGACCTTTCCTCGTTCGACGACGACGACGAGTCGCTGGATGAAGCTGATCTTCAAAGGATCGAGCTTGCTCTAGTTTACTTCAACGAAGCCAGCGCCGAGAAATTGATTGAAATAAACGGTGAATACTTTTACTTCTCTTCATGCTTGCTACTGACTCCGCGAACACTCCAGCGTGCACACAAGCGCAGGCGCAGGCTATAATATCTGCTCGGCCATTCGAAGATGAAGACCAACTTCGCAGTAAGTTGAATAGAAAGAAGGGCGTCAGTCCTCGTTTCTTTGATGATTACGTGGCAATGCTTCGCGGGTATGACAGCGTCGACGTGATCGTGGAGAGATGCGAGTTGGTAGCCAAGCAAATTTCTGACATCCTCGCCGTCTGGGCGTCCGCTTCATCGGATAGCCCCGCCGAAGCGCCTTCCACGTCTACGGCGATGAACTCGGCGCCTGGGACAGGGATTGTTTCGTTAGCACCAGAGCGTCTTGAATTTTCCGCAAACGAAGTGACGGACACGCAAAGGACTGTCCGTGCGGATGCCTCAAGAACTACATCGCCGTTCAGCCGGAGTCATTAGGTGACGTCAAACTCAAGGACTATCAGCTTCTTGGAGTCAACTGGCTCAATTTGCTGCATCGGAGAAAGCTGAGCTGTATCCTTGCTGACGAAATGGGTGAGGATTGAAATGGGACTTGTCAATCCTTAGCATTATGCTTACCATCTCCGCGAAGGGCTTGGAAAAACGGCTCAGGTAATCTCCTTTTTTGCCCATCTCAGCGAACAGTGTAACAAAGGGCCGCATTTGGTGATAGTCCCGTAAGTGGTTGAGCACGCGGTTTTTATACATTTGTTGACCCCTCCCTTAGGAGTTCCACGCTCGGTAAGATGTCCCGTTTCTGGTGACCTTCCTATACTGATCCCCCGGAAAGAGAACTGGGGTCGTGAGTTTGCGAAGTTTGCACCATCGCTTGAGGTGCGGACGTACTATGGCATGCAGAATGACCGAGCCTACCAGCGAGCAGAGCTTATAGCTGATAGCGGGGAATGGAATGTATGCATCACGACATACAATATCGCACAGGGGAACGACGTCGACCGTAAATTCTTGAAACGCATAGAATGGGAGGTGAGACAGCTTGTTCATATTTTGAAGACGCCGTCTCACATGGCGATCTACGCTCAGTGTTGTGTGTTCGATGAGGGACATCAGCTTAAGAATTTTGAGTCTCAGCGTTACCAGCAGCTTCTCAAGATACCTTCGAAATGGCGGTTATTGTTAACAGGCACTCCCTTACAGGTGAAATTTGTTGTCTCTAGCTTGTGCACAATATTTTTTCTTATGCAATCCTTACGATATCAGAACAATCTTCAAGAACTCGTGTCGTTAATGAATTTTCTCCTGCCTGATTACTTTAGAGATGCGCTGGATTCACTACGTGCCATCTTCAAAGTCCGGCAGTCATCTCACACCAGCTTGCTATCCGAGGACCGTGTGCGTCGGGCCAGCAAGATCCTCACACCCTTCATCCTACGCCGACGAAAGGATCAAGTGCTCCAGGATCTGCCGAACAAAACCGAGCGCATTGAGTGGTGTCAGATGACGAACCTTCAGCAGGAAATATACAATGAGGCCCTGCAGCGGTCCCGGAAAATGCTGGAAGAGCTACCAGAAGATGAAAAGGCTCTTTTGGCGGTGGTAGACCTTGATGATGCCGACAATGAGGAGAACGCGAAGAAGACAAAGGCCAAGTCGAAAAAGAAGTCCACTGCCAACTCCAGCGCTCACGTTCTTATGGATTTACGTAAAGCCGCATGTCATCCAATGCTGTTCCGTCGGCGCTTCAACGATAAGACTCTGGCACGTATGGCTAAACAGTGCCTTGCGGAACCTGAATTTCACGACAGCGAATATGCGTTTGTCTTGGAAGATATGCAAGTAAGTTTTTCCCAAACCGAATAACTACGACACGGAGCAAAGCTGACTGCGTTGTTTACCCAGGTCATGACTGACGCGGAGCTGCAGCATTTCTGCAAGACATACAAGGCACGTAGCGTTCTGCGGGCAACGAGCCGTCCTGCTGATACATCTCTCAGTCCGTTCGCAGTAACGCTCTCGCCAATGACGTTTTCCTAGAAGCAGGAAAGATATCCCGTTTGTTACCGCTCTTGGACAAGTACAAGTCGGAAGGAAAGCGAGTTCTTATCTTCTCCCAAGTACGTCCTGCTGCAGTCTTGTGTGTATCGCCCCCGTTGACCATGCCATACTAGTTCACACAAGTACTCGATATACTGCAAGCTATCTTTAAACACAGGGATATCAAATACCTAATCCTTACTGGTCGAACACCCGTCGCCGAACGTCAAGGTCTCGTTGATACGTTCACCGAAGATGAATCCATTCCTGTGTTCCTTCTATCGACCAAAGCTGGTGGAATGGGAATCAACCTTACGGCTGCTTGCGTCGTTATCATCTTCGATCAAGACTTCAATCCGCACAATGACAAGCAGGCATGTGATCGTGCATATCGGATCGGACAAAAGAGAGATGTAGAAGTGGTCAAGCTGATCACTCGAAACACCATCGAGGTATGCCGCTAGAACTTCTGACGCATCATTGTTTATCGACGTTGTGGTTTGGTGACCAGGAAAACATGCTTCAACTTGGAAAAGTTAAACTTGACTTAGACGATGCCGTCGCTGCCGGAGAGGATGAAAGCGGCGGGTCGGAGAAAGCTATGAAGGCATCGTTATTGAGCATTCTCCGCAGACAGTTCAGTGAACAGGAGAAGGAAGCTCTTCCAGCTGATTCACCAATGCAAGTAGATCTTTGATTGACATCTCCTTCCTCCTTTCGGACTGCGCTACACAAAACATCGATAGAGATACATAAATAAACAGGACATTTGTATTACGCCTCATTGCATTGCCATATAGCCCTGAATAATTATTTAGACGTTGGACGTCGACACCTCCTGTTTTAACTTCGCCTTCGCCTTTTCCTCCTTCCCCCGCTGCTTGGCCCTGCCTTTGCCCTCCGATGTCTCAATCTGATGAAGTAATTTTGCGGCTTTAACTGCTCTCCACGTCCGAGCCATCTTAGCCATGTCCTTCAACCTTTTCCGTTGCCTTCTCCGACTGAGGTGATCGATCATTGGCTTCAACCACCGGCGTACTAAAGGTTGGGGACGTTCACTGAACCCGCGGAGTGCTTTTCCTGCCAGTTTACGAGCATTCGTCTTGGGGATGGCATCAGGTTTGGGCTTCCGAGTGTTCTTGTTGGCCGTGGCGGTACTCATGGTTGTAGCGTCAGGGGTGGTCGTAGAAGACTGAAAAGCTTCGTTAATAACAGTAGTTGGCCCCCTAGATTTCCTCGAAGCTTTCTTCTCCTTAGGCGGTGTTCTCCTCCAAAACCACTCTGATATATAAACTTTATTATCAGGTCCACTTCCTAGGATTTGTCGTTGATTGGAGGACATGGTGCTTTTTTCTTCAGGCGTTGCTTCGCGACGGATGTGGATTTTTTCCCATTTTCTGCTTTGGATGAGATGTTGGAGAGCATGCCGTTTGAGTTGACTTTGAGGCGTGTGAGTTAGATAGCGTCAGAACACAATTTCTTGATGAAACAAGGTACGTCATAACGCACGACATATTAGGCAAAGGGGTAGGTGAGGTGATTATTGGCGCCTTAGTAACCTTGGATGAAGGAGGCGGGGCAGGAGATGAAATTTGGAAGTTCGGCTTTTTAGTCATGAGGGCATGTTGTTCTTGGACTTTACGAAGAATGTCCTTATTAGATATGGGCCCATGTCTAGCGATAACTTGTTTTGCTAAGCCTCTAATGTAGACTGGGAAGCCGGGCAGTGACATAGCTGCCCAGCGCTTGGCAGCAAAATTGACAGGTGACCGTGGGAAGTCATGTGTATAATCGCAAACCGGTACAGGGAACAGCCTCCGGTTGTGGCTGTTAGTGTTACTCCTTTCCACACGACCATAACAACAAAATGCCCCACGCACCTTACGATCAGTGGAAATTGGTCGACGATCAATTCATTGAAAGTCAAGAAGCCACAACCAAGCTTAGAGAATGGGTTACAGCATACGTTGGTGAGCTATCCACCGAGAAGAAGTTTAGAAGTGAGACTGTAGCTTGGGTACTCCGCTCTTTGGACACTCGTGAGTTTTAAAAGGGTTATTTTATTTCTGTATGGTCACCCCAACTGTTCCCTCGCCGTGCTCTGTATTAGCATCCTTGTTTCGATTGTACAAGGTAAGGAGTTCCCTTGAAGGACTTTTGCCCACAGGTGCTCGTCAGACACTGCCTCTTCTCACGTACCATATGTGTATTCCGTCCAGCGCAAAAAATTCTCGATACCTCTCACTCAAGAAGCACTCAAGCAAAATATACTCTGGCGAATCGAGACATTTCCTTCACTCCCGACTCTATGTGCAAGTTCTGTGATGAGATTCGTGCCTCCATCATCAAGTTCATCGAGTACAGATCGTTTCGGACGACCAATACTAGTCGTACGGGCCAGATATCTCTCAGGACAGACTGTGGAAGGACTAAAAAACCAAGTTCTTTCAATGTACGAACTTGCTAGGTTACACATTGCCGATTTGTTTCATCAAAGCGGTGTGACGGGAGGGAAGAGGGTTTTACAATTTGTGGTGATTATTGATTTGCAGAGTTTGGCTATTCGAGATGTGGTATGCTATTCGTAATCCTTCGCGTGGGTTTTTGGAACATCACTCAGGTGTATGGTTTCCAGCCTATGGACATGGTGACCTGGTTTCGCAGCGTCCCTAATGTTCATTATCCTGGGATGTGCGCTGGATGTTATGTTCTTAATTTCTCATGGGCGTTCAATGGAACGTGGTCCATCCTCAAGTTTGTATATCCATCCCTTCGCGCGATCCTACTCGGCTGACCACTCTATTTCTAATTCAATACACAACCAAATCATCCCAGACGAGTACTCCCCGAACGAGCAATAGCACGTGTATTCTTCCCGAAGCAATCAGAACTTTTAAAGTCCCTCCCAGGGTCGTCCCTACCCCAAGGTGCGTTTTGATCACCCCAATTGTTTCTGACCTGGAGGGCTGATCAATACTGTTTTATAACATATTACCTGCGTAGAATACGGGGGAGAATTACCTGCTCTCGATGAGGAACGCGACGTCCTTATGGGGAGCTACGTTTCAGAGTTGCCAACCTCCTCGGATGATTCCTCGTCGGAGGACGATTCGTCACTAGCTTCATCTAGTACAGCAGTGACATCTACGTCATACACGAGAGCAACCAAGAAGCGCGTTGATCTGGCACCCTCTCCCACCTTGCCATCATCAGCAGCTACACCATCAGACTTTCCATCTTCAGTTTTGCCTCCACCAATACCTATCCCATCCCGTTCACCCTACAACTCATTCTTCGGCTACCCGGTCCATTTCACCTCATCTTCTACCAACTCGATACCTCGTTTATCGTACGGCCGACGTCGGAAGCGTGACTTGGCACGAACGCTCCTCATACTCTACTTCCGCCGGATTTCATTAATCCTTCAACGAACGCTTCACTTTCTCGTGCCGCTTTCGAAACGAAGTGCGACTAACGCACCAAATTATTATTATTATTACGATCATACTGCCACCAACTATAATAATAACGATGGAGAAATTAAAAAATCATCCAAAACCGTGGGAGGTATCCGACTTAGTCTGTGGTTCTGGGGGAGTCTCATTGCATGGTTAGCGGGGAGTATTGGGAAAATCGTTTGGATGCTGAGAATAGGTCGAGGTACTAGCATTGGACAGGCTTTCATTACGGCATTGAAGGATGTTGTTCCCAGTTTGATTTCGGTGATAGAAGGAATCGCAGTGCAGATGCCGAGCGGGACTAAGACGATGGTTGGGTCGGGCACATCTCTTATCTCGTTCTAGTACTTTGTCGTCCTAGTGGCCAAAATACCACGCTGTTCCGGGAATAATGGTTTGCAAAATCGTAGTTTTGCGATGACCAGTCTAGCGCTGCATGGACTACTTGGAATGTGATATTTGTGGCCAGGCGTCGGACCCGTTCTGGCGCCACTGTTTTGGCGGCCTCCGCGGTCGTGGTTCTACATACTGCATAAGATCGAGGCACGCCGGAGGGCGACACACCTGCAAGGTGCGGTTGATGCACCTACCGATATGCCTTAAAATCGGAAAAAAGAAAAGGTATGCTAAATAGGCACAAAAGACAAGACAGCAATGACAGGCCGAAGCCCACATCAATTATCGACGTCTCACAACATAACGCAAGGTCGGGCATCATAGCACCAGTCAACCACTACTGTCACTTAACAGTCTTAGCTTCAGTGCGAAGTGACATGACATGGGAAGCTGTGCTCCAAAGGTCCTCGATTTGGCAGCTTGATTGAACTCCCCAACGTCCCACGGTATCGTTCTCCTAAGTATTTCCCAAATCCTACATGCCAGAACTGATGCTCGCTAATTTGCTTCATCGCATGTCCAAAGATGCGAACACATTGCAGGGATATGCTCTCGATTACGAACCCAGTGTTGCACCTGTCTATCTCGCATACGATGCTGCAGCCCGCAGCTCGCGCCGAAAAACAATCGAGGATGCCCTGGAACGCATGGATACGGATTATGAATCCATTTATGCCCTCGCTCAACAGATCGGCACCATTGAGCGTTCTCTACGACGACGACGGGCCATATTTCGGAATTTTCTCCAACCCGTAGCCGCTCTTCCAATGGAAGTTTTGCAACAGATTTTTCTGTATGCCATTCAGCCAGGGGAGTATTTAGGACATATCAATCATGAATATCTTCCCTCCTCCATTACCCTCAGCCAAGTCTGTTCAGCATGGAGACAGGCAGCTCAATCATACCCCCTAATATGGACCGTGGTGCGACTGGAGCCATGTAGTCATGCTTCCTACGCGCCATACGCTCGCTATTCTAAAGGCCTCCCTCTAGAAGTTCATGGGCGAAAACTCGTCAATGTGAATATCACCGGGCTGGAAAGCGCCGACACTCAGAGCCGGATAACCACACTGTATTTGCCAGGGGACCTCGAAGATCATTTGAAAGCATCCTCATCCGACGGGGCCACCTTCTGGGAAGAAAGAGGAGTGCTGGATTGGAGGTCTATAGAACGGCTGACCCTGCTGGCACCTGGTAGTGTGAGACGCCCCAAGGTTTTTACCGCAGGTCTGACATGTCTTGAGTCACTTCGTCACCTGTGCCTTGAAGGTCTCTTCGTCCCATTGTCTCCTGCTCAGCTAGCAAAACTTGTAACTCTTGGCCTCGCGTTTATTAATGCTGAGGGCTTTGAGTTTTCTAAGTTTATCAATGCCTGTGACAATCTGGAGGAATTGACCTTGAAATTTGTGCACATCAGTTGGAACGAGGATCACATTATCAATGTCCCACAGCAGGGGTCAATTCCATCTCTCCGTACCCTTGTTGTCAACTCGTTAAACTTTTCCGTGGCAGCATTTCTTGCTCGCTACGGGATGCCTCGTCTCCAATGCATCACGTTGGATCTGTGGGATATGGATGACTACATGAATGACCTGGATCTCGTTGATGACACTCCTGACGATTATTTTTCCCTGCGTCGGCCGCCTGTGCGCCTACACGCGGTCCAGCATTTTGTGAGTAAACGCTTCGATGAATTCTTTTCTACTTCAATACCGATCTCTCGCGTCTGCCATAGGTGATGAACACACCAACGATTAAATCTGTTACCTTAAGGGGCGGGATGAAAACCATATCCTATGTCCTAAAGACATTATGGCCTCATTCATCACATCTGGAGCACGACAATTTCCCTGGCCTCACGGACCTTGATATTTTTATTTGGAGAGCTTTTGAACGGGACCCTCACGACATAATTGACCTTCGACTCCTGATCAGAGCTCATCTAGCAGATCGTCAGGCAGAGTCAAGGCCGCTTCAAAGATTGACAGCACCACGCTTCATATTTGAAGATGATGATGTGGATTGGTTACGGGGTGGGGTACAAGAATTAGAACTAACCGATTAACAACGATGCCTTGATTTGAACAGTATATACAATAAACTAATCGCATGAACGTACTACATAGTTCGAATAAACCCCTCGCTGTCATGTCCAGCGAGTTCCCTTCGAGGTACTCGCATCACGCAACACAACTCTGGCCCTCGTGCCCGTGCTGTCTTGTTGGTCTACAGCAAGTAACGTATCATAATATACTGAACCATCCATGCAGTACATCTAGGGATGCAGTGGTTAGGCTTGACCGGTCCCTTGATATGTTGATTGTTGGTGAGTTGCGCATGAAAATTGCGGTGTTGGCGCTAAGGATTTGAATAACGTAAATGAATCAAGGTGCACGAACACCCTCAATCTGTTCCTCATTGGGTTTCCTTAACACTGAACGAGAGCTTGACGATTGAGCTGCGTTCGAAACCAATCAAGACACGGAAGTTCGTCTGGTTTTGACCAGTACTGTTTACACAAGCAAAAATTGGTTCGGACTTGCAGCGAGCTAGATACGTAGCAGTGGGGGCGCAACGATCCAAATTCGTTTAACGGACGCAAAACAGCATGGAATGACAGCGACAACATGAAACCAACCCAACCCAAATCCATAGATGGCCTAATGTACACGTATAATGAGGATCCACGTAAGATGCTGAAGTACCATATAAAATGGTAGTGCCAATAGTCTAAAAAAGCTATAGACGACCCATGGTAGTACTGTAATGTATGTATAATTCGACATCTTGTATCCATCGCCGATTGGATCTTGCGCCTCTACTTGTTGCAAACACCAGGGGGAATGTCGAAATCCTTGAAAGGAAGGATTTTGAGCGATCATTAATGAGCTAAATTTCGCGAACTCACATCAGTGCGGACACCTCCACCCCAGGAATGGAGCCAATAATGGTTGCATCAGGACTCTATGGTAGACCAGACTCAGTATACGGATATGTCTCAAAGGCTTCTTGGTGGCGTTGGCCCTGTGCTCCTTCTTGTGATAGAAATCTCCCTTTGGGATGTCGCCATTTTCATCGGGCTGGGGTGGGAAGAGTGTGTCCGCAAATCCGTGCTTCTTAGTGAATTCCTGCTCGATAACCCAGAGGATCTCTGCCCAAACTTCGCCAATGGCATGAACGCCCCAGTATTGTCCAACGTCTTGTAAGTAGAGGGATTGATGCTCATATCCTAAAAAAAATCATCAGCATAAATAAACACGCAAATATGATCATTTTTACTTACAGTTGAAGAATAGTTCCGAATGCCCCGCTCCTGATTTTGCAGCCCAAGCACCCATAGGATAATCCCTGTAAGCGCTAGTACTGCGGACCGTAGTGACGATGAAGTCTGGCATAAGAAAGTTGAAGTCACTGGGCCTTTTGAGCACAGCAAACCTGTGAGTCAGTTGTAGCCCCTCGTCTATACATGTTATGCCAATAGTTCTGTCCACGACTTTGAGGCATATTTATGAACTAAAACCATATGCTTTGAATGTCATGCGTTCGATACTCCTTGTTTCGTACGCTACAGGATGTCTGGTTTTGTTGACCGTCGCCAACGCACTTCTTTGCGGTTATCTTATTCTTCTGAGATTTCTGCAAGCACTTGACAAATGCTCGATGGTCTTATTCGATACTCCATGGTGATTTGGAGGCGTCTTTCCAGGTGAATGAATACCTGGCGCGACCGCCATCAAGAATCACCCATGGCCCATAGGGGTTCCCAATCATGGACTGCTTGGAATCCCTTGACTACTCTTCAATCCCATTCGTCAGGACAGTGTTGCGGTCACTCGAAGATAAACCCAATACGTTGGAGTGCCCTATATGTTGCGAAGAAATGGACACAGAGCGGGCCCATGCTCAAAATGAACCGACCTGCCACGCTTGCCTTATGATACGGTTATAGATACTCCGGAAACGTCGGGCTAACCCGAGTCCTTACACCGATGTGTCGTAGTCCTAGCATACTCAACTACGTCAACGCTGTTCGCCGTATGTAAAAGTAAATATAATGAGTTAGAATTGATGAAAGCTTTTTTTATGTGACAGTAAAATGCAGCGAAAGTCTCGGCAAGGTGCAAGATGCAGAAGGCAGAATCCAGTGTGGTTAACGCATAAGCCCGAAGACGAGGTCCAAGACTGAGAGAACCATCAAAGAGAGTAAGTTTAAGTGCATGGTGCATCAGCAGTGCTTATGTGTCAGTGTGGAACTGCGCCCAGACAAGAAGCGTTCATATGATGAAATGTCGACGCGAGTTTGGAGGAAATTAATCTGTTCGGTGAGTGTTGAGATCTCGGATGCGATAGTAATACCTCCTGGAAAACCTTCTCTCTGAGTAATATAAGTTTACAGATAGCCGGTGCTTCTAGTGGGTATTACTTGCAAGAATTGTGCAATAAGAACGGTAACCAAGACTCAACAGCCTGATAAAGTGGATCGTCATAGTCAAGAAGGGAAGAGCCATACGCAGCCCGGAAAAACGACTACAGGGATGCATGCAGCCCAGCAAGGCACAAGGGATGGCTGCACCAGTGTATGGGGAAGGACAAAATCTGAAAGCGGCGTTCGCCGAGGGCTGGCATTCAGAATGCCGCGCGGGTAGTAACTGTTCTGTCATGCTCTATCTGTAGAGGTTGCTTCAGCCTACTATTATCTCTGCGGACTTTAAAATTCCGTCAATTAGAACGATGAGAGAAAGCTCGCTTCACATCCAAAATGTTGCCAATGACTTATCTGTTTGTTTGAAGTGGTGCGGCAATCCGGCCTAGACTAAACGCAACACTGCATTCCGAACGGACCAATCGCAGCGCCTCATACTGTATGCGCCATGGAATCCTGGAAACTTTGATGTCCTGGCTGTATTGGCTGAGTCTTCCTACTCCGGCTCGGATCATCGAGCGGATTTGTCGGATTAGCCTGATTGTTCAATAGCGCTCAGTGCCTTTCTCAGCTACACCTCTCTCGAGTAATTCCCATACACCCTTTCTTTCCAGCATATTAGACGTCTGTACCGATCTCTGTCGCCCATTGTAGTATCAAGTCCAGACTCCAATGTTATCACCGTACTGTTGGGCCACATCACCTACTCACTGTAATTGAAATCAGAGCCACATTGCGCACCTTCGGCCCAGGATGGATTTCTATCTAACGCCGTTGGCGCCTGAATCCTGTCAACAAACTGAGAGTTAGCAGCGTCTTCCTGTGGGTCGCGCCTCGAAGTAGGCATTGCGTCTACTTACCTCTTTAGCTGACGATGTGCAAAATGTACAGTGACGCGAACCTTGATTTCTTCGGGCATACCAGTGCGAAACGATACACGCTGAAATACGTTGTGCGTTAGCATGCACGAAATCTTGGCTAAAGAGGTCGAGACTCGACAGTATCAATCCAAATACTAAACGATAGAGGAAATACATACCTCGTAAATGTTTTCGTCGCTCCTGCTAATATCTTCTATCCAACATCACACCTTTGGGTTCATGAATGCCGCTCGCTTTGACTGTACATGGGAGACCTACAAGCCAGATATCGCGTGCGCGCTCCTCTGCTGCTGATCTGACATATAGTACCGCAGCGTCACTGGTGTAGGTGGAAAATCAATCGAGTGAAGACATTTTGACGAGGTGAATAGTGCTTGTTCTCGCGCGCCCATTTACTTCGTGGACTTGGAATGCCCAGTCCTGATCTTTTGGATGTCCAAAGTGGCAGAAACAACCCATTCCGGGGTTCGTGATAAATTCATTCAAGCGGCATGCCACACGCCACACGCCGCACGCCACACGCCAGCCCAGGATTGGCGCCAACTGGTGTGGCAGAAGAGAAATTGCGTGATGAGATTCGAAGGATGCTTGACCGGGGTCGCTTCAGCACATAGCATTTGCATCCGAGGCAACACTTTGCTCACCGTGTTCGCCTTGAGGACCCCTTGTTGCTGACTTCCCTTCCCCTACAATATTCCTCTCGATGACGATGGCGGCAGGCTAGTGAGTCACACGGGTTCAAATACGATGATCAACCGTGTCTGACGTGTGGACATTAGCATCGCTCTTTGCATTGTGGGGCTCACTATCCTCACTTGTATTTCCGGTGCCCCAGTGGCACTTCTGTGGACCATAATATTCTCACCAAATCACCGTCCCGCTCTGCGGGGTTTCGTCATTTTTGCTATTTTACTCATGCCACTGCATGTGGTACAAATTGGTAAGTTCCATGACCAGGATCACATCAATTGATATACATTCATTCCCACATAGTTAGTGGGGAGCTTCTCATAACCAAACATCTCTGGACCTGTCAGTATGCTGTTGTACCAGAATATTGAGGCTTCGGTCATTACCTCGACCTATGTTCCAGACAATTCGGTTGACGAAATGGCTGCAAAGATACTCCGAAGCTGCATTCTTTTAGCCTCTGCTCCAACAATCAGCGGATTTCACTGTGAGTAGTATAATTCTGACCATTGACTATGTTCCCACTCTGATTGTGTTTTCCCTCAGTATTCCTAAGCTTCAGGCAAGGTCTTCGCCATTTCATCATCCACTCTAGAGTCTAATGCTGTAGACGGCCAGAGCCTTACGGTCAATCTGTGAATGCGTGAGCTGCCGCCGAATCACACGCCCAACTGTCTTATTTTGTTTGGTGGTCACAATTTTTCTCTGTGGAGCTGAGTCCGGTGGGCGCTATTGTCTCACACGTTTCCTTTGCTTAACACTTTCAACAGCACTGTCTATTTATGGAGTAATTTTAGCGGACCAAGGGCCGTAAGTTTTTTTTTGCTTTGCTCATCGTGATGATCTCATACTACAGTTCCGCCCCCCCGCCGTCAGTTCACACAATCAACGACGGAATCGTATAATGGCGATAGCCATGTTCACAGACACCCTCTGCCTGCTCATTAGTTTCGCCACCACTCTCTTCCTCCTCTGGCATGTAGAACAACGGCGAATTATTAGCAGAGGGCTGCGACAACCATCTTCTGATGATTGTTGAAGCAAACATTATTCAAATGGAGGCAGCGTTGTGTACGTAAAGACCTATACTTGTCACTTTCCAAACGCCACACTGTATTAAATAACTCTCAAGATTCTTGCTTTCCTCCTCGTTCTCCCGGTACAACTCTCAAGAGGATTTCTCCTCCTCTTTTGGGTGAGACATCATCTGACAAGAGCTCGCGGACCAGCTTATTTCGATCCTTCACCACAGCCCAATCCACTTGTCATGGATTTGATGTCGGCTTTGTCAGGACCGGTTAGTGTTCCTTTATGTTCGACATTAATACACGCGGAAACATGCGGAAATCTGATGTTGCCTGTGCAGGTACATTATCTATCACTTCTAATATTGGTCCTCCGCATTACACCACGGGGCAGTCCCGACGAGGGCGTAGCCCTTAGTCCTATATCTCCACCGAGTGGGGATGTGGATGCTCCCGGTGATGGTTCTCCCGTTCATGGCGGGTCCAACGTACGTTTTCTACTTGATGACTGCCACTGAAGGGCTAACGACTGACTCGGACGTCCAGAATGGGGAGATTCTTTTATCAGGGTCTCCACCTGAAAATCGGTTCGGTAAGCGTAGAGCACAATACCCAGCGCTCCCCATCGTCTCATCACCCCGTTCATCTTACCGCCAGACTTCCGAACCAACAAGTAACCAAGAGCAGGCAAGAACACCAGCGCGTGTGCAGCCGGTGATAACTCGAACCGGCTCGAGTCCCAATTGGCACGGAGTAGAGCAGCGGACTAATGAGCCACTCCAAGTCCAGGGGGTATAGCGCGCTGCAGTTTTCCTGCATATTTATACTGTGAAAGGGGCATTATCTATGATCCTCATAAACTTGCGCCGTTTTCGCGTCATCCATTTGTTTATCCCATGAAACTAATATTTACTTCTCATTCGTTTGATCCCTGTTGTTATTCACTGCTGAGCATCCCTAGGATGAGGTGTGGAACCTACCTGATCGATGAAACCGGACCCGCGCACTGCGCACCCGTGGATTCTTCTACTGATCCCCTAAGAGTCGCTGGCGTTCTTGCAAGTACGGCCCGCGCGATAGGGAACAGTCCGCCTCCCAACTGTCATCAGGATTGCGTCACCGCCAATTGGTAACATATCAGCAAGCCAGCGGTTGACATGAGGCGGATTGATTGCGATCGGCGTCCCATCTTGGAAGGGAAATTCAATGGTGTGGCACATCCCGTTCCGGCTATTCCCACGCAGCACAGATCAGCACGCCACTCGACATGGACTTGAACCCAACGCGCTTGCGCCATCAATAATTTATTGCCTCGTGGCACCCATTGTTTCAAGTCCTGAAGGAGAGTGTTTTTGGGAAACGCGGTTGAGATTGACCTCCGCCGCAAGGATGGTTCCTGCATATAGGCCGACCACATACGCCCATGCCTGTGGCCATCGCCTAGTGTTGCTGCTCACTCTGCATCGCCAGAATTGACCCGGTTCAGGGGAATAATAAGATGTTTGCGGTTCACGTTGACCTATTGGCGAGCACAGTTCAGCCCGTATTCGTCGCGCTCGCTGGCGGAAACAGCATGCTCTTAGAATACCCACGAAGTTGCCCCAACTGGCGATACTCTGACTGACAGTTTGTCTGCTAACCACTGATTGTCAATCGACCAGGACTGCACCCTTCCACAGGTAGTCCGGGTAGGATCTCTCTTTCAGAACTACCGAAGCCACTCCAGGACCAGACGATCAAGCTCTGGGCTTCACAAGGAACATCGTGTGGGTCTACATTGTCTGGTTGGGTCACACCCTAGCCCTGAAGCGTTCTAGTCTTTCGATACAAGGAATCGAATATCCTCTCGATAGTCCTACGCCACGGGATATAGGGGCATTAATGCTTCGAAACATATATGTAGAGCACACGGAAGTCCGCGCGTCCGGCTTTGACCAGTACTGTTTACACAAGCAAAAACTGGTTCGGACTTGCAGCGAGCTAGATCCGTAGCAGTGGGGGTGCAACGATCCAAATCCGTTTAACCGCGTTCTGCGGACGCAAAACAGCAATGACAGCACACTGTGGTGCTGACAACATGAAACCAACCCAACCCAGATCCTAATGTACACGGATAATGAGGATCCACACAGAAATTTGTAAGACGCTGAAGTGCCACATAGAATGGTAGTACCAATAGTTTAAAGAAGCTCTAGACGACCCATGGTAGTACTGTAATGTATGTATAATTCGACATCTTGTATCCATCGCCGATTGACTCTACTTGTTGCAAACACCAGGGGAATGTCGAAATCCTTGAAAGGAAGGATGTTGAGCGATCATTAATGAGCTAAATTTTGCGAACTTACATCAGTGCGGACACCTCTACCCCAAGGAGTGGAGCCAATAATGGTTGCATCAGGACCCTATGGTAGACCAGACTTAGTACACGGATATGTTATCGCGCAATGATAGCAACATACCAATTCACGCTGACTGAATCCAATCCAAAGCTCACACTGGTTCTTGCCTCCAGTAAGGATTCGGTCAGCCTGGACGATAGCATCACGGGCATCGAAGAATCTACTGTTAACCGAACAGCATGAGCCTCATCGGTGATAACGAGGAGCAAACACACGAAGGACGGCAAGGCTGCAACTTCATAGCGTTGATCACGAGCTGCAAGAACAAAGAGTTACCGTACCAAAGGCTTCTTGGTGCTGTTGGCCCTGTACTCCTGCTTGTGATAGAAACCTCCCTCTGGGATGTCGCCATTCTCATCGGGCTGGGGTCTCCTTGTTCGTACGGCTACAGGATGTCTGGTTTTGTTGATCGTCGCCAACGCAATTCTTTGCGGTTATCTTATTATTTTTGCAAGCACTTGAAAAATGCTTGATGGTCTTATTCGATACTCCATGGTGATTTGGAGGCATCTTTCCAGGTGGATGAATACCTGGCGCGACCGCCATCAAGAATCACCATGGCCCATAGTTCCCAATCATAGACTGCTTGGAATCCCATTCGTCAGGACAGTGTTGCGGTCACTCGAAGACAAACCCAATACGTTGGAGTGCCCTATATGTTTCGAAGAAATGGACACAGAGCCCCAACGACTGGCGCACCATGCGGCCATGTTCTTTGCCAAGTGTGTCGGGCTCAGATCGTAATGCATGCTCGAAATGGACCGACCTGCCACGCTTGCCGTATGCCTTATGATACGGTTATAGATACTCCGGAAACGTCGGGCTAACCCGAGTCCTTACACCGATGTGTCGTACGTCCTAGCATACTCAGGTGGTCTGACTACGTCAACGCTGTTCGTCGTATGTAAAAGTAAATATAATAAGGAGTTAGAATTGATGAAAGCTTTTTTATGTGGCAGTAAAATGCAGCGAAAGTCTCGGCAAGGTGCAAGATGCAGAAGGCAGAATCCAGTGTGGTTAACGCATAAGCCCGAAGGCGAGGTCCAAGACTGAGAGAACCACCAAAGAGAGTAAGTTTAAGTGCATGGTGCATCAGCAGTGCTTATGTGTCAGTGCGGAACTGCGCCGAGACAAGAAGCGTTCATATGATGAAATGTCGACGCGAGTTTGGAGGAAATTGATCTGTTAGGTGAGAGGAGACGTGTTGATGTCTCGAATGCAATAGTAATACCTCCTGGAAAACTTTCTCTCCGGATAATATAAGTTTACAGACAGCCGGTGCTTCCAGTGGGTATTACTTGCAAGAATTGTGCAATAACAAAGAACGATAACCAAGACTCAACAGCCTGATAAAGTGGATCGTCGTAGCCAAAAAGGGAAGAGCCATAAGCAGCCCGAAACCATACTACAGGGATGCGTGCAGCCAGCAAGGCACAAGGGATGACTGGGAACTGAAAGCGGCGTTCGCCGAGGGCTGGCATTCAGAATGCCGCGCGGGTAGTAATTGTTCTGTCATGCTCTATCTATAGAGGCTGCTCCAGCCTACTGTCATGCCTGATTATCTCTGCGGACTTTAAGGTTCCGTCGATTAGAATGATGAGAGAAAGCTCGCTTCACATCCAAAATGTCGTCAATGACTCATCTGTTTGTTTGAAGTGGTGCCCCTGGCAATCCGGCCTAAACCAAACGCAACACTGCATTCCGAACGGACCAATCGCAGCGCCTCATACTGTATGCGCCATGGAAGTCTGGAAACCTTGATGTCCTAGCTGTATAGGCTGAGTCTTCCTGCTCCAGCTCGAAACGTTGGGATCATCGAGCCGATTTGTCGAATTAGCCTGATTGTTCAGCAGCGCTCAGTGCCCTTCTCAGCTACACCTCTCTCGAGTAATTCCCGTATGCCCTTTCTTTCCAGCATATTAGACGTCTGTACCGATCTCTGTAGTATCAAGTCCAGACTCCAATGTTATCACCGTACTGTTGGGCCACATCACCTACTCACTGTAATTAAAATCAAAGCCACATTGCGCACCTTCGGCCGAGGATGGATTTCTATCTAACGCCGTTGACGCCTGAATCCTGTCAACAAACAGAGAGTTAGCAGCGTCTTCCTGTGGGTCGCGCCTCGAAGTAGGCATTGCGCCTACTTACCTCTTTAGCCGTCGTTGTGCGAAATGTACAGTGACGCGAACCTTGATTTCTTCGGGCATACCAGCGCGTAACGATACACGCTGAAATGTGTTGTGCGTTAGCATGCACGAAATCTTGGCTAAAGAGGTCGAGACTTGACGGTATCAATCCAAATACTAAACGATGGAGGAAATACATACCCCGTAAATGTTTTCGTCGCTCCTGCTAATTTCTTCTATTCAACATCACATCTTTGGATTCATGAATGCCGCTCGCTTTGGCTGTAGATGGGAGACCTACAGGCCAGATATCGCGTGCGCGCTCCTCTGCTGCTGATCTGAAATATAGTACCGCAGCGTCACTGGTGTAGGGGGAAAATCAATCGGGTGAAGACATTTTGACGAGGTGAATAGTGCTTGTTCTCGCGCAACCCGTTTACTTCGTGGACTTGGAATGCCCAGTCCTGATCTTCTGGATGTCCAAAGTGGCAGAAACAACCCATTCCGGAACACGCCGCATGCCACACGCCAGCCCAGGATTGTGTGAGCAGCGCCAACTGGCGTGGCAGAAAAGAAATTGCGTGATGAGATTCGAAGGATGCTTGACCGGGGTCGCTTCAGCACATAGCATTTGCATCCGAGGCAACACTTTGCTCACCGTGTTCGCCTTGAGGATCCCTTGTTGCTGACTTCCTCCCTACAATATTCCTCTCGATGACGATGGCGGCAGGCTAGTGAGTCACACGGGTTCAAATACGATGATCAACCGTGTCTGACGTGTGGACATTAGCATCGCTCTTTGCATTGTGGGGCTCACTATCCTCACTTGTATCTCCAGTGCCCCAGTGGCACTTCTGTGGACCATAATATTCTCACCAAATCACCGTCCCGCTCTGCGGGGTTTCGTCATTTTTGCTATTTTACTCATGCCACTGCATGTGGTACAAATTGGTAAGTTCCATGACCAGGATCACATCAATTGATATACATTCATTCTCACATAGTTAGTGGGGAGCTTCTCATAACCAAACATCTCTGGACCTGTCAGTATGCTGTTGTACCAGAATATTGAGGCTTCGGTCATTACCTCGATCTATGTTCCAGACAATTCGGTTGACGAAATGGCTGCAAAGATACTCCGAAGCTGCATTCTTTTAGCCTCTGCTCCAACAATCAGCGGATTTCACTGTGAGTAGTATAATTCTGACCATTGACTATGTTCCCACTCTGATTGTGTTTGCCCTCAGTATTCCTAAGCTTCAGGCAAGGTCTTCGCCATTTCATCATCCACTCTAGAGTCTAATGCTGTAGACGGCCAGAGCCTTACGGTCAATCTGTGAATGCGTGAGCTGCCGCCGGTCACACGCCCAACTGTCTTATTTTGTTTGGTGGTCACAATTTTTCTCTGTGGAGCTGAGTCCGGTGGGCGCTATTGTGTCTCACACGTTTCCTTCGCTCAACACCTTCAACAGCACTGTCTATTTATGGAGTGATTTTAGCGGACCAAGGGCCGTAAGTTTTTTTTTGCTTTGCTCATCGTGATGATCTCATACTACAGTTCCCGTCCCCTCGCCGTCAGTTCACACAATCAACGACGAAATCGTATAATGGCGATAGCCATGTTCACCGACACCCTCTGCCTGCTCATAAGTTTCGCCACCACTCTCTTCCTCCTCTGGCATGTAGAACAACGGCGAATTATTAGCAGAGGGCTGCGACAACCATCTTCTGATGATTTGTTGAAGCAAACATTATTCAAATGGAGGCGGCGTTGTGTACGTAAAGGCTTATACTTGTCACTTTCCGAACGTCACACTGTATTAAATAACTCTCAAGATTCTTGTTTTCCTCCTGGTTCTCCCGGTACAACTCTCAAGAGGACTTCTCCTCCTCTTTTGGGTGAGACATCATCTGACAAGAGCTCCCGGACCAGCTTATTTCCATCCTTCACCACTAGCCCAATCCACTTGTCATGGATTTGATGTCGGCTTTGTCAGGACCGGTTAGTTTTCCCTTATCTTCGACATTAATACACGGGGAAACATGATGTTGCCTGTGCAGGTACATTATTTATCATTTCTAATATTGGTCCTCCGCATTACACCACGGGGCAGTCCCGACGAGGGCATAGCCCTTAGTCCTATTTCTCCACAGAGTGGGGATGTAGATGTTCCCGGCAATGGTTCTCCCGATAATGACGGGTCCAACGTACGTTTTCTACTTGACTGCCACTGAAAGGCCAACGACTGACTCGGACGTCCAGAATGGGGAGGTTCTGTTATTAGGGTCTCCACCTGAAAATCGGTTCGGTAAGCGCAGTGTCACAGAATCTCACACTCCCACATCGTCTCATCACCCCGTTCATCTCACCGCCAGACTTCCGAACCAACAAATGACTAAGAGCAGGCAAGAACACCAGCGCGTGTGCAGCCGGTGATGACTCGAACCGGCTCCTCGAGTCCCAATTGGCACGGAGTAGAGCAGCGAACTAATGAGCCACTCCAAGTCCATCAAGGGGGTATAGCGCGCTGCAGTCTTCCTGCATATTTATACCGTGAAAGGGGCATTATCTATGGTCCCCATAAACTTGCGCCGTTTTCGCGGCATCCGTTTGTTTATCCACTCCAATTTTATCGTAGTCTCACGCATGAAACTAATATTTACTTCTCATCCGTCTGATCCCTGTTGCGAAATGCCTTATTCACTGCTGAGCATCCCTAGGATGTGTAGAACCCACCTGATCGATGAAACCAGGACCCGCGCACTGCGCACCCGTGGATTCTTCTACTAAGAGTCGCTGGCGTTCTTGCAAGTACGGCCCGCGCGATGGGGAACAGTCCGCCTTCCAACTGTCATCAGGATTGCGTCACCGCCAATTGGTAACATATCAGCAAGCCAGCGGTTGACATGAGGCGGATTGATTGCGATCGGCGTCCCATTCCGATCTTGGAAGAGAATCATGTGTGCACCGACCAATTAATGGTTCCGTGAAGTGAGACACTAAGTGGCCCCGTTCCGGCTATTCCCACGCAGCACAGATGTCAGCACGCCACTCGACATGGACTTGAACCCAACGCGCTTGCGCCATCAATAATTTATTGCCTCGTGGCACCCACTGTTTCAAGTCCTGAAGGAGAGTGTTTTTGGGAAATGCGGTCGAGATTGACCTCCGCCGTAAGGATGGTTCCTGCATATAGGCCGACCACATACGCCCATGCCTATGGGCCATCGCCTAGTGTTGCTGCTCACTCTACATCACCAGAATTGACCCGGATTCGGGGGAATAATAAGGTGTTTGCGGTTCACGTTGACCTATTGGCGAGCACAGTTCAACCCGTATTCGTCGCGCTCGCTGGCGGAAACAGCATGCTCTTAGAATACCCACGACGTTTCCCCAACTGGCGATACTCTGACTGACAGTTTGTCTGCTAACCACTGATTGTCAATCGACCAGGACTGCACCCTTCCACAGGTAGTCCGGGTAGGATCCCTCTTTCAGAACTACCGACGCCACTCCAGGACCAGACGATCAAGCACAAGGAACATCGTGTGGGTCTACATTGTCTGGGTTGGGTCACACCCTAGCCCTGAAGCGTTCTAGTCTTTCGATACAAGGAATCGAATATCCTCTCGATAGTCCTGCGCCACGGGATATTAATGCTCCGAAACATATATGTAGAGTCGTTTATACTAGGCCATTTGAGTTCTTCCTTAGCCCACTGCTTGACTGGGGGTCGCTTGAGCACATAGCATCTCCATCCAAGGCAACACTTCGCTCACCGTGTTCATCTTGAGGATCCCTCGTTGCTGACTTCCTGGTGTTCCCTTCCCCTACAATATTCCTCTCGATGGCGATGACGGCGCTCCAGTGAGTCACACGCGTTCAAATATAATCAACGGTGTCAGACGTGTGGACATTAGAATCACTCTTTGCATTGTGAGGCTCATTTGTGTCTTCGGTGTAGCGGCACCGCTGTGGGCCACAATAACATGTGGTAAGTTCCATGACCAGGATCACACATTTCCACAATCAGCACGGCGTAGAACCGCGAAAACTAATGAGCCATTCAGTACAGTCCCAAGTCCGTCAAGGGGGTATAGCGCGCTGCAGTCTTCATAGGGGCATTATGTATACATCAAAAATGGTCTCCATAAACTTCCCACTGCGCCGTTTTCGCAGCATACATTTGTTTATTCACTACCATTTTTTCATAATCTCACGGCTTTGCCTCTTCCGCTGATATTTCTCAGGGCAGACTGTGGAAGGACTAAAAAACCAAGTTCTTTCGATGCACGAACTTGCTAGGTTACACATTGCCGATTTGTTTCATCAAAGCGGTGTGACGGGAGGGAAGAGGGTTTTACAATTTGTGGTGATTATTGATTTGCAGAGTTTGGCTATTCGAGATGTGGTATGTTATCCGCCATCCTTCGCGTGGGTTTTTGGAACATCACTCAGATGTATGGTTTCTAGCCTATGGACATGGTGACCTGGTTTCGCAGCGTCCCTAATGTTCATTTCCCTGGGATGTGCGCCGGGTGTTACGTTCTTAATTTCTCATGGGCGTTCAATGGAACGTGGTCCATATTAAAATGCAGCGAATGTCTCGGCAAGGTGCAAGATGCAGAAGGCAGAATCCAGTGTGGTTAACGCATAAGCCCGAAGACGAGGTCCAAGACTGAGAGGACCACCAAAGAGAGTAAGTTTAAGTGCATGGTGCATCAGCAGTGCTTATGTGTCAGTGTGGAACTGCGCCGAGACAAGAAAGGTTCATATGATGAAATGTCGACGCGAGTTTGGAGAAAATTGATCTGTTAGGCGAGAGGAGACGGTGTTGAGGTCTCGAATGCAATAGTAATACCTCCTGGAAAACTTTCTCGGATAATATAAGTTTACAGACAGCCGGTGCTTCCAGTGGGTATTACTTGCAAGAATTGTGCAATAACAAAGAACGAAAACCAAGACTCAACAGCCTGATAAAGTGGATCGTCGTAGCCAAAAAGGGAAGAGCCATAAGCAGCCCGGAAAAAAGACTACAGGGATGCGTGCAGCCAGCAGGGCATAAGGGATGACTGGGAACTGAAAGCGGCGTTCGCCGAGGGCTGGCATTCAGAATGCCGGCGCGGGTAGTAATTGTTCTGTCATGCTCTATCTATAGAGGCTGCTCCAGCCTACTGTCCTGCCTGATTATCTCTGCGGACTTCAAGGTTCCGTCGATTAGAACGATGAGAGAAAGCTCGCTTCACATCCAAAATGTTGTCAATGACTCATCTGTTTGTTTGAAGTGGTGCCCCTGGCAATCCGGCCTAGACCAAACGCAACACTGCATTCCGAACGGACCAATCGCAGCGCCTCATACTGTATGCGCCATGGAATTCTGGAAACCTTGATGTCCTAGCTGTATAGGCTGAGTCTTCCTACTCCAGCTCAAAACGTTGGGATCATCGAGCCGATTTGTCGAATTAGCCTGATTGTTCAGCAGCGCTCAGTGCCCTTCTCAGCTACACCTCTCTCGAGTAATTCCCATATACCCTTTCTATCCAGCATATTAGACGTCTGTACCGATCTCTGTAGTATCAAGTCCAAACTCCAATGTTATCACCGTACTGTTGGGCCACATCACCTACTCACTGTAATTAAAATCAAAGCCACATTGCGCACCTTCGGCCGAGGATGGATTTCTATCTAACGCTGTCGACGCCTGAATCCTGTCAACAAACTGAGAGTTAGCAGCGTCTTCCTGTGGGTCGCGCCTCGAAGTAGGCATTGCGCCTACTTACCTCTTTAGCTGACGTTGTGCGAAATGTACAGTGACGCGAACCTTGATTTCTTCGGGCATACCAGCGCGTAACGATACACGCTGAAACGTGTTGTGCGTCAGCATGCACGAAATCTTGGCTAAAGAGGTCTAGACTTGACGGTATCAATCCAAATACTAAACGATGGAGGAAATACATACCCCGTAAATGTTTTCGTCGCTCCTGCTAATTTCTTCTATCCAACATCACATCTTTGGGTTCATGGATGCCGCTCGCTTTGACTGTACATGGGAGACCTACAGGCCAGATATCGCGTGCGCGCTCCTCTGCTGCTGATCTGAAATATAGTACCGCAGCGTCACTGGTGTAGGGGGGAAATCAATCGGGTGAAGACATTCTGACAAGTTGAATAGTGCTTGTTCTCGCGCAACCCGTTTACTTCGTGGACTTGGAATGCCCAGTCCTGATCTTCTGGATGTCCAAGTGGCAGAAATAACCCATTCCGTGGTTCGTGATAAATCCATTCAAGGGGCATGCCGCACGCCGCACGCCGCACGCCAGCCCAGGATCGTGTGAGCAGCGCCAATTGGTGTGGCAGAAAAGAAATTGCGTGATGAGATTCGAAGCATGCTTGACCGGGGTCGCTTCAGCACATAGCATTTGCATCCGAGGCAACACTTTGCTCACCGTGTTCGTCTTGAGGATCCCTCGTTGCTGACTTCCCTTCCCCTACAATATTCCTCTCGATGATGATGGCGGCAGGCCAGTAAGTCACACGGGTTCAAATACAATGATCAACCGTGTCTGACGTGTGGACATTAGCATCGCTCTTTGCATTGTGGGGCTCACTATCCTCACTTGTATTTCCGGTGCCCCAACGGCACTTCTGTGGACCATTATATATTCACCGAACCACCGTCCCGCTCTGCGGGGTTTCGTCATTTTTGCTATTTTACTCATGCCGCTGCATGTGGTACAGATTGGTGAGTTCCATGACCAGGATCACATCAATTGATATGCATTCATTCTCACATAGTTAGTGGGGAGCTTCTCATAACCAAACATCTCTGGACCTGTCAGTATGCTGTTGTACCAGAATATTGAGGCTTCGGTCATTACCTCGACCTATGTTCCAGACAATTCGGTTGACGAAATGGCTGCAAAGATACTTCGAAGCTGCATTCTTTTAGTCTCTGCTCCAACAATCAGCGGATTTCACTGTGAGTAGTATAATTCTGACCATTGACTATGTTCCCACTCTGATTGTGTTTGCCCTCAGTATTCCTAAGCTTCAGGCAAGGTCTTCGCCATTTCCATCATCCACTCTAGAGTCTAATGCCGTAGACGGCCAGAGCCTTACGGTCAATCTGTGAATGCGTGAGCTGCCGCCGATTTACCCGCCCAACTGTCTTATTTTGTTTGGTGGTCACAATTTTTCTCTGTGGAGCTGAGTTCGGTGGGCGCTATTGTGTCTCACACGTTCCCTTCGCTTAACACCTTCAACAGCACTGTCTATTTATGGAGTAATTTTAACGGAGCAAGGGCCGTAAGTTTTTTGCTTTACTCATCGTGATGACCCTTTACTACAGTTTCCGTTCCCCCCTCGTCAGTTCACACAATCAACGACGGAATCGTATAATGGCGATAGCCATGTTCACCGACACCCTCTGCCTGCTCATAAGTTTCGCCACCACTCTCTTCCTCCTCTGGCATGTAGAACAAGGGCGAATTATTAGCAGAGGGCTGCGACAACCATCTTCTGATGATTTGTTGAAGCAAACATTATTCAAATGGAGGCAGCGTTGTGTACGTAAAGGCTTATACTTGTCACTTTCCGAACGTCACACTGTATTAAATAACTCTCAAGATTCTTGTTTTCCTCCTGGTTCTCCCGGTACAACTCTCAAGAGGACTTCTCCTCCTCTTTTGGGTGAGACATCATCTGACAAGAGCTCCCGGACCAGCTTATTTCCATCCTTCACCACTAGCCCAATCCACTTGTCATGGATTTGATGTCGGCTTTGTCAGGACCGGTTAGTTTTCCCTTATCTTCGACATTAATACACGGGGAAACATGATGTTGCCTGTGCAGGTACATTATTTATCATTTCTAATATTGGTCCTCCGCATTACACCACGGGGCAGTCCCGACGAGGGCATAGCCCTTAGTCCTATATCTCCACAGAGTGGGGATGTGGATGTTCCCGGTAATGGTTCTCCCGATAATGACGGGTCCAACGTACGTTTTCTACTTGTCTGCCACTGAAAGGCCAACGACTGACTCGGACGTCCAGAATGGGGAGGTTCTGTTATTAGGGTCTCCACCTGAGAATCGGTTCGGTAAGCGTAGTGTCACAAAACCCCGCACTCCCACATCGTCTCATCACCCCGTTCATCTCACCGCCAGACTTCCGAACCAACGAGTGACTAGAAGCAGGCAAGCACACCAGCGCGTGTGCAGCCGGTGATGACTCGAACCGGCTCCTCGAGTCCCAATTGGCACGGAGTAGAGCAGCGGACTAATGAGCCACTCCAAGTCCATCAAGGGGGTACAGCGCGCTGCAGTCTTCCTGCATATTTATACCGTGAAAGGGGCATTATCTATGGTCCCCATAAACTTGCGTCGTTTTCGCGGCATCCGTTTGTTTATCCGCTCCCATTTTATCGTAGTCTCACGCATGAAACTAATATCCAGTTCTTGTCCGTTTGATCCCTGCTGCGAAATGCCTTGTTCACTTCTGAGTATCCCTAAGATGAGGTGCAGAACCCACCTGATCGATGAAACCGGGACCCGCGCACTGCGCACCCGTGGATTCTTCTACTGATCCCCTAAGAGTCGCTGGCGTTCTTGCAAGTACGGCCTGCGCGATGAACTGTCATCAGGATTGCGTCACCGCCAATTGGTAACATATCTGCAAACCAGCGGTTGACATGAGGCGGATTGATTGCGATCGGCGTCCCATTCTGATCTTGGAAGGGAATCATGTGCACCGACCAATTACATACATAATAAGTGAGACACTAAATGGCCCCGTTCCGGCATTCCCACGCAGCACAGATGTCAGCACGCCACTCGACATGGACTTGAACCCAACGCGCTTGCGCCATCAATAATTTATTGCCTCGTGGCACCCATTGTTTCAAGTCCTCCCTACGTGTTTTTGGGAAACGCGGTCGAGATTGACCTCAGCCGTAAGGATGGTTCCTGCATACAGGCCGACCACATACGTCCATGCCTATGGGCCATCGCCTAGTGTTGCGGCTCACTCTACATCACCAGAATTGACCAGGGTTCAGGGGAATAATAAGGCGTTTGCGGTTCACGTTGGCCTCTTGGTCAGCACATTTCAGCCCGTATTCGTCGCGCTCGCTGGCGGAAACAGCATGCTCTTAGAATACCCACGAAGTCGCCCCAACTGGCGATACCTTGACTGACAGTTTGTCTGCTAACCACTGATTGTCAATCGACCAGGATTGCACCCTTCCACAGAAGGTAGTCCGAGTGGAATGGCGTTATATTCAAGACTTTACAGCAAAAAGATGGAAGCGCTAATTTAGTGCAAAATGCAGTCGACAGAAGGATCTCTCTTTCAGAACTACCGAAGCCACTCCAGGACCAGACGATCAAGCTCTGGCCTTCACAAGGAACATCGTGTGGGTCTACATTGTCTGGATTGTGTCACACCCTAGCCCTGAAGCGTTCTAGTCTTTCGATACAAGGAATCGAATATCCTCTCGATAGTCCTACGCCACGGGATATAGGGGCATTAATGCTTCGAAACATATATGTAGAGTCGTTCATACTGGGCCATTTGAGTTCTTCCTTAGCCCCACTGCTTGACTGGGGGTCGCTTGAGCACATAGCATCTGCATCCGAGGCAACACTTCGCTTACCCGTGTTCATCTTGAGGATCCCTTGTTGCTGATTCCCTGGTCTTCCCTTCCCCTACAATGGTCCTCTCGATGGCTCCAGTGAGTCACACGCGTTCAAATACGATGATCAACGGTGTCAGACGTGTGGACATTAGAATCAATTTTTGCATTGTGAGGTTCGCTTGTGTCTTCGGTGTAGCGGCACCGCTGTGGGCCACAATAACATGTGGTGAGTTCCATGACCAGGATCACACATTCCCACAATCAGCACGGCGTAAGAACCGCGAACTAATGAGCCATTCAGTACAGTTCCAAGTCCGTCAGGGGGTATAGCGCGCTGCAGTCTTCCTGCATATTTATTTATTCATTACCATTTTTTCATAATCTCACGGCTTTGCCTCTTCCGATGACGCCCATCGTAAGATTTTATAGCTAAAATTGCCTCGGCCACGGTGTCGGCTACGAGTATTTTCCCCAAAGCAGCTCATTCCTTCATGTTGTCCTTGAACTTCAACTACGTGGCACAAATGTCGCCATTTTTAGCTAAGGGGGGGGGGGAGACACCAATCAGCCGTAGGTAGCATTGACGACTTTGAGAAATCGGGACCGCGATGTCAGCTCCGTCACTCCACGAGGAGATCGTCGATCTTCGTCTAAGAGCTTTAGCCTTTTTGCTGGTGGACAACTTGATAATGGATTATATATTTTAGGCGCAACAACACACGTGCGAGCCACTAAGATGCTCAGAGTCACAAGGCATTTGGTCGACTCCACCGTACGGACCTGACATCAGCTAGCCTGCGCAATGGCATGGCTAAGTACATAATTGTGACATTAAGTCCTGGCCTGTTTACTGCGAGTGGGATGATCGTGCGGACTCTGGCGTGGCCGCTTCGTAACCGAAGGGGGGGGCGGTAAGCGCTGATGTTGGGCACGCAAAGGCTAGGAACCTGCCTACATACGTTTCATCACGGTCTTCCGAATCCCATTGCTCATCATGGGAGCGCAATAAGTTTTTTTCTGGATGCAGGCAAGTTAGCGGACAGTTTATCATTACATAAAACCGAACCCAATTTCCCTTTCCCTAGGATCAAGTGGCACCTCGCCGACAGCGAGTGGGTCAAGGGAATAACGATCGAGTCATCAAGCCGTATGATCATGCATGGTCGGGCACTTGAAGTTGATAACACTTGCAACGTGCTCCACTTCTATCTCAGTTGGAATCCAACTTATCCAGATCATGAGCGCGTTTTGGCAACATATCCCACATGCGCAAGCATCCTCCCTCGACATGTCTGTGCGCTGCTTGATCTGTAAGCGCAGCGTTGTCATAATACTCTAAGTACCATGCATACACAGCTAATGATAATTTAGTGGGTCCTTTTGTCTTTTAGTCCCTCGCTATGTTGCGAGTTGCACTAGCTGCCGAGCGCGCGCTATGCCCATATCGAGCAAAGTCATAACAACAATCTCTCCCATCTTACTGAAGAAACAATAAAGAGGTCTCATGGGCCTCCATGAACGCATCGGGGGATCGGGTGGACGACTAATGGACTCCGAGCCAAAATCTCCTATCAGTTTCGTCGACAACACTTGGGGGGGTAGGATCCCAGCCTCTACTAAAGTAGAGGGGGTACATCTAATGGCCGCCCCCGGCGAATCAGCGTCGTAAAAAAAAATGAATTCTAGTTACCAATATGTCCGGATTCGCCCCTGCGCGCGCGATCGAAGAGCCTGTTTAAGGCACAGAGTCTGTATGTATAGGGTGCAAAAAATGAAAAAATGAATGACCATAGAGGTCATGTGACTATCTAAATGGCAGCAAATGTGTTGAACACAAATCCGGTCAATGATGACCGACCCCCAATTTCCCAAATAGGGAAGATCACATGACCCACTTGTCCATTGAATTCATCCAAATCGGCACCGGCGCCGCTTTTTTTTCTTTTGTACCAAGGCCCTGTTGCAATGGCTGCGAAAAGAATGCGCGAATCATGGGGGAGCCACGGCTGGCTTCTTTCAACCAGTCAGGCACTAACTAGCTCCGAGTCATTCCCCAGACTCCGTGGGAGCAAAAGGATGCAGATGCATTGCACAGCATGCAACACAGTATGCGCCGTAGTTAACCGTATGTAACCGGGACCTTGCATGCGGCGCATGGCACATGTATTACTTGTGCAGTATTGTATCCCGGACTATTACAGGGTTCTCAATATTTTTGAGACTTAGGAATCGGCATCGGCATTAATTGTTACCAAGATGCCGGGAGATAGGCTTAGGGAAGTTAGGTTAAAGGTTGGCCCGGGGGGAGCTTGCTTGCAGCGTTTTTGATGCGGGGGACTCAAGAGGGGATCAGGGAAGGCAACGATACTGATATGACAACGAGGCCGCGGGGTAATAAGAGAGAGAGTACACACACACACACAATACTGATATTACTTCACTATCTAATGGGGAGAGGGAGCTAGGAGATTGAAAGAACTGAAGTAACAGTACATACTGCATGAGGTACGGATACGTGCATGTTGTATAGCCGTTCGTGATGCAGCTGACCTTGATAAAAGCTGGGATCCTACCATGCACCTACTTAATTCATGAGGAAGAACAAATGGGAGATTAAAGAGAAGATGTTGAACTGGCTGTGTAGTGTTTGCGGCCAACACACTATATAAGAGGCTCAGCGCAAATTGCCTTATAGGGTCGTCCAAACATGCCATCCCCAACGAGCTACACCCCCGGTGAAGACGCGTACAAGGTCGATTATAGACTGCGCGGGCATGTACTGCACATATATGCGCCGTGCGCACATCAATTTATCTGCGAGATTCGATCCTGTTCTCCACAATTCCATGACCCATTTCATTTCAGATTAGCCGGTCGACGTTGAAGTGTGGAAGCACTGTTCGCGTTCATCACATACATGTTAAGTCCAACATCCAATCTATGCGCATCGCCAATCAAGGTCCAAAATGCACCCATGCATGTGCACGGCAACCAAGACATCGGGTAAAAAAAAAAAAGAGATAGAAATGTTCGGAAGAGGAAAGAGGGAAGGGATCCGGGGAACGTGGGGGAGATAAAAAGTCACTGGAAGGGGAATACAAGAAAAAAATTTTCTATTTGATGTGTCGAAAAAGGGGAGGAAGAAGAAGTAATAGTTTTCTGATCCATAAAAAACAAGTGCTAAATCAAGCATCGTCTTCAATGGTTTCCCTAGTTCTCTTCCCCGCATTCACATTTGATGCAGTGTTCAAAGAGGTTCCCTTATCCCGTTGTGGAATTTGCTGCTGATCCTGTGAGCGTAATTTCGCTTGAACCTCCGCATCCATGCCCCCTGGCAATCCAACAGCGCCTAAACCCCCCACTCCCCCCGCGACGCCCACCACTAACCCTCTGAGCCATCCATTCTCCCTTCTCAAACTCTCGCACTCCCTCTCTAGATTACTGACTTTTCCCTCAAGTTCCTTCGCGTGCTTATCCATTGCTAACTCACGTTCCTTCTTTTTGGCACGGAATCGAGCTGAAGCGGCTGTGTTCCGGCGGCGTTTATCTTCGGTTGGTGTTAAAGGGGTTGTGAGGTTTGGACTGTGTGCAGTTGGGGAAGAAGCGGTGCTGCTGGACGAGACTGAGGCACCCGATACACGGGGTTTCTTGGAAGAGGGTTGCTCTGATGTATTCGAGTTCGGAATGGTATGAGTGGTATACGGGGAAGAACTCGTAGGTGAGGAAGCTAGATGATTAGAAGGCGACGAGAGTGCGGCTAGAGCCGGATCGATGATGACAGCGCGATTCGCCACCCCGGGAGGAAGACTCCTAGTCGAAGAGGCAAAGATATTGGGGAAATTACCGGCGCTGGCGCCAGCCCCGACAGCATTATTTAGCACCGTAGGATCTTGGAAAGGATCGATGCCTAACCCCGCCAAAAATTGAAAATAATCCAATCCGGTCGAGTTGTGTGGGTGATGATGATCCGACGACAGCTTTGAAGTTTGAGAGTTGGAGTTGTCGTCGTTTTTATCAGTTTGAGTGGTGATGAGCGTGGCAGGATCAATTGTAAGTTCGGTCACTCCTTCTCCTCTCCCTCCTGCCTCGTTCGGAGTAGGTTTAGCATCGGCTTCGTCCGTATCATCATAATGTCTCACATCGTACTCGTTAGGATCGGTTTCTCGATCTGGTTCGTTAGAGGCAAAGTCGACGGTAGACCAAAGGAACAATTGGGCTTCAAGGTCGCTGGAGAAATGCGGGGATTCCGGGAGTAGATCCTGGGAGTCAGACGGAGGTGTAGGTGACGCGCGTTGTATAAGATTCAGGCCTTGAATCATGGAACCTGTGGAAACCATCTTCCTCTTGGATGAGGGCGAAGGAATAGTTCGTTTTCGATGGAGATTTGTGCGACGAATAGCTTGTGTTAGACACTGGCTGTGCCAGTCGTCGATGCAAGAAACGGAGGGTCTGAAAAAAAGAGGGAGTATATTGAGCTGTGCGTAAGTCACGTGTACAGATCGGTAATCAATTGAGTAACGAGGCATTTTCAGCATCGCTTGTCGCTTCCGACTCGTAACGAGGGAACGATATTAATCCGCCCGTGGTTGCGCACAAGGAGCGAGGAAGTTGTCGATTTTATTTTGTTTTTTGCTATAACAATAAAGATAAATGGGGTGAGGAGATAAGGTTTATCACATCCATTCGGCGGTAGCATAGATGGCGTCACCCGCTCCTGTCCCACTTGAGGGAAGAGGCACCAAAAACGATGGCGCAAAAGCACGTCATTTGGGAGTGCGGCCCGTGTCTGGGCCTCACCTCCCTTTTTCAAGTGAAAGGGTTGCTAATTAATTTTCTCTAACTGATCATACATGTTCCTTCTGCTATAGCCCTTCTTCCACAGATCATGGATTCTCCTATAACTCCCAACCGGCAGTGAACCGATTCGTTCGGGTCTCCATCTATCTCTGGGTGGGTGCATGAGTGGAGCTTAAATAAGCAGGCATGAGTTGATTAAGCAATTCATTCAGATTATTAATTCTTCGCACACTCCGCCAAGATCAGCGTCACATGACTACTCTGCACGATAACGTGTTCTTGAACCCTTCGTATAGATAGATCACGAGTCCTATATTTGCACGCTTCTTGGGCTCAGTGCATGCACGCCTATTATTAGGCAGGATCATCTCCCTGCCAAGGATCTTTGCATCTCCATCTACACGTTTGCCGACACAAAAGCAGTAGCAGCCAAACTAGGGAATAGGAAAGGCAACATCACCATTGTGCTGCCAACTCGTTCTCCGGGCTCTAGCAAAGTTGTTCCGATATTAGCACAAGCTCCGACAGGGTGGATCATGCGAATACGATCCATTTACATGTAGAAGGCTCCAATCCAGGAGAGAGAGAAAAATGGACGGAAATTTTGCTCAGCAGCAGTTAATCAACGTTGATGAACGCCTGGCACTCCGGCCTTGGACATTACCCCACCGGGGGATCTGGGCACTCAAACAACCAGCGGAACATCGACGTTGGCAGTAGCTCCGTTGCTTACGCTTGTCAATTCGTCGGGGAAATAAACCGACTATTGATCGTTTAGTTTATTCTTGAGTGAGCCAACGAAACCTAACGGCTCCTGTTTCTCCAGTACCACTGGAAGCACCTCCGCGTTGGTCCCCACCCTGCTCCCGAACCCGGGGACGCGCAAACTAAGTTGCTACCCCCTTGCCTCGTCAGCCCTCCCAGAGGTGGGGAAGCTTCCGAGCCCAGGTGGAAAACGAACATTAGTGTCGACTCCAGAAGCACCAATGGCTTTATGGCCGATGGTGGATAGGGGCCCTATGCGCAGCAGCTGCTTCCGCATCCGATCGCACGGAGAGACCAAGGCTGGATGCTGCACTCGCTCCAGCTAAACTGAACTCTGACTCGTGCAGTGGCACCCGCCGGTATGCACCATTACCGCCGTATAGCAATCTCCCACTGCACCTAGCGACGATGGGTGATCGTCGGACCCCGCAGAACTCGATGCCGAAGGATTGAGCATAACCAACTTCTGATTAGCTTGGCAATTGATCAGTCCAAACCCGGTTACAAACACTGCAAGTGGTTTGAGCACCTTGTACAGGGTAGAGAAAACAGTTTCGAAAGTTGGATGATATCATGCTTGATCGCTCTTTCACCAGAAGGGATCTACAATGATCATCTGGCTTTGAACGGACTTCATGCCTGACAGCCAGCGCACGCGCAGTCAACGGACGAACAGATTCCGTTTCGGAAGGGGAAAATAATGTTGGCCTTCAGGGCGACAGCAAATGGACTCCATGAACGTGGTAGGACTTTTCGGTGAGGTTGGGTCGCTATATATTGGTTAAGGGTGAACTGCAGAGTTTATAATTGGTTTAGGGAGAGACACCAACTACCCTTTCACGTCTTCTTCAACAGAATTCCAAGGAAATTTATCTGGGAGCCACCAAAAAGGGATTTCAAGGAGTCAAGAGTCTCGTGAGAAAACAAGGGGGGTTGTTTTCGGAACGCAAGATGCTGGTGAGCGGGAGGAAGAAAGGGCATGCAAGATTCATTCATTGGTGTTATGTATTTTGTGCTTTGAGATTACGAGCTTTCCGAAAACATGGGCCCCGTTCAACTCAGGTATGCATGCATACTCGGCGAGCAAAGCGATGAAATCCTCCTGACATCAGCGGAAACAACCTGCCCTAGTAACCTAGCCGATGACCTTCTGCGTCGCTCGAGTTGAAGGCGATTGTTTTGTGTAGACGAATAATGCAGATTGCATTTTCCCCAGAATACTGAACAGACGATGCAAAAACAGCAGCAGAGGTCAAACAAGGAAACATGAATGCGTGCCACAAACCAATTTCGAAACCTCAGTTTGTTTCGTAGGCTTCAGTGAAGTAGGTCGCGTAATACGGCAGACCTTGATTGGGTTGAGACTCATTACCGTCCGAATATGGTGGATTTGGGTTCGTGGGAGGAAAGGCTGGGGGGACGAGAGGCCAGGGCTGGCGCTAGATGGAGAAGTTAGCACTAGAGAGGATGGAGCGATCAGGACTTTGTTATTACCTCTCTGGCGATCGGGGCGCTGAATCACTCAAGTAAGATGGAGATTGAGTGGGTGACAATGACCCTGCATTAGTGGCGTTTGCCACTTCAGGAGGATAAAATGAGGCTGCAGTGACAGGTGAAGTTGCAGTTCTAGATGCATAGGTACGGGCAGAGCTAATAGAGGCTCTCGTTCTGGGAGCGGCTGCTGTGCCTGTGCCCGGCCCTATGGAAGTGAAAACATTGGGATTCTCGGTGACGCCAAACCCTGATTCTGCAAATGTCCTGACAACCGGCGCCGCCACTGGGGCACCTCCGAAAGCAAATGGCGCACGATTTCCAGCCATCCCAACCGCCGTACTAACCCCGTGAGCCGCCGATGGCACCTGAACCACTCCACCCGCTGAACCCACAAAGTCACCTGTATCGCGACCTGCGATCGCTCCAAATCCTGCGGAAGTTCGTAGACCATTGGTAGCCGTTGGAGGAGTCTTTCTAGCTGCTGATCTGCTCCTGGTGCGAACAACATAAGCGGCGGTCCCAATAATTATGACGCCAGCCGCCCCGCCGACAGCAATCCCTATGATTGTAGTTTTTTTCATACCCTTACCACCTCCACCCGAATCGTCCTTAGGTCCACCAGAGCAAGAGGCTTTAGGGGGATTGTAGTCGAAGACTCCAGTGGGGTTGATTAGTCTCTGATTCTCTGGCGCCCCTGGGCGAATAAAGGATGATCAGGGTATTATTATCGGCCTGTGTTCGCAGACTGCAGCAAAAGTACGCACTTCCAGTCTTTTTGGATAGCGGGGCATTGTACCTGGAAAAAAAGGTTGATGTCAAACCTCCGATGAACGGAGCATTCCTCACCGAAAGAGTAGACGTACCAATGGTTGTTTTGGCTTGGCAAGAGATAGGCCCAAGATGGGATGCGGGTATCATTAGGGATTGAGGAGAGGATGCTTGAGATGAGCGGAAGAATAGAGTTAGACCCATTTTATTTCAGATAGTGTTTATCTAACGCACTCTCCTTCCGTGGTGTTAGAAGTAGAGCAATTAGAAGCATAATTTCCCCACCTGCAACAATTAGGCTGTTTATGGGCCTCATACGTGGTACCGTGCACAGGACTTACGTGAGGTAGGGCTCTCCCTGGCAGCCAGCGCACGCGCTAATCAAATTGTAGGTGACAGAGGAACATTTGCCTTTTAAATGCCAAACTTTGAGTGATTGAACGATGGCCAGGGACGCGGTACGGGACGTACACTTTGATGGAGGGCCGAGGCTGTTCCCCAGAGGGGCAGCATACGGCACGCAACTCGGGGATAGACTCCAGACTTCCCCAAATCCTTGAACAAAGGGTAAGCAATGTAACAAAGGAAGCCTCGAGGAGCATACCATCACAAACTCCAGTCAACCACGCCGCTACCTAGCAAAGCAACCAGTGATCGGCAAGCAATGTAGGCAAGAGCGCCGTCACTTACCAGGCACGGATTCTGGCCTAACGAGTTCTTTGCCTAAGGGAACGACTTCGTTCATCCCCGAACCAAAGACCGTTGGAGGTTACTAACCCAATCGTAAGACGGATGGCAAACAACGTATGAGGATCCGAACAGTTGCTGAGTAGAGTTCAGAGGTGCAGTTGTCTTGAAACGGAGTCCCTGCGCGAAGCCTTTCTGAACAAACAACCACAGGCAGAACAGGCCTACCCCCAGAACGAAAGCCATTCACGAAGATGAAAGAAGAGGACGATAAGGACTAGCGCCAACCACGCGCCCCCAAAATGCAAAAATGGTGACTCATGCACATATCAGGCAGCCCTCGGTAGAGCTTCCCAAGACGGCGATCTCTGAAACTGTGCGGAACGTCCACTAGCATAAAACGAATTCCCTGCCCTGATAATGATAACTCGGTTCATTCCAGTTGAAAAGGCTATACACCCAGGCGGTGCTGCAGAGCTGAGGAAACCGAACTCGTGCGCGAGCTTTTCTCCAACCTCATAACGAATGAAGCTAATTGAAAGGACACATAATTAACGTTAGCGGTCATCATGCCACTTCGCAAAATCTCAGAGAGTGATCCTTTTGAATTTACCTGGCTCTGAATCTCTGGGTTCCACCACGGTTGGAGTCTGGTGCGAACCTTAATTCTCATTCGCATACAGGTTTCATGCTTGTGATATCCCTTCTGAATTCTGAAGTGAACCCCAGATTCAATGCGATTCTCCCCTGGACCGCCTCACCGTGCCTCCCTCACCTCTTACCTTGTCATCATCAACCAACATCAATTCATCCTGCCCCGCGGACTGGTTCTAACCGAATGAAGGACGATGATGCAGAGTGTAATGTGACCCAGAAATCACAAGTTGAACTATGAGAGCATTCGAAAGCAAGGAGAATGATACGTCCAGAATACAAACCAGGATGTGTAAAATTAAAAGAACATTCTTCGACGACACCCAACAAAGGTCAGGGTAGAGGCGCAAAACTGCTGGCGATGAAAAGTTGGGCACCTACTTAACAAAAAATGTGATGGCAAACAGAAGGTGTCTTTTGAATCTTATGCATTAATAGGAAGCGAGGTGATCATGGGCTGGAAAGAAAGCCGGCTCATTCATTTCCAACACCGCGATAAAGACAAGAGTTAGCACCGAAGCAATGGAGATAGACGGCGGATGACAGTTTCCTGCTGGTTGAGATCTCAGAAGCAACCTGCCATTGTTGTGCGACTTTGCGTCGCATCAATACATTGCACGTGCACCTTGGACACCCAGTGGGCGAAGCCTCGTTAGGTGGATTATTTGTATAACTTTCATTGGCCCCTAATAGGCCAAACCCGGCCTGTATATACTGTTGTATATCCACTTGTATATACAAGCGTGCGAATTAACTTCAGCGGCCGCTGCCCCTACTTACAGTCCGTGCGGAGTGGTACTGCGATATTGAACGGAAATGAGATTGCGCAAACAGAGTAGCATTGCGATGAAGACTTGTGAGAGTATGTACAAATGGTATCAAGACAACCATTAGCATGATATGGAGTATGAGTGCAATCGTATATACAAATGAAGCGATGACATTAAGATAATGAGATAAACGTTAGCACGAGGGGAAAGCTTGCAAAAATATTGTACAAATGGAATGATTATAAGAAGCTTATGTGTTCGTATGATTAAAGTTGAAGAAAGTCTGCGATTGTCGTGGATCAGCTGTCGGGACACTGGGAGACATACCTGGCACCTCCATACCCATCATAGGTGGGAAATGGTGTTGGTGAGGGATGAATGGGTAGCTGAAAGGCGGAATTGCTGGGGTTGAAACCAGTCCATATGGCATGCCATGAAAAGTACCGGCAGGCTGGCTGTTCGAGGGGCCAGGGAGAGATGCAAAGATATCGGGATTGTGGATGGAGATGGGAGGGAACCCCACAAGTCCAGCATTGCTAGGCAATGGTTCTTCTGCCACTAGAGTCGAGACACTAGTAGAAGAGACTCGGCGATCTTCCTGGGGAGCAAAAGATTCACCGTTTGCAGACCCAGCAAAGCGGTCACATTCAGACCCCACCCTACGACGCTTGGCCACCTTCTTTCCATCCTCACAATCCTCTACAAGAGTTGCGGCTTTTCGAGTGCGCTTCGGCTTTTGCAAAAACACACCCGCATCACCGGATGACAATATGGCCTCCTCATTAACAGCAACAACAATAACATCGCTTCCAGAAGGCCTTGACTGTATGAAAAGCTTAGGTTGATTATCGGCTCCAGTGCAGGAAGTCCACAGCATCTCCCAGGTGTCCGTCTTTTTCTGCAAGTATTCCCCCGAAAAAACATGTGCTAGTGGGAGGTTGTCACGCCAATTCACAAGCTGTTTCCCCTGCCGGATCAAACGAGCAATGAACTGGTTCCACTGGAAGTTCTTTTTGAAGGGCATGCTGGCTTGCTCCGCGATCTGGCACAAATATTCCCGACATTTGGACCTTAATTTGTCCCGTCCCACGGCTTCTGTAGCCGGTGCATCAACACCCGAAATTATACTGTGTAGCTCGGGGATAAATGTAGTCTCCTTGCCGAGCTTACTAGTGATAAATTGGTGCAGATGTGGTGAATTGGACTCGAAGGTGCCCATGTCGGAAGCAGCCTTATGGGATGGAAGAATCATCATGGCCATGTGAATGCCAGCGAAACGTGCTGCAACAGAATCCTGCTTCCAGCTCTTGACAATCCGCTTTATCATCCCCCCCTGGTCCTTGGCATCATCTCGGATCATTGAAATGCTATCCCGCTTCTTTGCGTCCTGAAGTTGGATCAATTCTTGCGCCTTAGCCTGCCAGCCCTGGCTGCCCTTTCCACCATGATCCTGAGTAAGCTTGTTATAGTTGGGCCGAGCAATGTTCTGAATGTACTGGTCATAACGCATGCTGGAATCCGGATTGGGGTTGAGTTCGAGGTATGCGTTCCATGGGTTCCCCGAAGCACGGCGTTCACGGGTAGCAAAAGCAAGGCTGATATGATTGAGTGCGGAGGTGATGGTGCGATGTCGACTCTCAGCCCAGTCATTGACGGAAATCAGGAAGGATTGATAAATAGCGTCTAGCTCCTTAATTTCCACCTTTGAGTAACGTCCAGCCACTAGGGGAGACACATCTGCCTCAGGATCATCAAAGGAATTGATCAGATCCATCTTGGCTGCCGCAACATCCTCAAGCTCTGGGTAATTCACGTTCACCCCGGAGGGGTCCCCAATCAAATTCAGTTCTCTGGAATCATCATCAAACCCGCCAGCCTCGCCATTAACAGTTTGGCCAACAAGGGGAGTATTATCGGCAATTGTGCTGCTAGGGAGGCTGCCAGTGCTGACAACAGGGTGAGTCGCCTGATCGCTGGCCTCGAAATTGTTGAGTAGCGGACCACGGCAACTGGGTCCACCCGTAGTGTCGGGCTCGCTGCTGACCTGCTCACTGGATTCAGGGTTTGGCTGTGATTTATGGAGATTACGCTCGTCAAGGGCAGTAGGAGCTGGTGCCGCGTCCGGCTCGGCCTCGGTGCTCTTGGGTTGCGGGTCAAGGCAAGTGGAGTCACCTGCGGCATCATGGTTGCCACTGACCTGCTCACCAGCTTCAGGATTCGATGGTGGCTCACAGAAACTGGATTCACCAGCAGTGGTCAAGGAAAGGGAAGCTGGTGCCGCGTTCAGCTCAGCGTGGGTGCGTGGACGACGAGGGATTTTCAGCACAATTTTAGAAGAGGGAGTGGAAGGGGAAGGGATGTTGGATCGTCGGGGCGAAACCTTCTTCTTCGAGTTGTGTGCAGCAGCACGTTTAGGTCTCAGGGGGGCCACAGGCACAGCAGATGGCTCCGCACTGGAGGTGGGTGGCGGCAAGGCAGCATTTCGCCGTATGAGGAAAAAATCATCCGTACTGTCAGGTGCAGTTGAGGTTGTTAACTTTGGATTGGGTCTGGGGCGGAGACAGCGCTGGGTATTAGAATCTGACGACATGGGCAGTGAGCGGATGACTGGCTGCATATCAGTTATGCTATGCGAAATTTGAATGTCAAAAGTAAAACACTCACCGTCTGGAAACGAAATGAGATGACAGGCTTGTTATTTTCAGCGAAAGGTTATTGTCAAACTCTTCAAGCCAACGATGCAAGGGACAAATGAAACAATTTTACGACGTTGGCGCGTCGTAAGCATGCACCAAATGTCAATAAAGGTGTGCAAGCGAAAACAGGGGAGGGGGTTGAACAAGAAAGCCCGACCACTCCGTGACGATGCGCCAAAGACGTGGGTGAGGATCCCTGTAACTCTGTGTGATGAAGCGGTAGAACAAGTACTTGAACTACGGCGGCGATAACGTGACGTTCTCGGCACCGGACCAAATACACATACACAAACACGTTTACTTGGTGGCCGACATGCATCCTAAACTCTTGGTCAAGAGGAGCATCGCAACTGAACTAAGGAAAGACCTGGCGGATATGTTTCCATTGCACTACCTGTGCCCATCAAATTCTTGAGCGACAGACACCCCTCGTTCAAGAATGAGTCAGCCTCATTCTCGAATTCCCGCATAGCGAGAATATGAAGCAGCATGTGGTATAAAGAATGGAAGGAAACATGTTTACACAAAGTATAATGCATGTAAATTCAGGGAGAAATGAGATTACTTGCTCAGAGGCCTCAGGAACTCGCCAACAGAGCGATCAGCGTCTATCTGCAAAGTCCACATTCCCTTTTTGAATCGAAGCTCCTCTTTCTCTGATCCACGACTGCTGATAGTAACTTCTGCATGTTTCTCCCTTGCCCATGCAGCAATTCGGCGAATGAAAACATTCATTTCACCACCTTGAACCGGCCAAATTTCCGCCACGAAGTTGATACCACCATATGCATTGCGATCAATGCCAGCGCTGTAGTACAGCAAGATAGCGCAACAGATCATCTCGAAACGCCTGAGCTGAATCGTCCGCTGTTCACTTGGCAACGAGGCAATGCGCTCTGAAAGCCACGACGTTGAGAATGTGTAACATTGAAGCGTTCGCTTCTGGAGGACCTGGTGAGGACTCGCAGGGATTGGTGGGTAGCTCCAATAGTCCAGGACAACGTCAGGGATGATGTCATGATGAAGAGGAGGAGGGGCCAATTGACGAAGTAGAGCTTGCTCGTATTCGTTGATAGCATGCTCATAGACACATGAGATGTACACTAGGTCGTCAGCGGAGGCGAAAGCCGCAATCCCCTTCAAATTCGAGAGAAGCATGCTGGTGGTGTGATCATCGAAAAAATGGCCCGTGGTGAAAATAAACTGCTTGAAGGAATCCACGAAATTCAATTCCTTCAGCAAGAACGTATGTCTCCATGCATGAGCGACATTATTGCCCTTGAGATCCTTCCTCAAGGAAGATCTGAGCATGTTCGCTTTAACACCCCAAACACCACGCGACCGATACTGGGCAGCGAGGTTTGCTGGCACGAGGTGATGCGGCAGTGTTGCATCCCAACATTGAGTGGATACTTCAACCTTGAACCACTTGTGTGCGGGAATCCGCACAAACGGGGTCGAAGTAAGCGAGCCACCAACGACTTGCTGTTCTTGTAGATGCTGCACTGGAGTGCTGTGGAGTCGGGGGCTAGAAAGTGGGTGGGCACGAGACTGAGAGCCATCGGAAAGCTGGGGGCGGGAATGGGAACGAGAGCGGGGGGCGGGGCGAGAATGGGAACGGGAACGGGAACGGGAACGAGAACGACGACGGGAACGACGACGATGGGAACGAGAATGAGAACGACGACGGGAACGAGAATGAGAACGACGACGGGAACGAGAATGAGAACGGTGACGGGAACGGGAATGGGAACAGGAATGGGAACGAGAACTACGACGGGAACATGAACGGGAACGGGAACGGGAACGATGACGGGAAGAGGGGATGCGAAGGGGGAGAGGGAACAAGAACGGGAATGCAAACGCGAATGGGAATGGTGTTGTCGAGACACCTGATGCACAGGATGAGATGAAGATCCACGAGCAGGTGACACCGAGCGACACGGGGCAGGCCTCCGTGGAGGGGGCGATGTAGGCGATTGAACTGTAGACCAAGAGCGCTTCATGAGGTGAGATGGTGGCGTCCGAGGCCTCTCAACAGTACCGCCTGCCTGGACCTCGCTTGACAACTGAGGCTCAACAAGGCCCACAGACGTTGACGCTAGTGGTCCCACAGGCCTCATCGTACTAGGTGGATCAACGTCCATCACAGCCGGTCGTGAGACAGCAAGCTCAGACAGAACGCCTGGGGGCAGATCCTCAAAGGATGTTCCTGAGTCTCGAAGAATAGTTAAACTATCCTTCCGACGCTGTTGGAGCTCGGTTTCGGACATCATCGCTCGTCGCTGTGAATTGGGCCACAACTTGTCAAGATACAGACGTAGAGTGGATGTCCGCACCCCTCTGCCAGCCTTGTTACCCAGTGCTGGCTTGGCTTGTTCCTCCGATATCCGCTTCAAACAGATCTCGCTCCCAAGGTATGCGCCAGCTATCAATAATCGCCCCTCTGGATGATCGAGTGTTTCCTTCACCCGCTGAAGTTCCTTATAAATTCGCCTCGAATAGGCCCGCCTGCTTTCACCCTGCTGTTGGGGATACTTCCGCTGCATCACCATGGTTGTGCTTATATCCAATTCACATCCACTATCCGAGCTGCCTGAGCTGTCGGGAATTGGAGGCGCACTTGAAGTGGAAGGCGCTGCAACGGGGGGTGCAACAGGGGGGAGAACGTGGGTGGACTGGTGACGACGATCAAGGGGATGCTGGGATTGTAGTCGTGAGGTTGTGTGGCCTACGATCAAGGGGGGCAGAGGTGGAGGAGGGAAATGCGGAGGAGCAGAGGGACGAGGATCAGGCTGAGCGTGGAAACCTCTTGGTTGGTGGACCGCCTCCGACTTGGCAACAGCCTCGATATTAACACCTCTGCCAAAGTGCTTTTGGAGCACAGTGGACGTACATTGGGGGAGGGCAATCGGCCGAGGGGGTTTAGACAGGCCCAGCTCGTCCGCAACAATCCACACAAGACTTTGCTTCATATTCGCCTCTGTCAGTGGATGGACTATCCAGGGGAAAGCCCGAAGGATGCTCGACGCGCTTTCCTCAAAGAAGAGATTTACTCGAACATGTTGCTCCACCCTGACTGGGCGGCTTGTCGCGACGTGTGCGGTTATCTGAGGTCTTTCTGTTGTTCGTGGACCGTCCCATACCCGTACCTGAAAAATAGGGACACCGTGACGATGAAGAGTCGATATATTACTATCGGACAAATCAAGGTCATCGAAGAAAGTAGCGCCCATCATGTTTTCATCAACTGGATGATGCAACAGTGGCCGGCGGATGGATTGATGGATTACGTCAACCATGGTGAACATAGCATACGTGCACCAGGCTCTCATCTCATACACGCCACGGCAGAAGTCTGCAAGAACGAGAGGATCAGGGTTATGGCCTGTTTGTTGGGGATAGAAGGGATAAAGGGACGCAAATTGATGGGACGGGGAAGACCAGGAAGGCCTGAAGGGGACAATATGAATACAACACGCAAGGTGGTTCCAGGCCAAGTATAACTCGTAGACGACCTCGAACCAATTGACAAGCCTCTCGCGAAGGTGTTGACTCATTATCCACGGCCTAGCGTTACGGAAATCATCTTGTATTATACTGTGGTAATCGAGGGGGGGTCATTGGCATAGCGGGTGAGGTAGGGATAGTGAGGACGGCTTAAACGATAAATGGTGGGGTTCTCCACAATGTCACTTGGATCAATCCTGGGGTATCCCCATGAATGACCGTCGTAGAGGGGGAGAGTGCCTTGCCGATCGTATGGATCCGCAGCCGAAAAACCTTCTGGATACCCCTGAAAATGATAGGCTTTTGCCTTCATACTGTTTGATGCGACTAGTCGCCAATGTATAACACAGTATACGTCGACAGACGCTAACGAATGATTTAAAAGTGCCCACAATTAGATTGAGTGACACGACATGAGGAGATGGATCCAACACACCGAAAAGTTCATTATCCTCTTTGATGACATCCTCAAGACGTTTGAGTCGAGATTCGGTCATGGGCCACTGATCCCGCAGCCAACGTACAGTAGTGCGCCGTAGATGACCAGAAACACGGTCGTAATTGAAAGGATCGAGAACTGGATACCGTTCTGAAGGCGTCAAAGGCACTGGAGTGCTGCCTTCAAATTCGACGATGATCCACCCAGGTCGTTCTGGCAATGAGAATCGCGGCTCTCCACCACCGAACCCATGACCAGGGGCGTCCGGGACAACCGCTGGCGGATGGGAGGGGCTGGGCTGGATAGCTGAACCTGACGAAGTACCGGCGTTGGATGGCGTTGGCTTTTTTTTGGTAAAACGCAAGTTACGAGGTATTGGCTGTAAACAAGGAACAATGAGAACTAGCTTTTGACGAAGGAAAATCGTGCTAACCTTAGCGGTCGAGGGACCAGAAGAGGTGATGGGTTCGCCCGTAGGTCGTTTCTCCGCAGCGACCTTGTCGGCTGCGTCAGAAACGAGAGACGGTTGCCCAGTGTTGTCGCCCGCCACATGCCCAGTGCCCTTGGATGTAGAGGAAGCCAAACCACGCTCAGTGGCCGCACGGTTCATGGAAGGGTACTGTTTTTGAGACATTGTTTGAGCTGGGGAGCGAACGATTGTACGATTGTGGAGCGAAATGATTAGACAAATGAATTCGGCCAAGTCCGCTTCACTATAGCAGCGTGACCTTCTGGGATTGCCGACAATATTGGCTGACAATGGGCGAGTCACGTTTCCGGAGCCCGTGAGAATAGTTCGGAGTGCACCTCGCAGCGACGATGGGTCCCGACTCCGCGAAGTGACGGCTATCAAGCTGCGAATGTTTATACTTACTGGATTCGGTATCAAAGAATATTGGGCCTCCTTATACTGTCTTGTTCTCTGCATTTATCACACCGCTATTCCTGGAATCTTATCAATCCGTCGGCCTCAAAGAATATTGGACCTCCTTATACTACAATTCAAATTCAAGCACACGCTGAGGCCAACTCACTTTGTTTATGTCGAGTCTTGCGGCGCCTTCGATTTATTTTTCTTGCCTGATTTGGCTCGGTTGCTGCCAAAGATAGTGCGCATTCACAGCGCTGATTATATAAACCACAATTTTTGGACCTTACGACTTTTCCTCAGTTCACGTACTACGGGACTGAGGTGAATATAAGCTTTTCCCTTTACTCTTGTGTCCGTCAAGTTGTATCTCATTCTTGTACACCAGCGACGTGATTACTTCAATATATTTCTAGTTCACATACTATGGGACTGAGCGACGATATCGCTAGCCCCATTTTGTCTTATTCTCTGTATTTATAACACCTCTATGCCTGGAATCCTATCAATCCGTTGGTCTCAAAGAGATATTAAGCCTCATACTGTCCGGTCCCCTGCATTTAGTAAACCTCTGTTCCTGGAATCTTATCAATCCGTCGATCCCGAAGAATATTGGGCCTCCTTTCACTGTCCTGTTCTCACACCTCTATTCCTGGAATCTTGTCGGCCTCAAAGAATATTGGGCCTCCTTGTACTGTCCGGTTCTCTGCATTTAGCACATCTCTATTCCTGGAATCTTATCATTCCGTCGATTCCGAAGAATATTCGGCCTTGTCCTGTTCTCTGCATTTATCACACCTCTATCCTGGAATCTTATTATGTAATCCGTCGGCCTCAAAGAATGTTGGGCCACATTATACTGTCAGGTTCAGCACATCTCTATTCCTGGAATCTTATCATTCCGTCGTTCCGAAGAATATTCGGCCTCCTTTGTTCTCTGCATTTATCACACCTCTATTCCTGGAATCTTATCAATCCGTCGGCCTCAAAGAATATTGAGCCTCCTTATACTGTCCGGTTCTCTGCATTTAGCCCATCTACGGAGCTTCCCATCTCTATTCCTGGAATCTTATCAACCCGTCGATCCTGAAGAATATTGGGCCTCCTTTTACTGTCCTGTTCTCTGCATTTATCACACCGCTATTCCTGGAATCTTATCAATCCGTCGGCCTCAAAGAATATTGAGCCTCCTTATACTGTCCGGTTCTCTGCATTTAGCCCATCTACGGAGCTTCCCATCTCTATTCCTGGAATCTTATCAACCCGTCGATCCTGAAGAATATTGGGCCTCCTTTTACTGTCCTGTTCTCTGCATTTATCACACCGCTATTCCTGGAATCTTATCAATCCGTCGGCCTCAAAGAATATTGAGCCTCCTTATACTGTCCGGTTCTCTGCATTTAGCCCATCTACGGAGCTTCCCATCTCTATTCCTGGAATCTTATCAACCCGTCGATCCTGAAGAATATTGGGCCTCCTTTTACTGTCCTGTTCTCTGCATTTATCACACCACTATTCCTGGAATCTTATCAATGTATCTAGAACTGAGGTCCGTTTACAGTAATGTAGTAATTTCATATTATGTAACTGTAACTAGCGTTCATTCAACACTAGGTAACTATTGAGTAATGGATTTATGTAGTTTACGCGTCTAGAACTGAGTGGTCATGCAACGCTAGGTGTTCTAGTCTAAAATATTACATATCAATCCGGGTTTTGCAACAGCCACGTTCGCACGGCTGAGCGAATAAACGAATAAATTCGGCCAACTCCGCTACAAAGCAGCTGAGCGAGTAACTCGCCCAGAATCTATCACATGTCCCTTTATTCCGACTATATGGGAAATTCCGTTCATTCAGAATTTCCTTTCTGTATATTACCTTGGTTTGCACGCTATGCTAGCTCACCCTTCTTCACTTATACTGTCCTGTTCTCTGCGTTTGTCACACCACTATTCCTGGGATCTTATCATAATGTCAATGATCCCGCGTCGGAGCCGACCCTTTCGGAAGCAACTGAGAGGGCGTGACCTGGAATAGTTCAATGTCCACTCGCTTGCTACAGCCCCCGAGCCCTCGTAAGTGAAACCTCTCAGTCCAGACGCAAGTTCTCATGCAAGTTCTTCCATTCAGATCCCTTGCTTTTCCATCTGTACTCTGCGATCGAAACCTTTTCATTTTGGCGTTGATTAGTTTTGTTTTTGTGTTGTCGTTTGGGCTCTGCTGTCGAACGCCTTGTTGCCTGACGTCAAGGCTTGATCGTTTAGTCCCCTCGGCCACGTCGGATTTGAATCCTTTGTTCAAACTCTGTGACCAAGCGCCTTGTTGTCCGACATCGAGGCCTGATTGCTTAGTTCCTTTGGCCTCTCACTTTGCAATCGTGTGTCCATTGCTTAGCGTTGTACACTCGCTTGCTTAGTAACTTCAATATTGCTACACCTGTGTATTGATCTTCTTTACGCTTTAACGTGAGTGTATTTTCACTGGTGCTTTACATTGTTGGCCGACAGCGATTGTTCAGATGTACTCCAATTACAAAAAGTCAGCGAAGCGTCGAGTTCGGGATGCTCTCAAGCGTGAACAGAAATCGGGTATCGTGAGGACGACCCCAGTCAGCAGTATCCCCTGCATCCAAGCATACGAGGAATTCCAGAGGCAAAAGTTCAAATTGGCCCCATTACACGATGCCCCCACTTCATCTCAGGGTCCTTCAGCCGCAAATCCTAGTTCCCCTCCCCACACCTCACCTCATCCTATGGACGAATATATATCTGAGTCTCTTCACGTCATTTCCGGCAAGGAAAAGACATGTGAGCCAGCCCCCCCACCGTTACCCCTTGATATCATGTCTAAGCATGCCATGCGACGCAACCATCAGAGGACGCGGTGGCACGTAGATGTCCTGCCGCGTCTGATACGACCGTATATGAAGTGGATGCGGGAACGTTCTGCTTCATCAGAACGAAGCGAACCCCGTCAGCACTGTGATTGTGCCGGCCCTCACCGAGTGGATGACGTGCTCTGCGTCTACATGTCACGGCTTGAGAAGCGGCAGATAAGGCATTGTGAAGAGCAAACACTCACTGTGCAGCTCGTCGAATGCGGCTTGTTTCCCTGTGCCCCAGTCCGACCCGAACTTGCTGTGAGCATGGTAATGCTTGACTGGGCCTCTACGCTGTTCTTACACATGGCACCGAACATACGGGCGTGGACAACAACTGCCGAAATTATGCTTCAGCGTGAAGGGCATCATTTCGGGACTGCGAGTTCATTTCGTCGTCGCTTTAGCAACTCCCTTGTGCACTATCAATTGCTCATCAGACTCGTCGATGCAGAGATGGACCGCATGGCAAGCGCCATCCCCATTCCACCTCGTCTTCTGCCTGGCCACCTCCGCGAACCATCCTCGCCACCTTCAGTCTCAAATTGCCTTCCGGAATCAGACATGGATGTCGATCCTTCCCATCCAGATCCCAAGATCCCATCAGATTTAACGTCCAGCATACCCAGCGTTCTTCAAGCTCCGACCGTTCATGTAAATTTGGATGAGAACACTTCGATCGATGCGCGAGAATATCGAAATGCTCATACATCCCCTACGTTTTCACATCCTGACCTCCCCAGTGACTACCTCCGGGGAAGGTGTCCATGTTGTTTCGGCTCTACATCTAGTCCCACACCCGAGTTGTCAGCAGATTGCATCGTTTCGTTCGATGCAAATTTTCAGCTGAAGAGGATCAAAGACTATGATAGGAGGCCCCAGTACCGCGGATTGAACAAGATTGGTTCTCAGGATCCCAAAATGACGTCACCTCAAACAATTGAGGTTCCCCGCGGTTATGCTGAGATGTGGCAGAGCAAGGTTGCTGAAATACGTGAACCCAAACGGAATTTTCGGGCTTCGAAAGGCAAAGGAAACATGGGTAGCGGCAAGGACGATCTTTCCAAGCAAAACCATGTCACCCCAGGGCTCAACCTGACAGAGAGCACGTATGATGGCTGTGAAGGCTCGTTCACGGCTGCCGACGGGGAGCGCCAGAAGGCATCCAAGAAGTACTTCGACGAAACGGGCATTATGTCTGCTGTCTGTCGTCACGGCATACCGTTATTCTACGTCAGCGTTTGGACTCCAGGGGAACAACAGTTCTACATACTTTCATTACTCGGGAAGCTTATAGAGCATCTCCCTTCGTCGTGGACCATCGGGTGCCTGTATGACATTGGTTGCCAGACTGATCGTGCGCTTCACAAGTGGAACATTGCACCTGAGTGGCGGTCACGTCTGGTGTGGGGCGTCTCTATCTTTCACGCCTATGGACATCAATGGGCTTGTCAGCTATGGTATCACCCTCGGAAGGATCGTGTCTGGGGTCTTTCGGATGGTGAAGTGTGTGAGCGTTTTTGGAGTGAACTGCGACAGCTCATACCAAGTCTTCGGGTTGCGGGGTACCACCGTCGTCTCTTTGTGCTTGACATGCAGATGAGCCATATCACTGATACGAAGTGCCTGGATTTGGGGAATTGGTTGCACCATCACATCACAAATGCCAAGAAACGTCTTGAGTCGGCTCAACAGGCCCTCAAGGAGCAGAATGTGGATGACATGCTGGAACATTTCAAGGCACAGCGTCAGTATCACTCGAAGCCTCAAGCTCGGCAAACCAAGACTCCCGTCCGCACCAAGATCGAGGCCATCATGGGCTGGAAGGCAACCATTGAGAGTTCTAGGTCACTTCTAGAAGACTTGAGGTGCAATATGCCTACCGGCTCTGATTCAGTGGCAGAACTCCTCCTGGCAGATTGGCAGGAATGCGTTGATGTCCTTGACAGCAGCATCGCGAGGCTGAGGAGTTCTGTAGAGAAGGCCACGAAGGAGTTGCAGGCTAAGGATGATACACATGAGGAACTCAAGAAGGCAGAGAAGGATGTATGGGCAAATGGCTTTTTGAACCTTCGTGTGCTGCGTGATCAGTTACTCCGCAAATTACGTGCAAGAAAACAGGAGCTGCAACGACTTGATCAATCTCATGGAGGACGAGTCGCTGACCAGAGTTTACGAGATCATGTAGACAAAGCAGTCTCTCGTCGTTCGGCTGGAGTTGATGCCACTCTGAAGAAGTATAACGATAAGATCTTACAATTGGCTGAGATGAGAGGGAGAAATGGGGTTGCTGAAGATGCATGGCTTCCCTCACCGCTCAGAAAGGAGGGTCTCTATAAGTTGGATGTAGATCAAGATATATGGCAAGATTGTGATCCTTCACAGTTCGAAGAGCTACCGGCATGGCTCGCTGATCCATGTGTAAAGGAAGGTATCCCTTCAGCACAGATGGTTGTCAGCTGCCAATCTGAGATTGCCAGATGCGAGGCTGAACATGCCAATCTCCGTCAATGGATATGGGAGGAGAGTTACCGAGCCGTTCACCTATACTTTGCTGCCCTTGGAAGTGATGTTGACGTTGCCTTTTTTTCCCTCATGCGGATTCACAGGCTTCATAAGCTACAAAATCGCTGGGAAGGAAGTACCAAAACTTTCGAGATCTCCGCTGGTACAAAAGATTGGGCTCCCAATGACCCTCCACCCTCTCTTCACGCGTTCCATAGTCTGCCCGAAGTTCAGGCTCTTGCTAAACATCATAACCCAAACCATTCACCCCCAGTCCACAGGGTGCCTGACGATGGTTCTGTCAGGTCCGACAGCGACGAGAGTGATATGTTTGAATTGAATGGTTCAGAGGAAGAAGATGAAATGCTTGCACGGTTAATAGAGGCAGCTGAGGCAGGTGGCGCATCTCTAGATTAGAATGTTTTATATATACATCCGGGGCGTGGCATTCAATATAACAATATATTTTGGACAACTCCGCATATATATATATATAGTCCAACTATGCCTTCGGATCTCCCCGTAAGTATTGGCAACTTCCCACATCAGTTCTTGCGCACAGACCTGGGGATGGTTATACTTAAGCATGGGCCCAACTCGGGTTCCTCCTTGTCTCTTTTCCCTTTTTCTGTTTCTTTCTGTTTCTTTCTACCCTTTTTTTTTTTTTTTTAATTCATCATTTCGTTTTCTGTTCGCTGTATGAATAGACAGTCAACCCCTTCCCGCAACCCCCCGGTGAGTTCTTGCATGCATGTTAACAAGGGAAAGATGGAAAATACAATGGAATAAAGAGGTTGTTTGATGACTCGGATGATGACGGGGAGGGTTATATGTATAGGAGGGGGAGTGCGCGTGTAGCATCCCTCCCGTTACGGAGGGGATTGTGGCGGTTGCAAAGCTTAAAAAAAGATGTAACTATGTTGTGTTTCAGGCGTGTGCGACATCCTAGTGGGTTGCTGCTACGCACCTGATGACTTGAGAAGCTTCTTTATACAATGATGTGCACACTCTAAATCACAGTATGTCTGCAAATGGTACTTTTCCTGCTTACCTTCGGCTTCAATACACAACGACAAGCGTGGAATCAACCTGAAGGCGCTTCATTCCCATGTGGAATTGATAGCGGAACATAGGTCAAACTCTTCAATATGCAAATCTCAATAGATGCACAGGGTTGAAAAAGAAAATCAACGCCGAAAATTATCATCAGCGGATATTGTTACTGTCTAGCAAGTCACTGGACACACTGAGCTGAATTCACGCTCAGACTCCAAGAGGGCAAGGACATCCGACTCACGAACTGGTACCTTGACGTTTCGAATGATAGAGCGTTGCATCTCGTCCATCAACTCAATACGAACCTGTGGGTGACGTTAGGCCCTGCGGATGAGCTGCAGAAATCTGCAGACCTGGGTCACACCTCCGCGAGAGCCAGTTCAACCCAAAACTTTAATGACACCGGCAAGTTTGACGGGTTGCTTTGCAGAAGTGGCATCCTGTTACGATGAGAGCGTTGGTCATGGAATTCAATAGTGTACAGCCAAGCGTGAGGATCGACTTTGAAATCCTTCATGATATCGAGAAATTGGTTGGCCACCGGACTTAACCTAAATGCGGGAGAGTACTTAACGTTGAGGGGATGCGGCCCAGGAGAGACAGGTGTCGTGGAGGGCGTGTTTGAGACATTCCAGGGGGACGGACTGCCGGTATCCCAGCCATATAGACTTGAAGATCACACTAAGCATAGAATGGCGACGTGACGGGAAGCGGAAGCGACAGGATGATATGGATGACTGAAGGAGACAGAGGAGCTCGCGCGTCAGAAGCATAAAGTCCACGTCATCGACAGGAAAGGGCGCAATGCAGCAAATCTGCAGCACTATGATACTCAGGATACAGTATTTGTCAGGGAGAATCATGACAAACAACGGCGATACTCTCGCCTCCGCCTCGCCATAAGGAGAGGTGAAGGACATTAAAAACGCAAGAGGTGCGACGGTCGAACGGAAGAACGTATGAAATATGAAAAGAGAGGGTCTCACCTTCAGCCCGCAGTGGCCCAAGCCACGTTAAGCAACCTGCAAAGCGGGGGACCCAACATCGACCGAGAGGAGAGAGATTGATATAACAATATAACAATAAATTCGGACAACTCCGCAGTAACATGTGGCAACGGACCACATGACATCGGCAGCCGCGGCAAATGTATTCAGGTGCCACCTGTATATACATGGTGGATATACATGAATGTCTATGTATATACAAGGATATCCATGTATATACAAGGATATACATGAATGTTCGCGCAACTTTCCCCGGTTCGCCGCACTTTGGGATTTGTATATCCTTGGATATACAGCCTCGTTTTGGCCCATTAGGCCTATTTTATTCAGCCAAATACCCCACCTCTTAAGTATAAGACGAAATGTTGGACTAGCGATGTTGTCGCTCAGTCCGCTATGCGTGAACTAGAAATATATTGGAGGTATTCACCTAGCGATGTTGTCGCTGGTGTATGAATATTAGATACAAGTTGTTAAACACATAAATGAAAGGAGAGAACTTAGACTCACCTCAGTCCGCTATGCGTGAACTGAGGAGAAGTCGTAAGGTCCAAAAATTGGTGTTTTATAGTCAGGCGCTATCAATGCGCACTGACTTTAGTAACAACTGATCCAAAAAAGGGAAACAAAGTAGATCTTAGCGCCGCAAGACTCAACATCAACAACGTGAGTTGGCCTCAGCGTACGCTTGTATCCCAAGAAATTTAACATTAAGGTCTCCGAGAGAGGGTTGACCAGCCTGGCACGTGAACCCAGAGAATTTCAGCCAACACTAGTCAGCACCAGCACTACTAGTACCACTAGTGCTTGCTCCTGTCATTACGATGTCGTCGGCGGCGGCCGTCAATGGTGGGCAAAACCCTCCAAATGCCCAACCTCAAGATGCGCAACGGCCATCTTTGTGGTCAATGGTGCAGAGAATGTTATTGATTTGGATAGCATCGTGAGCACCTAGGGCCTGCCGCCCAGCTATTCTCTTGGATTCCTCATTTGTTAATACTTGTGTTTGTAGTCAAATTGGTGTGTACTGGTCCTCAAACTTCTCCGAGTCTGACGAGTGACTGGTTGTCCTTACACAGTAACCAAATACGTGTTGAAACCGTTGCTTCCTGAACCCCAGGCAGCGCCGGGTTCCTCAGGACCCGCACCTTCTGCTCAAGGTGTTGGTGGTCCTTCTGCAACAACCGTGAAAGAGAACGCCGTGGCACAGCCCATATGGTCACCAGGAACTAACTTTACGCTTGATCTTTACGTTTCTACCTCTTCAACTCCTTCCGATCTCTTCGCGAAAACCAAGAAAAATGATGGTAACATTCTGGCTCACATTACTTGGGAGAATATAAACTGGGGAAACTGGAGTGTCGACGAGGTTTGGACTGGGGATTTACGCATACCCACTGTGAGATCCTTACATAACTCTCCGCCCACGATGTGCTCATGTTGGGTAGTCTGTAAGGCTAAGCTACAACGATACACCAATTTGGGCGTACATTTTTCTCACCATGAGCGGGTCGAGCCCTGACCCTTATAACGCCATGTTTTTTCCACCGCACGTCCATATGGTTCGCCGCGGTAAGTTCTAGGACTCCGTTGGTGCCATGCTACTGTACCACTGACGAAATCGTCACTCAGTGTTAACTAAATACATGAAGCCGCGAAAGGTAGTCAAGGAGAGAAATCTCCTGAGCTCGGAACAAGAATCTGTTGAAAAGCCTGAGCCGGAACCGGAGGCAGTGAGTGCTTTTTTGTTCATGATTCTCCATTCTGCTTACTCTTCGACTCCCCCCCTTACTCTACGGTTGATTCTCAGAAACTTGTACCGTATTGGTATCGGAATCTCACTTTGGCACTGGTTTCAGACGCCGGGCCAATCCCAATCAACCAACTCCCCCCTCCTATGGCAGAACGTACGTTACTTTGGTCATTTCGTTCACCCCCCATAATAACGTGGGTCCTTCATTACTCTCAACAGACGTCATGTTCACTAAACAAAACCCGAAGAACCCCAACGAAATATCCGAGACGCCTTATTACTATCCTATCGTTTTCCACAATACATTCTGGCACCTTCAGTCTTCGTACGAACCTCTCACTCCCAACAACGAGACGCTTCCATTGCGTATCACGCTCTCCGCCCTGTCGTACTTTAAATTCCAACTCTACGCTGTTATGAGCGCGTCCTTTGAGCAGGCGCAACGACAGGGGGCGGAAGGTGGAGGTGCCGGTGCCAGCGCTGGTGCGGCGGAGCTGGATGAGTTGAAGAGAATGTTGCTTGAGACGAACCCAATCTTGCTGGTGACTACATTTGTTGTCAGTGTGTTACATGTGGTATTTGAGATGCTTGGTGAGGCTTCTTTGTTGTGGTTGGTGGTTCCAAGGAGCAACGGCGTTAATGGGTTTTTAGCATTTACTGCCGATGTTGGTCATTGGCGCAAGAAAGAAGAGCTTACTGGAGTATCGGTTCGGTATGTTACGGTCTATATGGCATTGTTGGTTACATTAATTGCGTTCCTAGCACTATCTTCACAAATGTTTTCATCCAGATCGTCATTCTCCTGTACCTTCTCGACAATAACGAGGTCAGTGTGATTAACGTCCCTTCTACTCTATACTTCCCCACTTCAGTACTCTTGACTCACAATTCGACGTAGGAAACATCCTGGATGATTCTATTTGGACAAGGCACTGGGGCGCTTATTGAGGCCTGGAAGATCACGAAGGTTCTGGACATTAAGATTGTGAGGGCGGCGCCTGGCAATAGATTCCCTTACGCCCTGAAAATCACAGGTTAGCGTTGCTCCTCCCTCGTGGCAAATTCAAGTACCTACTGTCTCCTTTCGTTTAAGACAAACACGTATTATCGGACGATGAAAAGAAGACTCAGGAGTAGGTTCCAGCGAGATATCGCCGATCAGTTCTGATGCTCAATATCCTTTTCTTAACAGATACGACCGACTTGCGTACCGCTATGTCTCCTACGTTGCAGTGCCTCTCCTCCTGGGGTATACCATCTACACCCTTATGTACCAGACTCACAGAGGGTGGTACTCGTTTGTTATCAGTACACTTACATCATTTGTCTACACATTTGGCTTCGTACGTTGTCCACTTTTCCCACCAATGATTTTAAGTACGACCCGGCATTAGGCTCAACTTATCCCTCAACTTATCATTAACTATAAGCTCAAGGTGTGTCGCAGCTAAGAATGTACCGTGACCGACATTCACTCTCAATCGGTTTCAGAGCGTAGCTCATTTACCTGCCAAGGCTTTCGTGTACAAATTCCTTTCGACAATTGTCGACGATCTATTTGCGTGCGTTTGTAACCTTACCGCGAGTTTGAACCCAGTCGTTCTCATTCGGGCTCTATTCTTGACGGTTTAGTTTCTGTATCAAGATGCCAATTCTCCACAGGCTGGCGTGCTTCCGAGATGATGTCGTTTTTCTTATATATCTCTACCAACGTTGGATCTACCGTGTTGATCCCAAACGAGTCAATGAGGTTCGTCCAATTTCCACTATTCAGGTTTATGACTTATTAATCTCTTCGTTAGTACGGGCAAGTCATAGATGCCCAAGTTATAGATGCCGAAGATAAGACGGATGGAGATGCTAAGGAAGGAGAGGAGGGAGAGAGTAAAAAGGACAAATAGTGTCTTGTAGCATGTCATTGTCGTTCTAATCTCAGGGATCACAAGACTGCGTCGCAACCGTATAAGTACCAAGTTCATTATCTCTTGACCGGAAATTTTGGCTAGAGTGCGCATCTGGCAATGAGACTAGATAATAACCTCAGTGACATGGGTGCTCGGTGAATGTAAAATGCGTCCTAGACTCACCTTGAACTGGAGACTGAACTTGTGAGGAGTTGCCTTTGCAAAAGTAGTGAGCACTTCTCCTAATAAGCCACGGTCAACCTTTGAGTAGGCTCAAGGATAATTTCACTGAAGCGAGCTCAGACGCGGTAGAGTGGATAATCATATACAAATTCCGTTCGCACTGGTCCGGGGGTCAATGTGAGAATCGGCAGTATAATTCATCACGCCCATGAACTGCAGTGGCGAACCCGATTTCAGAATGAGACCAGAAAATCTTCCGTTATTTTATCCTCCAGTTACAGTCGTAACGTTTTGATATGAATACATGATCTTTGGGGCGGATGGCCCACAAAAAGTCTCAGCTTCGTCGTCCATTGTAATCCGCCCTAGTTAGGATAGAAATTAGAAAATCGGCATATCGTATGCGCTGCCAGGTGGAATATCTCCATGCATGATCCCACCCGGCTTGCGCCTCAGTTTTGATAGGAACCAGGGTTTAATAAGCGATTCAGTGTCACGGGGAAGCAACGAGTGTATGTATGATGCGTCCCCCTTTGAAACCACGCACCACAGTTGCGCGCGTGAGTCCAACAGAGGCGTCCCGCACAATACGTTGCTGATGTGTGTCGCTGTTGTTCAAGTCAGGGAGATAAAGGTAACACTAAAAAAAACGCAGACTGGAACGATTATTCGTCCTAACAAACGATCGGTAAGAGTTGTCATTAAGAGTCCCTTTCCTTCCTATCGTCTTTATCACCCATATCAGAGGAGAGTGTCATACGTGAGAAATCGAAGGTGAAACCGTCCGAAGTAGCATCGAATAATTTGGGCGCATCGTGAACTTGATTCGGCCGATATACGCTATGATCAAGACTGAATCAGATATGCTGCATATGGACGGGTTGTACGACTGACGATATTGACTTGGTGTGTCGTCCTCGAATGAGAGAGCTGGTACTTCGTTTGGGACGGGAGCCTGTGCGAAAGCACCATTTAGGGGAGGCTGGGAACCAAACAAAATGTAGCTTACTTTTTGTGCCGGGCTGGGGCCACTGAAGTATGCCGATTCCGCAGTGAAACCCACCTCTAATCTTCACTTCCTGAGTTGGTCCCGCCTTGCCCTCCCTGTCGATGATTACATCCAGATATGCAAACCTTGTCGTCGTCCCCCACGGAGCATAAAACACCGTTTTCAAATGAGGCATGCTTCGAGCAAATTTGAGCATGCCCATCGTGACGTAGGGTGACACACTATTCGCCCATTTCCACATGATTGTTTCTGCTGGACGCTCGCGCCAGTGACTCAAGTGGAGGTGGTTCTGCCGAGAGAGCAGAGTGTAGAAGTCGAAGTCGAACACTCCTCCTGGCTCAAGAACACGGATACTGTGTCTCAGATAATCCGCTGGCACCCAGTAATGTTCATCCCCTAATGCTGGGCACTCCGCGATATCCACAGGGAAGGGGAACCCACCAGAAACCTGAATCATCTCCAAGGAAGGGAAGGAGAGTAGGAAAGCTGATGAACCCTTTACAATGAAGAAATTCATTACAATGAACTGTGACTATCGTATTCGAAGAAGCTATTGTCCCACCTGTACAATTAACTGGTTTTCTGGAGTGGGGTCGTTTGCATCCAAGGCTTTGTGGCGTGGGGGCGATTTAATCCACAGATTCTTCAGGTTGCTCAATGCACGGAATCCACTCAGATCTCGATAAAATGGAGAGGACCCAACTGATATTTTGAGAGTGTGGAGTAGGGTCGGATTTGGCAAACTCTCGACGATAGAGCAGACAACTGCAATATCGATGCCGTCTAGAGACAGAGACCGCAGAGAAGCCAAGCACCCTACTTGTGGGGCCCGGTATACGTCGCACCCAAGGTCGGTAATTTGGGGATTATTCGATAAGAAATTGTCAACCGCAGTTGATAACAAAGGAGACGTAAGTCTAAACCTAGTAAGGTGTTCATACGACCCCGTTTGAAGAACAGGGGAAATGACATCTCGCGTAACCGTGGGATGCTCCTCGGAACGAGGAGGGAGGCCCCAAAGAACGGAGAGGCACCTTAAGGTCTTCCTCGCGCCGTTCAATAGGTGACAGCAAAACGCGGCGTCTCGTTGGCGACGAATGCATATGGATAGTTCCTCAATCTCCATTGCACACGTTTCAACTAATGAGGGAGTGAAGTTGACAGCTTCTCCAAAGTCGTTTCCTAGGTTCAGGCTACGAAGCCGAGTCATCCCACAGATTGCATGGGCGATAGGGTCGAAGTTCCAAGGACGGACGTTTGACTCAGAATTGTGTGCTGTGCCCGATACGATCTTTAGGTCACGGAGGAATGGGAAAGCCTTAATTATGACCGCGGTGCCATGCTCGGGGGTTGGCAGATCATCAGAACCTTTCCATGCCGATTTCTCCACCACAATCGTGATTTTGCTAAATTAGTTAGACAATTATGATCTCCTTAGTCACTGCCTCCCCTCACCGAACGCAAGGTCCAGCCTTCTTCACGACGACATCCCATCTGAGCGCTTCGGGATCACGCGGTGGCGCCTCTTTAGGGTCGAGCGGGTAGAAGAGGGTTGTGGACGGCGCAGTGCATTCGCCTTCTGTAAACCAGGCCGTGTGGAGGGGAACGAGCTCTCGAAAACGCCAAGAAAACGTAAGTGCCTCGAGCTATTTTGGAGCCAGAAATGTATACCTCATCTAACGCGAGAACGGGAATGACGCACATGTTTTGAGACAAGAGAAAGAATTTTGAGCCTTCGTCGGCTAAGAAGGGGACAAACGAGTTCGAAAACCAAGAGTTGTCCCTGGGTCAGCATGCTATACTTAAAAACTCTGCCTGTGCGCTGTGGTTTCGGGGCCTGGGGTGAATTCAGAGGTCGGGTGTCACAGCCACATCGAAACTGAGTTTCGGGAGACTATACATATAGCACACAAACTTACACTCGTTATCAACATGCCTACTCTCTTTTCACGCAGTAATGACACTTACGCCCCCCTGATGTCTCAAGAAGCGCCTTCCAACCCTTACAACGCGTCAAGCTCGGTTGCGTCTAACCCTGCCACTCTTTCTACCCTTGGTCACGGTGGATCTCCTATTGCTGCGGTCATCATAGCCCTGGTCGAGATTATCATCATAATCATCTTGACGTTCGCGCTTGCAAAATGGTGTCTCAACCGTCCGGTTCTAGCTCGCAGAAACCAGGCCGCCGAGGCTAGCAAGAAAGCACGTATTTCCGTCCAAAGGATCGATGTCCCGAAGATCGAGATCGTGCTTCCCGAGCCTGTTCATATTGCTACTGAAAAGGATCTTGAAATCGACGGCAATCTATCCCCTATTCTCTCGAATCTGGGATCCACCTTGAACAAGGTAAGAGGAAGGAGCCACACAACAGGAACGTGGCTCACCGATCTCTGTCTGGTCATTCGGAAGGGGACGAAAGGAAATGCACCCCGTAAGGCAGAAGGAAACCCGTGAACTTTTCATTATCGAACGAAGCCCATCATCCATACAACGCTCTTGCCATCGGCCAGACTAGTGTCCTGTACTTAACATCCATGGAGTTGCAACGGCCAGCCTCAAGTGAACCCATATCTGTTTCGCTCTATGATGAGAAGCCCTCAATCCGCACGGCCAGGCAGTTCCAACTTGGCAGGGTAGATGCCAAAGATAAAGGCCGGACAAATGGCAGAACGTCGTACGGTACTGGGGAATGCATGCGGCATCGCACGCTTAAGTTCATAAACTGAGTGTAGTAACGAGCAGACGCACGAGGAGAATTCGGAAAAAATATAAGGAGCAGAGGAAATATGACATGAAAGGATGAAGCAAAAAAAGTGGGAAATGAACAGAAGAATGACTTCAGTTACAAGAATAAGAGATCACCAAAACCTCGAAAGTCCAAATGATTGCAGTGCCTAGGATAAATGAATGTACCTCAAATGGATTCAATGTCCACGAAGATAACGAAACTAAGGTTAATTTTACAGTGCATGCTGCGTGCCACGATAACGCATTAACTCCTCGCGCTCCTCTTCGGTCGTGTACCTTAGAGCCAAAAGCTCGCTTTCTTGGGGGACAAGGTCAGCATACCTTGTTAATGAGCCTTTGGAGGTCCGAGGGAACGTCACTGCAGAAGAAGAACTGTTCCTGAGTGCCGTTTCCGAATATGAGGGATGTATAGGGAGGGCGAATGGTTGTTGGCCCATTTGCCGCGGGTAGAGCTGTCCGTCGCTAGGGGCAAGACCAATACCCCGGGCAGCAGTCACCCTCAGCTTATCTTCCCGTTCCACTGAGCGGCGATGCGACCCCGTAAACATGGAGGCAATGTTTGCAAATCGACTCCGGCGACGGGATGACTTCTCCGAAATAGGGACGAGACTTGGTCTTCTGACTTCATCCTCCCAACGACCAAGTGACGGCGTGGACATCCCGAAGTCGTCCACGCCATAATGGTACAGTATTGGAGGTGGAGCCAAATCGTGAACCTGAGCACCCCGAGGAGGACCGCTAACGGATTGCCGACGTCCCTCTGTTGCCCAGGGAGTACTCACTGTGTGAGGTGGAACGGAAACGGACGCAGGCCGTAAGGATGGTTGACTTCTTGTGACAGGGAATTGATCACCAGGAATAGGAGGAAGGTCTTTATGAATGGATGAGATGGAAGGTGCTCGTGGGGTGCGAGTTGTTTTGACGGTCAATGCAGGCGAATTACTGGCAAAAGTTCGCCACGAATCCTGTCCATAAGGAAAGTTGATTTCAGGTGGCTTCGTCAATCCGTGCACAGAATGGACTGCTCGTTGGCCATCACGGCGATGATAAGAGTCATCTGTATAAACTTCGACCTCATCAATGGGTGTACTAAGCCTACGATCCTCACTGATGATGCTTGTGCGAGGGGAGAATCGACCTGATGTTGGGGTGCTTGGCGAAGGAATGTATAAACTGGGTGCTGATAACGGGGTGTTGGGATTCGGTGCAGCAGAGGGCACCGTAGCAGATCGTGGGTGAGAGAAGGGTACGATGGTTTGCATGGGAGGTGTAGAGACATGCCGACCCTGAGGGGGTCTTTCAGTTCCATTTCGGCTTACAAGGTATGAAAGTGGAGGTGGAGGATCAAGAGGAATGTCGTAGTCACTGGCCTGAGGCCGAAGTCCGTTATTTATCTCAGAAGACTTGGAACGCCGCGTATTCTTCCCCGTCATCATCTTCCACAATCTTCCTAGGCCACCCTTCTTGGGTTTTGTCCGTGCTTCCTCTGGCTGGGGTCGAGGCTCCACGTAGGTTTCGTCAACGACTTGACTGGCACGCCACAGCTCCTCGTCGTAAGGACCTTCGTACATCTCGCTTTCATTTTCCAGCCCCAAACTGCGGAAGCAAGAAAATGATCAGTACGATAATAAAATGTAGATGGGGCTATGACGCACTGTAGAGCCAACATGCTTCCTGAATTGTTAAGTAAACTGACTTCGCTACCGTGAGCGCCTCTCCAATGACGGTATCCAATAAATCGAGGAACCGGGGGCACGGCTTCATTCGAGCTTATCGACTGGACACGATTAACACTCGCATCAGGGCGTCCCGCCAATGGCGATGACAGCCTCTTGTTAGCTGTGGCCGTCGTGGGGGATAACGATATTTGTGATCGATTTCCGTAACTCACACCTTGCAATGGGTTGGTGAGTGAATGGATGGATGATGCATCAGACATAAATGTTCCCATCGACGTCCGGCTCGTCTTGCGGGTGCGCCTGCGCCCAGCACGTTCCTCGGCTTTGCGTCGTTCGCGTTCTTCCCTTTCCTGACGCTTAATGTCGACACGCTCAACAATTAGTCCATTCGGTAGTAGAGTGACTTCACGAACGTCAACCCCATCAGGACTCGCAGAGGCACGCAGCCTGACTCCCTCGTCAACGGACTCCTTTTTTCGCGATGAGGGTCCCTCAGCAAGCGTTGAGCGACGCAATTGAGAATATGTATCCTGCAGACGAGAGTTGCGAACATGGGATTCGTGTTTGCTTTCCTCCCTGGCCTGTAGTTCGGCTGCAAGTAAATCCGCTTGGCTCTTAATGAATTTTTCAAGCGTCTGCCAGCGCGCAGCAGGTTCTTTTGGATTCTATGTGGGATCATGGGCTGATGAGTCCCTAACCTTATCGTCAGACACCCGCACATACCATAGTGAGCCAAACCTGGAGGTTTGCCTCTGTCAACATATCACCGTAGGCTCGTCGCTTACCGGAAGAGGAGATCCCTAGTCTGGCATCTTCTTCCTCCTTCCTACATAGCTCTTCATACCAAACATCGCTCTCACGTTCCCAAATGCCAGGACTGGTGACATCCACATCCGACATATCGCGATCCCGCATCATACATTCGATGCAAACCTCTTCTGGTGCCACAACCTTCTGGGCATATTGCGGACGAGCGAGGGAGGTAAGTTTGGGGGATGCAAGTTGCCGCGGTAATGTGGAATATCTCGGGGAAGAGGGTGGTATTGCGCTAGCCGGAGATGAATATAGTGCAGTGAATAGTTGTTCCTGACCCCGGCTAGCCGACATATTTGCCGTAGAAGGGGGAGGATATGGTTTTGTTATTTGGAGAGCAGTTCCAGCATTTCCAATAGGACGTTCATTGATTAGAGGTGGGGAGGGGGGAAGGTTGGGTGTGTTGAAGTTGTGCGGATCAGCATTCGAAGATGGATCAATACGCCAAGGCCCGTTGACTATGCGTAATTTCGTTTCGGCGGAACGCCGGTTGCGTGATGTATTGTCGTCATCATTATTAGATGTGCTAACAGTGCTGCTCCTTTGCGGAGCGTTAGATGTATCCTCAGGTCGAAGCACGTTGCCGAACGCGGACGACAGGGTCCTGGGGCTTTCAGACAGGCCTTTCTCCGGGTCGACTGGAGGGGGCGAGAGGGTGGTGGCAGGGGGTTGTGGCTGGGAGAGCCTTGGGGAGTTGTTTTGCAGGCTAGGTCTAGGAGACGATGGAACAACGTATTCTTTTGGAATGCCATTTGCCAGTTGATCGTCCCCCCTCAGAGTGTTATCATTTCCCTGAGAGTGCATAGCCCTGTCTTGGAGAGCGATAGATGGAATAGGTTCACCAAAAGAGGTTGGTTCGTTTTGTCGAAGTGAGCGTCGTGGCTCAGAGGACCGAGAGCTCATGGTTCGACTGTCTCGTCGGCTTCCGGATGATTGGGCCTGCTCAACCTTTAGATCCTTGAACGAACCCAGATGAACGGTCGGCAGCAGAATCCCAATGTCACTTAACGTCTGAGAAGGAGGCTTCGAAGCGGGATGATTGCTGGGGACAACTCCAGCACTCGCCATGAGAGGGACGGTTCGAACGTGCCCTTGACGTTAAGGAGTGTAAAGGAGTTGGGATAATCAAGAACTAAGGAGAAGTTTAATAATGCTCCGGAGATTTTGGACAAGTTTGATGGGAGCTGCCAGGAGTGGAGCAAAGCGCTCTGAAGACGTTGAATTCCAATTGAGTCCGATGTCAACCTTCCGGAAACAGTCATCAGAACATTCATTGAACACAGTTCCCAATCCAATTGGCATGTTTAGATCATTGAGACGGCGAGAAGATGCACAAAAGTGCCTCACACGATCAAGGGACGTTGAGGGGACGGGGCTACAATGCGAGTAAAACATACGCAAATACGTAAAAGTGGGGGGAAAAAGGTAGGGTCAAGGTAAGAATTTAAAAAAAATTGAGAAACAAAGTCGAACGATTATTTGTTGCGGTACCTGGAAACGATCTCGCCATTAGAAACGCATAGGAGCACAACCTGCAGCGAGAGAATCACAGACCAGATAACACTTTTCCTGTTTCTCCTCATTTTACGCTGTAGCTGCAACAGGCCATAAAGCAAAGCTTCCGCCGTCGGTGGGCATCCCGGTACGTAAATGTCAACGGGCACGATCCCTAACACACAATGAGTAATCGGTCCCTGTCCTGTGGGTAAACCGTTGTCACCCACGATCGCATCCCCTCACGACGGAGTATGAGTAATGATAATAGCCGCCACCGTTTGCACAAGAACCCATAGAGATAACCCATCTTGGCTCTGGCATTTGATCATACACTTTCCGCAAAGCAGGTGCCATCTTATTCGTCAGAGTTCCCGCAACAATCATGATGTCAGATTGACGGGGACTCGCCCGGAACATTATCCCCAGTCGATCCTGATCGTAGCGAGCAGCAGCTATGTGCATCATTTCAACTGCACAACATGCAAGACCTGAGAAGGAAACTTTTCAGTTCGATGAGAGCATTTTGAACGAAAACCGAGTTATACCGAATGTCATGGGCCACATGGAGCCTTGCCGTCCCCAATTCGCTATCTTGTCCAGTGATGACAACACATATTCTGCATATATGGAGAAGGTCATTCAGCCACTGCATCGATGGGATCCAGCGCACCAGCTGCATTATTTGGCGTTTCCAGACTCAACTGGGTCGAGTCTCGCTGAGCAATGATAGAATTAGGGATCTTAGAGGTTTCTGTGCTATCCGTCGCATTTGCTATTGATGTTGAGTGTAATGACCGCGAAGCTGCTCGTCCAATGATGTGGTGAGAATATGTTGTTCAAGCAAACAAGGAGCTTCCTTTACCGGACAAGCCAACCGCACGGTACAAAGAGGCACCTATGGAGTCTCCATGAGCATCTACGAGGCGAGCCAGAAAAAAGGGCACACCTCGACCACTGGCAGTTGTACGACAGAGCGCTACTAAGGACATTGGACGTTGCGTGGTTAAAGATGGACTCGTGCTTACATAAGCAACCGTCCAGAGGCTGGCACCTTCACCAGACATCCCGCCGTCCATCAACACTCTCTAATCATAATATCGCTAACGTCCCGCTCGAATAAGATATTCGTCCAGTTTGGTTTAAATTCTTACAGTGCGGCGTGCTTAAGCGCCAACCCTACACTGCCCCGGGCCTTGTCCACGTCGTCACTCACACTTCTGTACTTACATTACTCGGGGCTTTGAGGGTTATTCTTGTTGGGAGGCACTCAAAGTTGTAATGCTCCAACCTACGCTGGTCCTCATGCTGCGGACGTGTTTTGCCATACTCTTAGCTACCGTCTCTACCTATGCCCGTACCAACCAGCAGGCACTAAACCCTAGTCAGATAGCATCACTAAACAACTTTGGGACCTCTACTTCGCTTGCATTCCCCACCCAAAGCCTGGGAGCTTCAGATGCTACATCGTTCCTCGTGTCTCATGGTTGGGATATCACCAAGAAAGGTGAAGCCCATCACTCCTGAGCGACATCCCCCGATTCCCTCTAAATTGGTTCATGCCATTCACTCACACCCCCCCTAGGCCACGTAGCTCAGGAGAATGACACATCCTTTATAAGCGATCCCATCACTAAGGACGGCTGGGTTTATGCCATTGACTATCCAAAAGGCAGTCTCTCTGGCACCGGGGGTGCGGAGTTCTCCACTTACTGGAACAATTCAGGTACAGCATTCGGCAGCATGCTCGTTCATTATGAAGTGGCGTTCGATCCAAATTTTCAATGGGCGCTTGGCGGTAAGCTGCCTGGTTTGAGAGGGGGTAGTTTGGACGGATGCTCTGGAGGGAAGGATTCTCCTGATTGTTTTAGCGTGCGATTAATGTGGAGGGCAGATGGCAAGGGGGAAGGCAAGAATATCTTCACGATTCTCAGCTTCGCATGTAGCTAAGGTTATTTTATCAGCTTACGCGTACATTGCTGCAAGTACCTCGTTTTGTGCAGAAAAGGATGTGAGATGCAATGAAGATGGTTACGGCACTAGCATTGACCGAGGATTATTCGTATTCGTGTCTTCAGGGTTAATGCTTTTCGATTTTTTTGTTCTTTGGCGTATCTTATGGAGATTTGCATAGGTGGAACGAAGTAGACATGATAGTGCAGCTCAATAATCCTCCAAATTCAGCCAATGGTATCATTCAGGTCTAGTAAGGGTATTCCTCGCTTAGAACTGCGATCCTCACCGACGATGTACCCCAGTTACAATGGCCTTATAGCTGTCAATAAAACTGGATTGCAAATCCGTTCACAGGATTCGATTACAGGCATCACAGGGCTATTTTTCAGTACGTTTTTTGGAGGTGAGCAAGCAATTCCTTCTTTCCACCCCTCACGCCACAATGAAGGTGCTTTCTCATTCAAGGAAACAACGCATCATGGGAGAGCCCTATAGACCAGCACGCGTACTTTCGTAATTTTCAGATGTGGGCGTCCGAATCGTTTTCCAAAGCATCTTCTGGCATTACTTCTGCCCAGATACCATCGATTTTCCAGCTCTTGACCTTGGTTGGGTCTGTTGTGCTTCTTTGGATTCCATTTGGTATTTGATTTCGCCTCTTATGCGCGATGTACGCGTTTCTCTGGTGCTGGAGCCCTAGTTTTCGACATTCTCGAATGTACCAATGGACCAAGAGCATTCCATATTGAATGTATTTCATGGACTTTTAGGTTCTCATCAAAGACCAGTGTTTGTGGTTGTAACTGCAGTGATTTATTGCAATCTGGCACCATATTTGATCTTTACAATTTTGTTGCAACTCTTGACTGCGCAAACGTTCCTGTGTTGACGTGGACAATCTGGTAGGTGGGAAAGTGAAGTACTAGCGCAGGGTTGGAATGGAGGACATTAGAGAAGGGTTTCCTTGAATCGAACACTAGCTTACCTGGAAACGGTTAGTTGCGGCGCTGCGAATCCCCACACACGTTATGTTTCATGGCCGCGATATGCTCGGCGGCTACACTCGCGTAATAACGGGAGACTTAAGATGAGACAAAAGCTAATAATATTATGCCTAACTAATGGGCTTTTATACTACATATACGGGGCTATGCTGCAGATCGGCGGGCACGTCGGGAAGTAGGCAGTTACCAGCCTCCATTAGAATAGAGTCGGGAAGGCGGTGGCGGATTGGTGGAGCGCCGGCAGCATTCCAACTAGGCGGTGACTAGCCTTTCTTTAGCGGGAAGCATTCCAACATGATCTTATGTATGTCGGGGCTAGCTCGCGTCGTTGGTATTGTGAGTTTCCACTTGAGATCTAAATATCCCCCGGTCAAAAGTCCCCGCTACTCCGTAGCGGGTCCTGCAAGCTCAACTGAATTGCGCTGTATGTCGTTCCTCTCACTCATTACTAGACATTACAGCAATGTGAAAGTTGATGTGTTGACGTTTCTGATTCAAGAGTCGCAAATTCACGTGCTGTTCAATTGAACAAATATATTGTTGGATTGACTATTCATCGGGATTGGGCGAAACACGTCCGTGCGCTGCACTAAGTGGGACGTTCAGAGGAGAGGATGAAACTCACCTCGAAACTGGCTGCCTCCTTTTGACAGGGGTTCCGAACGCACTAACCATAGGCAAAAATATCGACAAGAAGAAACCGGGTGTTACAGGTGGAACTTTCGGTTCAAGGGGATCATTTTTTCAGAGCCCGGCATCTTCCGTGGTCAAAAGGTATATATAAGGGATGCCAGCTGGCAAAAAAGACTTTTTTTCTTCAAGCTCTTTCATGACAAACGGCAACATAAGCGCCACACTCGGTGCGGGCGGGTTCATTCACGCACAGATGGTTTAAATGTCAATGTCAGTGGAGCATGGGCACTTTTAAGGCACTAAGCCCCTAGACATCGAATCTGCGGCGCTTTCGGCTCTTTTTTTCCTTGTCGTTTGCATCTCCTTTTTCCCTTGATGTCCGTCTAACGTTGATGTTGGGTGGAGGGGAGAGATGGGTGGGAGAGCCGGATCGTCATAGAGGTTACCAACCTTGCGGTTTGTATCAAGACTCGTTGAGTCCAAGGTATTTTAACGCACTCTGGGTCCCCATATCTATGTTTGCTTTTTTTTTTTTTTTTTTTTTTTTTTTTTTTTTTTTTTTTTTTTTTTTTTTTTTCTTCCTTTCATTGCAAACTCTGAAGTAATACATGTATACACCAATATAATATACAGGCGACTCCATACTAGGTGCAGAACAAGTGCGTTCAAGAAGTCATTTTCTAAATATCATGATCTGGTTACCACCACCTCAAATGCTGCCGCGGAAAGCACCTCCACCAACATTTCTGCCGCGCATGGTAGATGACTCCGTTGCGGAGCCGCCGGTAAACGGGCTGCTTAGTTCATCACGTACCCCTTCGCGAGCAACTGAGGTCCTCAGCTCCCCTTCTTCACCGAAAACGTTCGTAGCTCCGGGAAGAATTGCAGAATTCTTGTCGGTGAACTGAAAGTCTGTCCGGCCAATGCTGGGTGATGAAGAAACGAATGGTTCAGGGGATGTTGGGGCCTTTGCGATACCTGCCTCCTGGTAAGGCGCGAGGGTGTCCTCTTTTGCAGCGTTCGGATTACCCGTTGGACCGTAAATTTTGCTTGCTTTAAGCGCATTTTTCAGGGCACAGATCCACTTGTTGCGCCGTTGCACTGTATATATATAGTTAACGATCAGCATCCTTCGAAATGCGTTTCAAGTTTTCAACATCACCTTTAAGAGCGCCCATTTGCCAGTTCTGCATCTCAAGTTAGATGAGAGGTATGAGATTCATATCGATCGACTTACCGACTTGTATTTGATTCCAGCCTTCAGCTTCATGCTCGTCTGCTCCGGAATGTCTGAACAAGCGTAAATGGTCATTCCTCTCTCAAACGAAACTGTGCTTACCGATGACGTACACATCAAACACCGGCAGATAGTCTCGTCGTTCGGCCTTGACGAAAGTTAGCATCCGAGCTGGAGAGAAGGTTGGTGAGCTGGTGAATCGACTTTGCACCGCAGAACGTACACCGCAAGTCCTCGATCTGCTCGAAGCTAGTCGAAAAATCCACATTGAACTCGAATGCCTCAGACATAGGGCCCTGTGACCGTTCGTCAACCGTAACACCAATTTCCGTAGGTCTTCCGAACTCACCGAGCGACGCTTGTTCAGGATGTACTTCGTATTAAGGACAGTGTTAGGACACTGGACATCGCATCCCCTCGAATCAACAAAGACAGTGCTAAGCAGACGCATCTCTTTTACAGTGAATGCTTCTTTATCGATCTCGATATTGTCACCAATGTCAAAAGGATGCTTCATGAAGAGGAAGATGATGCTAGCGAGCACTGGTTTATACCTGTGAGATGGTTGTTCTGAGAAACGATCCATGATGCTTACCTTCCTGTGCAGAGCTCCCAATAAGCCATGACAGACCGAGAATGGCAGAGCCAGCTCCGGTAATGATAGATGAGATGGATGCATCGAGCATAATGGCGAAAATTAACAGCACTAGGAGGATGTAAAAGGTTATGAAAATATTGTCCAATCTCCCGGTTGCCGAGTCGACATCCTTCATAGAGTTGGCCAAGGCAAGTCGCTCATGATGGATATCTACGATGAAATGTTCCGTAAGCCGTGAATATGATACCGATAATGCAAAGTGACCTACCGAGGATGGTGGCTTCGATCTCATCCTGATGGCAAATTCAGTATTAGGTTCACAAATCCTCTTGAGACACACGTACCCGAGTCACATCTCCATTTTCATCTCGGTCAAAAATCTCGAACGCAAAGGCAGCTTTTTCACGGTTAGGGAAGAACCTGGAGATATCCTCCAACACCAAGCGATCCGCCCCCTCGGAAAGGAACGAATAATACAGTCGTCGGGCGAGCTAGCATAGATCCGCAAGTCAGCAATGCACGATCTATTGATTCAAGCGAAACGGAGTTACCACCCGGGATTTGTTTACACATTCCAGAGCGCCAGCGACCATAGCCGCAGGTGAATTGGGCTGCAAAACCGATGTGCCAGCGATTTCGCTCGCCATGTTACCGAATGCCGTGGTGGTTGTTTCAGCAGTGCGTCTAACACCTTTGAGGATCCTCTTCAATAGTTTAGCAGGACTAATAGCGCCATTCGAGGGTTGTGTATTCTGCAGTGCATGCAAACGGTCCGAGTGCTTGTATAAAGTGACCTGGCGGGGGCACCTGTCAAAATTGTTGCATGAACGAGATAGATAGCGTTGTAATCACCAGGCATTCGACCTGAGCTTTCGCGCGCGCGATACGGTCCGAGTAACTCCGCTCATGAAACTTGTATGCACTGAAAATAAGTGTCAATCTCACTAACCGCATAGAGCAACAAAAAAAAACATTCACATCAACTGAATACAGAACTTCTCGGCGAGCAAACTGACAGAGCTAAGCACGAGCCCGAAAACCAAGCGCCCAGTCAGCACCAGCGCGTCTTGGCTCGAAGGATATTTCTGTGCGTTTTCGTGCGTGAACCTGACATAAATGACTATCCCTTGGGTCAGTGACATCATTGTCTCCCAGATCATGCAATGGCGCTCACTCGGATTATACGTGACGAAGACAGCGATCGACCAAGCTACAAAAGCAACAGGACTGTGAAACTTTGAGCCAATAGTCATACCGTGATCATAATGAGAGTAGAAAGTTCACCGATGCAATGCATTTAGCCAGTCTATGTACTTGTGTAAACTGACCGCAGCAACCCCAAACGTGCCTCTCAGGAAATGGGGGAGCACCATTGCAAATGCCAAAGCGGCCCACCAGCCCCCCCATATAATGCTGAACCACACGGACCACCACAGTAGCCTAACGTGCCATATCGTGGCCTTAGGGGCTGACTGGAAGAAGGTATCAGGAAGAACCAAGAACGAGACGGAAAGAAGGAAGGGCCACACCGTTACGGACAAGATACCAGGGATCCAGACTAATAGGGAGCTCTGTGAGACGCTGGTACGTGGGGAGTTCATCACTGACACTTACGAAGGGCCATTATAGGAACAATAAAGATAATCCATCGTGTTATAATAGAAGAACTTAGCAAGAATGTGTAGATTTTCATTAGCTGTGGGAATGGACAACGGAAGTGAGCTTGGAGAAATATAAATGATGGCGAAAAGCATACCTTTCCCTCAGGTAAGTCGCCTTCGGCAACTTGAAAATTGATTTGACTGGACAAAAATGTGGATGACGCCAGAAACTATTGGTTGCAAACCTTGGGACATACCTCCCATTCTTCGCATCAAATTCGTCTATATTTTTCCTCAAACTGCCCAAAATGTTCCAACTCGAATCACGTCTCTGTGCCGGTCGCTTGGCATCGGTACTGTCAGAATCATTCGGTTTCTGAAAACTTGTTGGAGTGATTGCAGGACGGGGGAGTGAGTGGGATTGGGGTCCTCAACCTTAACAGGTATTTGAAAATTGGGGTTTTGTGGTGACAAAGAAGGGTGTTCAGATGCATTCATCTCATATTTCTCAGTATGGGTGGATAAACTCTCCAGATCGGTTGAAGGCTGTCGAAAAGCCATTTGTTGAGGCCACCAAGTCCCAAAGTTCAAAGGATTCTTGAGAGCTCGCGTTGCGCTGGAGTTGAGGGGAGGAGTTGTTGATTCTGATTTGTGCCTGGTACCATGCAATTATGTACTATATTTCGATCTCCCCGGGGCGTAGGGTCCGGTAAAGAGAAGCTGGTCACCTGCCTAAGGGTCCGACCGGGTAACGCTGTCCGAGAAGATCAAATATTCCCGCTATATATCTGTAGCGCAAATTGAGGAGTCCCAAATTGAATGCGTTACTGATGCGGGATCAACGGGATCCTCTATCGTGTATAAATGAAGGGAATCGAGGACCTTGCACTCCGTGGCTCATTTTCACATCTCCTCCCTTATCTTGTACTCCCGCTCGGGCTGAGGGGAATGCGTTGAGAGGAGACACGTGCACGACGAAAGAGAAATGGAAGTAGGGTTCCTGATCGGAATCGAGCATCGTTCAGCGCCCAGGTCGGCTTCACCTGGTGATCAGCTCCATCCCTCAGCAGCACTACTCCATATACCCGCACGCTGACCCTTCCTGTGCACCCTCACTGACGACAAAGTTTGGACAGCACGGATGATATCGATGATATTGTTATGCGACACTCGGCGGAGGATACTCAAGTGGCCCTGACTAACATAACATTAATGTAACCGCGCAGCGGTATAAGTAGCGCTCTACACATGGAACGCTGTGGGGTTGCACCGAGACAAGACAAGATGAAATTAACCGGCATAATATCTGCGGACGATATGGATATGAGTAATATAAGCCATGACGTCGTCCGTCAAAGAAACAAATTTAGCAAATGCGGGGTTTAGGAGAGGTGTAGTAAAAATAGACCATATTGATATGCTTACTGCGCACACTAGTGGGAATCGGATCGCATAAGGAACCATTTTAAAGATGGTAAAATACCTTCACTTCTACGACGATTAGAATAGTATTTTACCATCAAGACTATGGTCCTTTACCGAGTTCCCATTACCATGCTAATGGGGGCAAAAAACCTATTTCTTCGTAGTTTTAACGATGGTAAGCGGTCACTTTACCACCGTCGCATTTGGTATTTTGCCACACGGGTCTTTCATCAGGCAGCCATGGGGCTGATCAAGAAGAATAGTGCAGCGGTGGGCTCAGAATAAAGGGATCGAAGGGCAGCTACAGATGTGTAATCTCTATGTGTAGGATCGCCAAGATCGTGCCTGCAATTGCTCAACCTGGACAGGTGATGATGAGTGTTGAAGCGTGTAGATAGAGGCAAAAAAAACCGAGCTACAGCAAACTGAGGCCTAACTAAACGAAGCCAGGCATGGATCCAATGCGTATGGTGAGTGTACTTACGGTGAGAGAGAAGTGGAAGTTCATTGAGTCCGGGAGTTCCCGTTCAGTTCGGTGCCTTGGGCTGTTTATATGGGCCGCTAACTCCGTGGAAGTATTGCAAGGAGTCTGGGATTACCTAACGTTATTTCTTCATTTTTTTTCTGCGCACCCTCCGAAGCCCGATCCCCTCGTCGTTCTGAGGGGTCAAAGACCGTCTCCCCACCGGTTCCATCGCTGGTCACCTGCCTACGTAGGAATAAAAGCACTCAGCATCTGCTGAGTGCCAGCTCACCGAAGCTCCTGGGCTGTTAGATCCACAGCCCCAACCCTTTCCTCTCGTTCGGAGAGGCTAGTAGCGGTTCCTACGGCCACTTCCCCACCGGTTCTAAGTGGGGAGAAGCCAGTGGTCCCTACCACTGTTCCTGTGCAACAAGCGCCAACTGTACGCCTAGGAGCGTGCAGGCGACACGTCCCACGTCGGTCCCAGGCCAAATTGATGGCAGCCTGGCACCTGCGGACTGCCAACTCGCGGAAGCGCCCTGCGCTTCGATTTTCTCTGGGACTGTTAAACTCCCAGCCCTTTCCAATTCCTTTCATTTCGAAATGTTGGAGACAGTCCAAACGACCATTTTCGACCTATTCCACACCAGGTTGACAGCATGCAGACTGCAAGCCCACAGAAGCGCGCAGCGCTTCAACAAGCCCTGAGGCTCCTATCATTCTCCCCGGGTCCGGAACTGTCCCAGACCCTCATATGCTCCTCCCCTCCCAATGAACCCCAATCCTGGAATTTCGGAGGACTTCCAAGGGAGGCACGCTTGCCGCTGTGGCAAGCAATGTTCTCCTGCCCAGCAGAAATACTGGGCCACCGATTATTTGAGAATGCCCCCAAACCAGGAGAGTATGCTGGAAATTCAAAAGCTACTTAGGGTGCTTAGAGTGGCTTTCGGCCACTATGTGGATTGTGGTCAGAATATTACTTTTTTCTATTCTTCGTTCAATCGCTATGCCTTACGTACTCAGTTTGGCCTTGTGGACTGTGCGCTTGGACCTCAATGCTCAAACATAATATCTCGGATTTTGTTCATCTTACACCTCCTTCAGTTCACTGATGTGAAGCTGAGGTGAGAGCGATATTCTAATTAGTTGTTATGATCTTTACCAACAAGTCATGCATAATACTTAATTCACAATCTAGCTGCATTGCTAAATACATAATTCACTGACACGAAGCTCTAGTAACTACCACAAAATAAATATCCAACCATGATGCGATGGGATGGGAATTGCATGGTCGCAAGGAACGTCAGGGCAGCGCAGCAGCCATTCTAGTATTCAAGTATTAACACGGAATGCATTATCATCACATTTTGAATGCTGCCGTGGATAATCGACAATTCAGGCGCAAGCACCAGGCTTAAGCGCCACCACCAACATTTCTGCCGCGCATGGCAGATGGCTCCGCTGTAGGGGAACCACCAGTGAACGGGCTGCTTCTTCCGTCACGTACCCCTTCGCGAGGGACTGGGATCCTCAGCTCCCCTTCCTCACCAAAAACATTGGTAGCTCCGGGAAGAATTGCAGAATTCTTGTCGGTGAACTGAAAGTCTGTCCGGCCGATGCCAGGTGCCGAAGAAGCGAATGGTTCAGGGAATCCTGGGGCCTTTGCGACACCTGGCTCGTGGTAAGGCACGAGGGTGACCTCTTTTGGTGGAGCAACAGCGTCCGGATCACCCGTTGGACCGTAAATTTTGCTTGCTTTAAGCGCATTTTTCAGGGCACAGATCCACTTGTTGCGCCGTTGTACTGTGTATAGTTAACATCCATCAGCATTCTTCGAAATGCGTTTCAAGTCCTCGTCATCACCTTTAAGGGCGCCCAATTGCCAGTTCTGCATCTCAAGTTAGATGATAGGCATGAGATTCATATGGATCGACTTACCGACTTATATTTGATTTCAGCCTTCAGCTTCATGCTCGCCTGCTCCGGAATGTCTGAACAAGCGTAAATGGTCATTCCTCTCTCAAACGAAACTGTGCTTACCGATGACGTACACATCAAACACCGGCAGATAGTCTCGTCGTTCAACCTTGACGAACGTTAGCATCCGAGCTGGAGAGAAGGTGGTGAGCTGGTGAATTGACTTTGCACCACAGAACGTACACCGCAAGTCCTCGATCTGCTCGAAGCTAGTCGAAAAATCCACATTGAACTCGAATGCCTCAGACATAGGGCCCTGTGACCGTTCGTCAACCGTAACACCAATTTCCGTGGGTCTTCCGAACTCACCGAGCGACGCTTGTTCAGGATGTACTTCGTATTAAGGACAGTGTTAGGACACTGGACATCGCACCCCCTCGAATCAACAAGGATAGTGCTGAGCAGACGCATCTCTTTCACAGTGAATGCTTCTTTATCGATCTCGATATTGTCACCAATATCAAAAGGATGCTTCATGAAGAGGAAAATGATACTAGCAAGCACTAGTCCGTACTTGTGAGATAGTGCTCTGGGAAGCAACCCGTGATGCTTACCTTCCTGTGCAGAGCTCCCGATAAGCCATGAAAGACCGAGAATGACAGAGCCAGCTCCGGTAATGAGAGATGAGATGGATGCATCGAGCATAATGGCGAAAATTAACAGCACTAGGAGGACGTAAAAGGTCATGAAAATATTGTCCAATCTCCCGGTTGCCGAGTCGACATCCTTCATAGAGTTGGCCAAGGAAAGTCGCTCTTGATGAATTTCTATGATGAAATGTTCCGTAAGCCGTGGATATGATACCGATAATGCAAAGTGACCTACCGAGGATGGTGGCTTCGACCTCATCCTGATGGCGAATTTAGAATAAGGTTCACAAACCCTCTTGAGACACACATACCCGGGTCGCGTCTCCATTTTCGTCTCGGTCAAAAATCTCGAACGCAAAGGTAGCCATTTCACGGCTAGGGAAGAACCTGGAGATATCCCCCAACACCAAGCGATCCGCCCCCTCGGAAAGGAACGAATAATACAGTCGTCGGGCGAGCTAACATAGATCCGCAAGTCAGCAATACGCGATCTATCAGTTCAAGCGAAACGGAGTTACCATCCGAGATCTGTTTACACTTTGCAGAGCACCAGCAACCATAGCTGCGGGTGAATTGGGCTGCAAAACTGATGTGCCAGCGATTTCACTCGCCATGTTACCGAAGGCAGTGGTGGTTGTTTCAGCAGTGCGTCTAACACCTTTGAGAGCACTCTTCAATAGTTTAGCAGGACTAACAGCGACTGAAGCGCCCCTTGAGGATTGCGTATTCTGCAATGTGTCCAAACGGTCGACATTTTTCGAGTGCCTGTATAAAATGACCTGGAGATTGAGTGGGTACCTGTCAAAATTGTTGCGTGAACGAGATAGATAGCGTTGTAATCACCAGGCATTCGACCTGAGCCTTCGCGCGCGCGATACGGTCCGAGTAACTCCGCTGATGAAACTTGTATGCGCTGAAAATAAGTGTCAATCACACTAACCGCATAGAGCAACAGAAAAAAACATTTACATCAACTGAATACAGAACTTCTCGGCGAGCAAACTAACAGAGCTAAGCACGAGCCCGAAAACCAAGCGTCCAATCAGCACCAGCGCGTTTTTGCTCGAAGGATAACTCTGTGTGTTTTCGAGCGTGAATTTGACATAAATAACTATTTCTTGGGTCAGTGACATTGTCTCCCAGATCATGCATTGGTGCTCACTCGGATTATACGTGACGAAGATAGCGATCGACCAGGCTACAAAAGCAACAGGACTGTGAAACTTTGAGCTAATAGTTATACCGTGATCATAATGAGAGTAGTTCACCGATGCAATGCATTCAGCCAGTCTATGTACTTGTGTAAACTGACCGCAACAACCCCAAACGTGCCTCTCAGGAAATGGGGGAGCACCATTGCAAATGCCAAAGCGGCCCACCAACCTCCCCATATAACGCTGAGCCACACGGACCACCACAGTAGCCTGACGTGCCATATCGTGGCCGTAGGGGCTGACTGGAAGAAGTATCAGGAAGGGCCAGAACGAGACGGAAAGAAGGAAAGACCACACCGTTACGGACAAGATACCAGGGATCCAAACTAATAGGGGGCTCTGTTAGAGGCTGGTACGTGGGGAGTTCGTCATTGCCACTTACGAAGGGCCATCACCGGAATAATAAAGATAATCCATCGTGATATAATAGAAGAATTCAGCAAGAATGTGTAGATTTTTGTTATCTGTGGGGATGAACATTGGGAGTGAACTTGAAGAAATATAAGTGATGGCGAAGAGCATACTTTTCCCTCGGGTAAGTCGCCTTCGGCAAATTGAAAATTGGGTTGACTAGACAAAAATGTGGATGACGCCAGAAGCCATTGGCTGGAAACCTTGAGACATACCTCCCATTCCTCGGATCAAATTCGTCTATGCTTTTCCCCAAATCGCCAAACAAGTCCCAACTCGAATTACGACTCTGCGCCGGTCGCTTGGGATTGGGACTGTCAGAATCATTCAGTTTCTGAAGCTTTGTTCGAGATGATGTGACTGCAGGATGAGGCGGGTAAGGCGGGTAAGTGGGATTAGGGACCTCAACATTAACGGATGTTTGAAAATTGGCGTTTTGTGGTGACAAAGGAGTGTGTTCAGAGCATTCATTTCATATTTCTCAGTATGAGTGGATAAACTCTCCAGATCGGTTGAAGGCTGTCGAAAGGCCATTTTCCGAAGCTACCAAGCAAACCTTTCCCGGAATTCAAGGATTTCTTGCTCGTGTGGCGCTGGAGATGCTGAGGGGAGGTGTTGTTCTGATCTGTGCCTGTCACTATGGAGTTACTGTACCTACCTTAAGCGGAGCGTGGGAAATGTTGCATCTGACCGGTTAACGCCGAAGCTGCTCGATGGCTTTCTCTGGTGCTTTGACACTGACTGATCTCAATGACTTCATAACCCCATCTCAGGTGTGTATCAAACCCGTAGAAGAGGTCAGACATATAGATGGGTCGAAAGTCCCTGGGACTGCAGCCGTACGCCTCACGAATCTTTGCACACACCTTCGTGGGCTCAGTCATGCTTGTCAGATAGACTGAAATACAGATAGATAACCAAGGAGAATATTATGAGGTGTCAGCGAGTGACCCTAAGGCGCGCAACAAGCTTCAAACAGCGGAGATCAGCTTGAATGATTGTTTAGCATGTAGGTGGGTACTTATGTCGTTGGCCATGAGTATAGTGAGTGATCTTTTGCACGTCCTAGCGGCTGCATTACGTCTGCAGAGTCTGTTTTGATTGCCATGCAATCTACCGCCGAAGTTTTGGGCTTCCTAGCGAACAATCCGCCTCCTTTAAGCCCACTTCATGCCATCCCAGTCATCTCCATCGCCCCCCAATCTCTCGCTTCTCTCTCTGTCTCCATATCCCCGCTCGAGGGCCGGTTGTGTCTCTTCAGAGAGTTCTTAACCGTCTTCGCGCGTTCTTCCGTACCAAGTTGGACATCCAATCTGTTTTCGACACTACATTCGCACGCCATCTGGCGCTCACGGAACATGTCAAGGAATTCCAAGAACGCCGGAAGATGCACTCCGCCTCCAACCCCCAGCTCCCTATGCTGGCAAGCGCGTGTCCAGGATGGGTATGCTATGCTGAGAAGACGCATGCAGAGATGCTGCCTTTCATGGGCAATACCAAGAGTCCTCAACAAGTCATGGGAACCCTTGTTAAAAAGTGGATGGGGTCCAAGTTCTCAAAAACGTACGCTTTTTTCCCTGTTTCTTTCGATGATCTATCCACTTTTCCAATTGCAGCCCCGATAAAATATATCACATTACCATCATGCCTTGTTACGACAAAAAACTTGAGGCTTCGAGAAAAGACTTCTACGATGAAATCTATTCAACGAGGGACGTGGACTGCGTCCTGACAACGGGAGAACTTGAGAAGCTTATGTGCGACAGGGGTTTTAATCTCCGACTTCCCGTCCTAAATGAGGATCAACCACTCCCGTCAACTCCTGATAACATTCCAGATTTAATACAACATGCTGGCTCGTCGTCTGGATCATATTTGCAGCAGCTAATTAATTCGCTCTCCTCGGATATTCTGAACCCCATTGTTGGGACACGTCGGATACGCTCCGACTACGAGGAACACACTCTCACAAATGCGGACACTGGTGAAATCGTTTTTCGTGGCGCCAAATGTTATGGTTTTCGTAACTTACAGAATATTGTCCGAAAAGTTGGAAAGGATAATGGTCTTGCGGTCGGTCGTGGTGCAGCTGCAGGTAGGATGCGGGGAAGGTCAACTGGAGGCCCAACACTTCGTGCAATTGCCCGAAAGAGGGCAATCGCCAGAGCGGGAGGTGATGATGCCGCTGCAACAGAGGGCAGCGACGCGCCTCGTGGATATGATTACGTCGAGGTCATGGCGTGTCCAGGTGGATGTGTCAATGGCGGGGGACAACTCAAACCTGCGAAGCAGAATGTCAACCAGAATGACGTATTGCTTGATTCAGAAGGTTTTTCAAGAGACTGGGAGCTGGCAGGTGCCCGCGTTGACATGACTCCCGGCGAAGGGATGATGGCCAGTGAACGGTGGGGTGATAAGGATTGGATCAAAAGGGTCGAGGACGCATATTGGAGAGATTACCCAACCCCACCGGTGACTCCTCCCCAATCTGTCTGCTCTGATGATAGGGGTGCCCTGTCAAACGCGCCCGAGACGTACACTAGCGCTGACGAGTTGGCTGAACATGTTCTGGAGGGCTTGACTCATGGTGACGAAGTGAGACGAAAGGACTTGTTTCGTACCCAGTACCACGCTGTAGAGAGCGACGTTATCGGTCTAGCTGTTAAATGGTAATCCTTCAGATGGGTGTCTCCGTAGTTTTGCGCTTCCGAATGGAGTATTGGTAGAACATTGAAGGTGGGAACGTGGCTGCAACCAGGGCAAAGAGTGATTACGCAAGGACCGCTGGTGAACAAATAAGCAAAGCCAAAAGGAAAAGCAAGCATGAAAAACAGGGCTGAAAATGACAGGGTGGGGCGCCTACGGCTTGACACGTGATATTTTTGGTCATCAATGGCGCAAGCACTTCCGCCATAAGCGAACTCTACAAGGAATTTGGTGACACCGCATGCATGGCGTCTACGTCTTCATCCGAGCCCACAACTCGGTCTCGAACACTCTTGTTTCTATCATACCGTGACTCTGATGGACGCTCGAGGCGACCGCGAAATAGACGTTCTCGGGCTCTTTTGTATTCCGACGCAGACGTGGATGGAGCTGATGAACGGCAAGGGCTTATTGCTGGGGATGCATCCAGGTCCTCAGACCATGTCATATTAAATATGGATCCTTTGCCACCGAAATGGTTCGTTCTCTGAATCGCTATCATGAAAGGATTTGATGTTAGGACCTTGTCATGGCTAGGGTTGATATTTCGGGACAGGTCGAGGAAATACTAAATGGCGCTAGTTTGAAAAGTGAGTTTAATCATGAAAGCGACTCCCACGTATGACGTATGACGCCCCCCTGAATTCGCAATGAGTAGTTTCCACCTTGGAGAAACTGCATACAAAGCACGCCCTGCCGGGATTTGCGGATCGGTCTGCAGAAGAGAGGGAAATTGAACGGCTGACCCAGGAAATAACAAGAGTACGCCGCCTCCTCTTCACCACCAATTAGGTCGTCCCGCTAAGCCCGCGTCCCCCACCAAGGATTTCCGCCAGTCCCAAAACCTCATACAACGGATCTCGGTTTCCAATACACATGCATTTCCACCCACGAGTGCACCTTCGAAAGACGAAAAACTTGCTGCGAAGAATGTTCAACGAGGGTTGGCAGCAAAGCTTCAAGAGCTCAGTGGGAGGTTTCGGAAAAAGCAACGTGTCTACATGGAAAGTGAGGTCAGCATTCTCAGACGCTGTGCTTCTGATGCCAACAACAATCTGTCATAGAATTACAAGGCCATGCCATCAAAAACCAGGATCTTCTCATTGCATCTGGCGTCATTTCGTCCAAGGGGATAGACAAAATGAACGAAGTAGAAGACGATATGCAGGCAGTACGTCTCCTACATCTACTCCCATCTGATTTTTTGTTGAGTTTCCCCTCTCTCTCAGTCCCGTAGTCAACTCTCTGCTCAGGAGCAGCAAACTGCCAGTCCTGAATTGGAGCAAAGAAATAGAGAGATCGCTGAAATTGCCAAATCAATAACTCAACTTGCGGACATATTCAAAGATCTCCAAAATATGGTCATTGACCAAGGGACCATATTAGACAGTATCGAATATAACGTGGAGCAAACTTCCAGGCACGTCTCAGAGGCAGTGAAGGAACTGGATATTGCTACCAAGTAAGTTCGACTTCGCGTCCCCCAGCCAAACCGTCTAACGTTTTCGGCTCAATAGATATCAACGGAATACCGGTCGCCGGAAATGCATATTCCTCCTAATACTCATAATCTTCGGACTTGTGATTGTTCTCATCTTCAAGCCACGACATCATTCACCTCCAGATCCACCTCATCCAGCAATAACACCCTCTACACCATCTTAATGACTTTTCTACGACTTGTTCATTCGTATTAATGCTTTCGGAACGCTTTCGACATTGGTTCGTTTCTGCCTTGGGTTAGCCTTGGGTGGGCTTTAAATTTAAATTATCTTTTCGCCAAGTTATGTAACCCCATGCACAGGCCTATACAGGTTGCTAAAGATGCAAAACTGCCCCGATGAGACCGCAGAATGAATACAGACTCGAAGACGCGCGGCCCAGTGCAGGTGGGCAAATGAACGTCAGGCAAGGCTGGGCACCAGCTTATGATCATTGTTCAAGTCTTCACCCTTATCCTCACCGGTTGGCTCATTGCCATTTCGGACCGATGCGGGCTCTTGTATTCCGTTACACCTGCCGACCACATCTCCAAACTCGTGGGATATACAAAGTCTTTGTCTGCATCAGATAGGGATGTTCCTCCAAAACACGATCATGATCACGCAGTACGAATTCCGCGATCAACCTCACCTGGACTCGTTATCTTTGTAGGCTTCATCGGTCGGTTATGGGGAATCGCTGCTGCTGGTCTGTGTTCGAGAATATGATGCAGGTCAACATTCCCAAGTATGCCCCTAACCTTCCCAGACCCTTAATTGTCGCGTGATGAACGCCGCCGATGCAGTATGGAAGGTCGTGCCACCACCTGATCGACCAGCTGTCCTGCACGCATACGTCAATATGCTAAATGATGTTTTCCTTATTGGCGTCCCTGCGGGGTACTAAGGCTCTTTGTAGCACTATATGCCCGTATTGGAAATGGACTGCCAATATGGACTGGAGCCTGAGGGAAAGGACGTGAAGGTCTAGGCTCTCAACGATCGTCATTACTTCTCATCTCCCTCCGTCCGTTTGTCGTCATTCCTAACCTTTCTCCAACGACCCACCTGCTTTCTGCAAGACATGCAATGCGTCATCAGGAAATTCTTCTGACATTGTGTTTTGTTTATGATTCATGATCTTTACGAATCCACATGTTTCTTGTCGGCGTCTCATCACCATTATTCATCGGTCCGCATAACCATTTCTAATCCTGTGCGCCTATATCCCTGTGCCCACCAATTTTTGATGCATGCATTCCCAATCGCTTCTACTATGTTATCCACGACTATATAACTTATGAGTCACAATTATCAACTTGAAGGCGAGCTTGGGTGGTGTCCGTAACACATAGATTCCAGCTCTTTCACGAATCCGTCTGAGCGGCATTTCTTTCTTTATCAAGATAGACAGTGCGTGGGGACTCAACATACAATTTTGCAGAGTCAACATACAAATATGTGTTGCAAAGAATAAGCACAAGGGTCATAGTTTCCGGAGTTTATGTCAACCCCGCAAACACGGTCCCGAACAACGTCAAATAAAAGGCGCGATAAAGCGTGCTCCACCCTTCCTCCTCCACTATCTTTCTCATCGCATCCAACAACCCTTCATATGGCTGATCCTCGTCTCTTAGGCCAATGACATCCTCATTCTCCCCAGAGTATTCTAATCCCGGCGGAAGCTCCTCCTGCACAGGTGCTGGCACGCCACCAGCACTCCTATAGTGGTTTCTCTGGACGCTTAGGCGAGCCGCTAGCACCTCAAGAGGGCACAGGACTATGAAACCCAGGCATAGGAAAAGAATATAGACCACGAAACCCACGAAGGGCCAGAAACCACGCAAGACGCCCCATGAGCTACGGTATCCGGGGGTGAATGATGGAACGAAGAGGGATCTTGCGCCGCGAACGACAGTAAAGAAGTAAATGACGTGGAGAGCTTGGGCAAGGGCGATACCAGGTGTGAAGTATAGGCGCCAAGGGTTCTGGCGTTCGTACGAGGTGAATAGGACCCGCAGCGCTAGTCTGGGGTTTAACCATGGTAATTTATGTGGAGTACAAATTGCACTACAGGGATCGCCGCTTGGTTAGTTACTGAATCCGATGATGTGGGTTGACGACAACGTACCGGTTGACCAGAATTTCACGAGGAATGGACCAAATGACGATAAAGAAGCACCACAGAATCGTCCCCCATAACCCCTGTGAAGAAATAGCATAGCGTGGGGAGGTGCCTCCTCCAGAAATGAAAATGTAGCTCAGGATGTGTTGGAGGATGGCGGTCAACAGCAAGGGCACTGCGGAAATCGGAAGCCATTCAAATGAATAATATTCGGGCTCGCCAGGAGGCAGGTACTCACTCAATCCCTTGTACAATCCCTGGTACCCCTCAATCCTCTTGACGCGAAGGAACATTGCTAGCGGCTTCGCTTCAACATCAGCATTGCTGAATGTGTAATCATGGTAACAGTTGGACTCACAGAATTCACGACGGGGCCAACACGCATGTCTTGACTAAGCCTCTGACTGTCCCCTTCCTCAGTTTCACCCAAACCCACTCCTTTGGGGGTGTAATTGATACGGAATCGAGTGACGACTCCAACGATTGGCACAATAAGCCATACTGTGATAGCTGACGACAAGAAGAACGCTAAGAGCGTTGAGAAGTCCATGGATGGGTGTTCCGTAAGAAAACACCCTCTATTTGCAGTAGAGGTGGTTCAGATGATGTTTGACACGGGTAGGGTACAATTTGGCGTCGGCGGAGCCTAGAGTCCTGCGCCGGGCGGTGCCGAGTGATGTCACCTGACACCCATCACCCTCATTTGTACCTTAGCTTTCTACGAAGCTTTAGTTTCCTAGCCTACCCATGTCGCAAGCTGCATCCTTGTCTCGAGATGCGACTGACTCCCCATCTCCTGCGCCTAGCGCAGGCCCGGTCAATAGGCATGCACCTACACCTCTTGAGCGTCAACGAATGCAACTCGATAAACTCTTTAAGGAACCGTCCAAACCTGCCTACATCCCCCCACCACCCAAAGAGAAGACAATAAGGCCCCCGCGTGAAATGATCAAGAATGTGCAGGGGTCGAGCGCTGGTAATTTGATTCAGTCCCGTCTAACTTGGTGAATGTTGCTTTGACTCAATTTAGGGCGATCGTAGGCGCAGGAAGTGGCGAATTTCATGTTTATAAGCAGAATCGACGGCGGGAATACGAGCGGATAAAACTCATGGAAGAGAAGACCCAAAAGGTAGGATCGGTCACCTACTTTGCTTGATTTCGGACGGTCAATGCATTATGAATCAGGAAATGGAAGCGGCCGAATTCGAGATTCGCAAGCGCGAACGGGACGAAGCCGTTGAAGCAAAGACCGCAAAGAACCGTGCGAAACGGCAGAAGAAGAAAGCTGCTCGTACGGCCGCGAAGAAAGAGGGTCAAGGAAGCCCTGACGAAGGACCCGCTGGGCAGGGAACCAAGGGGACTGTTCTAAATGAGAATGGTGCAGAGCCTGTCTTCAAGAAACGAAGGCTAATAGGGGGTGATGGACAGGCAATAACATTCCGTGTACCTGGACAGGAAGATCATGATGGCGGAGATGACAACGAGGGACTCGAGCCGAGCGATGGGGAGGGCCCGAATTACCATGGATCAGTGCCTTCTCCATCCAGTGCAAAAGTAATAGAAACGGGCACGATAACAATAGTGGACGAAGACTAATGTTTGACGGTTCCGCGGGAAGCACTGAATAAGATGATTTATTATTGTACTACAAGGGGACGTTCGCAATATAAGATTCAGGAGACATGATGCACCGTAGCATTTATTACGGTGGGCCGTGTCTGTCCAACACGCCAGACCTCTTGGAGATATTTTTCGATTCATCTGCTTGATTCTCGTCAATCGCGCCCTGGGGATTCACGCATGTCAAGGGTCCTAAACGCACTCTTCCGCCTCAAGTTCTAGTTTGTGCGCATGTTCGCGGGCGTGGACGACAGCATGCGAGCCACAACAACAGCTTGGTCAGCTTCGCGTTCAGCCTGCGTTATATGTCTTGTCGCCTTGTCAAAATTGACAACGACAGACCTGTTCTGCGAGTGTGACCTTTTCTTACGTCGCAAGGATGGTAGGGTCAGTGGTATTCTTCTCACCAATACTCAAGAATCCACCTGGTGTTGCGACAGAGTCGGTGTCCATGTGGTGGTCGCCGGAACAAAGATAGACCCTTTCTGCTCTTTCTGTGCACTATGAGAGGGTGTGTAGTCCTGTTTTGATCCGGAGACGGGCATTGCGAGGTCCTACTTCAGATTGATGCCTCCAAGGTTGTTAGCCACAGTGAGGGGAAAGACGCAAGGGCTTTGAAGGGGCTATTCTTGGTATGTATTTAGTGAGTGGCGTCGCGGACTAGTCCAAAGCACAGTTACAATGCGCTGACATCACATTACTAAATGGGGAGGATCCAGCGAAAGGCTGTCAAAACGGTAGATTACGTAATCAGCGCTTATCAGCATAAGCCTTGACGTAGCACATCGTTTTTTTCTTCCCTGTAGAGTTGATCGAGACCCACGGGGAGTTTCGAGGCTGATAATTCTGGAGAAGTTGAGCGACCCAGTCTCGTTTTTGTGAAGCCCCTAACGAACCCTAGATGTCTCCCAAACACAAGCGCAAGCTCCCAATCACTGGGGCCTCCAAACCAGTCTCGAGATCAGCCAAGGTCACAAAAGCCATAATCAACAAGGCAATCCCATTATTCCTTCACGCCGGAGTTTCACGAAGATATTGAGCAAAAGTTACTTTTTCATAGTAGTTCCATACTTTGCGGAAGCAGGAGGCATGTAAAGCTAATCATTAGCGTTTCTTATCATTCTGATTCGATTCCCATAGGCAGCGGCTGTAGCAAAGGGTGATAATGCTGAGTTACATGGCGTAAGGAAACAGATGGAAGATCTTGGGGGAATTAAGGGTGGGTGCCCAATACTATCTACTGACAAAGGGTGCCAAACCCGTATCCCATGCAGTGTATCAGGAGATGGTTAGTTCTATGAACAACAAAAAAGACTGCGGGTCATGTTCTCACTACTTGACGATGGAACAGTCCATCATTGGCCAAGGGAAGGACAGGGGCGGTGGGACCGAGAAGGTGCTGATCAATTGGTTACCCCAATATCTCCCTCCTAATCTTGGAAAAGAAGAAGGGAAGAAGAAAGTCAAGTGAGTAGTATTTGTCTGTTGATATATGTGATACCATTGCAAACTAAAATCTGCAAGTCTGCTCGAAGTAGGTTCGTGTCTGGGGATCACCTACCTCATTGTGTGCGCCTAATCGTGTTCCCCAGGTGCTCTGAAGCCCGATAACTATGATTCCTACAGTTCCTGGATCTCGAACACACCAATTGACCTCCGTTCTCGACATCCGAAAATTATAGAGCAGGACTTCCTGCTGCTCGATCCCGTGGAAAACAGAGAAAAGTGGGACGTTATAAGCTTAAGCTTGGTGATCAACTTTGTTCCAAGTCCACATGACAGAGGCAAGCGTGCTTAATCAGCTGCCTTCGTTCTTGGACTGAGTCCCGTGCTTTTCCACCACTTCAGGGAAAATGCTTCGTTTAGCCCGCTCTTTTCTCAAATCTCCCACAGGTCTGATGTTCCTGGCACTACCTTCCGCATGCATCCAGAATTCCCGCTATCTGGACCGTACGCGGCTGGGTACGCTTTTGCACGCGACAGGTTTCAGAATAGTAGTGGAGAGGTGCAAAGCCGGGGGAAAAATCGTGTATCTCTTATGTCAGGCTGATGCACCATACCCACTGGATAGGTCAGAACTACCAAGCGAACTGACGACCAAAAGAACGCTTCGCGAGGGCAATAGAAACAACTTCGCAATCCTACTTTAATTTTTCCAAACCTCCGGGTTGACTGAGAATGTTGAATCGATGTCAGATGTAATATTATTGGAATGCGGTGTGATGACAAGTGCGATTGCAAACAGTGGTGAAAAACAATGCAAAGGACAAAATAATTCAGCAAGTAATGTATAATGAGACTTTATCAAGCAAAGCCAAAACCTTCCCCTCCTTCGTTGATTGCGGTGAGAAGTTGTGTTCGCAGCTTTTCATAAGACGAATACTCTGGAAGGTCAACTGGAATTGAATCAAAGGTTAGATACCATCAACGTTAGTAGTTTACAGAAAAGGCATACTTTGATTGAAACCTGCGTGAATGAGATCCCATTAATCGATAGTGCCAAAATGTGGGAAAAAATCTACGTACATGTATGTGCTTGAGGCAGACGATCTGTTTCACCATATGCCCGATGAATGGAAAACTTTTGAACGCCTTGAACTCCCTGCGAAGAAGTCGGGATTAAGAGACAGTTGAAGATCTAATATGTATTATCTTACTTGAAGTTCGCCGAAGCCACCAAGAGGGACTCGAGATGTGCCTAACAAAGAGAATCAGCATGGAAAGCTTAGTGTGTGCGGGCGGTACAACCTGTCGCAAAGCTCAAGACTTTGGCTCGCTCATCTCGGCTGAATGACTTGAGGGCTCGCCACCACCACTGGATGACAGGATCGGACTGTGTATAGCCATGGTAGTCAGTGGCTGCACGCCACTCATCGATGTCGATATCTGGAGTCCCCGATATAAGCAACTCGACTTCTTGCTCGTTGAACTAATTAATATTAAACAGTAAACGAGGTGACGGCTTGAAAATAAGATAATCCTTACTATTGAAATAAGTTCCTTCGGTATTATCTCATAGAAGCCACCAAGAAGGCTCTCGATTTGATCCTTGATCGAAAGGTACAACCGATACTGAGCTGAGAGTTGAACGAATTCTCGCTTGTTCTCTTGAGTGACTGGGATGCTTGCGCCTCCCTCCTTAAGTTCGATGACTTTCCGCACTCCAAACTGAAGACATGTTAGTTTGAGCTAATATGTACGACAGTTGTGACCTACCTCCTCGGCCTCCACAGTAAAATTCATCTCTAATGCTGTAGGATCGTTGTCTAAAATCCAGCAGAGGCTATTGTAGTACTCAGGATCAACCCACTCTACGTCGCGATAGTCAACAGGTTTCCCCAGGATTTGCCGGTAAAGAGAACGCGCGAAGTAAGCATCCAGAAGCCTTCCGTCATAAATGGCTTTCCCTATGACCCGGCCGACGAATTTGAAGAATAGGAGATGCTCGGGATTGATAGCAGAGGCTCGGTTAGGCTGGTAGGTTAATTTGTCACCGGCGCAAGGCTGGAACAGTGCATAATTGGGATTGAACATCTGCCGAGCCAGTATCTGGAACCACTCGCGTGTGACACCTCCCGCGTCCACACCCTCTTCATTGTAGAAGCGAACATTGAGTTTCCCGTATTTAATCTGATCGCCAGTCTTTCTATGTAGGTACTGGTAACTGTCCTCAAAGACATGTTGGCGTCTGACATTGAGCTGAAGAGTTGGATGATGCTCCCTGGGACCAGTGCGACGGCGGAGCTGCTGATTGAAGTAATTGCGCTTGCTGTCAAAGTCCAGGACCTTGGGATTGTTCACCAACAAAGAGAATGCGCCGCTCATGAGGGATGGGTTGTTCCGCACCATCACGTTGAGAACCTTGCGGTGAGCGTCCGTAAATGACACGAATAAGTCTTCTGTTGGATCTAGGGGCATTGAACTGATGCGAGGAGATAAGGGGCTGGATGCAGGGTTCGTCGTGGCGGTTTTAGAGCTGACATGTTTGCATACAACCATAAGGGACTCAATGAGAGGAAGTAGCACCGTCGCGATGTGATCAAGATTGGGTTTCGACTCCACGACCGAGAGAGCTTTTCCAAGACCATTCCACAACGGCCCAAAATTGAATCCTTCATATATTTTGTGAACTTCTTGCTGCCTCTCCCCGTCGTCTTTCGAGCTAGATGCATCAGGTGCTGTTGGAGGTGATTTCGGAGTGAACATGAAGTCAATCGTTTTGAGTACCCGTAGTAATTTTGCCTGATCTGCTGAAGCAGGTGAGAAACGGGAAAGTATGGAGCTTGGAATATCTTCAGAGTCCGATGCTTGCCCCAAAGCATGAACAAGATGCTCTAGGTCCGACTGGAGATTCACGCCAAGACCTTCTGCTCTGAGTTTGAGTTCATCCGCAACGACTAGTCGGACCTCTGAAAGGTAGGAAAGGTGTTGAATGAGGGAGAGAGCTAGTTGGAAAGTGCGTCCGGAACATTCCCCTGCTGTTAGGAAGTTAGGAATGAGGCATAATGAAGATGAGGGGATATGAGGCGGATCCGATCGAAGCTTTTGGGTGAAGTCATCGAAATTGGGCGATGCTGTAGGTGGCTGCTCATTTGTTTCTGCAGTTGCTAGATATGACGATGATTAACGATGACAGAATTGGACAGAATTTCATCCTTACCGACTCCGTCGTTCCCCAGAGGATTTGCTCCATTTGAGTTGGGCAACTCATTCTCCTTGTTGCCTTCGGAGGATGAAGCGGGCTCTTTCAGGGCAGCTAACGGCTTGGTCACATTTGCCAGCAGCAAAGCGATAGCACTCATCATCGGAGGGGATTGCAGAAGTGCTTTCCGGTCGAGAAGACCAAGAAGTAAATTGAGAGGGAATTGGGCTTGGGGCATCTGCTTTTCCTTTCCTTTTCCTTTCTTCGAACCTGGTTTCTTGGCGAAAGGGGGCACATCTTGCTCGGACAAGAAGTACTGCGCAGCATGCTCGTTCGCGGTTACGATGAATGTTAACGCTTCAAGTGAGCGGTGGGTGATTAGATGGGGTATATTCTCTGCGGGCAATTGAAGCGGAATGCTCGAGGATGCCAGCTCCATACTCTTGGACTTTGTCGGGGTCTTGGAAGATGGACCCACTTTGTTTGACCGAAAGGAGAGCTGTGCAAAGCTTCGATCTACGGCGAGAACATCGCTGGGATCATCCTGCAAAACACCCAGGAGCAAAGAAAATATGTCGGTTCTAGTCTTGGAGTTTTCGCACAGATTCACTAAAATTTTATGAAGAGAATTCATTTTGAGAACGTGGGGGAAGAAAAGAAGGCGTATGAGAACAGCGACGTCTGGTTTGTCAAGCAGCTGGATAGCATCACGTGGTATAACTGGCTTCTTGGGTGGTTGAGAAGCGTTTGCAGTTGGCACGCCCGTTGTCCTTGGACGATAGGTTGCTCGACGGATGCTACGCTCACCATTTAAGAGGGCGCTAGCTTCGGCAAGCAATGAAGATGGCAGTGTTTGGAGGAAAGTATCATCCTGTTCCATCAACACGGTCTCTCGCAGTTGTGGGTCAAGGCTGGCAAGGAAACTTGCAGAGTCGATATCAGATGGACCTGCGGGGGCATCAGCGCCTGCTTCCCCTCTCTCCCGGTCGCGGCGCGCCCTATCGATTGCTTCTTGCTCTTGCTGCAGAATTTCAGCTCGAATATCTGGTGGTAATGCTTCCAAGAACTCGGGACTAATCTGCGATTCTGCAGGACGAACGACAGGCTGAGCAGCTCTGCGTTCCCGAAGGTGCTGGTTGATGACATCTTCCCTCATATCGTCTGGCAGAGCCTCTAAGAACGTAGGGTCGATTCCGGTGTTAGTGATATCAACCGGATTACCGTTGACAAGAACAGTCACACGGTTGGCCGATGTAGATGCCTCTTGTTCCTCGCCATTCTGCTGGACTACGGAGGCGTCACCTGCCTCGGCCGCAGGGCGGTTGGAGTCTTCAGTGACGTTCTCTTGTGAGGATGTTGTATCAGGCACAGCCGCGGGGGATTCGTGGTCGAGTTCAGCAGCGTCAGCCATGACCACGTCGGGTGACGGTACATTTACGCTCGCAGGAATGTCAGTGTCCATACGTGCGGGCTCAGGAAGAGCAGGTGCTTGTACAGCATGTTCATCGGGATCAGGAGCGTTTGGCGCTGGTTCTTGCCTATCAGAATTGCCCACCGATGCTACCTCAGCTGCTTCAGCTGCCTCAGCGTCATTTTTATCCTTCCTTTCTTGAGCCTCTGCTTCTCGAGCAGCAGCTGCCGATTTTTCGGACGCCTCGCGCTTGTGCGCGGCCTCCTTCGCACGAAATTCGGGGAGCAAGGCTATCACTATATAGTTTACTAGTGCACTGAGCCTTTCGGTCGCATTCCGACCTTGTGTCATCTTGCCCTCATCAATCCATCGCTGTGGTGTGGTGATAGGGGAAAACTCTTGTACCTGACGAGTAGCTTCGAGGAGACGATTGTCAGTTGGAGTCACGTTCGCTTGGGCAGCAGGTCGAGCCGCTCCACGATGGCTGGCCAAGTGCGCGATAGATATGGGCTGACCATTCCCAGCGCGCAGTTCAACAACAGTGTCTGCAGACGGTCCACTGCGAGTCATGATATGTTCAATCATTTGATATCCGTCTTCGCCTATAAGATCATGGATCATATTGAGAAATCCATGGGCTACTTCACTCGATTCACCCAGTAGGTCTCGGGCACGAAGAAGTCGACGGGAGTGAGACAACCGCGATGGGTGAGGAGCAGGTGGTTGCCCACTTCCACGATTGACAGCTTCAGCAAGCAACGGATGCATAGAAGGATCAGGAGCCGGGAAAGCACCAGGACGAGCGCGAGCTCTCTGCATTTGCATGTACTGGTCCATATCTGTAATTCCATGAGAATCTTGTCGGACGAAAGAGTATCAGCATACCGATGAGACGGCTACGTCGTGAGTGTGGCTCTGTGCCGTTAACAATCATGCCTATGCCTGGAACTGGAGACTCCAGCGATCCATCAGTGTAATGCCAGATGGAACCGTCATCCACAGGAGGAGGTATGCCGATATCCAGTGCGACCAGCTCTGGACTGGATTGAAAGTCATATCAGTTGGGTGATGCGGACCAGGCAAAATCAATGTACCCATCGTCAGGCCCTGCGTCTTCATCATCTTCCTCATCTTCCTCATCACCGCCTTGAACTGACCGTGTAGAAAAATGAGAGTGCCTTCTGAGTACATAAGTATTGTTGACCATCAGTTAACCATACCTTGCATAAGATCCACAGCATCCTCCAAGCGATCGCGGACATCAGCGAGAGGATCACTTTCCATACCGTCAGGCTCATCCTGCTGCAAACTTGAGGCAGAATATGGTAAGGAGGAGGACAATACTTACCTCCCATACCATCTCATCAGCTTCCAGCTCCACGTCCCCGCCGCCTTCTTCATCATCCGGTTCATCCCCCGCTGATTCTTCCTCTTCAACCCATACTTCCTGTTCTTCTTCACCCTCGCTGACAGCATCAACATCCTCTCCAGCCTCATCTTCATCTTCACTAGTCTCGGAAGTATGATCGGTGCCGATTTCCTCGTCTCCGTATTCCATATCAAGATCATCAGCTTCTTCCTCATCTTCACCCATCACTTCATCATTATTAGGATACGACATATCCTCCATCTCCTGCAGTGAAAATCAGGTCTTCGAACTAACTGTAGTGCAGGAATACTCACTCCACCGTACCTGAAGACGGGATTAGTGTTAGTCCATAAGTTTTCAGAAGTGGCGACAGTGACAAATACGCACATGCCAAGAGCCGAGTTGCGATACAGATCAGGAGTCTCCCCACGATCGGAGCTTGCATCATCTTCGTCTTCATTCATTGAGAAATCCGATGATTCACTCTCATCCGGTCCCAGCAGTGAGCCAGCCACCTTGGTTTTATCAGCGGCACGGCCCATCTTGATTGCCGTTTTCGTACTGATGATAGATGCATCAATTTGCTTCAAGTATTGAGTCTGACAAGGACTCACAGGAGTTCCAGTGGGCGCAATACGGCCGCCACCAAACCCCGCACGTTCGGAAAATTAGGGTCAATCTCACCCAGCGTAGTTGTAAGCAGGGCGACGAAGTTCTTTTCCAACATGAACTTTGAAATGTGCAATGTTGATTCGGAGAGAGACCTGTTTGTTGGGGACGTTATCGGCCTAGCCAAGAGCCGAGATGACAGCTCTGCAAGAGCGCCAAGTCTCGAGTAGCGACTCTCGAGGGACTCTGCGGCATGTGTCTCTTTGAGACCCCGTGAGATAACATCCAAAACGAGCTTTCGGGCCCCAACGACTTCAGAAGGGATCTCTTTCATGGTCGTAGCCGAGCTGGGATCAGCACATAGGGCAACCACCACGGACATTGCGCAATCACTTAAAATGGCCCGACCTTTATCTGCGTTCATTGGCGCGGCCTCGGGGTCAGCAAAGAAGAGGAGATCGGAAAGCAGAAAGTGAAGAATGGCATTCTTCTGTTTCGGCGCATCCTTAGCTTGCGTGCTTCGTTTCCTGGTATATGATACGAATGCACTCTTGCACACATTGTACGCAGACAGCAACTCGGTCAGACATTGAAGTAGGAAGCAAGCGTATACGAATTCCGACATCTCCGTTCCGGTTTTAGCGAGTTGATCATCATTTGACGACATTTCAGGGCTCTCTAATGGAGAAAAGCCAGGTTGCGCCAATGTCGCGATAACCGACCTACCAACTCGCAACACCTCGGACACCAAGGATTTCAACAAGGTATCCAATGGCTCGGAGAACTGAGGCGGGATACCCTCATCGACTGTGGCGTCCAACGGTTGGGCTTCTGCCACAATAGGGACGACGGGAGGATCGAAGGGTGTCTCTTTAACGGGCTCTGGCTTTTTGTCTTCCTTCAGCGATACGTTAAAATTCGAACCAGAGGATGTTGATGACGTCAAGGAACAGATTGATCGACATGCATCGATGAAGACACTCATATCACGAAGCGCCAAGTGGCTGTTGTTACGAACAAAGCTCCAAACGTCGTATACACGCAAGCGAGGCTGGGTTAGCGTTCGAACGAGATCTTGTTTCATAACGCTTTCGAGAACCCCTCGGTCTTCGATGATGTGGCGCAAGAGAATAATGGTATGAACTTGGCAACCTCTGGTGTCATTTGTGGGGGTCTTGAACAGATCTAAAAGCTTGGAAATTGCACCGGCTCGAAGGAATTCCACAGCGAGGTGATGGTCACGAGTTAACAACACCAACAAGCGGAGGCATGAAATCAAGTTGTTCTTGTCCAGGTTGGACGCGGACAGTAGTTGCAAGCAAAAGTCGAATAGAACTCTGCGCACTTCTGTGTTGGGGGCTGCAATCTTGAGTTGCGGTGATGGTACCTCCTCGTCAGGTTTAGGCACTTCGACAGGGTGGATCTCATCGCCCAATACAAGAAGGGTTTCCATGACGAGCAGAAGCGGGGCAAGCCAGGGAGGGATCACAGCATTGGCAGTAATTTCGATGCCATGTAACTTTTTCACAAAACTCTGCAATATGCGATCCTGGTCACCACTGTCAAGTGCCGAACGGGACTCTCCGGCAACTAGAGCGATGAGACGAAGTCGGACAGCGAATGCCGTGTCAGATGCATCCGACGGAGAGAAAAGGTCAGGATCCGTTAAGAGTTCCTTTGCCGTCCGGGCCTGATACTTGTCGTCTGGGCCGATGAATGCGCGTTTTACTTCAAAAACCAAATCCGGATGCTTGTCAATGATGAATAATGCTTTTGATGCAATGCCAGGAGCCGCTGCATCGCGTATGAGTTGCAATTCGGATGCATAGTCTGTTTCGTCCCGGGGTTCGGTGGATGAAGGTGGATCGCCTTCTTGGCCGCTTGAACTGGGCGTTCCGGCGGAGTCGGTATCGCCATCACCTCCTGTGGGGACATTAGCTGCTGGAACGGGTGGTGGATCAGCATTCTCAGGCGCCATTGTCTCATCTTGATTGTCGCCACCATTCTGAGATCCTTCCTGGATCTGCTGGTCAGGGGGAGCAGGTATCTGTTGCTCCGCAGCCACAGGGGCCATTAATGGGAAAGGATGAGAGAGCAAGTACTCAGTAGCGGCAGTGAGATTGTTGTGAGCGCGAATCAGAGCTCGTTCTACAGTGGCTCGAGGAAAGCCCATATCACAAAGCTGCTGAACCCGAGCCTCATCGGGCACTACAGGGGTGATACGGCGAGATCCGCCATTAAATATCCTGGGGATGTCGGAAGGCTCTGTAGAAAGGTTGCCACTGGAGTCGCCTTCATTTTCTGCCGCCATGACCTCTAGAAAGCCGGCCACTGCTGGTTTGACGACGCCAAGTGGGGCTTGATCTAACCAATCGGCGTCCCACACTTCGAATAAGACAGGGATAAACAGAGACCGAAGCTTCACAAGAAAGTCGTGGGGTTCGAAATAATCAGGATGATTTTTAGGTTTGTCCCTGGCCACTAGAGTGGACGTTTGCCCAGAATCCATCAAAGGCCGAGAAGACACAAGGGCTTGGAACAGTCGAAGCACGACTTCCAACCCAACGAAGGCGGCTGCCGCCTCGCTCGCTTTGTCCGAATTCGGATTCATGGAGACTTGCTTTGCAGAAGTCCGGAGTGTAGAAATAAAGGAGTCGCAGACATCAACTATTGTGTGCAAGGCATCCACTTGCCACATCGTTAAGAGCATGAGGGTGTGTAGTGAATTCTGTGAAGTTCGTTCTGCACCAAAAGTTGAGATGGAATAACGAGCGAACAAATGCGATTTACCGTCGAAAAGAAGGGTTGCAATAAGCCCAAGAACCAGAGCCGTGTAACTGAACGAAATCACTTTGTCAGCTAAAATTGAGCCAACATTAAATAGGAAATTTGTCGCGCAATAACGATGAGCCTTACCTGAACCACGCCACTTGAGGTGCTCCAGAAGAACATCTTTTACGATGAGCTTGGCGAGCGTATTCGCTTGCTTCCTCTGGACAAAGTCTGCTGTTCGTCGGTTATAAAGGAAAAGCTTCGTGACAGCTGTAACGCCGCGGGTAAGAGGCGCCTTGCTACCAAATGACGGTTGGGCTCACCCTGAAAGAATGGTGTCATAGATTTCGTCAAAGTCTGGATCATTCCCTTCACAGCCTTGATGTTTTGTTCGCGAGCCTTGTTGTCGGAAGGCTCGTTCGGCGCCAGAGGGGTTACGTTGGAGGTGCTGTTGGCTCCACCCCCAACCGCGTCTGCCGTCGGAGGGCTAGAAAGTGCTATCTGGTTTCCAGACACTGTGACGCCCTTATAAGGGTCCGGTCCAATCAGGGCGAGTAGTTCCCAAAGGAAGGTGCGATACATAATACCCAAGTCCCGGATAAGTTTGGAACCCGCCTCGCCTGAGACGACCTGAGCGATGGAGTTTGGTGAACGGCTGTGTGTGTACCCCACACTTGAATACACTTGGGATAGCAAGTTGATGCGTGAATTCAGGGAAACGAGCTGACGGAAACGAGAGTTCGCGTCCGAATGACTCGCTGCAGAAGAACTGTTATTAAATACCGAAGAGCAAACATGAGATGACTGCACTTACTCTTACCGCGATCTGCCAAGAAGCCAAGATTAGGTAGATTCACTTCCGAATTCCAAAGCTCCCTTGTCTCGTCCATAGAGAGCTGAACTTGCTTGGACAACCTCTCCAATGTTGGCACAGTCACCGCTTCAGCCATGTTGCGCACGATAGAGACTAAAGAGGCGGCTGCATTGGATTCGAAGAAGTTCACTGGCAGCGCTGGCAAAGAATACAATTTGCAGATGCGCTCAATGCCATCGTGACCCGTAACAAACTCGCGGCAATGAGGGATATGCTGGAAAAGGCCATCCAGGAACTAAGGAGGCCAATTCAATAAATATTTCCATTTGGAAAACAATTCCCAGCACGCACCCTTCCAAAGATATCAATGTAAGCCACGATAAGATTCGGCTTTTCGACGTTGGACTCAGATCCATCACCATTACCAGAATCAGTGCTTCTCAAGGTCTCTGCTTGAGAAGCCGAGCGGGAAGCTTCTGCTGCTGCCGTCACCATCTCAGTATCTTCGCTTTGTTGGGGCACAAGACCATACAATGCAGCGTCAGAGGGGGGAACTGCAAAAGATCCACCAAGTTCTTCAATCCTATTAAAGGTTGCAATAACAGCATCGAAAACTGGTTTCTTCAATGATGGATGGTGTCGCACGAGTTCGTCGAAGCCCCCACCAATGTACGTGGCATTGTCTTTCTCCTGCAATGTGCGGATATGCCGCTCCGAAGTCAAAATGGAGAATATCTGAGGAATGATTGTCGGAAGATTTGAAAGGCCTTCCAAGCCAGCCTGATTCAAACACAGCGCGCCGATGGCTCCTGGTAAAGCCGTAATCACCTCCGTTGACGACTCGACACCGCTTTCGATGGCTTTATAAAATGCGTTGGGCAAACCTGCTTCCTGAATTACCGTCAGTGATGTTGGCTCGTTATGAACGAAAGCCGCCATTATATTGATAGCTAGGGAGGGGGTAAGAAACGCATGATACGGACGAGAGCCTTTAAACAGACATACCTATGGAGAAGATAGCTGAGCCAAATAGGCCTCGATGCTCCATGATCTTCTTCACAGACTTGCCAAGAGACGTGTCGATGAGTCCGCGCAGATTCTCCGAGCCACCCGACACCTGCATTATCCTATGCATCGTCCTCATAATATGCTTCAAGAGCACAGCTCGCGGATACGGAAGATGACCTTCGACGACATTTTTAAGCAAACTTCTCCCAGAGGTAATCCTGGGCCAACCCACCATACAACGACCCTTCAGAAGTGTTATCCACCCTATTATTCTGGAGGTCAAGGTCCACTTCGTGCTACATCACTGTTGTTAACGATGTCATGGCGATGTTAAACGATAGCAGTCACCTCAATCCTAGACACCAAGACATCGACGCCTCGGTTGTTACAAAAACTGTTAAAGCCATTCCCAAATCCGTATAGTACAGTATCGACGAGATTTGTAGTCTTGGAAACAACCTATAGATGATGTCAGCAATTATGTCGCATCATGTAATGCATCCTCCATTTACTCACTGGAGTCGACTTTCATCACGGTTTTGTAAGATCTGAACAAGTAGCGGAAGGAGCCCCGCGCCGACGATCATGCTTCCGCCAGCCGGATTCTGTGTCAGGAGGATGATGAAAGAGATCAGAGAATCCGCAAACTCGAAAGTCACTTTCGCTTCGAAGTTAGGCCACTAAGTCAGCTACCAGCGCTCGCAAAGCGACAACACTCACTCTGTGGATCGTTCAAGTTATGGACTAATCTCCTCATCAACGACATTAAGATCCCATGAGTGACCCCAGCATTTGTGGCGCTCAAGACCTCGCCAGCCCTGCCACGATATCGGGCAAAGGCATCTAACGTAGCAATGGCTGCTATCTGAACGCTAAGTGGAATTGGGTGCTCCGGCTGAAGAAGAGATGCGACCTCGGATATAAGATCAGGCTCATAAACGAAGAACGCTGACTGAGCTTCGTTCTCTGAGTTGGTGTGTGCTGCGAGGAGCACGACATCAGCATAATTATCCTAAAACAGCATAATCTTCTTTACCGTAAATGGCGAGGGCTAAGAGCCTCATTATGGCCAGATTGTCTCTCTCTTTGCGCTTTTCGGGCCCGGGGCCCAGTGAAAGCGCGACTCGAATGCGGCACAAGAGATCGAACTTCTCTTCGTCAGAAATATCGTGCGTTTCGAGCTGCTCTCTCAACAGATCAACAGCTCCCTTATTAGAGTCAGCGAGACTAGGAATGTGAACAGTAACCATGCCGCTGTTCACGGGGGCCGGTTGAGAGAAGCTAGTGCCAGCGGCCGGCGTCGTGGGAACCGATGGGGAAGGCGCCTTTGCTTTCGAAGGGGTTTGAGATACAGAGGTCTCATTCTTGTTGACGCTACTAGGCTGAAATTTCATATAATACGTGAAAGTGACTTGCGATGCTACTTTAGGGAAGTCGAAGGACTTCGCGGGGTTCAGGACTTCCGCAAAACTACTCCCATGCTCTCTAATGCTCGACCAACGGCTGGCAAGTGAGATGAGCCTCTTGGTGGAAACATTTTGGGTATGTGACGCCGAAGGCTGAGAGGAATATTGTTGTGATGGTCTCAGCAAAAGTTGTAGGACGCCAACGATTACGTCCGTATCGTTCGAGAAGAGGAGAGAGTTGATGCGCTACGTAAGTAAGAAAGAGGTGAGAAAAACAGAGCTTGCGAGACAAACAAAATGTTGCATACATCGTAAGAAGCAAATAGCTTGCGATTCGTCGAATTATCCAGGAGCAGCGTTTCAAAGCGCAGAATTTCCATGATCGTCTCTTTATCGAGTGGCGTGAACCCCTTGAGCTGTAGTTTATCGATATCGTAGGTATCGATGAAACCTTTGAGGATCTCATCGAATTTATTCAAGACTTTAACCCAAGAATGCAAGTCTGAGCGTGGCAACGTCCACGCTGACATAGCGCCAAGATACGCGGGCAGTTCATCTTGTGGGAGCTCCGCTATACGGTCAATGATTTCAACGATGCTAGGATGCTGCAAGGATTGAGTGGTTAGTTAGAGTAACTTGAAGAATGTTGGGCAGCTCACGGGCGGCGCGACCTTCTTCCCCTGTTTGAGGATTCTCATTTTTGGTGCCTTCAGGGAGCCGAGCTGCTACCCTAGACAGTACCCCGTATGGTGTTGTTAGCGATGTCCCAGCAAGTGCGGTGACTTCCTGAGACGATGTAGCGAAATTACGCGACTATGAAAAAGAGGGATCGTTGCCTAAGTTATCGTTATGTACGCGCGTCGGAGTCAAATTTGTGGACAGCCTCCGACTCTTCGTTCTATGCCACTCTACGAACTTCTTGTAATAAGCTCACACTTCAGAGAGCTCGTAAGCATTCAGAAGATGTTCTACACGTTTTTTGTGTTCGATGTCTGATTTTTCTGGTTTTTCTTTTACCAGCTTCATGTCAAGGATCTGGTGACATCCACGGCGACTCATATCATGCGGCATGGTGGTGTGGTCCGTTCACTTGGTTTCTGGGAAACAAGGTTATTGCCTCAGAGACTGAGGTCACATAAGCAGTGGCACGAAATTGGAGAGTACGTCTTTGGCCATTCAGCCTCAGCCCAGCTTGGGACGATTTTTTGACGCGCAGCGCTTGTGCAGCTACTGGACTTTACACTTTGATGCATCGCCTCGTCTCATGGGGGAATTACGTACCCGTCTACGAGAGGACCCTAGAGTCATCAGACAAACTGTACTGAAAATGGGCGAGAAACTCGAAGATGTTGCAGAAATCAAGTTTGGGAAAACCATGAGTACGTAGGCTGTTTCTGTCGATTGTTTGAGCGCATTTCTCAGTTGTGCCCACAGCCGGGAATGGTTATGGCAAATTTTTTGCACACTCTAAAGTCTGAACTGTTCTCCCCTTCACCCATTCCTTATCATTTCTACTACTTCGTGCAGCCCACTCACCACAGTCACGCCTTCCAAGTTCTCTCCATCCTCCTTTCTTTCCTCCGCTCCTAGCCTTCCACCCCTCCGTACCAGCACCGCTCGAACGCCCGCCCGTGATGCACTATGGTAGTCCCTGCATGAAGGATGTATCATTATTCCGAGACAAAATATCAGCGAAGCCGTCAAATGTTGCGTACATATCTAGTTCGTCTCCAACATGCAAGACTTCCCCAAGGTGAAGTCCTGGAGTCCCTTCAATAGTCTTTTCCCACATCTGCACATCCGACTTGTCGATCCCAACTTCCTCACTGATGATGCAAGGATTCAGAAATTCCAAAATCTCAAGATCATTCAACACATCCCCTGCAGTTTGCCGAGTCAAGCTGGCTACCAGACGAAACGAACAAACGCTCGACTATCGCAAGAAGTTACTTACGCATCCGACTGTCACTGTTTGATGTTAAAGCAGTCGCAACTCCCATCTCCCTGAGCCGGCGCACTTCCCGACAGCCACCCATGCAACCCAGTCAATGGCCACAATCTCTTCAATGGTCATTACCTAAGATCGAAAATGGGGCCACTCACAAGTAGGCAAGGAATCGACGTACAACTCGTATCCTTCCTTAGACGAAAATCGTTTCATCAACTGAGGAACAATAACCGGCAAGCTCTCATCCACGACTAGCAATCACCAGGAACGAAAATCCCCGATTCCAAAAAAAAGACATTTAGTCCATCATGGCACCTAGAACATAACATCAATACCCACTTTGAGGAGGAGCCCCAGCCCCGATAGCAGCCCGTCTAATAACCTCTCCCCACCATCCAGAAACGCCCTCCGCATGAGTGTACAAGGGCTTCTCATCGTACAAATCCCTCAACGCTACATCCAGGACGAATAAGTAAATCATTAAAATCGAACCTCCTATCCAATAGAAATACATACTAGCTTTCAATGATCTTTTAACGTCCTCTGACTGAACCTTAAAATACGGCTCTTCATAACATAACACGATCCAACCGACACAAAACAGCAAGGCAATAGCATCAACTAAACTTCTCGCAAACCACGTGGAAAGAAAGAGAATAAAAACACACCGAATACCTCTACATACTGCTTGCCAACACACTTTCTCGGCTTCAAAAGCGTAGCATACGCGTCAAACGAAACGAGTCGTATCCGGCTCTTTGACGCAATGCTCGAACGCATCCTTCTTCTTTAACTCTTCCCTATGAATCACGCCAGGTATTTGGAAGATGAGATAATTCAAGAGAAAGTCGGGAGGGGGAGAAGGATAAGGGAGAGAAAAGAAAAAAAGAAGCTTACTCGACGGCGATTGAATTCAATCGGATTAAACATAAGCGCTTGCACAGCCTCCTCTGAGCCTAATCGTCAACACAAACTTTCCCTTCTTGAGTCCTGCGAAGGTACGTGGCAACAAGACATCCACCTTGGGATTTCCATGCGCCGTGACAGAATGTCCGCCCTCGACCAAATCGCCGTAGGACTACTCGAGTGGGGTCTGAAGAACAGCTTTGAGTATGAACGCGGAGTGAATGCCTCGATCTGGCCAGTGGGTCAAGCAAAGACAGCTTACATGCACACTTGACCACTGTACCCTCAACCACTTTTAATGATAAGTTATACCCGTACCCGGTCCCGAGTATTCTCCACGCATGGCACATGTTGATTCTGTATGATCCAAGAATCCATGGCTGACGCGCTGCTGTATTACAGCCGTTTGCCCCCCCAAAAAAAAAAAAAAAAAAAAAATTGGTCAACTTCGATTTTTACACGGTGGCTAGGTCAGTCATCCTCCCAAAAACTTAGCGAGATCATGCATCACGATCACGAAAGGGGAATTCCACATTTGCATATGGATCCGCCTAACGCCAGGGACCTGCATTTTCCGATTTATCAACGGCTGCAGCAACTCGTCATCCAGCAGCATACACTCTCGTTAGACATCGATCTAAGCCCAGTGTCCGCCATTAACCGCGTCAAGGATCCCCGATCAATATGCACTTGAGCATGCATGCCATATTATTGAGAAGATCTTTCACAGCAGCCCAACCGCAGGCCCCCGACGACTCCGCACCAGCCATGTGAAGGATATGAAAACAAAGGTCTTGCAATTACAGTCCACTTCCCAAGCACGAACAGCGACACGGGCGCACAAACACTAGGTTGCGATTGTCCAAGTGTGGATCCAATCAATAGCTTCCATAAGCGCGGACCGTCTGTACCAAATGAGCGGATGGGTTTGGAAGCTTGTACATACATCCTAAAACCCCTCTTAGGATTAATCAAAATCGGTAAAAGATAAGCAAATCATAGTGAACGGGTGGAAAAAAAGAACGTTCCGGTTTCAGTGCCAAAAAAAAAAAAAATATCATCGATCAACGGCGATGGCGGAACAATGCAGGAGCAATAACTATTAGAAAAAAGCAGAGCCCTAGAGTGGCTCGGTGCAAAAGTCGGAGTGCATGCAACGGTAATAGAAAATGTTTCAAAAGAACGCAGAGATACGTGGAAGTTAGACGCGATCGATTTCGCTGAGCTGGACGCCAAATTACGACCTGGATTGCGAAGAGAGGAATGTCAGTGGGTTCCCCATGCGAGCAGTGCAAGTATGTACTAACACATTTTGGCCACACTTTTCTCACAATCCTTCCAACGCCTTCCAAAACCTCACGAAATCAATCGTTCCCCACCCCGTCGAGGCATCCCACCCATGGGTAGCAGGGAATCCTCCATTCCCTGGACCTCCAATCCCTTGCGCATCCCCATCGCATCCATACGACCCACCGTTCACAACGTCATTCCAAGCAGTTCTAATCCCTGGGTAGAGGTAGAAGAGCGGATGAACCCAGCCTAAACCTCCAGCATCTTCACCATAGAGCTGGCGGATACGGGCATTGATAAGGGTAATTATCGATGCAAAAATGGGTGCTGAAGCGGAGGTTCCACCTATGTTTACATCGTCGCCATCGACCACAATTAGCTGATGTGAACCTCTAATGTCAAATTCAAGAGAGCCTTCGTCAGTATCCAACGCCAGGTATTCCTCGCGAAAGGGAATACGACACTCACTGAGCAGAGACATCGGGATAGGCCCTTCCCGTCTTGTTATAATTCCCATTCTCCCTCCCCTTCAAGAAACGAATATAATGATTCGCGGCCGTTCCTGGAAGAACGGGCGATCAATCAACGTCGAGAACCCAGATCCTCCATAAAAGCCTGCCAAACCCCCATCACCAGTCGATTTCCCTCTTCCAGTAGCCCTTTCCCCATCACCACCCAAAGACTTTGGAAGTCCCTCTGTAGAACCCACGCTCAATATATACGGGCACCCACTCGGATACGTGGGACGGAAAGGCGGACACTTTGGATCCCCTGGGGCCTTTCTCGAGCTTGATTTATAGACACCATTGTCCCCCGCAGAAAAGATGATCGTCGTTCCCTCAGCAGTTAACTTCTCCGCTTCAGCACACATTGTATTCGCTTGTTGTTTCGTGAGCTGATATTCATTATAGCCATAGGAGACTGAGATAACGGCGGGTCGTTTAAGTGCATCCATTGCGAGGAACTGTTGGAATGTGTAAAGGAAAAGGTCATCAAGCGTACCCGATCCTACGTCGTAGAATGCTATACGAAATTAAATGAATTTTGAGCAAATAGCGATCGAGCGAATAGATGGCAAACTCACTGGATTTAAGAGGCCATACCAGCCCAGCAACAGTCTGCACGTCCAAACTTGCCTCATAACCTGGGTTCGACTGATTATTCTTCCCTCCATTCCATTCCTGAACATCAATAGAATAATTCTGAGCTTCAGGCCTATACTTGGTTAAATACGTCTTCAAATCCGTAGAATTATAACTCTCTTCGATATACCCCATTACTCCAATGGACGGAGGATCTGAAGCTGAAGGAGTTGGAGGTATATAATCGTTGAGACTGTAAATCGTTCGGATGCACTGCAGGGTTATGGCATGTACATCACAAAGAGGAGCGCGAGTCATGAGATTATTGCCATTGTGAGTGGCGGCGCGGCGCGCATGGCTAGGCCTATACCTACGGCGAGGCTCGACAGGATTAACTTTACCAACCGGAGTGATTTGTCCAAATGCAAGGAGGGGGAAAATATCAATGACAGCATCGGAAATGGATGGCGGGATGGTAACGGAATGGGCACGAATAACAGATGGGCCACTATCATGTTGGTACGTCAAGAAAATTGCGGAGAGGAACTATATCACTCGTCAGCGACTAACGTCCCGGAGAGCGTTTGATCGCGCTGGGCTCACCTTGGCAGCCTCGCCAACAATAGTGTGAACAGTGACCTGATCTCCATACGAGTTGAATTCGAATGTAGCACCAGGAATAGCCGCCAAAACACTCTCAACACTGCTCCTCACCTGCGGCGTCGCGCCAACATAACCAGCGACATCCTGTTGAGTCAACCACCGCCTCCCGGGAGATCCAAGAGGAGCGAGAGCAATGTCCTTCATGCGTGATTGCAATCCATCTCGATTGGAAGGAGCGAGCACGAGCGTGAACTCGATTGGTGTGTTAGGGAGAGGTGGTATTGAGAGAAGTTGCCATAAGGAAGGAATGACATCCGGAGCATTAAAAGTATTCGCCGAGACTGGGATAACGAGCGGAAGAATGAAGGAAAGGAAGAGAGCGGTTGCACGCATTAGGGACGTCTCGATGGAGGGACGTTGGAGGGGAAGGCTTGAGAGAAACCGCTTTCAACCATGGCTTTTATGGAGAAAAAAAAAAAATAGTGATTCGGCAAGTGGCAGGTGGACTAGGCTCATTTAGGAAGCACCCGGAGACGTGAGACGGAGTTCGAAAGGAAAGAAAGAAGCTTCCATCAATGAATTCATTACTTACCAAAAGAGTCATTAAGTTACCTTTCCTTTCAGGGCACCGGGTTCGCCGTAATCCCAAATGCGAATGATTGTGGCATTAGAATCACTTACGAAGGAGGGGGGGGCACAGATAGTCCCCATCATTGTCCCAGCAGCGACGCTCAAGCATCGAGCAGGAGGGGGTCGAAGGCAATTGCTATTTACGTATAGACAACAGCCGACGGCATGTTCAAGCCATCATTAATGTATTGTGGTGATGAACATTATGTCAGTTCGGGCACAGAGTGGCCGAACTCAGGAAAATTAGGCCGCATCTCACCGAGCCGAGCTATCACACAATTTGAATACAGCAAGTTGTGACAGGTCAACTCCCTTGGCATTGGCACGTATAAATATTGTAAAATACACATAACGGCAGTCACCGTTTCATGCACCCGCGTTCATCGTACAGTGAATGAAAAGGGCAAAAGAAATTGAAAACTAATTTTGACGTTCCAGTTTCAACGTATAAATACAATAAAGAATCCTCGTAGGCGGACCAGACGTGAGGGCAACATCAGGCCCCAAGTTGTGGAAAAAGCAGAGCATCATTGTCCTTACATGTCGAATGGTCACAATCAGACCAGATAAATAGATACTTCTGCAGAAAACAAATGTCAATAATTTCCCAGTGTGAGCGGAGTGGTACTGACGAGGTTTGGCCTTATTTACATCCCAAAAACTCTCCTGAACCTCATGAAATCTATCGTTCCCCACCCTGTTGAGGCGTCCCATCCAATAGTAGCAGGGAATCCTCCATTCCCCGAGCCTCCGATCCCTTGCTGATCCCCATCACATCCATATGATCCTCCCCTCACCACGTCATTCCAAACAGCATCCATCCCCGAGTTGACGTAGAACAGCGGGTGAACCCAACCCAGACTTCCAGCATTTTCACCATAGACTTCGTGGATGCGGGCATTCATGAGGGCAATTATCGATGCGACGATAGGCGCCGAAGCTGAGGTTCCCCCTACAGTTTCATCTTGGCCGAGAACGACAATCTTCTGCTTTGAACCTCTACCATGTCAAAATCCAAAAAAAGCCATTAGCATCCGACACTAGATAGGTGAGAAAAACAGACGAAAGTCAAAAACAAAAGCAAAGTACTCACTGAGCAGCAACATCGGGATAAACCCTACCCCACTCGTTATAATTCCCTTCCTCCCTCCCCGCCAAGAAACGAATATACTGATTCGCAGTCACATTCTGCCAAAATGGGCGATCAAATAACGTCGAGAATCCAGATCCTCCATAAAACCCTGCCACGCCCCCATCACGACTCGTCCCAGTGGCTCTCTCCCCAGACCCGCCTCAGCCAGGGGGAATCCCTCCGTAGATGACACACTCAAGATAAACGGACACCCACTCGGATACGTAGGACGGAAAGGCGGACACTGCGGACCACCTGGCACCGTGCTCGGCTGCCCTCCATTCACGCCGTTGTCCCCCGCAGAAAAAACGATCGTCATACCCATACAACTCAGCTTTTCCGCCGCAGCGCACATCATATTCGCCTGGTCTTTTGAGTAATTTCCTTCGTCATCGCCATAGGAGACTGTGATGACGGTGGGTCGTTGCGCCACAGGCATGTCGAGGAAATCGTTGAACGCGAGAAGGAAAGGATCTCCTTGTGTTAGGTATGTCCCAACGTCATAAAATGCTACACAACGTTTTTAAGTAGAATTTGTGCAGGTAGCGGGCAGGCAGATGGAGAGAGTAGGAAATGTTTAGGATGTCAGAACAGAAGATTCAAACGCAAACCGGAGATAGGGGAAAACTCACTGGACTTGAGAGGCCACACAAGCCCGGCAACAGTCTGCGTATCCAACGCCGCCTCCACACCTGGCACCACTGGCACATTCACTGCGTCATCCCACTGAACAACATCAATACAATAATCCTTAGCCTCAGGTCTATACTTGGTCAAATATGTCTTCAAATCCAGAGGATCATAATTTTGATTGATATAGGCCATTATCCCGATGGATGGAGGGTCCGAAGCCGAAGGGGTTCGGGGCGTGTAATCGGTGAGGTTGTAAATCTCTCGGATGCACTGGAGCGTTACGCCGTTCATGTCGCATGTAGGGGCACGAGCCTTGAGACTAGAGGTGCCCCCATAGTTGTTAGTGGCACTTCGGTGTGCATGGAGAGGTCTATACCCATGACGGGGTTCGACTCTGCCGAATGGAACAACTTGGCCAAATGTGAGGAGAGGGAAAATACCAATGACTGCGTCAGAGATGGAAGGAGGAATGGTGACGGAGAGAGCACGAATCACAGTTGGACCATTGTTGTATTGGTACGCCTTGAAATTTGCTGAGAGGAACTATATCATCGATCAGCTGACATCTCCAAGGGGTGTTTGAGATGTTAAGAACGCGTCGCACTCACCTCAGCGGCCTCCCCAACAACAGTCTTAACAGTGACCTGGTCTCCGTACAAGTTGAACTCGTACGTAGCACCAGGAATACCCGCCAAAGCGCTTTCGACACGACTCTTCACCTGCGGCGTCGCGCCAACATAACCAGCGACCTCCTCTTGAGTCAACCACTGCCTCCCAGGAGATCCAGGAGCAGCGAGAGCAATATCCCTCATACGTGATTGCAATCCATCTCGATTGGAAGGAACGAGCACGAGAGTGAACTCGGTGGAGTGTTGGGTAGAGGCGGAGTCGGAAGAAGTTTCCATATTGAAGGAATGACATTCGGGGCATTAAAAGTACGCGCCGAGACTGAGATAACAAGTGAAAGGATGAAGGAGAGGAAGGGACCCGTTGTACGTGTCGAGACCATCGCTGGACGAGTTGATGGAAATCCGAGGAGACAAGCTTGCAACCTGAGGCCCAATTGCTCCTTGATCATATATGTGTTTCGTCGGCTATGACACACCCTGATCACCATACGCTGTTGGACTAGCCATATTCAGGAGACGCTATAGTAGAGACAAAGTCCGAAAGCAAAAAAAGAAGCTTCCACCGAGGTGTCCCCCCACTATTACGCAAATTCATCGAGGTGCCTGCTGTTCAGCTTCCTTTCAGGGCGTCAGGATCGCCGCACCAGATTCAAGGGGCCAGAACTTGAAGCTGCCAACTGCATATGGTATGTAATACTAGTGCCGAGATCTAGGTGGGGATATTCATGTTTAACTCATGTTCGAACGCCCAACAAACGGCTCGGGCCGTATTCGAGCAATGTCACACAGAGTGTGAACTCCTCAGCATCAAGGGCCAGCAATTGCAGCAGTCATGCGACAGCACTGGCCTCACAGGCAAAAAACTAAACTCCATTTGGAATGGAGACTTGGAGGATTTTATTTTATTTCTGCTGAATGTGACTGGAGGTATATATTTACTGACTAGCGGAGTTAGCCGATTTTTTTTCATCCATCATCTTACGTAAACGTGGCTGTGCGTTTCAATACAAACGCAAAAGTTGAAATTGCGTCGCCGTGGCGCGCGTCCATGAGCGACGCAAACTCATGCTATCCAGGGTTCCCGAGTGGCTGAGGGTAGCCAATCCATGCGCAACCGAAGAAGCGAAGTTCAGAGGTCTACTCCTTGTACCAGAGTTAGTCTGCATTGGGAGATAAAGTGGCAGCACACGAGGCTGCAACAGACCTAAGTATACCTAACTTGGGACCAAGTGCGGGTTCGTACTGTGTGGTGTGTGATTGTAATAAGGAGTATTTCTAAATCACGTCTGAGTACATCTTTCGACCTTTTCGTCTGCTGGCAGACAAGCACCATCTTCAGCCGGAATATTATCTTTGAAACGCTTTAATCAACAGTGGAAATCCACATTACCGAGACTGCTTTGGTTGCTACATAAGCGGCAAATGACATTACTCCTCCACACACGCGCGCTGCAGCGCTCTCATCTACGACTATTACGACTCGCCCGCCCGCATGTGATCGAGAGGGCCACTGAGATACCAATACCAATACCTATTTTGGCGCCAAGCGATAGACCGCCTTTTTTCCGAGGGGCGGAGACGTATCTTTTACTTATGGATGAGAGCACACCAGACCTCAGAAAAGGCAAGAAAAACTCACGTATATTTCACGAATTCGAGGTTTGGATGGCTGCCATTTAATTTCCTGTGAGTAACAGTGATTGTGTGATCCGCCGCTGTTAACTTGGACGAGTTCCAATATTTGTACAAGCAGCTGCTATAGCTAGTATTGCTCCAGGTATCTATGGTAGTCTGGTATCTGCCGTCCATGAAAATGTCGGCGCTTGATGTTGTGTTGGCACTGAGGAGGAAGGCCTGGGCAAATGTCCCTTGACCCTTGTCAGGCACGCTTCCAAAGGGACGTGGCGGCGAACATACCACGAAATGTCAGAGAAACAGAGGCGCTTTGTTCAAGTGTTTCTTGGATCGGGATACCACAGCCAAATTCTCTGCACACATATTGGCCCATCAAGAAGCACGACATGAACAAAAAGTTGGCCTACTTGCCATGCCAACTTGGCAAGGAGAACGATCCGCGTGAGTTTCTAGCCTGGATGAAAGGATATTGGCAGTATTCAAGCAAACTCACTCTCCTTCCGTTGTGTTCGGACTCCTGTACTCCAGCGTCCGGTTGTCTGCAAACACGGTTCTATTCTCATCGCAGCTAACGAGCCTCAGGAATACAACAAATAGGGTGATGATGAGGCAAAAATGGTTCATTCTGCTGAACGGGGGAAAGGTCGAGGGCTAGAAATCCTGGATGCCTTGGTCTTTTGTAACGGTGATTCAACCCATATTTGGGCATTCCTCTTGGGAGGCATATCCTAGATAAGAAAGTTCAAGAATACCGCGCGCGAAGCCCAAATAAAGAAGCAGCGCATCAATACACATGAACGAAATGAATCAACGTGTAATTCGGGTCCCTTCGCGAAGGCTGTGGTCTGTCGCTGTGCCCCACACCTCACCTTTTAATTTGGGCTATGTTCTCCCTTCAGCAAGCCCTGAACTCCAGGCGCCGGCGTCGAGTACTGGGAAAACGGTTGGAAGAGAAATATCTCGTGTGGCCACAACGGGGCTACACCAGCGAGTTCAGCAATGCGTCTGTCCATGTTTCAACCTCATAACGGCATGCGCAGATCAGGCACAGCGTGGCATGGGTACCTGACAGCCCCAGCAAGCCATTTGAACGTCCGGCATGGTACACAAGCCTTTGGATTTTTCATAACTGGTCGAATCAATCTTGAAGATTGTTTCCATCCCGAAACTAACCAGGGCCTCTGCCATTGAATCCCCCAGTGGATGAACAGTGATTTTACTTAATTTTTGGTCCACCGTTTCCACCCGGCGCTGTATCCCTGATACCCAAAGTGTTTCAACTGCCGATCGTGAATACATTCAACACCAAATTCGTCCAAGACACACAAAGGCGACCGTTACTGCGCATCCACACTGCTTCTTTTCCTTGATCCTACAGGCCTGCCACTGAGTCTGTATGCGGGGGTGAAAGCTGCGCTATTTTGTCCCAGCATTGCATCGCGGCTCGCAAGATCCAGCACGGACCTCCGCAGCTCAACTTTGACTTGGAGTTCCTACGTCCGGCCCCATGCACATAGCAGCTGGCTTTGAGTAGATCCACATATGAAATACGGACCTGTTGCGCAGGTCTCAACACACTAACACATTTACGGAAGTATCTTACATGCATGTTTCCCAACACGCTACGACTAAAATGCATATCAAGATGGACCCTACTATTGCACCGATGACAATGCCCGCTATGGCTCCAAGTGACAAGCCGCCTTTTCCAGCAGAACTATAGACGTAGCTTTACACTCGCGCATGAGCACAGCCAGACGGAGTGGCAACTGAGGCGAAACTCACGTATACTTCACAAAATCGAGGTTCGGGTGACTACGGTTCAAATTCCTGTGTAATACAGTGATCGTGTGCTCGCCCACCGGCAATTTGGGCGAATTCCAATGTTTATAAAAGCAGCTGGTGTTGCTGGTGTTGCTCCAAGTGTCCATTGTACCTTCGTAAATGCCATCGATATAAAAGTCAACGTTTGACGTGGTGTTGGCGCTGAGTAGCCATGCCTGGGCGGATGTCCCTGGAAGGTCGTCAGGTTACGTTGTGGGCGATACCTGCAATGCCGCGTACCGTTGAATGTGAAAGTAACAGTGGCGCTCTGTTCGTGTGTTTCCTTGATGGGGATCCCGCAACGATAGTCTCTGCGCGAGTATTGACCTATCAAGAAGCGCGCCCCACACAGACGCAAGGTTTACCCACTGGTTGTACCAACTATATAAAAAGAATCATTCAGGTGTAAGTTTCTTGACCGGAACGTCTGTGGGCAGGTACTGACTCGGTTGGTCTCGCATAAGGACTTCTATACTCCAGTGCCTGATTGTCCGCATATATTGTTATATCCTTGTCACACCTGACAAGTCCCAGGAATCCCGCAAGCAATGTAGCAAAGATGAGGAAAAGTCGTCCCATTGTGCTGGACGAGAGGCAGAGCGAAAAGGCAAAGAGAACGTTTCTTTATAGTTTGAATGAACCAAATTTAGGCATTCATGATGGAAGGAATTGCCGCGATGCTGTTGGCGATGCAGGGAAGAATTGAAAATGGCATGTCAGCTCAAAAGCAATGAGTCAGGCATCCTATCAACAGATCGAAAAAAGATGAATCGAGGCTCATCACCCCGGGAGCACAAAGCGCCACATTGGGGAGAAGACCATCAAGCTGTTCTGGGATCTTCTGGAGAAGGCCAATGGTCATACAAAGTCTCTGCATTCGCTCCCTAAGGCAAACCAACTACGAGTTTGAAAATCCAAGTGGCTCAGCCCGGCTGTGTAATTCATCAAAGGAACGCGAAGGATGACGGTGAATTCGGCCAAATCCGCGCGCTATATACAATGCAGCAATTGAGCCGCGCGTCAACGTTGTACAGACACTGCCCGGGCCGATCATGAACATCTTATGGGCCTTCCCTCGGCAGACAGACATTGTTCCTAACTAGCCTCCTTTCCTGTCTTCATGGACAGGCAGTGACGGTTGTCCATAGATTCCCCAGAAATCATCAACTTCTACTTATTCTATGCCGCGCCGCAGAAGCTTCAGTGGACAAAATAGACTGTGAAGTCTAAGAATACATCGGTTGCTACGTTAGACGGGATTCCGCGTGTATAATACCAAGCGAATAACAGTCTCTTTGGCCCGTTCCTGCGTTGAAGCCGTTCTACATTACGCCTTCACAGATCCAAGCCGCAAGTGAAAGACGTTCTCACGTTTGCACTTCAGGATCAAGGCAGCGGAAGTGCAATACCTATCTTGGCCCATGTCGATAGCCTGCGTTTTGGGCCAGGTGCAGGGTCGTAGCTAGCGAGACACCCCCACGTATACTTACTTCACAACTTATTCGAGACTTGGACGGTTTCCGTTCAATTTCCTGCGTGTCAGTATGGTCGGCCAGCTTCGGTTGGGACAAATCCCAGTATTTGCAAAAGCGATGGCATGCACTATAGCTGCGTAGTGTTGCTCCAACTTCTGTGGTGGTCTTGTATCTGGCAGGCGACCAGCTTATCCCGCGCGTTGTCATGACTTGTTCAGTACTAACTCACTGGACCATTTCTGGCAATCCTCAGACTCGTATCGCATCCACGAGCAATGACGACTGGGTACGAGTCCAGTGGTGAATACTGCGAAACGCAATTTCTCAATTTCTCGGTTACATAAGTTTGTTGTTGAGCGTGTTGCACGACAATTTGTGGCTTACACATGCAAGTCTTAGATGCCGAAGATTTCTGACTTCTGCTTTGATCACTGGTCGCCACGTCCTTTGCACCAGTCTGACTTGCACCAGTACATATCGAGGACCACCCATGTGCCTGTGTCCTTCTGTCCGCACACTATGAAATACCCCTTGCCGTCGTTAATCGGGAAACACTCTCCCGTTTTTCCTTGCGAGTCGTTCCAGCCGGCGCCATATTTAGAAACCGTAATACCGGAAGAACCGCAAAGTGGGGCGGTCGGTTCTAACGAGAAGCCGGTGCGATTTCTGAAGAACTCGGAATTCGGTGCAGTTGCGGAGTCGCAATGATCTGTTGAGCAAACATCGGTTAACTAGGAGCAAATTTCATTTCGGGCTTCGGTTCACCTTTGTTCGACGGGACTAAAACCCAAGAGGGCATCAAATTACTTGGGAGTCTAGAAGAGTCGTACGCTTCGAGCCAGATCAGGACAAGGTGGAAATTAGCAGTGACAATAGGAAGTAGAGCGAGTGGGACCAAGGCATTCCAGAATCGCATTGTGAATTGCTACTATTATGCTGGCAGGTAACGTATGTGGCATGAGTAGCTGTGTACTGCAACACGAATCAAGGAGTACTGACCCCGGTCCCGAGTGGAACACTGAGGAGAAAAAGGAGGGGATCCCGTCCTCCAGAAGCTATATAGGGGAATCATCCAATCTTCGCGGAGTGAAATATGATATTCCCCAACAGTCCTTGCTCTGCCGGAGGTGTCACACCAGTGTGTCATTAACATTGCCGAAACGCTGTAACCATGGGCACATATTGCACACAGACATAAGTACTACCGCTATCCATTATGTTGAGGAACGAACTGCTAATTCTCATCCAGTACCATCAGCAGGCTAGCTAGGTCATCACAATCGCAAGCGCGTTGGTGCTGCCACTTTTTGCCCATCAATGAGCCCATAATCTTCTGTTCGGTTCTACTTTCGGCATGTGCACCAACAACGCCAGTATCTGCACAAGTCCATGTGGTAAGGAATCATTCGTTCAGGATTACCCAATCAGGTCCCTGGGAGGCGCGAGAATTGTACCCGCGCGCGTCACAGGTCCCATTTTGGCGATAGGTCGACCTCCCCTTTTGGAAACGATTCTCCTGCTGCAATTGAGGAATCTCGACAGTGATGTTAATGTTAATGTTTCCCACCTGACCACGCCTGCATGAACAATCACAGCCGATACCTGTGCTTCTCCATCGCACCAACCACCCATACAAGAGAGCATACAGTTGGAACCGTGATAAGGTCTAAACATTGAGATTATGTATATATCAAGCCCCTCTACACAACCTTTTTGAAGCATGAATCAAGCGTACTGCTGCGGAGTAATGACTGAACTTGGTGGTGGGTCTTGCATCTGAACTGACCCAAAATGACTTCCATCTTCCATGCAAAAGAGGAATGTATCTGTTTGGTGTGGGTCATTAGCAATAGTGCCGCCTGAAGAGCCTCCTGACGTGAGATAGCTGGCATGTCATCGCCGGAATCATCAGCACCGCGGGCCCTGCCAAATCCTTGTTGCGCCCATGTTCCCATGCATGCCTCGGCAAAGATATCGTTGTCAGAGACATTGTTAATGTGAGTGGTGGATTGTTTACCAGTTCGGCTATACTCATCCTATTTCTCCAGAGGTTGAGCGTCGCTTTTGAGAGCGGTAAAGTGATTGGAAGGTGTGTTGCCAGACAGTACCCCGTGCTCACAACACTAGTCGCTCCCATCATTCTCCCATCAATAACTGTTATGTAATAACTTTTCAATATTTACAATCTCACTCATACTTATGGTTACTGACCAAATTTCGCGAAATTCCAATATAAAAAATTTCCGCGTCATGGGTTAAGGAACCATACCAGTTCCCAGATATTTCTGTGGGTAACAAGGCCAGGGAGCCTTCGGCTGTCTATCTTGCCTGAACCAATTGCACTCTCGTGTGTTTGTGTGACTATGCATGTGGATTTTGTGATTGTCTTCATAGGAACCTGATGATGTTGGCACGTTCATGCAGTGGAAACTTCAAGGCCTTACTGGTCATATTTCAGTTACAAGCCATGTTTCCTGATTGTGCAAGTGAAATGATAATGATGTTGAACGCAACACCGTTCTCTCTGTGCTCAAAGTATCAATCTGCATTCGAATTCCCTCTCTCCTTCACCATCTGACTCACAACTTGAAATAGAAAAAGAATTGAGGTAACTACTGTGAAGGATCGATCACCGATCGCGGAGACGACTCCAGTCATTGTGTCAGCGGGGTATTAGCGTGGATGACGTCGCGATGTTGTAATTCATGACGCGAGCGATCAGATTGCAATATTGTAATGAGAGTAGGTCGGTGCGTTGGATCGAATGATACAGCTACATACCACGATTTCAACTGTATATATAGTACACAATCCAGTCGTGCGTCATCATGACTGGCCCAGTACTGACTCGCTGGACCATTCCCGACCAATACTCAGAAACGCAATTTGAGAAGTTCGTTGTTAAACTAAAGGCTCTCTACATTTAAAACCGTTTTCCTTCTCTGCCCAAGATTTTTGATTTTTGTATTGGTCACTCCATGCCGGGGTCGCCAGGTCCTTTGCACCAGTCCGACAAGCACCAGAGCACATCGAGGCTCAAGCAATAATAGTCGTGAGTTGAGCACGAACCATAATGCCCATTGCCGTCATTAATCTGAAAACACCTTCCGCTCTTTCCGTTCGAGTCGATCCACACCCTGTCCTCACTAGAAATCGTAATATTTGAACCGCAAACTGCAGCACTCGGTTCAGGGCCGTATTTGATGGGGTGGTCAAAGTATGTGTCCGTTGCTGTTTGGCAACTGGCTGTTGAGCAAAGATCGGTTAATTAGGAGCGAATTTCGTTTCGGACTTTGGTTTACTTGTGTTTGCCGGGGTTATACCCCAAAACGGTGCACCCAGACCATATCCACCCGAGAAGCAAAAGTTCAGGGTAAGGTGGAAATTAGCAGCGACAATGGGAAGTAGAGCGAACGGGACCAAGGCACTCCAGAATCGCATTGTAAATTGCCACTATTAAGTATTTTGTATTTGAGTAGCTGTTGTACGGCAACATGAATCAAGGAGTACTGACCCTGGTCCCGAGCCGAACGCTTATAGGGCTGAGGAGAAGAAGGGGGATCCTATCCTTCAGAGGCTATACATATAGGACATTCGGGTATTTTCTCAATCTTTGAAGAGTGAACAAATCTTCCGCAACAGTCTCTGTTCCGTGTCATCAATATTACGGCCGAAACGCTGTAACCGTGGACACATACCGCATAATTACTGTACCGCAATATTGAGTTGTGCTGTAGAACGAATTCCTTATCCTCATCAGCAGCTAGCTAGGTTACCACACTTACAGGTGCATTGGTGCTGCCATTTTTTTTTTTGCCTATGAATGGGACCCATTTTTCTTCAAGTTTTCTGAACCGTTCGTTCGGTTCCATCTTCAGCATGTGCATCGACAACGCCAATATCTGTGCAATCCGGAATAGACAAATAGACAAATATATTCGGCCAACTCCGCTACAATTCGCATGACTAGGTCACAGGTCTGAGGTCACTTTTTGCCGATCGAGATAACCTCCAGTAATAACGGTTCTTACGCTGACCGTGCCCACGCGGTGAATATCGCAGCCAATATATATTGTACCTCCCCAACCATATATTGATAAAAGTGAGTGTACGCACTTGTTACCAGGGGAACAATTTTTTTTTTCGTACCCTCCTAACCTTGTTCCTAATTTTCCCACCCCGGGAGCGTCTCTAGTCCTTTGGCTAGGCTGTCGACCACGCCTAGAGGCAACCTCAGTACAAATGGGTGTAACTAAAATCAGAACGATTTCAAGGCTACAGCCTTCCGAACGCACGCGCAATGTTCTCCAGGACTGTTGGACTCCGGCCACATATATATAGGAATTGAGCATTTGCCCATTGCAAGCAGATCAACCTCAGCATATCTAGCCAGGAGACAGGAGGGCACTTATTACGATACGTACATTGTCGCTGAAAGTCACCATGGGATCTATTCACCGTCAGAGGTCCTTCAGGAAGTTTCTTGCCCTTCACGAAATATGGTACATTTATGAACTGCAGATAGATTCCATTCGTCATGGAGGAATGTTCTGACGACGATTGTGAGGAAGAGCTTGATAAATAATCTTGCACACCATTCGCCCCGCGATCCAGAACATGTAGAAAGCCCACATTCTATGACATCTAAGATTCGAATTGAGAGGACCTCTAGGTGGGGGGCCCTCTATATAAGTGTCCCTCAGGTGTCTTCGCCAAGGGCCCAAAGATAGTAGCATCCTGCAACGTTCATCCATAGCTGATAGGAATACTGCGCGAACGAGCTACTGACCTAGTGAACGATATGGTGCCCAGTCTTTCGTGAGGAACTCAAACTCCTCCGGACTAACATAGTAATTTTTACTTGGAGAGCAACCCAATAGATTAGTGCTCCATGGAAGCAGAGGCGATACAACAAGCTCACTTTGGTTTTTTCCCATTTAGTCGTCGCTTGACTTCGTCAAGCGTCACGCCGGGCGGTAACTCAACATCCTTCCTACCCTCTTCTCCCTCGGCTGGACGACGTCCCTTGATGGGACTCGGTGGAGGAATGGGCTCAGCAACTCCCGTTGAAACTGGCGGGAGCGCAGGCGCGTCGTCTGGGACTACACTTTGCTGGGCATCATCCGTTGTGGACATGTCTCCAGATTGAGATTGCGGTGAAGGATCATCCTGGTCATCGGGCGCTTTGGGCAGTTTTGTTGGCTGGATGGTTAGGGAGCCTCCGGTATAACTTGAGAGCACCCAACGTAGGATGCCCTAGGCCAGTCGGAGACGGCGTTAAACCGAGGATGGGCCAATAGTCATGGACGGACCTTTTGAAGACCCAAGTCTCCGACTGCCAGTACATCCGGTCTCCGCAGTGAGAACATGGCGAACATTTGAACTGAATGATATCAGCATATCGGGGATGCCGACAGCAAGTTGAACTGACCGGTCCACTGCGGACAACTCTCAAATCGTGGAATAAATAGACGCTGGAAGAGGACTCACTTTGCCTATCCCTCTCACTGATATTAAATCTTGTTCCATGACCTCGTCGTCGGCTTGAGCAAGCCGTACAGCTGAAAGCCTTCCGTCAACGAAGTGGGTTGCCAAATCGATAACTGAGTTCTCGTGAGTCAGCAGAAAACACGGCATACTGAGAACCAGGGCCTTGCCATATTCTGCTTTCCGTTGACTAAGACCAGCACTGCGGAGGATAGTGATATCCGTAGTAGCCACTTCCCCAGGAGTAGGGAAGAAGGTATGTGGCCTTCATTCATGTTTAGCGAGGTGTTAGCGGGAGTGACCGGTTGCACCAACTTTTCTCCATGAGCAGGAGGCTTTTCAGGTAATGAGGAGTCATAAAGTCGTAGGAACTTGTGCGTGATGGATCGGGCGGCGAGCCACGAGATCTGTTGACCACTAGATGCATAGAAGCATATAGTCACCGAATTCATACAGCGCATCAGCTTCATATGCCGAGATGCCGTTATGCTTTATGAAGAACCCTTACAGAATAGAAACAACCAGCGTCCTAATGGGGTATATGAGTCCATCAGAATATCCAAGCGGAAATTTCGCACCTAAAGGGGTTAACAGGCTCGGGATTCTCGAATGGCCTACACTTCAGTTTTCTGAACACCTCTTCAAAGCGGACGTCAGCCGCGATCAAATGGGCCTTCGCTTCCTCAAAATCAAACGACAGGCGCGCAGGTATAACGGTTGTGTTTGGGTCGAGATCCAAAAAATATTTTGGCACAAACGGCTTGGGGAATACAGACTCATCTTCGACTGGCTTTGCTCCGGATCTTTTTCGAGGCGAAGAAGGCTTCTTTTGCGGTGATTTAGACGTCTCTGGTGAGGATTCCCCAATTTTATATGCACCATGGGTCTCATTCCCTGACCTCGCTCGCTTTGTGCGTGCAGGCTTTGCAACCTCCTCACTCATGCTCTGATTTGAGTCATTCGGGATCTCGGTGATCTTTCGCTTTCTACGTGGAGTAGGAGCGGCATTATCACGCATCGAAGGTACGGAGCGAGATGAAGAACGAGTCGTCGGCATTCTGATGGTGAACGAAGGTCGACTTTTCTCAAAGTGTCCAAGCACCAGGAAGCAAGCCCTCCACATTCGGCACCGCCAGGTTCACACACTTGGGACCCTCCACGTCAATATTGCACAACAACACGAACGCGTCACGAATTCTATAACATGGCAGCAACTGAACCAGCAGCAACACCTGATACTCTTATGACAGCAGGAGATTCGTTTGGCCCACCCGGTGTAGCCGAAGGATCTCCCCTCATGAATTCGTACACGCATCATTCTCCAACACCAACAACGCCAGGCCGCTATCTTCTTGGCGTGGACGAGGCAGGGCGCGGTCCAGTTTTAGGTCCAGTAAGTTGCCTTGCCTCTATTCCTGACTCTATTGCATGCTATTGGATAGCTCGTGTATGGAATTGCATACTGTCCTATTGAGTATAAGCCAAAATTGGAAACGATGGGTTTTGCAGGTGCTGTATTTCACTGCAGCGCTAATCTGGTCCGATGATTTCATCCGTGCAGACTCTAAGACACTGGCTTCGTCGACACGAGAGGCACTGCTAAACAAACTGTCCTCTGAACCATCGGATCTCGGCTGGTCTGTTCGAGTTATAAGGTTCAGGTTTTTGTTTAATGTTGGCAAACGCTATTCACATGAAGTTATCAGTCCACAGGCAATATCGAGTGGCATGCTGAAGCTTCCACCAACGAATCTTAATACCCAGAGCGAAAATGCTACCGTACTTCTGATACGAGAGGTTCTTTCTGCTGGAATAGACATAGCTGAAGTTAGCACTTTTTTTTTTGAATTCTGAAGCGTATCTGACTGGCTAAGATGTATGTCGATGCATTGGGCCCCTCCGCCAAGTACCAATCATATCTGTCAGAGTTATTTCCCGGCATTGAGATAACGGTTGAGCCGTAAGCTCGGGTTGCTAGTTCTCGGAATCGAGCCCTCACTCTTCTCTCAGGAAAGCGGATGCAACATACCCGATTGTCAGTGCTGCCAGTATAGCTGCCAAGGTGACTCGCGATGCTTGGATAGAGAATTGGGTGTACGAGGAAGCACCTAGATCGTTTTCTCACATCCCACCGAAATGGGTGACCCAAGAGCGAGGAAGTGGTTATCCGTCAGGTAGTGGTTTCGGAAGATGTTATCGCGCTATTGACAACGATATTGCTCCCAGACCCAAAGACGAAGGAATGGCTTATCTCTACCATGGACAAGACGTTTGGCTACCCAGTATCGCGCGATTTAGCTGGGCAACGGTCAAGTTGAAATTAGACAAAGACGCGCACCCTGTTACGTGGTATGTATTGTTGCATTTCAAACAATCTCAGAATTGATCGCACCAAAACCAGGGTCGATGAAGACCAGAAAAGTCTCGCAAAAGCCTTCAGTAGCGTCAACCCCAAGGAAAAGGGCAGGTGCGCTTTGGCAAAGGAAGTGGGATTGAAGAGTATCGCGGACTTATGAGTAATTTTATGGATAACTATTATACCCTGCTAGTTTCAGAGTCGGAGGAAATTTTCATTCCCATAAAGAAAGCATGTGTCATAGTCTCATACAAATATAAATGAGGCTGCAGGCATCGGGCGAATGTTGTCAACCAACGTATTACACCAGTGCATGGAGAAATGGGGATTTTAGTATGGGCTTGATTACCAGGCAGGGGGAGCCTGTGCCTGAGTAGAGTCGCCCCAACCACCGGTGGCGTCCGCCGCCCAGTCAGTTGTGGGAGCGGTAGCATCGGCCCAATCGAGACCCGGAGCTAAAGGGTTAAGGTATTAGGACATGATATATCAATTTCACGAAGGGGTCCCACTTACCCTCAGAAGTAAAGCCGGGTTGGGTTGGTACGGAGGGATCCCAATCTAATCCACCACCACCAGCTGCAGGTTCTTCGGGAATGAGCGCTGCTGTAGCCTTCGCGGCAGCAGCATCCTGCTGCTCCTTATCAGCCTCGTCAGGGTCACGATAGAAAAACATATCAGGCATCACATCCCATGGTTGCGAACGTGAGACAGTCCCACGAAGTCGGAGGACCTCACGGGCAAGGAACCACCACATGAGACCAATCGAGTGCCGCCCTTTGTTGTTAATCGGGATGGCAACATCAACATATTTCAGAGGTGCGTCTGTATCGCAGAAAGCAATGACAGGGACGTTAACATATGAACCCTCACGAATGGCTTGTTGATCGACACGGGGATCGGTAACAATAATGATGCGAGGCTCTCTGAATGAGCGTGTAGCGGTGTTGGTGAAGGAGCCAGGAGTAAAGCGGCCAGTAACAGCTTGAGCACCAGTGTGAGATGCAAACTTGAGGACGGCGCGATGCCCATATGGCCGCACGCTGAGAACAACAACATCTTCAGGTGCCATGGGAGCGATTATACGGGCAGCCAAAATCAGCTTCTCCCATGTCTTTCCAATATTTATAAGATGGATTCCTGTACAGGAACCACACAGCTATATGAATTCCATCGAGTCATAATCCTGGCTTCCTTGACATACCATCAGCACGACGCTTCCAGACATATGGGATCATGCTCCTGTCGCAGTTTTTGGTGCCAATGTGCGACTGAGCTGACAAGAGCAGCTGAATATCCTCATCGCTAGGAGCAAGGATTGGGGGAAGTTTTGACATTATGGACTACAAAGTGAGAGAGAATCAGAATCAAGTTCAGAATGCATCCATGCCACAACTTTGACATCCAGACAGCAATCTCATTCCGACAGCTCAAATCCCACCCCAACGGGCCCGGATACGCCTAGGATGCCATCAAGAAGTCTCGAACAGGTGAAGATACTTACAGAATTTCGAGAACGTCGACCGAAACGATTAGAGTCCGAATTCAGGTTAACCGGATTCAATGCGTTCCAATTTAGGCAACACGCGCTCGGCGCTTAATGCGTACCCTTGTTGGAATTTCATCTCTTCGCTGGATGTTGATGGACATGACTGCTATGCACGAATTGCAAGTACGGCTCGAATAGTTGATTTGCTGCAGGTGGCCAACAATCAAAAGTAAATACGGTAAGCCGCAAATTCTCTCAATCTGTGGAGACGTCCCGGCCACTGTTAGTATTCCAGATCATTTGGGAATTAATGGAGGAACGAGATTAAATGAAATTTGTGTGCCCCGGGTCTTAGCATTCCAGTTTTCCTCGTGTCCGCCGCACACCTGGATTCTCTCTGAACTCGCTTTGTATCTCTTATCATCTCATGGTATTTTTTTAGGCCTTTTTTGTTGTCTTTTTTTTTGGCTACATTCTTTTCTTTGCTCGCGTCCTGCTGGACGCTTCAGCCTCCGTGCCTTCGCGCTCACCTGCGCTTCGGCCTCTGTGCTTCTTCGTGCTGACTAGCGCATTCGTTTCAGCACTTTGCGTCCGCTACACACACCAACCTGTCCTTTCTGGCATGCCCTTTTTTCTCCGGTTTATTGTCTGCCTTTCTTCTTTCTGACCCCCTGTTTTTTAACAGTTCAACCGTTTATTCCCGAATGTAAGTATTCGGTCTTACTAAAGGTGAAGGTGTTGTGACTTTCGGTTACCTTTTGTGGGTAGGATCCCGGGTATTTAGTGCTTCCCTTTCAGTAACTAGAGTGCTTGCGCTTCGCGCTTCGCTTGACTCTGCACAGCCCTTGTTTCCTTTCGCCCGTCCCAGCATGAATCTACTTCTATTTTTTTTCAGTTCGTTTCGCAAATATACTTAGGCTATAAAAATATGTGTTTAATTGGAATGCAGACATCCGACAAACACAATCCAATTTTTCCAGTCATTCGGAGTCTGGAATTATCTAAAGGCAAAGCGAAAAAGAAGGTGGTATGGCGACAAATCACAGTGGAACCAGCGCAAGGACAGACGATGGAATAGTCAGACTTGGGAACATCACCAAGCACGTTGACACCTTTTAATGCATGCGTGACATTGTCGCGTGCAAGAGGAAGAAAAAGCATATGATTAAACCGAGACTTTAAGCTAGTGGGAGCGGAAATGGTGGAAGGAAAGTAAAGGGACAGAAGGGACAGGCAAGATGACGTAAAAGAAAGCATGTAAAGAAAAGGAAACAACCCAAAAGGGAAGATGATGACAAATTTTCAGCGTCGCCAATTGCGTAATATCGGGAGTGGTTACAGACTCCTTCCCAGTCGCTCACATGATTTCTCCGAGGTTTAGCCGCAACTTACGTTGCCTCCGAAATCTGTCGAGCTTCGGAGGCAACGTAAGTTGCGGCTAAACTTCGGAGAAATCATGTGAGCGACTGGGAAGGAGTCTGGAGTGGTTAGTGACTCTGTGTGCAGAGTAACTTCTCTCCTCGACTGTTGCTCTCTTCTGTATTTTCAGCGTCACCCACCACCGCCCCCTGCTCCACCTAAAACGTATTTACCGGGTCGCCTCCGATATCTCAGAGGCCTCGACTTTCGTCGCCACCCACTTTGCTGCTTCGAGTCACCCGTTGCGCACAAGCCAAAACTTCTTAACTGTCAACAAGTCACAACAAGCGTTTGCTATTTGTCATTGGTTCAAATGCCTCATGCCGATGCTAGCCTGGTGCCGCAGCACATTGCTACCAAAGAAGCATTTTGGTACCATGTGTACATGCAGTTGGGAGCTCTTCTCGAAGGCGAACGAAATTGGGTGAGTGTGGTTGGTGTAATCTGTTGAACCCGAATAACTCTCAAGGTCGGATGGAGGTCTCTAACTTATCGAATGCCGCTTCATTGATCTATAATTCATTACTTGCATTCCCCGCTCATTTCGGTCCTGCCGATCGAGCCGTGAATTGGTCTGGTATGTTTTTCTCCAGTAGGTGCCTTGATAATATTCTAGAAGCATGATGCTGGCAGGGTTTTACTTGGATGCTGAGTTGTTTCCCGGAAAGAAGAGGGATCCCAAGCTTCCTCGTTTACTTCTGCTTGGACCGTTCTCAGGAAAGCCCGCATGCCAATTTATTCATACTCAGGCAGGCAAAGGTGTATGTGCCGACGCGTTTGTTCACCGCACGACAGTGGTGGTTCCTGATGTCGGTGAGCAAAACACTCTGTCCATCCATGCATCATTTAATAGCCCCTATTGGTGCAGATAAGTATCCTGGTCATATCGCTTGCGATGGTGAGACCAAAAGCGAGATAGTCATTCCTTTGATACGAAGGGATCTGCCTGCAGGCGAGACCGCCCTTGGCGTTCTTGACTTAGACTCTCTCATATTGAATGGTTTTGACGATGATGATAAACGCGGACTAGAGCACATTGCAGACCTCATCGTCCAATCCTGCGATTGGGACTGTACATGACGTCACAGGGACAAGAATCATTTGTAATCTAATTTGTTCATCCTGATAACAGGTCAACATCGCTCAATATCTGTTCATAATTCTGTCGGCTTCTTCCTGCACGATTTGGGAGTCTCCACACCAGTGGTGGTCCCTGGCTTCCGTGAGTTTGGGATGCCAAGGGATTCAGTTCCTAGCCAGCTTGTTGGCCTTATCGGATTCAATTTGAGCGGCTTTCTTCCCGCGTCCTCTGCTAATGATTTCCTCTCGTGCGTGCATGGGAGTCCGAGGTTAGCGGATTTGACTGTGCTTATCAAACAATCAGTCACAGGCATCATCATCGGAGGGGAAGGCTGGATTCTTACCCGGTTGTGATGCTGTCTCACAACATTTCTCTCTTGTGGGTGCTTCGATATCATTCTTAAAGTATGATGCTGGTAGGTCGGGTTTGACCTGGAGGCTGTGCTGTTTCCTGGAAAGAAGGGGGATCCCGACCTCCCTCGTTTACTTCTCCCTGGGTCGTTTTTAGGAAAACTCGCATGCTCGTTATTTATACTCGGGCAGGCAAAGGCGTACGTGCCGACGCGTTTGTTGGCCACACGACAGTAGTCCCTGATGTTGGTGGGCAACACGCGCCAATCCTCTGTCCGCCCATGCACGATCTAATACCCCTACCGATGCGCACAAGTATCCTGGTCATTTCGGTCGATTCTTTTGATACGAAGGGATCTGCCTGCAGGCGAGACCACCCTTGGCGTTCTTGACTTTTATATTGAACGGTTTTGATGATAAACAGGGATCAGAGAGCTTAGAGAGCATCGCAGACCTCAGTGTTCAATGTCGTAATCGGGGTTCAGTTGACGCCACAGAGGCAAAAGTCGTTTGAAATTCATATACGTTGGCCTGATAGGAAGTCCAAACTCAAGGCTATGGCTTCTCAGCCATGCCAGACAACTGGCATACAATTTCTCCGGTTCGTCCCATAATTGAGTCAGCTCCCTGCGCGGTTTGAGGGTCTCCACGCCTTGTCCGTCGGTTAATGGCAGTCGCAGTCCGTTTTCATCCCAGCCCCCATAAGTTTCGTGGGGTGGCGCGGATGGGTGTGTAAGGGGGAGTCAGTTCCTCCTTACAATCTTGTTTGACCCATCGAAACCCGCTTGAGTGGCTTTCTCTCCTGCCTCCTGTGTCGATGTTGCATTTTTTCCCTCTCCCACAAGGGTCACAGGGTGCCCAGCTGTCAGCCAATGAGTCACAGCACGAGATTCTTGCATTCCTGGTCGTCCAATGCAACCCCATATATAGAGACAAGGGCCCTGGCCAGTCGCTTCTATTTGCCGGTGGTAAGTCTTCTCCGGGACCGGACACCCGCAACACTTTCCTTATTCAAACGGGAACTTTCTTGACGACATGACCTTAATCGAACTATCCCTCAACTATGTAAGCAATGGGAAGAGACAAGGGAATTGGGTGCTGGGGCCCTTGGCGTATTGAAAGGGCACAAGTGTCATTGCCCACACTAGTCCTGCGAGTTCGCGCCCCGGGGGATTACGGTGCCGATGGTTTCATTTCCGAGACATTGCCTCATTGACTAGCTAGATTAACTTGTGCACCACTCTCGAGTGATGATTCCCGCGAGGAAAAATGAGTTAGGAAGGGAAACCTCCATACCCGTGCGGTGGTGATTTTCTGGGCGACTTGTCCACCCTCAAGTATGAGTCGACATTCCCTCATCTTTGCGTTGTTTGCGGGGCTTGTTAGGTGTGATAAAACTACGCGGACAATCAGCTGCGGGCTATTGAATGTTCTTGTTTCGATTGGTTTCTGTCGTATAGATACTTCTACACACTCCCAAAAGGCATGGGCACGACGAGGGTTTTACTAGATGCCGAGCTGTTTGATTCTTCGGATGAAGAAAACGCCCTCGCTTCTTGGGCCGTTCGCCCTTGCTCAATTCATTCATGCTCAAAGGCGCATGTGCCGACACATTGTCGGCCACAAGATGATACTGGTTCCTGCTACTGATCTGCTAGTAAGACCGTTCTTGGTATTGTGTCTTGTATTGAATGATTTTGACTAGGATGATAAACGTGGACTAGATGGCATTGTGGCTCCCATTCTCAAATCCTGCGAGAATGACATCGCAGGGGGAAAAGTCTGCGTGATTTCTACATTACGTGGGCCGGAATGTCCAACGTTACGGCTCGGTAGATTGGGCCTTCGTCCATGCCAGGTAATCGGCATGCAACTTCTTTTGTTCGTCCCATAATTTTGTTAACTTCTTCCTGCGTGATTTGGGAATCTCCACCCCTTGTGCATCGGTCAGTGGCAGTCCATTTTCGTCCCAAATGCCATAAGTCCCTTCGGGTTCGTGGGGAGGTTTGAACATGTCTAGGGGATCCAGTTTTCCTCGTTCTAATTTAGCTAGCTTTTTTGCCTTGTCGGCTTCAGCTTGAGCAGCTTTTTTCGCTGCTTTCTCAGCCAATGCTGCATTTTTCTCCTCCCGTGCGCGCACAAGAGTCACAGGGTCAACAAGTTTAACCAAAGCTCTCCCATCTATCAGGTGATTAGCCAAGGGCATGGTCATGGTTATGAAAGGCTGAATTCTTACCTTCCTGGTCATCCAATGCAACTCCGAGTGGGACAAGATCTTGATCTCGCAAGCGATCAGATAGAGAAAGGATCTCTTTAGCCGGGGCTTGGGAAATCGCTAATCTTCGCACATCATCTCTAAATCGAGACAACACGCTGATGTATGGCGTCAACATCGCCTCCCGCTGTGAAATTATCAAGGGTCAGACCAGGACCAGGGACTCCAGAACCTCTCGCTTACATCAATCGGCCCGTCCGTTTCTTGTGAACTACTTACGGTGCCCCAGCCGATACCGTTCAAGGGTAGTGGTCCCTCTCCTAGACCAAATACCCGCAACATCTTTGTGACCCATGCAGCAACTTTCTTGACGACGTCGATGTTGACATTCGAACGACCCCTGCCTAAATAAACATTGGTGAGAGACACGAGGGAATTAAGTCGTGCTAAAGCTTCTGGGGTATTGAAAGAGTCGCAAAGAGCTTCTCTCAACGCATGCTGTGTCTGGTGTAAACTATAGGAGATTAGACACGAGTAAGGGTCCGTAAAGAAATTTGCTCACGCTTCGGTGAGTTCTCGCTCTGGGGCGTTATAATGGTGACGAAACTCTAGTTTTTTTTCCGAAACGTTAGCCTCATTGATTAAAGCTTTCACAACGGTAAAGAAATTCTGGTGTTGATAGGTCACTTTTTTCCCACTGAAATGTAGGACTGCGAAGGGCACGCACGTCAAAGGTCGCCTCAATAGCCTTCGTTTCTGCTATCGCACTTCCTCTGAAGTCCATCTTGGCATTCCACAGGTGTCCAAGAAATGCAAGTCGCAATTGTCGAGCGGTGTATAGGTTCAATGCTTCCTGCAAGGACGGATGAAAAAGGAGTGCGGTTCGACAGGAAGGGGTACTCCTTACCCGTATGGTGATGAAGTTTTTCAGCGATTTGCTCATCTTTAACCCTTCAATGTGCAGATGACCAGTATGCAGAAAATAGTTCACCCATTGACGACAATCATGGAACGCCTAAAGTTGACATCCTATCAGAGAAACACTTCAACTTCAACTTGACACCCCTCCCCACCTCGGACTGAGCAATTTCATTGTCATGGTGAGGGAAGGCCAAGTCAATGCCACCGGAGTGAATGTCCATGTTGTCGCCTAGAAGCTCGGTGGCCATAACGGAGCACTCAATGTGCCATCCTGGCCTCCCTTCACCCCAGGGCGATGGCCATGCGGGTTCTCCCGGCTTCGAGGCTTTCCATAAGGCAAAGTCTACAGCGGATCGTTTCCCTTTTCCACTTGTCAGAGCACCTGGCGAGGTGATCAAACCTAATGAGCAAAGTGGAAGTTTCGTAAAGAAGACACCCTCACCTTCGCCTTCTTCTAACAGCTCTTTGTCCCCTTTATTCCACGGCATGAGTTTGGCATAGAAATGGCTCCATTCCTCTACTGTGCCTTCTGAATTTGCCGCGGTAGCGCTGACCCGCTTTGCCCCATCGAAAGCCGTGGTGTCAAAGTACACGCTTCCATCACCACCGGGTACGCGTATCCCCTCTGTATTATCTTCTCTACAAAGGTCACAATCTCGGGGACATATTCTGTCACACGAGTCAAGGCGTCGGGTGGTGCCACCTTCAAGCGGTTCATATCGGCCATGAATTCGCCTTCCCAATATGCAGCGAGGGAACGGAAGATGCTGTGGTCTTTCACCTCTGCTTTGAACTTTCCAAGGAGACAGTAAGCCTTCTTTCTGTATCTACCATGTTGGTGCGTACTTGTGAGTCCAAGTATGGTCCAAGGATGTCTGAGGAAGAATCGATAAGGGCTTCTGCGCGATCCTTTCCAGTACGGCCTGATGACAGGTCTTCCGTAGCGACTTCCAATGCATTAAATGTAGTGTTCTTTCAGAAAGCAACGTGAGCATATAGATATTCAGATTGATGACGCAGGAACTCACAAGAGAGGTTATATGCATTGAGAATTTTTCATCACGCTCTGTCCCGGCCTCAGTCCATGCAGGATCTGACTTGGCTTTTTGGAAAAGCTCCACCCATACAGCATTTTCCTCCCCGCGCCGAGGTACGTCTTCAGGTGAGAGTGATCCGACAAGCTTCGATTGAAGATACGACGCGAAGGCACGCTTCACATCAGCTATCAAAGAGTCGTCTAAAGAGTTAGACTGATCGCGCAGTCTCTTAACTAGGTACAAGTGTCTGGCTCGTTGGATGATCTGCATATTGTATCAGTCGTGAGTGGAATACCGGAATGAAATGTAGGGGACCTTATCATCGATATCTGTAACATTCATAACGAAATGAATGTCGTATCCAAAGTAATCTGTCAATATTCGTCGAATGATATCTTGTGTCACGTAGTTTCTGTGGACCGTCAGCTTAGGCGCTGTGAACCGAAGGCAAGTGGTATGTCCGCACCTCGCGTGCCCAAGATGAGAGGCATCGTAGACGGTAGGACCGCAATTGTACCACTTGATCAACCGTCCATTCATAGGGACGAAGACATCCTAATTTCACGATCGGAAAGTCAGACGAGTCATGGGGACCGGCTTGGCGCCAGCCAAAGAGGTGCGTTACAAGCGAACTTTCGATTTTGTCATGGAGTTATAGACCCGCAGGACAGGCTCAGGCGTCCTAGGGATGGGCTTAATCCAATCGGGCTGCCCACTGCCCTTCTCTAAGGAGTTTGCTGTATCTGTCATTTTGCCCTGGTTTGGGAACTGAGTGAAATGTATTGTTCTGATCGTGAATCTTGTTGCTGAAATCCGTTGTAGAAGCTTTAACAACAGATTTGAAGCTCTTATTCTCATCCAATTCCCAAGAGTCAGATTACAGACACGAAGATGGACAACCCATGGGAGTCGGACCAAACAATACCTCACAAAACCAAACAACTTGACTGAATATTCAAAAAAGAAATCGCATGTACAGACTGGGAATTTACTGAATTTATGGATGTTTTATGCGTGGCCATCTAGAAAGATACCATCATAGAGCCAACAAACCCAACAACGGCCAAGAAAATGTTGATAGGTGCCTCGACGACGGCAGCGCCCTGCTTAGAAGTTGAGGTGCTAGTTGATGTCTTCGTGCCCGATGGCGAGGCTGTCGTAGATCCTCCGATGATGCTGCTCACCGATGTGCATGAAATGGACGAAGGGATAGTGTAGTTTGAAAGCAATACGACATCGGAGCACTGAAACAACGAAGCATTGTTTTTAAATGAATGTCAACTGTGTCATGTAACCCACCTGGTAAAGAACACCATCGCCTCCGTTGAAAACCACAACAATAGTAGCATTCTGGCCGTTGCCAATAGGTAGGCCCAAACTTGCCACGTTGACGTGCACACAGTAGGATCCTAGTGTGGTGGTGTTCCATTGCGGAACCAGAAGGGGATATGTAGTGCCATTAGTCGTCGTGTTGAAGTCTTTGAGGGACGTTGGGTTTGACAAGAATGAAATCCCAGCAACGGCTAGCAATGGTCATGCAAAGTGAGCAGCGTCCGAATCGCCGAGAAATAGGCAGACACCAACTGGTAGCCTGGGCATGAAAACTCGAGTACGAAATAAAACCTCCGTTCAAGGGGAAGGGTGTGCGTGTTCCGTTCACGCCATACCCACCTAAGGTGAACGAATGATTAAGTGTATGCCTGATTGGAAGTGGAACACATGCACTTACCGCAAGGAGGTGTTGGTTCTTTATCCTGGGCCACGGTTCACAGCAACAATCAGCTGCTTGCATGAGCGAGCATGATATGAAACACACGGACCTCGTTAAATCCACGAGTATATGGGAAGTCCAATGTGAAGTGCGCCTGAGCCAGGGCACAAAATGCAAGAAGGCCGAGAAGCGAGAGCAACATGATGTTTCTAGCAAGTCTGAGGGGGCCAGAGGGCTGCGTTCACCCTTTCTTATGGACATATGAGAAAGTGAGGACCCAGAATGAAAAAAATTTTTTTGTGATAACCCTAATACACTTGTCTTGCATTTACGAAGACAGCACTGGGCCAACTAGTATAACAAGTATAACAAATTGACCTGGACTGGTACTGTATCACGAGGGTTGCCATTGAGCCGAGCAAGCATCTATAAATATGCTTAGGACTGGAAAGGCCAACGTAGGTAAGTCGAGGCCAGAAGACTGCGACATTCTGTCCCAAATGCCGCGGAAAGACCCTGACTGGTCCACAGTGCAGAGATGGAAGAGAAACTATCCAGGCAATGCTCACAAAGACTGAACACGCGTAGAAATATTCTCGCTATTGGAGAACGGAACAATATCAAAGAGATTGTCGTTCGGCAATCTACGGGTTGGAGAAATCGGGGTCAGGGTGGGCTAAGGATCTCTTCATCCCTGTACCATCACCGGCCATATACCGGTTGCTTCGGTCATGTCCTGCACATCACTGTCATCAGTACTCAAGCCAGAATATGTGACAACAATTTCGCGCGAGACATGTGACCGTAACGCACCCTGATTATTTAATTGCCACCAACAAGTTGTTTGCTGAATCGAACGCGCCAGCATATGCAGAAGTATCGGCCCCGGACAGTGTGAGTACGTGAATCAGACTTATCCACAAGCATGCGAGTGCCTAAAATAGCTAGTGCCTTAGAAAACAACTCAAATGTCCAATGTTATTCACGATCCAACATCCACTAAATTCTTTCCGGAGCCTCTAAACCTGTCCCATTATACTGTCAGCGGGATCAGCGCGTCCAAGACTCCGTCCCCTGCCAAGAAGAGACGTATTGACGCCTCTTCTGCCGCGTCGACATCTTCCGTGAGCTCCCCAGCGCCATCCGAGGCCGACGCACTGTCCCGGGCGCGTCTTCAGTCGTCTATGCGTGTCATCTCTATTTGGAACTCATTAGAAGCCAAGTATGCGAAGGATCTTGCTAAGGATGATATTGTCGACTTGGCCACAGGCAATATCATACAGGATACTGGGGTTATCAGGTCGGCTCCTGATGGCAAATGGAAAATAGGATGTTTCGGTGGCGCTGAAAAGAACTTGCAGATGGACATGTGTCAGGCGACGATCAGTGGGATGAAGATGACGATGGTGACGATGATGAAGACTTTGAAGGGTGGTCGCGCATCGACGAGCAATATGCAGTCCCGCCACCGCTGCCCCGGGTAACGCCTCCAAAATCTTATGTCTCCTTTGCTTCATTGGCCCAGGACGATAAGGACAACCTGGACCAGTTCCTTCGTGCGGAGGCGGAGAGAAAGGCTCGTGAGGGTGACATTGATGCCACTCTTGATGCGATGACAATCACTGAAAGTGAAGTGAACGAGAACGAGGGGGAAATTGCGGAAGATGGGAGTAGCGATATTGGTGGAAGCCAGGGCGATGAGTCGGAGCGACTAAATGATGAGGAAGACGAGACAAGTGCAGATGAGCTGAGCTTGGTGGGCTCTGCCCTTCGAGGTCGGTCGTTGTCTCGTGGTATCCAAGGACCAAATCCCGTGCACCTTCACCACCTCCCCGCGCATCTTCACCAAATCCTCGCAGTTCATGTCTATCCAAACCCTCCTTTCACTCCAAACCCGTCAACGCTCGAGATCCCTAGCTTGCACCCCACCGTATCCAACAAGTCCGTCTTCACCAGAATCTTTGCCTCACCGGAAACTTCATCGTCCTGCTCAGGCCCTGGCCTGCGCCCGTTCACCGGATTTTGGCAGTTCATCTTTGAGGGGATTTTCATCTGACTCGGAACCTCGTTCACGCACGCGATCCCTATCACGCACCCGTTCAGACCTGTATCCAGGAGGAAGCCAAGCCCTCACCGTGAGCCCTCCATCGAGATAGGGTGGCCCCCAGAAGTTTCGCCTCAAAAATTTCTGTCCTTATCCCCACTGTCTCTTTCTCCTCTCCCCCAATTGGACCTGCTATCCCCAAAGCGCACTGTGCCCCAACCCAATCCTCAGTGTCTCCAGACTCCGCCCATATCTCATGCATCTGTCGAGCCCGTAGACATGACTTCATTAGGGTCGACGGTATCACCCTCGTCGCGAAAACCGCGAAAGGTGCTCCAGTTCGATCCTGTAATTCAGTACAGTGCTGCAGACAATCCATCTCTTCTGCCGATCGACCTGCATCTCCGACGCCAAGTCACGTCGAGGAATTCGATTCGGACGTGCAATTTCGGCCGGTGAGGAAGCGGAAACGAGAGTCTCGTGGCCCCAGTCCTGAGCCTGAGGACGCCCCCAATGGTGACAGTTGTGATCCATTGGACCGTTACTCTGATGTAGAACCGCAGTATGTGAGTCTTGAGAACGATAGAAAATCGAGGAGCCGATACACTCCTGCCCGGACAGGCATACCAACACGGCAAGGCGGTGCGAATATTAACACATCTACGCCACATCTTCACCACCCGTCTTCGTATCGGGCTCCTTTTCCTTCATTTCCCCTCGCCCGTGATCCTTCTTGGCCCCCTGATCCCAATGTCCTGGCTCAAGTTATGCATAGTATCAATTATTTGGTTTCGCACTCGAATTTCGGTGGTCCTGCAACTCCACCAGAAAACCCGGCGATGCGCTCACTCTATCCACCGCAGCATCGACCGTCTTATCCTTATTATCCCTATCCGCACCCTGAAACAACACTGTCACCTGCACCACCGCCTACGCTTAACTTATCTTCAATACCCTACCCTTCAAGGTCATCTTATTTTCCACGACACGACTATTCGCGTTGCGAGCTCCCCAGCCGAGCGGGCAGCATGCTGCATTCATCACATAATTCCGCCCGTTCGCGTTCCGTACAGCCCGGTTCTGGTCATAGATCTGGAGGCCTGATGATACGTCATCACTGAAGACCCCAAATCGACAACACGACGGAAGTCATTGACTACGTTGTTTTTAGACGATAATAATGACACCGATGAGGATCAAGTTTCCCATTCTCCACCAACTCGTTTCCGTTCTCGCATACCGACATTCAAGAGACCATCAGACCCCTCACCTTCGGAGAAACATTTGTCTATGCCCGGTGTATCGCCGACCCCGCCAACCGTACCTGCTTCACTGACGGCCAGCAAAGGAGGGACACCAATGATTCCTACATCACTGAGGCCAACAAACAATGTACGGTCTGTCTCACAACAGCCACCTATTTCTGACGGACAAAGTCGATCAACTCGGGAACTGTCCAGGCGAGGTGGTGCGGCGATGGCGGCAAGGGGGAAAAAAGCTGTGCCGGAGATAGATTTTCTCACGCTTACCAAGGACAATTCGCGAACAAGGCCACCAGTCATGAAGTTTGACTGTGTTGGTGTACCGCAGTTATTGCGTCGGACAAAGGAGGTTCCCCGTCGTAGCGGGAAAGGATGAACTGGGCTTGTGTTTCGAGTTCTTTACGTCTATAATTATTGTTTAGATGATGTTACTGGCCGCCGCCGACACGTATTTGTAACCCTCATGCCGTCAGTGGCTGCTTGATGGCCTTGTAAATGGAACATTGAGCAATATGAAGAATAGTTTAATCATTTGAAGTATCCAACTAGTGATTATTGACCTAACAAACTTGTTCTCCCATCTTGTAGGGCCGCTTCGGATTCTTCCACAATCATAAACAACCCCAACTCACGATCTTTGCGACAAGCTTGCATCTCCTAACAACAACTCTTTTCACGCCTTGAGGACAGCGTACTGTTCGAGACAGTACCACTATGGACAATAACAACCGATTTCCCCAACACTCCAGTCGACCTCAATCCCCTTACGCTGACCCATTCAACTCGACCGAGACTCTTAACCAAGAGCAATATCGCCAAAACCCCTTCCCAAGCCAGACATACCAGATGCAAAGCTTACCAACTCAGTACTCAACTCCAAGCCTGGCCCCTAGTCTCTACGAACCCCGTGGTGAAGACGAAGAGCAGGAAGAAGAAAAACCTCTCACTGCACCAACGGGAACGTATCCACCACAAACGTACGTCCCATACGTCCACATCCAACAGCAGTAGCTGAGAACAACACGCGTGTTCACTCTATCACCGCACTCCGGATCTCCGAATAACACATTACTGCTGGGTGCACAGGCTTGTTGACCCTGGCTCGTTCGGGGCACCCACAAGACCAGGCTCCACGGACACATCAACGACAGACCGTGAATGGCGCCATCGACAAACAATTCGTCGCGGTGTCACCAAACGCGTCAAGCTCACGAGCGGTAATTTCATCACCGAACACGATGTCCCAACCCCTGTCAAAAGGGCAGTCCAAGCAAAGTGGGCTAACAGTACGTTCTTCCCTTGATCAGTTACTTGACAACCAACATGGGGTTGGTTGATGGAGAAGTTTGTTCATCTGATGATACTGATTCAAAGCCACTACAACTGAATTCACGCATATGCGTTACACTGCCGCAACAGTATGTTCGACAAATATGTCCTAACATGGTAGAGTTCAATCTGATCACTCGAACTCCTTTTGCAGTGCGACCCCGATGATTTTACCACTGAGAATGGCTGGTCCCTTCGCGTTTCCAACTATAATCGTCCCACAGACCTCTTAATTGCAGTGACAAGTTACAATGAGGTGCGTTCCCTATTCCGATGACACAATCCAGTGCATATAGACTTGCATGCATAGGAAAAGTTCTATATGCTCGCACTCTGCACGGTGTGATGCTCAATATTCGTGATATCTGCAAGACTAAAACCTCAAAATATTGGAGAAAAAGTGCTGAAGAAGGTCTCCCAGGATGGCAGCGAATTTGTGTGGCTCTCATTGTCGACGGTCTGGAACCGATGGACAAGACTGTTCTTGATATCTTGGCCACCGTTGGTGTATATCAGGATGGGGTGATGAAGAAAGACGTAGACGGAAAGGAAACCGTAGCACACATCTTCGAGGTGGATAGCGCGATTTTTTATCTTCTATACCCTCGCTCATACTTATTGCTCCCAGTATACGACTCAACTCTCAGTCGATGGCTCCTTAGAGTTGATTCTCCCTCACGGCGATGACTCTAACAACCTCGTCCCTGTTCAGATCATTCTCATCATAAAAGCCAAGAACCAAAAGAAGATCAATTCGCATCGGTGGCTGTTCAACGGTATCGGAAAGATGCTTAATCCAGAGATATGTGTTCTTCTCGACGCCGGCACAAAACCTGGTCATAAATCTATCTATTACCTCTGGGAGGCGTTTTATAATGATCCATGGCTTGGTGGTGCTTGTGGGGAGATTCACGCTATGATCAAGGGCGGGAAGAAGCTGCTCAACCCACTGGTTGCTGCTCAGAATTTCGAGTACAAGATGTCAAATATCCTAGGTTCGTAGTTCGCCTTTTCGACCCTATGTCATTTGCGTGATTCATATAATATTCAGATAAGCCCACAGAAAGCAGTTTCGGATACGTGTCTGTCCTTCCCGGTGCTTTCTCAGCTTATCGATATCGTGCTATCCAAGGCCGCCCGGTAGGTTATTCCGGATCTGCATCACATGTATTATTGTCCGTTTACCCCTGTATCGCTCCATAGTTGGAGCAGTACTTTCACGGTGATCACTCAAGTAGGTTCTTCCCAACTCACGATGAGCTGGAATCACTCAATCTTCAACCATCTAGTGGCGGAGAGGCTTGGAAAGAAGGGCATTTACGGAATGGACATCTTTACCAAGAACATGTTCTTGGCTGAGGATCGTATCTTGTGCTTCGAGCTCGTCGCTAAAGCCGGGGACAGATGGATCTTGAAGTAAGTTCAATTCTTCCCCTGATTATGCTTTAGAGTGCTGAGGGGGTCGCCTCGTTGTAGCTATGTAAAGCCCAGCAAAGCTGAGACTGATGTGCCCGAATCGGCGACTGAGCTCATTGGCCAACGCCGCCGTTGGTTGAATGGGTGTGTTCTTTGTTTTGTGGAAAGGAGTTCCGTTGACCAACTTTATATAGATCATTCGCAGCCTCGGTTTACGCCCTCGTCCATTTCTTCCGGTTTTACAAATCTTCGCATGGCCCCATTCGGTGAGGCTGCTCATTGACCTGATTTCCTTACTCTGTTTACTGACTTGGGTCCAGAATGTTCTTTTTCCACTTCCAGGCTCTGGTAAGCGGGCTCACGGCGAACGTACAACTCCGGGACAACTGGGACTTACCGTGCTTGGAACCTAGTACAACCTGATATCGCTTATTTTCTCCTGGTTCGCACTAGCAAACTTTTACTTGACGTTTTCCATCATTATCAAGCTGCTACCGGAGCAAAACCCGGCCATTGATATCTTCGGCTCAGCTACGATTGTTCGTATTCATGATCCTTTGGTTTCCTCATCCCCCACCTGACTGACCTTCTCCTAGACTCACTGGGTTAACTTGGCGTTGGAGTGGACCTACCTTGGCTTCCTTGCGCTTCAGGTGCGTAGTTACACATGCGAGATAATGTCTGTCGCTTACAATTCGATTGCATAGTTCATTCTTGCTCTCGGAAATCGACCGAAAGGAGAAAAACTAACTTACATAGCTGGTTTCGTGTAAGACATTCTCTCGGGTTGTTCGCAGAAGGTTGGATTCGCTGATCAGCTTGCAATAGGGTTTTTGCCCTTCTGTCGGTGTACCTCATTGCCTGTTCGTTGTGGTTGACGGGTTTGACATTCAAGGTTGGTTCAGGTTCCCCGTTATCATTGTCATTCGGAAATGAACTCATCCGCTTTCATCTCTAAAGTCCATATCATTTAAGACTGCGACGATATCGAGCTTGCTCACCGGCCCAGCTGGAGTGTTAATGGCGGCCTTGCTTGGGACATTTGGTATGTAAAACGAGATAGGATCCCCATCGCCTTCCTGTACCAATAAACTCTCGATAGGTGTCTACCTGTTTTCGTCATTGCTTTATGTGGGTGATCACGCAGTTTTTTCACATCAACTCTCGACTCACTGATCGTCACTACAGGGCGATCCTTGGCACATCCTTACAAGTATGCCGCAGTACCTTCTAATGGCCATGTCATGGACGAACATCATTCAGGTACCCCTTGATGAGATTATACCCCCTCCCCGCCATCTTTTGCTCATCTTTTGCTGTCATCAGGTCTATGCTTTCAACAACCTCCACGATGTCAGTTGGGGACCAAGGGCAGTGATAAAGCAGATCCACTGCCATCCGTCTCTACGAAGAAAGTAGATGGGAATGCCCCAGCGGTCGCTGAGGTTACGAAGAAGACGCGAGAGGAACTCGATGACGCCTTCAAGGAGACTGTGGATCGTGCTACATCGAAGCCGAAAAAGGACGCTACTGTTGAGAAACCTACGATGGACGTAAGTGACCACCGTCTAGGCTTTCTCGAGTAGGGTAGTCTGACTTTGCATTTGGAATCCATGCAGGATGAGAACAAGACGTTCAGAACACGTTTCGTTGCTGCATGGATGTTGAGTAATGCTGGTCTCTCTGTTACAATTGAGAGCTTGAATGGTCTCGGGAGCGGGAACCTCACAACGGACGAAAAAACACTGCAAAATAAGCAGCATATTTACTTCAGTATCATCTTGTGGACGACGTTCCTTCTTTCTGCAGTTCGGTTCGTTGGGGTACGCATTCTTTTCACTTTCTGCGTGTATACATCTGTGCTGGTTTCTGATCTTAGACCCTTTTGTGCACAGTGTTTCTACTACTTCCTCAAGCGGAACCTGTTCAGATGGTGTCGCAGGAATTAGTTCAGATCATCTTTTCCCATGATATTTTCGCTTTACTTGGTTTGAACTGCGGACGATCTCGCAAAGACATAATACTAATCAAGTAGATAATATTTCGGTTACGAATACTACATGCTTCTACTTCCATCAACCAGTGAGGAATGCTATGAAGCAACATAGACCTCAATCGGATTCCCGCCTGCTCCAGGGATATGGGAAATGATCTTGAAGTTGATACTTATTTCGTTGCAGAGATCAAACAGCGTCCTTTCTGCTGAGTCACGTTCTTTGTATACGAGAAGAACGGGAGGCGGCTGAGTGACCTTCCTTCCCACTGCGGATGTCACACGCGGCGCAGCACGTATCCGGCCCAGAGTACGGATCAGTGCCGGAAAGACGTCTATATTGTACGTCACGTCCGCCATGCTGCGCTGATATCAGCTGCTGTGCTTGTGCTGAGCAGGAACACATATACACTTACATTATTAAATCTACACCGGTAGGAAATAGGTCTTTCTCGACTGGATTTTCATCCTCCCAGTCGAGGACGTCCCCCGGACGGTGGTGCCGGGAGCAAACAAGTGAGCATTACTTTGGATATTATGCTCAATCAGTGGGATTGCTGAAGCTAGTAATAAGCCTCGTATGTTACTCCCTGGTCTTATCGTGGAGCATTATTCCGATATCAACACGCACGTAAATCGGTCGCAACAATCTTGACTTGACGTCCTTGGCTAGAATGCACCTTGTTACCTAATGAAACGGCGAGCCATATGGAAACGAGTCCTGTACCAGTGCCTTAGGAGTTGCGGAGTAAGCGGGCAGTTGCCAGGATGTGGATGTGTGCCCGAGGAGAGAACAAACCTAGTTCAATGACATTTATAGGATCCGAGTCTGAGGTAAACAGTTGCCAGACAAAGTCCAGTTCCGGGGACGGTGAACCGGATTGTCCAGTCACAAAGTCGTGAATCCAAGAGCAAAGTCCCATTCCAGAATCCCAAATCTTCTGCTCGCATCAAGCAAGTTGGGGGGGACGGTAGTAGTAAAAGCTGCAACATGGATTCTCCCACTTACTTTATCGAGATCGTATGATGTCTCCTCTCGGACAACCATGAAGCGTTGTGTACTCTCAGAATGGACTGAAGTTAACCCGATATGCCTTTCTATTTGCTCTTGCTTCCTCCCTCTCCCCTGGTTCGTCTTTAGAAGGCTCGGAACGCCTTTGGTGAACTCGATTGGCAGACTCAACACCGGAAACGGAGTACGACCAAATCCTTTCAGAGTAGGCGTTATGATCGAGAGGGTAGGAACTGTCAACAACCCTTTTGTCAATGGTACATTAGGTAACGATGCACCCAGTGCAAGCCGGATGCCGGTTATCGCTCTCGACCGTTGGGGAAACGGTATCTCAAGTAACTTGTACTCCACAGATGGCTTCCAGGATGTGAGCTTCGAAGGAATGGTATGCTCTCCAGTGGGTAGGAGGATCCAAAAGTAATAAATGTCGTATGACTTTTCGCAGAGTCTGTACCAGCAAACATTCCAAACGAGATCAAGTCAATTTGGATTATATGCCCGAAGATAAGTTCGTGTAAGGTACTCAGTCCGTAGATCATTTGCGATTTGAACAGAGATAGTCACTTTGGTATCGGCTGGAGAACAAGTGCAAGGCGGTGGGCGTACAAACGATAGATAATAAAGCATTGGGAATGCCAACTTCGGCGCTTAGATCATAGCCTAGATTATATAATTGTTTGTGTACCTGCACGTGATGACGCCCAATACAATATTGACTGGGCTGTTTTTCGGTGACGCCTACACACACACAATGCGCTTTACCGTTTGGGCGGCGGTAGCTGGATTTCCGTTCGTCGCACACGCGCTGGGGGATGCGCGGGTTTATCTGCACCCCTCAACCTCAGACTTCGAAATCTCAAGGGTGCCTACCTTGACCCCCTATGAGGCAAATGCAGTCATGGCAAACTTCGCTGGTTTAGGGAGGTCAATTTTTGGAGACATTATGGAAGAAATTATAAAGGATGTCAAGAAAGAGTGGGAATACCTATGGAACAGCGTGCATCCTGTTGAACGTATTGTCGGTGCAGGGTCTTCAGATACCATGATGCTCACTGTACAGTCGTCATCCCCCGCAGGTGGGTCGGGGGGGCCAAAATACCCCTCAATCTCTGCCAATAACGAAACTTACGTATCTCCAGATTTCGTTCCCTCTAATATGAGACTGTCGTTCACGATCCCCAATTCGCCTCCGACAAAAACTTTTGTCGACTTGCTGAACACATATGTCGAACATGCTTTCTCCATCTTTGATCATGTCAGATTCTCCATTACTACACGTCCTCCATCACCAAAGCCCTCGCATAACAAGGTTATCCTCGACATCTTCGATCTCACTCCCTCCGAAAGCACTTCCCTATTTATCCATGAACTGGAAGAATTAGTGAACGCAATCGAAGCGTCCGCAGACGTTGAACATGAAAATAGCTTTTTGGCTTTCACGATAAACGGACTAAAGCATATCGAGAAGGAACATGGAAGGAGCAGCGACGTGTATAAAGCCGCAGTACGGATACTCAAGGGAATAATCAGCAAGGTAGGGGTATTTCGTTACCGTATTATTATTCCAAGGCTTGTCAAAAAGGTTGGGAACTAATAAAAAATGATCCATATATACATAGGAAATGTCGAAGAAGCAAAAGCTTGCGTTGCTTGTTATACCAGATGAAGAATCTCGACTTATTTCCCGCTCCTCCAAAGTGGACGACACCAAGCGAGAGCCTGAGGCCAGCGAGCGCTCTATTCCAATAGTACACTCCAAATCTCAGTGCTTTACTTCAGCGGAAGCCTGTACCAACGCTACATCTTCATGCTCGGGTCGGGGCGAATGCATCAAGACTACACGCGCGGGGAAATCTTGCTTCTCATGCTCATGCCATCCTACCACAGACCAGTATGGCCGCACGATAACGTGGGCAGGGCAAATGTGCGAGAGGAAGGACATCAGTGTGTAAGTGTTGGGGTCCACTCTTTGCATCTCCTTTCCATAAGCTTTATGACCCTCACACCTTATAGGCCATTCATACTTCTAGCTGGCACGACAATATTTTTGATCGCAATTGCTATTGGCTCTGTCTCATTACTTTATGCCGTCGGGGAAGTGCCATTGCCAAACACGCTTACGGTCACTACAACAGGCGGACATCTAAAACGAGAGTGAGCAGGGATAGTATTTTTTTATATATGGCCCTTGTACTACATGCATCATAAATCACGATTTCGATCCGTTCGATCCGTGCCTGCGGAAGGGATTGGATATGCAGACGTCCCCGTGCAACGATATAATGTCCTTTCACCGTGGAATTCCCCAAACCTCCAATCCAACGCATTCAAACCTGGCCATCCCTTTGCCATCCTGAAGGTCTGAACATAAAATCTCATTATCAAATGTGGGACAAGGCGCTGAAGATCCGTCCAGAAGGTTCGAATCCAAGAACAAGCCATACTTTCCATCCCTAAAACAAAAGAACAGTTTGGAGATCTGAGTTGGGTTTGCCGCTTGAAACGAAAAACCATACAGTTATATATTTTAAGACGGACGTCAACGTACCCGCCACCAAATGACATTGAATCTGGCAAACAAAGGGCCACATACTCGTTCTTACCCGTCCATTTGAAAACTCTAGCTTTTGTCGGTCGTCCGTCTGAGAAATCGGTATCAGCCTGCTGCTTCCAAAGGAACCTACAAATATAAGAATAAAGTTTCACTTTGAGTCTTACCAAAGAAAGACTTGGGCAGGAGGAAGAAAAAAAGGGGAAACGTACGACTCTCCACTTCCATAGTAACTCTCCCCGATGGACCTTCTAATCCCATCACCTATCCAAACACCGAATATGGTGTCATTGTCGTCCTTCACACACAGGAGACAACCACCTTCAGTTGTAAACTTGGATGTACGAGAGTAAAGCGTCCCCAAAGATATCCCGTGCTGATCAAGCGAGTAGAGAAGCGTCCACTCTTGTCCTAATCGATATAAAGGCGGAATGTGACGGCGAATCTGGTTTTATTTTATTATTGTTGTTGTTATTTTTGGAAAGCGCGGCAAGACTAGTCACTTGCGATTGAGGGGAGGGAAAGAAAAAATTGTACATACATGTTCGACAATTTCGAGTGGTAATACGATACGAGCGCTCTCGCTCCTGCCTATTAATGATACGTGATCTCCGAGACTCTGGGGAGGCGTGTGAGTAAAACCTTTGTCCCAATTGTGGTCTCCTTCAAAGCCTAAAAACATGTCAGTGAGGTGTCAGGTTAAGAACATCGCTTGCACGAGTGGCAAAAACACCCTGAAAAAAAAAAAACTTCACCTGGAGCTCCATCTGGTGGAACGTAGGGATGAAAAGCGAATGGAGATGTGTGGGTGACCGGTACGTTAGAGTTAAATATGGACGAAACAGAACGTGGAACCACATCACTGTGATGTGTTGATGACGATGAAAGATTAAGAATAGAGGGAACCGGTTCTGGAGTTGGAGGTTTCGAAGTTGCAGAGGATGGTGATGGTGATGAGGATGAGGATGACAAAGTGGATGAGAGCAAACTGGTCCACTTTCTAGGTAAAGTATGAGCCAATCGACTTGAGAGCACAGAGGTAACATGATGGGGTGCAGCCGTCATGTTCGTTTCGCTTAATGCTGGAGATGATGATGTACGATGACGATGTGCCAGAATATTTCCAGGTGACTTTGAATGATTGAAAGGTGGAAGTAGTGAAGTCGGCGGCGAGGGTACAACTCCAAAACCTGTCCTTGGACTTTGACTGAATAGTAAATCTACCACTTCATCTCCGCCCTCCTCCTGGACAGCAGCCGTTTGGAATTCTCCAAAGGAATCGGACTGGGCACTTGAAGGAGACTTGTGATGAAACGCTTCCACTCTCTCCTTTCGCTCCTTTTCGTCGGCAACAAGAATCTCCCCTACGAACCTCCTCTCGTTACTTCTGGTTCTACGCCTGGCCTCATCCACGAAAGCTATTTCGGATAACGCAGTTTTAGAAGTCTTTGGTGAGTGAGAGAACTGAGGAGGTAAGATGGTGGCCAGAGGATCTTGGGAAGGAGATACAGATACAAAGGCACCAAATTCCGATGAACATTCTGCTGCTGAAGATGATGGAGGGGGTGTAATGACATTGAGCAAACTTAAACTTGTGCGTGATCGTAGTCTTGGTATTTGTATAGGTTTGGTGAATGATGAAGCATTTGTTGATGACCGGTTTGTTGAAGGCGAAGAAGTAGGAGGCAGCAGATTTGGCGTTGACTCGTATAGCAGTTCATCGAATGGATCTAGGGTTTGAGTCGTCGCTTGATCGGCTGGTAATGGAATGAGTGGAGTGTAAGGCATGATTTATTTCAAGCAACAGTGTTGTGACTAGGAAGACGTTCAGCACTGCTCGCCCCCTACCCATATATTCTGGCAGCAGCAGATGGATTTTCTCACCAGGAAGCGCGAGTTATTATCCCTCTGCTGGAATCGTCCTCCGACGCTGATGTTAATGAGGCCCTTCCGAGCTTACACAGTGACTTTGGTGTGACCTCGTCCCGCCAGGTCGTAGCCTCCCTTTTTCAACCCCTCGTGTTCCAGATGGCTAGCGCTTGCGGAGCTATATCACGCCTGCTTGCTGCGTTGGAGCAGGTGCCAGCTCTCTTTGATGTGACAGAAATGTATATGAGACCGTGACGCATGATCGTTCAACTGAATTTGGCGAATCACATAATACAATCATGCATGAAGTGCGCTCCTTATCGGAATAGCACAACACTGCTCTATCTCGACTATAAACGAAGAGGGCCAAGACTTCGCAGCATGATCATCATCGCCACTCGATACGGTATTCCCTATACCCGATCTCATCCGCACGGCCAACCGGTTTCGCCTTGATGGCAATATCTTGGAATGAAACGATGCGGAGAGTTGGGCTATCCACGTTCGTCTTGAAGGATTCTTCATGGATGTTGAATGCTTTCTCAATTGAGGATCGTGTGTGTTCGTGCGTGGGTCGAATGGCAGCCATAAGATGAAAGGAAGCTGGTGGTGGTGGACGGGAGGTAACGTCGCAATCTGATGCAATATCCGGAAGATCGTGACGGCGGAGCAAGCTTTTGACGGTGCATGATAACCATTCCGCATGCTTGGGTCTGTAAACGACATCTGATGCCATGATGATATCAAAGGGATGGGAAAAGATAGGGCTAAGAAGACCATCCAATGTTTGTGTCATGTCACCCGAACGAGGGTTGCTTCCGCCGTCACCGCCGTCTAGTGCATCGCGCCGATCCGAAAATAACTTCCAGTCAAGAGGTTCTACGTTGATGGTAACAGAGTCGGAAACCGAGCAAGGATTTGCAGTGAGGTTCTCTCGAAGATTGTGGAGGACGTCCGGATGATAATCAGTAGCGATGATGTGGGCGGGTATATTGGCACGGATGCACAAGGAGCCGATAGCAAGACTTAGAAGTCCAGTTCCTGCCCCAAGCTCAAGGATGCGGAGGGGTCGCTTGAGTTCCGAGGATTCCGAAAGGCCATACGCGGATGGGTTCAGGCAGAGCCTTTCCATCATTACTACACATGAGCCCCAAGTCTGAAAGAGGGGGCAATTCGTTTGACTATACACCGCCCGCATCCTCAGAAAGTCGAATAGAAGGCGTTGAACTTACCTGAAGTCCCACTGAAGTATGATCATCGTCAATTAAGTCGGCATCCTTCAACGTCACGGCGATTCGTTCGATCCCACTGGTATTATCCTTTTGGCCGACAACAGCGCCGAAAACAAATTCACGCGTCAAGTCCCCAGACTCGGACGTCCTCGCAAATGCACCAAGTAAACTAGTGATCGAGTCGATGACGGCCTCACGATCCTCCAATTCTGCGTCATCATTCGAAATGGAGGTGGGGGTACTAGACAACCAATCCTCAGATCGAGCAATGAAACCCGTCATCCACCTAACAGCGAATTCCCATTCTAAGGGATCAGAACGAGCTTTAATTTCCCATGTTTCTTGATGAGATGGGTTTGAAGCTGAGTCCGAATCATCAAGAAATCCATCATCCCCAGAGGCGTACCCGGAATCAACGATATGATGCTGGTCAAAACTTGTTGGGCACATCCTAGATACCCATTTTGGTCGGTAGAGCTGTTTCAATTGAGAATGGGCTAATGATAACGAGGCAGCCGAGAGTCCACTGAGCTTCTTCAGTGGTGGCAAAAATTGAGTTGGCAGCGCCATGTGTTATATCAGGGCGAAAAACCGTAAAAAAAAGAAAAAAAGAAAAAAGGTCTAATGATGAGAGCGTCTATGACCCAAAAAAAAATACCCCAGTCCGGTCCATGAGTCTATGGTGCCATGTTGGCAATGATGAGAGACCAAAAAGCAAGAAGGGCTCGTTTTTTTTTCCTTAGCGAGATGAAACGCACGGGAATCTCCGGGTGAGATTCGAGTGGCCGAATACAATAATACGTCACTGGAACGGTACTTTCCGATTAGTTTGAGCTTGGTGGCTGTGTGCGGCAAGTTGGTTCGAGCCCAAAGATGGGAATTCAGCAGACTCCTACCCAGACGACTAAGTACGAATCTGAGGATTCAAGCGATTTGTGTTGACCCGCGCGTGGCATTCCTCATGATATATATGGCTAGTATTGTTTTGGAAAATTTATCACCGTGAGAACCTATTTCTGTTGTAATGAATAAGACGCCGAGCCCCCGACCAGTGTGGCATATATGTATCCAGTAAGCACAAAATCTGTCTCTCGCGCCTCGTGAAATCGCATCTGATCCATGCAGCGCTCCGTTTCCCTTCCGCGTCCCTCAAGTCCATCGCACGCAAGCTCGTTCATCCCTATCGGTTGCGCTTCTTATTGCCTCTCCCCTCTCGGCACTCTTAACACTGTACATCGCTCGCTTCTCACGACACGCCTTGGATATCACTGAAGAGCCCTCTCCTCGTAGCTAACTGAACACGACTGGAGACGCTTAGTGTGTCCCTGCGGTGTCGCCCTTAAAGCACGCCCTTCGGGCAATTGAACCTCCGGAAAATACATCGTCTGTCTGGAACGGCGATTTCTTTTGACGTCCCATGCAGTGTCAGAGCCTTTTCGTCGAGATAACCGACTAAGGAGGGCCGGAGGCTGCACCCTTCCACCGCTGGCGTCTCGTAGTCGATTCTTCGTCCAGGCAACGCGCCGCAAAGGCCGATCTCTCACCCTGGCCTACCCTTCACAGGCATAACCATTACGAGCCGCCGCATCACCACATTTAACCTGAACGGTGCATTACACGGCGCACACGATACCCAACTTTGGCGTCCCGGAGAAATAAACACCAAGCGATATTGTAAACCTCTCAAACCACATACATTATAACACTCACCATGGAAACAAGATGATGATCTTTCACACCATTATTGTATATTCAGAAGATTGATTTTCCAAATCTTGCCTTGATCGAGGACGTGCGGGTTGAATTTCGAAAAGTGATCTTATCGCCATCCATTCGCGTATCAACGATTTACTATCACAACAAGTTGATTCCTCGGGACTCTTTTTGTGGTTAAATGAATCCCTTGTCGCCCGAACCGAGGGAAATACATGCATGTAAAATCCCTCGCTCAGGCTCCAGATCGGGATCGACGAAAACAATGCGGGCGAAATGACGGCGTCATGATCGCTTGACAGCTAACACGCATTAAGTAATGAGATATATAATGTACACATACATGTAAAGGCTCACTTACTAACGATACCAACCCGTCTACGATAGATTTTCTCCCGACATGCTCAACACCACTCCACGAGTCGATCCACCCTCCACCACTCAGGCTCCCATTTGGGTCAGTATATGTAACACTTCGCCCCCTCCCCTCTCACTAATTTTTGACTCGGCGTGTTGATCGCGTCGTCTACTTCACTTTAGTGGTCGAATATCGCGATTTTTTGCGGTGTACACATCCTGGCCTTTTTTGGCGCGTTTTCTCGACCGATTTTGACGTGTCCATACCAAACTCTCGTTTTGTCCTTCATCTCATGGCGATTAGCTATGTTTGGTATCACTATTGGCTATCATCGTCTATGGTCACATCGCTCTTTCACTGCAGGGAGACCACTTCGCGTTATCCTCGCCGCTATGGGCTGCTCAGGTTTTCAAGGAAGCATCAAGTGTGAGAACATTACATTAACCTCCTCCCTTTTAACCCAAAATTCTGTCAGGGTGGTGCGCTCGCCATCGCCTTCATGTATGCAACTTGTTTTTCTTTTTACTGCATCAACCTTCCGGTAGCTGAACACTTCCTCCCCCTCCCCTCAACATATATAAAATCACAGCACCGTTACACAGATGATCCCGAGCACGATCCATACAGTGCCACGAGAGGCCTTTTGTACTCTCATATGGGCTGGATTTTCTGCAAGCCGAAATACGCCAGGCTTAGCCTCGTTGACGTATCCGACTTGGACAATGACCCGGGTATGTAAAACAATCAATATAAGTCCCCAACCTTCTTTTTTTGAAAAACAAAAAACCCACCTCCTTGCCCCAGTCGTCATCCTCCAACACAAGTACTACGTCCCCCTCGCTGTGGGTTTTCTTTCGTTATCCCCACGCTTATCGCCTCACTTTGGGGAGACACGTGGGGTGGTTTCATTTACGGTGGCCTCATCAGTCGACTTCTAGGTGGGTGACGTAATTTCGACATGGTCACCGATCACCACTGAAATGATCAAAATGAAATATCATATAATATTTTCGAAATGTCAGTTTGGCATTGCACATTTCTTGTCAACTCGTTCGCTCATTGGAATGGTCACCGTCTGTACTCGGATGAAATGAGCGCTCGAGGAAATCTGGTATTTGTCCCCTCTCTTTTCATTTTCCTTTTCGATTTGAAGTTCTTAATAAGGGGTGGGGTGGATGTGTGTAACTTCCTAGTTGATGGCGTTGCTTACTGGAGGAGAGGGTAATCACAATTTTGTGAGTCTTTGAAACCCCAAGTCGTTTCATTCTGTTAACGCCTTAGCAGCACGTGGGTAGCACCTTGCGGTCCAGGGGACACACAAAAAATTAACATGTCGGTGCCAACACACACACAACAAAAACCCGCATGTTCTAGCACGCATTTCCGTATGATTATCGAGCTTCCCTCGAATTAAAGAATACGAATGGGATCCTCGGGCTGGATCATCCATTTCTTATACCGACACACCAATTTTATCACCAGCGTGAAGACAGCAGACTACGATGATATCATCGAAGCGCGAAGATTAATTGCTTTCAAGTCCCAATCACCAGACAGAGCCGCCGTACATGTGCATGGAACTAGTAGTATCGACGATGGGAAGAACAAGGAGTTACCGCACTGGAACAGCGTGCAGATAGAACGGTTTGTCGTAGAGAACGGACGCTCCCTCCTTCTCGTTGATTCAAAGATCGTGGACGTGACAGACTACATGCTTCATCACGTAAGTCATCTTGAAGAGACGTAGTAGTCATGACTTATATTATATACGTAAATATAGCCGGGAGGATTTCGCATTCTACGCGAGTACATACTCAAGCCCGAGAGCCAACAATCGCAACCAATGGGAGAGATCCAATGAACGTTGATTTCGATCACGAATCATCCCTCCTCCCGCTTGGTAGTGAACAGAGGAGCACAGGAAATCGCAGCAGCACGGCCTGGAAGCCCAAAGATGCAACCTGGGCCTTTGATGGCGGTATGAACAATCATTCGCACATTGCCAAACGCAAGCTATCGGAGATGGCGATCGCTCTCTTTTCTCCTTCGAGCAGCAGCATAACAGATGCGAATCAATATTAAACCACGGACAAATTTCGCATCAACCTATCGACAGCGTTTCGAAAGTGTTCGTTGTCTATCCCATGCTCTCTCAATCCATCTCCATCAAAGGGTCCGGCATACACTCATACACTTGCCGTAAGATAAACTTCATAGAATCAGCGCTCGGGTCGGACAGTAGGATGAATTTTACCGCTTAGAGTCTCGAAAAGGTGCATTCGATACGTCGATGTCTTGTAACTGACGAAATTCTCGTCTCTGTGTTTTTTTTTTTGTAGTATAGCAAAAATAGAGTAAAATGGCAGTAGTAAAAGGTGTCTAAAGAAAATGTTTTTTTTTTTTGGACGGACCTTCCAGATAGCTTCTTGATCATGTTTCTAAGGGAAAGCACTACGCCATACACTAACTTGGCCTCCTCATCAAAGGGTAACGCTGTAGTGGACGTGGTGGAGTTCTGTCCAGATGCCATGCTCGCGGTGGGTGTCTGATGAGGTTCGTTCTGCGCGATGACGACTCCTGTGTTCCCCGCGAGATTGTATGTCGATTGGGAGTACTGCGACTGCGACTGTGCATGTGCGTCTTGAAGAAGGGACGTGGGGCGTGTCGTTGCGGATGAACCGGGAGGAGGAGGCGGCGCTACCGCTACGATGGCACGAGAAACACCGGGTAGTAGTTGTGACCTTCCATCGACGGTGACGCTAGGTTGTTTGGGTTTGTTGGTTCGGTGCCAGTCTTGATAATAAATGCAGGCGCAATGACTAAAATTGAGAGAGAGATAAAAGAAATATCTCAGCGTTTGGGGTCCGTTCGTAATCGAAGTTGAGGCATTTTTACCGGTCGAAGATATACAGGCTGAGGATGGATGATTGGAAGAATTGGCCCCAGCAAGGAAGGCGGTATATATGTAAGAAGAAGATGATGGAGAATTTGCGCCACAACTGACCTGTAGATAGTCATGGGCTAACGATGATCGTCGATGTATACGGAGAGGTCTCAAAGGTGACTATTGGCTTGGGCTTGGGCTCTCCTTGGAACAACTGGACAACTAGACAGAGCAGTTGCCGTTCGACAGACAGTGTAACACGAACGGCGACGGCCCCGGAAACGCACGTCACATGCTGTTGTTGGGCTCGTCACGTGGCCTGTTGGAGCCCCAATTTAAATCTTTCTCTCTTACCCCCAGGTTACCAGCCTCTACGGCGCCCCCGCCCCCCCACCATTACTATCCACAATGGTTCGACTCATCACGCACAACTTGCTCGCTTGCCATGTCAAAGGATGCGAATCATCATCGAACAATTTCCCTTTGGAATTCAAAGATGTTCGGGTCGAGATACGAGAGACGGATTTCAATCCGGAATTCCTTCAAGGGTTCATGCCCAAGATCGAATGGGATGCTTTGGTCTCTGCTTCTAGGCAGGTATGTTTATATTTTATTTTTATTTTTTTTCGCGAATTCGAATCTGGGGCTTAGACTTTCTTTTTTACTTGATGATAAAAAAAAAGCTAGGTGATACATCGCTTCCTGAAAACTTACCCGCTCCAGAGGCGCAGACGGAAGAATTTCTCAAAGCATTGCATCGGGTACTCATGGAGGTTAGCATTGATCAAAATCATATACATATGTATGATGCGTTTGAGGGCCCGTGGGGGAGGGTTTCCTTCACTCACTTTACACAACTTTTCGATTTCTACTTAGACACATGTTGAAGAAGGTGCGATGATATGCCCGAATTGTGGGCATGAGTACAGGATATCGAACGGAATACCGAACATGGTTGAGTTTTGTTTTTGTTTTTTCATCCCCCCGTCCTTTGATTTGCGATCGATCTCATCCTTGAATAGCTCCTCACGGAACACGAGATCGGAAAGTGACATTGAAGAAGATACTCTATCTCCGCCCCCCCCCCCGATTTGCATCGATCTCTACAATAATGTTAGGGCACCATACTTGACGGGTTTTATTATACTCTGGTATCGTATCACAAAGTGGGCCACATCTAAGATGAGATGGCGCAGCTCTCGTAAAGCGATACTCTTTGGCAGCCCAGAACGGCATATCAGTATTAAATGACCACTCCGTTGTAGTGTATCGCCAAGCATGCAAGAAGATGAAAAGTTGATCGGGCCTGGGATCTGGAAGCAGTGGGAGGTAACATTCGGAGCAATGCGTAATCGACGACTCTGGAGAGCTACCCGCGGCTGCTGTCTCTGCCAAGTCGGGCAATGCCTCCGCTAAAGAGGAGATAAGAAGGGTGTCGGAATCCGCCCGCACGGGTTCCGAGGGAGTAGCATCACGAAACTTCTGAACAGGTGTAACACTGATAATGTGTTTGACCGTATCAAGGTCATCCACTGGAGCTGTTGGATCAAATCGAGGGTTGGATCTGTGCTGCGGAGGTGCGATCACTTCCAAAGGGCGAGGTGCTAAAGCCTCTGCTTTCTTTTGTTCCTTCTCCTTGGGAGTTAATTTCCGTCGTAGTGCTCGGCCTCTTTCTCTCGCTATACTGGGATCAGGATGAGTAGTCAATGGGACTCCTTGGAGGCTGACTGCGCCTTTGGCGCGAAAGACAACATCTCTCCATCTGGAATAGTCATCATTCTCATCCTTCATGTTCCGGAGCTTTTGGATAATGGTCATTGCCTCGTCCGAAAGAAGTATGGGCGATGAGATGCCAATGTCAGTGCCCTCTTCTCGAGGCAGCAACGCATGCTTGGACGAAGGCTCCGGAGCCTCAGGCTCATCAGGCAGAGGTGAAGGGGAGGAGCTTAGACGATCTCTCTGTTTTCTCGAGATCGGGGGAGCTGGTGGAGGATGGTATATGTCCGCTGCAGGTCGTGTTGAAGGCGTTAGGGACACTCCTCCCCTGCCGTTGTTTGGCCCCTATCAGAGAGGATGATAGATCAATCATGCTGTCGTTCTGGCTACTGAAAGTGTACCCGCCCATGCACGAGTGCTGTTGTAAATGGGATCGTTTGCAATTGGATGGCCAAGATACTGCAGATGGACGCGAATTTGATGAGCTAGAAATACGCAGTAAGAGGTGAAGCGCATTTGATCGAACAAGAAACGCCATACATCGCCCTGTCCAAGGTCGACCTTAAAAAACGATCGGGTCAGTATTCATGCGCCTCGCGCCAAGACATTGTTCTTACAGTGAAGAACACTGGTATCTGTAGTCTCGTCGTAAGACATCCTGTTGAAAGTGGTCTTTGCGTACTGCGACGACGGCATCTGAGTTTTTGGTGTGTACAGTGTCGGTGGAAGTGCCAAGACAAACCTTGCCCTCAGGGTGCACAATATTAAGCCCCATCTGACGATCAACGGTGATCAGGGGCTGTTCCACAGTGACCTCTTCCCTGTCGACCTGACGTATCGCAATCAGTAATAAAAAAGTCTGGCGAACTGCACATACTCTGGGAACTTCCCAACACAACGCGCGATATACTCCTTCCTGACGGTCCCCTTTGCAAATTCCTCACAAAGAGATTTTGCCCGTCGCGAGGTCAATCCAATGATCATCAGTCCCGATGTCAGCCTATCCAGGCGATTTACAGCTACAGAAGTATCACAACATGGAATACACACCCGCGGGACTATGCGAACCACGCACTTACTGAAGAGCCTCCCCATCCCATAGTCGGCCTGAAGTATTTCAACGAGGGTATTCTTCTTATATCTCCCCGTAGTATGGATGGGCTAGAATAGCCGTGAATATATCTGCAAACGTATGGTCGCCCGATGTGCGGAAATTTGCGTACAATGCTCCCAGGTTTGTCTATCACGAGAATTTCTTCCCCATCGTCACGATGGATGATCTTTATAGGTACCGAGGTCACAGGAGGTTCATGGCGATGCACAACATTTCTATGCACAAAAAATGGGTGTGAGTGTTTCCAAATGAGGCGAGCAAGAACAAACTCTATTCGGTCTCCATTGCGCACGATCGTCCCAGGTAGAGCCACCTTGCCATTCATGGTGACAACTCCAGATTCTAGTGCGAATCTCTGGGAAAATTCCCCAGTCAGACTACGAAATTATTCTTGAAACAGGAAAACCGAACGTAGTACTCTACGGAGCGATCTCTAAACTCAGTGCTGAAGAGTTCCAGAATTTCACGATTCCACCATCTTTCCTTCGCAAATGTCCGGTACGGATACCAATATGGTGGAATCCTTTTAAGACCTGGCGTGCAAAACACCGAAGAGTCTTGGCAAGAATTGCTCGACCTTGAGGACTCAGATGTGAGTGTCGTCATTCCTGGCCCTGTTGTATAAGGATGTCCAGTTTTCGATCTCGCAAATTTCCGTATTTCACTGCCACTTGGAGCGGTCCATTCGACAGTTGTTCGACAGCGTACTAAAAACACTCCAAGTCACTTATGGCCCAAAAACACGCGCGCAGGTGTAGGGGGACGCGTTGGAAGCCATGATCATGGATGAGGGTTGTGGCCAAGACATGCGCCAAGCTTCTGGCGCTTGCCATGCAAACATTCAAGTTAGTTCATGCTGCTCTTGTTGCAGTGTTTTCATCTCACGTATAGATGTGACAGTCGGCGGGACATGCACGTTGACTAGATTCACTTGAGTGACGTGGATTATCTGCTTTATATACCGAATAGCAGTGAGACATTAAACATACATGGCTTTCTTACTACGATGTGGCGGACACTGCAGTGGAATCGCCCAAAAGTCATCAGTGGTAAGGAAGATGCCGTTTGCATTGGAGCGAGTACTCTCAGTTGACGTAGAGATGCGAGGCCTGTCGCCCGCGCCAACTTCATCTGTAATCGCTGCCCAGGGTTGTTGCTAACCAAAACCCCAGATGGAACCCATGATTGAGCCCCGTCGTTTATACGCACTCTACGGTTTGAGTCTTTTCGCGGTACAGGTTCTATTACGACTGTTTCACCCGGGTGGTAGATGGATACGGGGGGCAGTACATGCTCAAGTTCGAGTTTAATGAGGCTGACGCACCTGCGTAATAACAGGTTGAATTTATATGGTTCGTTCCTTATCGCAGTGCATTCCAGGCAACCAGAAGATCGATCCTGATAGACATTGTGCCTCAAAGATAAGTGACGCCAGTGGCTTTAGAGTACAGCCATTTTGACGGGCCCGCGTCACCACGCAATTCGGTAAGTTCCCCAACCCAGAATGCCCTACATTCACAAGCCAGGTCCGGGTTGTCGATAGCTCTTGGCATAAGTGAATTCGGAGTCCATGTCCCAGATACCAGAGTTCTCATCAGCCATGTACTTCATTCTCAACTGTGGCGTGGGTGCCGTCACGCCTGCCGACCCGGTCTCTGACCATTCGGATTTGACAATGGCATTCAGGAATCTAACACTGTCCTTCGATGAGGCATTCCATAAGTGAGCTTAGTTGGCTACAGCTTGGGTAATGACACAGGTGTGTAGCTCCTTCGACTTGATCCGACTTATCCGTTCCTTGTGGAACCGCCAGGCAGCATGTGGCACTGTAATAGCAGCGTTGATGATGCTCCTGCTCTGGTGCCGGAAACTTGTTTCCAAAAGATGTGAGCTGCAGCATGTCAGGACCCAATGGGTGTCAACATAGGACGGACAGTGCCATCGACACGATGTGCGACAATTATCTTCCTAGCAGCAAACATTAGACTAGTTTGCCAACCACAGCTATGTATTTCTTATTCTCGTACTCAGAATTGTAAGTCCATCTCCAAGGATTCTTCGGACCCATGTGATGCTCTCAAAGTAAAACATCTCTCCTCACTGTACACCTTTGCCGATAGGATTCCTTGTGCTCTGCTGGCTTACACATGTGGTCAAAAGTGCGACACAGGTTGTTCCGCGCCCCGCTCCCTGAAGACAGGCCATGTATCCCTCTCGGAGGACTGGGATCCGCTCAGAGGGAAATCGCAATTCTTCATGAACTGGGCAAGCCCCCACCCTCCGACCGTGAGTCTACCACGTCTGGCAGTGGCAGAAGGAAACTGACTCAACCGATGTTATGCTCCGGAAGAGCTCGGCTAAGGTGGCATCATTCTAAGTACGAAACGGTCTCCCAGTAGTGTACGTCTTTCCCACTTTCACTGTTTACATGACAAAATTAACAGGTCCGAGCTAACAATCCATCGACTCCATCGTGATCTGATCCAGTTCAGTACTAATGCCCCGGGGTTATTCGATCCATTCCGTTCAGTTTGGCTCCGCCGAATAATGTCTTATGACTTTTCCGCCTCATCCGCATCGACCAAAAGGGCATTGACAGGGAGCTCTCTACGCTGGTTACTTCGGTCTTCAATCAGTCTTCATGATGCTTCCTCAGGCTTGTGCTGTGCCACTGCTTTGCACCCTTTCGATGCACCGCGGATTTAATTATAGTTTTTTCCAGACCTGATTATATACCAGACCCAGCTTTGGGGGACGGCAGATGTGTTTACGCAACCGAAAACGCAGAAAATGCTGTTGTTGCCTGAAGACACCTCTACGCGTGTAAAACGCATGCGCAATTCCCCGATACCTTGTCCTGTCACCCATATCCTCAGTGTCTCCTAGTTCCGCAGCATTCGTTAGAACTTGGGCTAAAGCTACACTGTAAATCAGGTTTTGGCGTGACTCTATCACCTAGGATCCCAGTTCCGCCATCGGAAGAGGGCTAAGGACACCGCCGGCAGAACTCCGCTTGGGTGTCATGGACCTGTCAAGCAACATCTCTCTTCAACCGGAAGATGACGGTTACTTTGGGTCATGGAATCGCCGACCTTGTTCTGAGAACGAGTTTTCGCACTCAGTGTCACCCTTAACCAGGATATCTCGTAAACTGGGTCCTCATTCGATGGTATCAGAGATTGCTGAATTTGTGTTGATACTGGGACTTCTCGCCCAGGGCAGATCGTTCGTGGATGGTCATGACGGTTTTCCCTCTTGGCGCCGCTAGTAGGTTCTACCGATTAAGGGTCCCCTTTCGAACAGGTTGCTGACTAACTTCCATGCATCACTTGTTGCTCGTTCATTCCCAAAACGTATCATTAGTTCAGAGACGATCGCTCCTTCCTCTCAGCGCCCCTTGGGTCGTTTGAAAGATTCCGCCACAGTCCCTCTTCTTGGGCAACACCCTTGTCTTCCCCCTGACTGATCGTATGAATCGGGGATGGATCCTAGTGCCACTCTTCCCCCCACCCCTGACAATCCCACGCCTCTGGTTTTACAAAAAAACTTGATGAAGCGTACTTGGAATGGTCAGTCTCTTGATCACCATTGCATTGCGGCCGTCTCATTGGTTTTCTCGCGCAGCTGATGGCTGCAGCACCCTGCCTCTGGCTGATATTGCTGCCTGTTCATATATCACGGTCACAGCGCTTACAAGCATTGGCCTGAGTTTTGGGCAGCGGCTGCTTGCGCTCCAAATATTGCCTTCGATCTCATTTGCGACATGCTTCCGGGTTCATGTCCCAGCTATCTACATGATCGTGTAAAGCAGTGGCAATACGTAAAGCTGACTTTGACATTGCTCATTTCACCCCAATCTGCATGTGCACGCCATGAGTACACATGGCCTCAGAATACCTGCAGTGTAAATGAATCGTTTGCGTGTCTCATAACTTCAAAGCAATACCTTGGGCTGAATTCTCTACCGTGCCAATTCGTCCCTACCTGCAGTAAATGGCTTGTTTATCGGGCTGAGAGACTGGGTTCGAAGAGACCCCGAGGAGCAACCGTCACGAGTGCACAAGTTCGCCTTCTGACTTCGAATCTCGCGCCTCCAGGGAGGATTGTTTGCAGGGATGTTGCTGGAGCTAGGGTGTAATTCTGGAGTTGTGGACGGGTCAATCGATGTCGTGAGCTAGACTGGAAACCAAACAGAGCAGTCAATTGGAAATATTGCAACATAAAATGTTATTGATATATGTTGAACCGATGTATGGGCACAAATTTGAACAGTTTACTTCTCGCTGATCGACTAAGCCTGCATATGGTCTAAGTATTCCCACAAATGACTTCATGGACGTGTGAAATCGCTAACACCCTGCGAATATGATCCTGGACATGTGGTGAAGGACCAGAGTACTCAGTGCAGAACAGCCGAACATGTGTGGACTTCCGTGATGAGAAACAACTATCATCAGCGTTAGGAGGTCCCAGAGGATTAAAAGGGGATACCCCCTTTGGATGATACGGTTCTTCGGAGTGCAATGGACACCTTCTGGTAACGATTGCCTGTAAATGCTGCATCGGCCGAGGACAATGAAGAAGGGATTGATCCCATATGACAGACAAAGTGTACAAGAGTGGCTGATAGGCTGCATGCAAACACAGAAGAACCATGACAAGAACCAGAGAATCGAGCGGGGGAAGGGTTTCTTTTTGAATACGATTTTAAATCCCTTGAGACTGGTCTTTACTCAGATTCGCACGAGAACGGAGGCCTACCCAGTCACCCGGTTCGGGCATGGGGCAACGTGGTAGGAACAGTCTAGGAATGGATCAATAAAGGAATCTTGGAAGCGGGGGAACTGTGCGGAGCTCTAGAACGAGGAACCACTAGCCGAATTATAGAGATATTCGCAAAGCTACGTTATAAACCAGTGAAGTGAGAAGAGTGATCGAGGGCCTCGCGAACAGCAACATACGAAACACCAACTTACACCCCTTGTGTGCGCCTTGTTGCCTGAGAAGGGTCGTCAGCTGGAAGAGTATACGGAGGGAGTGGGGCAAGAAGCCCTGGCCCAGCGGCCGGCATCGGATCGTAGGCCCGAAACTATGAAAAAGTCTGCAGTGGCGAAAAACGAGCGAGTCCATTGAACTGGTGGCGAGCCTCTGTCCAAAGAGCCTGGTCATCTGGTTTGAGTTGGCAAGCGAGAGTTCTGGCAGACCCTTGTTATGGACGTTCTTGTTTGGAATGCCGAGATGACCGCTCCGGGGAAGTGGCGAATCAGGGTCGGACTTGTCCTTGTAAGGTACGGCTGAGGGATAGCACGGTTTTGGGCGCACGCAAAGGTCAACTTGTAGAGTGAGTTTTTTCTGATGTGGCTATTCGTTTTCGTTCGATTGACATTGTTTGTGCTAAAGGGGGGAGCCGAATATAATTCTTTCTTCCCTTCCCAAGGTCCAAGCGCGTTAGGCGAATGAATTGATCATGAGGTGGATGATCTGCGTCGAGGTCAGCAGGGTCGGCGAGGTCGAGCAAGACGGATCATGGCAAAAGGTGCATTCCACTCCCACAAGGCTTTTCACAATGAAACGATGGATAGAGGCGTCACTTAACCACATCATCTTCAGAGTCTATTTCAGTGAGCCTTGCAACGAACGTTGGCAATCTCGAGCTGTTTATATGGAACGTTCTTTGGATCTCCGGCAAATGGTGCTTCAACCGCTGTCGGTGACATTCTGGGACACAACACACAGACTTGATTCGGGACAACATGACAATTGCTAGATTCGGGACTCCTTAATGGTGTCGCCAATTGGAAGGTGCGGCCGCTTGGCCTATTCTGGGCTGCAACACTTGGGCGGCTAACCCTTCACTTCCTGGCCTCGACAACACAAGAAATGCTGTCAGTCACGCGTGGAACAGTGTTTATCGCCGGGCGCAGCGCATTACTTACGGGTGAAACGAGGGATGTTCCCGCAACCATCTTTGGTCCTCGTGTGCCAGCGCCTCTGGATATTTGGCATCTCTCAAGCTTTGGTGCCGTATTCTTCCAGTCTCAAGCCTTCAACAGAATCACCTGATAGACCCGGGGCGTCGAGGCCACTCATCGGCGCGGATGCTGAGGAAACTGTGCCTTTTGTGCTTGAGTTAGGTGCCCATGCTGTAAGCCCTATCGCTGCAAAGCACAAAAACCAGCCAGCGAAGCACCGAGGACTCCGTTCGAATATTGGGTAGCTCATTTCGACTATGCATTGTGTCTCCGAGGGTTAGAATGTGCCGAGAACAACAGTATAGCCTTCTAAGGATTGTGCCTGCCGCAATCCGTTGTCCAACGTACTCAGACGCTATCTCTGTGGGCCATGCTCGATGGCTGTCTCACTGCCCCTGAATGAGAGGGTGGACTTTAATAACAGATTCCATTCTTCTGATTTCCATTGGCTGCCCTCGCCAAGGTCCCAATTCAGGAGTTGATCTTCCATATAAAGAACTTCCCGATGAATTTTTGCTTTATGAAGCTCGGGGATTGAGCAGCTCGGTGGCCAATTGGCTTAAAGGAGACAGGTTCAGGCATGTCGATGGCCTTTGTTGGGGCTGACAGGTGTCCAAGCAAAACACAGCGGGGAAGCCCGTGGACACGTTGCATATTGTTGCATTCAGTTCTCATCAGCCCGGGTTTTGGCGTTCTCGTTTTGGCTCCAAGTTGCTCGGCTTTTCCTTTCCCCAAAAATAGCCGAAGTTCATGCATGCTTTTCTGGAATTTTTCCTTCGGGACACAATAAGAAAAGATTGTATGAATCGCGATCTGTCAAGTCATTTCCTTTCCAGATTCCTGTGGAAACAAGGTACATGCAAGCCTCACTGAAAACGTGCGGACCCGAACGGTGTCTGGGGTCATGAGTTTGATGATTTTCATTGTCCAACTCCCCTATAAATTCCTCAACGCTAATCATTGCCCCATTCTCTCATACCTTACTACGTTATCCATTCCTCTAGATCTACTATGCCTGAATATTTCCTGACCTTAATCGCTTTTGATTTCTTGACGGAGCCCATCAGGATGTCATCAAGCCAAACCCCTAGAAGTTGCCGATCTCCCCCATCCTCCTATGATGGAACTCCTAACATACACAACCTAGACATCCTGGGCAGCGCCGTGCGCGTCAAATTTTACGATCCCCATTTCCAGCTTGTTATGTCCACAGGCAGCGTAATGGTTAGTTCATCAGCTTTGCTCTCATCAGTTTCTAGGTGTTCACTGGTAATCAGGGTGAAGGGATGCTAGAGCCAGTGCAAGTGTTATCAATAGCGGATCGCAATGTGATTACCATCAATCGGGATGGATATCGTCCGAAGCGATTCCTGGTTCGCATTCGAACCGTTGTGAGTGACACATTGACCTTCTCATGAGTAGTGTCAATAACACAGCGTATCAGGAGACACATGAAGCATCTCCAGGATCCAAACCGTTTGGGTTCAGGTGCAATTATTTCATGCCGACGTCTAATGGTTCTTTTTACACAACCAAGTCCGCGATTGACGGCGCTATCCAAAATACAATGCTCCGTGCGAGTGCAAACGCCCTCGGAACAAACATGGAACACGAAAGAGAGGTAGAGCGCCGTTTACGTGAGCAAGTTGTCCACGTCAGTATGAAATTGTTCTCTCTAAAATCTCGTACATTAACATTTATTTGGTTTTAACAGCCCGTTCTGCTTAAGATTGGGGAGCGCAAAGCAGATTACTTCTACACTTGCACGTCATTTCCTTCGAGTGTCCTTGCTGCTGACGAATGGCGACTCTCCCAGATTGGCTGTATGATGAGGGCAGCATCATGACTTTGCAAATGGCTCATGGGACGCAACAGCTGACCGGTAAACCATATACGCGTCAGCTTCGCTTTATTTTGTTCCCTCATCAGTTTCCAATCGTTTCATAGTCCAAAAAACCAAGGCCCTCATTATCAAGTTAATCGGAGTACTTACCGTGCGTTTGCACACTCGCTTCTTGCTATCGTAGCTGACAAGCTACATCGTTTAGGCCATTCATTCCGCCGGACTTCAACATATAAACCTATCACCGCGCGTGCGTCAGTCCTCAGCCGGCTACTTCCATCCCTACTCATAAGTCTGTCTTCGTGCCCAGAACATTGTCCTGATGTCTGGAACCCAGAATCCTAGGCTCTTGGAGGTCAGCGGACTCACCGAATTCGAAACTGAAGAGCATGATAGATGGCAGCTAGCCTTGTTGATATCTATGATGTGCGTAAATTTAGATTAAATTCATCTCTCCGCGACGATTCTAATCAGTGAAAAGGCTTACGGATAACATGGGAACCGATATGGAGCTTGAATCGGACGAATTGCAAGCTCAAATCGGTTCCTTTTCTGTTCAACTGGCGAATGACGACCCACTCGCCGCTGGTATGTTTCATGGGGTACGATAAATTTCGGCTTCTCAACGCATTCGCTCTTAGATTTCATCACTCATCTGGCTCTCCATGACCACTCGGATCGACGCTTGTCCTTGTCGGAGGCATCCAGTCATGCATGGTGGAGCGAGGCTGGGCGAGGGTCTGCTTGATGTACGTTGGGGGCTCAGAGCACTGCAGCCCCTGTTGCTTCATCTCTCTGTAACGTGGATGGTGCCACGTTTCTTGCGTCATCGCTCTCTTGCTCTACTGCTCATTGTTCCTACGCTTTGCAGGCGCCTCCTGCGTAAATGGCCCTGGATCGACTTCACCTTATATCGGCATTGTGCCATTCGTGGCTGAGGCTGACACACGGGCTGGTCCACTGGACCGAGACATTGTTGATCCATTTCAATTATCTCATACTTTCTGATGTTCCATTCGATGCCGCACAGATTGTTTACGTAACCATGTCGCTCTAAGTACTTCGGCAATCATACCATGTCTGTCCAGAGCGTTTCCCCGGCTGGCAGGAAAGCTCGTCGCTCTCGTCCATCTGAAGGTTCAATCTCTAGGTGGAAAGATTGAGCAGACTAACTTCGGGTTCCTTGGCCCTTTTGATGTAAACGATGTCAATCCCGCCACAGGAGCTGAGCCTTGTTGCTTGCCTTGCTGTTCACCAGCTCCCTCTTGCCTTATGGGTGAGCATTCTTGCCCAAGCCGCCAGACGCAGACCGTGTTTGGCCCGTAGTTCCTCGGCCCACGTGAACCATAGGTTCTGTTACACGTTTCAAAGTGGAGCTGTGACTAGTATTTCCATGAGGACGAAGTCGACGCTATTGCCCGTACGCTGATGTTTCAATACGTCAAAAATATCACGCTCTCTGTTGTTTTCATACCTTCTGCATCCCGGAGACTATAACAAGGCGACTTCTCGCAGTTGGCCTGTTCAGAGCCCAAGGTGCCACGGTCGGCAATACCCCCACTTCCACCCCCTTACATAATCAGGTGTGCACTAAACGGACCCGGGTATATGGAGATGATCTCCGCGATACAGGCGTACAGTGAAGAGATCAGAGAATTGGCTGAACCTCTTTGAAGCCATGCTATCGTGAGGTGTGATCTCGCGTCATTACTGTGGATGTAGGTGCGTACCCGTTGAGCGGCGGCACAGAAGACTAATGTGGGATTATGTTCAGCTAAAACCGCTCAAGCACTCAGTAAGGCAGAAACACCCAGAGAGAATAGTCATACTGACTTCCGGCTATGCGAAAGAAGAAGCCCGTAAGTTTCAGAAGCATCCGCACAGAAGGTTCCAAACTGTGACCTCGGTTGACAATGCCCAATGGAAGCCAACGCAAATGATGGACCGCTCCTAATTAGGATGACCGAGGTGAAGTTGCATGTGCATGTCACCCAATCCGTCACAGTCCCAAAGATTCCTTTAATTTACTTATCAGCTCAGCACGCAACGAACCAAACCGGATCTACCTTCATATTGGGTGAGTTCGCTGGGTGGGGTTGACACGGGACCTACAACCATAACCACCCAGCTCTGCCCCCCAGCCCCAACTTCCTGTACCTCCCATCATCGGATACATCGCCCCTTTCTTTGATCCGCTCCTGGCCGTGCTCCATAATCATGATACGTCGACCAGTAGCAGTAAAGATCGGCAATGTGATTAACGAACCCGCGAGTCTGGTACAGAGACAAGGGAGTGGGATCTAATGATATATTGAGGTGATACAAAGCGGGATGGGATCGAGGCCCTGCAAATTTCCGTCAAGGATATGTTTGGAGCTGGTTGGTTTTTGTTGGTGGGATTGTTGATAGGCCCAGAGTGCTCGAAGACAAATGCATAGATACTCAGATCAGATGAATGATTGGTCATCAGGTCCCTATCCACATAGAGAACTTGGTGATGCTCCTTCGTATAATTAAGCCAGCGCAGTTCTTCTGGAGGGTGTGTTACCCTCAGGGGTGGAAACGCCTGAGTAAACCACGCCCGAGAGCTCAGCAACTCCAAGATGTGCCAGAGGTGAGAACGAATCTGAACGATACAATCAAGCAGCCCTGTCTCTTCGGATTTCAAATGTAGAACCGGCAGTTCAGGGAGGCTACCGCTACGTAAGATGCACCGTTGACCAACGGCAGTCAGTGGTCCTGCAGTATTTGTCATGACCCAAAGACTGCACCATCGGGAGGCCCTAGGGAGGCCCCTATTTATCGATCTCTTGTCTATCGGGGCTTGCCGCATTCTCCTTTTCTCGCTCGCAGAAAGACCTTTTCTGCAATAGGTGAATCACCGTCCAGTTCTTACATTCGTATACTAGGAACATTCAGGGTGCGTCAACGCGGCCGTTGAAGCGCCTCCTCGTATAGGTATCCCCTCCAACCGGACAAAACAATAATTTATCCCTGATCTGAGTAAGGGAATCTGGTTAATCCCAAGGACTAAGATCGAAGGGTCTCAATCGTCTCGAAGAGAAGGCACAGTGGGCATCAAAGGCAGACTAGGCCACAACCCATTGTCTGGATCCCACCTGGATTCGCCTGTATGTATATAGAATGAATATATCATACATGCTTGCATCTTGGAGAGCTTCTTCGGAGGCCTATGACGTCACATGTCAGTCTGATCATCGTCCACTTTGAAATGTTATAGTTTACCTTGGGAGCATTGGAATTGCTGTTAGCTCGCTGTTATCTGCTCTAGGCCACTGAGGTCAGCCACTGCCCAGGAGAAATCATTTCAGGCACTGGGGTATGGAAAATGGTTGGTCATCTAACTATACCGGGTTAGTAGCGACCCAGCGCCGATTACGAACCCAATCGCTGTCGCTGCCGTGAGCCGCGCCCATTTGCGGCTTTTTGAAGAGAATATTGGCGCAGGTTGTAAATACATAAGCACAATTCGCTAGCCATCATGCCAGGGATGCAACATCGACCCCTCCATATTACGGCAGTTAGGATGCGTGGACTCAGTGACTACTCCAGGGCCCAAAAACGGCCTGTGGGACGAAATGCCCTCAGCGCAAGTGGTGGCGGTGGCAGCGGGATATTACTGGAATTGGAAACCAGGCGCTAGACACGTGCTTCTTGGCATTTTCCCACGCCAGACACCCTTGACGGTTCAGCCTTTGCGCACAATCGGCGGCGCGAGCGTGATATGACCAAGCCTCCCAGGGTACACTCAGGTCGCAATTCGGGAATGGAAGCGAGCCATTTAATCTATCCTGACCTCCAGCAATGTGCGTCCCTGGATGCTTGGAAGCGAATCTGGGCGTCCGGTTACTCGCCTAGACTCCCTTAGCGCCGCTTATCTGGCCCACGGAAGCAGCGGAAGACGTGTTAGTGTTCCGTTTCCGCAGTTTCTTAGGATAGACGGTGCTCACATGCTTAAGGGTGAACACTGGGATTCTAGACACTATGTGTTATTGACCAATGACTATAGCCATGCTGTCGGCGGAGCACTTATATTCGCCACCCTATGGTTTCGGAATGGGGAAGTTAGGATGGGCTTTCTCTCGGAAAACAGTTCCTCTCAATCCTGCTGACACCGCAAGTCTCTAACCGTAAATTCCCCAATTGGTCTATTGTGCATATTAATGGCTACTTTCCCTTCGGGCCAACCATCCTATCTAATCCATACATCCAAAACACATCTTTCGACCGAATAGCAGACGAAAACCCAATTTTACCATGATCTACCGTTACGCGGAAGACTGGTTGACCCTTTGCTTATTCGGAGGCCCGGGCTCACATTTTGTGGCTAGAAAACCTCTCACGCGCCTCTGGGAGTTGCAATAAACGTTAGGACCAATTATATTCCCCAAAAATACTCATCATGGACACCCCTTCCGGCACGCGCCCCCCGTTAGTTGATGAAAGTTTTGCCTCAACAAAGGCCCACTCTTCACGGATTGCAACTAGAGTTAACGTTCTACTGCTCTGGCTCGTTCCAGTTTATTTTCTGGCTTGAAGGTGGTAAGGAGGGCTTGGGAAGATACCGGAGCCGGCCTCCGATCGATTACTCTCAACTCAGGGGGGCCAGGATCCTGCCCTGCACTCACACTATGGGGCATTTTGAGGTTTTGCTACTAATTTTTGAAGAAACATTTCATCCGACTCTTTTGGACAAATTGTTTAGATCCGTGTGGCAACTTGGTGATCTCATCCGTTGTAGCCCGGCCAATTTGGACTAGATGCTTTACTTGTTACTAGGGAGTGGCGAAGGATGGAAATGAGGAAGTTCCCATGCCCTCGGACCGGTACGATGAAGCGGTAAGTTCTCCCCGACTGTGCGTGACCATACCTCTTGAAGAAGTATTCTACAGTAAGGTCAGTGATCAACCTCTCTCGAATGCGGAAGACCGCGGCGGACCTTCCTCCGGCAACTTCCGGACAGCCAAGAACGAGCCGAACCCCCAAAGATGTCACTCAAATAAGGATCCGGAAGATTCCGATCTTGACATTCCACGTGCCTTGTTTTACAATGCGGTCACCACGAAGTACTCTCCAGACCGCCTCTTAGCCCACCTTACTAATAACTGAGTTTGAAACTTGCACACATGCCCATCGATCTTCATAATGCCTCGGCCTATGAAGCCGGGCGCCGTGATAGGAGTTATCTCCATAATTTTCTAGACGAATTACACAGCTATGATCATGTATCCAACCTTAATGCGCAGCAAACGTTTGATGCCAATCTATGGTCTCAAAGTCCTCCTAAACTCGCTATGCATGATGCCCTTCGGTTGGCTACATGAGGGTCAATGGCTTATCCATATAGCCGGATTGACATGAGTGATTGATGCTGCATGATACTTTGTACATTACATTAGGGACTTTCACGAGGGAGAAAACAGGATTAAGTATGGCCGATCACAGGAAACAGTATTCTGCGCACATGCGGGACTGGGTACTCATTATAAGAAAAAATAGCAGGTATAACGTATCAAATGACCAAAAGGAGGAGGGGGGTAATCCAACAATCAAAACGATGTTCATGCATGTGCTACCATGCAGAAGATCAGTGGAGGGAGAGCGGGGCCATCAAGAAACAAGATCAAGAGGCAATTAGTTATTGAACAAAGTGTGCCATTCCTGTCACCTAGGGCTTCATTCACCGATCTGGCTCTTCGTCCTCTTCGTCATCTGGGAAATCATGGAGTGGGCGGCGAGTCATCGTCGATTGTCTCTGACTCTTACGAATCCCAGAGATGGAACCACCCCGCTCGGTTCGGAAATCATTTTCCGCCGCCGATTCCTCCGGAGATCCCTCATGCTCAGCCCCATTCTGGCCCTTGTTCCCTTGCCTACGCTCCCGCGCACGATTAGTGGTGGAATCATCGCGCAGCCCGCGCGCCATGGAACGAATATCCTCCAAGGTAAACTGCTTCGCCGGCCTGTGTTTAGGCAACCCTCGCCTTGTGTGAGTCGGATACTCGCAAACAAGGTTGCGCGTAAGACATTGTCTAGTGATGTAAATGTAGTCAGAATTAATACGTATCGTGAACATCTGCCGCCAGCGTCACAAAAGAGTATACTAACTGGCACGTAAGGTCCTCAGAGTCCGGCGGTGGGGGTGGACAAGCGATCTTCCGCCGCCGACAAAATAAACATGCCAGTGAGGGCCTACCGGTAGTAGCCGGTGCACTTCTCATAGCGGCAGCAACGGCCAGGGAAGCAGCAGTGATGCCAATAGGTGAAACATGCGACTCTGGGGACGCTGACGAACGTGACCCTGATTTGGATTGTCTCGTGCCACCCAAATTTGACTTTTTCGCTCTCAACGACGCCGCTGGGATGCTTGATCGAGTTTCCAGCATGGCATGGAGCTCCGAGGTCGTAATCGAATCAACCCTTATGGGATCTAATGGGATCTGAGCCCCAGTGAACTCAGGTTTAACCGTTAGAGACGGGTTCAACGATTGCACCCCCGGGGCATCTACCAGACCAGACCCAGAGGAGTATGAATGGCTAGGTGGCGAGGGAGATGTGGAAGAGATAGGGCTGGAATCCTTTGAGCTACCTGAGGCTGTAGTCAGGGAGGGGGGTCCCGCAGGGACGCCATGAGATGAGGATATCGACGCGAAGGCTTGCGAGTTGTTTCGGATAAAGTCAGGGGAACGCGAGTTCATCATCATCCAAAACATGGTGTCTTCATAGCCGGATCTTCGCCTATCTTGGTGTCCAGCTGCAGTCGGAACGTTTTGAGCATGTTCATGACCACCCGGGTGTAATGGCTGGGTATGACTCTGCCGTGCACTCATGCCAGCATAAGGAACGCTTCCTACATGATCGCGATGGTCATGTAGCAAATGAGGATAAGGATGATGGGATTGAAATTGCTGCTGAGGGATGAGGGGGCTCTGTCCAGGGTGTAAACAGTCGTTTGATGCGCTCGAGAGTGAAGGAACGCGACTAGCTATAGGATGATGTTGGTAGGAGGTCGGAGACACCATCGAAGATGGTGCCATATCGTGCGAGGCAGTTGGCGAGAAGCCATCGATGTTTGGGGTGACACTCGCAACACCGTTGTAAGTTGGAACGGCCCCAGGGAATGCCGTGGCGTCAAAGTTACTGCGCGTCGCCAAAGAACCGTCATACGCCCGCTCTGATGGAGACCAAGCTGTGTGGGGCACAATGGTGGGCGGGAGTCGTTGACTGTCAGGATATTGGGGGGCGTTCATAGAGGGATTGTTATTAGAGTGAATGGAGTTCGACATATAGGGGGTTTGGTCTGCCGACACCTTATAGGACTCGGTTCGTGGATAGTGCGCCCAGGTAGGTTGGATCTCACCGCCGGGTATGGCCGCGAAGCCATCAGGGCGGTAACGCGCAAGGAATGCATCATTGTGTGAGTCAAGGGTGAAGTTTGAGGGTGGCTCTGAACGAGGAACCGAGGAAGGTGTTGGGCGGGATTGGTAGTCCAAAGGTGTAGGATGGCGATACTGTGCCCCAACCAGATCTGCGGCCACGATTTAAGCATGTGGCGCGGAAGCGGGGAGAAAATGCAACTCACTGGAGTGCATGTCAGCAGCGTCGACATGGCTATGGAACTCATCTACACCACCAGGAGGGGGGATCTTGTGAGTGTGCGCTAAGCGGGTTTGGAGTGATTCGAGGGGTGAACAAGAATTGTCCAAGTGACCCGAGTAGTCCATTTCGACGAGATGAGGGACGATGTCGAGGGCGAGAAGTTGGGAATCAAGAAAGGGACAACCCCAAGAGGAACATGCAGACTATATAGATGCTCGAACGTCGCTCTTCCACCCATAGATATAGAGAAATATGTTGTTATAGCAAGCCGGGATGAAAAAGTTTGATTTTGTGCTAAGTTCAATCAGCCACATTTGGAAAGTCGGTCAGGGCATTGGACATATTTGGCGTTTGCTTCGAAACTCATCCAGACCCAGGGTTGCAGCGAGTGGATCGGCTCATTGCAATGAGTCCATCACGTCAGACGCGTCCCAAGGACGTGTTCGTCCAATGGGCGTGCGGTCTAGAAGACAAGTCGGCATCCTGTGTTAGAGGTGGAAGAACCCTTACCAGGTTAGTCATAGCGGCCCAGTCGGGTGCTCACTGCTCAACGATCACACCGCCATAAAAAAACAGTCTGACTTGCCTGCCGTGATGAAAAGCTAGCTCTTGTCAGAATTTCGGGCACTCCGTACCACCTCGCCCACAAACAGCACTCCTCTGACATAGCACTCTTTTGATCTCCCTGCTTCCTGCCTGCCAGAAAAGAAGCCATCCGTTCTGGATTAGTTCCAAGATATATTGACAATTCCAATACATTGCATAAATTCACCAGTGACTGCCCAGAAGTGGTAAGGTATTAAGTACATTATCATATTATAGAACGTCGTCAACAGAATATTGCTTGCGGATCCGGAGGGAGCACGATCAGGATGAATTGCAAGATTCTCATGAAAGGCAATAAGTGAACAAGCGCAAGAACAAGGCTGCCATGTTTCCCAAAAATGGTCTCCAACCATTACCATTTACACCATCACCAGCCGATTACTGTTAGCGACTCGTACCGGGGAAGTTGACTAGAGTTCGCGTACGGGCCGCGTCTCCTTGATAGAGCACTCCAACATATGGCATCACGCTGTACCTGAGGGAGAACTCGGCTTTGGTTGCATTCCTACCGTGTATTCAAGAATGTCAGCCGAGAACAAAAACGTATCCAGTCTTGAAACATAGAGTGGTATTCAGAAAGGTGAAATAGCCTGCAGCCGAGCATTCACTCGCTTTCCTGCAAGCGGTGATGGCATGGCGGATAAACAAAACAGATAAACAGACCGACGAACGCACCGGAATGATTTGCTGAAGTCTCGAAACACGTATTTATTCTTGGCTCCTTCGATGTTAATCCGGGCGTCTCCCTTTCGCCGCACAATCCGATCCCAGAGCACGACATCATTTTTTACCTGCAAGTTAAATAGTCACGTGAGTCACGTAAATCCACAACGACGAAGGGTTGCGTAAAGTGGTAGGAAGCGGCGCGTGATGAGACGTTACGAAAGGAGGAACTCACTCCTTTTGAGTTGGTATATTCCGCAGTCAGATACACGAAAAGCTGCTTCGTATTCCAATGGAAGAGTGAGGTGAGATCTATATTGACCCATGCCCGCCCCGAAATGCAATGGTCGTTTGAGGTGTCGTATAACAATCGCCAGGAGTGGAGGGAAACGGTGCCACCAAACAAAGGCATGGGGAAAAATTGTCATGTCATCCCAACAAGCAACAAGCGCGAGAACAAGAGGCGTTGTTTGGAGCAGAAGAGTCACTCGTTAATTTGAAACTTCTCTCTGCGACAAGACAAGCCAACGTAAGTCGCACCTGATTGAGCATCGAACCGTACAAAGGCCGATTCCTGCGCTGGATGCCTTCCAGGTGGTCCAAAACGTCTAAGGCAGTGTACAACATGGTATCATTAGAGGGGAAAACATTCGGGTCACAGATTCAAGACGTTGATCAGATGGAGTCCTTGCAAAAAAGTGCTTGCTCGAGATGAGTTACATACACGCTTATTGGTTTGATGTCGATTCTGCCATCAACGTTAGCAGAAAACAAGAATGACGATAACGCAATGGCTCCAAGCAATCCTAGGAGACAGCTGGAAAGGAGACCTGAGAGTGCATTGGCTCGTTGGTACAAGCTGTACATCCTTCACTAAATCCCAACGTGGCGAGTGTCAAAGCAATCGTCGATGACAACAAGGCCAAACAAAACTTGACGATGAAGGTGTTGGCATCGCAATTGCAATATCCCTAGTTCTAGTTATTCAATCAAACAGATCCAGGATGTTTCAATGAGCAGTTGATATACAAGAGAGCACAAAAAGCTGAAGCGAAATCAGACCTGCCTCATCCAGACGGCTCCGATCCCCCGGTCCCCACTTGCTTCTTGACTTGTTTGATCTCTTGCTGAAGCGGCCGAGCGGCTACACATGCACAGAGAACCCCATTTGACACATACACGTGCACGTCACACACACATCTCTTGCAAAAGTTCCAAAAAGTCACCGCCCCAGCGAACCTAGAAAGTCTAAAGTAAAATGTTGGGAAGCAATACTTCACAGATCCATACTTCTCGAACTTCGAGCCGCCATTTGCCACTATGCCATTGCATTATTATCGCTCATTCTTTCTTTATGTAAGTAGGTGATGGAAAAAGCAAATCACCTGTATCGAGCTGAACAAGTCAGATCCATCACCTTTATGCGCAAAAGCCGCATGTCCCCTCATGAGCACCCACTTGATCCTATATATGGGAAGCAATTTGGATGTGTGATCCATCACCTGGCATCAAGCGAGGATTTCATGCAAATATGTATATATATGTACTTGTTCGCTTCGATGCTTTCCTAGATAGCTCAAGACTTCCATCACTCGTGGGCGCATGATATTACTTATGCAACCACGAGACGCAGCGTTTTCTTGTGCTTGACAAATTACGTAGCCACCAGATACGGGGTTGTGGGGAGGAGTGCGCAGTATCATTATTGCAATTTGCAGCGTGCGCGACGTACGTATGACCGCCACGGACATGCCGAAAGCGCTTACCCGCCCGTCGTTCGGTCTCCAAATATGGCTGCCTGATTTGCACCTTCCCTAATGGAATTACAGTTACTTATATGAATGGCCGCTGAACGGTTGCGACACATTTGTCTGCTGTTCCTGAGGAAGGATGCACGAGCATTACATAAACGTATAAGCCTGTGACCTCCACATGTATATCAAGCACATCCTTATTTGCGTTCTCTTCTTTTTTCCTTTCGTTCCCACTCTGTCATATAGGGCATATTGCAGTGACATTTGGATGTCGTCCAGATCTGAGACAGATCCAGAAATATTAAGTAAGGGTTCGTGGTCAAGTCATTACGGCCCGAATATGTGCGATGCGAACGACGTGCTAGCTGAAGAGACCCAGAGACCTGGTTGTGACCAATCCGTAAGCACTATCATTACGGCTAACATAAAGCTACAGTCTGGGTAGAACATGGATGAAGCCCAGGTACATACCCTTGATGATGTGTACTGAAATGATTACCAACAGCCTGAGAGTTGAAAGTCTTTCCCCCACTTGAAGTGCCACGCAAAAGGAAATGAGAGAAGAATTAAATACATAAAGTTCAGATATCGCAGATCACGAATGTGAGAAGAGTCCAGGTCGAGAGTGGAAAGGGGAATTAGAATTAGATGACCCTTCAGAGCGCGATCATCACGCCAATAATGACGGCCATCATAGCGCCGACAATGCTAACTAACCCATCATTGATGGAATACCTGGATACACTGCCACCACCACTACGCAGAGTTGTGGAAAGAGCCGTCGATCGTGTCCGGGTCTGGGTACCGGCAGGAGTCCGGGTGCCGGTAGTGGAACCGGTAGTGGAACCGGTAGCGGAACCGGTGGTAATGGGCTGGCCAGTGGTAGGGTTTCCACCATTATTGTTCTGATTAGCAACGGCAAAACCAACGGCGGGTGGGTCCTGACGGAAGACGGAGTAAACATTCTTCATGAAAGAATCACCAACGACCCAGTTGATGATGGGGTTAGCTCCAAGGCCAAGTTCGAAAATAGCTATTTGACGGGTAAGTCCAGAAATCAGTGTGCAGTTGCGAGGCAAGCTAACAAGGGGATGCTCGACATACAGCCCAAACATTGTTCACCAGTACTCTCCAATGTCCGCGAAAAATCACGGGGATCGATCTTGTACTCTACACCCCCAAAGCTGAAAGAGACCTCTACCTTGGTCGTGCAAGCTACAGATATGAAGTCAACGATGGTTGCATGAGTTCTTTCGCACAAAAACCAAACACACGGTAGACCCAGAAGCCTTGGTTCTCGCCAGTAAGAGCTTGGGCAGAGGGGATGTGGGAATAGAATTCGGACACTTGATCGCTAGGACCGCCGACTGAGACGCATTAACTAACCCGCCTGAGAACGCCATGATAGATAAGCATCACATACTTAGTGAAGTTCCGCTAGGTTCAGTGTGTGAGTGGCAGAGTGGCAGAGTGGGTCAATTAATGAATGTAAAGATTCGCTACGCACGTGTCGATAGCAGCAGTACCAGTAATAAGACTTTTCTGTCCATTGACAGTCACCCCGCCGATCGAAATGGCCCAGTATGACTCAGAGGTCAGAGGAATGTAGCTGATGTTACCCGTATACTTGGAGCTATCCGTAAAACCGATATCCATAGATCCACCGTTTGGCTCATTCTTCAGTGGGGTTGGCTGGTCTGAATAACGCTTAAGGAAAAAGGCGAATAGAGGCTGGGTCCAATCTTTCGCTTTCACCGAGGCGAGCCAGGCAGGATCGGCACGAGTCTGAGCTAGTCGAGGCCAGGCGAGACCCATAAGACCTGTACTGCAAAAGATCCACAATATGAGATTGGGAGACGTTGGGGTTCGAAACGAACGTACAAGTCACCACCTTCATTAATGATGCCTGAAGTGATTTGGTCAATGACGCCGAAGGGTTGTTGTGTCACAGTAAAACCCCCAAAGCTAACAGTTTCTGTACCACTGGCAAACGTGTATTGAGTGCTTAGAGAGCAAGGATGATTTCTGAACCACCAACATAGTTCCGCTTACTGCACCAGATCCATACCTGATGTGGAGGGGGGAAGAAGTATCTTTATATGATGATGACTTGGTTGGGTCGTAACGATTCGTGACGGTACTGCATCCAATGCTGCAATTTTGCGATGCAAGCCATAGGTCGGTAGAACCACTAGCAACAAAGAGTGACCATCAGGGAAGGTTTGGCCGCGGTGTTTCGTTCGAGATACATACGTGTCAAGGAGAACGTTGAAAGCTTGGCCTAGTTGGACAAAGCACAGGGATAGGCCTCGTTAGTAAACGAAACTGACAGCGGGATTTCATCAAGATCCGGTTCGCTCACTCGGAGTCCCGACTTGTATGGCACCCACGTAGGCGGCATCAATGCTCAGGTCGACAAGCTGGATAGTTCCAGTCTTAGCACGCTTGCCCTTTCTAGGCGTGGTGTTGTACTTGTTTTCAGCATTGATTTTCTGCCGTAAAAACCAGCCCTTCTTCTCTTCATCGGATAGACTATTCCAGTCTCGGGTTTTGAGTGCTATCGAAGTTCTCTTTCCGAGATCGTGCTTTGGAGTCGCCGCAACCAGGAGGCTAGTGCACCAAAGCAAGGAGCATAAAGAAAATGCAAACATTGGGGAGAGGATCGAAGGAGGTGAAAAAGAGATAGAAGGATTGTCAGGTAAGTACAACTGCTGTTGCGCGCTTGAGCCGAAGGGTAGTGTCGGATGGCATCTTGTTTTTAATTGAGTGGTGCCTTAGCTTGGCACAGCCGCTTTTTGCCGCTTGCATCTATCAACGTCACTCAGGACACAGCCATCGACTTCCCGGCTCTTAGCCCGTAGCATCCAAGTTCCACATTGCGTGACCCTCACGTCTGGGCAACCCCATTCGCCGCGTTGAGCATCCTCTAAAGTCACGTGGAGTCTTGATTGAGCCCGGAGTTGGCCGAGTATTGTTGTTACATATCATGTTTCATTTACTCAAGAATTTGAAGATTCGTTCATCCTTTTGCCTTTACCATGAAACCAAGTCCATTTTGAGTTTTGCGACTCTTATCTGGTGATTATTGCGAAGGGACATAGCGGAATTAGCCGAATATATTGCCTTGGCATGGATGCCAAGGCAGGACATCCAACTGCTCGCCACGAGCTATTCTGTCTTGGTGTAGACGCACGCAAAGTTTGATGAGCTTGCGCTTCCCGACCATGATCAGTTCCTGAGGGATTTCGTAGTTACTCATGCTTATCATCGGAGCAATCGTGTTGATGACAGGAAAGGTTGATCGTTGTACGCTCAGTATGCACCAAAGTGTGTTCTTTACGGTGAATGGAAGACCAAGTGTAAGCATGCCTTTGTACCGCAGCACTAGCAACATTGATGTTCTTCTCGTCATTACATAATCTCCACACAATGATCATGCCAATCCGCCGATCTGCCTTCGATCTTGAAGGTGTTGTAAAAGTAAGTTATGCGGGCGCCGCCGCCCGCTAGGCAGGTTCCCAGCCTCTATTGGGACACGCCGCCCGCGCGAAGTTTACAGAGACTATATTTGTTTGAGCAGCGCGCTTACGATGCGGCAGACCCCGGGCGCTATCTCGAAGAAATAAGTGGACTCGGGCGGCGGGGACCTGCCCAGTGGATGATCAATAACTTGCGCCCATCGTGCCCCCGCTCGTTTTTCTGTTTGTCTGGTAATCCTCTTTGTAAGATTGGGTTCTCACGAGATCGAGCTAGCCCCTTCGTGTAGTCAGAATGCTCTTTGTTCAAAATTGACTTTTATCGTATTCGCAGAAACCCAGCGATGGATAGTGATTTCAGGGCCGCGTCCCAATCCGTATACTCGATGGAGGGATGGGTACAGTACTGCGATCTTCAGGAGTGGCATTCAAAGGATCACTTTGGGCCTCTTCAGCCAATTTGACCAGCCCGCAAGCCATTGTTGACAGTCATCTTGCCTTCCTGAACGCGGGAGCTGATATCCTTCTCTCAAACACGTAAGCCGTGACGGATACGCTTGTGCACCCAAAACGTTATGTAATGCACTAGATATCAAGCGTCCTTCGAGACCGCTTCGAACACAGGACTCCCCAATTTGAAATACCGCAATTCTTGAGAACTGGTGTTCAGCTAGCTGCTTCGGCTCGAAATACGTACGTACAAGGTCAAAGTGGTTTCCGTAACCGACAACGACCCCACATTGCCTTATCTCTTGGACCTTATGGTGCGACCCTTCCCTTGGCGGCCGAATATACGGGGTTGTATCCCCCACCTGTATTTGGGCCTGCACCTATTGGATCTCACGAAGAGTCAGCTTCGAAACGAGTTTCTGGAAGCCAGCAACTGGATAGCAGTAATGATGACATTGACTCCTATCTTTCAACAAACGCTTTCTTCACAACGCCCGTTTCCAGGGAGGGCAGCAGTAATGCTTCTCATTCTTCTGAACATCATGCCAATGAGGCGTCTGTCGAGGCGCTCGCGGAGTGGCATTATAAGCGTTGCTCCGTATACGCCTTGCACGCGCACATCTGGAATGAAATTGATTATCTTGCCTTTGAAACAGTCCCCCTTGTTCGCGAGGCTGTGGCCATTCGTCGGGCTCTCCACAAGCTCTACGCTTCCCCCACGAGTGCTGATGATTCCACCAAGATCGAGTTGAAACCATGGTGGATAAGTTTCACCTTCCCAAATGGTGAACTGCCAGAAGAATCTTACGTCGGCGGCCCAAAGCTAGGTGTCGAAGAGATTGTACACGCACTCTTTACCGATGATAATGCTTCTGCTTCTGCTGAAACGAAACCAGAGGTTTCTTCAACACCGCTGCCCATCCCATTCGCCATTGGGATCAACTGTACCGCACCATGTTACATACCAAGCATCTTAGCTCAGCTTTCGTCTGCTCTCTCAAAACTGCACGAGAAGCTGGCACATCAAACTCGACCAAGTAATTCTCGCCCATGGCTCGTCCTCTATCCAAATAGCGGTTGCTGGTACAATGCCGAAAACAAAACGTGGCACAAAGTCGAAACGGGGCCTTCAACGGTAGTACCCATCGGTGAAATACACCAATTAAGGCTCAGTTGGGCGGAAGAAGTCGTTAGGATCATAGAGCCTTACGTCTCCCTCCCAAATTCGGAAAGTCCCTTCGGTGGTTTCATCATAGGAGGTACGTTATCACTTGCATCACTCCGCGTGGTCTGTCGGCGTCGACTGATGATGTTGCTTGACAACTAGGCTGCTGCCAGACGAAACCGGACGATATCGAAAAACTTCGCAACCTGCTTTTGCCGCCATCTTGAAACGTTGATTAACTGAAAAAACATCCTATATTAATGTCTTCCATTTGGCTTACAAAGCTTGCGATAGTTTGGGTGTTTGTTCTGCACTATTCCAGTGAAACGCATGCACGCTTTTTTGACAGAGGTATATACAGTTTGCACACGGTATCGCAAATTATTGCTAAGAGTCAAGACAAAGCTGCGGGTCCGGTGCCGTTTCATGCAGTTGTGTCACATATGGTACATTAGCAAGTGGAACCGCAAGAAAACCCCTAGAACGACAATCAAAAACGCATTTTGAGATGACGTGCGCAAGTGGGTAATCAGCAGTATGAATGAAAGTCAGTGTTGTGGGGTGGAGGTTTCCATTCCCTTGAGAGAGATGAATATACAATGAGAGGGATTATGCAAGAATTTGCAAGTTAACTGCCAACAGAAATCATGAAAATAAATTTCCAAGAAAAAAAAGAAAGCAAAAGAGAATTATGTAGATGACCTGATCCTTGAAAGCGACGAATACGCAAATTTTTTTGGGGGAGGGCGGGATGGTCTTGCAAGCAATACTATGGCGGGAGCGTTGGAACACAGATCGACAGCGATGGCCGTTAGAATTGACTCCTGAATTCGACCAGAAGTTGCTACCTCCACCGCTGTTCGAGAGTCTAGGAGCGGCGGGCCCTCCTCATTGGATTGGACTTTGTTGTTTCCGCGGAAGATGAGCGCTGACGAGCACGAGTGGATGGAGAGCTGTACCGAGCAGCGTTACCTGTGGAAGTCAAGCGTCGCCGTTTGACTTTAGAAATGGGAACGGGGGGTGGGGTTTGTTCTGCTGCAGCACTGGCCACTGCTTTGCTTTTTCTCGCCTTTATGCGTATCGACGTGCGTCTCTCAGGGGGTGATTGGCGCGAGGCAGGCTTCTTTCCAGCTTCGGGCCTGACTGTCCCTTCTGACAAAGGTGGAGGGGAAGATAGAGGAGATGACGATTTTTCTGATACCGGGGATGGAGCACGAGGAGGGGAAGAGCGAAGCTTTCGCTTGCCACCAGGGGTGAGGATGTCAGAATCTTCGCTGACAGGAGCTAAGGGGCCACCGCTCGGACGTGGCATCCACGCGGAACGAAGAGGATTCATGCCAGTTAGGTTATTGTCGGATTCTTTTGAGGGATGTGGAGGATAAGGAATACGAGGAGTCATGCGGGGGATGCTAGGGAAGTAATCAGCGGCCCCGTGGCAAATGTTCACGGACTCCGTATCCAAGGACCACTGGCTCTTCATATCCTCAGAGCTAAGGCGTAAATTCCCAAGGTCCTGCGAGCAATCATCCAGGCCGATTGGATGTTGCAATGGCGTTTCAGGTGTGACATCTCTGGTGTCCACAGAAATGCACGCGGATGACGACGATGCGCTCAATGGATTCCTTATATCAGCGGCTTCATCAGGGTACGTTTGGGAGTATGGTTCTTGAGAGTACGACTGCTCTAGTTCATACTCCTCATTCCGGAGCCACTCATGCTGCAACGCCAGTATCATGTTCATCCGGACATTCGTGTCTCTGTTAATCATCAAGCTGATCCAGTGCTTGCCTGAGAAAAGATGCAAGCATTAGTATTCGACGGTAGAATGGCGTAAATGCGCACCAAGAGGCGACACATGGTCAGGGAGTATTCCCAAAACACCTCTCTCGTTCTTAGGCTGGTTATCAAATCCTGGTCTTCGTGACTCGCAAACGGCATCGTAGCGCTTAATCTAAACAGGTTCCCGCTGAATGAACAAGGATGCACGCGGAAGTTCATGACGAGAAACACACGTAGCAAAAACGATAACACCCAAGCTCCAACTATCCACGAGGGCGGTATACCCACCTTGGTTCAACACAACTTCCGGAGCGAGGTACGCTGGAGTCCCACACATAGTCTACAGGCCAAAAGGCATGAGCGGAATAAAGGATGAACTTCGGGCAGCCCACCTTGAGGAAGGTCTGACTATCGATGGCTTTGGAAAGCCCAAAATCAGCAATCTTCGCCTTGGGTGGATCATCTTTTGTTAGCAAGACGTTCTACAGGGACGTTAACAATTGTCGCCGCATCCATGATTAGTGCACTTGCCTCAGGTTTGAGATCTCTGTGAACCACGCCTTGTTGATGAAGATACTGTACATACGCCGTTAGAAGCAATCACTAAACTTCAACGTAGACACTTGCAGCTAACGCCCCACACATCTCTCGAGTCAGCCGCTGGACTTCATTTTCCTCTGATCAGATGGGAAAATATGAAATAGATGGACTTTCTCACTGATCAGCACTTACCAATAGGAGTGTGGGCTTGGTTACGATCGTTGATATAATCCATTAAATCTCCTCCTAACACTAACTCCATGACTAGAACTATACAAAATGTGAGCAAACGTGGACACACAAGTCGTTGCAAATGCTTACATATTGACATTTCATCCTCAAAATAATCAAGATAATTCACAATCCCAGGCTATAGAAAGAGTGTCAAACAGGGTCCAACGCCGCACGTCATGACTTACGTGTTCCAAACGAGAAACGATTTTCTTCTCCCGCTCAAACATCAACAAGTTCCGTTCCCGATCCTTGGTAAATCTCGACTTCAAGATGATCTTTACTGCCACCAGCTCTGACGTGGATAACTTGACGGCTTTGCAAACTGTAGCGAACGCGCCACTGCCTATCTTCTCTCCGACCTGATACTTGTCGTGAACTCCACCCCCAACCAACGGCTGCCAGGTGCATACATGCGTTAGGGAAAACAAAAAAAACCATAAAAAAACAAGAGAAGGGGGACGTACATCTGGATCATTGCCACATTTGAAAATAAATCTATAGTCGAAGATATCTTGGTCGGCGGGCGGACCCATCGAAATTTCGTCTCGATCATGAATCATGAGGCTTACGCCTTTCGCAACACGCCTCCCATTGACCTGGACCGCACATGGATCCTAACGGTTAGTATACCGCTCTATGTATGAGCGGGGAACCACCCACGAAGGTTCCGTTCATTGAGCGGTCAGTCATAAATACGGTGTTGTCGGCATAATGGAACCAAACATGTATGCCACTAATTCTATTTGAGCCCGACAGTTGGTAGTCAGCATTTTGGGCACGGCCAATGCTGTATCTGTCTTTGGATCGATTGAAGTCAATCCTTTTCACTTTGGGAGACGCTGGAACGAGGCGTCCCCAGAGATGCTCGAAACGCTCAGTAACGGGAGGCGCATAATCCACAGGCTGCGTCTGGCTCTGGGTCATCTCTTGTGGCGGATCGTTAAGATCCTGGTCGTAAGTTGGGACGGCAGGGGCGTCAGAATCGAAATTGTCATCCGAGCCTAAGCTGGGCAAAGACGATGGGAGAGCGAACATCATGCCGACGGGAGCGTGTAGTACGCGGCAAGCGTTGGAGATATGAGCAAGAGAGTGGTGAGGAGTGGTGAGGAGTGGCAGGGGAGGCGAAGGTGGCGGAAAGTGAAATGGGTATTCCCGTTTCGACTCAACGCCAAAAGCACTTAGAGCATCGCATTTCATTCAGGCCGCACATACTGGCCACTTCAACTCAAAATTGGCGACCGTTTCGTGGCTGAATCGACTGGGCGCGATATGAACAACCCTTCACACTCTCCTATGCTATTTTCGACAAGTTTAGTGGACGACTGTGTGCACCACGACTTGGTGTGATTTGCGTCCAAAATTTCACTCTAGAACGCGTTTCTGCCGCTCAATCTTGTCTCTTCGACAAGAGACGGACTTTGACTTCGATTTGACGCTGATGCGCGGAGTCGCCTGGGACGAATCGCGCACTTTCTATTGGCTATCCATGCTGGCGAATAGCGCTTGAATTGGGGCTCTGTAACCCCGTACCCAGACCACTCACGAACTATCCACAGCATCCCAGGTGGTGTACTGCAAAACACTGCCCCCATTATGGCTGGCGTGTTATTGAGTAATAGTGCATACTGCTTCTCAGGTCTGCCCTTGACGCTGACCTTGCAAGATCACATTAGTCCTCGATGGCCGGCGCAAATGTCCTAAATCCCCTTCACCATTCGCCATTTCCTCTGCCCGTGCTGAGTTGACTGTACCCCCGTGGACGGGGGCGGTTGGTACACTTTCCGGGAGGTAAGGTCCAGCCCAAGCGTCCTTTCTGCAGTTATACTCCCGCACAAGCGATGGTCGCAACTTCGCAGTAGCTACAAATTGACCCATATCCAACATTATGCATCGTGGACATGCAACAATGTTGCAGCGAGCTGACTCAAAGTTGTTAATTCTTTGTACCTGTCCAGAAACGATGAGGAACCAACAATAAGTCAACTTCCCCAGCATCATGCAATGCTATGCCCATTTATCAATGTACCGTTTTTACCTATTTTTGCTACGTCGTGAGTGTGCATGAGTGGCATTACATTATTACCCCCAGCCTGTCCAAACGCAGCTCCGATGTGATCGGCGCACCCCGCAATTAAAAGGATTAGGCGTGTAATAGTATGGTGTCCCCGATAACTGATGAAATGCAGCACTATCATCGGAAATCACGGCATAGCATGGTCCTGGCAGTATCTGATTGGGTAACCTCATTTCCCACAATGTGGCGTTCGCCGGGACGCGATTAAATTCAAATTTTCCATCGTGGTTCAATAATCCGCGGCTAGCTCGCCTTGCCTCTGAACGCGCTTTGCTCGGAATGGTTTCGCACACAGCAAAGGACCTTACCGCAGGAACGGCAGGCGGAATTTTGCAGGTGATTTCACCCTCGTCACTTAAAGCTTTTCACCAAAATAGTGATGCAGGTCCTCGTTGGTCAACCGTTCGATATCGGTAGGCGTCTGAGGCTATAAATCCATGGAGCGGACCTTTGACTCTTTTTTTTATCTTAACGCGCTCCTGAATCAGTCAAAGTGGTGGGTAATCATTCGTTCAAAACTCCAGCTTTCCTGATTTCGATGAATGACACTTACTCGTTCCAACCAGCGCATGCAAACTGCCCCCAAGGGAACGTACTCTGGCATGCTGGGCTGCGCAAAGGGATCTTAGTCAACGAGGGGCCGCTTGCATTCTACAAAGTGCGCAAAATTTCGGAACTACTTAACTCCTTGCGCTAATTTCCATATTCCAACAGGGAACGCTCACTCCGTTACTAGGCATTGGCGTATGCGTGTCGATACAGTTCGCTGCACTGGAGTCCTCTAAACGGTATTTCGCAAAGAGCAATCTGGCAACAGGACGAGGCGGACCCGACGGGAAGGCTCTGACGCCACTTCAATTGGCTGCTGCAGGTGCATTTGCCGGAGTCGCAAACGGATTCGTGTCTGGACCAGTCGAGCACATTCGTATTCGTAAGTCCTCGCAGCTTCAATGTATCCTACTCCATGTTTGACAGCACCTCTCGTAAGGACTACAAGCGCAGCCAGATAAAAACCGCCTGTATAATGGGCCTTGGGATGCGATTAAGAAAATTTCGCAGAGCCATGGCATTTCAGGGCTGTACAAGGGTCAAGTGCCGACCTTCGCCCGTGAAGCACTCGGTTACGGCGCGTACTTTTGCACATATGAAATGCTTGTCCAACGGTACATGCGCGTTCACCAAGTACCCCGGGAAGCGCTTCCTTCTCATTTGGCTATAGCATATGGTGCTACTGCTGGCTATGCTGTAAGTTCGAAATACACAACCCCTTTCAACCCTCTTAGCCCGGATTTGCGTTTAGCTCTGGGCAACCATATACCCGATAGACGTGATAAAAACTCGCATCCAGACGGATGGATTTTCAGGCCCCTCAAGAAAATATTCCTCCATGTTGGATTGCCTCCGGACCATATTGCGGACAGAGGGAGCTGCGGCATTTGCTCGGGGTCTCGGTCCTACTCTAGTTCGGTGAATTATCCCCCACTTTGGCTCTTTGACTTGATCGAACTTCTCATCTGCCTCATCGATGACAGGTCGCCTCTTGCTAATGGCTTCACGTTCTTAGGATTCGAGCTTACCAGCCGAGCTTTGAATTCGGCTTTCTGAAATATGTGCGATCACAGAATCTCGGCAGTGACTTGGTGTTCTAGTGCTTCGGTTCATATAGATTTACTATTGTTTACTTGATCCATAGAGCAAGCTGGGCTTTCCCCGGTGGTACCAATATAGTTGATGCCATCCCCTCCGGGCCATTGTTGGAAGCAGTGATAATGATAATGATGACGATGATGATAACCTTTTAAACTCTGTATCCGTGCCTGCAAAGGATTATATCGGAGCAGGTCCATATGCTATGTAATCTCCCACCTTGCCAGTCCTCCGACAGCCATCCGCGGGGGTCCCATCCATTCATCTCTTCTTCAGTCGCTGGTATCCATAAGACCGCTCCATCTCCAGATCTAGGTGGCTTGCATCCATAATATCCAGTTTGAGGTTCGATGAAGGGGATTAATCGGGCAGCTCACTGGGCGCGCCGCTGTTGCCATTTGGACGCCGCATGTCTGGACACCCCCTAACGAATAGGATAAAGGAATGTGATAAACCCGGTCACTAGCGGCAAGACATCTTGCGTGGTGGACCGACACGAGTAGTCCCTAAATTACGACAAGATGGACGCCTGTCCTTTGGAGATGGAAGTACCGATCCATGAGACCGCTCTTAGATATTGTTGTAGGGTTTCTGGTCGCTTTGACAATCGCCACCATGCATTTCAACCGGGTGATGACGGGAATTTTATTGTTCTCACGCTATTCAGTGATTGTTCTCAGTCATTATTCAGCAACTCTTCCGAGTCTTCGGATCTTTATAAGCACTCACATTCATCACTGGTGAGGGGTAGCTCCCGTACAGTACCATCGGTAGCGGTCTGAGCGATGGGTCTCCTGTTCATGGGAAAACCTCTCGCCTGGGGAGATGCCAAGGCTTATATCGAATACATACGTGAACATGGGCTCAGCCAATTCGTCAATTTATGGCATCGATTCAGGGATCGTACGGGCGATAGTTTTTCATGGGGAGATGAGGTGCGCGATAAAGCAGTCATTGATGGAGGGCTTCTTGAAAACTTTCCGCACTAGATCGAGTATATGGTTGTTTCTTTCGATCCAATCGCGAAGAACGCAACTCTTTCACTGCGTCAGTCGGAAATTCTGTCTATGCTACAGAAGGTCTACCTTGACCTTTGTACCAACTCACCTGCCGATCCGTATGTCGGTTGGTTTTGATGCACATAGGTAGGCTGACGTATGTTGTGCAGCTCCACCATTCCTACTTTCCACCCTGAATATGGTCGATACATGATTGAGACCACCCCTGGGTCTCCATACAGCGGGTCAATCCAAGACTTGCTTCTTGTCGAAAAGAACATGCGATATCGGTAAATTTCGTGTCAGTGATTCGCCATTCTATTTTTTAATATCTCTTTCCAAGACGAAAGCTTATTCGAAATGAACTATTGCCCCACGAAGTGCCTATCACCGTTACCTCGTTTCCGCGTCTTGGTGCTCCAGGCGTTTTCACAGATCCCCGCTACGATCCCGCTGATGCACAAGCCAGCCACAGTCTTTTCTTGCCTGATGAAATCACCAATCCCCACGTTCGCTTCCCGTGAGTGTTGCACATTCATTTCAATCACGGGATGCTTGAATTCCTTCTTGCCGATCAGCACATTAACAGCCAATATTCGCCGACGACGAGGCTCTAAGGTCGCCATTAATCTCCCCATTTTCGTGGACACGGACACACCCCAACCATTCATCGATCCAACCATTCCGTTTGATAGGGACATCTTCCCTGAAGACCCTGGTAACGGCCATTACTTTATCTCTCAATTGGGCACTCATGTGTTCGTAGAGGCTAAGAATGGCGCCGCGAAGCCAAACCATATTTATCTGGACGCTATGGGTTTTGGGATGGGTTGTTGTTGCCTCCAAGTGACCCTCCAGGCTTGTAACGTCGACGAGGCACGACGGGTATACGATGCACTTGTACCCATTGCGCCGATTATGGTTAGTTATGTTATTTTTTTGTTGCTCGGTACTGACGAATCCATGATGCAATGATGACGATGACTTTGTACCCCGTCTGAAAAGTTGGCGCTCACAGCTGCGTCTCCCGCTTATCGCGGTTACTTGTCAGATGTGGATTGTCGATGGAACGTGATTGCCGGAAGCGTTGATGACCGGACCGAAGAAGAGCGTGGCTTAAAGGTGAAGCTGCAAATTCCATTGATGTCAGTGTGTCACTCAAACTGAAAACCCTATGACATTAGCCACTTAAGAACGACAAATTCGTTATCCCAAAATCCCGCTATGATAGCGTCGATGCCTACCTTTCGCTCGATTATAATAACAGAGTAGAGTACAATGATAATGTGGTGCCTTACGATGATGAAATATATGAAAGACTCCTTAATCACGGTCCGTCCAATATCCTTTTTGGGTTCTGCTTTCATTTACGCCTTGATAGGCATAGATGATTTGTTGTCCAGGCACATTGCACATTTATTTATCAGGGACCCGCTTGTCATTTTCTCCGACGCCATTGAGCTCGATGACAACGAATCATCGGATCATTTCGAGGCGAGTGGCCCTGGTACATCTGCTCGATAGCCATTTACGCTGAATTGAATTAGAACATACAATCAACTAACTGGCAGACGTTACGGTTCAAGATACCTCCACCTAACTCCTCTGTAGGGTGGCGAGTTGAATTCAGAAGCATGGAGGTGCAAGTGACAGATTTCGAAAATGCCGCATTTTCTATCTTCATCGTTCTTCTATCCCGTGCCATTTTAAGTCTTGATCTGAATTTCTATATTCCAATGTCCAAGGCAAGTTCATCCTGCCCGCTCAATGCCCCCCAGACTCCCCATTTACCTTTTTCTTAAGGTGGACGAGAACATGCAACATGCGCAGAAGAGAGAGGCTATTAGCAATCAGAAGTTCTATTTCAGGAAAAGCGTCTTCCCTTCTGACATGGGGTCACCCTTCGGCTCGCTTGACACCACACCAATTCAGCCAGACATTGTGGCTGAACATGTGTATGGGGATTCTGGCCAAGCGAATGGCGACCGCAAGGTTGATGGGGTGGTAGAGTGCGAACGACGCGATTCAACCTGCGGCTCGGAGATTTCTGTCACCAGCTCGTCTGATCATGTGCGCAACCCACCTTTTTCTGCAGCGCAATCCAGGCCTCCGTCGACCGCCACGACAGAGTTTGGACCTGTTGAAGATGAATATGAGAAAATGACGATTTCCGAGATTTTCAACGGGAAGGTGAGGCGTTTTATCTTGCACGAGGTCGTGCGACATTCTGTTGAAAGTTACCCGGAAGGGGGAGGGCTTCCCTGGCTAGTTGGGCTAGTCAATGCGTATCTCGATTCCCTTGGTATCGATTCCGAATCAGAACGAAGGATACGTGCCTATATCGAGCTTGTAAGGAAGCGAGCTGATGGTAAGGCAAGAATGAACATGCAGCCAATTTGCTGACCGACTTAATTAGGGACTCTGATCAATGCTGCAACGTGGATCAGGAATTTCATTCGATCACACCCTACGTACAGATACGACTCGGTGGTGTCACAAGTCATTAACTTTGATTTGATGATCGCTTTGGACGAATTGTGGGTACATCTTTACCTTATTCTTGCGTGCAGCTGCTGATCGCATCACCTATGGAACCAGGGAGCGTGGAACTAGGAAAGCCCTGAGTTTTTGCCCGAGGACTATGTTGGGAGCAAACTCGATGATGGATGTCTTTGATTTTTTCTTTCAAACGTGTAGAGACATTTTTCCACGTATTATGTATTGTTATGTTTCCTCGAGTAACTATGAATAAGTATGAAATTCAGCCAACTTGACTTCATCTGTGTCATGGCCAAAAGGTTATCCCGATTTGGGAGATGAAGATTTAAGCGCCCAGTTGAAGCATGTGATTTCTCACCCTTAGATTGAGTCGTGCGCCTAAGGGCCTACTCTTGGGAATGTCGACAGGGAGCGTTGTGCCCAGCTTTGTATGCCAGCAATGCAAGCAGGTGTGCTCCAGACAACTCAGCTCTCGCGAGAGAGAAGACTAATTCGTTGTTGAGCCAGCCTATACTCCTTGATCCTTCAGTAACAGGTGCTGCACCCGAATCGGTCCAAGGTATGCCACATGCGGAAGTGTACCTGTCATTTCGTGGGGTCTAATGAGCACTGAGCTTGTTAAGATTCTCTTGCTCCCCCTGTATCTCCCTCTTCGCGTCGTCCCACTCCCACGGAACGTCTGGCTGAGGTTCCCGCCTCGCCATTGGTCAAACAGGTCTGGTTAAATGCAGTCAAGAATAAAGGGGACGAGATTCGTCTTGCGCCTGCGCTGGCGAATATTGATGGTCCTCCTGATGATAATTCCAAAAAGACTCAGGGTACTCGTGCAGCCAGCCCGTATGGTGCCGAATCTTTCGTCCTTTTACAGGATAGCGTCGTGAAGCGGATTCCCAAGGGTTCTAGCCCCACCCTATCCCCCAAAGTGCCAAAAACTGGCAGCGGGAGCAGCCGTGCTGCTGCAAAAGCTCCCTCAGAAGGTAGAAGTAGCCCAGCACTTGGTACACCTAAGGGCGCTGCTTCTGTGAAGCGACCTCCATCTACTTCATCTCTGCCACCAGCAAAAGGGGGATCTATTGGCCAGAAAAATTCCCCATCCACTTCTGCTAAGACCGTGGCTTCTTCGTCCTCACCGTCGGTATCTAAAGGAAAGGAGACACCACGCAGCAAGAAACCTTCTTTATCATCGCCATCCACTCAAGTGGAGCATCCCCACCCGGCGCATATTACTCAACACCTTTTCAACCTTCTCAATTCACACACTTCGTCAATCACACATCCCCTTTGTACTGAATGCACAACTACATTATTGGAGAACCTAGAAAAAAAGCTTGAAGAGACCAGGCGCGAGAGGGATGGTTATCTAGCATTTGAAAGGGATGTGAGAAGAAAAAGGGATGCAATTTTAGCTGCTGGTGAAGATGGGGATGGAGAAGAGAAGCGGTTAGAAGTACGAATCAGTAAGGTATGTCTCAGAGATCAGATAGAGCAAGGCCCGTAAATTAATACGGATGATTGCGGTTTACTGAAGCTGGAAGCTGAGGCCTCCAAAGCTGTAGCGGAACTTCGGGCAACAGAGCACGAAAAGCGACAGCTAGAAGCCGAGCTAGCAGCACTTGAGGAGGAGGAGAAGGCGCTTGAAGAGGAAGAGTCGGAGTAAGCAAGAATGCCCGATGCAACATGTCCTATCTCAATCATCTTATCTGATCTTTCATTTATCAGGTTCTGGGCGAATCATTCGCAAACGACTCTTCTTCATGCGCGCGCATCAGACACGGTCGCATCTCTCAATGCCGCAATTTCTCAGACACAGCGCGATTTGGCTTCGCTGGCACGCACGAACGTATACAATGATGCATTTTGTATCGGTCATGATGGCCATGGCATCGGAACTGTGAACGGGCTACGGCTTGGGCGAGTCAGTGGCGTCAATGTTGAATGGGCAGAAATCAATGCTGCTTGGGGGTGGACGTTACTTCTGTTGTATACGATAGCGAAGAAGGTGGGGGTTGAATTTGAAACGTGAGTCTGTATCAAAATTTTCTTTTCGCTTGCACCAACCCGGCGCGTGCGATTGACCGGTGTATAGGTATCGGCTTGTTCCCATGGGCTCCACATCAAGAATAGAGAAGATCACAGGCGATAAGGCGACGTATGAGCTGTGCGCGATTTTGTATCCTGTGCTGAATAACTCCTGACGCGTTATGGATGAACGTTAGATATGGCTCTGGCGACGTTCACCTAACGCGCTTACTGCACAACCGGCGGTTTGACTACGCGATGGTAGCGTTCCTGGACTGCCTTCGCCAGATGATGGAGCACGTTAACTCCGTTGATCCCAGTGTGGAGTTCCCTCATGCGTGAGCCAATCGGTATCTTCCCGAAATGCATTAAGCTCAATTTGCTTTTATATAACAATTTCGGTGACTAGAATTGTCAAGGACAAAATTGGAGAGGCCTCGATCAAACTACAATTTAATCAGGAAGAGGTCTGGACCCGTGCGATGCGCCATGTTCTGCTGGCGTTGAAATTGCTGTTGAAGTGGGCTACGAGCGGGTAAGCATGGGGCTTGTAATTGAAGTTGGGATGAGAGATAGCAACGTCGATAGCTGGTGTTTTTCTGCGGGGATCTCCGACTTCACCGTTATATTGGAACAGCTTTTCAGCCAGTGACTCAGCGACATTGGTGACTACGGAACAACGACCCATTCGAGTATAGTATCTTCAAATACCGGATTATGGGCCTCAAACTGACAAATTTACATAATGGTCCCGCACTCCTGGTATCGAGTGATACCATGCAGTGCACCAAATCAAGCAAGATTGGGCTGTTGGTAGGTGGGAGCAACGGGATTGTTCTACAGTGATGAAAAAGAACATCGTAGAAGAATTATAATCACTGTATCAGCCAACGTGGGTGAACGTTCCCAACCAATCTGCTGAAAACCGAATGGATATTTCTATTCCGATGGAGGCTGGTAACCTGCCTAGTGGATATCCTCATGTGCGTCCGATCCTAACAGCTGAAAGTGATCCATGAACAAGGGTCAATATACGAGCTCAATCAGCTGCTGCAACTACCCGATTGGCCTAGAAATGGCTCATGACCGTTCAGAAGCCTCCGCTGCTCAAAGCAATGTTTTCCCATCATGAGCGGACCATCCGCGCCTTTGTGACTGTTCACCATAACGTGAGCTGGCGATGAAGCCCAAAAAAGGAAGTTTAGCGCGGCGTTGAGTTCCAATGAATTCAAGCGAAGCTAATTTAATTCCCCTGCTGTTCTTAATTCCCTGAACAACGTGTTCCAGCGAGCAGTTGAGCGCTTAAAATACCAATGTTGATGTTATTTTCCTGAATGTACAAGAAGCTAATCCTCTTGTCTGCCTCTGGCTGGTGTTTCAACTCCTTGATGTTACTCGTGAATGATATGTTCCACGAAGACTCGCAAGTTGCAATCTGCCTCTCCCTTGGGAGAGGGAATTTGCGATATGCGATGTACTAGAATCTTCCGGAACGGCCTTGGGCCCCTTTTCCTTGGGCGCCTGACTCGCAACTGTTCTGAAAGAAAGCCTGGGACAAGTGGGCGGAGCCGTGTCTGTCACAGCCAGTTGCGCAGTGACTCGAACGAATTGGATAGTATAATAAGTTGCATCGCCCATTCTTCATCCCCTTTCTTCATCTTCCCCCCTGTCTTTCAATAGTTCGTCTCCAACGTCAACATAGACAATTGCGACCGAAACTAATTCCTTGCACCGGGAAACACGAGGCCTTACCCAATATAATCACAGGAATTTAAATTCTCGCACACGTTTTGCCCTTTGATCTCAACCCTCACGCTCGCCTTGGCCTCCATTCTTCGATAACTGCTCGTCCTCAGCTCTATAACATTGCCAGAACATGGACTTATTGGGCTCAGTATTCGGCTCTTCCTCTTCTCTTATAGATGGTGAGCGTCTAACTCCTCGTCTCGTGTGATCCTCACACGCAAGGCGAAACACATCCATCCTTTTGTATACTCAACTATACCTACCCTTCTTATCTTTAGGTGCAAAACTTGTCCTAATTGGCGGGACTATTGAGACTGCTCGCCGAGTCGGCCAGTCTGCCTGGTCGTCATTCTTGTCATCGTTCTACTTGACTGCGCATTTCAGTGAGGTGAGCCTCGACCAAGTCATTTAAACATTCCCAACACTCATCCCCTCGAAAATTTGAAGGATGACTACCCGTATGACTGGTAAGTTGTTAGGTGCCTGAAACGAGTCGTCTCATACGATGGACTTCACCTCCATAGGTTACAGTACTGGTTACAGCGCCAACCGCAATGGCGTTCTTCCCGCGAGTTCGAGACTACTACTCGGACAATAACAGTCGGTAGCAAGGACGAATACTTATATGAGGACTACGAGCCTCGGGATCTCAAGGAAGAAGAGACACCAGGCAAGCAAAAGGTGCACGTCGTCTTTCAGCCAACGTTTGACTCTACCATCGGCATTTACTATCGTAAACGTGAGTGTTTCTCCCGCATTCTTCGCATTGCTCGGGCGTCAAGGACGCTCTAGGTTGACGCCGGCGCCCCGCCCGACTACCTCCACTTCTTTCATCCGATGACATAATCACTCTCATTCACCATCATTTTGTGGCTATGTAGATTGGTTGCGAGTGCGGAGATGGGCGAACAATGGGACAGAGCATCTATCCATTTCGTGAGTACAGTTTTTTCACTCTCAGACGTTGTTTCTCACCACCGTTTAATAGTGTGATCGCTCGCAACAACTCAGTTTTGAAGCAGCTGGTCCTGGAGGCTAAGAAGATGTACGAGGCGGATGCTGAGCACCGAGTGAATATTTACTTCGCTGACTCGCATGGGTCTTGGCGGTGGACCGATTCTCGAGGAAAGCGGCCATTGGGTTCCATTGTTCTGGAGAAGGGTGTGAAGGAAATGCTGCTGGCAGATTGCCGTGATTTCCTCAAGGTTAGTGAGCGTGAGACGTCTCTCATTCCATGTTTCTCCCCAAACATAGTTTTTGCATTTGTCGAATGGGCGATTCACTGATTTTTTCTTGATTTGCAGAGTGAGAAATGGTATGCAACCCGCGGTATTCCATTTCGACGAGGTTACTTGCTTTATGGTCTTCCGGGCTCCGGTAAAACATCACTAATCCATGCCCTTGCTGGGGCTCTGGGTCTCGACATCTACGTCGTCTCATTATCCGCCTCCTGGATCAACGATGCTACCCTGTCCCAGCTGATGGGCCGTGTTCCTGCACGATGCATTGTCTTACTCGAGGATCTAGACGCAGCGTTTACGCGCTCTGCGACCCGAGATGATGACTCAACTGGTGCCCCTGGTGGCAAGAATGCCGGCGAGAACGTCGAGGAGCGTCACATGTCAGCTTTTTCGCGCCGCCGTGACTTCGTCCCAGACTACAACACATTGTCACTCTCTGGTCTGTTAAATTCTTTGGATGGTGTATCTGCGCCGGAAGGCCGATTATTGTTCGCCACGACGAATCATCTTGAGCGCCTTGACCCTGCGCTCACTCGTCCAGGGCGAATGGATATCTGGATCGAGTTCAAGTATGCCAGCAAATGGCAGGCTGAGCTCCTCTTCAAGAACTTCTTTTCGGAGATGGACGATGCACCTCAGCCTACGGATGAGGAGATCGCTGCAATGCAAAAGGAGTTTGCTCTTTTGGAGGCACAAGAGAAGGAGGCAGGTAAAGTCTCCTTCGTCCCGAAGGACCGCGTGACTTCCCCAACTGCTGGCGCTGAGGCCATGGCTGCCGCTACCGAGGCCGCTACCGAGGCTAAGGAGAAGCTGAAAGAGGCGGAGGATATTCTGCCACTCCCTGTCCTTGAGCAACCCACTGGTCCTTTAGACCCCGAGAAGTTGAACGACTTTGCTCGCAAGTTCGCTGCTGCCATCCCTGATAATGAGCATTCCGTCGCCTCTCTCCAAGGCTGTGAGCACTATATCACTGACTCTTTCTGGTCATCTTGCTTATTTTTTGAATCTTCACAGACCTCCTCCGTAATAAGAGCCGACCAGAAGCCGCTGTTGCCGAGGCACCTGCATGGGTCCAGTCTGAGCGTGCACTCAGGGTTCGGTTAAAGAGGGAGAAAGAAGAACGTGAGGCGAAGATGGCAGTCGAGCGCGAGAAGCGCCGAAAGGAGCGAGAAGATGCCAAGAGGCGAGCAGAACGTGAAGAGGCTCGTCGCATCCGTGAGGAAGAAGCTCGTATTCGCAAGGAGGATGAAGAGTTCGCCGCTGAGGAGAAGCGTCTTGCCGAGGAAGAGGGAAAGAGAAAAAAAGAGGAGGCGGCGGAAAAGAAGGAAGGAGAGAAGCCAGATGATGAGAAAACCACCACCGAGAAAGACAGCACTTCTTCGGCCTCTGCCACGGCTGAGAAAACTTCAACGTCGGCATCTACGGATACCACTTCTGCCACGGGCACATCAACTCCTGCCACTTCGACACCTGATTCCGAGCCTGAGGTCGACGCTAGCATTGTTCTCGTTAAACCTGAACCATCCACTTCTTCCGCTTAGGAGCACGTGTATCTCAACACCTAACGACCTTTTTTTCTTCTCTTTGGACCACTCATTGGCAAATTGTGTACGCTCTATCTTTGGAAGGTCAAAGAACCTGAATGATCCGTTATGATCTACTTACTCACTACTCTGTTTCTTACCATCCTCCCCAGGAACTCCAGTCGTTTTCAAGATAATTACATCTTGTCAGTCATGACTCTCATAAATGTGGCTCCTGTTACACTTGCATTTTTTTACCTGTCATCATCTCGTGCTCGTTTCAATACATCTCCCTCGCAATCGCCTCTCTTGCTTTCATCTCTGTATTTACTCTTCTTCCCGGTTCACACGTGCTTCGTACAAAAGTACTAGTGTGTCACAATCCGTGATCAATACCAAATATTCCCTTCGATCATCATACACGAGCTCATCAGAGCGTTACTTAACGCCGCTGTCGCTGGGGTCGAGATCAGGATTCGTATTTGTTTTCAAGGTGCGCGATTTGATAGGAATACCAGCACTGGGATGCAAAGCGTTTACGGTATGAGAGATGTGAAAACTGATCCAACACGTTACAGGCGATACAGAACATGGCGAGATGGATATGGATCTACATGGGATCCAGTGAGCTTTCAAATGGGTATGTCCCACCACGATCGAGCGCGACCCATCGCGATGCGCTTTAGATGGATCCGATGGTCCGGATGGGGAAAGCTTCGAGAGCTTGCTGATATTGGTGATCGCCTCCATCAGACCCTCGGGGCCGTCTAAGGCCGCGGTACGGCCACGCGCGGGTCCAATGGCAACGGACAGCGTTTGGCGTCACATTAGGTTGGTGAGTGGAATTGGCTTCCTGAGGCGTTTCGATTGTCGCAGCTAATCGGAACCTGGCACTTCGTGCTGATGACATGTGCTCCCCATGACTCAGTGAAGTTCTCCAGCCTGTCGCTGAGGTGCGGAAATGCCCCCTTTCCGGTATGGCCGAAAGTGGACTGATCGATCTCTCTCCTCGTCGCCGGTTGGGGGAAGAAATTCGTCATCTATTCCCATACGCAGACGGAGATAGTAAGAATACAATAGGGACACTACGTCGACTTCCATGTTCGTCGACTATCGCAGCATGTTGTCCGTTAGGTGGACATTCTGGTAGCGGCGCCATGCATCCCATGGGCCCGAGGAACTGCATTGGCTATACCACGGGCGTCCAAGGTCTCGGACGCAGAGCGTGCACCGCCACCCCTCCTGAGATAGTGCTTTGGGTGGTGGGCATGCTTGCTCTACAGCCATTTCATCAATTAAGGCGATGGTGGCCCTTGGTTCAAGATTTCGATTTCGCAGTGGCACGCTTGAAAGAGAAGATACAGATCTTGCATCCCAACAGAAGGCACCCAGGGTAGCTGCTTGGACTGCCATTGGCGACGAAGAATGGAGGTGATGTGAATGTTGCATGCCTCCCTTTGGGAACCCCTTTGTCTCTTGTCTGGGCGCGGCGTGGTGCAACTTGCTGCCATGACTCTTGAGCAAGCCTTGCACAGTGCCCGAGACTTGACTGCTGTCATGGTCATCCATCGCGAGAGGCGCGATCCTGACTTCTCGAGGGAAGATGTTCGTCTTGGCGAGGTGAACGAGTAATGTTTCTTGTTCACTCGTTGTTGCTCGGCTTTCTTTAAGGCTATAGTAATTGTCTCCTCTTCCTCGAGGACACGGGGGGACTTGACGATTGAGGCCCTAGATGGCTGTGGGGAGAACGATGACGATGATGAGAATCGCGATGGAGAGGGCCCGACAGAGGGAAATAGATGGAAGAAAAATAAATACGTTTATTTCGAGGCAAAACAGGAGTCATGCTCTGATCGACTAGTTTGGGGCTTCTTCCCCTCCCGTCCGAGTAAAAGGCGCAAGCTTTACAGTGCGGTTCTAGCGAGTCAGAGGCACCACGGAACAACGAAAGCATGGTAAATTTGTGCTCATTGGTCTACAGCCCATTTTGGGAAGGCCGATTTCGTTTCTCCCCATCAACCAGACATTCTGTTCCAGCGGTCTCTGGCTGTCAAGTTTTTGACGTTGACGTTTCATGGAGGCACGTGGCTGCCGTTTTGATTCGATCGACGGTTTGGAAGCTTGTGTAGAATTGTCCCGTCGCCCTTTATCGAGCACTTCTATTCTTGTGTGCAGCATGGCCTATCGGTCTAGCATTTGTGGAATGATTCTTAGCCCACGTCATCGAATTTCTGGGCAGTTTTCATTCTGCATCTTGAGATAAGAGTTTAAATCAGTCTAGCGGAACCCCCTTTGTGTTTCACTTCCAAGCCGGAATCGTCAGCGAACCGGTCAAACCCACTTCTTACCGAATCCCAGGGAGCTCAGATACTGTCCTCTATATTGTTGTCATGGCGAACCGCTTGTGGGGTAGTTTCCAAGGGGTTGGAACCTGGATGTGACCGAAAAGCATTCGTATTTTGTCGGTCAGTTATATCAGAGGCCGAATTTTCCGACTTGTTTCTCTACATAATCCATTAAGCCTTGCTTGTTTGGTCTTCCTCAGCGTACCACTATTGGGCCCGAAAACTCGGCTTGTGTGGAGCCTTCCAGCTGCAGCGCCACTGGCCCTCTCATTGCATAAGACACATATCTCTTTAGTTCCATGTTGACATCATATGTACGCTCCTTTATGGTTTCCGTGGCCCCTATAGGCGATTGGCGATGACTGCTGACTAATCCATGTATCATCAATCCAAGTGTTCAAGAAGCCGATTATCAGCTTGCTCCTCCCTGAGCGGTCCATCCGATCTATGTCCAGTCGGGCTATCGGGCACGGGAGTCACACTTAAGGGCGCAGTGTTGTGGTTAAGAACATCATGCACTCCGCGCAGAAGTGGATGTGCTGTCACAGCAAGCTACGTAAGACCAAATTTAATAATCTCAATGCCGTACACTGCCAAACAGGACATTAGTGACGTGACTTATGCGGAGGCTCGGTGATGCGTCGCACTGCAGGATACGTTTCCCCGGATCAGGCCGCAACGTCCAACTGTAATGTATCATCTACCAAGAGTCCTATATCCATCTCTCCCAATATGAAATCGATCACGTAGCTATCTTGAACAAGTTGGTCCGTTCTTGCGAAGTGCCGTTCTGTGTAAGGTACCAGCCCGTCTATTATCCCCTTAAGGGTAACCTTCGGAGTGTTCTTGGTGGCGAGTGAATCCACATCCGTTATCCTCGACTCCGATAAGACGTTGAATGCCTTTGCAATGTCTTCTGATGATTTCAGTTTGAGGACCGCATAAAGGACGGTCTGAGCGACGACACTTGACTTTGCATTGGCGTTCCAGTCCCGCACAAGAATCAAGAGGCGTGCGAGCTCGATAGGGGGAAGGGTTTGTATGATGGTATCCACAGCAGCGCTTCCGGTAATGCTATTTTCATCTTCTGGTGATACGGTGCCAAGGGATGTTCGACCACTGAGAGTTTTGAATAGATTGAATAAACGACCCGGCTGGTTCATCGACAGAGCCAATAAGATGGCCGAACGATAGTCTTTGAGTGCCAAAAAGTTCATGTAGTCTTGTTCCCTTTACGTGCATCGGGGCATGAGTTATGAGACGTTCACAAAATACCTAAACGTACTTAATTGCCACTTGCTCCCTCTCTTCAGCCTTCTGGAGTTCAACTTCCTCGGTGCAATCCTCCCAGAAGGTGACTACCGAATCCGCTGCTCCTGATACAATTGTAGACTCATCTTGGCTTATTGTCAGCGCCCATACCTAGTCATGACGGTCGTTTTGTGATACAATGATCCCGAGCGGATAAACTCACCTTCCCCTCATGATTGTCCAAACTCGTAACGCATTCTTCATCACGGACATTCCATATTTTCACCAAGCCATCTGATGAGCTGCTGATGAGCTGCAGATTATCGCTGATGAAATTGACCCGCAGTACGGTATTAGTATGACCCTCGAGGGTCTAACAGAATAGTGAGATGCCGCTAAATGCATTGGTACGGCACATTATTCACCTTTAAACACGTAAAATCACCCAAGTTCCACAGTTTGATCGTTTTGTCACCGGAAGCTGTAACCAACATCTTATCGGAAGTCCTGGGGAACTTGACATCCCATACACCTCGCTTATGACCTTTACAGACTCCAACTACGCGCGCGCTTCCTCTCGCACCTTCCTTCCTTGCTGAAGACCCGGGATGATGCGTTATCTCGTATATACTCACAATTTTATCCTGAGAGGCGGTAGCCAGGAACCGATCGTTATAAGAAATGTCCAACGCATTGATGTCCTTGTCATGCGCCTTGTTCGTCCAAAGCGATTTAAGGTGAACTGGCCCGCTCTCAGAATCAGATTTGGGAAGAACAGACAGGTCCCACATTTTCAAGGTTCGGTCTTGACTTCCCGTGAACATGAATGGTATTCGGTTAATGACCGGTAGCGTCGTGACCCCATGTAGCCTTCGAGCTAAAGCGATTGCCCCAACAGACTCCGTGTGGCCTTCCGCGAGTCCAACACATACCCATCCAGCATCCATGTTGGAGCCGCCCTCCGACGAAGCCGACGTCTTCGTTGTCCACACTCTTGCCGTTCGGTCCTTACTTCCACTAACAAGGACTGGTGCAGAAGGAATCGAATCCAGACAAAGCACAACATCTGAATGTCCTGCCGAAGTAGAGTCTAATGACGGGAGAAGTCGCACATCTAAAGTATCTCGGTTGTAAACTTTGATGAGAGAAGAATTGGTAGCCAGTGCCACATGCGTTTCAGAGTTTGTCGACTCGGATAAACGAAGCAGACGACAATCAATTATTTCATCATTAAAACCAACGTGTCGACGAGTGAGGGCACCGGATTCAATGGAGAACGTAAGGATGTTTTGGTCGGCATGAACTGAAGTTAGTGTCGCTGTCTGCGGGGTGTAGCTATATAATAGCCAAAGGGAAATGTTGGCTAGGTACAAGAACGACGTGGAAGTGATGACTTACAGAACGTCCACGATTTCTCTCGACTCGTCTGACTTCGACTCGGAATTCGAACCAGCGGATAGTTCTTGACCATACGTGGCTATTACCCCCCCTTCCCGAGCGTTCCAAACCCTAATGCAACCTTTCTCACCACCAGTGAAGAATTTCATCTTTCCGAGATGAAATGGAGATGAGGGAACTGGAGTCTCGGGAAGTATAAATCCAACAGCCTCTATTCTCTCAAAAACAGGTATCGTTGTAACAAGAGTAGCCTGTCCATTGTTTGCCGACCCACGGAGTGCTTTGTCTTTGGATGTTTCTGAAACATGTTTGTCATTGCTCTCCGAGTAGAGGTCCCAGATGAGAACAACACTGTCTCGTCCACCACTAACCAGCCACCGGCCGTCAGGAGACACGTCTAAGCCACGAGGTACAGACATGTGGCCATCGAGAACAGCAGTGGCGGAGGCGTGGGCCTTTTGAGATGTTGGGGCTGTGAGATCAAACAAGCGTATCCGATTATCAACGGATCCGGTGATCAGTTGTAAAGTCTCATCGTTCAGAGCCTCTGGGCTTTTGCTCGTCTCCCGAGGATGATTAAATGCTAGCGCAGAAACAATTCCTCCGTGTCCTCTAAATAGATGTGTTAAGTATCCGCGTTGGAGATCCCATACTTTAACTACTCCGTCTGCAGCTCCAGAGGCAAGCAGAGTTGATGATGGATCGATGCGACAGACATGCACTGGTGCATCGTGGCATTTTGGGACGATACGGGTGGGTTCGATTAATTGAATTTCGGGCTCATCAGGTATTTGGGTTTCTGGTAGCTGGGGGATCTCGAATGTGCGAAAGAATAGGGATGAGTAAAATATCACAATGTGTGTCAGCGATGGGGCCAGTGTCATGGAGGTTATTGAACTCGAGTCCTTGAAAAACTCTGAGCAACACAAGGCATCTGCCTAAGCATGGCGAAAAAGCTTACCCCTTCAAATCTGCATATCCCCCGCCCATTCACTACACCCGTCATCCGGACTTCTGTGTCTATACATGTGAACAACCTAGTGCCATCTGAAGTCACGGCGACGGGGCCACTTGTATGAAGAGGCTCAATTACCCGAGTCTTCTTAAACCTAAGAAGGACAATTGAGAGTGTGAAATTCCTCATGCATCTAGGTGGAACATACGATGTTTTAATCACCATTTCACTGCGCTCCGACCGAAGAAGATTTGAGCAGTGGCGATACAAATTCCCATCACGTGCTCACCGTGGGGACCAATTGTCTGCTCTCATTCTATCGAACACCCCTTAGCGCTGCACCAGCAACCAACACCATGCCAAGCGACCTCCGCGAACTGGGGGAGAATGTGGGCCTGCAATATTTAATGTGGAATATTTCCCACCTTTGATACTTGTGCACCTCAACTCCTGTCCCTCAGAATCCGCAGCCGTCATTGGACGGGAGCGTAGAAACACCTACCACCCGCGCACTAAATCCTCCCGCTGATAATCAGCTTGATGCTTATGAGGGCACCAACTACGCTCCAAAAGCAGAGCCCAGGATCGCGTCATTGGCAGCAATATTTCCGGACTTCGATCACGCTGTCCTGTCAGATGTCTTGGACCTGTGCAACGGGAGCCAGGATCGCGCCATAGAGATTCTTCTAGGAATGAATGATCCCTCATACGCCCCGCGAACCTCTGACACTGTAGGACATACACCGTGTAACATCGTAATACTGCTGTTCCTGACTTGTTCTTAGACCCAGTCTGAGCTGGACGAGCAGCTAGCACATCGCCTTGCAGCAGAAGAACGTGAAGACTTCATGAGATATATTCCGCCCCCCAGTGCAACTTATCCCTATACTCCCCGTGCTCCCCGTCGGTCGAATGAACATGCTAGGCCAGTTGAAGATGTGCCTTTACAAACCCAATTCAGAGATTATTTCATGCCCTCTTCTACACGCCATAGGGGTGTAAACGATCCTGAAGGTGCCTCTTCCAGAACTGGAGGGGATTTTCAGGAACAGTTCACGAGGATTGCGGACAGTGAGTCCCCCGTTCAACCCGAGAGGTGGCAATTGTTAATCGTCGTTTAGCTGGGAAAAGGACTTTTAATAATATATTTTCCAAGGTCAAGGCGAAGCTACAAGAGTTTGATACACCTGCGAGCCAACACAAGTTCGTCACATCTGAGCCTTCAGATTAACGTTGTCTTTACCTTTAGATCTAGTGCGGCATCTACGTCATCTGCTCCTCCCCGGACGCAGCCAGAAGCTTACTATGCACCTCCAAAACAGGTGACCCTATCGACATCACCTCCTAATGTTAACGATGACGATGGCTATGACTTGACTCCTCAGGCTCCTCTCCCGATACGTACCGGTAAGCAGGTTCACCTCCCTCCAAGCGAAGCTAATACCTACCTTTTTGAGAAGCTGCGGGCAACAGCCAAAGGTTGGCACCGCCCGACTCCGCGCATGCTGAGGAGCCCAAACCGCCATCAAACCGATCCTCATCCCCTTCAACATCTCCGCCCATCTCATCTGGTTTGGATCGGAGTGAGTGTGCATCTTCATGAGCCCCCAACCGCCGTTGACCTCCAACCATTCGCCGCTTATGGAGGCAAACTGGGCCTGCTTCCCCGCCGACCAAGATCCCTAATTGTAGACGATCTCACTGCACCAGGCCCGCATCACGAAGGGAAGACCTCATCACCCTCGCAGGATGACGATGACGACCGTAAGCTCGTGTTATAATTAGAAATTGGTGCTCAGAAATCCTCAATGCATGGTATATCTAACAGTGTATCTTCCGAACCCGGATCACGCTGAAAGCCAATCCTGATCGCGCCTCTTTCGGGATATCTCATGTCCGTGTACTTATGAGCTCGTCACTACTTCGAACTGTGTAGCCCCAATTTTCTGCTGCCAGAATGACCCAAATTGATTAATTCTTTCTGTCCATTCTCACAAAAAAGTGTGTAAATTTTGGTCTTACGGTCACTGGCAGGAAGTGATTTGGGTGTATTTTGAGAATAGCAGTAATAAATTGATGCAGCGGTACGAGAGCATAGCGATATTAGTGTACGGGAACGACTGATGGTGAAACATCTGGCTCGAAAGGGTTCGCCTTTCCCACCTGGTAGATAGAATAAATTGTCGTTCCAGATGAGAGTTGGCTGCTCACCATCAACAGACCAACTAGATCCCATGAATTGGGATAAGAAGAGTTCCACATCGTAGTAGAGCTCATGCTTACCTATCAATCCGAAAAGTCCCATAATGGAACCGAACACCTCAACGATCAATATTCGGACAAAGAGAGTGGGGTCAGCAGCATCGGCCACAGCGGCGTTTGACCCTGTCACTCCCACAGAAATACCACAGAGAAGATTGCATATCCCAACAGTTAATCCACCCCAGAATAATGCAAACCCTGGTGATATGCCACCATTTCAGTCTTAATACATTGGCCAGGCTGAAGAATATGGGATACCGGTGTAGTAGTTTCCCTTCGTGTATATAAGGTCGCCGTCTACGGGTTCCACTTTTTGAACAAACACTATAGCCATGATCTACGAGAGGGAAGAAAAGAGTGAATGAGAGAGAAGTGGGCAACAACAATTGAGAACCTACGACGCCATAAATTGCAACAACTTCGCAGAAGATAATACTTGAAGGAAACTGTCATCAACCCAGCCGACAAGATAATTTTTCAGGCCAGTCATCACACCTAATAAGGTTTTTCGTGGAAATTCTAGGTGCACGAACGCCACCACCTAATATTGACGAGCCCGTGACGAAAATCCCCCTAAGTGCCTGAGCATTAGTGCCTCACAGGCTAATGGCATTCTGTAGAAACTTACCATCCAGCACCCATCACACTGAGCCCTATACATAGGCCGATCCCAACGAGCCCCCATGCGTAAGGACTGCTCTCTTCGAGGAATTGTCCGACATTGAATGCCTCGCCAGAGCCTTCAGGAACACATGAGCAAATGAGCATGTGCACCGAAAAGAACCCACCCCACCAGTGAGGAGAAGATATAAGCCAACAACAGTGAACAGAGTCAAGGGAATGTAAAGACTCGGATAGTACCCCATCGCTGAAGGTGCTGCGACGCTGCGTGACAGGTGAGGGTGGTCACCCGTCACGCTTCCTAACGAGGCAAGTCACTAGCGCCTAAGTAGAACCACGAGTGCCGATATTAATTAGTGTATCTACACGGTATTCTAGATGTGAAAAGATAATATAAACAATACAAATATTATACCTTCTACCTCCCCAGTACGAGCCTGACCCATGCAACAAAACGTTCCGTTTTCCGGGTTGCCCACACCCAAGATCCTTCCAAAACTGTCCGTAGAGATCCTCGATACTCGTCCCATACCTCGGGATTGTCAAGGCCGAGGGAGAAAGCATCATTTTCTTGCATGCCACGTTGGGCATGCTCGAGGGCGATAGTAAATCTCATGACATCCTTAACGGTCAGCAGACCCTTTAGTACACCATACTCTTCCACCAATATAACGCTTGGACTGTCGGGGGAAGGGTCGATTTAGAACTGATCAATCAGGCGAGATTTCAAATTCCTACCCCATTTTCTTGAATAATTGCACGACCGTCTCCAGTGAGGTCCGAGGAGCAACAGTAATGGGAGTCTAGCAAAGAAGTTTGCTAAGTTGGCTTCAATATAATACCCGGACTTACAAGTTGACGAAAGGCTCGAAGGATATATCATTCGATGAGCTAGGTTCAACCAACTGCATAGCATCCTCATCAGCTGCCGAAGTCAATGGCGATCTTAGCGGTCTCGGCAGCCCCATCCAACCCCCATCGTGCGAAGGTGAACCAGTATCATTGAAGCTTCGAGTTATTGATAGTTGCGATTCGCTACAGAAGGTGCAGAGGCTGTTCGGATCAAGCCAACCGCGTCGTCTTTTCCGCTCTGTAAGTCACTTTAGGAATGGGTTTTACTAGACAAGGACGTTATTCGTGCCTAAGAGATACCGGATGTCTGAGCGGGTGGTGTATCCGAGCAATGTGTTGCGACCGTCGACGCTGACGACTGGATAGCCCTGGACACTTGCCAAATCAAGCTTGCGCTCTGAGTGGTCCATGAGAGACTGCGCAAGGTGCGTCTATCTATCAAGAAACGGACCTAAGTCTTCAAGCTTCACGTTTCTTGCTTCGATTGTAATAAGATTCTCGTGCATAGCTCGGGAGACTGCAATGAATTTAGGTTGCAGCATGAGTTGGCAGGGAGATGGGATCGTACCTGGGACGTCTAATCCATGGACATCGGAATGCAAGAACGGATATCCATTGAACTTGATCATCTCTTCCGCAATACCCTCCATGCCAATGTAATCACCGACGAATTTCGTGGCCAGCAAGACAATCTATGGAACTTTGCTAATTAGGGTCTTAACAAGAGCCATCACCATTCTCACCATGGTGGGGAGGATATAGTTCAGTGCCCCTGTCAGCTCATACATAATTACGACAACTGTCAGAGTCATTCGCATGATGCCCCTAACGGGGGAAAAATTAGTAAATAAACTATTATGCGAGACTAGGGATTTACCCTAATGCAGCCGCGGCTCCGAGAAGGGCATATGTTCCAGGAGTTATACATGGTGCATCGGGCTTACAGACGGCAAACCACCCCGCGGTAGGATAGGCCCTTCGTGTTGAGACGTGAGACATGAATTCGTAATGTTCAATCTGGGCCCTCTCGGTAACACACCTGTACATAGCTTTAACAATAATCCCGACCATTCGACCAAACGTAGCGCCAACAGCCATTGAAGGAACAAATATTCCAGCAGGGACTTTGCAACCGTAGGAGATAATGACAAAACCTATCCGAAATACTGTTGCCAGGAATAGCGAATTCGCCATACGCCATTGAGCCCATGTCCTGTAGAACGCATTAATCCAAGCGACGGTTATTGGCCGTTCCAACTAACTGGCAAAGGTTTTCGTAGTCTCCTCCTCCTTCACACTCGCGGAACAGGATAGCCATACTCTCCGTCATGTCAATTCGTAAGAATCGATTAAAAAAGCTGAACATCGCCGTGAGGGTTGCCAGTGTAACAGCCTCAGTGATGGGATACGAAGGCAGGTGTTTCCTGCGGAATGCTGCTACTTGGAGGTTAAATTTAGTCACTATGGCTCCATACACACCCTGTTACATGTGAGTGCAGCCACTTAAGTGCATAGCAAAGATACGCACCCCAAAAATTCCAATTATGACAAAGAAAACAATTTCGAAGAAGTGCCAGTCTCGATCGTACGAGACCTGGAAAAGTACAAGTTTGCCTGTTCGGAAAGGATTCACGGCCTAGTTTTCTGATTAATTTTAATCTCAAGGATCCTGCCAACAGTCCACTTCCAACGTACCGAGAGAGTCGCAGTGGCAACGAGAGCACAGAGAAAACTGCGCCACATTGTTTTTATATTGAATGTGTGGCTCATCTCCTGTATTCGCTCCCATTAGCCCACCGGACCATTCCGACCACTCGCACATACCTCGATAGAAAAGAGCACGCCACCGATGGGAGAGCCAAAGGCTACTGCGACTCCCGCTGCACTAGACGCAGTGACAATCTCTCGCATTTTGCCTTCGCAAATGCCTAATCGTTAGGCCACCTCAATTCAAATTCTCAGGCAAACTCGTACTTTGGCTGAGGGAAAATTGGGGAAACATGCTGGCTACAACAAAACCGATGCAGCATGCAACATGAACTGACGGTCCCTCCTTCCCGACGTTTAACCCTGAGGCGATAACTAGAGGCTACCCGCCATAAAGTGTCAGAAAAATGACGACCCGGAATGTTCAAAGAACGGACTAGTGTAAGACTCTTGATGACGAGTGTCCAGCCTCCGAGATATCCCTTCATAATGAATCCAGTGATGATGCATTTTATCTCGGAGATGCCTGAGCCCGCTGCGTAACGTGCAAAATTATACACAAGATGAGCAGATAACCAAGAGAACAAGCACTAGGAGGAAATGTCAATTGGCAGTTGAGTGGTATGGAGAGTCAGCTTACAGCCAGTAGGACATAAACAATCCAATTCCCAAAGGTATATTCACTCCATGGGATCCATGCTTTGCAAGCACCGTGGACATCGACTTCGTCAATCTCCCAGCAGCAAAACTCCTGATTGAGCCACCACCCTTCGGAGCAGTACCCGCGACGCAAGTCAGAAAGCCACTCCGTGAGAATAGACATAGCAGCACTGTCAACTCCAATGATAGCACCTATATTCAGGTCACTTGGCAGAACCTGAGCAAGGCGGTCTTAATGAACGAACCGACAAGAGTTATGATGAACCAGCTCTGCCCTAATGAAGTAATTTTCCACATAGTTGCCCAGACCCAGCCCCAAGTGACCCGGCCATTTGCAGCCCGGAGTGTCGCATCAATTTCCATCCGGCGCCTCAGTCGTCGGTTCCTGTCCAACATCGAATCATGTATCCAGTCTTGCGAAATTGAGACGTTGTTCTCGACATTCGTGTCACTCGGGAATACTACATACCTATGGTGGTGAAGTCCTCATAACGGCTGTACCGCATGTACGTATGAGATAGATGTGGAACGTGTGTAATTTAACTCACGACACAGATGCCTCGTATTCATCATTATCTTGCGGTGGATATTGGTGGGCTTGCTCGCGTGTGTGCGCCATTCATTGCCAAAGAGTGAAATTTGTGAAGAAAAAAGCCTGAACTCTAAGGGAGGAAATGACCTAATTTGTCAGTACTATTTGCGGGAACCTCCGCACTGCCATCGGCTTGCCACCGACATATGCGCTTCCATGCCCAACGACAACATGTCGTGTACTCGGTATGTTTCTCCTTATCGAGCTGACTCGTTCAAGGCGGACTGATGCGACTTTGATGGGATCCAATGCCCTAGCTCGACGCCCTCCTTTACCAACTCTTCCTCCTCTCGTACCTCATAGATCCTGTACTCTTGCGGTTCATTTTCCGGTCATCGATACAAACCCAATTAACTCGTCCGCGAGAGATGGGGCGGTCTGTTAGGTTCTATTTTGTCTGTCTCTGTGTGCTTCATATACCGGTCATCCTTCGGCACCCCTTCTTCCCTTTTGAATATGACTCGCGTGGCGTATTACTTGACTTTGTTGGTCGAGGCGAGTCAATTTGACAACTATTATGAACTCACGTAAGGCTAGTCGCGTCTAACGCCTGGGCTCCTCCACTTAGCATTTTCGCCGCCCTTTATTCTCGTCATTACTACGGACGTTCTCATATTTATTCTTCAAGTCATCACTGTAATAATTGCGCACGAAACTGGAGCAGAAGTCGACCCCGATGTACCAGATCCCCTCGCATATGATTCTTCATCTGTCGATGTCGGTGGTGAGCCCTTTCCATGGAAATTATGACTGTAATTTCGAATAACAGCACCCCGCCTCGAAATCCAGGCGATGAAAATCTATTCCACAAACAGCATTATCGTGAACCAATACTTCATCTTCGCCTCCGTCCGACTTGGCAGAGTATCAGACATCCACCGCCGCCACGACCCCCGGGTCTTCCTCTGCCTGGAGTTACGCAGCGTTTATCGGGTGCATCGCGTTTGGAGCAGTTACTGAGAACAATGCAGCGAAGAGTAAGGGAACAGACGGAAGCGATGGCACAAGCCAGTGGGAACAATGTGGGAGCCGAGAACGCAGATACACCGAGCCCAAGGACTGGGAATGGACTGCCTGGTGCGATGCCACCAGAGAGATAAATGGTCCATGAGTCGTATCTTGTAGTAGTCTTCACCACTTTCTCTTCATCTAATATTTGTAGAAGCGTAATTGTAATCATCCATAAGTATCTGAGGTCAAGCATGTATAAATCCCGGCACAAACATGTTCTTGCACACAGTCCTTGAACGCTGCAAATTCCTTCGCGCACATCCCCCGTCGTGCATCCTGGTAAGCCGCGTGGATGCAGTTGCCGTAAGCTTCGGCCTGACAGGAACAACCAACACATCCAAGTCAATGGAAGATCTTAAATGTTCACTGACGAAAGCATACCTGAGGACCGCAATGACTTGCGGCAATCGCCAAACGCTTGAGAGGATTGGTATCTACTGGCTTTGCGAGCACTCTCGAAGGGTGCATCGTTGGTGTGCTTCAGCCCTCACACAATGCAATTAAATGTGCCAGGCGCTTGCCGTAAGATGTGCTGACTAAGGCACCGCCACCAAACTATCTGTCTCGCCTTCGATTCCTCTCAAGCAAGCTCTTAAGCGCTGAGTCAGCTACCAACATATAAAGGCGTTTCTCCCTCTTCCCAACTGCAGAGTTCAGGCTCTCCTTCATGTCGTCTGAAACTCCCTCTACATCATCTAAGCCGACCGCAACATTCATCAAGAAGAAAACAAGGCCAGCCAACGTTCGCAAGCGCGACACCTCGCCAACCTTATCATCTGACCCATCTTTACCAGTCATCTCATCGTCCTCTGCAGTTGTGCGTCCAATTTCCAAGACGAGTGCCAACCCCCTCATTCAAGGCACAAAGCGAACGTATTCGCAACGAGAGAATGACGACAATGATGACAGGGGGCCGGACGTCAAGTGGAAGGCATCTGGTAATATTAAAGAACTGATGGATGCAGAAAAGGAAAGGATATCAAAGGAAGAGGAACAAGAAATTCTCAAAAAGTATAAGCGGGATGCTGAGAATGAGGAGAGGGAAGATGATGGTTTATATCATGGATCGGCAGCTTATAAGTCGCATATGCGAAAGCGAGAGGATGGTGGCGTCCCTAAGGCTATGCGTGTCGGCCCTCAAAAGTCCACGAGCACTATTCGAACCGTCACCGTGGTTGATTATCAACCCGATGTGTGTAAAGACTATAAAGGTAAGCTGACACTTTGCCTTTCGTTCACTTTCGGTTGTTGAAATAATCCCTTATCCAGAAACTGGTTATTGTGGATTTGGCGATACATGCAAATTCTTGCATGATCGTGGAAATTGCAAGTGCTTCTTTCTTTTATCTTGTCCGTCGTGGCTAATTCTCTGTGCCCATCGCTCCAGATCTCCAAGGGTGGCAGCTTGACAAGCTCGCTGCAGATCCCAAGAAGAATGCTCAGAAGGAAGAGTCCGATTCAGACGATGAAGATATCCCTTTCGCCTGCTACATCTGCCGCAAACCCTACACAAATCCAGTGAGGACTACTATTCCACGCCGCCTATACCCTTCTTTAATGTAGTCATTTATCTCTCCTTCGTCTTTAGATCGTAACACGATGCACCCACTATTTCTGCAGTGCATGTGCCATTAAACGGTTCGCAAAAACTCCCAAGTGCGCAGCGTGTGGCGCGCCAACAGGGGGCATATTTAATCGTGCAGATAAAGTGATCGCGAAGATGCGAGAGAAAGAGAAGGCGAAGAAGAAGCGAGATGGGATAGAGGGAAATGATGATGATGATGGCAGTGATAGCGCGAGTGCTTCAGGGTTGAATGTTGAATTTGGCAATTTATAATTGATTGCATTTCTTTTATAACTCATCCCCGAGTCTTGTGTCCATATCCTGTATGATCAATGAACATTCGCAGAAGGCAACTCTCAGCTCTAAACCACAAAGAGCACAATCCCCATCATCATGAATCTAAATTGAAGTTTTATAGTAGTCGACAGCGTGAAGTAAAAAAGACGGTGTGAATACAAGATTCTGCCTATATCGATAGCGTATAACATTTCCCCCTTCTCTAATCGATGTCCATCTCCGTTGGCTCATTATTGTTGACATTATTGTTGGCATTTTCTGCTGGTGTTTGCTGGCCACTGGGTGTACTGTCCCCGTTCGGAGGTTGTTGACCTTGAGGCGGCGTCTCCGTCTTTGGCTTGGGCTTAAGTTTGCTAAAGATCGGGGTGGCGAAATAGATAAGCTCCTGTCGTTTCTTTTCCACCTCTTCCTCTGTCAACACAGGGTCAACGTTCAAGGGTCGCTCCGCCTGACGAGCGACATTATCATCAAGCCACTTCTGAATATTCGCACTTTTCTCTACGACGGTCTCCTTCTCCTTCGGGTCTATATGATCGTATTTCTCATCGTTACCGGTAGCATAGGTGATGTAGGTGTCGATAGTCTCGCGGAGTTTAGAGATGACACGGGCACGGTTCTCTGCTTCGATGTAGCGCTTCGCGACGGGATCGCCGAGAGTGTGGAGTGCGTCCAGGCGAGCAACATATGCCGACTTGGCAGCATCCTCGCCTTCCTCAGTGTAAAGCCACTCCTCAGCTTCGTTGAGCGCAACCTTGAGCTTCTCAACTTCAGCAGGTTGTACATATGATCGATATTTGCCTTCAATCTTCGAACGCATATCGTAAACATACTCTTCTAGAGCATTCTTCCGCTCCTGTAGGGAGAGTTCATGTTTGATCATCACGCGTTCGTAGCTGTGCACTGACCTCAGTGTCTGAAACGAGCTTGTCACTGGCATGCATGCTGTTCTCCTGCTCCCGCAAGTTTGCAGTAATGGAAGGCTCGGTTGCTACTGAGGAGGCGACGAAAGAAAGATTGCGCTTGGTGACCTTCTTCTTCTTTTGGGGCTCTTCGCCCTCAGCAGCTGGAGGCAGCTCTTCCTCGTTCTCCTCCTGCGTGTATGCCCCTTCAAAGGACAACAAGCCATTGGCGTTGAGTCTAGTCTTGACCTTCACAGTGACAAGCTCCCCAGTCGGTGATGGGTCTTTGACGGACACCTTGCCAATCCATGGGTTGATCCTTCCGGGTAGCTTCGAAGTTTCCGCGTAAACAGCCTCAAGTTCGAATGTCGAACTTCGGGAATAAGTGAGGACTTTTGTAGAAGGTGTGTGATTACCGCGAGGGAAAGCGACCAGGGAAGTGTCACCATCAGTATCGCCCTCGGCGTGCTCCCATTGGATGCCAATGGAATATGTCGCGATGTCCGTGATAGAGAACTCTTTAAGGCGGAAAGCTGGTGATAATTGTGCGCAAGAGAAAGTAGCACCACGAGCAACGGCCTCATCGGCATTGAGGGTGTTCGATATAGGTTTGCCGAAGAACTGCTTGATACGTTCCCGAATGGCGGGCACACGAGTCGTTCCTCCGACAAGTTCGACGGAGTGAATATCTTCGACCCCGAGGTCAGCTTCCTTCAGTGCCTCCTCTAATGGTGCTGTCACGCGATCAAGAAGACTAGCGATGAACTGTTCAAAGTCCTCGCGCTTGAGTTTTGACTGTGCATCGATATCATTCATAATTGATTCAACAGAAAGTGGAGCTTCCGCGTTGGCCGACAAAACCTTCTTGAGTCGCTCACACTGCGCGGCAAGTCGGAAAGTGGCCTTGGGATTTGAAAGGACGTCAATCTTGTATTTTCCTTTGAACTCTTCGGCAAAGTGATGAACAAGAGCGTAATCCAGATCACGACCACCGAAATGTCGATCGTAGGCAGTGGACCTAACGACTAGCTGACCCTTGTTGAAGCCGACAACGGCGACGGTGTAATCGGAGTGACCAATGTCGATGAACACGACATTACGAGAGGGTTGGTCAAGTTCGGGGAGGTCAACCTTAGTGATACCATAACTGAATGCGACGGCGGTGGAATCGTTAATGATACGAAGAGGGTTCAGACTTGCTATGGCAGCTGCATCGAGGATCGCTCGCCTCTGGGCATCGGTGAAATGCCCTGGAACGGCGATGACAACGTCCGAAACTTGCTGTTTAAGCTCATTTGAAGCAATATCGCGCAGTTTCCCAAAGTATGTCGCAGCCAGCTGAGTCACCGAAAAAACCTCTGGCTCGCCAAGGTAGTTGACCTGACAGGAAGACGCGTAGTAAGGGACGTCTATCTGGCGTCCCTCGTAATGACGGAACCCACCTTAACACCGACAGACCCGTTTACGTCTGCAAGTTGAGCGGTGATAAACTTCTTCTCAATCTCTTGAATCTCGGGATCGGAATAAGAACGCCCAATCAAGCGTTTGAGTGAGCCGATCGTGTTCTTGTAGTTAGAGATCTCCAGCGTCTTGGCGGCCTCGCCGATCGCGCGTTGCTTGGGACCAAATGAGACCAGAGAGCTAAGAGCGTGAACGTAATTATATAGTTGAGCGCCGATCGGCGTCTAAGGGTGGAACAAGACAGCTTACGGCGTTGCGCGCTGGGATGATTCATTGAGAATAATATCAATTCCTTTCTTCCTTGCAACTCCGATCTACAACAAGGAAAGGAATTGTCAAAACGCGTTTTTTAGTCGACGTGTTTGGATCGGGTCACACCTTTGACGCAAGGTTACCGAAGTCAATTCCAACAACTGAAGCCATGACCACTTTTCACAAAGCCTGTGCAGATAGCAAAGGACTAGACGGAAAGCAAATCGTTTCGTGAACGTCTCGTTAAAAGATGGCGGAAGAGATGGCGGTCTCACCGCGTGAAGGGAGCGTGCCTTTTGAATCTTAGCTGACTGAATGACGGAACTTGCCAGAAAGTGATCGAAGTCCATGGAAAGCGCCCAGTTAGAGCCGCTGAGTGAAAACACCAGTGAATTCATGGTTTAATATCCTTATTTCACACGACTAACCACGACGGCAATTAGTGACCTGAATGGTCCTGCATTGTCCTGCGTTTTTTATGAAATGAGTTACCGAAAAGAATTTCTGCATTTGCATGCTGTCCTTTGCTTGTTGCATACTTTGCAGACATTACATACTTTGCATGCTTCACACACTGTGGCAACTTCCCATAGTTCCCACACTTTCCATTTTCAATAACAAACAAATTGCTTCCGATACAAGTCACGTTGTGGGTTCAATACAGAAAGTCACATGCTACAGAGTGTGACTATTTCCACAGGGTCAAACACAAGTCCGATTGGGCCAGGTTAATGTTGGGTGGGGTTAACTAATTTTTTTCTGGGTTGGGGAGATTAGAGCTTTAATGGCTGGATAGTGATGGAGCACAGCCATACTACATTTTACAAAATTCCGGAAAAGGTGATTGGACTTGGGTCACATTGTCCAAAATTCCCACTACTCCGTAGTGGGTCCTACGTTTTTTTCTCCCAAACTCAATTGTCCTATGCACAGGGTCCTGTATGACCCCCAAACCCAGGGTCCATTCTCTGCCATACAGTTCTATCTGCTCACTGCATGCTGCATTATTGGTCCTGAATCAGAGTGTGTGGTTTACAGAGTGAGAACAAATCTCGGCTTCATCTCAGCCAATAGCACGTTGCAGATCTGCGTTCAGCGGCATTAGTTATCAAGGTCATCATCTCATTTACGAATAGCCACTCTGTAGCATGTGATTTCTGTATTGAACCATTGATTGCATCGAACATTTGTTTTTATTGAAATGAAAGTGTGGAACTATGAATTGCCAGTGTGTGAAGCGTGCAAGTATGTATGTCTGCAAGTATGCCACAAGGACAATATGCAAATGAGAATTCTTTTCTATTTCATGTTTTTGCTCTATACCACAGAGGCTGGCCACCGCCTACGTTTCTGCAGATTTTGGCGAATTCTGAGTCATTGTGTCTTCATGCGCATGTGACGGTGACGGCAGTTCCCTTCGCGCGCGCTCTCGCGTCGTGCTGTGCGAGTTTATCTCGCCTTGCACCTGCTCCGCATTGCGGAGTCTCACTGTCCCACTGCTTGCTGCGCCAGTTCAACTTGACTTCCCTCCTCCCATTTGTATTGCCTGTCTGTGTATGTCCCGATCTATAGAGGCTGGAGTACTCATGTCCCTCGTTGTGTTTGCTTCTGCTCGTCTCCGCTTTTCTCGCTGAACCGTTCTTGTGACCCCGTGCATTTGCATCGTATTCCTGCATTCATGTAATCCCTTTGTACATTATCGGGCACACAAGTCGCATAATACTCGCGCGCCTATCGATGGGCCGGGTTCCGAACGTTCTCACTGAGTGCTTACACCATCCGACAAGATCACAACAAAATTGAACTGACAAAATTCGACAAAAGAGTGAAAGATAAAAGAAAATCCATGCAGACGAGGAGAGTAAACGTGCAAGAGTAGGAAAACGATGATAAAGAAACCGAGTGAAGGATAGTGTAATCTTTCGACGGAAGCGCGGAATCGAGAAAGTATTTCTAAACCATCCATAATCCTCCAAATGCGAGCAGCTTCGTAGAAGGAATCAGGAGCGTCAGACGCAGAATTGACTAACTCCTGAGAAGCGGATTAGTTGAATTGGTCCGCAGGCGCTGGCCGGCCACACTGTAGGGCCGCAATCAGATGTTGGGTTACAAGTGGAAGAGGAATAACGCTACCTGATCCGGTGGACTGGGGACATTTTCATTCACACCGACAGTCTCGACTAAATTTAGGGACTCCTCAGAGAGCCGGGGATCATGGGCCATCGTCTCATGCAACGTAGCCTTCTCATCAACATACGCAGGAGGCTCGACTGGGAGTAAAATGGCCGTTTCCTCTGCGGTCCCTAGGCACCGATGGGAACGATTGCGCCATGCACGAACGATGAGGAGACAGAACATGAACAGTATACGGATCAAAGACCCAATGCCGCATCCAAACACGAAGGCAACAGCTCTGGACTCCCATTTCCCGAGAGACCTAATGGCTCGATCCAATCTGTTCATAAAAGGCTGATTCTTGTGATGATTGTGGAGCGCCACGCGAAAATACTGCACTACGTTAGGATTGAGAGGGCCAACAAAGGGGGAAGGCGGAAGGGTTTCCCCGGAATGCGGTAACGAATTGTGCATGCTAGGTCCTGAGGTCTGCACACTGCTCGACGGTTGACTGAAAGAAGGGAGTCCAAGGGCACTCGCAAGACGTTGCAACTTCTCCGAAACGCCCTTGCAACCGAACTTCTTATCAGGTTGGATGGTTGTAATGATCCTATAGTCCTCGATGCGACCAAGACCAGCAGCATGTCCAAGGCGAAATTCGAGAATCTTAGCCCTGACGCTACCCACAAACGTAGGTCCAGAGTTAGGAAGTGCATCGATCGGGGCGGCGCCTGCGCTCGCGATAGCTGAGAGACACCAGCAACACGCCGTTGAGTCAGATTCTGCAGGAAGCGCTGGGCACTAACCTAGAGCCGCAATGAGTGCAGCAAGATGAGCAAAGATTTTCATGACCAATATGCAAGTTTAAGACAGAAGAGATCACGTTGGGCGTAAGGTTGGTAACAGGATGGAGAGTTAGCTGGAAGTGCTGTTGATGTCGTCAAGCTAGGGATCACATGCCTCGGGAATTCCCTTCCAAATATAGAAGGTACCTTGCCATCAGAATGGCTGGTGCTTTGAGAAACGTCATTAGGACAAAATTAAGAGTTGCGATGATACCCGCCGATGGAGTTGGGCGCGAGGTCTTGCCAGTATGTCGCGTCCCCCATGCGCATGAGGACTCATCCCAACTCTCTGGTGGAAGGCAGCCAGATCCGTTCTTGAAGCTTTAGGAACTGCTTTACCCAAGCTCGAATTTACGCATCTCGATGCTGGATTTGAGCATTTTACGAAATATGGCACTGCTTTGCCTGATGAGACGCTCAGGTGTGTCATGCTATTTTAGGCGTTGTGGGAGTTGCTAAGCATGTCTCTGCACGAGAACAGGGTCTTAAGAGAGGAGTCAGACTGCGCAATGTTTGGCGCCGTCAGGTAGGCTCTAATGGCTGGTTTGTGTTTCTTAAGTTTGCTCATCTCCCCAACAGCTCCCCATCTCGGCGTGTGGCAGGATATTCGTCTCCGATCGTCGCAATGCGCAAGGCATTAGACTTGTACGCCAACATTCGCCCTGTCAAATCTGTTGGCCTTTACAATTGCGCTTTGCCGAATAAATATGAATGTTCAATTTTCCTAGGTAGCGGATTTACCAGGAGAAAGATCCAATATCGACATGGTCATAGTCAGAGAGAACACTGAATGCTTGGTGAGTGGTCTGTCACTCTTGTGATTGCATCTCGCTCAGTTGAAATATGAGTATATTAAAGAAGAAACTCTGACTCTGGGCTCGGTCGGGAAAGAGGCGCGTGCCACCCGTCTTATCACTGAACGAGCCTCGAGGCGAATAGGCCAGATGGCATTTGAAACTGCTTTAGCGCGTGGTCCCTCGGTGCGTCAAAGCCTATCTTTCTGCGGCTCTCGATCTATAATGGCTCACCATAATTTTTTAGCCCCTTCTGACCATTGTACACAAGTCAAATGTCCTGTCGGTAACGGATGGTCTGTTCCGGGAGACTGTCCGAAGCGTTCCATCGCTCCCAGGTATCGATGGGAGGTATGATTGTGTAAAGGTGGAGGAGCAATTGGTGGACAGCATGGTGTACCGGTGAGGTTCAGTCCAGTATTCAACGCATCCGTTGCTTAACTTTCTCCAGAATGTTCCGAGAGCCACAGTAAGTCGCTTGTGTCCCAGGAGCCTAATGCGTTCATTAAGACCCTATCTCAGGGTGTTTGATGTCGCTGTTGCACCGAATATGTACGGGGATATTATTTCGTAAGGTCCTACACCCATTTCCCCGGAACATCCCTTACGTGATGCCGAGCAGGGACGCAGCAGCAGCATTGGTGGGATCTCTGGGTCTCGTTCCTTCGGTCAATGCAGGCGACAACTTCATAATGGGAGAGCCGTACGTGCACAGTGTCTTTCCCGACCCTTGCCATTATGCTAATTATTGCTATGTCCAGAGTCCATGGATCCGCACCAGATATTATGGGGCGAGGTATCGCGAACCCTCTCGCCTCCATTCGGTAAGTTCAGGCTGGAGCATGTATCATGCCCAATCCTCATCATGGGTCCCTGTAGTTCCGCTGCCCTTATGCTCGTACACCTCGGATACGATGACCAAGCCAAGCGGGTAGATGACTCGGTTGATGCGGTGCTGAGACGAGGCGACGTTTTGACTCCTGATCTGGGGGGAAAGAGCACGACACAGCAAGTAGTCGACGCTGTTTTGAAGCAAATATAAAGCTCGTATTGGTTGGCAGCCAACGACAGGCATCCAGCCTCTGCTAAGTCAGTGTGCTTGTGGCTGAACCAAGCCTCCCCATGCGATGAAGTTTAATGTGGGACTTCGGTCTATGCTTTTCATATTATGGTTATGAGCAACAAATTGAGTCACCGACGTCCCAATTGGACAATCAATTTATTTGCTGTTTCGACTTCTCTCTGTCATTCGTTTTCGATATATCACGCCCGCAGTGAACTCATCCTCTACGTCGAGCAACTTGTTGTACTAAGGAGCAGTGTGGGTCTTGTCATCAACAACTTGCGCGTGACTTAGATTGACACGTCGTTCGCGGCTTCTCCCTGAAGTTCTACTCCACATGTCGACGACAACCCCAACTACTGCTGTACCAAATACGACCCCTAAGGCTACCAATGGTCACCCTCGACCTTTGAACTCAAAATCGAGACCCTTAAGTGCTGTTTCACCAAACAATGTGCTGTCGGGTCTTCCAGCACACAAAGAGATCAAACGTCACACAAGCCAACCCATCCTGAATTGGTTTCACCGAAAGATCTCAGGAGGCAAGCCGGGGTCACGCAAAAGGCGTGGAAAACAGCTGAACGACACGGTGAACCAAGCAGACACTGAGCTTGATCAGGCGCAAAACCCTGACGGAACAGTTCGAGGCGCTGCATCCAACGCTGGCCGCCGTAGTTTACATCTCCATATTCCGGAAAGTCCACTTCGCCTCACTCAGACAACTGTGAAAACTGTAGTTGAGCAGGAGAATGTGAAACTTCATGGACACCCAGAGACCTCGATCCATTCCAGGGCCGGATCTCTTGGTCCAAGTCTGAATTGGTCTGCCAGGGAACCCGGCGAGGCAGATGATGATGCTTCCATTCGGCCGATACCTCCCTCAATACCTCCCTCTCCTGTGCCTTCTCGCTCGACTCACAGTTCGTCAGCAACAAACACATCTGCAGCATGCACAACTGATCATCTGCAAACCTCCCAATCCATTGGTCCCCCAAGCACAAAGCCTACCACTGTCATGTCTATGGATCTTGGTCCTGGTGGCCATATCGCTCAGGTCCTTCCGTCGCAATCTTCTGTTTTAGGTAGAAATGCTCTAATAACAGCGTCGCCCGCCCCAAGCCCATCTTCATCAAGATTTCCCCACCCGAGGTCTTCAAATGCTCTTGCCTCAGTAAGCGCCTCTGTCTCATTTAACATGGGCCCAAGCGGTGCCTCTGGCCCAAATCGGCAGGCTCCCCCACCCACATATGCAGTAGAAACGCCAACAACTAGTACAACAACAAGTACAAGTATGACTGTGCCGGTCGCTGGAGCCAAACTGCTTACGCATGCACCCGGTCTTACTCACTTTCATCCCAAAAATAACCCGCGACCAGCCTCTCCACCTCTGGACAACGCAAGCACTCTCACGCTTGCCTCCTCTAACTTTGCAATGTCCCATACTTCTCCACGATCACGATCCATTGCAGCTGACAGGGACCTCGGGGATACGAACGCAAGTATGCTGGCATTGAGACCCAGCAGCAGACGTAGCAGCTGGGGTAGTGACGAGACTGGGTGGAGTGCTACTGGGCAAAGCACCCACACAGGGATCAGTGCTGCTGGTCCCGGAGGACTGTTGAATATTGGGTCTAGCATTGGGCCGAGGCGTCGTGGCACTGGCTCCATTGCGACGGCTTGGAGCTATCGCACCGGAGGTACAGGACCTCTTGATCAGGCCGTCGACGGAGAAGAGCAGGTGACAGAAGAGGATTTGGGTACACATGACCAGGGGTCATTAATGTGTGATGCGTGTTCGGGCCATATCACGCCCACGGAGGATGTCCTATTCGATTTGCCAGAATCTGTCGAATGCATGCGACCTGAGGACATTCCTCTCCCAGCTTCTCCGATTCTGGACGCGGAATGACACACCTCTACCCCGGGTTGAGTGGAATTGACGCCGATTATTGACCCAATCCCCCCGTTCAGGAGTTTGACGGTTTCTAGCCTTGTCGCTTGCTACATGGTTTTCTCTCATTGCGTTGTTGCCGATCTTTTCATTCTAATTGAAGTCTGATGTCCCTTGTAGCATAAGGTTTCTTCCTTTTTCCTCTGCTTCTGCAGGCGGAGGTGGCTGTGTAGTTGCATGCTTCCCAATCTACCGGATTTAGACGGTGCCCATTGTTGTCCGTTTGTCTAGATGGCCAGTCAACCCGGGAAGCTTTTACCATGGGATTTGTTCCTAGTTGAGCCCTGCAAAAGCGATCGCCATATATCCCAACTGGTGTGCGTGAAGACAGCTCACCGACCCCCAAGAAATCGTGAACGTCCCTGCGACGACGTTCAATGGCGAATTCTGATTGCCATACTCTCAAAATTCTTAGTCTTTTCAACAAGGATTATTATCAAGGAGCCAGCAAACACCTTTGGCGCACATTCACTTTCGTGGCTTCTTCCCAAGGACTGTATCCCAGAGATTACTTGTGGAAAGAGTGCACATCATCATGTGCTGGGGCCGATTCTTGCGCGTCCGGCAGCTTCGTATTTTCATCGATTGCCTAATGCTCGCGAATGAGGACCAACCGGAATTCGATTTAACACTTGACAAGGTATTTTCGACCTGCGCTATGACCAAGTCCCTCAACATCCGTACCTGGTATCATTCTTCCAACGTTGATCATCTTTCCCTTCTGACTGCTGCTCTAACTGGGACACCGAGCATGAGTGTTTTACACGATTCTCAAGTCATTGCTGTAACTTGATTCGGACGAAATTTACACAGCATATTATGAAGTCTTACGCTACTTGGAACTACACCTTTGAGCGAACGCTCCGTAGGTAAAATCTGAAACCTCCTTCTCCCTTCTTGCTTTCCAGTTTTCACCGCTGCAAAATTGTCGCTAGCCTTACTTCATCAATTCCCTTTATTTTCCATTCACACAAGCTTATCTCGGTCAACGTGCTATCCCATACATTCCCTCTCATCATATTCTGTCATTAATCGTTTGTCTCCACTTTATGTGCATTGTGTCTCATTCTTGGTGCGCTCATTACGTTTTGCGATGGCTTGTTTCACCGCTGCGGGGGGACGATTCTTGTCCGTGCACGCGTGTCAACCACGATTGGCCTTGAGTCTATTTCCAAATCGAGCAACGAAGCTCACGGAGAATGGTCATCGCCGTACAGCCACAGGCTCATTTGAAATCCGAAGGGGAATTTGCCCGCATTTCACGAACAGAATCTCTCGTACGTCCCGCTATCAGCGGTAGCACTTGAGCGGACGTGTATCTAACAATATTTCCACTCATTCCGTACAACAGTCACACCTAGACAAACAAGCCGTTGTGTGATGTCACATCTTCTCCATAGGGGCCCAGCGATCCGAGCCGTGAGTTTATTCCCTCGATCTTGCTTGGGAAACCCGCACATATAAGGCATAGGCGGTCCCAGAGTGAAAGTGCTTTATAATACGCTTGTTCACAGTCCAATTAACACATGCAAGCTCTTCCACAGGCTACCCCGGTGAGACTGCGAAGCCCTGTCCCATACGATATCTGGGCGGCCGTCGTGGCATTTGCGGATTTCTACACGCTAGCTGCGATCAGTCTCGTGTGCAAGGAGCTCAAACACGAAGCAGCTAAGCATCTTTGGAGGTCATTCACCCTCCGCGTAGATCCAAGGTGAGTTGTTCTTGCTGCTGTACCGGACCTAGTGGTGGTCTCACCGGCATGCGACGCCAGCTTTGATGATATCTGGGGGAGGAGGCACCTGGAGGAAGGGTGTGCAATCATTCTGACTGAGCGGCGCTATCTGCGTGTGCAAAACATCCGCATCGACATTCAATCAGCATTAGGGGCTGAATTGGAGCCCGAAGTTGACAAGACGCTGAGAACCATATTCCATACCCTCCATCATTGCAGTAGTCTTCGCTCGCTATCAATAACCTCAGCTCATCACCGAACCAAGATTGCGCGGTCACTTTCACTTCAGCCATTTGCCTTCACGAAGCTCCAGCATTTTTCCACCGACTTGTTTTGTGATGAGAACTTACACGGTTTCTGGGGCAGGCATCAGCAGCTCACATACATCGAATTGCGCGCCGTCGACCCTGGGATATCAAACGTTCCATCACCCCTCCCGTCTCTAGAGGGTATTTACGCCAGTCTCGCTCATCATACTGCTGTCATTCCTGGATCGCCCGTCAAGTCGGTTCATATCTCCGGACTCTGGGAAGGCGAGTGCACCCTACTCATGCACAACCTGGAACAAAGCACGTCGCCTGGTGGTATCCAACATCTCTCCATGGAGATATTCGATACAGAAGTGACAGCCCACCCTTACACCTCAATCATTGCAAACCTCCCTCATCTCAAATCATTATCTGTGACTCATGGTGATATGGCGGACCGTGATGATCGGGCTGCCGCTATAAATGCCCTATGTCAACTACAAGAACTCGAGGTGTTTGAATGGGGGGGAGGAAGCGCAGCAGGTCAGGCGGATATTTTTGCCGCTTGCTCGAAGAACTGCAAGTCCCTGAGGCAGATTAGCTTTCGCTGGGGCAACTATTTCCAGAGGAAGTTTGTCAGGGATAGCGAACACGCTGCATGGGGGATTGTGAGACAGTGACGACGCGAAGACGCTATTCTATTATGTTCAGATGGCACGGAGGCTTTTTGACCCATCCTAGTCTGTTTCCGATCCCGTTTTCCTTCGGATTCAGTACTGGTGATATTTGCACCACTAATTAGTAATAGAATATCCTCGCCTTTTAATGCCCCGCACCAGTACTGACCGCTGCCGAGAAGCCTTCCGTCGAGAAGGAGAGTTCCCGAACAGAGACCGTGAGAATGTTACGCTCGCCGATTTGAATGCATGCTGCAACAAGGCGTCAACACAGATACATCTTGTTTGGTTAATTGCTTGAGTTTTGTATGCTTGAGCCTTTGGAATTGTTAACACAGCTGAAACTATTTTGATCGAGCTTGGGCATTTTCACTGGATCTTTGATTAGTCCAGATTCTGACAAGGACACTATAAAATATGCCGGAACGACTCTTTGTTCGATCTGGTTTCTCCCTGAATCCGTCTTCCTCTGTTTGAAGCCATCGAGGGCAGGCAGCCGATTCTATTTTCTAATTTCGACTATTTTTTGGCTCTTGTGTGGCAACACAATCGGTCGAGTTGTCACACCCTTGGTATCATGGCATCTGAAGGCGTCTATCAGGCCTTACTCGGCACCCCAAAGAAGATGACAAATAGGTATCCTAGATGGGCGGTAGGTGCGCCTATATTGTATGCCACGTCTGCCCTTGCGTCTTTTGGAGGTGAGTAGGACTGAATCATTCCCCCGCGCATTTGTTGTGGGCCAAACTTCCTGATAACTACCTATTTTCAGATGCCATGTTTGGTTACAGTCAAGGAACCATTGCTTCGATTCTAGTGCAACCTCCTTTCATTCGTGACATATTCGGTGTGAACGTTACACTCGAGCAAGTCAATAACCTTGAAACTGGTGTTAGTGATACGACGCAGTCTATCACAGCCTCATGTTTGAACTTGACTGCCCTCTTCGCTGTAGGTCTTCCTTTCAATTAGCCAAGCACTACTTGCAAGTCTACTGACCCATATTATGTTGTATATTAGGCTCTCGTTGCTGCTGTTTTATGCGATATGATTGGAAGACGGCACGTCGTCCGTCTTGGGGGCATTATCTATCTCATTGCCTCTATCGGTGCAGCGCTATCAGATAGCTTTGCTGTATTCATCTTCTTTCGCTGTATACAGGGTATTGGCGTTGGTTTCCTGTCTATGAGTGTCCCAATTGGTAAGTTTGTGGTGTCGTGGTTAGCCATACACTGTTACCTAATGACCATTGGGGATTTCGTTGCTTCCAGTTCAAACCGAGATTGCAGGCGATCATGCTCGTGGCCGCATGATCTGCATCGAGTACATTTGTCTTAACTCGGGATACTTGCTCTCTGCTGGAGCTGGATGGGGTCTTTTCCATTATGTCAACTCAGGAACTATATCCTGGAAGGCGATGTTCATCATTCAAGGGGGCTTGGCGATTATTCTGATATTTGCTTCGTTCTTTATGCCTGAAACCCCTCGAGTATGTCATTGCTCATATCATTTTTCAACGTTTATTCACTCCCCTTACGTTTAGTGGCTCGTCAGGAATGGTTTCGAGAATGAAGGTCTTCAGACTCTCGCAGACCTGCATGGTAACGGTGACGTTACCTCGCCCGAGATCGTAACAGCCTTCAAAAAGATGAAGCTCATCATCCAGATGGAAGATGACGCCAAACAAGCAAGCTGGCGTGATCTCTTCACCAAGTTCTGGCGTCAAACTCTCATGGGAGTTTCAGGCCAAATGTTCGCTCAACTAAATGGTATCAACGCCGTATTATTCTTCTTACCAATCATCCTCATACGATCGGGGAAAACGGTGGAGGAATCACTGAAATTTTCGTTCATCGCTGCTTGGTGTTATTGTGGAGGGACGGTGCCCGCCATGTGGGGTGTTGAATGGAGTCGGAAGAAATGGTTACTAGGGACCACTCTCGCATTAATCGTTGCGTTGTCTGTTATTGGAAGTACGCAACTTGTTAGCGAGGGATTTCCTCGTGGGCCAACGAAAACCGAGTATTCTAACGTGATCTTTTCGTTCTTCTGTATCTGTGAGTTGTCTTTCTTCCTCTCAATCCCTCTTGATGCGAGAGTCACTGGATTGACAGTTACTTGGTAGATCTCTTCGCATTTGGCGCGGGATGGGGTCCAATCCCTTGGCTTCTCCCAGCCGAAGTTTTCCCGATGTCTGCCCGCGCCAAAGGCGCAGCACTTAGCACCTCCGTCAATTGGACCTTCAACTTCCTGGTAGCATTCATAACCCCTATCGCCTTCAAGAACATTCAAGCCATATACTACTTTGTTATCCTCGCATTGGTATGTTTATCTTTCCTGTTCGTATGGGCTTATTACCGTGAAACGGCCCATATGAGCTTAGAAGATATTCAAGTTGTATTTGAGGATGTGTATGAGGGTCCTAGGAAGTTTGTACCTGATTTCAGGAGCAAGCCTCATGGCATGGCTGGCACGAGCAAGGATGCGGAGGCACCTGTGGTGGAGAAGGTGTTTCAGCTCCCGTCATCGAATGGGATAGGCGTACAAGACGCAGGAAAGAGGGTGTCCTGGCTGTCTACAGATGGGGAAGGGGGCGGTAGCAGCTCGAGAGCTGGATCAAGCACGATGGGAGAGAATTTGCTGGAAGTGATGAATGAGATTTTGAGCAAAGCGAGCTGGACAGATCAAAATACAGAATTGTTGGACATTCCACTCCATGATGGCGAGAGGGAGGGGGACGGGGCAAGCTTCGCCTGAGAATTATGTAAACTCTCTAGGATGTGTTTAACCTGCATGCAGTCAGAACCCTCGGCCGATTCTATATCTATGTAACGTGTGCTTATTTTTGGATTTTCCCCTTTGCCAACTTGTCCGCTGGACTCACCGGACGGGCCCTGGGCAGTAACGTTGAAGAGTGGAAGAGAAGCGGCACTACACGAAGAAATAATACAGCATGGAGGTGGCAGTGGCTACGTCACGGTGGGTAGGAGGGATCAGGCGCGTTTATTCGCCTGAGACCTACGTGAATTTCCCAGAGATGCCATTGGCATGTATGCAGTCTGTCCTCAGAGGCCAAAGAGACCTTGGCTGATTTGTCTATGTATCGATTGTATGTGTAACGTTGAAAACGTGGAAGGGAGGCGTTGCGCGCATCATATTTACATGGACTCATAAAATACAGCAATTGATATGCGGAATCAATGGTGTGCAGACCCTCAATGAGTGCGATCTAGACATCCCAGGCTATAGGGAAAACAAAAAATAAACACCAGGGGTAAAGTAGTACCTCTTCCTTCTTGATGACTCGCAATTCACCAGGAGAAACGACATTTCCAAAGGCAGCAATCACTCGTAGCGATATCCACCGTCTGGCCAATCTTTGACTTGGTCGCAATCCAGTACTAAATTTTCTCTGGAATGACCTCAATAATGCTAACTCGAGGATCGGTCTCATTTCTCATGTGAACACCGTCACCCAAATCTCCAAACCAAGCACGTGCGCTGGTGTTCCACAGTCTTTTGATTCTGTCATGGTCGGAGGAAAGTTTGGCAATTCTGGCGACGGAAATCCAGTTAGTAGTGGAAGGGTCGTAAAAAGAGACGTCCACGTGAGGGTCGTGCTCTAGTTCTTCCTGTTGACGAGTTAGAAGAGTTGGAGTGTAAAGAGAATGCTGGCATACGGATTTTCCGGATGAAATGCAGGACTTCATCTGGTGAATAAAGGTAGAACTCGATTGACTGGAGGAAAGAAATCCGGGTCGACTTGCAATTAACGGAAGCCATCACCCTCGAATGTAGGAAACCGTCCTGTCCACGAGTAGTGAGCATTGAGGACTTGGTAATCCTAAAGCCATCAATCTTTTCCTATGGCTTTTTGGTGGGCTGTCTTGGTGGAAGTGGTGTCAAAAGTCGGGGAAATGAGGCAAGAAGTTGGAGGAGAGACGAGGGACTGAGATAGACTATACACCGTACCCTCCTGGAGCAGAGAGCGACGTCATTATCCGCACACGTCAATCTCGAGTTCGCGTCCGGGTCCAAGTGTCAGAGCTGTCACTCTCAAATTTTCCCACAGAGCATTGACTATTCAGACCAAAGAACGATTCAAATATTTGCGGGCCCAGTACCATCGGGTCTGGGGAAAGAGGTGGACATGCCCCTAGCCATGGCTTGGCTATAGCTAGGACTTAAAAGAGTCTGGGAATCCAAGTGGTGGGATAAATTTGTAAAAGGCAAGCGGCAGGTCGGCGTTTGCCGGAAACACCTTGACATCGCCTTTCAACGTGTTTGTGCAGTATTCCTTCTGGGTTCCCCATAAAAGGGGTTTCGTTAGCTCTTGGAATAAGAGAAACCTAACTTGTGGTGGAAAGTGACTGTTTTGTGCGACGACAGCGGGCCGACACGATGATTTTAGCGCGTCATCCAACTACCAGCAGCGGCTCTATTCTCTTCTTCTCTTTATTGGCTTCTTTGTCATGGGTGTCGGATACTCATGCGTTCTATCTTCCTGGTGCTGCTCCGAGAGACTACTCAGCCAAAGAACGAGTCCCTGTACATGTCAATCGACTAAACCCACTTGTTGGCGCTCAAGATGCCAAACTTGTAAGTGGTATAATGCCCAGCACCCAGTGAATCCAGATGGTTCTCATCGGCGGAAATTTATATTTTTTTTTGTCGTGCTTTCCTTTACCCTGCGCACTCTTGATGGTCGCTCTCATCATGCACTCGACTCGCTTTCTCGATATTCCAGAAATCCATGATTAACTGTATAGTTTCCATCTCCCACCTGCGGAGAGAGGACCGTCGCTAACCACTACTTCCGGTCGCCTGCCAAATCTTCTAGATGATTATTACAATCCGTCATTTCACTTCTGCCAACCCGATGGTGGACCGAAGCGCCAATCGGAATCTCTTGGATCTATCTTATTTGGCGACCGTATTTTCAACTCTCCTTACAACGTATGTATCCCCCCATTGGTTCTCCTTGCCTCAATTTCCCTTCTTTTCCAATGCCAAGTCGCAACTACCCTTCCTGTCATGCACTCCCCGGACGACTCGCTTACCTAATCTCACACAGATAAAAATGCTGGAAAATTCGAGTTGTGTTTCCCTCTGCAAGTCGACCGTTCCTCCTCAAGACGCCAAATTCATCAACGATCGTATTAAGGAAGATCAAGCGATTAATTGGCTCGTGGATGGATTGCCCGCTGCTGAGATGAAGAGGGATGAGAAAAGTCGGACGATTTTCTATGATATCGGGTTCAATTTGGGAAATGATGAGGCAAAGTTCCTGGAGACGCCGGCGTTGCATAATCATTATGATGTGTTGCTTCGGTGTGTGCTTACACTTCTCTGTTCATTGACTTTTCTGATCGTTTTACTTAGCTATAATACGCAGGATAATGCGCACTACCGAGTCGTGGCCGTTCTCGTTTGGCCGAGGTCGTACGTCCATCTGTGCTTATCACCCGACCTTGTCCCACATAAAGCTGGATTGTTAGGATTGATAATTCCGGGGAATCAACACCATCTTGCTCGAGTAAGAAGGCATTGATTCTGGACGAGAAGGGGACGAATGAATTCCATTATACTTACACGGTCTCTTGGGAGGTTGGTATCGCTTCACTCTGCGTCTCGTGTTTCTGTACAAACTAACTGAACACTCTACACCTCATCCTGCTTCATAGGCGTCAGAGACGCCTTGGGCAACTCGCTGGGACAACTATCTCCACCTCTTTGACGAGCGTATTCATTGGTTCAGCTTGATCAATTCCATCGTCATTGTTGTCTTCCTTTGCGCGATGGTGTCCATGATATTGTGGCGTACTGTTGCTCGTGATGTAAGCCGGCTGACTATTTCCTAGCAGATGACATCTAGAGGGGGCTCATGAACTTGTTCTGATCCGCCACACAATTGCAGATTGATAGGTATAATGCCATAGACCTTAGCGTAAGCATTCGGTGTTCACTTATTCATCGTGTTTCGTACTGAAAAGCCTTGTTGGATACAATTAGGAGGATGTCCAGGAGGACTTTGGTTGGAAACTTGTTCATGGAGAAGTTTTCCGTTCGCCGAGATGGCCAATAGCACTCTCAGTGCTCATTGGAAATGGCGCTCAACTTATCGCCATGACAGGCATCACTCTCGGTATGCTGAGGCGTACAATTGGATGAAATTATCATTTTCCTAATATTATTTGAACAGTCTTTGCCTTAATGGGTTTCCTTTCACCCTCGAATCGTGGCTCCTTAGCAACTGTGATGCTTATCTTCTGGACACTCTCTGGAGGGTATGTTCAGCATTTCTCTTCGTTTTCCGCACCATTTGGAACGTTGTGTGACATTCGCTGAGGCATATACGCATGGCACTCCATTAAACAGAGTTGGAGGATACATCTCCGCTCGTACATTTGTTTCCCTAAGCCCGAATGGGGAGTGGAGACGGAACGCTTTCTTTGCTGCTACTGGATTGCCGACGTGAGTTTGAAATCCCCTTCCGACTATCGCCCATCACAATTTGTTGAGACCGGGATGATGTTATAGGTTTATCTTTGGGTTCATGTTCCTTATTAACTTGTTCCTAATCGGAACTGAATCTGCCGGTGCTATTCCTTTCGGTATGTAGAATTTCTCGTTGCTGTCAAGGTCTTGGCCTACAAGACAATGTTCATTCTCTCTCGGTGTGACAGGGACTATGTTGGTTGTCCTTCTTCTATGGGTGCTCATTTCCGTTCCACTGTGTGTCATTGGATCTATTGTGGGACAAAGACATGGCGTGCGTCTGGTTTCATTGTCTTATGTTCGCGCAATATTTACACTGCTGCCGTCGTTTTCTTTAGCCCATCAGCCACCCCGTCCGCGTCAACCAGATCCCACGACAAGTCCCTCCCGGACCAAGGTACCTTAAACCGTACTGGGCCAGTTTGCTCGGTGGTATTCTGCCTTTCGGTTGGTGTTTTACAATACGGAGATCACAAACCCCAGTAGGCTCACGTTAGCTTTCACTAAGGCGCCGCTTTTGTCGAGATGTTTTTCATGCTTTCGAGTATGTTCGCTTCGAGGGCGTATTACGCATTCGGATTTGTCGCTTTAACGGCTGGCGTGGTCGCGCTTACCACTGGCACTGTCACCATTCTGTTCACATACTTCATTCTTTGTGCTGAGGAGTACAGGTACGTTTCGCTTAGTTCCCCGACGTCAAATGCTTGAAACTTCTCTGGATCCTAGATGGCAATGGCGCGCGTTCCTTGTCGGTGGAGGGAGTGCGGCATGGCTATTCCTGTATGGCATTTATTACTACATGACTCAACTACAGTTGTCGTTCGCGAGTACCGTCGTGTACTTTGGATACCTTTCGCTCCTTGCACTTTTGGACTTTTTAGTGACGGGGACGATCGGATTCGTAGCTTCGTAAGTGTTACCATTTTTCTACATCCAAGGGTCCTCACCTTCCGAATCATTTTGTACGCAATCGTTCCCGTTTATAACCAGGTACTGGGCTGTGCGGAAACTGTACAGTGCCATTCGTATCGATTGAGAGAGACTACTTGCAGACGGCATCAGGTGACGCTGTGTAATGTGCATGAAGTCTCTGCTCGCTAGATGATGTAATTATATATTTTCATCAATAGACCAACTATTCTTATCTGGGTTGATTCGTTGAGGGATCGGCGAGCTGATTGATCAGACAAGCAATATAGCAAAGTGCCTCGATCAAATCAATTGCTCCACCTAAATGAACTCCGCGGAACAGTCGTTACATCAGCCTCAATATAGGAGTTCCTGCGAGTGTGCCATGAGTCATTGATCAAGTTTGGCCTGAGACACGAGGCTTCGGTATGAATTAACTGATGAACTGATCACAATTACAGTTGAAACCGTGATAGGCCATACCTGAGATAACCCATAACCTGCCATAACCCATAGGAATTTCCGGGAACCGCTACGGTTCCTATCAAAAACCAGACCCTAACCTATAAACCTGCCATCCCCCATAACCCATAACGTGAATGGGGATTTTTATATTGAAATTTGATCTGTAACCCATAGTATGTGACATGTAAATGTTTAGTGACAGTTAATAATCATGGAATGACACAGAAAATATTATGAAAAGTGGGTATCCTTAATAGGAGAAATAGGATGAGTATTGTGGAACTGGTAAACAAGTCATCCACATCTTGTGTGCAACGGGCGACTCAGAAACAATAGAGTAGCGTGGCAATGACCCCGACAAATGTTGATCTGATGATAACATCTTAAATGCCGTGTTCAAGGCCTGGAGAAACAAGGAAATGGACAGCATGGTGGAAGGGGACTGTGAGTTGATGATCCTGATGACAATATGCCAATTGTCTCATGTCAAGAAGCCCAGTTTGGGTGTGAGACTCACCACCAAGCCCAATCATCACTCTGGAGCAGCACACTTGATTCCTTGTTGCATAGAGGAGCTCAATAGACATTTATGTATATACATGAATTGCCCCAATCCATTGCAGAGCGAATTTCCGGCGATATTGAGATACCCCATAACCTGCCATAATGAAAGGTTATCTTACTATTTTGTCACGACCATGCACTCTGACCCGGATGCCAGCCCCTTTTTGTTTTGTTTGTCACCTGACCCATTCAGTTTCCTTACTATATATATATATGTATATTACATTATTATAACTTTAGTCTGAATATCGACATGGTTTGTCCCCCCTAACAAGGCAGCCCAAGCCACTTCGAAATGTGGGCACTGAGACAGTAGGTGGGCACAGCGCTCTCTTGGAGTCGCTGAGGCTGAAGCCCAACCCCGGAGCCTTGTCCCGCCAGTCGTCCCCGTTTGCTGACCCGTACCTAACATATTTTGGGGATGGTAACGTTCCGTTCCCCCGTTCGCCTCAGGCCTCAGTTAGTCCGTCTAAATATAAGCTTAAATGTGCTGTATATTCAATGGGGTAGAGGTAAAAGGCTACCAGGCCTTTACAACTACTCCGAGGTATATATATGTAATTTACATATCTTGGCACAAATAAATAAAGAAAGAACAGCATCACTATAATCGGAATTATAGTGAAGTAAGGTTAATCCCTTACACATAACCCATACTAGGATCTGGGAACGCAAGGGTATGGGTTATCACGGTTTCAACTGTATGACATTCTGTAATAACGGGCTGCCTAATAACATGTCGCACTCTGATTGCTTTGGAGTGCATGGCATGTGCGAATGTGTGGGCAGGGTACAAGACTGTCTGCTGGATCCACTGTCAAGTATAATACATGTTCTGATCATGTTAGTGATCAGGGCCGAAATGTTAACATCAAAGTGTTAGAATTCTTGGTATTATGGTGTTCGCTATGACCAACTCACGTTTGGTGATGTTGAGTCATGTGGCGTTTAGATTTACACCTATTGCCTTTCTTGGTGGCGTCCATGCCAAAGTCAGTGCGCATTCATAGTGCCTGACTATAAAAGAACAATTTTTCACAACCCAACCTTTCCTCAGTTCACGTACAACGGGACTGAGGTATGTTGGTTATCTCTTGTTCATCATCCATAAAACGTGTATCTAATATTCGTACACCAGCGACAACATCGCTAGGTGATTATTCTAATATACTTTTAGTTCACGTACAATGGGACTGAGCGACAACATCACTAGTCCAACATTTCCTCTTATACAAAGGTAAGATCCTAAGGTGATTCAGACTTGATCAACGTCCACGGAGTGTCGAACAAAGCGGCCTCAACATACTTTACACAGATAGATAGCCCCTTTGAATAGTCTTCCAGAATATATATTTTGAGACTGAATTGACCAATAAATTATCGAGAAAAAACACAAAATACTTTTTTGGACACAAGTTCTTTGGGTTAGTGTGGCTGTCCAACTCAATATGTCTGTGCACAATGCTGGCCACTGTCTGAAGGGGTGTCAGCACTGTTTCTCACAGTCTCAACACACTTTGTATAGTTGGATAGCCCCTTCAAATAGCTTCCAGAGTGGTCAGAGACCATGGGATGGACAAGTATGGCATTCCGGGACAATTTGCAACCATTGAATCAAACTGAATTAGGACATCTGAGGACATTCCAGGATGTTTATAAAAGGCCTATAAGGCATGCAAACATCCTGAGGTCCCCCCTATAAAGACCCACATAGTGGTTGTCCAAGGTGCTTTCAACTGTATCATTCAACAAGAAACCATGCGGAATCTGAGTGCAATAACCCAGGTTCCCTGCCAACCAGGTTTCTTCCACGGAGCAAAATGCCATACATAGGTAAAATTCCGTGATCATCTAGAAAAAAACCTAACCTACACGGTATTATTTACCGTGATTTACTTCCCACCGTGCGTAATATCGATAGTGCGGGAAAGAGACTTGTTGCGGAATATTTATTCACTCTTCAAAGAAGATACCTGAATCTCCTATATGTATAGCCTCTGAAGGATAGGATCCCCCCCTTCTCCTTCTCCTCAGCCCTCTAAGCGTTCGGCTCGGGACCGGGGTCAGTACTCCTTGATTCATGTTTGCATACAACAGCTACATACTCAAATACAAAATACTCAATAGTGGCAATTCACAATGCGATTCTGGAGTGCCTTGGTCCCGTTCGCTCTACTTCCCATTGTCGCTGCTAATTTCCACCTTACCCTGAACTTTTGCAAGTGGGGCGGATATGGTCTGGGTGCACCGTTTTGGGGTATAACCCCGGCAAACACAAGTAAACCAAAGTCCGAAACGAAATTCGCTCCTAGTTAACCGATCTTTGTTCAACAGCCAGTTGCCAAACAGCAGTGGACTTATACTTCGAGCACCCCATCAAATACGGCCCTGAACCGAGTGCTGCAGTTTGCGGTTCAAATATTACGATTTTTAGTGAGGACAGGGAGTGGGCCGACTTGAACGGGGAGAGCGGACAGTGTTTTCAGATCAATGACGGCAATGGGCATTATGCTTCGTGCTCAACTCACGGCTATTATTGCTTGAGCCTCGATGTGCTCTGGTGCTTGTCGGACTGGTGCAAAGGACCTGGCGACCCCGGCATGGAGTGACCAATACAGAAATCAAAAATCTTAGAGAAGCCAAATGGAATGCGGTTTAAACTTCCGTTTCGGAATATTGGTCCAGTGAGTGACTATATACTGTGTATACCGAAAATATCGCGCGAGGCCCGGGATTACCCGTAAGCTGCGGAATGGTAATTGATCGAATCGGATCGGATCGGATTCCGTTGAGAGGCTCGCTTGTATGGGCTTCGCTGTGTGGTTATGTAGTACGATGGAGAACCATAGGTATCGGCTGTGATGTTCATGCAGGCGTGGTTAAGGTGGGAAACATTTAACATCACTGTCGAGATTCCTCAATTGCAGCAGGAGAATCGTTTCCATTATGGCCAAAAAGGGTGGGTGATCCAAAATGAATTATCCTTTCGCAATGTTAATGACACACTGGTGTGACACCCCCGGCAGAGCAAGGACTGTTGAGGAATATCATATTTCACTCCGCGAAGATTGGATGATCCCCTATATCACTATATAGCCTTTGAAGGACGGGATCCCCTCCTTTTCCTCCTCAGCGTTCCACTCGGGACCGGGGTCAGTACTCCTTGATTCATGTTGCAGTACACAGCTACTCACGCCACGTACGTCGCCTGCCAGCATAATAGTAGCAATTCACAATGCGATTCTGGAATGCCTTGGTCCCAATCGCTCTACTTCCTATTGTCACTGCTAATTTCCACCTTGTCCTGATCTGGCTCGAAGCGTACGACTCTTCTACAGTCCCAAGTAATTTGATGCCCTCTTGGGTTTTAGTCCCGTCGAACCGAGGTGAACCGAAGCCCGAAATGAAATTCGCTCCTAGTTAACCGATATTTGCTCAACAGATCGTTGCGACCCCGCAACTAAACCGGATTCCGAGTTCTTCAAGTGGCGCACCAACTTCTCGTCAGAACCGACCGCCCCACTTTGCGGTTCTTCTGGTGTTACGGTTTCTAAATATGGCGCCGGCTGGAACGACTCGCGAGGACAAACGGGAGAGTGTTTCCCGATTAACAACGGCAAGGGGTATTTCATAGTGTGCGGACAGAAGGACACAGGCATATGGTTGGTCCTTGATATGTACTGGTGCAAGTCGGACTGGTGCAAAGGACGTGGCGACCAGTGATCAAAGCAGAAATCAGAAATCTTCGGCATCTAAGACTTGCTTGTGTAAGCCACAAATTGTCGTGCAACACTCTCGACAACAAACTTGTTATGTAACCAAGAAATTGAGAAATTGCGTTTCGTAGTATTCACCACTTGGACTCGTACCTAATCGTCGTTGCTCGTGGGCGCGGTACGAGTCTGAGTTTTCACGCGCCAGAAATGGTCCAGTGAGTTAGTACTGGACAACGCACAAGCTGGTCGCCTGCCAACTACGAGTGCCGGCATCTCCATCGAGGGCAAATACAAGACCACCACAGAAGTTGGAGCAACACTAGGTACAGTGCATGCCATCGCTTTTGCAAATACTGGGATTTGTCCCAACTTCCGAAGCTGGCCCGACCATACTGACACACAGGAAATTGAACGGAAACCGTCCAAGTCTCGAATAAGTTGTGAAGTAAGTATACGTGGGGGTGTCTCGCTAGCTACGACCCTGCACCTGGCCCAAAACGCACGCTATCGACATGGGCCAAGATAGGTATTGCACTTCCGCTGCCTTGATCCTGAAGTGTGTGTGTGTGTGTGAGTTCTGGATATTTAACGTGCACGTGCAGGCTGCCCGAATGAGGCGCCAAGGGTGCACGGATCAAAAGATCAAAAATTATGTACAAGAGGGGAAGTAAAACATATGGATGCGTGGGTTCGGAGCGCCTAGGGGTACTCGTACACCGTTTCCGGGGGGGAGTATACATTTTGGATTTGTTGGCAACGGATGCCGGCTCCGAGCATTGTTGGCCAGACGCGTAAGTGTGCCTCTTGATGCGTTGGAGAACCGCGGCGAAACGGGTTAGTTGAAACGGCTCCTGGGAATGTTGGCCAGACGACTCCTTCGTGCCTCTTGGTCCTTTGGAGAACCGCGCTTCGGTAACGTAGGCGGGGCAATAACCGTTAGGCGCGGAGCCGCGTGTTTTGCGAACCACTCAGCGCTTTCGTAAGAGAAGGAAGGGAGATAGACTTGTGCCCATGGTCTCTCGACTACTGTGAGCAAGAAGGTAGGAAAGTGGAAGGTGATGGAAGAAGGCGGTACAGAACGGTGCAAAAGGCCAACGCAGGATAACGGGTCGTGTAAGTGCCATCCACGTCGTTATCCATCGCGGCAAAGGAGAACCTCTTAGACCCAAAACCAGCAGCCACATTGGGCGTACTGGGGGAGCCTCTAGACCACGGCAAGGTGGGTTCTCGTCCTAGAGGCTTGATCCTGAAGTGCATGCGTGAGAACGTCTTTCACTTGCGGCTTGGATCTGTGAAGGCGTGATGTAGAACGGCTTCAACGCAGGAACGGGCCAAAGAGACTGCCATTCGCTTGGTATTATACACGCGGAATCCCGTCTAACGTAGCAACCGATGTATTCCTAGACTTCACAGTCTATTTTGTCCACTGAAGCTTCTGCGGCGCGGCATAGAATGGAAGCAGTTGATGATTTCTAGCTGGGGAATCTATGGACTAGAGTGCTTGCGCTTCGCTTGACTCTGCACAGCCCTTGTTTCCTTTCGCCTGTCGCAGCATGAATTTTTTTTTTTTCAGTTCGTTTCGCGAATATAGGCTATAAAAAATATGTGTTTAATTGGAATGCAGACCTCCGACAAACACAATCCAATTTTTCCAGTCATTCGGAGTCTGGAATTATTTGAAGGCAAAGCGAAAAAGAAAGTGGTGCGGCGACAAATCACAGTGGAACCAGCATACGCCTTCACGGACTGCCGTGCGCAACAACAGACGATGGAATACCTGTGGTCAGACATAGGAACATCACCAAGGGGCACGTTGACATCTTTTAATGCATGCGTGACATTGTCGCGTGCAAGAGGAAGAAAAAACATATGATTAAACCGAGACTTTACATAAAGAGAGCAAGTGCTGAATCACCTGCACAGCAGGTAACTGCCAGCGTTTAGGCGGTCCAACCACTTTGGAGTTATATTGTGGCGGAGTTGGACATTTCCCCCCGCCCGCACCCATCGTCGGCTTCCCGCGTACTGCCTATCCCCACGCTTTAGCCATGCCAGTCTAGTGAAATTGCCGACGCAAGTCGCAACCTGTGTCTGCTGCTAGAATCTGCTGATTCCTCATCGCACGCCCGCAGCTTCATCCGCTAACTGTCATTTTTTTCTGGGCCCGCTCTTTTCCTTCTGCCGTCCTTTGTCTGGCCTCCACCAGTTCTGCGCTGTTCATTGTCCAGTCCTAACCTCCGGCGAGTAGGATCCCAAATGTCTGCGCTAGGTTTTCTCCTGTTCCCCTTTCTGTTTTTGGTCGGTTGTTTGTTCGGCTGTTTCCTGTCCAGTCGTCTCTTTTCATCGTCCCCTTTCACCTCCTTGCTGTGATACCTCATGTAGTTATCCATTTGACTATCAAGCCTCCTCATCTTTTATTGCGAGTACGAGTTTGTTCTCTTTCCCTGCTCTTAAGGTAGCAACTCGTTGGCCAATCACAAAATCCCCAGATGACAAGGTGATATCCTCCGATAATCTTTGGTCATTCAGATACAACCCCCCAGAGGCGAGTAATTTTCTGGCTTCGCCTACATCCAAACCAAAGCGTCAGTATCTGGCTTGTGGACGCAAGGGGAAGATGGAGATGAAAGGGCTCACCTCTAGAGTTTGTTAATCCCAGAATTGCTGCCAGCTTCGTCACAGGGTCTTGGCAGAACTCGTTCAGGCTCCGGAGAACAAGCCGTCGATCAGGCCCAAGAGCAGCAATAAGGTTCTCGGGACGGGCCTGATTGGCCTCCGAAGACGAAGATTCGGAGGAGCCCGGGAAAAGAATGGATGTGGCTACTTTAGCCTGAGTAACGGCACTCTCGCCGTGGATAAGCTCGGTGACTTCAGATGCAAGAATACCCTGGGCAATACGTTTTTCAGGTGTAGCCTGACCAAAGATATTTCAGCTTCCTCCAGATGTTCTCGGGAAGGTATTGGAAAGGATCTGTGCAGGCTTACTTCGTGTTCGGAAATGACTTGCTCGATCTCGCTCAATGGCAGCAAGGTAAATATTTTTAGATACTTTGCAACATCTGCGTCCCCAACACGAAGGAAAAACTGTTGAAGAATGGGGTCAGAAAAGAGCACCAGCCGAAGGTTGGAAGGTCGACATACTTGGTAAAAGTCAAACACACTGGTCAACTCTGGATCCAACCAGACCGCGTTCCCTGAGCTTTTCCCAAACTTCTCTCCGGAGGCTGTCAGGAGCAAGGGTGTGGTCATACCGTAGGCTGAACCTCTTCCCTGCAAGGCGTCAGAGGGTCCTCCATTGAGTGACTCGCCCCTAATTCGGCGAATGAGCTCGAGTCCAGCAGTTATGTTCCCCCATTGGTCTGAGCCTCCGATCTGAAGAGTACAGCCATAGTCCCGATGTAACACATAATAATCATAGGCTTGCAGCAGTTGATAGGAAAACTCCGTGAAAGATATGCCATGTTCACTACGCAGACGTGACTTTACACTAAACGCGAGCAACTCAGCGTCCAATACGTGATCCGTTCAGTGTGGGACAATCACCTATCTTTCGCCATCATGACGCTCACTGTTGCGCGTTTGCCCGCTAAACGCAAAAAATCGAGAAGTCCCATCCCTCCAAGCCATTCTAGATTATTCAAGAATTTCGGTGGGTTGATAGTCGCACTTGCCAAATTCCGCTTTTCTGCGTACTTCAATCCATTGGAGAAGATACGCTGCAACTGAGAGCTTATCTTGCGCGCATTTTCATTGACTCTTTCGATAGACAGCAGTGGGCGTTCGGTGTTCCTGCCACCTGGATCGCCAACAGCGCCAGTCGCGCCACCGGTCTTTTTAGATGAAGTTAAGTAGGGATAAGAATAATAGGAAACAAACACATACCAGGGAGATAACTTGATGTCCAGAGATATGAAAGTGGATTAAGGCCATCAGCGGGACAAGATTGCCCGCATGTATGGAACCGGCCGTCGGGTCCACGCCAAGATATACCGTGGATTTGTGGATAAATGCAGAATTAACTTGGCTGCTACTCCCATGAATGGATTCAGCCAAGGAGTCGCGTGGAATAGCACAAGCGACCGTACTCTGAAAGTTTTGCCACGAGACCTCTAGACTTGAGTTCGTCCAAGGGGGACCGCACCACCAAAGAATTCGCGATTTGCTTAGTATATTTTCGTTGACTGGAGGCACAACATTTCGAAACCTTCCCGAGACTTAACGAGGCACCGCACGACGTCCTGGAGAACATTCAACCTCGAAAAGTCTCACGCCTCCCAATTAGGAAAGGGGCTGACTGTTGACACAAATGCAGTTCGAGATCTTGGCAAAATGCTCAACTACGAGGTGAAAAGCCCACGAAATGGTATTTTAAAGCTGCTTCTGAAACTGTAGTATTTAGGGCCCGAGTGTCTCGAATGACGCTAGCCCGTCAGTGTGTTTGTCTGTTGCTTGAACTTTCTCAAAGCTCAAACGCCCTCATTCTTCCAGATGGTCCCACGATGCTGCCAACTTTCATGCCAGTGGCAACTCAAGCGGCCCTCAAAGGCCTCACTCCCCAACAAGTTGAAGAGCTTGGAATTACTCTCATGCTAAACAATACGTGCGTCCCTTCTTGATCAGGGTTGGATCGTGTAGTTGTATTTATTTACCACTCCAGCTACCACCTAAACTTGCGTCCGGGAACAAAAGTTCTCGACGCTGCCGGAGGCGCACATAAATTCCAAAACTGGCGCAGAAACCTTCTCACTGTGAGAGTCCCAACTCTCAATCCTTCTTGGTTTTATCCTGAACTCGCCGAACAGGACAGCGGAGGTCTGCAGCAACTCCGGTTTCGCTCTATGGCTTTCTTACCAACATTTTCCAGGATTCCAAATGGTTAGCCTTTCTTCCTTTTCAAAAGTGACCGAAGAAGGAGTTCTGTTCGCTAGTCCATTCACTGGTGAACCCACGATGCTTACCCCCGAAGAGTCCATCAGAATACAGGTGCGATTGATCATTTCGTATACTACCGCCATGTTTCAATACGCGTTTCCAGCATTCTGTTGGAGCGGATATCATCATGCAACTTGATGATGTTGTCTCTAGTTTGACAGTGGGCCCTCGAGTGGAGGAGGCGATGTACGGCTGATTGAGTCTCATGAATAGCTTGGACCGACATGATTCCAATAGGCTGCGTTCAATTCGTTGGCTAGATCGTTGTATTGCATATCATACGGCGACAGATAGTCCTAAGACCCAGAATCTCTTCGCGATCGTACAGGGTGGTCTCGATCACGATCTACGAGACCGATGCTTAGATGAAATGATCAGACGGAAAGACAACATCTCTGGATACGCCGTCGGAGGGTTAAGTGGAGGAGAAGAAAAGGACATCTTTTGGAGAATGTAAGCTCCACTCTGTTCTCCATGCGGGTCGTAATAGCTGATTAGGGGGCTTGTCTTGTACAGAATTGCTCAATGCACCGCTAAATTGCCCGGAGATCGTAAGTTAGAAACGTTTGACGATGTCGAATTATTGAAGTTTGACCGTCTTGATCTAAAGGTCCTCTGTATTCGATGGGTATAGGATTCGCGGAAGGTCATCCACGCGTCTCGTGTTGAGTCACTGATTTCTCAATGAGTTCTGTGTAGATCTTCTGGTTTGCGTTGCTCTTGGAATTGATATGGTAGGTCTGGCACTTTTGGCCCGACCTAAATTTAATGAGGTCCATCCAGGCAGACTGCGTCTTTCCGACACGTACGGCAAGGTTCGGCGTAGCGCTGACATTCGATGGACCGCTCAATCTGAGTACGTCTGACGAACAATTATGCTCAGGACCATCGTCTGAACATTCCGGCAGAACTTACGCGCCACGCGAAGAGCTTCATTCCTATTGATGAGGATTGCCCATGCCCTACGTGCAGAAACAGAGTATCTAGAGCACAACTACATCACCTTGCATCGCACGACACTGTTGGTGCGCATGGTGAGTGATCCTGCGGAGCATAGTGCATCTTGTTTAAGCATCTTCCCCTTCCCAGCACTAACACAACATAATGTCGTGTTCCAAGCTCGGCTGATGGCTGGCGCACGCAAAGCAATCTACTCCGACACATTCCCAAACTTCATTAGAAGTTTCTTTTCCCGATATTTCGGAGGCCCTGACGATGGGTATCCAAAGTGGTGCGTTGACGCACTGAAGAGTGTAGGAATTGACCTGCTCGAGGGAGAGGAAGGTGCAACGCGACGGGTAGTGGAAGGTGATGGAGCGAAATGGGAGTATTCGGATGGCGTTGTGTAGCAGCTGGCCATTGTCGATAGACGTCTTTAAGCTTTCAGTTCAAGATGTCCCATTCCAAGGCGACGGGTGTTGGAGGCTGAGATGTGAGAACGGTGCTCAGAAACATTTGTCTGCACCCAAGCAGTAAGCGAGTTCACACTACTCGGGTGCCTCTGCCCGCACCTCTTGGATTACTCCCGCGTATCGCACTCGGAGGGCGGATTCCGCTTTGCGGAATCCCAGATGCGGCACCACGGCCCCTTAACCCATTGGCCTTTGTGACTGGGGGCCGGTTAAGGCCGGTTGATGAGGGTACAAGTCGAGCTCCGCGCGCTGGTATATTTCCTGGAACGGGACAAATCAGTTTAGCGAGTGTACCGGAAAATAATCCCTACCCACCCCCACGAGCATGGATCCCTCTTCCGACAGCAGCTCTTCCTCGAACAGTACCCCTTTTGACTGCAGAGGCAGCAAGTTTCTTTTGTTCTTCCTCTTCTTGACGTTGTCTTTCTTCTTCTCTCCTCATTTCCTCCTCTTTCGCTTTTCTGATCTCCTCTTCTTCCCGTGCCCTCGCTTCATTGATGCGTTCGGAGTCCTACAAAAGAACTGCAGGGAGGCATCACAAATTAGGAGGTCAAGACTCACAGCCTGAGCACCTTCCCATGTAGGATCGAGCAATAAACGTGCATTATGCTCTGCTTGGCCGAGGATAGCGACATAACGGTCAAGAAGTTGTTTCGTGTTTTCGACTTTGGATGCAAGGCTCTAGGGGCAGAAATATGAGGTTTCACCTTTGGCGAAGTGTCCCCGAATTTACCTGTTGGCGATCACGGACAGCGCTTAGGGCGGCAAAGTATTCATTGAATGAAGCATTGATACGTTGCATGTCGAAGAGTTGTCGCCGGAGACGCTCCTCTTCGGTGAGCTGTTGAGGATGTAAAGCTGGCTCTTGCGATAGGGGATCGGTCGGCTGGGCCTTCGACACAGGCGTTTCGAAAGTCGTTGGATCCTTATGCTCATGCCGATCATCTGACGTTGAGACAGCCACAATATTTTCTCGGCCAGGGGTAAGAGTGGTCTCAATATCATCTTCTGCTTCATCGTCTGCCGCGCCAGAATCATCGCCCTGTTTCTCCTGTTTAAACAAACTGAACCTTGGAGGTGGGACGTTGTTGGGTCTCCGTTGGGGTTGGAGATCGGCCAGAGACATGTCGGACATGTCAGGCCCCATAGTCGCGCTTGCGAAATGAGAGGAAAGTTCGGAGACGTCCGGCGGGGACATGTTCAACAATGAGCGAGAATACTGTGTAGGGATTGTTGGAGAATCCATGCCGAGACGTGTTGTTTGGGTCGTTGTTTGTGTCGAGGGGACGCTTTCAGATTGAATTAAAAAAATCCGGTGATGCCTAGCCAAAAGCGCCGGAGACGAGACGAAAGTCCTCAGAGCTCCGTGAGGGATTCCGAGTCTAATGGAAATGATGGGAGCGATTTCGAGGTTGTTCCTGCAGATTCCGACGTAGACATCTCTGATCTTCTCACGAGGCCACAAAACCTGGATGGCGAAGACGATGACATCGAGGACCTCATTCGCGTTCACCAAAGTAAGCGGCTTGCAAAAGAGGGCACCGAAGCCGTCAAGAGGGCACTAAGGGGGAAAAAGAAGCAAAATGCTGGCGTTACTGGGGGAGGCAGTTTCCAAAGCATGGGTTGGTTCATTTCCCGACGATGTCTCCTGTAGGACGGGTGCTTAATTATGTTCAGGTCTCCATCCATCTCTTCTTCATGGTCTCTTAACTCGTGGTTACCGTAACCCAACCCCTATCCAGCGGGCATCCATCCCTTCCTTACTTGCCACTCCGCCAAGAGACCTGGTTGGAATGGCTCGCACTGGCTCCGGAAAAACTCTCGCGTACATGGTGCCTCTTATTCAGCGCCTCGGGGGGCGTCATGTTACAACATTTGGTGCAAGGGCCCTTATATTAGTTCCAGCTCGTGAGCTCGCCCTTCAGGTCATGAAGGTTGGGAAGGACCTTGCTCGAGGTTGGGATTATTCGGGCGGGAAGCACGCTGGCGACAATATGGAAGCGGAATCGAAAAAGTCGCAAACTCTTCGTTGGGGTCTTATTGTAGGAGGCGAAAAGTTAGATGAGCAGTTCGAGATGATAACGTACAATCCTGATGTGTATGTGCCGCGTCCTCTAGGCCCACTTAACTAACCGTCTTCCAACAGTATTATTGCGACTCCCGGCCGTTTACTTCATTTGGCTGTCGAAATGAATCTTGAGCTGAAGTCCATCCAATATGTGGTTTTTGACGAGGCTGATCGCTTATTCGAAATGGGATTCGAAGCCGCGCTGCAAGAACTCATTCATCGTCTCCCGTCAACCCGCCAAACAGTTCTGTTCTCCGCCACGCTCCCCAAGTCCCTCGTTGAGTTTGCAAAAGCTGGGCTCCAAAATCCGAAGCTGGTCCGATTGGATGCTGAAAGCAAAATTAGCAGCGACCTTCGTATGGCGTTCTTCTCCGTCAAACAGACTGAGAAGGACGCGTGTTTATTGACTCTGCTGCGTGACGTGATCAAGATTCCGTTGCGTAATGCGTCCACTCGCACTGAGGCAGACAATGAAGATACGGGCGGTCGTGAGGCATCAAGGTCCGCTGGAGATAAGGGGAAAGGACTGTCTCATAATCACCAGATGGCTCCACACCAAACTCTTATTTTTGTCGCAACGAAACATCACGTCGAGTACCTTTTTTCCCTTCTCACTGAAGTCGGATATTCAGTATCGCACATTTACGGCGCTCTCGACCAAGGGACGCGTACACAGCAGATGTCCCGATTCCGAAAAGGTATTACATCTATCCTTGTGGTAACCGATGTTGCGGCTCGCGGGATTGATATCCCTGTGTTGGAGAATGTTGTAAACTATGATTTCCCTCACGGCTCACGCGTATTTGTTCATCGTGTTGGGCGGACGGCAAGGGCGGGAAGAAAAGGTTGGGGATGGAACTTCGTGACTCACAATGACTTGCCGCGCCTGCTCGACCTTCAGTTGTTTCTTGGTAGACCTCTCATGTCCCGGAACCAGCTGGAAACTTCGTCCTCATCGTTAGAGATAACAGAAGCTTTCTTTGCTGAAAACCTCATACTTGGAACCTTTGATCGAGTCACCCTCGATGATCAGATGGAAGCAATTACTACGCTTGATGTGGCTAACTCTTCCTTGCCCTCACTTCGTGCAGTAATGCACCGAGGCCACGGGATGTATGAACGCAGCTTGGGAAAGGCTAGCCAGGCTAGTTACAGTCGCGCCAAGGAAATGACTAAAGAGTCGGAAGATGGCCCTAGTTGGGGCCTTACGGGAGGATCTGGGGAAGCGGTCAATGTACACCCCGTCTTCGGTTTATTTGGGGCAACGAGGCCCCGAAACCCAGCCCCAGAGGGGTCAACATTGAATCCCGATGCTGCTCGTAATACTCTTCTTCGCGCTGTGGACTCCTTCCGCCCATCTGAAACTATCTTTGAAATCGGAGCGAAAGGGAATTCAGGCGCCACTCAACTGATGAAGGATCGGCGGAAAGCACTGGAGAAGGCGAACAAACGAGCTCTTCCCACCATGCAGGCTCCTTCTGTCCTAGCAGGCAACCTAACAGAAACACCTAGTGATGCGAATAGGCCGGTGGATATGGAGATGGCCGATGAGGGAGATATCCAGGTAAGGCATTTCTTCACGTTCACCCAATCTTGAATTGCGGTTAAGGCAGCCTTCTAGGACGCTTTCCAGTTACAAGATAAGAAATACCATAAACGAGATTATCGGGATCCTGAATTCTTTATGTCGCATCAACAAAAGGATGCGGCTGCGGAAAAAGGGTATGATACAACGCGATATAGGCCAAATGCATTACTTAGCTCGGATTTTTGTCCTAACGCAGGTATTCGCTGAAAGATGGGGCATCATTCGTTCAGCAGGCTGCATCCGCAACCTTTGATCTGACGACCGACGAAGCCCTCACGGGCCGGCAACGTCGTGAGAAACAACTCACATGGGATAAGAAGAAAAAGAAGTGGGTCAAGGGACAAGAAGGGGCCGACAACGTGAAGCTCATCAAAACAGAGAGTGGAGCACGCCTGCCAGCATCCTATGTCAGTGGCCGCTTCGAAGAGTGGAAGTCGAAGACCAAGTTGAAGTTGCCGAGGGTGGGCGAGGCCGAACTTAACCGTCTAGGCACGGGTTCGGGGAACAGTACCCGACGTTTCAGGTTCGCCTCGAAAACTCCTGCCAAGCCTCTTGATCCCAAAGCCTACGGCTATGAGCGAAGACTGCGGCAGCTCAAACGCAAAACCTCCGAGGCCGAAGGAGAAAGATCTGACGCACCTAAAAAGGCTTCCTCCAGCTCTGGCCCGCCACCGCGCGGCAAGAAAGCCGGAGCTGGATCGCGATTCGGGGGCACCAATGTTGGCAAAGCCAAGAGCGAGCTGAAGACTGTTGATCAGATACGACGAGCTCGCGAGGTAATGGCCAAAAAGAGGGACAGGAACGCTCGGCCAAGCCGGAAACGCAAATGATAGACTCAACTCGGCCCCTCAACCACATTTGTCTGGTTTTTTAAATCATACTAGTAATTCAATTGCAAGCACATTGCGCACAGATGGCTGCATGGTACGAGTTGTCATTTGGGTAGTTTGAATGTGGGAGATGAGGGGACAAACTAATGTGTACACTGATGGCCGCATCATCTATCGAATCAGAAATATAGGGAAAATGCTTGCGAGGTATGCTTTTGCAGGTAGAGCTGCGACTGGAGATGCAGAAATAAAGGTGCATGGAAGTGGATCTTCGAGATGAGGAAAGAAAATGGGAATGCAGACATAAATTCGTTTGGAGCTTGCAAGTGTGACGAGAAGGAGAAAAAGAAAGGACGTGCAATGTAGAACATATTAGTCAATGGATCATATATAAGTCTGGGTGAGACGCTGGCACACCGCTTGGACGACGTGAGGCTCCAGGCCAAGGTCGCGAGCGATAGTGTCATATGGAGACCAGTGGTACTGCCCATTGGCAGGGTGATAAATCATTGGAGACGGTTCACGATGCTCAGAATATGCAGGCGTTGATATAAAAGAAGATTCAGAAGAAGAGTGGGTCGGTTCGAAAAGTTCTCGGACTTGGTTAACTTGTTGCGTCGTGAAGACTATTAGGTACTTAGTGGTGTTACATCCAAACTTAATAGATGGATATGCCTACTAGGACAGGTGAGGAGGGCGCCAGCCAGGGCTGTGATAACTCTATTAGACCAATAATATGAGCGTTTTGATAGTCGGGTGATGCTGATAAAAGCGAGATCTAAAATGCCCAATGAGTTTCGCGTCTAAGATCCGAAAAGGGTATCCGCTCACTGAAAAGCACGTCTCTTGTGGAAAAATTCCAGAAAATACGACTATTGTCGTCGGTGGGGAATTTGTTGATAACACTGACGAGAACGAAGAAAGGGAGGGATGGGTCTTTCACGCATCGTGGCTGGCGGCTTGTTATGAGCGAGGATTTCAAGAAAAATTTAGGGGATACGCGCACATTTGGATGAAAAACAAGGCGGTGAAAAGTCTGGAGGTCTTTCGCTGTAAGAATTCCATTGAAGATAGCAGCAGGGAGGCACTTCGAATCTACATTTGCTACAGTAGGTTGGTTTCCAGAGAAGTCGCCCATCCAGGATGGGAAAAGCTGCACAAAGTATTAGTACTAACTTCAGAAGGTGCAAGAAATGGACCCACGTATCTCATAAGTTCGGACTGGGAACTAAACGTAATGGTAACTTTTCTGGCTCTCTTGCCACTTCCGAGCACTTTGTTGCGACACTTCAAGAGGACCTCGTGGGCTGATTGTGGTGGTACTTCAATATATGCGTGATTCAACGTTTTGCCCTCATCATTCAGAAGCACATGAGCATGGGCAATTGGAACCCCAGACCAGTCGCTCAGCATTGCAGGTGTTACATTCTAGTCGAGCACGTTAGCGAGGAATACTAGCTACAGAGAGGTCGTCTGACGTACCCAGGGAACATCATCAAGCCTTAAAACCGAAAGGCCATTTTCATCCACCTCCAAGGCAGAGAGTCCAGCAGGAGCAGACATGGCATTTGGCGGATCCACAGCGAGGTTGGACAGAGATTGGTGTTGTGAGTCGCTACAAACACTCTCATGGACGGTATGGAGTGCTGCATGTCCCCCGTTTGAGGACTTAGTGAACGTGAAACGCTCTACCGGCTTGAGGCATTTCGCGCATGAAAATGGCTTTTCTCCGACTATGTTCAGCCCTGCTGTGACGCAGCTAGAACACATGACGTGGTCGCAGGAAAGTGTTACAAGATCGGCGTGGGACGTTGTACATGCGACACATTTAGTAGCATCGACGGGAGGGTCCAGCCTTAAATCCTTAGCTTGATGCTCAGCTTGTTCATTTTGATCTGGTTGCTGGCCGTAGATCTCGGCTGGAGCTGAAACCGCGTTCCTGTCGACTATTGGCGAAGTTTCGGCATACGACGGCTCGGAATCGGAAGCAGACTCCGTGTCACTGCTTATATGCACCCCTTCGAGTTTACTTCGGTTCCAACTCTGGAGAGGCAAGCCATGACGCTAACCACGACGCACACAAAATTTCCGTAAAACCTACCTGCGCAGATGCATGTCTCAAGCCTTGAGATTGGGGAGAATTCTCGTCTTGGACGCAGGGACGCGCCACAGGCGCAGATCGAACGCGTCTCTTGGTTGAGATAAAAGCAGCGGGAAGGAGATCTAACATGAGCAAAAAAGATCGCGGGATCAAACGCACTGCTGAGAGCATCGACGGAGCGCTGGGATTACCTGCTTCGACTCTAACGCGATTTGGTGGCCCATCCGTGGCATCCCTGTCCGAAGTGTTTCGCCAGTTGTCGAGCGCTAAAGGTCTTGACGTCAGTGGTTGACGGGGCTGCCCGTAGGGAAGCGGCGACGCGTGATTTCGAGACCGGTTTATAGAGCTAGGAGGGGTAAGTGAGTTGAAAATTGCATTAAAACCCCTGTGTGGGCTGTCCGAGTTGGGCGCGTTTTGGGAAAGTGCAGTGAGAGGAGTATGAGGCGTTAGAGGGGCATATGTTGACTTTTTGGAGAAGTTGACAGGGCCTATGGGTGTTCGAGGCGTATTCTTAGTCGACATTATGTTTCGGACACGAGTTCGATGTTGGTTGAAAGGAACTCAAAGGTCTGTCCTGTTGACGCCTGTTATACGCCAACAGTCCCTGTTGTCACTTGTTTGCAGGAGCACGGTCTCGTGACTTCCCTCCACAGACAGGCTCCAGGGCCCTTACGATACACGATTTGTTTTCCATAGATGTACAAAGGCATAACTTTGGTGTTCCTTTTAGCCTTCCAAGATGACTTCCCGTACGGCAGCTGAAAATATCTTTATTCCCTCAGCGAGCTCCTCTTTTTTGATATTGAGAGGCGGAATAAACCTCAAGACCTGAAGGTGATGTATGAGTAAAATCTTGAATAATAACCACGTCAGCCGACCTGATAGACGCTCGTTGTGAGCATGAAGAGGCCATTTTCCTGGCACCTCGCTGCGATCCTGGACGCCAAGTTCTTCGGTGCCTTGGGATTCGCAAATGGATCCCTACTCATGAGTCCCGGGGGCGCCGCAAACTCGACCCCAACCATCAAACCCCGCCCACGAATGTCCAAGATGAACGGATGAACGACTGGATCCGATCGAAGTGCCTGGAGCGCCACAAACAGCTCCTTCGAACTGTGGTAGGCAGCAATTAGCTTGATGGGATTCAAACTCGCCAGATAGTTTACCGAGCATTGACGTTATCAAGAATATTCTCTTCCTTCATTACGTCAGCGACTGCAGCTGCTGCTGCGCAGGAAACCGCATTCCCGGCATATGTACCACCCTATTGATCATCGTTAGTGTAAATCCAGGAATTATGGTATCCAGCAACTCGCCATTGTGCCTGGGGTCTGTGCATCCATGATTTCCTTACGGCTTACAATTCCACTGAGAGGGAAGCCATTCGCCAAACCTTTGGCAACAACCATTATATCGGGACGCACATAACCACCGTCCTCGTGCGTCCATTCGTGAGCAAAATACTTTCCCGTCCGACCAAAGCCAGACTGAACCTCGTCAAAAATGAGAAGAAGTCCATGTTTATCGGCGATCTCACGAAGTCCACGTAAAAATGCGGGTGGAGCGGGAACATACCCCCCCTCCCCTAATACAGGCTCAATAAGGATAGCAGCCGTGTCAGAGGGAGATGTTTGTTGAAGCAGCAGAAGCTCCAATTGGTACAACGACAGGTTCACAAGCTCCTCCGTAGGGGTTGAAGGCTGTGCTCCAAAGTGGTGCCAGAACGGGAATGGTGTCACAAAAACGCCAGGCTAAACGACTTGACGTCAACATTCGGTGAGTCTACCGGCGCCTCAAGATAAATACCATGAGTGGGTGTGCTCCGACACTGTACGTTGTCTTGCTTCGAGTCAAACCCATTGCACCGAAGGTACGGCCATGAAAACCGCCTGGAGAAATGTCAATGATGTGAAGGTGTGAAACAGAAACATATTCACCTTGCATGGTGATGATGTTCTGCCTCTGCGTCTTAGTTCGTGCGACCTTTATGGCGGCCTCAATGGCCTCGGATCCGGAGTTCCAAAGGAAAAATGTGTTCAATGACGGATGTGGCATAATAGGAAGCAGCCGTTCGATAAGATCTAGGTATGGTTTGTGGAAGGCAATGCCGACCTGCGAAATTCCTCAGCAACCCGTGAATGGAACGCTAGGCGATATACTTGTCCATGAACAAGACTCAAGCATTGATTTGCAGCTGCTTGGCTAACTTTTGGGTGGCAATGGCCTTATGCATATGGACCACGTCAACTCTGGTCCTAACTGACATGTTTGACACCCATACCTAAGCCGGTGACACCGATCCCGCTAGTGAAGTCCAAGTATCTTCCTCGCTCGTCCTTCAGAGTAATATAGGAGCCATTTCCATGATCAATAAGTGCATCGCTAAGCCTTCCTATACCTCTCGCAACATGTGTTTTCCCAAATTCAGATACCCCAGCCTTGTTGGAGTTGAACCGACGGTTGACCAAGGTCAAGGTGTTTCCCGAAGGAACTCTTTGAGGATTGAGAGCACAGATAGTCAGGCCTTTCAGAAAATGGCCCTGACGACTCAACATGACTAAAAACTCGTCGTAGCCCTCGAAGAGATGTGCGCCTATTGTCAGGTGACAGTGTCAATCGAGTTTAAAATTAGCTTGGCGCCGGGTGGGGCACCCCCAATATCGCAAGACACAGCAACGCTACGTTTAATAAGGGCATGTTGCACTGCGGCTAAAAGTAACTCCTACCCAAAGCGCGCCAGACGGCGGCGTCGGATTTCCTCGACACTCAACTGTTTGGCATCCGAAGATTCCTCCCTCAACTTCCCACCTTCACCTTCACCTTCACCCTCATCCTCATCTTCGCCTTCACTCTCGTCAAGGCCTGCACCAGGCCCCCTACCGAAGGACAGTCCGAAATTGGATGAATGAACCAATGTGCGCTTTGGGGGTTCAGGGATTTGAAGCCTTTGGGGAAGATCCTCGAGACTAGCCTTGAGAGCAGCCTGAAGCTCAGCATCTTCATCATCAATGACCCTGTTGGTCACTTCGCTAACCGATGGGGCAGATTGTGGACCAAAGCCGAGTAGGGAGCTGGGAGGTTCAGTGGTTGCGCCGTATTGACGGAGGGTGGAACGGGTACTTCGTTGAACAATCGGAATGTCCTGTCGTGGAGGCGTACCGTCTTCAGCGTCTACGTAGTCGGCATCGTCCTCGTCCTCGTCCTCTCCGGTGATATCGATATACGCCTGTTCATCTTCCTCTTCCAATTGTGCTCCAGGCTCCCTCAAACTTTCCTCCACCGCCTTTCGGAATTCTTCGTCCTCATGCTCATCCGCCCGACTTCTCACGCGTGAAGAGCTTCTAGGAGTGGCTTGCGCCTCGAAAGCTAGTTGTTGATCCAGTGTGGCCCTTTCTAACAAGGTCCGTGAACGAGCAGCCGATAAATGAAGTTCCCGCGAGCTATCCTTCGATGCTGAGGCGACACCAGCGAAGCCTCTTCGAGCACTCTCAGCAAACTCGGAGAACGATCGACTCGAGGAGGCTGGTTCACTGTATGAAACTTCTGCTGGGTACCGAATTTCGCGGCGAGTGTTTTCTAGAGAGGCCTGCAACGCGCGCTGGAGCTCGATATCTTCTCCCTCAAATCCCGCCGTGTCAAATGGCTCAGGCTGCACGGAGGAACGGGATGCCGAGGAGAAGTGAGACTGGGGGTCCGGGATAGTGCTAGCAATCCCATCTGCCTCACACAACGGTATTAATGGATTTTCAGCTGTGTGGTTACTCTGAGGTCGAACGGCGAATACCGAATATCCTAAAGCAAACAGTCGAGTTGGTCAAGATGACCCTGTAACAGCACAAATACTGATACCTTCGGTCTCTGCTTGATGTAAGACCATCCCCAGATACATAACTCCGACTCGCTGAGGCTGGGCAAAGGAAGAATTAAGGTTATACCAGTGTCCCGTAGACTCAGGAAGCCCAAATCGTCGAATTGTGAACCAGTGCTGGTTGAGGTTGAGGACAAATGCCTGTTGTGTGCTGAAAAATAAATGGGACATATGTCACCAGGGGATTGTAGCGAACAATGCGCACTCTGGGTCATCACGGCACCCGTCAAACTCCCGGCTTCTCCATCTTACGAGCCTAGACATTAGTACAATACGTTACGTGCCAATGCAAATATGTTCCATCGGTAGACTTACGACAAACCCCATACTTCCAAAGCTTTGTCAAGGACTTGAACAGAGAAATAACCTGTATCATCCATATTCGAGCTCTGTGTCCGACGTGATTCGCCACTCCGATATTCGTTCTCCAACTCATCAAGACTACGTGCCAGTTCGCCCAAATCGGAGGCAGAAAACTGGATCGTCGTGTAGCGATGGAGTATCCCATCAGGGTTCTAACTGCTCATACATAATAGCGATTGAACGAACATAGCTGTTTTGCAAAAGCGCATTGAGAGCATGTTGGGCGCACATCATCGATCCCTCCTCTTGCTAGCATAAAATCCAAAGGATTTCCAATCAGCGTCGTCATAGGCGTGTGGGAAACAATGACCAAGCCTATAACACCTTCTCATGATAGATAAGTCGCTCCAACGCGTTCATGTTGATTGAGATTAGGAGACGCGCGTTGGCGGAAGCAAAGAGTCGACAACGTCTGTGACGACTTGGCAGTGGAACTGAATTAGGCATTGCAGTGTTGGGGCTTAGCCAACGCCAACGTTTCCTTAGCTTGGGCATCTCTCAAGCCGGTAGACAAATTTTACTAGCGTTGCTTTCGCCCATCCAATATGTTGCGATCCTTCAAACTGGCCTCCACTCTGCTCCTCCTATCTTGGCTTGACATAGCAAAGGCAGACGATTCGTGGGAGTGTGCCTTTACCCTCGATTCTAAGCATCACTATGACCTTAAGTCACTATCGGGGGAGAGGAAAATACAGAAAACTTGGCTGTCGCCTCCCACTAAAAACACGGACACACTGCGCTTCGACCTTTGCCAACCAATAAAAGAAGACACCAGCGTACCTGAAGACGACAGAGTAAGTCAACAAGCAGGCTTGAGCACAATTGTTCTCCGAAGCGTCCTGAATCTTCCCGATTTAGTGTCCCTCGAGTACGTATGCTTGCTGGACCACCGCAAATGAGAAATCTGGAAAGACCAGAATTACACAAGTTATCTCGTTGGCTCGTTCGCCATCTCTGAGTCCGGAGTACAAACGCTGTGAGCGTGCTCCCCCATGTGGGTTCGTCCAAATATCTCATGCCACCAACCATAGTGTCGGATTCTGAGATCTCCGTGACACTTCATGGAGACTCATGGCCAGAACCGACCTCACCACGAGAGCGCTTTGTCGTCACCCTGCAGTGTTCATCGAGTGACGAGGACCCAGAACTAGGGATCCATACAGAAAACGCGACAGAAGTACACTGGAAAGTGAAAGCTGCCTGTGCAGAGGAGTCGAAACCACCCCCACCCGACACCAAACATCCCGATGAAGATAGCAGAAAGACATCAGAAGGAAGCAGTCTAGGATGGTTCTTTTTCCTGTGAGTGCCCAATGCGCATGCAGTACTCAAATTGTCCTTACATCAGCCTCAGACTTCTGTTCTGTTTCGCCACGTATCTTGGGCTTGGGGCGTATTACAATTACAATAACTAGTTAGTTCATGTTCCCTCCCTTCACTGACTTCTGCTTATTGGGGCTATTTAGTGGCGCTTCTGGTTGGGATCTGGTACCGCATCGGGATTTCTGGCGTGACGTTCCACACTTGCTATCTGACCTTCTGAGAGGAATCCTGTCTGGCGTCAGGGGAAACAATAGGGTAGGGAACCGAAGCGGGTATGTCAGCGTTTAGATCGATCGATGCCTTGGTCCGAGTCCCAGGTTTGAAATCGCATTATTGTTTATTATACTTGCCTCAATCGTAGTCGATTAATAGTCAAATAATTTGTGCACCTTCTAGGCGCTTTCAGGATTATAGCCCTGCTCCTTCATATCATCGGGACACGCAAAAAGTTTACATTGAAATTTAGACATTAATATATACATTGGGCAGTGGTGATGGATCGGGTGCTGGTAAGAAGCAAAGTGCATTCGGCGGTACAACACGGGAAGGGAGCATTCAATAATATCCCGAGTCTCGGATTCTTCCATGAAACAACAGGATGGCTCGGATTTGTCTTCAGGGGGCGGATTCGACAGCTTCATCCGTAATGAGCTCGATATCCTTCACGAGACCCTCGAGAACCAGCCGATGGAATGGGTCGCTCGCCACATAGCCTGGCTCCTCAACCTTTACAATGAGGCTTGGCAACGGATGGGTCGGCAACACCCTCCTCCGAGCGTTCATCAATGCTTGGAGGGGGTCGAAAGGGACGTTGTCGCTCATCTGCATCACGAGCTCAGCCAAATTGGGGAGGACGGATGTGGCGGCCAGGCTAAGTTCTTCCAACAGAGAGGATAGGATACGAGTCAATATCACCTCAAACGTGAGGTAGCGCACTTCCGAACACTCAAGGATCTGATCAACGACTAGTCAGGACAACAGGCGGTAAGAACAGCGTTAATTCTGCCCTAAACGTACGAAGTTAGAGTAGGATATGGCGGCGATCGACCGTTCCTCTTGGCTAATCGGGCCTCCCCAGTCGAATCCCAGATGTAATCGTCTCAAGCATGGAGCAGCGAATGAGGGAAGGAAATTCATACTGTGGTGCTGACCTGAAAAATAGGTAAGCTCCCGGAGGTTTGGCAGGGTAAGCTGATCTGTGGGCCCGGTTGGCCAAACATCCACGCCGTTAAGGATAAGGACCTCAAGAGCCTCCATTTCCCTGAGGGAAGCCAGGAAGACATTGCATGCTACTCCCATCTGATCTAGGTACAGGAAGCGGAGACGAGGTAGCCTGGGCATTGCAGGTTGAGGTTCAAAGATTGTGGTGATAAAGAGCACCTCGAGATTGGCATCCGGGAGGTCGTGAGGGGGGACGTTGGGGGAATGAAGCTCTGTAATACGTGACAAGATTCCGGCCATATCTGGGTGATTCCAAGCACTGAGCCAAGTATTGTCCCCGATCGTGGAAGAGTGCAGCCGAATCACGGATACGTTCGACTCCGAAAGCTGAGCTAGGAGCTCTCGATCAACGAGAAGTTGTCCTACCCACGGTATGTGACAGTTGAGGAGGATTGGTCTCTTCTTGCCACGTCGACGCAGCCATGCAAGCACTTGATCTCGTGGCCAGTTACCACAGACCTCACACCAGAGGGAGGTATCCGAAAGGGCGACGTCCCGCCACCACGAGGATACATGGCTGATCCTTACGGCAGTTTTGGACTTGGAGGTGAGTGGCTGGTGCCTCCCGCCTGTGGCGTTCTCGAAAATCAGTCTTAGGACGTCAAGGGGGAGACCATAAACAGGATAAATGACTTTCTTCAGTCGTGACAGCTGCAGGACCACGTCTTGTTGGGGGACGACAGGAGACCTTCAAAAAATTGTAAGCGATCCTGTCGAACGCTCGCGTCGCCACGCCGAAAGACCGAGAGGCGGAGTGCACGGCAAAGTTGAGGTCGGAATGTGGTAGGAAGGGATAAGGAGTCGATGGTAATCTTCAAGACCTGCGCGTCGAGTGAAGAGGAGGCGTCCCGCAAGTGGATGAAGAGGGCTTCCAAGTCCATGAGGGTCATACGATGTTAACATAGCAGGAAGGGAAAGGACGCCCCCGTCTTCGTGAAAAGGTAGATTTCTAGCCTTATGTACAGGAGTATCAGCAGTGGCTCAATATCTAATGTGATGGAAGTGGCAGCTGCCCTGAATTGTAAAATTGAACCCGGATGAGTATGCCACGGAACCGATTGGCCAAAAACTGGCCTCCCCCCACTTTTACAGCCTTCTAGGGCGCATTCACTTCTATTGCCTTTGCGGTACACTGTTGAACCGGGAGACGCATGACAAATAACGAGAAGTAACACCAAGAGCCCCATCACTAATTTTACTCAAAATCTTGGGGACACTTCCAACCACGCCAAACTGCCACCATGTCTTCCATAAACACGTTTAAATCTATCTAGGGGAACTCCAGACCAGCCCAATGACTTCACTCGCCCCCCAAAGCATTTCGGTCGCCCGTCAACCTGGACAGCCACACGAGGCCGAACCCTGACTTTTCATCCAGAATCTTGCTTGCCAACGGTTGTACAGTTGCAAATCTATTGCTTCCAAATACTCCAGCACTTCGACGGGTGCTTTGGGGAAGATATCTTCGCGGCGACGCCGAGGATTAGCTCACAACAAATGGTGATCACCCCAGGAAATCCGCTTTGTGAGACGGCGAATAGCCTGAGCCGAACCGGTAGCTGAGTGATAGACGTCTTGTGATTTTCATCTGGTTTAATGATTGAAATAGTCTGTCGTGTCTCGGGAGTTGGCTGGGTGACGGCCGGCTTGGCAGGACTACACCAGACACAACGCTGACACCGAATGGCGGACCTTGGCAAACATTGGATGCAATAACGGGAGTTGGATAACAAGTCTGCAGGATACATGCGCCGGTTCGTCACAGATTCATCTCGAAATTGACGGTTCGAAGCCAGTCAGTTGCGCGTATGACTCGCGCACTGTTCCGGGTTTGAAATCGGCCGTCGGTGTATTGCCGAGAACGAACGCTCACCAGTGTTCCCCCTGACAGTCCCCCGCCCTTTTCAACTCTTAACCCCCCAATTTCGTAGCTGTTCTAGCCTTTCTGCACCGGGGAAGAGTAACTTAGATTTCGCCCTCTACAAAGCTAGAACGTGAATCAGGAACTGGAGGGTATCCAGGAACCCCTTGCTGCGCCACTTTGACCCTGCTCATGCCCCAAGTCACCAGTTCAGGTCTCATTCATAAGAATGTCGCCCGGCCATTTGGCGGGTCACGCATTCGATCACTTCTCGACCTAGCTCGCCGCCAGCCTTTGACCTCCCCGTGCACCGAGGGGTGAACGCATGGTACCCGGCAGCTAAAAATTATAATTTGGTTCTCAACACTGAGCTGATGATGGGCACCGGGAAGGGTGTGTGACCTTGTCAATCAAAGACGCTGAACTTCTGCACAAAGAATATCCCTACCGTGGATCCGTTTCGCTATCAAGCGATGTTGCACAAATAAAGGCATGGATTTTCCTCGCAATTTTCCAGAAGATCAGCAGGTGGGGAGTTTTAATGTGGCAGATCGTATTACAATCACGCGAGATGGGTACGTCGCGAATAACCTCTTATGGAAAAGCTCGTGATGCGTGAGAAGGACAAGGAGGCAGGTTCGAGATGGGAGTTATCGTCCAAAGTCAGGAGTTCGCGTGTGGCAACCTTGAATTGATGGTAGGAATATTGGAACGATTCGCCCACCGAACAGTGAGCGAAAAACAGTTCCTACCCTGACAATTTATTTTGGGTGGAGTGGGAAGACATCTTTTCTAGCGCCCATAACCCGAGTGCAGCAGCAATATGAGCATTGACCGTCTCCCCAGTCCGTTGAATGCATCTTTGCGCATTTGAAAACAATTCCCTTGGCAACTTTTCTCGCCCACCCTTAATAGTGATTCGCTCTCAAAGCTTCCGGTTGGCAATGGAAGTGGCCATTTCAACATTTCAATCGCGGCGAATCGCGAGCAAAATCCTGTGCTGAGACAGAAGCCAGAACCGTGTTGTGGTAGGAGAGGAGTTGTTAATACGGATCTGGAGCAGCTTGGTAGAGGACCTTCTAGTTCTAAGTTCAAGATCGCCCAATAAGGTCATCCTCTGGGGTTCGCGAGCAAAAGAAAAGAAACTGGCACCTGAAGCCTAAAACTGTTTCCTCAGGAAGAGCCGTCGTTGTTGGGAGGGAGTGGGTGGATGGGATACAAAAGTTTGAAGCCGACAGGGCCATACCTCATTGGCAATTCGTTCAATGCAAGCTGGAAACTGCTAGAAATCAATACGACGAGGCACTTGCACGAAAAAGACTCTCAATACCAGAATGATGGCACAAAAGACCTTCATTCTAATTGCCGTGGTCTTAATAACTGCATCTGTTTAGGCGGGAAACACTCATAAAATTCATTGTCCCAAAAAATCCAGGGCCAGAACGACCAGATGAAGCCACCACCGAATGGCTCAGGCTTAGTGCGATAACGGATCCGGGTTGGAGCTTTCTGACGGGAGATAACCGAAGCAGATGTAGACCTGGAAGTAGCCCAGGAACTGCTGCAGCTACACAGTTACTCCCGGCTCCGCCTGGTTGCGGTGGTTGCAGACGAAGGTCTATAAATCGTAGACTGAAAGCCCGAAAGGCGAATTCGAGAATTCGAATTTACACCGCTTCCATGTGGCACTGTCAGCGAGCAGCCATCTGAGTGCGCTGGTGTGATGGGAGCAGAACTCCCCGTGTCTTGGACACGGACTCAGCTCACCCGGGACGGGAGGTCGCCTCGAGCATAGACGGCAGCGCCGGCGATCCCTGACCCATACTTATGTAATTGCCCATTCATTAGTTCCTTTCACATACACACAGATGTTCGGGAACACGCGTCCTTCCACGGCGGGCCGGACGTAGCCGATGGATTCGCGTTGATGATTGCTTTTTTGGGGAATGGCACTTCCGCACCCACGCCCCTGAGGCAGGGGATTCACCTGCCAGGGAATATGTTTTTGATCTAGGCAACAATTGACCATGAACATGCAACCACAGACACTCTTCGGACTGTGGGAGACTCAATGTGTCCCAAGTTGTTCACCTATTTTTGTGGCTCAGTCGGGATGGCGTGTGTAAACACATGTTTCGAGGTTGCTTTCCAACACCTATTAGTATAAGTCTGGGAGGGCGTCACCAACTCAATGTCTGCTCTGAGCTCCGAGCCCCATCCAGTCGTATGGCTGTCCTTAAATACTTGTTTGCGTGGCTTAGTTCATCTACACTGAGCACCAATTAGTTGAGGACTTGGTGCCACCTTGTTAAGGTAGCGTCGAATACCCGTCTGTTTGTTACGTTCAGTGACAATCTCCGAGGCTACAGCGCATCTAAGAGATGATACTGTTGTTTCCAGCCACGCCAGGGGTGAAAAGCATACAAACCAGCCGATGCCGCTGCGCATATCTTCGATCCCCGCTGGGCCTGGATCCTCCTCAAGCTGGGTGTGACCCAAGGGGATGCTACATACCAGTGTATTCAATTTGTTCTCTGGGCCTTGTGCGAGTCTGGAGTTCACGAATCATGGTTTCCAAGATGAAACAGCAATCGGGTGGGAGGTCGCAAAAGTCAAGACTTACGCCGTCCATTGCAAGCTCGCAAGTAATGGCTTTCGCGAGAGTCGTCGTCGCAACCCGCAATCGTTATCCCCTTAAACGGTAGGACCTACAACTTGGAGGACGGTCCCCAAGAGCGAGTGGCCTCCAGACGATTCCTCTCGACTGCGAGCTCTTGGACATTCGGGACCGAGAAGTCGAATACTCCATTCATGACCAGGCGCCAAGTAATTCGCTTGGGGGTGCCGCAAAATCGCCTTCCCAAGTTTACGTGACAGCCTCAACGCTCAAGACTTGAATATACATCGTAGTGGGGCTGTTCCGAGCGGCAATGGCAGTTACGGGCAGTCCGGCTTGTCGAATCCTATCGGTCGCGCTACGTTGATCGGGCGCCAAAGGTTACTAGTCTCAAGAAACACCCGGGGCCAGAGCCGAGAGATGCGGCTGATGGTACGCAGCGATTTTCACTCATTGGGTATGTCCACTCTATCCCTGAAATGGAAACGAAGAATCGAAAACCCACAGAGAGGGTAACGGATGCCTGCGAAAGAATTTCCAACCGGTTTTTTAACCTCTCTGTGCTGGTTGAACCGGCGGTCGAGAGGCGATGCTGGTGGCACGCTTAGGGATCGGGAGCGCAAGGGGTTCTACGACCTCGTGGAGGCGAAATGAGCAGCAGTAACAGTAGCCCCGAGGTCACCGAGGAAAGGATTCATCCTTTGAGCCAAAGGCGCAGGGGGCAATGAGAGGCTGGTCACCTGCCTAGAGGCAATGTGGCCTAATAAAAGCCTCAGTGGTTCCGAAATTAGATGTTGAATTCAAGTGGCAATGCCCTTCACCATCGTTAAATAATCGTACACGAAGGAGGGGGAACCGGGTTTAGGGTCGGGGTTTATGATGTTGAGGTGAGGTCTCTCGCAAAGCTGGGAAGACTTTAAAGCACTTCCCGGAAGGAAGAAAACTCTCACTCCTGCCCTCAGGCAACACCGGCGTTCTCCAACCAATGCTGGCACCCCTTGGTCTAGGCACCTAACAATCCCTGTAATCGTTCTTCAACGAACGCCCGCTATGCTGCATTGAAATCCAGTAGGTAGGGTGTGGAATCGTCAAAAGGAATGAGCCTCGTCAATTTTCCGGCAAAAGGAGGCTCACCTGCCCTTTCGACGCTCAGTACCGGCTTCCATGCGCAACATGAACAAACGTTAACACAGGAACGGACGAGTTAGATACTGATCCGAGTTGGTTCGCGCTGAATGCTTGGAGGCGAGAGAATACATCCTTCAGGGGTGTACACTCTATGAAAGGGAGGACGATCAGCGGAGTTCCTGGAAGTGAGTGGACTATATAAGAAGGGAAGCGGTTGCAAGAAACAATATCCATTTTGAGTGGCGGAACTCCTGTACATTTCCGATGATCCGTAAGTGGCCACTTGGATAATTATGCTTGATTCGGGTTAGATCGATGCTCTCGAGCTAGGGAGTCCGGTATGCAGAAGCGAATCTCGAGTTAACCGCTCGGTTTCGCCACATTCAGCCAGACTGGAGCATTTGCTCACACCATCCCAGCCCACAATGGTTCCCTCTCTCCCGCGTTTCCCTCCACCCGGTAACTGTCCTGCCTGTCATGTCATCGTTAATTGCTATTGCTGCTTCCGAAGATCTTGTATTTTCTACATCGCGCAATGTCCCATGCACAGAAATTGACGGATTTCACTGCGCCGTAGATACCGTCCGATTAACCTTGAAACACCGAGAGGGACCGATTTTCAATTTAATTGGACATCGATCAAATTAATAATTCCATTGATAACATACTTAGCGCTTGCTCACGCACAAGGCAACCGTCAACGAGATGTTACTAGTCAAGATATGAACTGGGGGGTGTGTGCCCTCCAGAGTGTAGAGTTGTCTAATCACAGATTCTCGCTTATCTAATGCCTCTATCAAGTGGCGCAACGCTGCTTCTTCGTCTCAATTAAAATCATCATCCTTCTTCCGTCCACCACCTTCCCTCAGCCTTTTCCCTCTGCATTACCAGAAAATATGGCCAATATCATCGCCAAAGCCACTGAGGTAGCTCACTCAGCGGCTGTCAGCCTTGCAACTGTAAGCCAGATTAAGATTGGTCAGGAGTTACCTCCTGTTCCTCTCAAGGAGAATGAACCAAACTCTTCGGTTTCGATCCATAACCTTCCCGGAAGGATCATCTTGGTGAGTGCGAACACGTCGTCTCGCAAATGAATTTCTCTCCTCATTGTTTTCCTATCCCCCGTTCCGATGACCGTAGGTCGGTGTGCCTGGTGCTTTCACTCCTACCTGCAGCTCTCAGGCACCTGGATACATCGAGAATTATGAAAAGGTGTGGTGAATTTCGTTCTTGCACCCATGGCATGATTTCGTTCACACTCGGCCGTTAGTTCACCGCTAAAGGTGCGTCTAACTGTTTCCCCTTTCCCGTGCTTCTTGAGGCGCAATCGGCTATCTGCAAGGTATCCAGGGCATCTACGTGATCAGTGTTAACGACGCGTTTGTTACGAAAGCTTGGAAAGCCAAGGTTTGTTTCCCATTTCTACACCGGCCACAACAACAATTTGCTACGTCGCTAATGCACTCGTAACAACAGCTTTCTGGAGATAAAGAAACTTCAGTCCGCTTCCTCGCTGATGACAAGGCATCCTTTTCAGGTGGCCTTGGGCTCACCTTCGATGGTAAGTTTCTCAATGTTTCAGTTCGAAAGCTTATATATTGACGATATATTAGCTACTGCTGGACTGGGAGGCATTCGTGCGCAGCGATTCGTCCTCGTCGTCAATGACGGAAAGGTCGAGAACATCTTCGTAGAGCCCGATGCGAGCAAAACGACCATCACCGCTGCAGAAGAAGTCCTCGCTAAGCTCTGAGCGTTCGTACGGATTTGAATTGATTCCCTGAAAATGAACGAGATCGTGCTGCCTTACAAAACATCTTGTTGCAAATTGTATTCCTAAATGTGTATCAACCATGAAACTCGCCAGCATCTATGGTATAATGGCATCTCCTTTGTGGAGCTTGATATTGAGCTCAGCACGCATGAGTGGATTGGCGATTGACGGTGCTAGTGACACGCTGAACCGGCCCACGAAACGATAACGGGAAACCCGGGGTGTTCAATTCCGCCTCAGATGCAAGGACGAGACCACTGGTTCAAAGTGAAGTGGGACTTGGATCGAACCACGGAGCGCATCGGCAGAAGAACTACGGAATTAATGAATCTAGTAGCCGTAAGATGTATGTTATGTATAAGCGTGACGGACACGGAACGTTGGAATGCAGTGTCGATTAGGGGACTGAGGGAAGGTCAAACGAAGCAAGTCTTCGGACCTTCGATGGATTAGCACCTCTGACTCCTAAGAGACTGATCGAGGATGCTGTCACTAGCCGAAACCTCGGGTGTTGCATTCAGACATGTATCGGTGTTCCAAACGTTTTCCTACCAAAGCTTCCAATTCTCGACACACACATCCAGGTTCGCCGATCAACAGGCTCCGAAATAGCCGACCCGGTTCAAGTTTTGTTCAAATTTCCCGTATGACTAATAAACATTCAAATTCATCGCCCTAGCCTTCAACCAGAGGACACGCTCACCATGCCAGCATGTCCAAACTCCGGACATGATGAAAGATACAAATTTGCAGAGCTATGTCCTTGATCAGTGAGAGTGTTTGGCACCGGCGAACCGGAAGAACATATGGTCTGCCGGGGTCCTACAATGCTAACGATTCATTATGTCGAACACGCAATGCCGTGTGACCGACCCGGTCAGTCTGCAGCCATCTGCAGCCATTCATTAACCATCGGCGATTCGACATTTTGCTTAGACCCCGAATGGAAAATGTTCACGCGTCGTGACCGATAAGTCCGCTCTCTCAGCCAGTCAATGCCTGGAGCCGGCGACGAGGCCCAGTACGGAATGGGTTAGAAAACCGATCTGTACCAATCACTCATGCTGCGAAATGACACAGATCAGGGGACAGAGATGGGTATTTGACCTTGGTCAAAAGCACGCCAGTGCCACGACCATTTCAAGCTTCTAGATTGTTCAAGTGGAGGGAACAGAGGAACTTGACGCGTGGTGATGGTTACTTTGTATTAGGAGCGCTCGAATCCAGGAGGTCTCGGATCATGGCGGAATCCAAGTACGCCCTGCAATCGGACTTTAGCCAAGATCTCGCTGAACGAGAACAAACGCTTTACCGTACGGTGGTTATCCTCCCTGACTCATTAAATGTGACAAACCACGCGAATCTGATGGTGCCCGGCTTCAGGAGAGCGCAATTCCGTCATAAAGCACGCAGTGTTACCTATTGTCATATTTGGCCCCATTCTTTCCAACGGGAACACCTCCTTGCTTATCTCTTGCCCTGAGACACTAACAAATAAGCTTAGTGCCCTAAAATTCGACCCAACGACTGACCGCATCTCAACAGCTGCTCGATTACCTGCAACCATTGGTTCTTGCGCTATCACCAGGCGTATCGGCTCCTACGCTAGGGATTATTACAAGCTCCGACAAACGGACAATAAGATTCCCGTACGTGGAAAGCACTCGTGATAACATCAAAGGTGGCTTTGAGGAATGCTAGTTATTGATAGCGTCTGAGCAGTAACATTGATATCACGGATAAAGAGGCCAATGAACCATTTTTGCTAGTGAAACGCCCCGATAACGGGTGAGTCTTGAGGTCAGGGTCGGGATTAGTTACCGTCCAATCCACGTCCTCCTCAACGTGGTTGAAAAACGCAGTGAAGTCTCCTGTTCCCAGGTTGGAAAAGATGTCCTTGACTTGCTTGACAGAGATACTCATGGTGGCGTGGGGTGGGGAACCCGTCTTAACGTGAAGGGTATGGGGGAATGAGGGTCTTCTTATGACATTAATAAATCGCTGGGCGCTCAAAACTTCCCACGCTCCAGTTACTGTAGTGACCGTTGTGTGGACCAATCAAGATGTCTGAAGACGATTGTTGTCCATTTCTGGAGTTGGTCGTCCGTCATTCACTTCCATTTCAACCCAGGTTAGATTGCCTTTACTCGCTTCACATCAGTGACATCCATTTACTGGATGGCCTCAGTTTCCTCCTGAACGTCCTCTTCGCCAACTGTCACCTCTCATTCTCTTCTTCGGTCATTGGCTTCTAGGGCACCACTAAGCGTTCGCTCGCCTGTGTAAGCACACTCCCATGTCATTGGGAACTGTATCGCCAACGATTTCGACGGCACACGAACTGCCCATTATTGATCGGTTCAGTGGACGAATGTTTTACTGCTCCATTCTCCGCCACTCTAGACATCTGTCTCATCTCACCCACCTCCAGAAATGAACAAAATCGTCATCAGTGACATCTTGATTGGTGCGTCCACTTTCTCTTCTGGCTTCCCCACCGCTAGCACGGCGCTAGCCCCCAAGCCAGGTTCGGATACTGCAGATGTAATCGCTGTGAAGTGACTTTTTCGTTCCCTGGGTCACTTCTGTCCCTCCTTCTGTCGGCGATCTACTCTTTGCACGAGGATCCTTCATCCCTTGCATTTGTCTGTGAAGGGCCCATCGCTCCTTCCACCCTGTCTACCTGTACTGCCCAGCTCAACAGTCCCGGGAAGGACATGCATCCGGTTACAAACTATCTGACTAATAAATAATCGTGGTCGAACTCTATATTCCCAGCACATATCTGGAGAGTGTCATTTCCTCGACTACAGCGCGTTTTTAGATGGGGTCTCACTCTGAGTCATTTGGAAATCAGGGCTGGAATATTCCTTCACCCTCTCCTTCGCACCTATTGCTTATTACATCTCCCGAGATGCGAATATTTGACATATTTCTTAGTTTGAACTAAGACAGTGTCTTTCAAAACGACTCCAGATTTTAATTTGTGTATGCTGCCAACCAGCCGACAAGCGTAACCGAAAACTAAATGGGTAGTACACTTCAGCGTATGCGGGTATTACAACGTGGTACCGTACACAAATTCAAACCAGAGAAAAACGCTGGCCCCACTTATGCAAGTGGCTTTTCAATCCACTGCCTTTGTCCGTCAACCCCGAGTGGTCTAAATATTCATTAGGGTGGGAATGCAAGCCTGATCATCTGCGGCCATAGGACTCGGAAAGCACCGCATCTCGTCTGATCTGCGAAGTTAAGTCGGGTACTGCTTAGCTAGTACCATGATAGGGGACTACATGGGAATCCTGAGTGCTGCGGTTTCTATTTTCAGGTTTTTCCTGGGTTCTCAAACTAATGGTATAAAGAGCGCGGGCACGCTCCGGCGACCGGGCACTGTTTGGCACACACTCTCATTGGATAATGACGCTTACTTCACCTGTTTGGGTTGGGCTGGGCTGGCCCATTACCTTGCACGCACATGTCCTGATCCATCTCCTGTAGAAGGAACGAAGTGGTTTGGTTGCGATCGCTGGTGTAACTTCGTCCATGCGGCCGGATTCGTCCACTGGTCATGCAGGTTTACCTCATATCGTCATGTACAACACCCAAACCATGACCTTCCTTTGAACAGTTTGGACAGTTTTAATTCGAGGTGGGTGCAAATGTGTCATACTAGACCATTATCTCACACTGACCTCGGATATCGACTTTAGACATCAAACCCTGTGCCGTTGTACTAATCGATACCCTTCCCGCTGTGCTGACAAGCACACTTTTTGAACACCGTTTTGCAAAGCCACGAGCCCCTGCCCCAGAAAAGAACAATAATGACGTTTTCCCTGTTCAACCAAAGGTTTCTCGTTGGTCCGCAATATTTGGCCTCTCGCAGGTGCAACTTCAGCTGGATTTGGGCAGAGGACATAGGTCCACTATGTCATGTCATTATCCTCTCTAGCTCAGGCCCTCGCTCAAGTCCTCCTCTAATGCACATGCGAGAAAGACGTGTGCTGATGCGTACGTGGCAAGCCGTCCATTGCTAGCGTTGTGCACTGGCTACTATTACCACGAGTTTAGTGTTCCTCTGTCCGTACCATCAAATACGTGACCTAAAACTATCCTATCACGTAAGAGCTCAGCAAACAGAGGTTTCCCCCGCCTCGTATATTCCAAAGCGCCAGATGGCACTCTTAGCCAACTATACGCTTTATGCTTTACTGCCAGTGCGTGATTGATAGCCAACGGAGCATTCTTTAGGAGGAGTTCTCAGTTCCGGGAGGAATAAGACACTCTCAGCCATATCATTAGCTGCTTAGAGCCAGCGTATGCGGCTTGTCGGTTCTCCTTTCTGGCTGAGTCTTTCCGATTCTGCTGTGCTTGCTATCGTACCGCGGACTCTACGGGCCCAGCTAGCATTCCATAGCACAAGCCGTGTTTCCTCGATCCTGCTGCTTGTGTTCGTCGAAAGTTGGGGCGAAACTTCGAGTACAAAACTTACGGTGTACTTTTCAGAGTTTCAATTCGTATCTCGTATCTGTCGGCTCGTCGGCGCCACCGTGAACTTAATCCAAGACACTGTTGCTGCACGGGGAGGCTAATCGATGAGCTAGCCTACTGGAAGTTGGTGCCACTGGTTTCCTATACAATATAGTCACGCAAGTAATATTTCGCTTTGAGTCTCATATGGAGAGCCGAAATAATCTTGCCCCGGAGCCGTTGCGGCGCTCCTCGCTCGGGTGGTTCTCTTAGTGGGTTAACACAGTGATAGTGCATAGCTGCTGTTGGGGCTGTCCGCATACTCTCTCTGCTCTTGGAGGCGGTGTCAATGCTTTTTGGGAAAAGATTTTGTAAAGTTTGTAATGATCCTAATGCATATTGAGGGTGCTCTGAATTCCGTTGCTATCCAATAACATTTTCTGCTTTGGTAGTAGGAATATTTAGTATAACTGTTTTGGTTCATTTTTGCTAGGTACATGCATTCCAGGCGGGTCAACACGGGATTCATTAGCTCGACTTGGATGGAAAGCGAATTTTAATTGCGCATTTAACAGTGTTGGACTGGTTGTGGTCTGAAGTCTCTTGGGATTCCGATCACTACATAGGACCACCGCACTGGTCTGTTGGTCAGACGAATAGACGAATAAATTCGATCAGAAAGAGCAGCGCGTGACCAGGTTGGTGTCGCCCGATGAATTTGCCTCCGGATCGAGGGCAGACTGTTCAAAAATCGTCCGATCGACTCACCTTGTTCTTTCGCTCTTGTTTTTGCGAAGCCAGAATGTCCAAATTTGAGGCAACAGTATCAGCACCTGTGAACATCGCGTGTATTAAGTAAGTTTTAATGCCAAACATCGACGTTAACGCGACATCGTGTTTCCTCAAGACGCGGTCATGCTCATGGATAGCTGCGCGCGATACTTCCCCTGATAGATACTGGGGGAAACGGGACACAAAGCTTATATTGCCCACTAATTCTTCATTATCCGTCACTCTCGAGCAGGATCAACTGAGGTCAAAAACGACATCAAGGGCGGACGCTTCATTCGTGAAAGATCAGTTGTGGTTAAATGGGAAGGAGGAGGAGATTAAAGCAGGAGGCAGAACGGCGACATGTATCACTGAAATGAAGGCTCTTCGGAGGAAAGTTGAGGAGGCTAATCCGGATGAACCCAAAGTATGCATTTCGGAGCATCACCGCGGGAACCACATCTCACTCTTTCGTTTCTCTAGATTTCAGACTTGCACATTCACATCTCGTCCTATAACAACTTTCCCACTGCTGCTGGGTTAGCGTCTTCTGCCTCGGGTTTCGCAGCACTGGTTTCCTCTCTCGCTGCATTGTACAAACTTCCCTCGACGCCAAGTGAACTCTCGCTCATCGCACGTCAAGGGTCAGGATCAGCATGCCGTTCCCTCTTCGGGGGGTTCGTAGCCTGGAATATGGGTTCCAAGGCAGACGGGTCCGATTCATTTGCAGAGGAGGTTGCGCCTCAATCTCACTGGCCGGAGATGCACGCACTCATTTGCATTGTCTCTGATGATAAGAAGGGGACCTCTTCTACTGCGGGCATGCAACGGACAGTGGAAACTTCGGAATTGCTCAAGCATCGCATTGAGCACGTTGTCCCTGCCCGAATGAACGCTATCATTGAGGCGATTAAGCGCCGGGATTTCGATACCTTTGCGCAAGTGACAATGCAGGATTCAAATCAATTTCACGCTGTTGCGCTCGATACGGACCCTCCTATCTTCTACATGAATGATGTGAGTAGGGCAATCGTCGCGATTGTTGTTGAATTAAATCGAGCGAGTGTCGCCCGGGGTGAAGGGCTAGTGGCGGCATACACTTACGATGCCGGTCCGAACGCGGTCATTTATACGTTGGATCGGAACGCAAAGACGATTATCGACTTGTTAGCTTCTTACTTCCCAAGTGCCATTGGTAATTTCTCCGATCCTTTTGGGTTGTTTGGAGGGAATGGGCAGGAACGTGGTTCCCTGAGATTGCCGGAAGGTTTTAATCCTGCCGTAGCTAAGGTATATGAAAGCGGGGGTGTCAAGGGGTTCATTCACACGCGGGTTGGGGGTGGACCAAGGGTATTGGACGAGGGGGAGTCTCTTCTGAGAAGTAATGGTTGGCCGCTGGGGTAGAAATGGAGGACTGATGTAACTTTTGGGCCGTTGTCTTGGGGAAGAACGATATGAGCTATATGGGTACACATCTGCCTGCTGTACTGTTACACTACTCGCACAACTGCTGGCTGTCTGATCTCAAAATCATGGCAAATTAACTGATTATTTTTCGATTTGATGGGAAGCGAAAGCGTTGGGGTGATACTGGGAATTTCGCTCAATATAAAGGACACTTCCCCGGATATCTCCTTCCCCACACAAGCAACCCTCCGTCCTTCGATTTCCACAACGATTCTATCGCTCGTCGCGGTGCATCTTGTAGTGCATACCGACGGTTTTGCCTCATTGCCGCGTGGTGATCGGTTTTGTTTCGGCTCATACTTGTACTTGCCGGATAATCTTGCTGCAAATAACTCGATTTCCTTCCGGCTTCCCTCTGCAACGGGGCTGTTTCTTGCGTTATTTCATACAGCAGCTTCCGTGATACGAATTACGGCCTGCACAGCAACCTTCGGCGACGCTGTTATCGTGCTCCATCCTGTTACAAGCTACTTCCACGCTCCTTCTGCTCAGTCACCATCCGCACTTTCCAACTTGTCTCATTCTCCCTTAGTAAGGGCATGCATTTTACTCATCCAGCATGACGCTTATATTTTTGTCGTAGGCTTTCAAGACGGCGTCTCTCAACTCCCAAATGAACTCTCTGAGATACATATCGCGACAGTTCGATGTCTTTGCTGTCCAATCCAACTCATCACCGGCTACTCCATCCACGTCCTCTGAACTCTCTGGTCATCATGGCGTGGATGATGACTCGCGGCCCTCGCGGCCTATCGGGGTGAGGAGGTCTTCATTTCCCACCATCTCACGGAAACGATCATCAGGGCGACTTCGTAAGAAGAGTCTTGGTTCTAATAGTGCTCCTTCAACTCCCATTCCAACCTTCCCGATGCCTAGAGCATCACCTAGTCCAAGGAGTAGACGACGACGACGAATGCTCCTTAGATCTTCGCTATCAACGATATGGCAATTGCTTTGCACGACCTGGCTTTGGCTGAGTCGGTCAAGTACTCATCTGAAGGAATCCGTTAAAGGAAACCAAGAGAAAGTCCTAAATGTCTTTATATCTGCGAAGCTCTCTTCACCAGTAGAAGCACTGCAGGATGATCAATCGGATGTTACGCTCGTTGACTCTGACTCGGAGGAAGATGCGCCGCGGCATCCGCATCCATCATTGGCTATCAACAAGTACGACGACGCTGCGCTTCACAGCAATATTTCGCCGCAAAGGCGAAAGCAAATGCAGCCGCCGGAGCCCCAACAACCGGTACAACCTCCACATGTTACTCCTTCATCCCCTGATGCTATCGCACCTTGGACATCTCGTGAAAACCCTTTCATATCCCATCCGACATTGCCACCCCCGCGAAATGAACGTGTACAGACATCGGCACCTGTGCCGATACCATCGCCGTTCGCCCGGGATCCGGGACATCGCTATGCTCAATCAACTTTGACTCCATTTCCGGGTAAAGAACGGATGCCCGTGCTGGACGGTAATGAGAATGATAACGACGAGGAGGAATATATCAATGATTCCCTCGTTATTCGTCCTTCTGGATCATCACCACCCGTCTCTCTATCTCCTGACACTTAAACATTGATATGCCTGCCCGACATCACGTCGCTGGGCCATCTGCAAGTGAAGTTGTTCATATCGTGCAATCGCCAATGTCCTTGTCACCTTCGGAACCACCGCCTCCCCCCTTATCCTCAACGAAACTCTTCCTAATAGGTTAGGCAATTCGTATCTTACTGCCCCCTCTTCTCGCTTAACATCACGCTCACGAACATCACCTGCTCGCACGCCCTCACCGCGCGCCTCAACATTTCCAGTTCGAATGCCTAAGACGCTCGTACTTGATCTAGACGAGACACTCATTCATTCGACGTCTTCCCGCTCACCTTTACCCTCTCCGTCCTTGTCTTCAAGTAAGAGTGGGTTATTTGACTTGGGAGGATTGTTCATCGGAGGTGGATTTGGTGGGACTGGGATATTGAGCACAATACTCGGGGGAGGGCTGTTAAGTGGGACAACTGGGGGTTTGTTAAGTGGTGGGGGCTCAAGGAGTAGACAAGGACATATGATCGAGGTTGTATTGAACGGGAGAAGTACGTTGTACACGGTTTATAAGAGGCCCTTTGTGGATTATTTTTTGAAGAAGGTTGGTGCGCATCACTGCTTTCGTTTGGGTTGCGGAGAATTGTTTTTGTGTTGTTGACGACTGTGTGTCCTGGTGTGGAATTCAGGTCTCGGCATGGTATACTGTTGTCGTTTACACAGCGTCAATGCAGGAATATGCGGATCCTGTTATTGACTGGCTTGATGGGGGACGCGGTATCCTCAGTAGACGATTTTTCCGCGAGGTGCGTGGTGAATCCAATCCTTCGTCCTGACTGAAATTCATGGACTCCTTTGTTTGCATAACCATAGTCCTGTACACAACTCAATAATGGGACATACACGAAAAACTTATCTCTTGTTGATTCGGATCTTAGTAGAGTATGTATCATAGATAACTCACCAATTAGTTATAGTAACGACCCAGGTACGTTTCGTTTTCAATAACCTCGCTCGCCACTCTGCTGATTGCACGCCATTGCTTCTCTCCACTTCCCTTTCCTTGGCGTCTTTTTTGTGGAACAGCCAATGGAATTCCAATTGAAGGGTGGTATTCGGATCCTCATGACGAAGCCCTACTTGACCTCCTTCCGATACTGGATTCACTCCGCTTCACGAAGGACGTCCGACGCGTTCTCGGGCTGAAAGCATTTTGAATACAATACCCGTTCAATTCCATCCAATTGGCGCGCTCTTTTCGTTGAAAACACTTTATTCGGCATCGCCATCTCGCTTCACCTCGTTCCTCACATCAACGCATCACTGCACCCATCTCGCTTCACCATACAGCAACGATTACTTGCTCTGCTTCACATCATACAGACTAAATACTTCGTACCACTATCACCTTTGGTTCCGTTTCTTACTGTCGTGTTGCTGCACGACGAACTTCATTTTTTTTTGCCCTTTCCGGTAGGAATCGATCGAGAAATTGAGATGACTCGGATCGTCGATCATTCTTATCAAACGTTGTCACGACCTCACACATTTTATTTTTTCAAACGTGGCAAATACTTATGGGTAATACATTCGCAATGACATCGTTGGTCGAACGAGTAAAGAGTCGTACCTTCCCCCTTTTTTGGTACTATCGCTGCTTTCTGTCACATTCCCCCCCCACGTTTTTCACTAACATTAAATTATCTCTTACAACAGTTTATTGTATTCCACTGCAACACATACAAGTACCTATCCTAGCTAGTGCCATTGTAAATAAATTCTGGGCCAGAAGATGCCATGTTCGTGATTAGTATGGTATGACTCATGAGGGCAACAATGTGTAGTGCAGCAGATAAAGCGGCGCTTTCTGAAATGCTGTGGGATGGAATGAGCGTATTGGTGAGAACTGATTCGATGTTCTATGTGTCTACGGTGTCTACGAGGCCAGTAAGCGTCGAATAATGCTTGGGTCGTGAGGAATTCCAGCTTTCTCAAGGTAATCGTCGTTCCTAGATCAGTGCCAATTTGTGTGAATAGGGCTGCTGATATAGGCTTGAGTCAAATAAACGCACCAGAACTAAAATTGACGCCGAAGTCAGGGCAAAGCCACCAACTCATGATCGGAAATGAGATCAGGAAAAAAAAAAACCCTTACCTTCGAGTAATGTCGAGACCCAGAGTCGCACAAGATGGTGACGATGGTAGAACCTTTCTCCATAGTTTTTGCGAGACGGACACAAGCGACGAGGTTGCATGCACTGCTTGAACCAAGGAATAGCCCGTCGTGTCCAACGAGGTAGCGGGACATTGCGACCGCTTCGGTGTCTGTGACCCTACATGTCGAATCGGAAAAATAATCAAGGGAATGAATGTTTTGGATGTGTTGAGGGGGAAGATGGGAAAGTAGCGCACCGATATGCATCATCGATGTTTGGGAGGGCGAGCGAGAAGTTGTTCGTGAGGCGATTGATCCCTCTAATAGTCCAGAGATTCAAAGATTCATGACTCCCGATCATTGTCTCTCTGCTTACTTACATCCCCTCAACGACTGTATCAACCTATAAGAGCAGTGAAGGAATTATCAAACTGGTTGGGGATGATTGAAAAAAAATATATATATGTACCTGATGTCGTCTCTTCGTTCCTTCCTTTTCCTTTTTATCGAATAGAACACCATACTTGACTTTATTGTACAATCCTGAGCCTTCTGGGTCGGCTAAAACCACCTTAATGTCAGGGTTCATGCTCTTCAAATACGCCCCAACGCCGGCAATAGTCCCCCCAGTCCCTGGAATTGAAAAAAAAACATCAATATGTATACTGAGAGAGAAGCCATCGGCCGGCTCACCAGCCCCCGAGACAAAAGCATCCACTCCACCATTCGTCTGACGCCATATTTCAGGTCCCGTCCCTTCAAAGTGTGCATCGTGGTTTGCTTTGTTCTCGAATTGGTCAGCGAAGAAACCGCGAGGAGCGTTCCTGTGCGTGGGGTCGTCGGATGAAGTGGCAGAATCCATCCTCGTAATCTCAACATCAGTCGAGTGAACTAAGGGAACCTCGCCGAATTCGAGTGCCATTTCCCTCGCTAGATTCTAAGTTCATAGCTGAGATGCATGAATATGATTTTCTGTGAGAAGATACATACGACGAACTGGGGCCAAATATTCAGATCAAGAAAATTATTGGAGGTTGATTTGAGTGAACACACCTGCTTCTTATCTACTATGCTAGCCGGTCGAACCTTGACTACTCGTGCTCCCAAAGCCAGAAGGGCCTTGTGTTTCTCGTCCGCGACGTCATCTGGCATGACGATAGCTGGAAGCGGGCCAGTCGTTGGAGGATGCATTATTATTAGTGAGAGTGCTTACTAGTATTGTAACCCCTGGAATTCGTTCACATCAGCTCAAGGTGAATTGAAACATGATGATCGTGGAACATCACCTTGCTTTGGCCATCGTAGCGATAGAAATCCCCGTCGATCCAACTGTTCCTTCGAAAATGGTGGAGCCTTGAAATGGAATAAGGTGCCCTTCTCGTTCGGCATTATCGATGACTGGGGTTTAGGTGCATGAGGAAGAAAATGAGGCATTGAGAATCGACAAGGCTCACTTTTTAATGCTACTCTATCTTTGACGCTGCCACCAGGATTTAACCACTTGTGAGTTACAGTTACCGTCATCCGCATGTTATAGGCCATATCTGATAAAACTTACTTCAGCTTTCCCCTTGAGCAGGAAAACTCAGCGCACAGAAACGTAACGAGATCGGATGGGACACACAAGTATTTCGATCCCAAGAGCATCACTCAGAGAGTTAATGCGCACCAGTGGAGTGTTCCCTATTCAGCTGGTTTCAGGGGGGGTGCCAATGAGAGGGAAAGAAAAGAAATACCTACCTACGAGCCCAGATATGCCTTTGGCTTGAATCTCATCCTCATGCACCTCGATAGGACCTGGGGCGGGCTCTGCCTGCAGGCCATCATCAGCCGCAGGCGTTCCTCCCGCGAATAGGAGGTTCATCAGTGCTGACGAAGACCATGCTAAAGATACCCCGAGCACCACCCCACCAAGGAGCCCGAGGGGTGTTTTGTCGCTGATGGACCAGATAAAAGGTTCACGCCAATGCATGTTGTTGTTGAGCACCAAGGGCAGGGGTCGGGATAAATACACGAAAATAAAGCGAAAAATAAAGAGATAAGTCCGATTTGGGTATGCATGTCCGTTGTGTCAAGTAATGCCCAAATATTGCTCGTCGTCGCGTATGGGTTGACGTCACACGCAAATGCATTATCGGCGCTTAGATCATATTCCAGATCATTGATCTGGCGGGTTCCCACGCTCAATTTTTTGTTTTTGGTGTTGTGCAACTGTCTTAACACGTTTGGGGCCCACTCGTGTCCGTTTGTGCGTTTCGGCGGGGTGTATGTGTTCCATCTTCCCTCAGGATGTGTTACTCATTGCTTCTTCGGGAATGTTTGGCCCAGATTAGTGGAATGTACAAATCAAGCTTGATCCAAGCGCTGGAGATGGTGTGACGCAGCTGGTTCATCCCTCCGTTACTTGTACTTATCAAACGGTTGAAGTTTGTCAGGTACGCCCACTGGCACATAACTGTGGCGGGATGCCTTGGCTTAATAGTAGCCATGCCCGCCTACATCATCTCCATTTCATTTCAAACTTCGGCTCATTCCCGATCTGCCATCACCCGACAAAGCCCCTCACGTCACCGGGAGCGCTGTAACCTGCCGTTTTTGTTGTAGTGACGCCCCTTGTACGACAGGCCCACGTTTATGAACGTCTTCACTGTGCTATCGTCACTATACACCGCGGTCACAGGTAGACTTTCAGACCCCGTCGTGTCGCTCGTGTCAATTGGTCTTGCGACTTCTTCATACGTCTTCTTCACACAGTTTGGAGCCCTCTCTTTTGGCCCAGTCGCATTTGCGACTGAACGCAAGGAAGTTATATCAGAGGTACCCGAATGCATTGGTGAGTTCTCATGGAGGGGTGACAGTATGAATTGTTGACTTTTGACCAGAGCTATGGGGATTCTATACAGATAGGGCATCGGTAGCTAACGCGTACTCTCTGAAAACGCCTCATATCCACCGATAAATCTCTAGATTCGCATATCAGCCGCCGCCATTCTGTCGTGTCTGTCGTTCCTCGCTGCAGCCAGGTCATTGGACCCCTCGAAATTCGATGTCCAGCAATTACTTCACATCAACGCGACGGTTGCTTTCAGCGTCTTCCCATGGGTTATCACCATAAGTAAGGGACTCCTTAGCTTTCTCGTGTGATTTCAGTCACTAACGTGACATATCAAGTGTTACCAACTTACAAAAAGCTGTGGAGTTTCCGAGACAGGATCAGCAGGAAAACGTCAGACAACTATATCCTCACATCTGGAGAGTCACAAGATGCCATGGATTGTATCGACCACTGGAAAACATTGAATCTCGTCCGTGTCGCAATCGGGTTTACGGCATGGTTCTTGGCCTTCATTGTCTTACTCCTCGTCTGACGGATGCAGCATCATTGGATGGACTCCTCTCGCCCAATTTCTCTCATGTTCTGGGTTTCGTGACTGCATGTCAGGTTTCACGATATTTGGATGCTTGCTGCCCAGTTGTCGTCCTGCCAAATCGGTGGTTCGGTACCGAGCGGTGGATTACGTTGGCGTCCGATGACTTACTCCGATGCAGGTTTTTCATCACAGTAGCACCATCTGCAGCCAAACCTCACTAATTGTTGGCTGCATGTAGTACCAGTTCATCTAGCATCCATGTGTTCGATAAGATGCAATGCTGATTCGCAAATTCATCGCAACGTTGGAAACCCTGGCTGCCAAGACCGCCCGGTTCCCATTTCGAGTGGAAACTGTCATGACGCGGGGAATTCCGCACAAACAGCCCATAGCGACGATACGTAATCATGACAAATTGCTAGCCGTATAAAACTTGAAGTGAAATTGAGCGATGGCTGTAACTTCTTCAACCCTAACCAAACATGTCAGCGTCAGTGTGCGCTGCGCTCGCCTCCAAAGTCTCGAGTACTCCGGGTACGGCCTTTCTTGGGCCGGGACTCGTAGGCTCGTCCTTTTTCTTTTTTGCAAACATTGGAGAATCCTTGAGTGGTTCGCTCCGTACGATTCTAGAATCAGATGGCCGGGACAAAACAGGATTGAGTGTGTCGAAAGCCGTTGGTATGTCGAACTTCCAATTTTCTGCTTCGCTCTATTCTGATAGTGAACTCGACTTCACTCAGAGCTTTGGGGGTTCGTGCATGGAAATGCAGCTGTACGTCCTAGGCTGGGCGACTGTCAGAGCATCTCCATCATAACTCATTAAATGTACTGCTATAGCGATATTATCCGCTAAGTGCCACAATTGCCGCCCTGTCATTCTTGGCGGCGGGCTTGCTATCCCCACCATTAGCCGGGGGGTCCAGTCTTAAACCTCTCCTCTTCACTGCCTCTGCTGCAGCATTTGCTCCTCATCCATGGTCAGCCCTTTTGAGTGAGTAGGCTTCCTATCATCCTGCTGATATTCGCCAATCTCACATTATGCATGACTGCAAAGTCTGTTCTATTGATAGAAGACTCCTCGCTCTACGCGACCGTATACAGGAAAAGAGCTCAGAGGGACGAAGTCTTAGCGAGGCCGAGGAGAAGGAAGCTGTGGAACTTTTCGACAAGTGGAAGAGATTGCATCTGTTCCGGATCATTGCAAGCTTTCTCTCTTGGGGGCTTGCGGTAATCGCTATCTTCCTCGTCTAGGAGTATTGTGCATTCTTCAATAAGGGTGGGTTACGTGCACTGTGGTTTAGGTCGGCGCCGCCTTCGACTCGATGACGAGCCTGTGCCGTGCTGGACCTTAATTACCCGCTCAACAAGTTGCTATTGATTGTATTTTGTATCTCGAACTTGTATATCTATTTACTTCACTCCATTTGTTGGGTCACGTCGCCAGTGCCCGAGTCTGACTCGTCCAAGGCTTAGTTGTTGCTCATCCGCAGCGCTACTTGTTGGATTTTTGTAGCACCAGCTTCTGTGTAGCAGATAAAGGATCCTGTCACAGAAGTTGAACTATTAAATTCAGCAGCCGCTTGCCGAGATTCTCATTTCAGCTGACGTAAGGATCCCAAATTGTGTGGTTCAGTCAGGAAGCCGACCGAAGTGGTGCGTATACGTAGCCCGTTGACGCAGGCTTCTCAATGATGTGACCTGCCGTGTTCATGCATATAAAGCGGGACCCCCTTATCAAAAAACCTCTTTGTAGACATGTCAACTTCACTGTACTCTGCGTTTGTCTCCAAAGTCTCGAACACCCCGGGGGTAGGCTTTCTTGGCCTCGGACTCGCTAGTTCCTCCTTTTTCTTCTTCGGTAACATTGCCAACTTCCTGGTTGTTTTGCTCCCCGCTACCACAAAAGGCAGGGATCACAAGAATGCAGGAGAAGTCATTAGTGAGTCGGGTCTCTAGAACACCCTTCTGCTATTTCTGACGAACGTTCACCCAGAGCAATGGGTAGCCCTGTATAGGAATGGAGTTGTGCGTCTTGAAGTGAGAAGTTCTCAAAGCATTTTACTGATTTCATCGTATCGTAGCGATGTTTTGTACCAAGTTCTGTGATTGGCACCTTATCATTCTTGGCGGCAGGCTTGCTGTCCGAATCGCCAACGCCAGGTTCACCTGGTCTTAGACCTCTACTTTTCGCTGCCGCTGCCGTAGCAGTCATCCCTTTCCCATGGACAGTCCTCACGAGTAAGTGGATCGGACTTCCGTTTGGCGTACAGTACGGTAATCACGCTCCACAGTGCTCCCTATCAACAACAGGCTTCTCGCCCTACACGACCGCTTCTGGAGCGGGGACGAGCAGGTGCAGCTTCCAGGCGAGGTCGAGGAGAAGGAAGCCCTGCAACTCGTTGAGAAGTGGAGGAAATTGCATCTGTTCAGAATCGCTGTAGGCTTTCTTACTTGGGAACTTGCGGTAGTCGCTGCCTTCCTCGCCTAAGAAGTGTCGCGTTTTTGAATAAGGGGGGGAAGCCGCACGACCTACAGTCTAACTCGATGTCGACTCGATGCGGTGAACCTCCCCAGCGCAGAGCATTTGCAAACAACATCCCCTGAACAGGTTGCATTCTTGTAGGATATGGAAGTTCATATATAGCTACGCTATTCGTGATCCATTTGGTGGGTCATTAATGTCGCCATTGTCTGAGAGTGCATTAGTTCGCTTGGACTGGTCAAGCCCGTTAATTCATTTAATGGGCCCCGACGTAAATAACTGTAAACCTGGTTTGATCCTTATTGCATGTTGCTTTGAATTCTGGTTCAGCCATGGCATTCTTTGGGGGATTGTAAGTTGCGGTTGCTCAGCCAGTCTGACCGCCCCTCATAGTTTTTGCAGACACAAGCAACGTACCTTCAAGCCTCGGAAAGATGTCCCTGAAGGCACGAAACAGTACCAGCTCAGGAAGTACGCAGAAGCTACGCTGGTAAGTATAATGCTCGTAAATTCGCATTTGGGGTCTGAAGTTTTGCTTGACTTGGAGGGATCGGGGAACCTTCGTCAAGCTGTTGTGCTACCCGAAGGAGAGGATCTCAACGAATGGCTCGCTGTGCACAGTACGTTAATAGCCCTCGATCGGCATCCAGGGGGTGAATCTTACTGAAGTAATAACTCTTTGCAGCTGTAGACTTCTTTAATCACCTAAACATGCTCTATGGAACCGTAACTGAGTTCTGCACACCCAAAGAAGTGAGCGCTAGCTCCAAATTGTGCCTAATCCAGTCGTAGCTTAGTAGAAGTGCATCTTTACCCCCAAAGTGTCCGGTCATGTCTGCTGGGCCAAGGTACCGTGCACGTATCTCATGCCTTTTACTCCTTGCCTAATTACTCACTCAGATACGAGTACCTTTGGGAGGACGGAGTGACATACAAGCGACCAACTAAATTATCAGCACCAGACTACGTTGATGCGCTAATGAATTGGGTACAAACCTTACTTGACGATGAGAACGCATTTCCACACAAAATCGGTACGTCCAGAAACTACTTATAATCATCGTGACTCCGAAGTACGCTGCCTGGAATTTAAAACAAAAAAAGGTGTGCAATTCCCAAAGAATTTCCGCGATACAGTGAAGACGATCGTTCGTCGGTTATTCCGTGTGTATGCACATTTGTATAGTGGTCACTTTGAGCAAATCTGCGCATTAGGGATCGAAGGTGACGTGAGATTCAAATCAAGAAGACAGATGCACTGAACCGGGGGAACTTTTGTTTTCTAGCCCATCTCAACACGTCTTACCGTCATTTTTTCCTGTTCATCAACGAGGCAAGTAGTTTGTGGATCATTGCGCCTGTTTTCATGTATATTTATATTTCTCCCCTTCCCCATTTTCATCAGTTTAACTTGGTCGATGCTAAGGAGTTGGCGCCACTAGACGAACTGAACGATGCCATTCTCGCAGAGGACAATAAAACACGGCGATAACGGTTTGCCTTACGCACATGCATGATCCTTTTCCCCGGCTAGGCCTAGTAATACTTCACCTCAACTCCGCATTCTGTAACATCATTTATACTGCATAATCATGTCGCGTCTGATCGACGAACTTGATGTGCAGAAAGGCATGGAATGTTGAACGTAGTAGTACGATTGTAACTGCACGGCATCTGTCCTTGGGTGATTGCAGCATCCTCCCATCGACTGCCGCAATTCACAACGGCAACCCTAAGTATGCGATCCAAGCCCTTGCTTACACGCCCCCTCTGTGTTGCAGTTGGGCGCAAAGCAGTCAGCGGCTAGCCGCACGGCCCGCCGTCACGACTTCAGCCTTGTTGCCCAGTGTATTGCGTCGAGCCTAACACCAGCACTGAACTAAGAGCGTTCCGGCACCTTTTTGTAGGGAAGAGAGCATTCGTAGATGTGCAGTTACAGAAGAATACAGCGGAAGTGAACTTATTACGTTGACATGGTCTCAGGAAGAATCAGAATGAGCATCGTCCGTTCTCGGCTTATATGAGCACCTGTTCGGGGCGAGGTCTACCGAATAATCTGCCCTAGCTCAAGGAGCTGCCGAGGAGCTTAAGCATTGACGGAGGTCGAAGAGGGGCCTTCTAAAGTAATATTGGCAACGCCTTCGGTGATATCAGATTCCTCGAGTAGCCGAATCACCTGAAAACCAATCTCTTAGAAAGTTGCCCACAGAGGGAAGTATGATCTCACTCACTTTGCCAATAGCAACCGTCTTTCCCTCGTCTCGCAAAGTGAATCGTCCCAGTTGTGGATATTCCGTGAATGGTTCAAGGCATATTGGTGCCGTTGTCTCGATCCGGGCGATTACTTTCTGGCCTAATGCATCATATGTGATTGGGTATTTTTTCATGATGCGAACAGCAATATCAGTACCTTTCTTTGCAAACTGTGGAGGTTTTTTCGATTTTCTCCCCGTCTTCTTATCGAAATAATGTAACAGCGCCTGTAAGGATATTTGAATCGACGATCCTTCAACAAACTTGGAGCCTTTTTGACTTACCGACAGTGATACTTCCTCGGCCAAGGTATGCACGTGCATAACAGCACTGTACCCAGCGCAAATGATATTCTTGTGATCTAGAATAGCAAGCTGAGCCTCGAACCGCCTCACAGAGTGCACCGGCTTCCGCAGGGAACTGAGCACAAAACCAGGGCTAACATCTTCGTCCTCGACGCCACGTAGTCGAACACGAACGTTGTCTCCCCCAAAAGCATGCTCTATTTCCGCCTCCGATTCGGCGAAGATGGCCAACACTTCGACTTCGGCCTGCAGGAACAAAAATCAATACTGGAAAGTACAAACGTAGTGGTGCACCTTGACCTTATTGGGCATAAGTAAAAGCGTGTCGCCTTTTTTGATTTTCCCACTCTCTAGCTTCCCAACCACAACTGTCCCAAGATCTTTATACTTCTCGGAGATGGGCATCATAACTGGGCCATTGATCTTTCGATCCGTGATTGGTAGGTTATCCAGAAGCTGCAGCAGGGACGGTCCCCTATATTAACGCCACGTATGTTAATAGCAAATTGCGTTCCCTGGAGGTGGACACATACTTGATCCAGGGAGCAGTAGCCCCGGCTGGGTTTTTCACATTAGCCGCAGTGTACGCCGAGATCGGTATGTAATTCACGTCCGTCGCCGGATTGAATCCCGCTGATTTAACGAATGGAGTGAGCTTATCCTTGATCTCATTGAATCGGTCCTGCGACCATTCCACCGTCGGATCGTCCATTTTATTGACGACAATTACGACTTTTGAAACACCGACGGTTTTGACAAGCATGATATGCTCACGAGTCTGTCCGCCTTTTTCGAACCCCGTTTCAAATTCACCCTTGCGGGCAGAGATAACGAGAATCGCGATGTCGGCCTGAGCAGCACCAGAAATCATGGACGGAACATACGTCTTATGGCCGGGCGCGTCGAGAACAGTGTATCGGCGTACGTCGGTCTCGAAGTATGCCCTCCCCACTTCAACAGTTTTGCCCTATATCAGTAATGAGTCATCAGATCTGGTAGCAGTATGAACGAGGCTTAAAACCACTTGCCTTGGCGCGTTCTTGAGTAGTCGAGTCCAGCACCCAGCTCAAGTACCACGTCTCGCGTCCAGCTTCCTTTGCTTCTCGCTCATGCTTCTCCATGGTGCGCTTATCGACCGTGCCCGTCAAATATAGAAGTTGACCACCTAATGTAGATTTCCCAGCATCAACATGACCAATAAAAACGACGTTCATGTGTTGTTTTACTACGCGCGCGTCAGTTAACTAGGCGGGGTGACCTAATAGACCTGCGACAAACCATTAGGATCTACCACATTCTGGTCTCCATAAAGATCTTTTATAGTATCTTGATCAGCCACAGCAAGCGTATCATTCAAGACAGCATCGGCATCCTTCTGGCTTTTCTCCGAAGTGAAATTAAAACTCTTCGCGGGTTTGGACACAACGGTGGTGGTCCCGGATGTTTTAGCAAGCTTATCAGAGAGCTGTTCCTTTTTGGAAGAAACAGAACCTGTTGCTATTTGGGCAGCAGGAGTAGCGGTGGAAGAGGTATCGGCGGGGGTGGTACTGCCTCCAATGTTTAGCTTGATTGTACGAGACGAATTCTGCTCCTTTTCGGATGTAACTGTGCTAGAGGGAGGCTGAGGATTCGACGCGGTGCCAGAGACTCCTCCAATATTGAGTTTTATTATAGAAGGGGCAGCAGGAGTCTCGGTCGGCTCTGGTCTTTCGAGTGGAACCTTATCCTGTTGGGGCAAAATTTCGCTTCGTTGAGGCACAGAAGGATTCTCCGCAGGCGAGGGGCTATAAAATTGCTGGTTCTTAGGCTGAGGCTGGGCGTTGTTCGGCTGCTGACGCAGCTGGGGTGGGATGTATGTTTGTGTCGAATGCGGAGCGTTGTGCCCGCTGTGGCCGCCACCATAGCCACTCCCAGGGTATCCTTGTTGCTGGTAACCTGATTGGGGATATGGTTGATACTGACCGTAATTTGGGTAGTGCTGCTGCTGCCCGTAGGGATGGTTAGGCTGCTGGGCCACTGGGTGTCCTTGAAAAGTCGGATCGGTAGGGCGCACCCCTGGCCCAGACTGGCTCGAGCCTTGAGGGGGCTGCCTAACTTGCCCCGGAACGAAGGAAAATGCCCCTGGATTCAATCGTGGTGGCTGGGACATATCGGCCTCGAGGATTGCCCTTGAATTTTAGAACAAGGATCGCGGCGATCTCCTCAATGAGTCAATCACCTGACTCACTCAGTGACGGAATACATTCCTTTCTGACTTCAGGAGATCGTCCCTGCGGTTGAATCTTGCTTGCATGGGTGCTGATAATTGGCTGAGGGTGACTATGCTGCGCGTCGCTGAGTTTGCGTAGGCCAAAATTCCACTTTCTTTTTCGCCCCCTCCTAGGGACATGTAAGTCTGAGCACGGTGTGAGATTGAGCTTGATATCATAACGTTGGCGAAAGCATTTAACTACACAATGGTTGTCCAAGTGAGGGCCGCATCAACGAAGCGATGGATCGGCGCATATCCGTTGCTAACTAGTCTGAGAGTGTTCTAAAAATACCCTTCAGCTCCTCAATGTCCCGCTTAAATCCATTTTGGCTTCCGCCAGATTCTCCACGAAGGATTGATCCAGCATCTCCATGGTTCCTCCCATCTGTGGTGCGTCCGTCATCCATGGATAGCCATTTATCAAGCTGCTTGATAATGGATGCAGCCTTGAGACGGAAATGTGTTCGGATTACGTCTCCGAACGGCTCCGGAGGCGATTTCAGTGCACCAAGCATCTTGATTCAAGTTGAACCGTCATGTAAGGGAGGTCTAGGAGTGAGCGTTCGATCATCAAATATATAAGCAACGTCACTCACGGCGGTATTGACCACCATGCGTCGTACATTGGCCGAATCTGGAAGAACACCTGCTCAGCAAGTAATTTCATCGACCCTGCGTCAAGTTGACATACAAGCCATTGATTGGGATGTCCCGGAACTCTCGGACCAAGCGGGTTCATTGAGGTACGGTTCGTCATTTAAAATCATTGACTGAATAGATATCAGAACCTGGAAGGGATTCTTGTCAGTCACGCAGTTCCCCCTGGCGGACGTGAAGACTTCCCTGGAGAAGCGTCGATTTCCCCGATACCCATCCTGGTCCTGCCCAAGTGCCCAGAAGTGATAAACATACTTTTCCGTCCTATATGCGGATGTAAGAACAGGGCCAAAACTATCAGCTGGCCCTGCATACCGCGTACAAATTCGGGTTGAAGCGGAATCTTCCGCCATTTGTCTTGATGAAGCAATTATGGTTAGCTCAAGGCGAGTTTTAAGGTTTACACCTGAGTGTATTGTTACGCACTGTGATGTACTTGACGTTTGGAGGTTGCTGATTGTAGCTAGGGCCAAGAAATATATCAAACAAAAAGCTGAAAGGAACGGTCGGTGAATATGATATCATAGAATGCCAGCTTCGAGGGTTAATGCTGACCAGCCATTCTGATAGCTAGGGTCGGAGGTCAGGAATCGACGCAAAACAAAATACAGATGAAACAACTAACGGGGTGCCTTCTGGACCAATGATAAGTGCTTTGATAATGTCGACGCGAGCTTCGTCGACGCGCAAGAATACGGACGAGTCCCAGGCGACTGGAAGATTTGTGGTCAACACCGCTAGCTAAAACCCAATGAGTGAGCCGTGAATAAGGTGACACCGCTGCCAACATACCTCTTTTGCAATGGCAAGACTCCGCTTTGGGATATCGGCATTAGCGAGCATCCGTATCTCCCCATTATAGCTATGCAAGTAGTTGGGAATCGGGTCGTCCACAAACGCTGGGGCCGGTTTGTCGTTGGGGTCTACGGGAGGGGGTGGGGTCGTAAGATCGCAATATTCGAACCGTACACGCGAGGCCCAATCGACGTAAATTCTCTGAGTCTCTGCGTCTGTGGCTCCGATCTGAATATCATCATAAACTGTGGCATATTCTGAAAGCTTTGGCGTGACGACTTCTGTTTCACTGTGGGAACGAGTGGAAGAGTGAATCTTAGGAAGGCTGGCATGCAGGCGTTCCACAAATGCGTCTCCCTTCGTTTCGCGAAGCGATCGGTCAACTGAAGCTGCTGTACTAATGATGCGCTCGCTACAGGTAGTCATGTTTTACCTTAGCAGCTAGAGGGAATCAGGGACACTGCGTACCAGAATTTGCGAAGCTTCACATTATCATCGATCATTGGCAGAGCTTTGGCCTTGCCTTTCGCTTGCTCCGGGATAACGAGGGTACTTTGGCGTTTTTCCTCTTCGGTCATAACTTTCTCTCTGGTTGCCTCATCCTGGACAACTCCTAGGCCTTTCATCGCGGCTTGTGCTTGTATGACTATAGACTCCATAAGTTCGCGAGGCCCCGAGCTCCCTTCGTATATGATGGTCCGCTCCCTGGGGCCAGGCTCCGCTCCTGCTCCACGCCTCGCGAGTCCCGTTTGTACTTTCAAAGGAGTGGATGACGTTTGAACCATGATAGGCATTGCCATCATGGAAGCTAGAGCCTCGTGGTTTGAGATAGTCTAACGAAGCGCATGAATTAGTTGCAGGGGCATCTACAGTCGCTATCAGCACATGCCTCAAGCCACTCGAACAATTCAAAGTACAAAGTATTCCGGTCGGACATGTCTGTCAGCGAGTCATTCCTGAGTAACGAGCTAGCGACCGGATTAAATCGACGGCGAAGATGTGCCAGGGCGGTAGGGTGGACCAAATAATCGCTAGTCCTGGCGCCTCCCAGTCGGCATAACGAAGGAAGGAACACTCGGACTTCTTCCATCAAGGAAGCAGCTTCCGTATCTCTCTCCTGTTGAGCCATCAGAGCTTCCAATTGCCCGCTCGTCTTAAAAAGGCCCTTCTTTAGCTGCTGATCAACTCAGAAAACAGTGGTTCTCACATCTTCCTGGGGGTTCCCAGCATAACCGGTGCCCCCCTTTGCCTTCTTGCCCTTTGGAAATACTGTGGGGCGAAGAACCTCATCGTTTGATTCAACCTGATCGTTTACGGCGGTTACTTTGCGCTTCTTTTTATTTGCATTGCTCTGAGCAGGGTCAGAATTGGGACCTTGGCTCTGCTCGATGTGTAGATGCTCTAACTTGAAAAGACCTATGCCCAAGATAACACCTTGGAGGTTCGGACAGTGGAAGAGAGGATCATAATCGGGGGCGGAAGCTTTTTCAGAATCGATACGATCTCCGCAGGCCAAACAAAACAACACTGAGCATGTCGGGCAACGATGAGAAACGGATGCCCTCAGGTTTGCGACATAGGCGGAGAATTTGGGCTGTGAGGTTGATGGAATTGGCTTGGGATTTCCTGTATCTAATCAATGACGCACCGTAATGCCGAAAAACATCCTCTTATCGCGATCTATGGTGTGACCACACTGCGATGGACATCCACACGGAGCAGAAGAAAGTAGAGAATATAGCTGAAACAACAACCCCTGTTCCCCTCCCTCGGGGCATCCTTTCATCCATTCTCCCTGAGTCATGATGGGAATCAAAGTCCCATCCTCCAATTTGTCCATTTTAGGGGTGTCTTCGACTTCAATCACCTCCTCGCGGCGATCCTTGGAAAAGAAGATCCCTAGAGAAAAGGTAGGCTATGGTGCAGGTATGTAATTATAACAAATACCTGCGTATGGATCAACACCTGAACCATCACTATGACGCTGAGGTTGCATTTCGACGTCGGAGTCATAATCCACGGCAAAGTCTTCTACCTCCCCGTCATCTTCCAGCTCTTCGTCATCTTCAGCTTCCTCTGGAGGAGTCTAGACTCGAAATGTAAGCGCAATGTGGGTGATCACGGACGAATGTTGGAGATACTTCGATTCGGGCAGCACGCTTGACTCTCGAGCCAGACGCTTCCGGCATTGGCTCGTCATCAGCATCGACAACAACATCATAGCGCCCCTCAAAAAAGCGGGTAGCGGCTTCATTTACGTCGTTCCCGTCCCGAAGTGCTGCCTTTGCTTGAGCGAGAGTCGCACCCTGAACTCATGGATGTCATGGAGCGACGATTTAACAACTCTGATGGATTCCACTTACCAAATCGACCAAGCTCTGGATATCCTGAGCACTCATAGCCACACTTTCAGGACTTTTTGATGGTATAAACCGCAAGATCTGCCAACGGCGGGCGTCACAGAAGCGCAGACGGAGGGTGGCAATTGAATGGCGATCCTCGGCAGTTTGCGAATCCTTATTCGCGACCGTCTTTGGAAGTTGCGCTGACACGCTGCCTTTAATTCGCCATGGCACGACCTCTGAAGGTGAATGCCGTTGCGTTGATCTCTCAAGCCAATCATCCCATCATCATTCGGCCATTTACCGAAGAGGATCCACTGAAATATCACTACATCGCTCACACCAGCCTCGACTTAGTAGAGGAGCGACGTGAGCTTGCCATTTAGGTCACTATCCCGCTACTGAGGTATCTCCCGGCAAGTTGCTATGGGCCCAAAATTCATGGACTGTTATCTCGGGCTTTTGTTTGTTATGGACGACGTCGCGGTTTATGGCTACGTTACGCCAACGCGAGTGAAGATAATCATAGCGCTTGAGCTGGCTGATGCATTGGTACGGGATGCCGATGTAATTGCAGTAGGTATCCTCTGCGTATCGATGTGACGTGGATTTTAAATGGTGCCTCAACCTCAACAAGATCTTCAAAGCTGCACATGCTGCATATCACGAGTCGATCTCGAATCCGTTTACCCGCTACATCGGTGCCCCAGAGGCAACTGGCACTGACCCTTCGCCACTTGTTGCAACAACAACACCATTTTGGAAGATTCTTGCGAAGAAAATAGACGATGTAGGACGAGCTATCGGAAGTTTGCCCTCGCAGAAGTAGTCATCACAAATGAAAGTTGGCGTTCCCGTGTTCTAGTCTCATTGCTTGGATTCGGTCTCTGTCTTACTGTGCTTTGCCCCCACCTGGGTTTCCACCAAAGTATGAAAGACAAATGTGGGCGTTATCGACGGCCCCATTCCAAAGCACAATGACCGTACATCAATCGCTTGTTGCCCTTCTTATGACATGGTTGCTTGTAGGTTGCAGCAGTCATGACAGATACGGGGCATACATTCCACATTCTCGCGTTGTACCTCCTCTAGCCTCTAGCCTGAGAAACTTTTCTGCTCCCAATGTGCTTTTCCATACGTAGCCGCTACCAGTAATGGAAATACCAATGTGGCATCAGCGAAGATCTACGCATCGTGTGGTTATTGGTTCTAAATTAAATGTAGCTTGGTAGCGAATTACCTTGACCGATTCCGACCCTGCTCGTATCTTGCCCCAAGAAACAGCCTCATCGGGACGAGCACCAGAGTCGGATCCATCGAACTCTTGTCCTGTATTCTGACGATCAAATGTCTCAGGATTTTCCAATATGATATTGCACTATAACTCACGATATAAACTGAATAATCGGCACCATTTCGCTGTTCAGGATGATAAGAACCAAGACTCCGAGGCCACGAAAGGGAATCGTACTAACCACAAGCATAGCGTTCGCAATTTGATGTTTGCAAACACCCCCACCAAGGATAATCATCCCAGCTTTGCGAGCATTCAAAGAAAGATCATTCAGCTTCCGTATGTCTTGAACGATGTCGATGACCAAGCCGGGTGATCGGAACGAGTGGAAATAAATCATGTCGCCAAGCGATCCGTCGGTGAGCGCAGGGCAGAAAACTGGAATGTCATTCTGATCCCATTCAGTCTTTTCTTGAGATGATATTAACTTCAAGAAGAGTTACCTTATAGGCCCAGTAGTACACTGAGCGTTCGTCGTTGATTTCCTGTCCTAGACGCCGGATCACCGAACTGGGCGACCATACAACTCCAGCTTCTTTCTGCTCAGCAAGCATCGCATTCAGAACGGGCGTTACCCAATCTTCAAACTTGCAGTAATTGTCATTCGGAATGACAAGGTTGCCGATACGATTCATTCCCTTCTTGCGTAGTTCAGCACCATCCAAGTTGAAGTCACCAAGGTATGTGTCGCCAAGACACTTTATGAAGTCTTCCTCGATCCCTCCTGCAGTAGTCACGATAGCAGAAACATGGTTGTGTTTGACTAGATGGAGAATAACCTCTCGAAGTCCAGAAGAAATAAGATTAGATGTGTAACCAAGGAAAACCTTGCATTTGGTGCCTGCGCGGATTTTGGGGTCTTTATATATATCCGGCTCTGATTCCGTGGGCACTTCATCAGAGAGACGCCACTTTCGCTATTTTTTTTCGGTAAGGATTGTATGTTGCATCGAGTTGGCATGAACGCTGAGCTGAGCAATCCAGCAAAGGTCCAGTTTTAACTCGATACGGTTGTTGACCCGATCGAGGTACTAACCATCTTCTCCACAATCTCTACTGCCCTCCCCAAACTGGTGGCCTGGAACCCAATCCTTTGATAGCTGCTAAGCAGTTGCTGAAGGCCGATCGAGTTGTCAAAGTTGGGTCCTTCCACTGGAATAGCATCTTGCGGGACCGGTGCGGATTGCTGAAGAATGGCAGCTTGAGCCTCAAACGGTACACTCATCCTTGGATAGAAGAAATGAGAAATGAGAAATGGATCTTTTGGTGTCAACCGTGGCTGTACATCGGAGCCGCGATACAAACACGCTGTTCTCCACGCGACTTGCCACGCGACCCCGATCTGTCACACTTCTTGCCCAGCCGTGAAACAGTATACACGCTCACCCAGAGCACGTTAACGATCGATCTGAGAAGGGCAGTATGTCTACTCCTACCCCATCCCAATTGAACGTCCCTGGTCAAGCCAAACGGCGAAAGAATGTCCCCAAGTTGCCATTGGCCGTCTTTAACACTTCGCATCCTGTTCCGGCTCCAGGAAAGACACCTCTTCCTCCAAGTCCCAGTAAGATCCACCCATCCGCAGTCATTGATTCTCGAGTGTCCATTGATTCGCTGGAGGATACGAAGAAATGGAAGGCCTCCGCGCATGAGAAGTCGGATTCGTTAGTTTTGTTTCTTAACTCTCCCAGCATCGATGGTGCCGTGGAGATCGTTGAGCAGTAAGCGCTATTATTTGCAAAAGATTTCACTGCGGATTCCATTGAATAGTGTGTCCATCCCAGGTTGAAAGACGCCCCCACTTTGTCCGCTCTGTCGATATCCATCCCATTCCCTCTATTCTCTGGACGTCCAGCTGCTCCTATCTCGTTCCCAAATACGTCCGTTACGAGTCGAATTACCCTCTCAGTGCAAGTGACAAACCCTGTAATCACTCCTGCTTTTATTGAAGGCGTGAAATGGGCGCTTGAGCAAAATCACAACGTGGAATTGGATGTTCGATCCCTTCCTCATAGTTCGACTAGGCGTCCAGAAGAAGAGAACCCAAAAGGCGGGTACGACTACCTTGAGGAATTAATTGATAAATCCCAAGAGGGTCTTGCAGGGGCGGCTGATGCACCAGATGAGGCAATAAACCCCCAAACACCAGCCATCATAATAAGTAATCTACTTCCACCTCCGGTTGGGCGTGACGTACCCAGCCAGCAACTCGCCACGAATCCCGGATATCTAGCGTATCAATCACACATCGCAAGCCTCTCGCTGCATAAGAACACATATTTGACCCTGTTGCCACCTGCATGGTGAGCCTTTTGATTGACGGAGACATCAGTGATAGGATAAAGCGACTTCATTAACCCATAATGAGCAGGTCGCCAGGCCTGACCGAAACTGGGTTGGTTGATGCAAAGGAGCGGAACGACTGGAAGAGAAGAATCAAGTTATATTGTGCGTGATTCTTTCATAGCTCCCTCCTCCTTTTGCTCAAATTTGAGTAGTGGGTCCTGCATTGGAGGCATTCGGAGAGTATCGTATCTTATATGGGTCGTCATCAGTCTCCGCTTCTGATCCGATAGCACCTTCAGCAAAAATCAACCCCCTCGATTGGTATCTGTTGGCGCGCGAGGCTGTCACAGAGTTAGGGGTGGAGCAGGAAGGCGTAGACGCCATCTTCCATGAGAATGCGAAGAAGGTTTTTGCAAGGGCGATTGATACCAGCGGCAAATGATCCTACAATGTGCTTACAGCATCATACATGTGCAAATGAATAGGAAGCAGGAGAATCAACCAAGGCTCAGGTTGTCAGATCATTTCCAAGTCTAGACCGAGGATCATTTCCCCTTGACTTTGATCATCCAATAGATCGCACATTTTGCGATGTAAGCTCTCTCCGTTCGTGTTATTCGAACCATTCCTTCTCGAGCTGAGATAGGCATTAGCTGTGTATTCCTTGGGTTTGTTAATTTTCTGGCGTGAAAGTAAACGACATCTTGAGCAGAGCTCCCATAGCGATTTCACGACCATGAACGCTGACCAAGGCTAGGCATTATACAGTGCTGAATGTAAGGACGTCTCAGTCTGCAGCAACCGCCTGAAGAGAGATTTGAAGGGCTGTCACACTGATTCAAGGACAAACTACCGTGAGCGGTCCCGTGAAACTGAATTGCTGGGTCCGAGCGCCAAGCATATGTGGAGCGTGAGATTTATTGTATATCTCACAAATGTGCAGCTTAGACACATGTATTGTACACAGGCTGTTGGAGTAACAACGACCCGTGACTTACCAACCAACACCACATGATCCCTCTTACATCCGTATTTGCCTCGTGACACAATGTATACTGTACTCACACGACCAACTACCGGCTTAGTCAGCCACGTGACTTGTCACGTGATATAAACCGGCAACCGGCAACTCGTTGTGACGCGTGACACCCAACCGGCAGGGCGCTGCGGAGTTGTCCGAATTATATTACTTATATTAAATTGTTAACCACCTTGAATTTAAAATTTAAACATTTGAAAACACCGCCCCCATAAAATTTCTGAGCATCTGTGCATCATCTCATGAACGGTTTTACCCTTGCACACCGCATTGCTTTGTGTACAGATGAGACTATCTCATATAGCGACATCCCGGGTGATTTTACTGGATCCTACTTTCCTGATGGGAACTTGTCTGTCACTGAATTTATCCAGTTTACACTTCCAGTCCTCCAAACAAATTTACAAGGTTCACATACTCCCTGTGCCTATTCATGAGCAGGAACTTGGCCGTGGAATGCGAGCAAGGCACACAAGAAACTTGGAAGACCAAACGAAAATTTTCCGTTTTTGAATGTAAATACATTCCAGAAATGGAAAATTTGGATTGCCTTGCACAGCCACCTTGCCTCAGCAAAACTGGCGTGACACCCAAACACCCAACCGCCAACCGGCTGTGACGCGTGACAGACCCTGAATTTCGACCGGACCGGGAGGTCTCTGTGACGCGTGACCGGTAGTTGGTCGTGTGAGTACAGTATACTTGTATATACTGTTTTCGCTCTACTTTCCTTTTCTCCTCAGTTCTTCATTTACAGAGACTGAGGTTAGTATCATTGCTTTTAGTTAGTTGTTACATTACTTACTCTGTACTCTTCTGTACTATAGCTCCCGCTTTAGGTTAGTACTAAACGTAGTAATTCAGTTCTTCATTTACGGAGACTGAGCTCCCGCTTTAGCCCTCCTATTAGGTTATGAGCCCAGAGGCTCTCTAATTCTAACCAGAAAGAACTCCCATCAATCCAGTATCAATCATGACCACCATTTCCCACAAAGTCGATACCAGAATCTTCGAGAATGACCAGCTACGAGCCGATGGATCGAACTACGGAACTTGGAAATCAATGATCGAACTCATACTCGAGGATCACCACTTACTGGAATACATTGATGGTTCAATCCCTAAACCTTCCTCCACTCCCCCTGCTCCCGCACCCACTACTGCGCCTGCCAATACTGGTACAGGTTCAGGAAACACTCCCCCTGCTACTCCTGCTCCACAACCCAGCACCGCGTTAACTCCACTCCAAATATGGAAAGAGGGTAATTCTGCGGCTTTACTCCAACTTGTCGTGTCCGTCGATGAGGAAGTCAAACTCCTCATAAAGGGTATCAAAGAAGCTCCTATAGCATGGGCGGAAATCAAAAAGAAGTTTGAAGGAAAAGGCACGAAGTCTGTCTTTTACCTTATGAAGAAACTCTTCCGCACCGTTATGCTTCCCGAAAAGGATATCTACAGTCAAATTCAGGAGCTAAAGGATTTGTTCATTAAACTCGACTCACTCGGAACCAATATTAGCGAGGAAATCCAGACAGTTGCCATACTCATGGCACTTCCGGAAGAGTGGGAGATGATTCAGGAAATTCTCCTGAACAAGGACAAACTTACCCTGCAAGACACCATTGACGCGATCCTCGTACACGAGAGTAAACTCAAGCACAAGCAGGAAACTGCTATGCTAGTCCGAGTTGGGAAGGGAATCCCGAAAGGGAAGGCCTCTTCAGGCCAGCTGAGTCAGAGATCTAGGGAGGGAAACAAATTAACGTGCGGCAACTGCAAGAAAGAGGGGCACACTGCAGAGCAATGTTGGGCAGAAGGAGGTGGGGCAGAAGGGAAAGCCCCAAAGGGAAGAGGTCCAAGACGGAAGAAGTCGGGAAAGGGCAATCAGCTAAAGTAGCTGAAGCCGAAGAATCAGGAGAGGGGTTATTGGTATACCTCGCGCATGAGACCCTCGAGTCTGAGACTGCGCTAGTAGCCTCAAAAACTTCCCCCTTCACCCACTTTGTCATTGACACAGGGGCTTCATCGCATATGACCCCTGACTCCTCAATGTTCTCGACTTATCAGAAACTCACTCACCCAAAGAAGATCAAAACCACTGACGCTTATATCGATGCAGTTGGTATTGGTGATATCGAGGTCCAAACATTCATGGGAGATCAATCCCATCCTGGCCGATTCACAAATGTTCTTCATGTGCCCCGCTTAAACGAAAATCTTCTATCTGGCCGACAACTTGCGAAGAATGGTCTCAGAACCATTATTGAGGAGGATCACATCGACATCGTAAATTCCAAATCTGGAAAAGTTGTAAATCGTGCATACCCACACGGAAGTCTCTATAGACTCCGGGTAAAGATCATGTATCCCGAAACCGCAAAGTTTTGTCGAGTCGAAGTTGCAGAGGATGATGAGCACGCACTCATGACCCAAACCATGTCAACTTCCAAAGCCAGCCTAGCCCTATGGCACCGGAGGCTTGGACACGTTACCGAGGATACAATCCTAAACATGGAGAAACATGGGTCAGTGGGCAAAATGGAAATTACGGAGAAAGGAAAGGGACGCTGCATACCTTGCCTAAAGGGAAAGCAAACACGCGATCCAATCCCTAAATCCACCTCAACCTGCTCATCCGAACCACTAGGCCGAGTCTTTAGCGACTTATGCAGCCCAATCACTCCAGAGACCCGCAAGGGTCACCGTTATTTCATCACTTTCACCGACGATTATTGTCATATCCATCCCCGGCCATCGACTTCCGGTTCCTCCGATCCCTCCGGTCTAACTCCGCTCCTCCCTCACTAACCTCGGAGCCCCCGTATTCCGCAATCCTCTCGGTACCCCTCGATGGTCACCACCCCTCATTTCAATTTATTACCTACGCCTCCCTAAGTACGGAGCCCCGAAGACTTCCGGACAGCTCCGATGTCCGCTAGTGCACCCCCGCCTCCGCTGGGCAATACACTCGCCTGCCCTGCAGAGCCCACCTTCGGGCCTATCCCTCCTTTCCGTTTCTGGGTTATCGCCTGCCTTTCCGCTAACCCTGTGAACCGACTCGTCGGTAATATTCAGTCGGCTAATGTTTAAACCCCATTAGCTCCGCTCTGTTCGGCTCCGCCAATTGCGGAACCGTCTCCGCTGTAACCATATATATATCCCACTTGTACATAGGTTACACCCCAGTAATAAAATCAACTAGAGTTACCCCCCCTTAGGTTCTGATTGCCAGTCAGTAAGTTAGGGCATGGACGTGTCACTAGGCACAGCGCTCTTGGCAGAAGTCGCTGAGGCCGAAGCCCTCCGCCACAGAGACACTCCCTCGTCTCGAATCTGGTCTCTGACAATTATAGCTGGTACACCCATATCGGACTTGCAAAGACCAAGGACTCAGCGCTAAATCTATTCAAAGCCTGGAAAGCGAAAGCTGAAAAGGAATCTGGAAGAAAGGTTAAAACCCTGCACACAGATGGAGGTGGCGAATACACATCCGCCAACTTCAAAACTTACCTTGAGTCCGAGGGAATCACCCACGAGATCACAAACGCCTACACCCCGCAACAGAACGGAGTTGCTGAAAGGGTAAACCGCACTCTAAATGACCGTGCACGGTCAATGCTAGAAGATGTGAAAGAAGTGCTTAAAGTCAAGCAACTTCCTCCGAGTTTCTGGGGTATTGCCATACGACATGCTGTCTGGATTAAGAACCGGGTATTAACCCAAGCACTAAACCAGAACCAGACACCCTTCAAGGCATATTTCGGTCGAAAACCTTCACTCAAATCACTGCAACTATTTGGATGTGTTGCCTATGCACACATTCCCCAAAAGTTTCAAATGAAACTTGGGGCCCGGACAGTCAAGTGTATTCACGTTGGGTTTGCCAAAGACAGAAGAGCGTACTTGTTGTGGGACCACGCTAAACGCCGGATGATAGAGTCGAGGGACGTTGAATTTATTGAGGGAGGTGAACATGAGAGGGTGAGGGTGAATGTAGATGATGAGGAAGAGGGAGTGGAAGACGAAGTTGGAAGCCCTAAAGGAAGTCCGAGTAGTCAGAATGCTGTTTCAGGGGGGGACAAGGACGGAAATGGCGAGAATGATACAAAGATCAACTCACCTAACGTACCCAAGAACCCGTCAATCGAGAACCAACATTCCAACCTTAATCCTAAACCCAACACCGCTCCGAACCCAAATCCCAATCCAGACCCAAATCCTACTCTAACTCCACCACTCTGTCGGACGACTCGTAAGAACGCTGGAAAGCGACCCATCAGTGTTACAAAAATGGGGCCGGAGGTGCCCATTTTCGTCCGTTCGAGGTGCAGGAAGAGGGAAAGGGGTTGAGGTTGAGCTCATGCGATTTTACAGATATTTTAACATGTGGTTTAACAGATGTTTTCACAAGTGGTAGTTTAGGTGGTTAATAATTGGATAAACTCTAATTATTTACATATCATGTGATTTGGGTGTGTGCAGGGCCCATAAGAGTCTAAATTGGG